CAAAACAACGGATCGGAGGATATTCGGACCGCACTATTAAAGCTTATTTCAATTCAGGGCCCATCTTGCATTAGGCGCCTATAGCATGCTGTGTTGGCCTCCCACATATCCTATTTCAAACGCCGAAAATATGAAAAGTTGTCAGAATAGTAAATCAGATGTGGATCAAGATATATGTGAAATTTGAGACAGCCAGGAGATGTGGTTGTGGTGCAACGCGCGGAGGCAACTGGCGGTTTCTTAACTATGAGCGTTGAATTTAGTCCACCGATTCACCGATGCAATTGGGCAGATTGCGATTTGAAACTTGAGCGGTGACTAACTGTATATTGGATCCAGCATGGTTTGGAATTTCAGATAGCCAGCAATGGTTGTTGTTGTGGAGGGTGCTGTGACAGCCAATCGCTGGTTGACCATGAACATTAAAACTCCTCGCCCGCCAGTTTGACATTGATGATGCAATAGCGGAGTCAGCACTTTGAAACTTAAGCATTGTATGAGTGTATATCGTATCAGAATCTGGTTGGAATTTCAGACTGCTGTCTCTAAATGTGGGTGTGAAATGCTTGAACGCGAGTGGACACAGTGTTCAGGCTAGATAGAGCGTCAAGCTGGGAGCGCAAAAATAACCCTCGTCTGAGAATCTCCCAAGATTGGCTCACTAGCGAGCCTGGTTGGCCTCAGATGCATTCCATTTGAAGTCTGGATAGTATAAGAAGTTGGCTAAACGATTGAATAAATCCAGATCAGACTAAATATAAAATTATAGGAAGCAATTCGCAGTCAATGTGGTGCAATATGCGCTGAAGTGAGTGGACGCTGAGGGACGCTGACTAAGTGGTTAGACCCGCCCGCCCATTTACTCATGCAATTCGTGATTTGGGGATTTGAAAGTTGGGTAGTGGCTGGGTATATACTGGATCCAGACTTTGAGCAGATAACAAGAGAGCATTTGGCAGGCAATTTTGTGGAATGGGTTGAGACGGATCGTCGGTCGAGTAAGTATGGTGAGCCGCCAGGTGGACGCGGTCGGGTAACTATAGCGAACCACCAGATGGACGCTGTCTGCACGCTCACCAAGTAATTTAGACCCGCCACTCATGCAATTCGTGATTTGGGGATTTGAAAGTTGGGCAGTGGCTGGGTATATACTGGATCCAGACTCTGAGCAGATAATTAGAGAGCATTTGGCAGGCAATTTTGTGGAATGGGTTGAGACGAGTCGTCGGTCGGGTAAGTATGGTAAGTTGAGACGGATCGTCGGTTGAGTAAGTATGGTGCGTAGACCAAGAGTGGGATTGGTGAAGACTTTTTTAAGGTTTCGGGATTGGTGGCGGGGTGTCGGAAGATAATAAATAAGAGGGAAGATGATTGGGATTGAATGGGGCGGATTGTAGAGGATTATAGTGGCAGGCGCCTGTGGTTTTGGAGGGAAGACGCGGGGAGATGGATTGTAGAGTAGCAAAAGCTGCTGCGCAGTTATGCAATTCTAGTGAGGGCCAAGTGTGCTCCAACAGTGTACTAATCATCAGCCGATCCGCCACATATCAGTATCATTCGACCATTTCCATTGAGCGCACCTCTCTTGCGCTAAGTTATTAGTCCCATGTAGTAGGCCCAAACTTCGTGCCCTCCGGAACCTGAAGCTTTGCAGCAGATGATGCGCCGTCAATTCCTGCACTGCTCACAGAGTTGCCCCACCAGCTTAAGGAAGTGCCTGTGTACTGTAAAGTCAGGAAGATAAACATTCCACCAAATGCTAGACCAGCCGACAACCCTGAAGTAAGCACATAGTTGTATTTGGTCCACCAATTAACGTAGCGTCTCTTTATCCAGTAGTTGAAAAAGAAACCGGCAATAAGTCCAGGAGTATATTCGGAAAGATTATACGCTTGACCCCATTTCGATAAGCCATTGAGAAGAAGTACCGGATGAACATATAACATCGCGCGGGGAAACTTCAATTTAAGAAGCCAGAATGGGAAGACGGCAACGAAGCAGATCAGAAACGTATACTTCACCACAGGATAGAGATGATTGAACATTCTGCGAGGCCCAACGATACCGTACAGGATTCCCTCGGCGTATAAACTTCTTGGGTACGCACAAGTAAAATGATCGGGCTGTGTGATACTGCAGAAATCGTTGATTGAGTCCACGCTAAAGTTCAGAATAGCAACCGTCATGAAAGCTTGTACTAGTACTGCCAGCATCTGAACCCGGAACATGGCTCTAGGAGGCAGTTTGACATAGTGGCCCATTTTCAAGTCGGAAACAAAACTTTCCGTCTGCTGATCCATATCCCATCCAAATTGACGTAAAATCATATTTGCGATTCCATTTCCAGGAAGCATGTAGCCGATAATAATGAAGATCAGGTTGGCAAATCCCAGCTCGTATCCCGTGACCGATGCAATAATGGCGCTAGGAATCAGCATCACACTGCAGATGATGATCACGATAACTAGAGCCCATACAGGTGTGTTGGTAGGATAGCCGGCACAGGCTCCAACAGCGCAGGCAAACGATAAAAGAAGAACAAGCAGATACCACCAATCAGGAACCTCGGGGTATTTTGCCATCATTCTTGTATGAGGATCGGTGTAAGATGCAAAATTTGAACGACCGCGATGTCTCAACTGTAGATAAAAATCCTTGAGAGCACCCCATAGCATCTTGTACTCTGTAAGCAAGATGTATGCCAAAGCAAGAGTATGAATTCCAAGAGCAGCGCCGTTTGTAAGAATATATCCAGCAGAAGTGAAAGGCGGTGAGTATTCCTTGTAACCAGTCTCGTAAAATTCGTTATTGATTGCCACTCTGGAAGCATTGTAGCTAGATCCAGTATTATCCCAAACTGCATTGCTGTTGATTGGCAAGTACGCAGTATAGCTGTAGTTTGTCCAATACATCGCAAGCACAATAAAAGCGCCGACAAAGACTCCAATGTAGTTGTTCAATATGGAGAAGAAAGGTACGACAAGAGGCTTGGTATAGTTGATAATCGACCAGTCAAATGTGGTTATAGGATTGAACCCTAGGCCAAGGTAAGAACCGCAGATAACAGCAAGATTGAAGTTGTTAGGTGCAATCCATGTAATCCAGTTGAAATAGCTCAACGCTTTGAAGATGTAGGCTGGAAAAAAGTACCAAAGGAAAGAAGCACACATGACCCACATGAAAAAGCGGTATTTGGAGATTGTCCAGCCATTGATAACGGCACGCTTTTCAGGAATCAGGAGTGCCCGGTTCAGAGCGAGAGTTGGAAGCACAGTTGGCCAAACTGCTTTCACGGGATAAATAACAAAGCGGCGAACAACACCAGCGATTCCAAATCCCAAAAAGAGAGTCGCCAGATTGAGTAGCATCATGAACCCAAACCTAACGTACTGAAGATTGAAAAACATTGGCATGCGAAGGACCAGGAGAGCGGATCCTACAGGTGCAGCTGCACTTGCCACGTTCACCATCAGTGTAGCTAGCATCTGCATATAAGCGTTAGTACAGTTACCATCAAAGACAAGAAACTTATAAAGACGACATACTTGTTCTTTATGAGTCCATGGACCAGGATTAAGGCTATAGTAGTGGCCAAATAGTGTAAACCCCTTGTCTGGTAGCACGCGAGCTAGAAACTCTCCACAGAAATATAAGAGGATCTGGCAGGCTTGAGAGGTAATGGAAAGCGCCGGCTGACGCTGACTGAAGAACTGGTTGATGAAAGAGCCAAGAGCTACCCAGCAAATGCCAAGAAAGTACATGCGAATTGTTTCTATCTCAGCTGTAGGCTCATCAAAAGGATCACAGACAGCGCGGACTTCTGGATATGGCGAGTGGTATTTGATCAATGCTGCCTCGATCTTGACATCAAGTTCGTAAGCGTCGCGATCTCCACCTTGATAGTGCTCTGGTCCTTTGAGAAGCTCAACAATACGATCCATATCGACTGCTGGAAAGTTTTCGTCTCGTAAGTGCTCCTTGACAGTGTCTTTGAGGATTTGAACGCCCTCGTCCACAGGAAGGGTAGACATCTTGTCGAAAAGGTATTCCGCACCCTTATCAAAAACTGTCTCGTTCTCTCCACCAAGATGAACGGCGGTAAGTCGGTAGATGACTTTCTCTCTTTCCTCGATGTCAATTACCGGTGTGGTTTCAATAACCACTTCACCTTTTTCCGAGTTCAAGACATCGTCATCTGTAGTGACGACGCTCACTATAGCTTCCTTCTTTTCGTAGTCTGTGTCCTCCATCTATCAAAGCAGATGTTAGTAGACTGATCAGAGACCCCACGCTCTTAAGCACTGTCCATACCGTATAGCAATCTTCCTTTTGTGACTTTCGATCACTCGGATGCGACAAAAAAGCTCAAGAACTGCTGGAAGTAGCTTTGAAATATGAGAGAGGGGTTTCTGCTTTATAAGTGAGCGTCAGATCCCTTGGTCGTGGTGCAATAGCATCTTTAAAAATCCCTCGAGACAAACCTGAGAGTCAGAGTATTTCCACAAAACTTTGTTGCACCCTGGTACGAGCGACGGATAACGGAGGAGTCTTATCAGGTTTTTGGGACGCTTGCGCTCTTTGATGGAGCTTATCTTAGCTTCAATTTAATCTAGGTGACATGGACTGATTGACTACCATGTGCGTAAGTCCTAGCTGCCGCTAGCAGCTGGAACGAATCCTTATCAATCATCGCCATGATGGTAATGTGTTTGATTGTTATTATAAGATGCTAACTCGAAGATAAGGTACAGCTCTAGTAGTAGTGAGGGTTGGTGTCATATGCCCTGAGCGTTGTTATGTAGATAAGGCTTCTCGGCTAGGGCGCGATAAGAGCACTGACGAGGGGCTCATTGCTTAGAGTTTGAAAGTCACCTCTGGTCAGTAAGATAAGCCGAGCAGTTGACAGTTTGCAGGACTAGACATTTTACAATGCTACTACAGATAGTAAAATAGATACATCTAGAGTGTCTAGCCCAGCTCGATACGGACGGACGCGTTGCCAGTGAATCTAGATAGATTTGAAGACCGTCTGATTCGACATATACTAGGCAGCAGCGTTGTGCAGCGAGTGAGCGCTCAGAGCTCTTATTCCGCTCGGTCCAGCTTTGTCTGACGCCCAGGCATGGTCTGCCTTTGTACCATAATCTTTCCTTGAAAATGCCTCTCGAAAATGCCTCTCTTATCGCAAAGGAAGAACAACTGAATACACTCAGATACCATGCCCGAGTAACTTATAAGCTCTCCTGATCTTCTCTCTCTCTTCTTCCGGAACCTTTGTATATGATTAGTGTTCAGTTATAACCAGCTACTTCTAGCTTTAAGTAATCCGAAATACCAAGCTCGCATCTAACGAAGCCAAGTATGATCGACTATCCGGTACTACTTATAAATTGATAACTATGATACAGCCAGCTACCGACACGGGAGTACTTTGGAGAGGCGAATATCATGGATTTTATGTACGCAAGACTCTACTCTACAGGATGTTCCCCATCATTTTCTTGGTAGTGGAGCACACGTGCTGGAGATGCGCGGAAAATCTGAGAACTACAGAGCGCAGTTCATGATACTTTCGAGGTCTCCATGTATTAACCTTTTTTTGCAAATCATCTTCGGTTCGTGTATCGGAGAGATACCATGGTCTGGATAGACTTAACGTGGGCCACAAGTCACCGCCAATACACATCATGGTGCCTGCAATGTTGTTCCAAGCTGCTCTATTACTACCGTAGATTGTCGTTGGAACAGAAACGTAACCGGTAGATGAGATGCGTTACATTGGAGTCTAGCTGTGAGCAGCGGCAATATAACAGCCACCGATATAGTCTAAGACTCGTTCCCGCTATCCGTATCAAAGCATCCAACTACCACTACTCGGAATCTGCAATGGTGTATCATAATGTTTAGCAGCGGCGATGACTCAAGACATAGCGAGGAGGAATTGGTGGGAGGTTACCCTCTGGTACAGCCAAGCGCATTCATGCGTGTGTTGCCAAGGCAACGCCACAGACATATGACATCACTACGCAAACAAACAAATTATTGTGTGCATCCCTACTAACGGATCACAGATCCTCATCACTTCTCCATATATTCACTCTTATCAGACGCAGGCCAATATTTCGATCTATAGAGCTCAGGTCCGAAGCGATAATATTCACGGCTAAACAGGCAGAGAGTGACCGATACAGATAGAATTTCACGCATCGCTCTGGTTTGCTCAAGATAATATGGAATTGCTTCTTTCTTCGGCTTTTGATCAACTGTCTTCCTCTGATCCGTCATTAGTTCGACGGGGTCTTCGTCATATCGAAGGCTTGCTAGCACAATTGTGCAGGCCGATCAATAGCTCAGGAGGCGAAGATGATAATACACAACTGAAAGACAAGACCTCTGCGATTGATACGCGAGTAGCGGACGACCCGGCGTATCGTGAATTCCTGCGACTACAGGACGGATTTGAATGGAACGGTATTGTTTATATGTTGCTCTTTTCAAAGATTATAGTCATAGCGTGACACTGACCAATAGTCGTATTGCAAACAGTCTGTCTACGTCTCTTGTCTTGTCTAGAGAAACTTCTGGGCCAGGAGAATAGTGAGCAATACTGGTTTTTTTCTATAACTGAAGGAGAATTACTAACTGGTTTCATTATCTAGACGAACTGTCGTCAATCCTAATAGTCTCAGCTCTTGAAATTTTACAAGGTGTGCTGCTGATCCATCGACCAAGCCGACGAGTGTTTGTGCGCGAAGTTCACATGACGATTCTGATCGATCTACTCGATTCTCAGCTACCCGCATCAGTTCAGGGTGCTACCGTAAGCGCTCTGGTTTGTGCTCTTGTGGAGGAATGGCAAAATATAAGGGTATGTACTTTCTGAACACAGTTAAAGACATTACATATGCTGACTATTTGTGAAAATCTAGACTTTCGAATCCTTGGAGGGTCTAGCTACAATTTGCACACTTTTCAAGCGCAAAAGTACAGACAAAGAAGTGAAGCTGAAAATCCTGGAGTTTCTCTTTTTCTATCTGATTCCTGAACCCCAAAACGCTACCCCAGTTCACATCAAGGGCTCGGCAAATTCAGTATCTTCCTCAATCACGATCACACCCAGCAATGTTGATAATGATAGCGAGTCTGTTTTATATACGAATCTGCAAGTTAGGACGACAGAAGAAAAACAGAAAATGCTTAGCAAATATTTGAGTAACGTTGATACTCTTGTTAATGAGCTGAAACAGAGTCAGCCCTTTGGCAATCTGATGGTCTAAATATAGCGTCAAATGGTTGGATGAGTTTTTTTATTCTCTTTTGCTTTATGATAAAGGGTGGAGGCATATAGGAGTTCTATTCAATGTTTATTTATATTCGTTCCATTTATATTGCTTCTTCAAGCTATTCGCGATCTCACTCTATCTTAAGCAGTCGGCTTTGCAACCCGTTGCCCATTCCTGTCAAAGTAGATCTTCTCGCCAGAATCCAAGGCCTCCTGAAGGAGCAGTACAGTCTCAACTGCACGAGCGGCAGCCTGCAAAGTAATAGGAAGAGGCTTGTCATCCAAGCACGCATCAGCAAACTCAATGGCTTCAGTCACGAAGGCTTCTCTAAACCGCTCAAAGTAGGTGGGAGGCACTTCTTTTCTAATGCCAGTTGAGTCGTGAATGCGAACGAAATTAGCCTGGGGTTCGACATTAATCGTGAGTTTACCCTCCGGACCCATGATCTCACAAGTATCCTCCTGACCAGCAGGCAGCATTGATGAAATGAAAAGGCAGGCGAATCGCTCATCGTAGAACTCGATAATGGCAATCGTGTTATCCTTCACACCTGCATCTTTGAGTTCTGGAACAACGACGCAAGTAGCAGACGACGAAATGGATTTGATCTTTGCATCGTGCCCAAAAAACCAAAACATAAGATCGGTGTCGTGAATACCCATGTCCATCCATAGACCACCCATTGTCATTGCGTAGCCTTTGTAGAAGGATTTGAGCCAGTGATCTCCGGTCTGAGACTTGAAAACCGTGGGCTTTCCAATAAGTCCAGAATCGACCTTTGCCTTTGCATCGCGGTAGGAAACATCAAAACGGCGTGAGAATCCGCAGAGGATTTTCAAGTAGGGCTTTTTGGCGGCTTCTGTGATAATTTGATTGCACTGTTAAACAACTTGAGTTAGATCCTGTCTCGACAAACTTAACAGATATACTGGACAAAGAATAAATACCTCGTCGGTGTTGTGAGCGAGCGGCTTCTCAGATAGGCAATGCTTATCGGCTGCGATGGCCTTGAGGATCTGTTCACCATGCACAGCAGCCGACGTAGAGACGACCACGGCTTCAATGCCGGGATGATTCAACATATCATCATATTTGTCGTAGACTGCAACGTTGAGGAGGTTCTCCTTCGCCCAAACCATCTCGTGGGGCATGATAGTGCAAACGGCGACGAGCTCAGCGCGAGCGACAAGGTTGTAGTAATGTAAAGCATGACGCTGGCCCATACGGCCCAAGCCAGCAACTCCGACTTTGAGCTTCTTGATTTCTGAGACAGTCATCGTTTTGGAGTGATAAGGAGAAGAGTGAGTCGGCAGGGATCTTTCATTGTCTTCCTCTGTTGACCTGGAACGGTATTTATAATGATGGCGCTGTTGTGATCGTCATGTTTGGCAGACTCCAGCAGCAGATGCCATCGAAACCCGCGACGGTAATTGCTGGATCATGTAGATGACTTGCCGCTGAGTGCGATAATGCTGGTAACGGTCGCCCTTGACTAGCTGAGTTTGTCACCGCTGGGGTTGCTATTGTGAGAGAAAAGGCGGGGAAGACGAAAAATTAACTGCTGAAGGCGGTTCAGGGTGCAAAACAGGAAGAGCATGCGCGTGCGGCTTACAGTTTGTTGCTCGTCCATTGCCCTATTCGACTCGCATCGCGTATCCCAGCATCCACTGCGGTTTTCTCCCTTTCACTAGAGTAATAGCATGTACTTGTTTGGTATCCAAAAAGCAGGCACAATATATATCTAGTCTTGGTGCAACTGTTATTCCTAACCAGCTCCTAGACTACACTTGCCGCCGACAACCGGCCGACGCTTTGGGGCGCGGCTTTCTACTTCTCCACAAATGTCTCCCGATCGCAGTTTAATCCCCTCTCTGCTGACATGTCCCGTCAATCCTTCAGAATTCTTACTTTAAGTCTACGGACCCCCGAGATTAATGTATTTCCGTCTCCTCTCCCCTCATCTGTGAAATGCAGGCCAGAACCTCTATCTGCTGACTGCGCATATCCTCTGGATCGAGCAGCGTTGCGTCGACGGCTTCAAAACCCCTCTAATCACTTATGCACATCAGCGAGTACTTTCTATATACATGCTTGGCTGGTTTGCAGTGCAGTATCCGGCTAACCTTGGGCTGCGTACCGTCAGAATTTCATATCTGACCGAGATCGAATGGAATATGGGCTGAACTAGGTTTGCCTGCCGAGCGAGCGAGTGTGTGCAAACCCTAGAAAAAATCACCCAGTCCCACATGATTAAGTAACCGCTTTGTAATTTTTGATCTGTGCGTCGTCGATGGGACAACATATTCCCGGATCGAAGAGGCACGAGTCGGCTTATGACGGTGGGTCTCCAGCAACCAGCCTGGACTACCCCTCATTTCTACGACCTATATAAGTATGGAGGAGTCCAATGATTTTAATAACGGCTGAAGGTATACTTCTGCAAAATAAAGCACGATACACAATATGGCCAAAGTTTTGTTGACTGGTGCTTCCGGATTCCTAGCGGGATGGGTTCTCCGTTACTTGCTGGAGAAAGACTACTCCGTCGTTGCAACTGTTCGCTTTCAGGAAAAGGCCGATTATCTAAAGTCTCTCTATCCAAACAAGGATTTGACCTTTATCTTGGTCCCTGATATGAGTGAGCCCACTGCATTCGATGAGGCAGTCAAGGGAGTCGACTACGTCGTTCACACTGCGTCTCCATTCCATTTCAAGATCAATGATCCCGTCAAAGACATGCTCGATCCCGCAATCAAGGGGACAACCAACATTCTGGCCTCTGTGAACAAGTATGGTCCTCAGGTCAAGAAGGTTGTGATTACTTCCAGTTTTGCTGCTATTCAGGATTATAGCAAAGGAGCACGACCTGGCCATGTTTATGATGAGACTCAGTGGAACCCGGTATGACATCTGTTCAATTTCTTTTTGTTGGGAGTATTCAGTCAGTCTAACTCAATGATTGTGGTCGTAGGCTACTTGGGAGGAGGCGTGCACACTGGATCCTCACTTCACGTACTGTGCCAGCAAGGCGTTCTCAGAGAAGGCTGCTTGGGATTTTATGGAGAAGGAGAAACCTAGTTTCCCGCTCACCACTATTACCCCTCCTATGATTCTGTAAGTGACTTTGTGATGGCTGGAAACCCGGCTTCTGGTTAAGACTGAATTGCCGTACTAACATCTTTTTCTAACACAGTGGACCTATGCTTCATGACGTTTCTCCAGAGACTATCAACACTTCAAGCTCGGTCGTTTACAGCCTGATGAAAGTCGAAGGAAAGACCATTCCTCCGACTCGTGTCCCGGTTTGGGTGGACGTTCGCAACGTGGCCATGGCCCATGTGCTGGCGCTCGATAATCCGGTGACTGACAACCAGCGTTATCTCGTATCGGCAGGAAACATCACTTGGGAGCAGATCTGCATATATCTTCGCAAAGCCTTCCCCGAGCTTGAGGGTAAGGTGCCTACCATCCCGGACGAGAGCGAAGAGAAGGAGTTTTTCTCGACGGACAACACGAAGTCAATTAAGGATATGGGAATCGAGTATATCTCGCTGGAGCAGAGCATCTACGATTTGGCGAAGCAACTTATTGATTGGGTGAAGTAGAGAGAGTTGTTAGAGTAGATAGCTGCCTAATTTTAACTGAGCACCTCGAGGACTTTGTCTTGCCAATGTGACTTGGCTCTGAAACACCAACGCCTTACGAATAGTGATTGTGATCGGTGGTCACTGATCAGTGATGCGATCGTGACCAGAATCATTGCAGAAGCAATCTCAGTAAATGCCTCTTGTTACTTGCCGCTGCTCCGTGCATTGCTGTCTACTTTCTATTAGGGGAACTAGATTACACTAAAGGGCCAGAGTAGCTTAGATTAGTTAGGGTCTGAGACTCACTGCTAGCCCACGGGCAGAGTGGCGCACGATGATAATTACTGACACTCACGGCTGAATCTGCGCGCTTCTATTCTCCCACAGCGCAGAGATGTCTGGGATGATCACCGATTCCAGACAGAATCTATTTACTAATAACATGAAGTGATGACGTGTATTGCAAGTTGTCTATTTCAGCTCGGCTTTCACGTATTGATGATAGCTATGACGTTATTTGCGGTATAAAGTGCCCCTGGCTAATTTTCGATGTAGAGTCCCGTGCAGGATGTGACACAACTAAGTTTAAACCTCAGTAACCTGAAAGGTCCGGCTGAGGGACAGGTTCATCTTGCAGCGGGATCAGCCATCCAGTTACCGTCTAAGAGCAAAAACAGAGATTTAAAACTTTGATCAATTTATTTTCGGTGAACTCAATTGACTAAACATGTGTTCTTGTTACTGTTACTGTGGTGAAATATTCCGACTCCGCACTTTAGAATCCAAAGCCACCTCCCCGGCCAGAGTTTTCTGACTCTCCGCTGCCGTACGAATCTGAGTCGCGGCCAGACGAGCCAAAAGACGAGTCGTTGCCGCCACGGCCAGACGATCCGTAAGAGTCGTTGTCACGGCCGGACGATCCGTAGGAGTCGTTGTCGCGACCGGACGATCCATAGGAAGAGTCCTGGCCGGAAGAGTCCTGGCCGGAAGAGCCGTAGGAGTCATTGCCTCCACGTCCAGACGATCCATAGGAGTCAGAGTCGCGGCCAGACGAGCCGTATGAGTCCGAGTTACCAGAAGATCCAAAAGAGTCGTTGCCTCCGCGTCCAGACGATCCATACGAGTCAGAGTCGCGGCCGGACGAGCCGTAAGAGTCCGAGTTACCAGAAGATCCAAAAGAGTCGTTGCCTCCGCGTCCAGACGATCCATACGAGTCAGAGTCGCGGCCGGACGAGCCGTAAGAGTCCGAGTTGCCAGAGTTGCCAGACGATCCATAAGAGTCAGACCCACCGAAGCCGCTGGACTTGTTTGAACCATACGAGTCAGAGTCGCGTCCGGATGAGCCGTAAGAGTCGTTGTTGTCGCGTCCAGATGATCCGTAGGAGGAGGAGTCGTTGTCGCGTCCTCCGTAGCTGGAGTTGTTCGACTCGCGACGGTCGTCTATTCAGAGCAGTTAGTAAAGGAGACTGCGGGAGAGAGAGATCAGGGCCGACATACCATCGTCAGAAGAAGAAAAGAGACCCATTGTTGAGATTGTGTGTGTTTGAGGAGGTTTTTATAAAATTGAGGTGTAAGAGGTGAGTATGATCAAAAAAAGGAGAACGAGGGAAAGAGGCCTCTATTTATACCCCGAGATTCCTCGATTTCGTCATTCGGCATGCAAGATGAGCTCAACTGTCGAGGATCCCGCCGAAGGTGACACGAAACCGACGATGACGAAAGACCCTGGCAAAATCGAAGCTTCCGCCTTCTGGAACCCCGCCGCACGGCACAGATTAAACCCTACTTTGTGCTACCTGCCCTCTGGCCCGAGTCACAAACCACAAATCCACAACAAACGCGACTCCGCCATTCTATTTTTTTCCGCGCGCACCCCTCCCATCCCCTCGAGGCCAATCATAGTATGGCCACGCCTGTTCTGGTCTCCGGTGCCTCGGCCGTGATAGCTCTTACGGCTGCCTTTCTCTGCACCGCCCGCAGCCGCAGCGCCTCCAGCCGCTCCCCCGACGACGTCATAGCGCTCGATCTGCGTCGCCGAAACAGCCTCCATTCCCTGCCTGGCCGGCCTCTCTCCGCTTCTCATTCGACCACATCCGCCGCTGATCCTGCTGTTGCCGAAGCTGACAATTCCAGTGCCGGCCGTCTCCTTACTTTTTCCTTGCGCCCCCAGTTTCGTAGCCATAATAAGCTCATCCGCGTCCATGCGGCAGACGGCTCCCTCGTATACTCCTTCGTGCGGCACGTTCCATCGGCCTCTGGTATGCGTTGTGCTGTCCTTTACTCTATGCTGGATTGTACCCACCGCCCCGTCTCTACCATCTACATCGGCGGACTCAAGAGCCATATCCTGTTTCACGGCAATGCCTCCCCCGCAGACGATGATTACGACCCTCTTGCCGTCTTAACCGTCAGGCATGTGGTCGGCAAGACCTATAGTTCGCGTATGTTTATCATGCCAAACTGCGTCGCTTATCAGTGGACCAGTGATTACTCCCTCCACCGCGTCCACTGTCCTTCTCAGTCCTCGTCTTCGTCCCCACAGCCAGTCGCACCTCCTGTGGACACTCAGGATCCCATTGCAAAAGCAGCCCGCGTTGGCACACGCACATGGCAATTGAGCTTTGATAGCAACACTGACCTCGATCCAGCTGTTATATTCTCCACTGCACTCGTCAGCATCCTCGATCAATGGAGTACTAGCCTAGGTGTGGGCGGCCTCTTCTTTAAATCAGACTCGAACCTCACCGTTAGATTCAAAGTCTGATGCATTCTTCTGTCCTTGTTCTGTCTGTGTCTCCACTGTCTTTTTGTCTGTCTCAGCTAGGTGCTGTGTTCATTTGAATTTATCGAAGATTGTGGGTTCATCACCACCCTCTTTGTTGAAGGTGTTTAGATTTCTTTTCAGTAATGTACACTCTCTGAGAAAACTTTTGATGCAAACATCATAAAGCATTCTATTATGCGTAGATTATCACGCCTGTAATCCAATGATGCTCTCTACCATCTCCTGAAACCTGCTCCAAATCAACTCGCTTTTTCCTTCCCCTAGAACGCTATCAGCAGAGACAAACGTTAATGTCAACCGTCCTCCCTTCACGGCTGCTGCGTTTATTTCTGCCGGAGGATTAGTAAATCCATGTGGCTGCGAGAATCCACACGCCACTACACCGTCGGGAAATGATGCTGCACCAATATTTGAGATTTCAACATCAGAATCGCGCTCAGTGCCCACCTTTTTGAGCAGCCACTCTTGTATCTTCCCACCTAGATACTTGACCATCGCTGGCGCATATATTGTCTCGATCGTCGTACCGTTCTTTAAGTCGTCTCCAAACTTTTTCACGCTTTCCCAAGAAAATCCTGTCGAGCGATCAACAATGCAACGGAACTGGCCGATGTAAGGTCCAATCAAACCGCTTGGGTCCGGAATATCGGTGGATTTCTCTATAAACCGTCGTCCGTTGACGGGTATCCGGACCTCTAGATCGCGAGAGCCTTCAATAGTTTGATTGAGTGCTGTGCAAAGTGTTGATGCTAATAAAGCCGTGATCGTGGTGTTGTGCTTCCTGGTCATCGCCAGCAGCTTCTCTGACTCCTCGGTCGAAAACGTCCGCAGCCTCACTTTATAATCGGCGACAGGATGAAACATGGGTGCGTATACCGATGCATTGCGAGGGTCTTTCTTCGGGAATAGCCATTTCGGGGCAAACTCTGCTGAAAGAGCTTTCAAAACATAAAATAGTGGTGGATCCATCTTTGTCAATTCCTCAAACCGGGGAGGCGGGGTCATATCTGCAGGAACGCTAACTACCGTAGATGGAACCGTAGAATCAGACGGCACTGAGGAATTCTGCAACAGCTCAGATAGCTTGCTGACGAAAAGTCTCCCCGACATCCCGTCAAATACGGAGTGGTCAAAGACAAAAAGCACGTAACGCATATTATAAACCACGAGTCTCCAGAGAGGCTTGCTGTCGTCGGTATACTCGGTTTTTTTGTCATGGTTGTGCATCAGCAGTCTCTCTAGCGACTCAGTGCTTTCATCGCCTTCCTCGAAACTGACAAGATCAGCAAGATCGATTTCTTTCAGCATCGCGACTCGCTGTGATTTCTTGTCCGGAGACAATGAGATCCTGCAGCATAGTGCTGAATTGTCGAGCACTAACTTCGTGAGAGCAGTGTAGAGTGATTCACTCGTGATTTCGTGTTCATACTGCACCCATACCACAACACTGCGATAAAAGTCCAACAAGCATCGGTTGACGAAGTACTGCTCCAAAAAGCCTGATAAGATGATAAGGCTGTTAGCAAGAGTCCGATGCCATAAGTGAACGTAAGGAAACATACTCAAGGGACGCGATGGCGTAATATCCAATCCAGCCTCTGCCATCTTATCTATTGTATCTGACCACGACTTCTGAGTTATCCAGTCCTAAACTCGCCTTTGCTGCATCTTAAATACTCTGATTGTCGAGTCATAAACAGTGCCACAAACCCCTTCGTATACAACAGTCGTCGGCTTGTCAGCATCAGCGGCGGTCAGCATGTCGGCAGCGGTCAGCATGTCGGCAGCGGTCAGCATGTCGGCAGCGGTCATGGTCCTTGGACTGAGACTTGCCAGCATTTGCCATGATCTGTTATCCCGCTAAGCTAAGACGTTAGTTATTCTGCTTAGCAGGTTGAAATTGACTGGAAATCTGCGGACTAAGAGTTGAGTAGTCATTAAGTTGAACTATCTATGATGAACGGTGGGATGCGCCGAGCGTGCGGCGGGAAATTTTATGAAAAGGCTAAACGCCTGCTCGGCCCTTGACTTGACTTGACTACACACATATTTTGTGTACATTGTATATAACTTATATCCATATACTTATCCTTGTAATAACAGATTGCCCTTTTCTGCCTCTTATTTGTTGAATGCTAACATTGCTTAATCGTCTATATCTAGGGTACGGAAGACGTTGAGTAGCTGCTATAGACAGCCCGAATCATAATCCCTTTTGTGTGTTAAGATCGGCCTGTTTTCTTGAAATGTCTCTACCTTACTTCCTTCTTCCCATTGCAGGACCTGTCGTTTTTGCAGCCGCATCTCTGTTTACTTTGTATGCCTGTAATCAGCTCGTCAACCCAGATATTGGAAGTCAACCCCTGATCCGCGAGCTGCCGCAGTCCGGTCTGACCTCGTTTTGTATCCGACCCCAGTTTCGATACAATGACAGAGTTTTGAACGTCTACACCCGACCTGGTGCAAGAGTATTTAGATTTATGCAGCAGCCGTCCTTGCCTTCTGATACCTTGTCTTCCAATATTGAGCCGAAAGGGCTGGTGTATACCCTACTGCGGGGCCAAGAGACTCGTCCCTTTGCAACGATTCGCATTCAAGGATTACACAGCGAGATTGTATTTCACAATATCAGTCCTGCACTACCAGAACCAAGTGTGGTATCTCTAACTCATGCTGTTGACGGAGACGAGACCTATCGCATGTTTATCCTTCCGGATGGTAGAACGTATCAGTGGACAGGGAAAGAGCGATTTCTGGAACAGGTGATTGCAAAATCGTCTCAATCTGAGCCTGAGATTCGTAATAGAATCGGCTCTGCGCGCCGAATAGGTTCTCGCATCTGGGAGCTGAAATTTGACGAAACTCAGCTATCAGCCGAACTGGTACTTGCTACTGCTCTGGTTAGTATTTTTGATCAGTGGAATACTTCGTTGGGGGTATTTGGGTGGCTCTGGAAGTCAGATGAAAAGCCGAGTCATTAGTCTTTGATGGAACCGTTAATACCCGCTGACTGTCTTCTGCTCTGTTGATGGATTCGATATCTATTTATTTAGTAGGATGTACTTCTCTGCCTCTTAGCTTCTTGCTTTTGTCCATCTTCCAATAAAGTCTTTAACAGCAATTTTGTAAAAAGAAGTTCTCCGCCGCTATTGAGATCGATCTCACTGTGTAATCTGCTCCCTGCGCAGTGTCTGACCACTGTCATTTTCGTATTTTGTTATGGCTCAGGACGTCCTTATCGAGACTGCCGAAAATAAGCCGCACGATAAATGCTCATCATGCCAAACCTATTTCTTCCCCACAAATATCTTTACACATCAGCTTATTATTATCTCTTATGAATTGGCTCAGCAGTGCTAGACGATACATCACTACTTTATCATCGTATAACTTTGCAAATAAAGCTTTTTCAACTTTCAGAGCAACGATGGCTACACACAAACTGTCAACCGCCGCATGTCTCGTAAGCCTGCGTTGCTTCTCAGCATATCCCATACTTCCACGTCGGTCTAACAACTTGGGTTTCTTTAGATTATCGGTGACGAGGTATTGAATGGCAAAATTAGAGATTCAAACTCTTACTCTTTTGCAAAGCTGTGCTTTGAAATCGGATTAGACCTGAAAAAGGTTTTGGTCATTGGCGATGAGGAAGACGAGATTGCGGAGGCTTGCAGACAATTGGCCGCGAACTATGATTTCGTCGTGACTACGGGAGGTGTGTGGAACTATATAGAGGCTTTGAAAAATCCTTGAATGTACTAATACATAGCATAGGAATCGGACCAACTCATGATGATATCACATACCAGTCAGGTATGTAACAACAACGGAAAATATTCACTGATTGACTATCACAGAGCGCTGACTTGTCTTCTAAACATAGTTGCAAAGGCTTTCGAACTCCCTCTCGTTCTTCACGAAGAGACAGTTGAGCGAATGAAACGACTCGGGCGTCGCAAGATTGACCCCAGCGACACCGAGGCAGTCAAAGCACAGATGCGCATGGCTACCTTGCCATGCGGCAAAGACGCGACCGAAACAGAAATCACCTACACGGTCGAGAACTCTTGGGTTCCTGTGGTATGCGTTATGAGCAAGATCTACATCTTCCCGGGCATCCCCCAGCTATTCAATGGCCTTCTGAAAGGCCTGCTGCCGCAGATCATCCCGCGCATTCCGGAGTCGCAGCGGAAACATCGGTTACTGGTCACTACCAAAAAATCAGAGTCGGAGATTGCTCATTTTCTCACTGAAATGCAGGCTAGAGCTGACGACAAAGATATAAAGATCGGTAGCTACCCTCACATGACGATGGGAATCAACACTGTAAGCATCATTGGCAAAGAGGAATATCTCGATTACATGCGTGAGCTCGTCAAGGAGACTGAAAAGACTCTTGATGGAAAGGAGATCAGCGTTGAGGAGGAGGCGAAGCTCAGCTTGACTTGATCAAGGGAGAATTATTCATGTACCGCTTATTAAATCTATAGTAAAGCATACATATTATAACAGACAACCAAATCGAAAAACAAAAGCAAGAAACACTATAAACTAGAATAAAAAATTTAGAAACAAAAAAACTGAAACTGGCACGCAACGCAGAGCAAAACGAAATAAACCGAGCAGTTATAAAGAGATAAAATAAAACCATGAAAAAGAATAAAAAAATAAATTGAAAACCTTTGATCCTGACCATGCCGTATTTTGACGATTTCTTTCCCCAACATGATAAACAATGAAACTTTTTTGATTCCCACCGTAATTAGACGAAACACAACCTTGCAAACCAAAGCCAGATGATCACGGGTTTTACTCTTTCTCTCTCTTTCCTTTCCTTTCCGTTCCATTCTCTATAATCTCTTCTCGAACGAACTCGAACCTCTCCTTCTATGAAACCTTCTATAGTGCACAATTCACGATCTTACACTTACTCATCATCGTCGGTATCGGGAGGATGGGGGGTACCCTTGGGAGAACTCAACCAGGCGATGTGGCGCAGACGACGTCTAGCGTCACGCTCTTTGAGCTGATTTCTGGTCAATTTTTTCTTCTTGGCCTTGATCTTGATGTTGGCAGGCGAAGAGTCATCAGTGACACTGGCGGTCATCGCAGGGGCAGGTGACGGCGCACGCGAAGACTCCTCAGAAGGAGCCTCAGATGGAGCAGCAGACGGGGCAGCAGACGAATCCTCGAAACGGTCGTTTGCAACAACGGCAGTTCCCTTGTGAGTCACACGACCGTCCGCAACGTGCCACTGCTCGGGGCAGAGAGCACCGACAAACTCCTCGTTGTGAGAAATCATGATGACACCTCCAGTCCAATCTCTGATCGCAACAGCCAATCCACCAAGTGAGTCACGGTCGAGGTAGTTAGTGGGCTCATCGAGGACCAGCAAATGGGGGTTGTTCCACATGGCACCTGCAATGACAACCTTCACAAGCTGACCTCCAGAAAGTCCACCCATCTGGACGTGGTCAGCAATGTCACCATCGAGACCAACACCCTCAAAATGCGCGCGGATAACAGGAGGCGACAACTGACGGTATCCAAGACCCTCACGGGAAGCCTCGTGGTCATCAAACTCCTGAACCATCTTCTGGAAACCAAGCTCCAAGAGTCGCTCACGACTGATCATGGAGTTGTACTTGGGAATCATGCCAACCCACTTGACTTCGTACTGCAACGACTTCTTCAACTTCTGGCGACCGACCAGGAACTCGACATGCTTGCCGTCAATGGTCTTAGCCATCTGTTCCTTGTCCTCATCAGTCAACTGGCGCGAAGCCTTCATGTGCACCTCGCGATCATCACCGTTGGCATAACGCCACTGGATGTACTGGTTAGGCGTCTTCTCGAGATGCATCTCGACATGGGCAAGCGCGTGCTGCGCAATGTAACCGATACGAAGGTTGGGGTGCTTCTCAACCTTGCCTACTTGGGGAATCAACTCGCCGGTGAGCAACTTGATCAAAGTCGACTTTCCAGCACCGTTGGCTCCCAAGATCGCGACACGGGACGAGAGCGAAAGCGCACATGAAACATCCTTCAAGTTAGGAGAACTGGCACCGGGGTAGGTGTAAGTCACATGGTTCATTCGCAGAATAGCACGGGTGTTGGACTTGACACCAGCCAAGATTCCAGGGGGAGGGAACTTCATCTTGATATTGGAAGCCGAGAGAGTGTAGTAAGACTTGCCCTCGGGACGGACACGCACAAAGTCAGCAAGGTTACCCTTGTAGTAGACAAGCTTCTTGTCTTCATAGTGGATGATATCAGTGCAGACGTTGTCAAGGAATCCAGAGTCGTGGGAGACAATCAGAGAAGTGATATCAGTGTGCGTAGTGAGGTAGTCTTCAAGCCACTTGACGTTGGCAACGTCGAGATGGTTAGTAGGCTCGTCAAGAAGCAGGATATCAGCTCTCATAAGCATAGCACGAGCAAGCTCGAGCTTCATCTTCCATCCTCCAGACAGAGCGCCGACGTTTTGAGCACGACGAGTCTCGTCGAATCCGACCGACTCGAGAGCCTCAGCGACCTCCTCACGCTTAACGTGCTGAAGCTCAGGATCCTTAGCAATGAACGACACAAGGTCCATGTCACCTTCCGCAGCTTGGAGCTTGTGCTCGACAAAGCAAGTACGGAGCTCACTCTTGTCAGGGAAGCCCTCAAGTTGGCCCTTGGAGATGGCTCGCATAAGGGTCGACTTTCCGGCACCGTTGCGGCCACAGAGACCATAACGGTGTCCCTTGTAAAGACGGAGGTAGGTCTTGTTAAGAAGCATCTTTCCACCATAGGCAAGCGAGAAGCGAGCGTTGGTGATCTCAATACCTTCCTCACCAGAGTCGTCAACAACCCGGGGGTTAAATAGAGCGTCGTAGTGCGCAATGATCTGCTTAGCAACCGCTGCAGCAGTCTCCTTGTCATCAAAGTAGGGGACGACAACTTCAGGCAGGCGGTCCCAGTCCTGTGTTTTGATGTCAACGACGACAAGACCAGACACATAATCAAGAACAACCGGATCAGGATCAGGGTTAGTCTTGACATCGATGACAGCGATAGTCTCGGTGAGCTCAGCAGCAGTAACGTGATCAATGCCAGTCTCTTTCTCGGCAGCCTCCAAAACGGTGAGCGCCTTCTGGGCTAGCTCACGAACCTCAGGCAGGGCGGCAGTGTTGTAGACCTTGGAGACAGATGGGAGCAAGTCAGGGAGGAAAGCGCGAATCTCACGGGGGTTGTTGACGAGACGAGTCAAGTTCTCAACGACGATAACGGTCTGACGGAGCAAATCTTGCGAGGATCCACCCTGGTTGAGAGCTCTTCGAAGAATAGGGACCAACATCGCCAAAACGGGCTCGGTGACCTCAGCAACAAATGTCACATGAGAAAGAGCAAGGACGGTGGAGGGGACGGCCGAGGGGTTGGCCATGGTATCAACGATCAGGGATAATCTGTTTGCGATATCCTGGTTGTCGATGGTCTTTGCAAGAGACGTCATGGTCCGGCAAGCAGCCTTCGAGAGGTCGGCTTTCATGTCGTGCATGAGGTTTGTAATGACAGGGATGATGTTGACGAACTCATGGAGAAGAGCGTCGGCGGGGATACGGTCGGCAAACTTTTCATAGAGTCGCAAAACACCAATCTTCGACTGCCATTTGGCGGTCGAGTTGAGGTAGGCGTTGAGGAGGGGAATAAGCGAAGCGGTGTAGGCTTCAACGGGATAGATGGAGAGAACGACATCCGCGGCAAGGGTGGCGGCCTTCCGAACGGAGAGCTCCTTTTCAGCCAAAAGGTCGTAAGGCAGGGTGAAGTACGGCACAAAGTAAGCCTCAGCGGTGGAACCGGAGCCGAACTGCTTGACAAGAGTGGTAAAAGCAAGAAGAGCAACCTCTTTGTTGATCGTAGATGCCTTGCCCTTGGTCATGGACTTGATTTTCTCCAAAACACTGAAAAAATCTTAGTAAGAGAGATTAAGGGTGAAAGAGGATATAACGAGATAGAACTTACCCATAGCTGACCAAAGCGGCGGGACCAGCCTCAAGCATGGTAGCAGCAAGATCACCAGCAATAGATCTAGCAGCTCCGAGAGAGGTAGCAGCTTGCAGGGCGTTGAGAGCCTCCATAGCGGGCGAAGGCTGGAGGGAGACTGAAGAGACTTGGGAGGCGAGCGACGAGAGGGAGGTTGTCGACGAGATGGGGGTCGACAAGCCCGACTGCGCAGGCGAGAAGCCGCGGCCGTTGCCGTTGTAGGTCGGAGCAGTGGCCGAAAGGCGAGCCATTTCAGAGAGGAGGGAGAAAGGAGGAGGAAATGGGTTATCGAGACGTAAAAAAAAGAGAAGAGGGAAACGGCGAGTAGGAGCAACTGATAAACAAGCAGAATATTTTTTTAAGCCGCACGTGGGCTAGGGCCCATACGCCACTGGCTCACGGATCATCTTGTCACACGAATCACACTATTACAAAAGCAATTAGTCATCTTTGTGACTGAATCTGTTCACCGGCTTCAATGGTTAACTGAATGTCATGTATCTTCAGCTTGATCCTGACATAGATCCGGCAGTTTCTCAGCTTAGCAGACGCTTGGGATATTCTGCTCTCTTGGATGACTATATGAGCTCTCTTGCTGCCTCTGCAACTCTTCGTGCTCTGTCAAATCCTACTACAGCGATAGCATTTCATAGATCAAATATTAGACTAGTCTCAGGGTACGCATGATCTCTATTATTTCAGCACATTTACATTCACTGATCAGATTGCTTTCTAGTGACGACAATGGTTGGTGTGTCCACTGGTCGCTAGTGACCCGACGACCTTTGGCTATCTGGAGATCACACGAAGACACCGTTCTTACTGTTAAATGGCTTTCGGACGATCTACTCTTAACGTATGCTCTGATATTGTTAATTCTTCAATCTGGGCATCTGACTTACTCGCTATAATCAGACATGGTCGAGATAACAAACTGCACGTCTTTCGACTTGATGACCTTCCTCTTAGCACGGATATCCCTACCCCTGCTGACAGTGAGAATTCCGGCAAATGGCGAAAGCCCTGGCTCGTGGCTTCTATCGATGTCAATGCCTTGAACTTTTGTTCTGCGGCAACGTTGGGCACCAATATGATAGCAGTTCCTGGAACATTGGATTCAGATACGGTAAGGCTGTCAATAAAAGTTCTATTTATGGCTATCTTATGCTAATTTGTCCTTCAGATTGACGTCTACACACTCCTGCCCACACTGGCACGTCCCTACGCTGCTATCTCAGCTGGAGTCAAAACCGGAATCGTGATGGCCATCGCTCTTCACGCCGACATTCTTATTGCAGGATATGAGTCTGGTCATGTTGCTATGTATCAGCTGCAAGATGACGGGGTAGCCCAGCTGATCTATCTCTGCAAAGCTCATTCGCAGCCCGTGCTATCGGTCGCTGTTCATGCGCTCGACGCGACTGTGCTCAGTTCCAGCGCAGATTCCAAGATCGTCAAGCATCCTCTCGTTCGCGATCCGTCATTTCTTCCGTCATCTCCCAAATCATCAGGTATACGCAACAGCGAAGACGAGAATGATCTATCAACAGTCTCACTATCTACACCAATATCGACACATGATATCAAACATACCGGAATAGCTTCGCTTAATCTTCGCGATGACGGAAAGATATTTGCTACGGCCTGCTGGGATGGGAACGTGCGAATATTTTTATACTCGAATTTGAAGCTTCTAGCGAGCTTCCGCGGTGGAAGGCAAGACGGCATATCGTGCCTCGCTTTCGGTAGAACATCTTTAGATGACCCCGAGGATGATAACAGTGAAGAAGAGAAGATTGTGAAGGAGGTGGTTAGTGACGTGACTAAAGTTGTAGTTGGAAACGCTATGAGAATGAAGGCAGAAAAGAAAGTCAGGGAAAAACACTGGCTTGCTGTTGGAGGTAAAGACGGGCGAGTAGGTCTATGGGAGGTTTACTAATACATATTTCGGCGTTTTTACATTTTCAGTGAATAGGACGTTAGGTCTATGATATAACACAAATACAAAAATCTCATAACTCCATGCGATTTTATCCCAAATTAAACTCGTCTGCACCGACATTGGCATGCAAATCAGCTACCTTCAACATTCTCTTCTTCGCGTAATCGGGTCCGTTATCAGTGCCGTTACGTTTCCGCTTGTCACCCTCGCTTGTAGACCCTCTAGATGCAGACCGCGCCATTCCTGCTGGCGTTTCCCGCAAACCAAAACTTTTCGCCAAATGTCCCAAATGCAAGTCCCTGACATTGAAGAAATCTCTTTCTGTGCTCAAGTGGGTGGTGTATGCACGAATATGGGATCCATATGCACTCTTTGCAAGAGCTGCATTGGTTTGGCTGCCCAAAATCCATCGCTCAACCTGGAGTTGAGTTTCCGTAGCGATATCCATCCATCCGGGCTGTCCCTTCTTTGCCGGCCTACCAGTTCCAAATGCTTGACTCAGGACTGTGCTAAATTCACGCTTTACGATCGCAGACTTATGCAGCGGCATGAGAACGTTACTCACGTAGCCTTCTTCTTTTCCCGGAAGAACAAAGAGAGTACTCCATCCCTCATGACCCACTCTCGCAGTTCTGCCAACGCGATGTAAGTGATCTTCAAGCGCAAAAGGGGGGTCAAACTCGATGACATGCGAAATTGCCGGAAGATCGAGGCCTCTTGATGCCACATCAGTACAAAGCAGAATTCCGCCTGTGCTAGCTTTTGTGAATGCGGACAAGGTCGATTTCCGAAGAGGTTGAGGCAGGGAACCGTGAAGCTTGTAGATAGTTGGCAGAACATTCTTAAGGAATGATTGCAAGACGGTGGACGGTAGAGAAGTCTTCTCGTCCTTCGTACTGGATTGTGTGTCATCTTCATGGTCTCCTTCTTCCTTTGGTGCAAGCTCTCGAGTCAGCATTGAGAAATGGAAGTTGACCGAATCCGAGCAGCTCATGAAGATCATTATTCGCGCGTCTGGCTTCGACTTCAGGATATTGAGGATTGTCGCCATCAGAGACACCATTCTCAGCTTCATAGGAACAACCGCATACTCCTGATGTAACTGATCCGGAGCAGAAAACTCATCTTCCTTCTTCGTCTGGCCATTTTCACCATCTTCAGTTTTAGCTTCTTCGCCGGCATTGACGTGAAGAGCATCAACCAAGGATTCCTCGCCCAGCTTTTGTACGTCTTCTCGCAGAGTAGCAGAGCAAAGAACCGTGACTCTCCTCTGAGGAAGGGTTTTGAACTTGTCTCGGTAAATCCTAGAGCTGGTTTTGATCTTCCCCAAAATTTTAGTGATTGTCTCTTCGAATCCCAGCTCGGTCATGCGATCACCTTCGTCGAGAACTACCCAGCGAACGGAAGACAAGTGCATGGCCTCAGTATTCTCAAAATGGTCTGCCAAGCGGCCCGGCGTGCTGACAAGAATATTGACACCTTTCCGTAAACGAGCCTTTTCTGACTTTTTCTTCTCTCCACCAATTACTATACCGGGAACGATGTAGTGACAGCAACGCACCAACTCCTCGAGGACACCCAAGATCTGATTTGCAAGTTCACGTGTAGGCGCAATAAATATAGCAAACAGTCCCGACTCTCGGTCTATCTTCTCCGGGCACGCCAGTAGAGCGTTGATGATTGGAAGAGCGTATGCCAAGGTCTTTCCTGATCCAGTCTGCGCCTGCATGAAGACGTCGCGAGGATTGCTGCTTTCGAGAAGCACCGGCACTGCCGCTCTCTGAATCGCAGTAGGATGTTCGAGCTTCATTTTTGTGGTGAGATGGTTCGTGAGAGTCGGATGAAGACCGAGAGCCGCGAATGAGTTTGCGGGGCCCTTTAGAGGAGCATTCGAGGGATCTTGCCGCTCTTCATATTTATCATCGGCAGCTGGAACGTCCTCAGCTGAAGTGGTAGGATTTGAAGAAAATAGTGAGGAGATCACTTGACCCTTAGATCCAGAACTATGTTGACCGCCGTAGGAGCTGTGAGAAGGTCGCGATGGTCGATCGTAGTGTTGTTGCTGGAGCTGGGGAAGTTGAACGTCACCGTTGGACTCTTCTCTCACTGGTATCTCTTTCCTAGTAACTCTGATACCATTGCTCCCGCTTCCCTTTGGATTTCTTTTCGGATCGCCCGAAGGCTCTTGACTCTGCTCCGTAGCAGACTTCTTTGAAGCAGAAGCGCGACTGCGACCCTGGACCGTACGCTTGACTTTCAGTCGCTGAGTCCATTTGCCTTTGACATTCTTGCTGTTGAAGGTCCGCTGTAAGTCTGTAGCAGACGGCACAGCCAGATTGAGGATCATGCCATCGTCGGCCATGTCTTGTCGTGATCTGCAGATTTAACGGTGAAATATGAGCTGTAGAATCGAGGAAGAGGGCAACTATTTTTTTTCCATTGGGAGGAAAGCGGAAACCTTAACTGAGAACAGACCCCAGATTTGGGTTTTCCAGCCTTTCAACTGCGCGGCGACAAATTTGGGTCTCGTTTTTTTATTATTTTTATTTTTATTATTCAAGCAGAGCAGCAATGGAGAACGAAGCAGATGACAGCCAGCCAAACATCTTTCCCTTTGAGATCAAAGAGGAACCCACCGACGACTCCGCACTCGACCTGCAAGAAGATATGACCGGGTCAGCGGGGAGCAGCCGTATGCCTTTCGAGGTCGTCAAAGAAGAGCCCGGTGATGGAGACGGTGATCTGATGGTTATCGACTCGCCGGTAAAGGAGCAGGCCTCCTCACCGACAAGCACACGCACGTCTGGTAGACTGAGGCGCAAGAGCAGTCTGGAATCTGGAGCATCGCCTGAGCAGCGTAAGGAACTCAAGAGAGGTCTGCGAAAGAAATCGGCTTTCATGAAGAGCGATACTGCGGAAGAGGCCGCGAGCAGTATGCCGATGGAAGGAGTGGAACCAGCATCAGCACAAGAAGCAGACGACTCAGACGATCCGATAGTTCAAACAGTACCTGTATTTCTGTCTTCACAACTCTCGGAGCATCTTCACATCATGCAATACCCAGTCCGATCACAGTCGCGACCATACACGGGCTCTCAAGGGGAGCCCATTCTCGACTTTCGATTTAAACCAAAAGCAGGTGTCGTTCAAGTTGATGTACCGATAAACGCACAGTCTCAATTCTACGATCGCGAGAAAGGTGAAAGGTGGGGAGGAGTGGAACGACAGACTTTAAGTGGTGTTGTCAATAAACCTGAGGGTTATATGATTGGTATATTCCAGAATGGTACAACTGACCTCTGCATTTATGCTCAGATTTTTCTTTATACAGTTCTTCAAAGTCATTGCTAACTTATTACTAGGCGAACTGCATTTGACTCCTGTCGCTGGCAATGCACAACTGCGCCCCAGTTTTTCATACGTTGATAAGGATGCACAGACAGAAAAGGATCTTGCACGTACAGTCAGACAGGATCCTGCAAAGTCAAAAGAGATTCGTGCTGTACAGGTACTTTATCCCTTTGTGTTCCTATTCTTTTGCTGTCTTGAGTTTCTCTCGACATGTAAGGCTTCTATCGTGCCCATACTGACCATCAATTATCCACAGATGACGGTTAAATCAGCAGACAATCAAGCCCCCCGCTACAGCGGTGCACTATCTGCACGCAAGAATGCTGACGACGAGCCATTCAAATCTTTGCCATGGTTCGACAAGGATACGGAGGTGGCATGGGAACTAGCTGAAAAGCTCAAGGCCGGCGAGCGCGGTGCTCTCGCTGCTCATACCTCAAAATCAGCCTACTCAGATATGTTGCGTGATCACATTTGACGGAACATTACTGGCTTGGGTGTTGTTATATCTTTTAGTCTGTACGGTAAAGCATGTAAAATAGGTGGTTCAAAATCTTTTTCCGATATAAATGTATTATATAACGTCTGACTAATGCGGCTTGGCGGCGCCTCCTTGGCTATCTACCGCACGATCCTCCGTAAATCTGAATCTCTCCGCCAGCTGGTGTTCGCAAATCGGTTCAAGTAGAGCAATAATGTCCTACGCAGTCACGGTCCACAAGCCTTCTTCTGTGAGGCACGCGATTGTTGCAGACGTGTTTGAACCCGGCGTTCAGTCGCTCGTTCTTGCGCGTCCGTCGGCGCTCGACATCCATTCGATAACCGAACAGGGTCTAGCTCTCCAGCACACCATTCCTATCAATGGCACCATAACCGCCTTAGCGACCTTCAAGCCCTCAAAGGCGGAAGTGAGCTGGCTCTTTGTTTTGACAGAAAGCTGCGTCTGCTTTGTGCTGGAATACTCCGATGGGAAGTTCGTGACGCGACAAGTCCTTAATGATTTGGAAGATCGGGTTTCCCCAGATACGGACACGGCGCATGTCGCTATCATCGAGCCTTCTCGACGCGGCATCTTGTTGTACTTTAAAAAGTCTACGCTGACTTACATCCCACTGATCCCAATAGCGCGCAAGGCAAGGAACCGGAAAGCCGTTACTGAAGCACCGACCGAGATCACCGGAACTCTTTACCCCCACTTTAAGCTGCATATCGATGAGCTGTTGATCATCTCCATCGTCTTCCTTGAAGACGAGACGTGTCCCACTATTGCGGTTCTCTATCGTGATGGATACCATGAACGACACGTCAAGGTTTATCAGATTATCCCCGAGGAGCAAAGACTCAAAGAGCTCCATCCTTCACGCCCTAATTCTTATAGCAGCCTTGATCAGGGCGCTTCAATGCTTCTGCCATTCAAAGCTCCTGTGAAAGGGTTCTTTCTGCTAGGTGAGCAGATACTCACCTACTTTTACCCTCCCGAATTATCGAAGCTGCCGCTCAAAATTCCGTTTGAGGGCCCGATCAATTTTTGCGCCTGGACCGCGATCGACGACTCCGGCGAGCGCCTGCTTCTTGGAGACGAGTTTGGCAAGATCTATATGTTGCAAGTAGAGCTCGCTCCTCTAGATGATGAAAGCATTGCTGAAGAGATGCAATACGTGAAAGGCTGGAATCTGGTACCTATCGGCGAGGTACGTTCTCTCTCTGCATCGTCGGCCGCTGTCTATCTGAAATTATTTTCTAATCTATTATTTGCTTGTGGTCTAGACTTCAATTCCCACAACATTGACTTATATAGATGCTGGGTTCTTTTTTGTCACCTCTCACTTTTCGCCGTCGACCCTATTTTATCTATCCGAAGAAGAGCCTCACGTACGATCAGTCCAAACCCTCCCCAATCTGGCGCCAATCACAGATTTCCAGCTGCTCAAGCGCGATAATGCAATGGATGTCGTGGCGTGCTCAGGCGGACTCAAATCAGGATCACTACGCATTGTTCGGTCAGGTGTTGGAGTCGACTCGATCGCAGAGGTTGTTGGCATCCCAGAAATAACTGGTCTATGGACGTTTCCCGGTCATATAGTCGTCGCGTCATTTATAGAGCGTACTGCAGTGTACAAAGGCGATCCCGAAGAAGGAGAGGTTCAGGACATCACCGGATGGCTTGGTATCGAGAGTTCAGAGCCTACGGTGGGAATGGCTTTACGTGGGTCTCAAGTCATCCATATAGGCAACAGCAAAGTGACAACGATTGATATTTCGACTAGTGAAGCACATTCTGTCTCATTAGACGGTAGAATATCAGACGCAGAGTTCACCACAGATGGTATTCTTATAGCTGTGATGGATAAGCTGATTTACATGTCTTTGGATCTGAAAGAGGTGGCCTCTACTACATTGCCGAATGAGATTGCCTGCTTATCTGCATCCGATGATACGGTGTTTGTTGGTCAATGGGAAGAGTGCAATATCGTCATCCTATCACTGCCGGATCTGAAGCAAATTGATCAGACTGGCCAGCTCGCTGGTGGTATTCCACGCTCGCTTGAGTTGTGTGACCTCAACACAATCGATGTTCCTGTACTTCTTGTCGGCATGGCTGATGGAACACTTTACAGCTATCATCTCCGAGGCTCTACTCTGACGGATCAAAAGTCCAGCGTTCTTGGGACACGGCCAGTATCACTATATCGGTTGCGTAAAGGGATATTCGCGGTCTCGAGTCATCCGTCGATGGTATATGGAGCTGGGAAGAAAATCAGCATCTCTAGCGTTAATATGGCGCCTCCTACCGCGTTGGCGGTGTGTCAAAAGTCTCCAGCTGCAATGGATGACGATGAGGACGAAGATATCATTGTGTTTGCGACTGAGAACAAACTGATCTTCGGAGTTGTAGACCAACTTATGAGTACTCATATTCAGACCCTCGAGATGAACGAAACGGCCCGAAGACTGACTATTATGAGTCCATCAACCGGTGTCATTGGTCTCATCACTGTGAAGACGGAGATCGAAAGCTACAGTGGTGACGAGATTATGAGCTGTTTTGTGAAGCTCGTTGATACAGCGCTTTTCGAAGTGGTATACGAATACCCGCTCGGCAAGGAGGAAATGGCGGAATCCATCACGAGTGGGGTGATTGGCGGTGTCGAATATTTAATTGTCGGTACTGGCTATGTATCGATTGAAACAGAGGAATATACGAGCGGACGAATTTTGGTGTTCGACATTCTGCCGTCAAAGAAGTTATCGCTTGTTCTGCAGCGTGAACTAAGCGGTGGTCTTTATGCGATAGAGGTGGTGGATGGGAAACTGGTTTGCGCCATTAACTCGATCGTAAGTTAACCTGAGTTTTTTTCTGTCGTTGACTATAGAACTGACAAGATCAGGTCCGTCTATGCTCTCTCACCATGGATCCTGCAACGGGTGTACTGGATTTCAAACAAGAATGTGGATTCCGTACCGCGACGATAGCTATATGCCTTTCAACATATAAAGACCTGGTTTTTGTCGGTGACTTGATAAAAAGTGTAACTCTTTTACGCATAGAGCGCGCTCCCGATACTTCTGGGAAAGACTATCAGTTCAAAGAAGTGGCACGTCACTATGAACCCATGTGGATGACCGACGTCGAGATGTTGAACGATCATATGATGATTGGTGGTGAGGCGGAAGGCAATCTGGTGATGTTTGAGTATGATTCTTCAGACACGGGGAAAAAAACGACGCGCGACGATGAGCCGCCTCTATTAGAGGTCTATTCAAGAATGCAGATTGGTCAGGTCGTCAATCGTATCCGACGAAGTATGTTGACTTCTTTTACTAATGATCGTTGTGTTTGCGTATTCTGACTGTTCATTACTTAGTCCGCCCAGAGCCAGTTTCCTCAGTTGAGCACCCAATTATTACCCCCGAAGCATATTTTGCAACGGTATGTTCCGATAATTTCATTTTTAGATGTCGGTTCTTTGCTAATTATATCGAAATTAATAGCGCGAGGGTGGAATTTATCTCTTTGCGCGAATCTCTCCCGACCAGGTTAACACTCTGGTCAGTTTGCAGGAAAACCTGTCAGCTTACATCAAGTCTCCTGGTAATCTCAGCCTAGTTGAATTCCGTCGGTTTAGAAATCAGAGATATAACCCCGGTGAGCTTCAACGTTTTGTTGACGGCGACTACATCGAGCAGTTCTTAGAGCTTGATGATGATGCGAAGGAAGCGATAGTTAAAGGTGGATTCCGAGGTTGTGTGGATTTGCAGTATAGCGCGGCGCAGATGACGGCTATGGTTGAGGAAATTAAGAGACTGCATTGATAGAGGAGAAGGATGCAGTCTGTACGGCTCTAGGGCGTTCGAAGTTTTATTTATAATTTAAGTTCTTTTGCCATATAAACAGAAAATATGTACAATTGTAGAGTGCTGCTGATTTGTCTCGTCCTTTTTATTCAGACGTAGATTTAGAGTCAGCACCATCTGCGGAAGGTCGAACGTAGTTGCCATTGGCGTCCTTGACCAGCTCCTTCGACTTTACCAAATCCTCAAACATATCCTGCGGGAGCCATCCCTTAGTAGAATAGAACGGCGTCTGATGAACAGTCTTGTCCCATTCACCGGCAATTATCTGGTGCTTCTCGATATCATCCTCCGTGAAGACTCCCTTTTGATCAAGATCCTTCAGCTCGACGGGTTTGGACTGCTGCAACTTGATCAGGCTATCTCTGAGATCGACGATTTCCAGCGGGTGGTACTTGTAGTCCGAAGCAGTCGCGATTTTGTAAGGCTCTCTCAAGGTCTTGGCATGAGGAGAGAAGGCGTTGATGAGAGTGGGAAAGTGGTGCTTGATCAGAAACTCGAACGAGTACTGGTTTGCCGTTGCTGCAATCATATAGTCGATCTGCTGCTTTTGTTGATCGGGAAGCAGATCGTACTGATCGACCTCCTCCGGCTTGTAGATCTTGTAGCCTGTGTAGTTGATGAACTTTGGCGCACCGTGGAGGAAATAGGGCTTGATGCTTGCTCCCTCCCAGTCAAGAAGATAAGGGTCTGTGTAAGCCTTGTTGGTTCCAGGAATCGTGAAGGGGGTGGTCGCATCGCCCTTGGCCTCTGCGATCTTGACGAGGATGTTGGTGGGGTCCATGTCAGGGTGGTAGAGTCGCGGTGATAAAAGGTCCGAGTCTGCGGGAACGTCGGGGATCAGACGAGGTGCGACATAGGCGTACTTTTCATAGGTATCGAGCCACGTCGGCAGAAAGAGACCGAGCTCAGAAGTGGCCACCATGGGATCGGATAGTAAGACGCGGTATGCGGTTATATGAGCTTTGGCGACGGCTACTAGGTAATCGTGAGGGTCGTACCATGGACCACGGTCGGTGGATCCCTCGTGGTCGATACCGTTCTGCCAAAAGCTGCTTTCGACTGACGGACCGAGTCTCCAGCGGTCGACGAGCTCTTTGTCCTCTTCGCCCTCGTAAGGCAACTTGTCTTGTAACTTTGCATCGACGTTCTCGGTGAAGTATAAGCTTCCGAATCCATTGAATCGAGTGGCGAGGATACCTTCGAGGAGATTGACGACAACTCCCAATGCCGGGGCACGATCGGCGATACTACCCTGGATCGGGTGCCATTTTGACATCAGATTCGTTGCCGATACGTATTCCATCATCATGTATTCTCTTCTGATCGGGTTGTCAGCGGTCGGCGACCAAGAGACAACCTTTGGAATGCGCATGTCCCATTTCTTCCGCATGAAGTCCATCGTCGCAACTTCTGATTGCATACGTGCCCTTCTCGCTTCCCAGCTCAAATCGAGAGGATAAGGAATCCTCAGGATATACTGCGACTGGTCGTCCATCTGAACCAGGTAGATGCGGTGATGCTTGCCTTCACTCAGACTAGCAACCGATTTCACTTGCGCAGGTGCGACCGTATCCTTCTCGTTCCGGAACTGGCGGACGACGTCATTGATGCCTTCGACCGAAAAGGGAGTATACCGTTTCTCTTTCTCCTGCTTGTCGTTCTTCAACCAACTTCCCCACGTGTAGCTGAAGAAATCCTCGCGCTCTTTCTCGGACGCACTGTTGATCTCGACGAAGCTATCGTCGTTCTTTGTGGCCTGCTTGGCTTGCGAGCGGGTTGTTGCGAAGGAGCGGTTGGCTTGCAGCTGGCGAAGCCAGGTACGGCGGGAGTAGCGTGCTAATCGGAGCATGTTTAACAAATGACTGTAGCTGTATATACTATAATAATACTATTATGTACAGTAAACGGTGATTGTATACACGGTCGCTACTTGAATGTCGTTGTCACTGAAGCAAGTCGATGTGGAGTTTGAAAATTGTTTTTTTTTGTTTATAGAACTAATTGAGTTTGAGCTCTCCGCGCTGTGTTCCGATAATTCACTTTACGCTGAGCCTACAGTAATACTACCCATTTTTTATCCTGAAACAGCAGATTATTTACGAAAGTAATCTATATACGCGTACTGGAAATATTCGTTCTTTTATTTTATATTCAGAAAACTAGTCATACCACATTTTGATCAACTCCTCGCTAACTCCGTTGGAGGTCAATACACCGATATCCGTGATTAGCGCAGTAATCAGATTATCGCTCGTGAAATCGAGCAACGGACTGTTGTGCAAAACCTCATCGTAGTCTTCGTCCGGTAAGTCTGGGTCGGTAGAGAACGTTGTGGAGGCTGGGTTGTCGTCGGGGATGTCGAATGGGGATAGAGGGAATAGACGGACGAATTTGTGACTTTTGATAATCATTGTTAGTCGTTATTGTCAGTAAAAAATAACACTCTCTCGATAACTTACCTCTCGACGACTACATAGACTGGCTTATTGGCATCCTTAGCAAGAACGGCAATCTGATAGGTTCCGATCTATACCACCGAGTCAGTATGTAGAAAACAATGTAAGTAGATGCAAAACAGGTTACATACTCTATTTATTATACCACCACTCTCAGCTACACCTTCAGCACCGACAAAGACCTTGTCGACTTTCTGAATGACGTAGCCGACCGCACCGTCGGCAATCACTCGAACAGGGATTCCGTGTTCGCGTAGTGTTTTCGCAGTGACGCGTCCTTCGCCCGTAGGTCTCGATTCGGTGACGAAAACGCTGAATCTGACGTGGCGGCGAGCGGCTAGGAGCAGTAGTTCTGTCACCGCGCGAGAGTGAGAGTGGATGAGAATTGTCTGTGAGGTTTTGTCTTGTTAGCTGGGCAGTCTGGAAAAGCGAAGAAGAGTGAGTAGTGTTTGTAAAACATACGTCATCGTCTCTGATAAACGACAGGCCGAGTTCGGCAATCTTGAATCTCGACTCCTTCGCTCTTTTTAAAAACAAGCCACCATTCGTAACCAAGTGCTGCTTGCACGCTTCCCAATCCTAGGTAAACAGAAAGAGATGTTAGAGGGGTCTCGAGATATCCCATCAGTTGCTCGGTTTTGTCCACTTACACCGTATTCCTGGATATTTCTCAGCACGAAACGTTGAAACATATCACATCCCGCGGATAAACTGATTGAGTTTTTGACACCGCCTTTCAGCTCTTGTACTGCCTTTGCTAGTATATCGATTAATTCTGACGCAGTAGACACTAGACCGCCCGTCGGTTAGTTTCGTGTCTCAATAGAAGTCATTTAGACATGGCTATCCGAGACTAACGGGGATACAACGTGAAATAGAAGACATACAGCTTGTTTTGCTTAGCAGAACGACCAGCGCTTCGATAGCAGCGACTGGCATAGTCATGGCCGGATCATCTTTCAGAAATTTGCGATACGTCGCAACGATGTCGAATGACTCGATGAAGGCTGACATACTGGCACAACCAAGTCTATGTTCCAACGGTTTGTTAGTATCAATAGACCGTAGTCTACTTGTAGTAGGATGATCGGGTTACTACTAACTTCTCGTCCGTGTCTGTGAAGCGAAAGATGATTGATTTACAAAACGTAGTGTCCCGTCGAGAGATCTTTTGCACAGAAGTCATCGACGCCGCACAGGATTATATATGAACCACCGCTCTACGGCTACTTCATTTCTCTACCACTATATCTTACAAGCTGTCCAAATAGAAGAATCAATAAAAGACCCTTTTTAAAGATCAGTTCAATAAACAAAATAAAAATTAGTTCAATAAACAAAATAAAAATTAGGCAAAAAAATAAAAAAATTCGAGCACTCCACACGGGACTCGAACCCGCAGTCTTCCGCTTGACAACGTCCAGTCACAAAATTCTTTTTATCGAATCTTAGTTTAGGAGGCGGACGCCTTACCATTAGGCCAATGGAGCTTAATCAAACTAAAAAATTAATCTTGACATCTATTATCTGCGGTGGGAAAGAAATATTATGTAGGGTTTTATGGTCTGTCTTGTCGAATATGTTCGTATAATGCTGTATTATATCTTGATTATGGTCTGCAGTAGGGGGGAAAAGATATGGAAAAGGTATACTTATACTGTGAAATGGCAATGAATGCGTTATAGTTTATATTCATAGTGTCTAGGATACAGCAAAGCAGCGACGGTTTTATCACGAATATCTTTAGGGTTTCCATCTTAAATACAGCCCAAAATTAAAAGAACATTATATATATACAATACTCCATTGCCAAACGTGCAATCAATGAAACAAATAATGCATTATATTTAGAATGTGTTATCATCCTCAACTTCCGCCTTTGGTTTCTTCACACCGGAACCGCACAGGCTGTAGCAGTCGAGTAGATTATGCGCACGAACGTGTAGCACACCGCTTTCGGAGTCTCTGATGCCGAAGTGGATCATGATGACGTCGTCGAGCCAGCCGTGGTAGTAGTCGTTGACTAGCTTGTTCTTTTTTAGAGCGGGAAGACCGTAGACCTTATCGTAGTTACTGACGAGTTCGAGGTCTTTGCGAATGGCCTCGTCGTCAAGTTGTAGGAGATCTCTCTTTCGAACTTGATTCCAGTCGTTGGGTGAGGTTCCTGGAGTGGCGGATGAGGCTTGAGGAACAGGTGGTAGAACTGGAGACGGATTGATAGGTTCGTCAAAGCCATCGGAATCGGGCTTTGTAATCGGCGCAGCTTCAGAGCCACCCACGTTGGACGTAGCGGGAGCACCGAAATCGCCGTCCTCTAAAGGAGTAGAAATATCTTTTCTAGTGTTCTCAGTCGCGTCAATTTCTTCATCCTCCAAAACACTCCAGATGTCACTTCCTCCGTAAAGATGTTCTTCCCATGGACCGCGTTTCGGCATGTTGCGATGATCCCACGACAGCGAGACGGTGAAGAGCATCATCTTCTCATCTGAACCAACATAGATCAAGTTGTTCGTGCGACCGACAACTTCGAAAGGAGCAGTTATGTTCATCATGACCACGAACCGGCGGTAAAACACCTCGAGGTTGTACTGGTACTTGACGTGGAAGATCTCGATGTTGACTGTGTTGTGGATTGTGGGGATGCACGGGAAATCGCAGAGAGTGACGCGTAGAGAGTTTGTCGCTTGATGGATCTTGCTCTTGAAGTCTTGCGAATCGGTGACGCTGGTGTCGAGTAGATCCTGAAGGCATCCAGGAGTGCTGGTGTCTGTTAAAGCGTTTTTCCTTTCTTCAGGAGTGGGGGCGCCGTTGAAGAGTCCTTCGATTGACGTCAATGACCGGTTCATAAAAGAGCGGTGGACATAAGGCACGTCGTTTTCATCAAACATCAAGAACCAATTCTTCTGCAGAGAATCGTCATTGTCGCGTGGGAGCTCGGTGGGTTTCGAGAATCGGATCGGGACGTGCGTGATGTTCAATTTCGGGCCGAGTTCGGGAGCAAAAATGCGTATGTCGGTGATAAACTGAGACCAGCAGCTGCTTCTACCGTGAGCGCCAACGATCATCAGCGGCTCACCAATGGGAGAGAAAATCAGACGAGGATCCATGGCGCCAACGTTCATCTCCAGGACCGCATTGACGCCAGTGCAGGAGCCCTTGGGAGGATCCCAGTTGGGGAACTCGAAAGTGACGGGTTTGTTACTGCATTGCAGGATCTGACGCTCGACGCTTTGTGTTTTGCCCCAGTTCATGTCGCAGTAGGTCATGTAATGTCTCTTTTCATTGTTCTTTGTGAGGACCTCTTCGGTCAGGACAAAGTAGGGATCTTTCGAGCCAGGAGGGTAAGGTAGAACGGTAGGGTTGTAGTTCTTGGGGGCATCGAGATCGTGGGAGGGGAACAATATGCGCGCGAGGGTGCCCTCGGTGCCGGATTCTGAGGAGACAATGGTGGCGGCGTCGAACGCGTGCTTGGGATTTGAGCAGTACTGGAGATGGCGCAGGGGCAGAGGGTCCGCTTGTAGCAGTTTGCTCTCCTCGTACTGCTTGATGGTTGCAGTGCGTAAAAAGTCCGGGTTGTTTGAGTCGATACCGACGTCGTCCGGGATGTGGGGAGGGGAATTGGCCCCACTAAGGCGAAGGGGAATAATGGTGCCATATTCTGAAGAACGCGAGGAAAGCAGGACGGAGATGGTGAGAATGACAAAACCGAAGCCAGCGATCAGGAACAATGCACGAAGCATTGTCTGGAGGTGTGGCGAGGCCATTTGTGGAGAGGAGAGTGAGCTGAGAAGAGAGCAGTCTTCAGATATAGCCGCAAGGAAGGAGTCAAGGGCGATGAGCTGGGACAAGATCTCTTGACAGGATTTCGGGCTTGGAAGCCTGCGCGCACGTCAACAAAGTTTGCGCTACTACCTGTTTGGGCCGAAACCGTTTGGCGGGAGTTTTCTTGGAAGCGGATATTAGAGTTGAGCGTAGAAATAAGAGTGTGGAAGTGGGATTGAAAGGCTTGAAATGGGCGGGTTTGCTTCTGTTGACTGGCTGTTGGCTGATATGGGAGCAGGAGGAGATGGTACAGGGACGAGTTGTATATACGGACGTACATGTATCTGGTTGATATGAGAGGCTTAATATGTACTTCAATCGTTCTTCTCTACGATCTGGTTTAAAGTGACATTGCAGTAGATCCGTAATGAAGCAGAGAAGATCTGCTGCGCGGTTGTGCAGCTGGACATGCTGGCCGTGGGTGGGCTGGCTGGTCGAGGTCGAGGTACGTGAGACGACTTGCGTATGCAGTCGAGATGAAACCAAGAGGCGTTGAAAAGCAATAGTTATCGACCTTGAATCCTCAGCCTTGTCTGTGCTTTATTATTCTCATATTCTTGGCCTGATTTAATAAGAGAACGATCGACTTATAAGACATCACGTCGTGAACTGGGCAGTGGAAGAGACATGGGGAGCCAATAATGGCAAAGGTTTGACTTTAGTCGCATTTGGGTCCGGCTAAAACTGTATTACACGAAAAACGTCATAGACTAATAGGCGTCCGGCCGGTATGATATTAGGCTGGCTGTTTACAATACTGTAATCTATTATTATAGACCTAAATAAAGGTATAGAAAGTAGTATAAAGATGCTATAACTGCTTCGGCAAAGATAAGGAGGGCGAGAGAGCCATGCAAGACATCATCGGGTAAGGGTTCTGTCAATCCGAAAGAGGAAATACAAGGAGAGCTTTTTGGGCTGCTTCGAGGCAGATAAAACTGGGACAAATTAGCCGGCGAGAGTCAGTGGATTTTTGCGGGCAAAATATCGGTAAGATTCCAGGCTGCAAAATGGCTGCAAACTTCTTCTGTTGCGTTGTAATTAGTACTGAGCGGCAGCGCATAGTTGTCGATGTGGGGCATACTCACTGCGCAGTCGTTGCTGCCCACCATACCAAAAACATATCTCCTCGCAGCTAGCAACGGTTTGAGTGCAATGCACGATAGCTCACACTGTCATAAGAAGAGACAGCTATTCCCACATTCGATCTTCTTCCTTTGCGTCTTTTGGTCGCTGCCGGTGGCTTGGCGGTTGCCAAATTGTGTGCGCGACTAAGCGAGAGGAGAGCCATTATATACGTCTCGGGAGAGGATGAGTAAGCCATAACGCAGATCAACGATGGATTTATAGAACATATCAATAAATAGATTTGCAGATACAAACACAGTCACAGTCTATTTATCTGCCACTTTACAAAAAGCTGCTATCAAAAGCAATAACGATTAGAAGAACGAGCAGGAGAGAACTAGGTTAGGGTTGCTAACTACGGATCGAGCAAGCAAAGCAAGGTTTAAAGCCCCACTGCGCGATTCTTTCCTACACGGCGCATTCTTCTTCCTCCTCCACCCCGTCTGCTGTTCTGCATCTTCTGCCATCTTTTGATCGCCGTATTCTCTTCTGAAGCATCTGGTTCTCTTTTGTAATCTGAGATATCTTGCTGCTGTCTGAATCTCACCTCTTTTGCGGAATCTACCTTTGGCATATAACCCTTTCGCTCCATCTGATTAGCTGTATGTCCGCATCTTGACCCTTCTATCTCACTCCTCATTACTCCTTATTGACAGACCAGCAGTTGCTACTATCTTGCCGCGCTCTTAACCAACACTCAGAATGTCAAAGGTGAGAGTCTTCCTTGATTTACTCTATTCTCTCTCGATTGCTGTCGGCTCGGCATATATCTGTCAGACAAAGGAACCAAACAGATAATCCACATCTTGATAATTTATGCCTCCGAATGATCGCTCTCAGATTACTGTAATACCTTGATAATGACTGTGATCTAACATTTTTCATCATTTTTACCCATCTAGTCACAATTTCTGCAAGAATATAAGCTCGTTGTCGTCGGCGGTGGTGGTGTGGGAAAATCGGCCCTGACTATCCAGCTGATCCAGAGTCATTTCGTCGATGAGTACGATCCAACGATTGAAGGTGCGTTTTTTAACCATGACATACATCCGTCTGATTAGCTGATCTCTAACTGTGATTAATAGATTCCTACCGTAAGCAGTGCGGAATCGATGGTGAAGTTGCTCTTCTGGATGTTCTCGATACAGCCGGTCAAGAAGAGTACTCGGCCATGCGCGAACAATACATGCGTGCCGGTCAGGGATTTCTGCTTGTCTACTCCATAACTTCCCGGTCGTCGTTTGAAGAGATTACCTCGTTCCAGCAGCAGATTCTGAGAGTCAAGGATAAGGACTACTTTCCCATCATAGTCGTTGGAAACAAGTGCGATCTCGAGACCGAACGGCAAGTATCACAGCAAGGTATGCATTCCTATATAGTCTTTACTCACGATTCTCCACTCACTCACATCATACTCCAGAGGGCAAACAATTAGCAAAGCAGTTCCAGTGCGGTTTCATCGAGACCTCAGCCAAGCAGCGCATAAACGTTGACGAAGCTTTCTACAACCTTGTCCGCGAAATCAGACGATATAACCGAGAACAGAACGCCGGTAGTCCAAGTCCTGCGGCTCCTGGTGCGAACGGCGCTGCCGCTCGTCAATCCACGAGTGCCGCTGCCGAACGACGGAACAGCAGCGGTGGGTGCTGCGTTCTTATGTGAGGTTTTCTGTACTTTTGGATAGGGTTTTGTTTTGTTTGTCTGTCTGTCTGCTAGCGGATAGTCGTTCGCTTTGTTCATCTTATTTTTAATTTTTGGGCGTAAGTTAATATCTCTCAATTATCTCTGGTTGGCATTCTACTGTCGATGTCGACCTACGTGATGTACCGTGTGCATCCCATATGTGTTTTGTCTAAAGATGACTTGTTGTCTCTTCTTTGTTCTGGCATCTTAGTGTAATAGCGACTTTCTGCCGTTGTCAAAAAATGTTTTGGATTTCTAGTACTCTACTTCTTTTGGTTTCCTTTTGACGGTCCTAATAGTCTGTGAGCAGGTGTTGATAAGTTTTCATATTCTTTTATTTTGCAAAACTGAGTTGTTACTCGCTAGCTTTAATAGTTGGCCATCTCTCTTTTTTTTTCTCGTCTTCTTCTGTTTGTTTCTATTCTTTACACCAAAAAGCCAGAAAATTGCTTTGATCATCAACCATTGAGCAAGAACCAATCATTTGTGTAGACATAAGACTGGCCGAGGAGGAACAGCCATTAAAATGACGTAACGGACGAGGCTGGTGAGTGTGGCTTGCGGCTACTCTGCTCTCACTTCCAACTTATGCTGGAACCACCAACCTGCTTGAAGTTCACGGAATCAGCGGGTAGAGAGTACTTCATATTTCACAGCAGAGAGAGAGATAATTGCTATTGAAAGAATATCATCTCTGCAAAGTTTACCATGTCTCAATCCTCTGATCTCTACAACGTCCCTCCTCGTCGGAACCCGGGTCCAAAGCCGGGCGAGAAAGAGAAGAAAGCCGAGCACCCACAGCCTCTTGACAATCCAGATGCGCTCTCGATACTTAATGCGAAGCGTTATTCCGACGTGTTTTGGGCGGCGGATGATAAATTGTCAAAGAGGGATAGGAGGGATATTCTCACGGAACTGAATCGATGCAGCGCATATCAGATTTTGGGATCGACTATTGGTGGGGTGCTGATGTGTGTCGGAGGTATGGTTGTTTTCTTGTTTTCTGGATGGTCAATTCACGGTGGGATGGAGTTGATGAAAAGAGTGAGCGTGAGGTTATTGACCGGGCGATTGTGGTATAGGATACCAGATTTTCAAACGAAATGCGCCAGGTGTGATGCGTTCAATGACAGCGTTCTCTACCTTATTCGGAGCGTCCTACGGCGCCGGTGTACGCAGTCATCCTCTTTATAAGTCTTCTTAACCTTACTCTAACTAATTGCGAATCTAGGTCGGCGCAAACATCGCCATCGTGGAAGCAAGACGCGACTTTGAGAAACGGAAAGAGTGCGCGGAAATCATGACCCTGATAGCCCTGCGCCCGACATTCGGTCTGTGGAGAAACTACTACGGCGACGGGAACCCGCCCAAGAACGTGCTCAGCGCGTGGTGGACGGAGCGGAACAACAACAAAGGCGGGCAGAACGTGTACTATGGCGACTTTGACACCGAAGTTCCGTACGGCGGCGAGATCGTGCTGCCGTTTGGAGATGGCGAGGGAAAGAGCTCGGTTGACGATGAAGAGCGGAAGCGGCCGTTCGGAGGGGTGGCGGATGTAGAGCCCACGGCGCCGTCGTCATGGGACCTTGCTGTTGCGCGACGGAAGGCCGAGAGAGAGGGGACTATTTACGAAAGCGAGCCGCCGCGGTACGAGCGGAGGAAGAGCAAGGCGGGCAAGAAGAAGGATGAGTTCTTTGAGACAGAGGAGGAGTTTAGAGAGGAGACGAGGTTTGAGACCGAGGGACAGGAGATTGGGGAGCCGGCTGATGACTTTTCTGCTAGTGAGAAGAGGTTTTCACAGTCTAGATATGATTAGCGGCCGCGAGCAGCCATTCTGATTAATCTGTCTATATCATTATTATTTATTTCTTTTGTGTTTATAAATTTTGATCCAAGCATAACCTAGTAATCCAAAGACTGAGTCGTATTTTTCTCGGCACCTTCATCAATGATGACCGGAATCCCCCACTTTTCGATCCGCAACCCGTTCTTGCCGACCTTGAACGCGTACTCTGTTTTCCTCACCACCATCGCGCCGCGGTCGCTCACGATCGGGACTTTGAGGATATCTACAAACCCTTGGAAGCTTCCCTGTTTGTCGTCTGCGTCTTTGGTAGAGGTCTTTGGTGGACCACTCGTTTTTGAGAGGGAGGGGGTAGGGATTAACCGTATTACGCCGTCGACGAGGGTCTCGATCCAGGGAAGTAAGACGGCGTTGCCTTCATCTCCAAGCTCATTGACGTCTTGTAGCGAGCTATCGAATAGGCTTGTAGACAGTGTGATGAGAGCCGACATTCTATGCTCGTTCGCGCGCAGTATGCTGCGGAGAGAGCTCAAGAACTTGAGCAGCTTGGGCGGGTCGAAGCAGTTCTCGACGTCGGAGTAGACGGTCGGATTGAGGAATGATGGGATGATCAGTCTGATTGTCTGCAGGGGCTGCTGATGCTGCTGTTGGTAGGTTGATCTGCTGTCGGCGAGCAAATCTGTGAGACGAGCGAGAATCGCGTCGTAGGTATCCGTAGGTTGGACGGCGATGTATTTCAGTGTAGATGGAGGATGCAGAGCTCGAGCGGTGATGTTGAACGGCGTGCAGTATTCTTCGTCTTCAGCTGCTGCTTCTGGGTTGTCTGTTGCCGCTTTGCTATTGGGGTCGTTTAGTTTGTATCGCCATGCAATCTTCAACTCTTGTTTCTTTGAATCCGCGTCACCGCCGCTGCCGCTGCTGCTGCTGCTAGCTTTCCTCGACCCCCGCTTCGGCTCCGCCTTCGCAGGCAACTCAGCACCCCATCTCCCCTCCTCCACACCAACCACTATCACAGTATCGGAATTACACACTCCCTGCGCGGCATAGCACCTTGCAGCCACGCTCGCGAAATCAGTCGCCGCAGACTCTTCAAGCAAAAGACTTGTCCCGAGCGGCTGGCCCCCGTGCAGGAGCAGCTTGTCTAGTGTCGAGGTGCCGGTCGAGTGGATTGTGTGAGATGAGAAGAAAGGAGAAGGGCGGCGTGCGGGCGAGGATGGTGGAGCTGTAGCTGGTGATGGGTGGGAGGTTGTGGTGGATGATGGGGTGGGTCGAGGACGGCGAAGGGTCGTGGAGGGAGTGACGATTGGAGGCGGATGCCTGGCCGAGGACAAGATCGGCTCGTTCCGCTTTCTGAACGACATCTTTCCTTCTGCTCAACGAGCCACTGATCTCTGCTTTGTTATTGCTGTCAAAGGCACCGAATCAATCAAATCTACTTTTGATGCCAAAACCATGAAAATCTTGAGTTGGAGGACGTCAGCGGGTTAGGTTTTTTTAGCCATTTACACTCATGTCCAACTAATCCTACGTGTAAATGGGACGTTGAACTGAAGGTAGATGATGGAAATGGAAAAGATAAATGTACATTAGAGAAGAGGATAGAGTAATAAAACAAAAGTGGGAAAAAACAAAAAGTAAAATCAAAATCGTAGCAGAAGAGAGAAAAGGAGAAAACGCTATAACACCGACAATTCATAATGTACCGTTCATATCAAAATGACAAAACAAAAAGACAAAAGACAAAAGACGACAAAATGCTCGTTCCAGACAGAATAATACAAGAAAGATAATCAAACAACACAAAACAGCCTCAGCGGATGGAAGAATCACACAGCAAGACCGTTGCCGCCCGGACACCACCTATAAGAACCCACGATCTCTCTCCGTCTTCGCCGACCTTCTTCTCTGATTTCAGAATTATCAGCATGACCATCTAGCGGCTTCACCATGCCCACCAACGCACCGCGCATGACGCGCCTAAAGTTGCGCTGATACTCGGTGTTTAGCGTGACGATGCAGACCTCGTGGGCGCGCACAACTGTCTCGCAGGCCTCGCGCACTTCTTCGCTGACTTCGGACTCGAGCTTGTCGACGAGCATTAGCCAGATGAAACTTCCGTGCAGGAGGTAGACGCCGAAAAAGAAGGGCATAAACACCAGTTCGGGATCGTGGCGGAGGACGGATTTGACGGCGTCGGCGGAGCGGAGCGCGTGTGAGACGCAGGTCATAAATTCTGTGGTCGAAAGAAGCGTATCAGGCGCGTTTAGGAGATCAATCGGATCCCAGTATCCTGCAAGCAGAATGCGAAGGACGTAGGACAAGTGAGTCGCGTAATACCTCCACACGTTATTCAGGCCTGGCTCGTCGGGAGTTGCGTTCAGACTGTGCTCGTATTGGTCGAGAGACTCGCCGAGGTGCTTCCGTATTTCACCGGCTGCGGGTCCGAGGTGGAAAGTAGGGTGCTGCTCTAGGTGATGTACTTCGACAATGCCACCAAGAATCGCCATTAACGGCAAGAAGAATCCAAAAATACTTGTGCCCGTAACGACATAAGATACACCCTTGCGCAGACTTACGTCCGGAACCAGCTCAGGCGGTGTCAGCGGACTGTCAGAGTTCATAGACATCCACTCTTCCTCTGTCGCCAGAGGCTGATAAAGGCTCATACACTGCGCATCAAGAAGCGCGAGCGGTCGGTTGTAGCACAGTCCCAAGTGTCGATCGACCATATAAAGAAGCCACCAGGTACGACGCATTTCTTCGCGCGTCTCTTCGTCGAGATCAGGGTGCTCGCTATTAAGCTTGAGTTCCTTCGCTAGCGCCCATCCTGCATTCCACCAGCGCAAACTCGAGCCCTTGAACTCCGAAGCAGATGTGACTGTTCCCAAGTGAATGTACGTCATCACGTCGTCAAGGGTACCGTGCACTGTCGTATGCAGAAGCGGTCGTAAAGTCGAGACACAGAGATCGAGTAGCCGGTGGATGATATCTAGTCTCGCAGAAGGCGACGACGTCATGTGCGGGTTATCAGAGGTATATGCGGCCGACAGCAGAAGCGCGTACAAAAGCGAAGGCGAACAAGACCGAGGATGACCCTGAGCCAAGATCGATGACTTTCGCAGAATAGGAGCGAGGCAGTATATATTCCGTGAAAACGAACTGAAATAGTCTTCGAGCAAGTCACTCGGCAGAGAGTTCGGCATGAAGGTGAGTAGCTGCGCAAATACCTCATTCAGCACAGGATAGCGGGGCATTGCGGTCGGAGTAGGTGGTAGAGGCGTGAGCGGAATCGAACCGAGCGAGGAGCTGTGCGAGACGTACTCAGGAATATTTGGTTCAGGCGGCGATGCAAGTGTCAACCAGGCAGGGGTATCGCCACTAGCCACTTGTTTCTGCTGCTGATGATGATGACTATGATGCTGCTGCTGCTGAGAGTTGCTGTGACTACTACTTGCTGGAGATACCTGCTTCTGGACCGAGATCGAAGACCGAGTGGCGCCAGTTCCCGCCGGTGTTTGCACGTTAGGCGACGGTAGCGCGGTGTTTGCAGGCGGCATTGGCGCATTGGGGGACGGGGGACTACCTGGTGTTGCAGACGCAAGGAACGCTGCTAGACCATTGGGAGAGTCGGTGTATGCAGGTCCGTCATGGGCGCCGGAGTTCATGACCGTGTTCGGAGATGTGCCGTAGAGCATAAACTGATCTGTCGACGTATGATCTGTGCCGGTTCGAGCTGAATTGCGCTGCGAGTCATCTCCTGTCACTGTATCGAGACCACTGTCTAGCATTTCTTCGTCAATTAGGCGCTCGTCGGCGTGACTGTCGCCGTATTCTGCGGTTCGCTGTTGTTGCTGCTGCTGTTGTTGTTGGTGGTGGTGGTCGTTAAAGTGGCGCTGCTGCTGGCGTTGGTGCATACTACCATTCACAAGAACGGTTGCAGCTTCTGCAGCGGCGGCGGCTTCTGCAGCAGCCTGTTCCTGGAGATCGCGTTTGGAGATTTTACCGCGCTTTTTGCGTTGCCGGGCGTAGTCGCAGGGGTGGGAGTATTCTAGACACACACAACAGTCAGGAACAATAGTAAACAATTGCAAACAGCACAGAGGAATACTCACCAATGCAGCGAAGACAGGGCTGTTTGCCGTCGCATTTTGTCCGGAGCTGGTTACATTGATCGCAGGCTCTCGTGATTCTTCTCCGCACAGTTCCATCGGCGAGCACGGAGCGCCGTCTACGAGAAGCAGAGGAGCCGTTGGACGACAAGGCTTGAGAGGTCTCTGCTACGCTTCGTGCGTCGTCGGAAAGAACCTGTTCCTCGTCTTTTGGGTTGTAGAGCTCTTGGGGAAGTTGCTGGGGTGGCTGCTGGTGGGGAGGCGGAGGGTGTGGGGGTGGCTGCTGTTGCTGCTGCTGCTGCTGCCCCTGCTGCTGCTGCTGAGAAGAAAAGAACACGAAAGTCGGAGCGACCGCGGAGGACATGTGTGGACGGAGGCCCTCAGATAGCGAAAGTGGTGAAGAAGAGCAGCAGATGGACGAGAGAAAGGAAGAGGATCAGACAAAGAAGCCTTCGCGCGATCATCAAATCGACATTTGGCGATGACTGCCGCGAAACCACTCAGTTGCCTAAAGTGGAGGGAGTGTGGGGTTTTGAAGTATATTATCACGTGATGCTGTATTAAACTGTTCTAGATCCAAGGGCATATACAAAAGAATTGAACGATAGAAATAAGAAACAAAAAATGAGAAATAAGAAGGAGAAAAGAAAGAAAGACCCAGTATTATCATATCTAGACCAAAAGCGCCAAACCATTTCAAAAAGAGAAGAAGCACACGACTAAAACACCCGTCCAACACCTTTACATACTCTGCACGTCTCATAGTCCCCACCGAGCATCTCTCCCAGGAAGTTTCCAAAACCAAGGTCATTCACATATCCTCTGCCCTTGCATGCTCCACAGAGAATACCGCCTAGACTGGGATCACCCGGCGCCACGACACGCGCAGGGCCACCGGTCGAGTAGACAGTAGGCGATGCAGGCGGGCCGTACCATGGATCGTAGGTGACGGGAGGAAGGTACTGGATGTTGAGATTCGGAGGAATGTGAGAGACGCCAAAGGACTCGAAGCATGTGCGGCAGGGATGCCCGTTCTTCAGCTTGTAGCCCGTGTTGTTGCATTTGTAGCAGTGGAACCCGCGAGGATACATCAGACGGCCGCCGGCAGCCGGGATGTAGTTGCTGTTGCTGCTACTGCTCGATCGTTGAGGGCGAGAGGCGGTAGGCGGTGGTGGTGGTCGGTTGATGCCGCTGGTTCCGTTGTGGTAGCCAGGCGTGGGCTTCGTCGTCGGCCGCGGCGGGCGAGGAGGAGCAGCATTCTGCGGTCGTGAGGCCGTCGACGGGTATGCAGTCGGAGTGCTGTTCGAAAGTCGACTGGCAGAGGTGCCAGGATAAGTAGAAGGCCTACTACTGCTCGGTCTGCCGCTGCTCGTCCTGGCGCTGTTGCTGCCGGATATCCGCGCGGCATTTGCGTGTGCGTTTGCGTTCACGTTCGCGTTCGTGTTCGTCGGTCTCGGAGGTCGCGGAGGTGCCTGCGGTTGTGCTGGTAATAGGCTTCCGGTGTAGTTTATCGGGAACGAGGTCTCTCCGTCCGGGGTGAGAGTGTACGGTGGAGGAGCTTCGGATGGGATGCCATTCGCGTCCACCGCCGGCGGAGGTCGAGGGCGCGATGCGGTCGTCATGGCTGTCGGTTGCTGCTGCTGCTGAGACTGAGAAGTGTTTTGATAGTCGACTGTCGACTGTTTTATTGCAGACAACTGCTTCTATCGAGTATCGCAGATATCTTGTAAGTCTCAGATATCAGAGACGAAGTTGCTTAACAGTGGAATGTGCCACAGAGAGCGAGCTGACGCCTCCCAGCCCCGATGACGTCAGAATCACGTGAATAGTCATTTCTTTAGGGTTCTGACGTCACTGTAATTACTAATATTTGTAGAATTATTACAAACATATATTTCAGACTATGTCTCTAGATGATATCGTCGTCTTCCCGCTCTTTGTCTTTATGCGCTCGGTCACGTAGTCTGCGCTCGCAACACACCCCTCAAGCAGAACCAGACCCTGCCACATCCAGCTGCCGGTGACCCAGACGTTGTGTCTGCCCTGGTGCTTGCGCATCTTTTCGATTGCCTGCACGAGCTCCGCAGATCTGACCACCCGCTCGAACCTGCTCTCCTTCACGATCTTCTCTGGCGCTATGCGGCCGCCAAAGTCTGCGCTCTCGGGCTGGTCTGGATAGCTGCACAGAGTCGTCGGGCTCGTGGTTTGGTATACCCCTGGGAAGAGAACGTGCGTGGCTTCCGCGCGGTCCGCCGTGCGGATCAGGTTCAGGTCGCGGATGTCCTTGGGGTTCATGTAGTCCAGCACGCGGCTATCGGTGTGCACCAGCACGCGCACGTACTCGGACTTTACGTCCTTGAAGATCTTCTCCAGCGGCGGGTGTAGTTCGCGCGCGACTGAGGGCGGCGTGGCGATTATGACGTGCACGAAATGATTGTAGTCCCGGTCGCCGGTGCGGATAGTCCAGGTCGAGCCTTCGGAGAGCATTGACTTCACTGCCATCCCGAGATGGATGTTGTCCGGGTTCAAACAAGCCGTCAGCGCGTCGACGGCCGATCTGCTGTTTTTAGAAAGTAGATAATGCGGTTTCATAAACGTCGTTCGTTTGTAGTCAATCACGTCCGCCGCGGGCGCATCCATGATCGTATCAACTGTGCAGGTAGACATTGCGCAAAACAAGGGAGTCATAAACCGATCCACAAACCACCGAGGAAAATGCCACCGCGCGACGTACTCGCGCAGCGTCTCGACGCCCGTGCCGATCATCACCTCGTCTTCGTCGCCGGTCTCCATCGAGCCGTAGATGTTTTCTTTTCGAAACAGGTTCCGGGATTTAAACCCACTTCCCCCACTGCGCTCGTTCAAGACATCGTCGGGGTCGGTCATGTACCAATACCTCGCGCGCCGGCTGTGGTCTAGTCTTGCCTCATTCTCAAACGTCAGACCGCCTTTTGGCCTCGAAAACGCCGCGACGAGCGTGAAATATATATACCAAAACAGCACGGCTACCAAGCTCGCATAATACGCAACCCGGCCTTTCTCAACCGGCCGCCCGCTTTTCTTAATCAACTGCTTCTGTCCGCCGTGCATGTAGTACGTCTCTGCGCCGCGCTCGCTCTTGACGTCGTTGGAAACTTCGGAGAACGAGTACGAAAACTTTGCGTTGTGGAATTGTAGGCCGAGCGAGCGGTAGAGCGCAATCACGCGTGTGTAGTAGCCGCCTGCGAATGAGCGCATGGGCACGTCGACTCGTCTTTCGACGCCATCGGAGTCGGTTACCGAGATGGAGGACGCGTCGAAGCCGATTACAGGGCTCTAGATAGCAGACATTAGCCACTTTCTCTTAATCTACCACCAACAAAAATCAATAAAGATTCACGCACCTCGTCAAACAGATGAACTTCAAACTCGACAGATCCAGAGTTCGAGGTAGCCAACCGATAGGCAGAGACAAGACCAGCGAGTCCGGTCCCGATGACTGCGACTTTGATGACAGTGCGCGCGGGGGTCGAGCCGCCAGAGGAGGAAATCGCTGTCGTGGACGAGGATATGCTTGACGTTCTGTCGGGCATGGAAAGAACTGTCTATAGAGAGAAGGAAGGAGCCTGGAGGGTCATGCAGGATAAGCCGTTATCGTACGGCAGCTGGGAGAATCAGCACAATGTACAATACAAACACACGATATACAGATACACACACAAGAACAAACAATGCAGACAAAAGAACACAGAAACCGAACTGCAGAGAGCAGTGAAGACAACGCGACCGCGGCTGAGGTTTTGAAGGTGGTTGGGAGGTGGTCCGATAAGAAGCTTCCTCTTTTGGCTTTCATAATTGCCTAATCCGGAAGTAAATCTACAGCCATTGTTATTCTTCTTATTGCAATTATATTAGTATTATTATATTATTTGTGCTAACGTTGCAAAGAGCCTCGAGTCTCAATAAAACCAACGCTAATCTGTCCTGATTCAAAACATCTAAGAATCACAAACAAAAGCCAGAGGAAAGATAAAAGGTAATCAAAAAAAATGAAGAAAAACAATAAACAATAAAACACAAGAACTATTTGATACAGTATTCTACAAAGACACAAGAAGGTCGAAAAGCAAAAAAAGAGAGAATGCAATAACTTCTTTTGTTGTGTCGTTTTTGTGTTTCTTCTTCTCGCTACCTTTCTTTCTCGTTCGTTTTTCTGGTCCGCTAAAGAAATAAAAATTTACAAAAGTGCAGGCTGAGCCTGCTGTTTTCTTCTTTTCCTCTTTTTTTGTGGTTAGTGGTGGTGTTGAGAGTAGAGCACTACTCTGACAGTCAAGTGAGCTGTTTAGATCTTCTTTGAGGAAGACTTCTTGGCAGCCTTGACAGGAGTAGAGGCAGCCTCAGCCTCCTTGCCGTTAGTAACGGACTTCTTCTCCGAGGCACCGGCAGCGGCAGCAGCAGCGGCAGCCTTGCGCTTAGCAGCGCTGCGGGCCTTGCCCTTGGCGTAGACGCGGATGTAGAAGGCAATGAAGAGGAAGAGGTAGGAGGTCAAGAGACCACAGCCGTAGATAGCAGCAAACTCCTCACCAGCGCACTCGCCGTAGTTGGGCATGTGGGGCCAGTAGGTGCTGGTGAAGTAGGTGTAGGAGGCAAAGTAGACAAAGCCGAGGTCGATGATGAACTGGATGATCTGGAGACGGGTGACCCACTCCTTCCACCAAACACGGATGCCGCAGGAGGAGAGGAAGTAGTAGAAGTACATGACGACATGGACGCCGAGGTTAAGTGTAATGACAACCCAGGAGACGGAAGTGTGGCCGACAATCTGGGAGTAGCAGAGGGCAGCGGTAGCGCCATGGTGGAAGCAGTGGAGGAAGGCTGCCTCGGTTAGTTTGGGGTGTACTGAGGGTAGGTAAGCAGCAATTGCGTCGGGGATACGTACTCAAGGGCTTCTTCTTGACGACGAGGAAGACGGTATCGATCAATTCAACCTAGAAAATCAATCAGACCCTGAACAAGGATATACGGCAGCATAAAATTGCAGATATGGCAGCAATGAGGAGGGGACAGGGTAAGGGATCCCGGATCACATGCGTACAAATTTGGTGAGGTAGTTGAGCTAAGACCGGCATGTTTGTTAGTTCACAAACTTTAGCAGAAAACGAAAAACAGTGCGCGCGCTTGCTCGAGAGAAGAAAGTGGAAGCAATGTAGAAGTAAAGAGAACATGTAAAGAGAGTAGAGGGAGTAAACAGAGTAAACAGAGAGAGAAGAGAAGAGAGAGGAGGTCGTAGGGTTGTGAGCCGAGCGCGAAAGAATCTTCGCGTCGCAAGAAAAACAAAACAAGCCCGGCACAATTCGGCAGAGAGCGTGAATTATGAGAAGGGGATTGAACAGAAAACGATGTAGAAGAAAAACAAACATAAAAACAAGATAAAAAAAGAAAACAGAAAAGAGCAAGCAGCGCGACTGTGAGATGTCAAAACAAAAGCGATGTGTAGGACTCACGTAGTAAAGGGTGACCATTGGCTGAGTCCAGGAGCCCGCGTTGCAGATAGCGTAAAACAGACCATGGCGGTAAATAATAGGAAACAACTGCTCGATGAAGAGCGTGAGAAGGAGCCAGGACACAAAGGTGAGCATGATGTTGTGGACGCGGAAGAGGAAGGTGAGCTTCCAGGGCGCGAAGGGTCTCATGAGCTCGCGGCCGCCGAGGATGATGACGTAGTAGGCCACAATGGTGGCAATCATGGGCGTGAGGGTCGAGAGAGGAAGCTCGTCCTGGACGAACTCGAAGGCGTCTGGGTTCCATTTGAGGACGCGGTTGCAGACGTCCGAGAAGACGGCCCAGACGTGGATGCCGAAGGGACGGTCGACGGACGGGGGCTGAGGCTCGAGGTAGTCCTTTGCAGCTTGGATGTAGGTGTCCATTGTGATGAAGATGAGAGGAGGAGGGAAAAGAGAGGAAGAGAAGAAGAGGAGGAGGAGTTGGAGACAAAGAAGAGCGCGGTGGAGGAGAAGAAGTTGCCGGCTTCGGCGGCTTTGCTCAGCCCGCTCAAAAACTCTAATTTCACGCGCACCTCCAAACTCACAACATCACCGGCTCTGCTCTGCTCTGCTGCTCCTCTCTTCTTCCTCATTTCTCCCTGTTCTGTACATAAACCACAATGAACTCCGTCCTGAACTGCTCGCACATGCTCAACACCCTCCGGATACCCCTCAGCCGGCCACACAGCCTCTCCGCCGTGCTCTCGGCCGCACGGTCCTTCTCCACCACACCCACCGCCAACAACTACCACTTCGACACGCTCAAGTTCATGCAAAAGCTCGAGGCGAATGGTTTCTCTCCCAAACAGTCCGAGGCAGTTTTGAATGCTCTCAGCGAGGTCATCACCGAATCCGTCGAGTCGCTCTCGACCACCCTCGTCCGCAAGGAAGTGCTATCACGGCAGGCGTATCAGCAGAAAGTTGACTTTGCCAAACTGCGCAGCGAGCTGCTCACTCTCGACAAGACGGACTCGACGCAGGTCAAGAACGAGCACGAGAGACTGATGAGCAGTATGGATAAGCTGCAGGTGCAGCTCAAAGAGGAGATCGCAAAGACGCAGGCGAACGTGCGCTTGGATCTGAATCTCGAGAAAGGCCGCATCAGGGAAGAAGGCGCGGTGCATGAGCTCAAGATCAAAGAGACAGACACGCGGATCGATACTGAGGTTGCGAATGTGAAGACGCAGCTGGAGCAAGTCAAGTTTCAGGTCATGCAGTGGCTCATCGGTGTCTGTACTGGATCATTTGCCTTGGTTCTGGCATACATTCGCATGCTTACATAGACATGACTCTTGAATACAAATATCTCCAAATATCAATTCTTACTACGCAAAGCCATACATATATTCGCATATTATATGTAAAGATATTATATTATAAACAAACCAGCTAAATCTACTTAAATACCAAAAGTCTCCTTGAGGATGCGCATGGTGTCATCGGGGCTGTTGACAGCATGGCCGATAGTTCTCGGGTCCTCGTAAATCTCGTAGTCGTTGCCACCCTTGAACGACTTGTCGCCAAAGAAGTGGATGGTGGTGTATCCCGCCGCCTCGACGTGCTGGAGGCAGTAGGTCTTGTCCCAGCCGGTGGGGAAGACGTCGAACGAGATCTGGCCACCGATGGAGTAGGTCAAGCCGTAGTCGGAGAACTCCTTCTTGAGCGCGTCCACAAAGTTGGCACGGACGTTGTGGGCCAGGTCGAACTTCTCGTACTCGAGGCGCTCGGGGTTGCTGTGGGTATTAGATTTTGTTGTTGGAAGGGTATGTGTGATAGAAAGGACTACTTACGAGGCGTTACGGCCAATGGGAGAGACATTGATCATTCCGTTGCGGAACTCAACAAAGGTACCACTAGAAAGAGATGGTTAATACAAAATGCATATGACTGCGGTATTATAGAGAAGTAGGGCATACCGGCGCTTGGGCAGATCAAGATCGGCAAGGTATCTGAGAATGAACTTGACGAGCTTGTTGTACTTCTCCTCACCGATCCAATTGATGAAGCTCTGGGACGCGAGCTTCTCGCCGAGCTTGTAGGCAGTCAAGCCGTTCTCGGAGAAGCAGTAGTCAAAGATGTCGAGCACGTTCTCGCCGAGCTGCTCCTGCTGCTTGACAAAGTCCGAGCCGCCGACGAAGCCGATGGCGGTCTTCTGGCGGAGCTTGGCAAGGAGCTCGAGCATCTCCGGGGAGACGGTCTAGAGGTGTAGGAGAGCGTTAGAGGGAGGTGAAATTGATGATGAAGAAAGAGCATAGAGAGGATCAAGGCGCATACCTGACGGGCCGGGGTGAGGGTGCCGTCGACGTCGAAGAGGACGATTGTGTTTTTGAGCTCGCGCTGGTCAAGAGGAGGGACAGACATGGTGAGTGTGGTTAATGAGTAGAGAGAAGATGGAAGGAAAGAAGGGAATCAGAGAAGGGAAGAGGAAGAGGAGGAGGAGAGGAAGTATCGAGGCTGCTGCAGCGACTGCGCTTAACTAAAAGCCTTTGCGGCGCTGGCTCGAGCGTTTTGCACACCGTGGCCTTGCTAAACGACGTTGAGGTGTTTATTACTGAATAGAATAGGATAGTGAATAAGATAGTGAGAAGAAGATATTCAAGAACAAGATAGCTGTGGTTGTTTATGTTCAATTGGTTTGTTTGTTGTAGAAGTAGTAGATGTACTTGTATTTCAGAAGCAAAGTGAGATTATTGCTAAACCAGTGATTTCTCTCATATCTTCAATATCCTCTGTATCCTCTACCCAATACAACTACCAAACAACTTCATAATTCCCTATTCACCTCTTCTTTTTCAATCAACATCAAACACACAGATATCCACTCATCAATACTCCTCTCTTTCCTCCTCCAAATCCTCCCCCCAACTATTACTCAAACCCTAATCCTCTCCCAGCTCCTCCAAAATTTTTCAAACTTCCAGCCCGAGCGACCAACAACCAACTTCATCAAACTCAACCGGTCCATATTCTCTCCACCATGGTTGCTGAAGTTATTGACGGGAACGCAATTGCCAAGTATGTATTCTTCTTATTCTACTCTTGCTTCTTTCTCTACTCTTTTATCGCCCGGTGGTCCGCAGTCCTCCTGTTCAGGGGTCGCTATCTACCGCTCTTTTCTTCCGACCGCTATCCAAGATAGCAGCAATCATCCACAAACCCACTCCACACACCTCAATTCCTATATCTCTCTCTAACATCATCTCCAGGGCAATTCGCGAGTCCATCAACGCCGAAATTGGCTCCATCCAGACCGTCAACCCGCTCTTCAAGCCTTCGCTTACCATCATCCAAGTTGGCGCCCGCCCCGACTCGAGCACCTATGTTCGCATGAAGCTCAAGGCTGCTGAGGAGGTACCTATTCTCACTATAACATTTTCTTCACTCTGCCTTCACATATATTAACAGAATCATTCCTAGGCCAACATTGTTTGCACCCTCCAGAACTTCCCCGAGGACATTACCGAGAGCCAGGTATGTTTCCCTCTACATCTCTACATCTCTCGACTGCACTAACACTCATCACAGCTCCTCTCTGAAATTGCGACCCTCAATGATGACACCTCAGTACACGGCATCCTCGTCCAACTCCCCGTCCCCGCCCATATCTCGGAGATTGCCGTCACCAACGCCGTCGCGCCCGAGAAAGACGTCGACGGATTCGGACCCCTCAACACCGGCGAGCTCGCCAAGCGGGGGGGCTCCCCTCTCTTTGTGCCCTGCACTCCCAAGGGTATCATGGTCCTGCTTGAGAAAGCTGGTGTTGAGCTTGCTGGCAAGCCCGTCGTCGTCCTCGGACGCAGCGACATCGTCGGCGCTCCCGTCGCCTCGCTCCTCCGCAACGCTGACGCGACCGTCACCGTGTGCCACTCGCACACCGAGAACATCGAGAAGTACCTCAAGGAGGCCGACGTCGTCGTCTCTGCCATAGGGAAGCCCCATTTCGTCAAGGGCGAATGGCTCAAGCCTGGTGCGGTCGTCATCGACGTCGGCACAAACTACATCCCCGACGCGACCAAGAAGTCTGGCCAACGTCTCGTCGGCGACGTCGACTACGAGTCCGCCGCTGCTGTGGCCTCAAAAATCACCCCCGTGCCCGGTGGAGTTGGTCCCATGACTGTCGCCATGCTTTTGCAGAACGTCGTCGATGCTGCTAAGCGCTACTACGCCGAGCAGGCCAAGCGCCACATCACTCCCCTGCCCATCAAGATCCTCGACAAGGTCCCCAGCGACTTTGAGATCTCGCGCAACCAAAAGCCCAAGAACATCCGCGTGCTCGCAAAGGAGATTGGCATCACCGAGAACGAGCTCGAGAACTACGGCGCCTACAAGGCCAAGATCCAGCTCTCGCTCCTCGACCGTCTCGCCCACCGCAAGAACGGAAAGTACGTCTTGGTCACCGGCATCACGCCCACTCCTCTCGGTGAGGGTAAGTCGACCACCACCGTCGGCCTCGTGCAGGCGCTCGGTGCGCACCTCGGCAAGATCGCGTTCGCAAACGTTCGCCAGCCGTCTATGGGCCCGACTTTCGGTATCAAGGGTGGTGCTGCCGGTGGTGGATACTCGCAGGTCATCCCTATGGACGAGTTTAACATGCATCTTACCGGTGACATCCACGCCATCGGTGCTGCTACCAACTTGCTCGCTGCCGCCATCGACACGCGCATGTTCCACGAGCGCGCGCAGAAGGATGGCCCGCTTTACAAGCGTCTCGTCCCGGCCAAGCGGGGGGTTCGCAAGTTCTCGCCCGTCATGCTCCGCCGTCTGAAGAAGCTCGGAATCGACAAGACCAACCCCGACGACCTCACGCCCGAGGAAATCTCCAAGTTTGCCCGTCTCGACATCGACCCCGCCACCATCACCTGGCGCCGCGTGGTCGACTGCAACGACCGTCATCTTCGTGGAATCACGATCGGTCAGGGTCCCGCTGAGAAGGGCCACACGCGCGAGACAGGATTCGATATCACTGTCGCGAGCGAGTGCATGGCCGTTCTCGCGCTCTCCAACTCGCTCACCGACATGCGCGAGCGTCTCGGCCGCATGGTTGTTGCCTCGTCCAAGTCTGGCGAGCCCATCACTTGCGACGATATCGGCGCCGGTGGCGCGCTCACCGCGCTCATGAAGGATGCCATCAAGCCCACTATGATGCAGACGCTCGAGGGAACCCCTGTCTTTGTGCACGCGGGCCCGTTCGCCAACATCTCGATTGGCGCGAACTCCGTCTTGGCCGACAAGATGGCCTTGAAGCTTGCCGGAACCGAGCCCGGCGAGGACGAGGCCGAGAAGGCCGGATACGTCGTTACCGAGGCTGGTTTCGATTTCACCATGGGTGGTGAGCGATTCTTCAACATCAAGTGCCGCTCGAGCGGGCTTGTTCCCGACGTTGTCGTCATCGTCGCGACTGTCCGTGCGCTCAAGCTCCACGGAGGCGGTCCTGATGTCACCCCCGGTGTTGCTCTTCCCGAGGTCTACCGCAAGGAGGACGTCGAGCTCCTTCGCAAGGGCTGCGCCAACCTCGGCAAGCACATCGCCAATGCCAAGCAGTACGGTCTGCCGGTCGTCGTCGCCATCAACAAGATGGAGACCGATACCGAGGCTGAGATCCAGTGCATCCGCGAGGAGGCCATCAAGGCTGGTGCCGACGACGCCATCCCGTCCAACCACTGGGCCGAGGGTGGCAAGGGCGCTGTCGAGCTTGCCGAGGGCGTCGTTGCCGCTGCGAACAAGACGGAGGGCAAGGACTTCAAGCTGCTGTACGATCTCGAGCAGTCCGTCGAGGACAAGCTCAACGCGATCGCGACCAAGATGTACGGCGCCGAGAAGGTCGAGCTCAGCGATCTTGCGCGCGAGAAGGTCGAGACCTACACGCGCCAGGGCTTCGGCAACCTGCCTATCTGCGTCGCCAAGACGCAGTACAGTCTGTCGCACGACGCCGCGCTCAAGGGCGTGCCTTCCGGATTCACTGTTCCTATCCGCGACGTGCGCGCGTCGGTCGGTGCGGGATACCTGTATGCTCTTGCGGCCGAGATCCAGACGATTCCTGGTCTGCCCACGCACTGCGGTTTCATGGACGTCGAGGTCACCGACGACGGCGAGATCGAGGGCTTGTTCTAAGCTGTCTTGTGTTGAGCGATGTGAGGTGGAAGCCCATTCAACTGTGACTTTCATGCTCGAAAAAAAAAGAGAAAATGAGCGGTGCTGTTTTGTACTCTGCTTGTGTTAAATATGTGCTCTTTGTTTTGAAAACTATAACTTGTTAATCTGAGGTCTTTCTTCATGTGTTTATATGATACTCTACTCTAGTCTACTACCATATTCTTTATTCTGTTTGCAAATCTGCTGTTTTTTTATTTTGAAAAAGTTGGGACACGCGATTTCATTCAACTGGCGCATTGGTCGATTCTATATATTTTCTTTTATTTTTCCCCTTTTATATATTATATTTTTAGTCGAATGAAATGCTTATGCAGATATCAGATATCAGATGGATTGAAGGCGTAGTTTAGAGAAGGAAAGAGATGTTGTGAACGATAATAATCCGAATTATTATGCGACTATAAACGACAAAGATTTTGAAACGACGATACAAAACATCAAAAGTACAACCCAAATTGCGCGTGAAAAAGGTACATTACATGAATACTAGCGATAACTTATGATAGAACGGTTTTTTATTTTCTATCTTTCTCCACTCTCTCCCGTATCAAATTTTGTTTAGCGCTTTCTAGTTCTCCGGGCGCATACGCTCGACGTCATACAAAAAGTCATAGTACGACTTGTCGAAATGATGCACGCGAACGTATCCGTCCTCACCACCAGAGGCAAAGCCAGTGCCGGCCGGGTGGACGACGATGTGGTTGAGAGGGCCAAAGTGACCCTTGAGACGGCCGATTTCGTCTTCAAAGATCTTGTGGTAGAATCTGGCTTCGAACTTTCCTTGTCGGCTTGTGGTGGTGGTCACGTCCTTTGCGTCCTGGCCACCGCCGAGGATGATGAAATCCTTCTTTGGGGTGATTGCGCCGGTGTTGAGGGGCGCGTCAGCGGTGTAGGTCTTCATGATCTTGAGGTTCTTGGTGTCGAGGATACGAGCGGTCTTGTCCTTGGATGTGGTGATGAAGTAGGTCATGTCGGGCGCGAACTGCAGGTCAGTGATTTCCTTGTCATGCACGGGCACGTTCTTGAGCAGCTCTCCGGTCTTGCCGTCGTACTGCGAGACCGAGCCGTCGGCGTGGCCGGCGATGATGTATTTGCTCAGATATGAGAAACCGGCTTTTGTGAACTTGTTTTCGGGCGAGGTGATTGTCAGGATCGGCTCCGTCGCCTGCTTGGCTTCCAAGTCGATGACGAACGGGTAGACGTGGATCGTTCCCTGGAAACCCATTCGCGCTTCGGTGACGACGAGCAGTCTGTCGGCGTCCTCGTTGAAGGTCGAGACCTTGACGGCGGTGTTGAACTCCCAGGTCTGCAGGCAGCGGCCGGTGCTGACTTCCCAGAGCTTGACGGTGTTGTCGGCAGCGCCGGTGACGAGAAGGGTGGAGGTCTAGGGTGGGTTGGTTAATATACATGCGCGGGTTCGGTCAGATGATGATTGAGGCATACCGGATCAACGTCGACATCCCAGAGGGCACCCTGGTGGCCCATGTAAGTTCCTAACCGTTCACCGTTGTGTGAGTAGTACACATTGACACTATAACGAGATATTGGTTAGTATCTGGAGACTGGGACTTGCTTGACAGGGGATGTCTCTTACATCTTGTCACGAGCGGTGGTGAACAGTAAATCGCCCTCTCTGTTGTATTTGAGCTGTAGTATGAGATTTGTTAGAGTTGTTCACAGAAGTAGATGGTCAATTATGCTCGTTTGAACAGAAACTGAGTTATTGTTCGAAGATATATCAATATAATGGCCGTACCTTGGTCAATGGACGCTCATGTCCTTTCCTATACACGATCACGAGTTAGCACACGCACTATCTACATCCCTGCCCGCCAGCAGCAGCCAAGTAATAGGAGATGCAACATACAGCAGAATCGGCCTCATGCTTTCTGATTGTTATAAAAGAGATATTCGGGTTGAGGGTGGTTGAAGAGTGCAAAAGCTCAGGATCTCGCGATTGGCGACGGCACAAAATTTTGCGAACCTGCGCAAAAGGAAAAAACTTTTGGACGCGCACGTGTCACTCTAACGTTCACGTGACCTGTTGCTGCTGTGCGTAGTGTGGTTTGTGTGGACTGCTACGGGCGTTGTTTTTGGTTGTTGGTTATTTGTAGATAGAAGTTGGATGTAATTGAGTCTTGTTATTTTGTCTGTTTGGTTGAGAGCAGGTTGGTGGATTAGTTGGGTGTGTTTACTGCGGATATGACTGTTAGAAGAGCGTGAACATCTACTTCTACGCTGTCGTCACTGTAGATACTACGCCCGACAGCTCTTCGTCCACGTCTCCAGCTCCTCCGTGAGCCATCCCCCGTCCATCAACCGCACCTCGAGACTGTTCGTAAAGACCCTCGACTCTCGCTCTCGCTCTCGACGGACGTAGCGCGCTTCCTCGGAGTTGAGCAGCTCAGGCCTCCGTGAGCCGTTCTGAAGCAGATTCCGTAGGTTCTTTAGGGCTTCAACTGCGCAGCTATTTTTGCGGTGGCGCTGGTTTTTGACCATCAGCGCATCTTCTGACCATCAGCAGACTCAGCTCGTGGATCCGCTTTCTTCAATCTACTCTGCGATCTTCTTGAACGGAGTTATTTGGTATGTGTATTGCTATGTGATTTGCTTGATTGATCGTCTACTGCCGGTAGAGTGCTTTTGCTTCTTCTGGAGTGTTGTCGCGGATGATTCAACTGGTGTTCGCGCTGTGCCTTCTACGAGTCATCATCGTCAGACCAACCGCATCTTTAGCAGTGTGCAGCTAGAACCCGCCGGTGGAAGGTGTCAGCAGACTGTGCTGTCTAACCCGTCCTTTTTTCATCATCACTAACCGCACACCTATAGCATTTCGCCCACGCGAACCCGCAAATCGATCGGTAAAGACATCCAAGAAGATTCCATCGCATAGAGCATGTCGCGAGGAGCTCAATCGCTCCTGCGCAACGTCGCCCGTCTTGCGTCTCGCGACGTAAGACTGTATTCCACAATTGGCTGCAGTCGCCCTCTGTCTTTCGATTCCAGCTCGCTGCTCCGCAATCGTCTTCCGAGCACCCGAAGCAACGGTCTTTTGAACAACAGTCTCTTGCTGCAGAGTGCAATTAGATCGTATTCTTCAAAGAAAGATGATTCGAAGGAGGATAAGAAATTGACACCCGAGGGTATGTACATATTTCACAATTTGCAATGGTGACTCAAGAGTCAAAGCTAACATTATCACAGAGGAAGAAGAGGAAAAGTTGGCACAAGCCCGCCGCCGGTTGAACGAGGAAATCGACAAGGTTAGACGTTCGGCAGAAGATTCGAAGAATTCGAAGAAGGATGATGAACAGGAAGAACGATCAAACGACCGGAAACCAAACATCAACAGGGTCGACATCAAGATCCCGCCCCTGTCACCGAACCACTTCGTCATCATGGGCGTCATTTTCTACATCATCTACCTTCTCCTTGAAGGACCCGGCGGACGCGAGTTGACCTGGCAAGAGTTCCGAGTCTCGCTGCTTGACAAGGGCTACGTCGATCGTCTGACGGTTGTTAACCGCCAGTTTGTTCGCGTGACCCTCAAGCCGTCGGCCGACTCGGTCGCTCTGTCTTCTGCCTGGTTTTTCACTATCGGATCTGTCGAGTCCTTTGAGCGCAATCTCGAGGAAGCGCAGAACGATCTCGGTATCCGCACTACTGAGCGCATCCCCGTCAACTACATTGACGAGCGTGGAATCATGAACACTCTTCTCGCCCTTCTTCCTACGGTCATCCTCGTCGGTGCCTTGTGGTGGATCGGCAGACGTCAGGCTGGTGGTGCCGGCGGTGCCGGCGGTTTGTTCGGAGTGAGCAAGTCGCGCGCTAAGCTTTTCAACCAGGAGACTGATGTCAAGATGCGCTTCAAGGATGTTGCCGGTATGGACGAGGCCAAGGAAGAGATTATGGAGTTTGTCAAGTTCTTGAAAGATCCTCAGAAATACGAGCGCTTGGGTGCTAAGATCCCTCGTGGTGCTATTCTCTCTGGACCTCCTGGTACTGGTAAGACTTTGATTGCCAAGGCTACTGCCGGTGAGGCCGGTGTCCCGTTCTTGTCTGTTTCTGGATCTGAGTTTGTGGAGATGTTTGTTGGTGTTGGTGCTAGCCGAGTCCGCGACTTGTTTAGCACTGCGCGCAAGCTTGCTCCCTGTATCATCTTTGTTGACGAAATCGACGCGATTGGAAAAGCTCGCTCGCGTAACTCGGCTATGGGCGGAGGAAACGATGAGCGCGAGTCTACGCTCAACCAGTTGCTTGTTGAGATGGACGGTTTCCAGACCTCGGACCACGTTGTCGTGCTCGCGGGTACTAACCGCTCTGATGTTTTGGATCCTGCGTTGATGCGACCTGGTCGATTCGATAGACATATCGCTGTCGATCTGCCTGATGTTGAAGGCCGCAAGGCTATTTTCATGGTGCACCTGGGCAAGATCAAGACGACGCTTGATCTTGATGCTCTTTCGGGCAAGATGGCTGCGTTGACTGCCGGTTTCTCTGGTGCCGATATTGCAAACTGCTGCAACGAGGCCGCGTTGATTGCCGCGCGCCGTCTGGCTGATTCGGTCGGGATGGAGCACTTTGAGGCTGCTATCGAGCGTGTGATTGCCGGTATCGAGAAGAAGTCGCGCGTGTTGACAAAGGAGGAGCAGCGCACGGTCGCGTACCACGAGGCCGGCCACGCCGTGTGCGGATGGTACCTTGAGTGGGCTGATCCGTTGTTGAAGGTGTCTATCATTCCTCGCTCGATCGGTGCTCTTGGATACGCTCAGTACGCGCCTGCGGACACGATGCTCTTGTCTGAGCAGCAGCTGATGGACAAGATGACTATGACTCTCGGTGGACGCGTGTCTGAGGAGATGCATTTCCCGACCGTGACCTCTGGCGCGTCTGACGATTTGAAGAAGGTGACGCGTATGGCGACGATGATGGTCACCAGCTTTGGCATGTCAAAGAAGGTTGGACTGGTGCACTTTGACGAGAACTCGAATAGCTTCAACAAGCCGTTCTCGGAGGAGACCGCGTCGCTGATCGATGTCGAAGTCCGACGGATCGTGAGCATCGCGCACGAGACGTGCGCCAAGTTGCTGAAGGAGCATAAGAAGGACATCGAGCTGATCGCCGAGGAGTTGCTTTCGAAAGAAGTGATTTCTCGCGAAGACGTCCTCCGTCTGCTCGGACCGAGACCGTTCAAGGACCGCAACGCCGCGTTCGAGAAGTATGTCATGGGGAAGAGCGATAAGGGTGACGATGCGCCGCCGCCGCCGTCGGTGGAGGAGCCTCCTGCGCCTGCGCCTGCGCCTACTCCCGCGCCTGCTGCTTAAGAGTCGAATAGATCTTTTGTTCTGTGCTTTGTTCCAGCTCATTATTTCTGTGAGTGGGAGATATTTTGCGATTTTGTTGATATATATTTCTCTATATTTAAAAAAAAACTTTTTGTAAATAGTAGTCTAAGAGATTGTGCTTTTGTTGTATATTTGTAATACTATCGTCAATCCGAATGAATGCATAAGTTAGAGCTTAGAATTACGTAGAAGAGAAAGTAGATGAGATAAGATATGAATTTGGCTAAAATAGCATATGAAGAAAAAGAAAAACAACTGCTGAGTGAAACGAACTAATTGATACTGACTGATACTGAATTATGAATATGTAAAGAAACGCAGGCGAGGACAAAATAAGGTAAAAACGAGCAATTCGAAAAAAAGAAGGAGGAAGAAGAAGGAAGTGTATTCCTTAATCGACGAGAATAGAAAGAATAGATGGAAACAGACAAAAAAAAGAAACGCAAAACACAGACACGGACACTTAAACACCTTTGGCTAAAGATAAAAAATCAAACGGGACAAGGAAAGATAGTGATTGATGACGATTGAAAAGACGATAGAAAAGAGAAACAAAGACGGTCGGTATACTGAACCCCCGAGAATGATGATATCGTTTTTCTCTTGTTGGTCGGGATTCTTGTTGCGGTGCAGGGTATGCATTGCAACAGAGAACAACCAAGGGGGTCTGTAAGGTCCTTGTTTGTCGAGAAGAAAAGAAGAAGAAGACGTAAATCAATAAAAAACCGGGAATAAGCGAACGGTGAAGTTGGGAAAAAGGCGTAAACAGTTGAAACACAAAAGAAAGCTGCTACACTTTGATCTTGCAGTTCCTTCTAGACAATGATTGATGATGGGAGAAAAGCACGCACGACGATGACGAATAAATAGATAAGATACCAACTCAAAAGAAACACAAAACACAATGACTTGAAAGCTCAAAAAGTAAAAAAGAAGAGAGAAAGACGTGTGCTATTCCTCCATCTTTCCAAAGACACCGACGTCGTCGCTCTCGTCGTCGCGCATGATCATGTCATCTTCGTCGTACATGTTATCATCCGCCGAGTTCTCGCGCGACGAGCGGCCGTGGTGTGCCCGCAGCTCCGCCAGCTCGTCCTCCTCGGTCATGGAGACGAGGATGGAGGCCGCCTCGAGCAGCTGGACCTGCTGGTGCTTTGACATTAGCAGTTTTGAGGTCATGTTCCATTCCGGGGTGTGTTCCCAGCTGTAAGAGTAGGATTGCAGGTTAGTAATCGATAAATAAGCACAGGGCTCTGTTAGTTGGCAGTGGGGCAGTGGTGAGTTTGTGACTCGGGCACGCCATAGATAGCGGAAGTGAGAGGGTAAGGGTATAATGTCCGAAGAGGGAAGGAGAGGCAGCGCCCAAAGAGGCAGGAATGGCTGGCGCATCAGTGACTCAGCGCAGAGATAGAGAGCACGGACGATCGCATTCAGCTAACGCCGGTCCGAGCGCGCTGATCCCCACAGCGGTGTGAGAGGAGGGCAGGAGGCAGGGAGGGAGAGAGGGAGGACGAGGGCGGAAGACAGCGGGCGAGGCGAGACGAACAGGAGAAGAACAGGACGAATGAAAGCAAAAAGCAAGCGACGGGATACTAAAACAGCAGCGAGTAAAAATAACCAAAAACTAAAAATAAGCTGCGATTTCGAAAGCAGAGCCGAGTGCTGCGAGAGCGCAGAGGAGAAGGTGCCGATACCCTATCCCGGACTGCTGCTCGGCTCCGTTGGAAGTTGCTGAATCCAGACGCGGCATTAAACCGAACTCCGGTCGTCTGGCATGTCCTTTTGCGCAGGCTGTTGATCACCAGTACGCTGTTGATGTGTCAATGAGTAGAGCGTACGCGCTCTTTGTTGTGTAGTGTTGTGTTGTGTCAATGGAGCACAGATGTTGTGCTGTGTTGGTGTTGTGCTGCGTAGACTCATCAGAGAGAGATAAAGAAAATTCCGACACGGAATTTGTAAATTGCGTGCCAGAAAATTTCGAGCGGACGGTTCTGTCCGGCTGCGGTGGGTCGGCGTGCCACGATAAGCACGAAGGAGCAGAAAAATGTAGAAATAGAGATAGAAAGAAGAATAGAAGAAAAATAGGAATAGGAAAGAAAAAACAAAACACGGAAATTTGGTGGGACTGCGATGGAGGAGGGGAGGAGTACCCCGCTCGACAACGACAAAAGGTTGTCCCGGTCCGCGTGGGGGACCACTCACTCGATGAGGGTATCAAAACAAATCGTGAGGAATAAGAAATCATGAAGAAGAACAAAAAGACGCGTTGTGGATTGATTGATGGAATGAGAAGCGATGGGTGGGTGCTGCGGATGCGCCTGAACAGGTAGCTGCCAGCTGCTGATTGCGGACGCAGCAGCTGCAGCCCAGATCACAGATGGTCGGAAGGAGGGTATTTGAGGTTTTTCAGGTAGAGATCACCGCGGTTGCCCCACTGCCAATAACAAAAATACAACATAAGAGAGAGAAGAAGGAGACTTACAGGTGTTTTGTGAGGCAGCTGATGTGTTTGTAGCCCTTTCCGCAGGCTTCGCACTTGAGCTCCTCTTTCAGCCGGCCGGAGGTGGACTCACCCTCGGAAAAGCGGCGGGCGGCAAGCATCCGTCGGGAGAGGGTGGATGTGCCGAGAGAGGAGGAGACGGAGGAAGGAGGAGAATTGAATGAGAGGGAGGAGGAGGAGGAGGCGGAGGAGGACATTGTCATGTTGTGGGCGTGGGTGCGCGCGCCGGGGATCTGGTAGGGCGAGACGGAGACGGAGGACCGCCGCCGGGAGGAGGAGGATGGCAGTGAGAATTCCTGGATGGGGTTAGAGAGGCAATGCAATTGAGGGAGATGAGAGGTGAGGAGAGGAGAGGAGGAGAGGTGGTGAGGAGGAGAGGAGGAGGAAGAGGACTCGGCCGCATCGGACGCGCTCGCAGTCGAAAGAAGGAGATCATACCGATATGGCAGTCATAAGCGAGACGACGCTGAGAGAAGAGAGAAGTGGTTCTTGATGATTTGAAGTAGATACCAACACAAGTGCAGCAGGAAGAGCAGAAGACGCAAAGAAGAAAGAAGAAAGAAGGAAGAAGTCTCGAAGACAACAAAAATTTCGAATTTGAGGAGTTGCCAGCGAGGCGAAGGACGAACCGAACAGAATAATTTCGAGACCTTTTGCCCGGGCCACGGGGTCACTTGGGTCACATCAAGTCACAAATTAGGTCACATGTCTTACTCGCCCGATCGGGAAGTCGTGGCTGGATCCGCCCGTTTCCGGATGCTTCAGTGCTGGAATGGGAGGTGCAATGACATGGCCGCCAACAGATGCGGATGCTCTTGTGCAGTTCTAGCAGCTGTTTTCAGGATTAGAGAAGATGAGAAGTGAATAGCTGTGCGCAGAAGAGTGAAGACCATGCACTGCGTCATTCTCTGCGTCTCTGCGTCTGCGCCTGCTCGTCATCTGACCGCCTGTCCGTGCGGCCTTCCCTGCCCGCCTCGGCTTCTGCGACGCGTCAACGATCATCAAAACAAACAACGCGTTCTAATTATACAAACATTCTCACTCTCCTCCAAACTCTCTTAGTCCCTCCGCCTCAATCTCTGCCTCCAACCCGGCCCATCGCCCGCTCATTCCTTGCGCGTCCACCAACCGCGTCAGATACTCCTCATACCACCCTTTCTCGTCCATCTCCTGCGCAACCGTCTTCAGTAGCCGCACCTCACCCAAAACCTCCTCCGCCGTCGTCTCCTCGCTCTCTAGTAGATTCATAATGTACTCTCCTGCTCTCGTAAAAACTACCACCCCATCGTTAGCTTGTAGAACAACATCATCTCAACACTCAATACTCACTCTGCACCAGCTTCTCCTGCGCCTCCCTAACCTCCACCTCTAGCTTATTCCATTCCCCAATCGCCCGCACAATATCAAACCTCTCTTCCTCCACCCGGCTCCGCTTCCTACTCCCCTCCAGCAACGCCTCGAGATCCAACTCCGCCGCCTTCCTCTTCACCCCTTCACCATGATCTTTAGCCTTCAACGACTCGCGTTTCTCAACCTTCTTCACATTCAGCACTTCAATCAAGTGCCTCGCAATATCAGACACCGCGTCCACCAAGTACGGCGGCGGCTGGCTGTCCTCCACCAGCGACTCTGACAGCTTCGGAATCGGTGCCTTCGGGTCTATCGCGCGATCCAGAATCGCGCGCTGGATCCTCGCATTCACCGGATTATACTGCTTCCCGGGCGCGACGTACTCTTGCCTTATCCCATAAGTTAGCACAAACCCGACCATCTGCACCTCATAACCATACTCACCCCTCCGGATCTTCCTCCGCAGCCGGAAGTCCATCCGCCAGCCGCGAGATATCCATCGCCTTCACATACTGTCTCATCGCATCCACCATCTCATCGGTCGGCAACCGATGATGCTTCGTCAGCACTTTTCCCTTGATCGTACGCACCGTCTTCAGCGACGAAAACCTGTAATCCCGCACGTCCTCCGCAAACGGGAGTTCGGTCTGCACCAGCCCTTCAAACTTCCGTTGGCCGTCGACGATATCAATGTCCGGCACAAGCGCGACCATTCGCGGGTCGCCCGATCGCGGTACAAACCGCGCAATCGCATACAGCCCGCTTTTCTTCATCGCGTGGATCAGACTCGACAGCGCGAGCGCAGACACCGCTGGATCGTTCTCGGTCGCGACTATGAAGCTAGATGGGGACATCAGCATCCATGGTTTAAAATCCGAGAGCGTTACAAAGCCGATTATTTCGAGACATGGGTCAGCTGTGTACCGCAGAGACTCGTACTCGTCGTCTTCAAACGTCACCAGCGACCTTCCGTATCTGTACGCCTTCTTCAAGTCGCCTTTTGGTGCTTCGACAGCCTTCTTCTTTTTCTCTTCCTTCTCCCCCTCTTCCTTCTCGCCATCTTCATCTTCCTCTTCTTTCATACGCACAAAGTATTTAGTCTCCCACTCCAACGCTCGCGGCTTCGCGCTGTCCTCCGCCTCTTCTCGGTACGCTTTCGTAGACGGCGGCACAGCTCGCTGAATGTATAGAAATCTCTGCACGTCAATCGCAATCGCCTCGTCCTCAAATTTACCATTATAGTCACCCAGCGTGAGCAACCCGCGATATGTCGAGACCGAAGCAGTCTTTTTGATCGTGGGCTGATCTAGTTTTCGGTATATATCTTCATAGTCGAGCAATTGAATCTCCACGTTTGCTTCTTTCGCGGCTCGCACAAACTCTTGTAGTTTTGCATAGTTGTCGCGCTGTAGAGCTGTTATTTTGTCGTTTTTCTGGTTTAGGTCGTCTGGGCCTATTCCCACCGTCCTACAGCGCCGGATTAGCTTGTGTACTTGTTCTCTGATACTCAATTCACTTACAGTATCCTGAGCGATACACCATCTTTCGCTATCTTTGCAGCGATTTCCTCCATATCCGAAAAATCCGCCGACGAGTTGCAATTCGACACAATCTCGATATTCTTGATAAACTTCTTGTGCTGGCAAAAGTCGCCCGTCATTTTGAGCGCGATCAACAGGCCCGAGATTATGTCTCCTTGCACGTCGTCGGTCGACGGTGGTATGAGCTGCGAAGGAAGAGTGCGGAAGTCGGAGAGGAGGAATTGCTTGAGCGGGTGCAGGACGCTGATGTGCTCGTATCCTTCGTCGAGCTCGACCGCGCTTTCTGCAGGCTGTCGTCAGTACGCGCTTCGATGAAAATCACACACGTCGTCAATACCTTCGGTGCCCACGCCAACAACTCCGACGTAGTCAGTCTTGCGGCCGCTGGCTACCTTTGCACCTATCAGGGAATACACATACGGCCGGAATGCCTCGAGATCGGACTGCCCCTCCGCGACTGCCATGTTGCTCGCAGCCATGGGGTATCCGACGTCGAGCACAAATACGGTGGTCTACACTGTCAGCACGCGCTCTGTACGTGATGTATAACGCGTAGACAGCAATCCTGCACTCACCTCTTTACTTCCCGGACGTGGTCTCGCCATGTCTTCTCGTGTATCTTATATCTAATCGCTCTCTGCGGTCACCTTCGACTATCGACTCTGATCCAACCTCGTCTGTTCACGTGCACCCGCGATGAGCCCCACGAGACCCGCTGCTTACACATCTCTCTAAACTCTAAATATTTTCCGCGACAAAAGACTTCTGGAAACTTTTCGTCGCTGGAGAACAAACGGACTCTATTTTATAGCAGAGAATATAATTGCAAAAGGGTGGATAGTTGCCGATCTGAGATAGAAAGAAGACTCTATTCAGGCCACATATACACGTCGACTCGGTTTGTTGTAAGCCGATCTACCGCTCTCTCTCTTCTCTTCCAATGTCAAACTTCCTCCGCGGTCTATTCGGCAACGGGAACTCAACCACTTCAACCACCTCCTCGCCACAGCAGCCCTCCACTCCGATCTCACAACAACAGCAGCAGCAGCAGCAGCAGATAGACAGCAGCAGTCCAGGGCCGTCTTCTGAAGAGTTCGCAGTCTCGGTCGAGGATATTATTTCGCCTATTACTGGGGTTAAAGCGTCGGCTGGGTCACTTTATCCACTACCTGCGGGACTCGATACGCCGCAAGAAAAGATCGAAAACAAGAGTTTTTACGACGAAGCAAAGGACTATACTATGGTGAGTCGACTGTATCTGCAATCTAGATCTAGCTTTGGCCGTGCTAACAACTCCTCAGAGTCATCCCATCATCATCGGAGCCGGCATCGCCGCCCTCGCCTTCGGCGCCCGCGTCGGCATCCGCGCGATGCAACGCTACCGCAACATGCCCGCCGGCGCGGGAGCTGCGCGGAAATTCCTCAAGGGCGGGTTCGACCCGAAGATGAACTCGAAGGAGGCGCTGCAGATCCTGGGGCTGACGGAGTCGACGCTGACAAAGTCGAAGCTGAAGGAGGCGCATCGGCGGATTATGTTGCTCAATCACCCGGATCGCGGTGGGTCGCCTTATGTTGCGACGAAGATTAACGAGGCGAAGGATTTCTTGGAGAAGAGGGGGAGACTGAGGTGATTGAGTAGATAGGTAAAGGGCGTAATGTGCCATGAAGCAAAGATGAAAGAAGACGTTTTTGATTCATCCTGCATTACATTGTTTGATTTCATATTTGATTTCTTCAGATTGACCAGCTCGGGCAGCAGAGAGCTGACTATGTTTTGCCGTATCAGCTTTATCATAGCTCATGTAGCGTCCTGATTTCATCTAAAGCTGTCGTATCTCGACTCTGTATATAGTGTTTTGTTTTATTTAGTTTCTACAACAATCTTCTTATATTGTCAATCGTATTCTATGTAGCTGCAGTGTGCATGATATCCTGTGGATATTCATGTTGATTGTGTTGAATCCTGCACTGCTGTGGATGGGTCGGACCTTCAATTTCACTGGCAAAAAAAGTCTATTCGAAATTCAAGATACGTCGTCGATGACCACCGTTCGCGCCTTCACAGCCATCGCAATTGCCCAATTCCCTCTGCCCAGATATCAAAAGAACATAGAGAAAAAAGGCAGATAGAGCAATGACTTTTCTCTGTCTCCGAGCAACCCGCTCAATACCAATCAAATGCCAAACCCAGCGCCAACTCCTCAACCGGAGTCTACCCAGACTCATGCTCACGACACCGTCGCGCCGAGGATTTAGCTCGTCGAGGCCAGCTAGCGTGGACGCGATGCAGGTATTCAACAGGGAGGTCAAGCGGAAACAGCGGGACCGGGCGGCTATGAATGCGGAGAACAGTCGGACGGTGGATTATTTGCGGAACGAGATTGCTAATCGGTTGATTGAACGGATGCTGGTATGACTTCTACTTGTTTGCTTGCTTCTCGAGTGATATGGAAACTGAGATGATTTGATATAGTTGATTGCGCGACGCCATGAGGTAATGGTAGACATCGGCGCCGGCGCGGGAAGCGTCGAGCAAGCCATCGTCGGGCCGCGCGAGGATCCGAAGGACGACGGCGTGATGCAGTCGCGAATCGGGAGGATAATCATGACCGAGATGGCGAGCAAATTGCTCTACCGAGACGCAGATCCGGAGGCTTTCCCGTTCAACAAGCAGCTAGACATCACGCGCCTGACTCTCGACGAGGAAAACCTGTTCACGCCCGAGCTTTTGCAGGCGATCAAAAACACGCCGGGCAAGTTGGAGCCGTATAGCGATTACTTGTTTGAGAACTCTGTGAATACGGTGGTGAGCAATCTGTCGGTTCATTGGGTGAATGATCTCCCCGGCTTGCTGCAGAGGATAAAGTACATGCTGGTGCCGGATGGGATGTTTATCGCGAGTATGATGGGCGGAGACTCGTTGTTTGAACTGCGGACGTCGCTGCAGATTGCGGAAATGGACGTGTACAATCGTGTTGCGCCGCGATTGTCTCCATTAGCAGGTACATTTACTCCTATATATCTGACTTCTGTGCAAAGCTGACTGGGTGTAGACGTGCGCGACATGGGCAACCTTCTCCAACAAGCTGGCTTCAATCTGATCACGATCGACGTCGACGACGTGATTGTTTCGTTCCCAGACATGATGTCGCTGATGAAGGATCTACGGGATATGGGCGAAAGCAACGCGGTCCTGAATCGCCCGCATTATCTGCCGCGCGATCTGATTAAGGCGGCCGAGAAGGTGTATAAGGAGATGCATGCGAACGAGGATGGCTCGCTTCCTGCTACGTTTAGAATTATTTACATGGTGAGTCTACTTTGATACTATAGTCCCCTGGTGCGATTGAGAAAAGATGCTAACGACGGGCTTAGATTGGATGGAAACCGAGCGACAACCAGCCCAAACCGCTAGAGCGCGGCACGGCTGACGTCAGTTTCAAAGATATCCTGTAGATCGTACATAACTAGTTACCTCTTGTATATAAAATATAGACAATTTGTAAATATCCCTACAGAATTGTAAAATAGCCTTGTAGATGATGATGGGAGCGGGCGGGGGCTGGCTAAGTGAGGCCCGGAGCCGCAGCATCCTCGAGAGTTCGTCGACCGCTGCCACTTTGATTGCTCCACTGTACAGCATCAGGACTGATTTTCCACGAATCCGCGTTTATTCAACGATTGGCCTTGGATTCATTTCACAGTCAATTACTCTTTCATATTCACCATCCGGATCCGATTACCCATTTACCATCCACCCTCTCCGTTCCCACCAAACAGCTTGAACGATGGCCAACGTCAACTTCCGCCGTATCAACATCGACATTCTTGAGCCCGAGAACAACATCGCGCCAGAAGAGCTCGTGCCGCCGAGCATAGCGAATCTGCCGCCGGCGAGCGTGGCCGAGATCCAGTCGTTCGGACAGTCTGTCCGCGCTGCGTTGTCGAGAGGTGATCATGCTGATGCGCTGGCGGCTGCGCTCGGAAACCCGCCTTATACCAGTAGCGAGGAGGTTAAGGTATCGTTTCTTCATCTTTCTCTTTTCCTATATTGCTTTCGTCTTTGCAGAGGAGAAACTCCCTGCGATAAGCACAGACGCTAACGCGAGAACGTATACACAGGCCATCCACCTCACCACGATCCTCGAGATCCTCTCCACAGTAAAATCGACAGACATAAGCAAAATAGTCGAGAAGCTTTCCTCCGAAGACCGCGACACGCTCATCAAGTATCTCTACAAGGGCATGGGCGTGCCTGAGTCGCACGGAATCTCGGGCGTCTTGCTGGCGTGGCATGAGAAGGTGTGTCTCTGATTTGCACTTTGTTTTGGTGAATCGTGTGTGCTAATGATGAATTGCAGGTCATTGAGGTTTCCGGACAAGGTGCGATCGTCCGCTTCCTATCAGACAGAAGAATGGTATGAGAAAAGTTCGAGCTAGGCTTTGGTGGAGTATTTGTGTGTGCTGTGATGGGTTTAGATTTTGATTTTGTAAACTTGACTTGAAATTTGAGATATTACTATCTGATTGCTGCTCCATGATCATGCCCTAATCACGCAGATGGAAATCATAATGGACAAAAATGAGCAAATGAGGGGGTAAAACTAAACAAAAGAGACAAACGCTCCAACACAACTATGCAGACTCGAGAAACAAACTCAACCATAAATGCTGCAAACTACATGGAACGAAGAAACAGACAATCAAACCACCGCAGAACAAAAAAACACTACCGCTGCAAAGAAAAGACTATCAGCTATCCAAATCATTCAAAAGGATACTTCCGTTAACCTCCTTGACCTCGATTCCGCGCGTCTGGAGTTCGCGTTTGAGAGCGCGCAGACCGAGTGTTGCCTTGAAGCAGTCACTTTCTTTGAAGAGGTAGGTTACTTGGATCGGAGGCCAAGTTTGTGTCGTTGCGCGCATAACTAGGTTGTTTGAGATGTCGTACTGGTAAAAAGTTGCGTTAGACTAAAGTGCTCAGCGAGTTGTTATAGAGGTAGCTCACTTCGATAGATTCAATCATCCAGGCCTTCAAGTCACCGCCTTTTGACCCAGCGTCGTCGTCCAGGAGTAGTCCCTCGGTCGTAATTCTCAACGAGAGACCCTTTCCCGAAAGTTTCGTCGGCAGCGTTCCCCGATCCGGTCTGATGTATGCCGCCACGAGCGAGAACCTGTTTGGGTCGCGGGTCGCTGTCGCAGGCACGCTAGCCATTTCTTTTTTCTCGCGTGTGCGATGTGATGTCGTTGCTGTACCTGTCGAGGCTGATTTCACCGTCATTATGTTTGACGAGCTGAATGATCGGTGGCCGGACGTGTCCTCGCGAATCGTAGAGTCAGGCGAGAATGAAAACGAGGATCGGAGGCCCGGAGGAGACTTGTGCGGTGGCGGATCATACGGCTTGAAAGACTGTTCAGAGTCAATTGATCTCAGCCGTGGCCGCTGTGGTGAAGACGAGTTGCTTTTTGACCGACTCTTGCCTCCGCTGGCGGTAGTCGCGACAGAGGACTGGCTAGACAACGAGTCGATCCTCGAGAGCGTTGCCGAGTCCTGTGACGAAGACAAGGACGACTGCGTAGAGTCGCGGCGACTGCTTGTGCTGTTTCCGCGCGTGCGGTCCTCGATCGGCAGACTGAGAGCGCGCGGGACGGGTTCCGGTTTGGTTTTGATCGGGCTCGAGGTAGGTTTCTTGGGCGATGCGCTGCGGTCTTTCTTAGCCAGCTCGTCCGCGTAGTGCGGGTACGGTCTCGCTGAGAAGGGAGTGCTTGGAGCAGGCATCGGCGCTGACTGGAAATTGCTCACAAAGTCCTGCAATTTTGCGAGCTCACGTAGGGGCGACATCATCGACGATGAGGACGAGTCTCCGGGCGATCCGGCGACGAGAGTCTTGTACGCGACGTAGCTACCCAGGCCGACGAGAGACCAGAGCACGGCGGTGTAGATCAGGTGCTCGAGAGCGGATCTGACGTAGCCTGAGGAATCGGGTGCGGAGCATGCGAGCAGGTAGCCAAAGATCGTGCCGAAGATGAAGCCGCTGAAGGGCTGCTGCATGTAGGTGAAGAAGAGGGCGAAGCCGTGCATGCTGGTGGTGGGGATGGGTGAGGGCTGGTGCACGGAGGCAGCGGATTGTTCTTTCGAGCTGGAGGAGTTGATGCGGGCGAGGTCGGGCATTGTTGCGGTGCACGGGGAGAATAGAGTGGTGGTAGCCGTGAGAGAGGTGTAGATCAAGGCAGCTCAGAGGCAAAGGAGGCGCATTGTAAAAGATAGCCCTCTGATCAAATACAACAAGGACACAATTGGATCTCAACACTCAGTCAAAATATAAGCAACTGCGATCGAGATGGAGAAGAAGATCAGAGGAGGCAGGTGAGCAAGGTAAGGGCGGGAGAAGATAATAAGAATCTTCTCTTGGAAACTGCGCTCGAGCGGCCGCGTGCAAAAGCACGTTATCACTTCTGCCTAGAAGCTGCGCATTCCACGCTCATTCTTGCTTCTGCTGCCACTTTCTGTCTGTCTAACTAGTACGTTTACTTTACACGCCTAATTGACTACTGTCAAGACGTTATTCTCGCTTTCCTGCGACCAGTTTGTTGTCCTTTCTCCAAATCGATCCGCCGTCCTCGGCAGGTCGAAACCTTATCCCCTGGAATCCATTTACGGATTCGGTTAGCTGATAACAATGCCAGAATAACTCTACTTTGGCTTTCCTTTTGTGGCTTCAACTGCGCAGACATTCGACGCATATACACAACGCGGCTGAGGCGGACTGTTGGCGTAGCAACCAGGGGCACCTGCCCGCTTCGTCTAATTGGATAAATATCGAAGATGAGGCAATAGATCTATTCATAGTCTCGACTTCAACACGTAAACAAACCAACTAGCTATTTACAAAACTATGTACAGTTGAGCGCGAGTCTGGAACACTGCTCATGTCATGTGCTCACAAGGAGACCTCGCCGATCTTCTCGACAACGCCCGCGCATCGCGGACAGATCTCAGACTCAGCGGGCGCAGTGTATTGCCAGCATCTCGCGCATTTGCCGAGCTCGGGGTTGACCGCATGCACAATTACCGACTCAGCTTCGGTATCTTCACCGGTCGTGACCGGGTCTGAGGCGTAGGTCCAGTGCTTGGATGAGATCGAGGATGCGAGTTCTGAAGATGGGGACACCGACACGGCTGAGACGACGAGCAGTTCGGCGAGATGGGATTCTGCAGATTCGTAATTAGCCTTTTGTTCATTCTGGAACATAATAGAGAGAAGTCTTACCGTATTTCTTCAATAACTCCAATACGGACGATCCCTCCGGTGCCGAAACAACAACGCAGGCGTCTAATGAGCTGCCAATTTTCCTACACATAACGTCAATACACCTGAACTAATACCAAATAAATAGTATACTTACTTATCCTCTCTAGCTCTTGCCAGAACAATCTTCGCCGCATCACCAATCTTCTCGAGCTTTGCAAATTCCAGACGCAACTCCTCGTTCTTCCACTCCTCAGGCGCAGAAACCCAGCCGCTCACAAAAGGCGAGAAACAAGCATCCGGGTCATTCTTTTTGATAAACGCAGGTGCATGGTGCCAGGCTTCCTGCGTGAGTAGAGGGATCACCGGAGACAGGATCGATTCGTAGACTCTGAAGATTTGGCAGAGTACGGTCTGTACTGATCTGCGGGAAAGACTTGTTTTCTCGTCGACGTAGATTCGGTCTTTGGAGGTGTCTAGATAGGATGCTGATAGACGGGAGACGTGGCGCATGACAGCTTGGATTACTAGTAGATATGTTAGTGTTTTGATGTTCTGAAGAAAAAATTTGTACAACTTACCTCTGTTGAATGCGAATTGGTCGTAAGCGGCTTTGCAGTCTTGTTCAAGATCATAGAGCTGGCACAGCGCATATTGATCGGTCTAAAAATGTTAGATAAAATCTACAAAACTAGAAAGAAAGAAATAAAGCGGACACATACCGGTCGCAATTGAGAGTACTCAACCTCCTGCCCATCGAACCCGTCCAAATTACCCAAAACATACCGCATAGTCCTTCGAATCTTACTCAACGAGTCCGCGACCCTCTGCATCACAGTCGTGCTGAACGCGATATCGGTCGTATACTCTGACTGCGCGACCCACAACCTCAGCCCGCTACTTCCGATCGCGGCCACGTTCTTGTACCCGGATGTGGTGATTTGCGCGGGCGCAATCACGTTGCCGAGCGATTTTGACATCTTCCGGCCGTGCTCGTCGAGCGTGAAGCCGTGCGTGATGACGTTGGCGTAGGGGGCTTTGCCGTTGTGTTGGTCGGCCACGTAGGTTAGCAGCGAAGACTGGAACCAGCCGCGGTGTTGGTCGCTGCCTTCGGAGTAGACGTCTACTAACGTCTCGCGGTCCTTGCGGAGGCTATCAAGAGTAAGTATCTAGCAGCAGATCATAAAAGAAAATTGTTGGAAAAAACTCACTTCCCGTACTTCTCTTGAATCAAGGTCCAGCTGGATCCACTATCAAACCACACATCCATCGTATCCCTCCCTTTACTATAGCTCTTCCCGCTCTCTCGATACTGCGGCGCTACCCAATGGGTCGTATCCTCCTCATCCGTGAACCACATATCTATACCAACTTTCTCAATCTCCTTGATGATATGAGTCACGCTCTCGTCGGTCAACAGCGCTTCTCCCGTCTCGTTATCGAACAGAGCGGGAATGGGAACGCCCCACACACGTTGTCTGGAGATACACCATTCCGAGCGATCGCGCACGAAGCTCGAAAGACGATGTTTCCCGATCGCAGGGTGGAAGTTGGCGTTTTCGAGCGCGTCAAGCGCCTGGTCTTTGATATTACCCACGTTGGCGAACCATTGCGGTGTCGAGCGGATGATGACTGGTTTCTTCGAGCGCCAGTCGTAGGGGTATTTGTGTTTGTAGGCTGGGTTTGTTCCCGCCAACGCGCCCGCGGTTTGAAGCCGCTCGATGACCATGTCCTGGCCGACTTTGAGAACGGGCTTGCCGACGAGGTCTGAGAGTTCGGGTGGGAGATTGCTGTCGAATTTGCCGTAGCTGTTGACAGGGGAGTATGGGTCGATGCCGTGGCTCTGGCAGACGAGGTAGTCGTCCATTCCGTGACCCGGGGCCATGTGGACTAGACCGGTACCCGAGTCTGCGGTGACGAAATGGGCCGCAAAGACGGGCTGCGAGGGCGTGTCGGTCGTCAGTAATGGATGCGTGTAAGTCAATGCCGTGAGCTGTTCGCCAGAGAACGGGCCTGATACGATCTCCAGCGGACCGATCTCGGTCTCGAGAAACTCCTTGCGCGACTCGCCTATTAGCAGGTATCCGTGCTGCTCGCTGCGAACGACGATATACGTCATACCGTGCCCAACCGCAATCGCCTTATTCGAAGGAATCGTCCACGGCGTGGTCGTCCAGATCAGGAACTCGACTTTCTTGCCCGCGAGGTCAGAGCCTAGCACCTCGCTGGCGTTTTCGATCGGGAATTTGACGTACACGGTTTTGCTTGTGTGCTCGGACGCGTACTCGAGCTCGGCTTCGGCGAGGGCGGTGTAGGATTCGCAGCTCCAGTAGACTGGGCGGTCGCTGCGATAGATGAGGCCTGCTGAGGGTTAGTATGGTACGGTGTAGTATAACAGGAGAGGCGTTGCGGACGCTTACCGTTGTTGAGCATCGACTTGAAAATCTCGAGCTGTCTAATCTCAAAATCCGGATCTACAGAGCGCGTTAGAAGTCAAGCTGAGCGCAGAATAGACAAGTAATAAAGTACGCACTCATAGTCTTATAAGGATTCTCCCACTCGCCCATCGTAGCCCACTCCCTAAAGCTCGCCATCTGACTCTCGACAAAACTATCGGCATGTTTCCTCGCGAGCGCGCGAATCTCGGGCGCCGTCAGCGCAGCGACTTTCTTCTTGCCGTCCTTGCCCTTGCCGACCTTCTCGAGCACTTTGAGCTCGATCGGAAGACCGTGGCAGTCCCAGCCTGGGATGTAGGAGACGCGGCGGCCGCGAAGAATTTGGTAGCGTAGGATAATGTCTTTGATGATGCGGTTGACGGAGTGGCCTGGGGAGGGGTTAGTGGGTGTAATCGAAGGGAAGATGGTGGTAGTTGGGTGAGGTCATACCGAGATGGACGTCTGCGTTTGCGTAGGGGGGACCGTCGTGGAGGATAAACAGGCTCTCTTCAGGTAACGTATTTTTCTAATATCAAAAGTCAGCCAGTCTAGATCTGAAAGTCCTCTACTCTAGAGAGAATCAGCATGTTATTGTATAGAGAGACGAACCTGCCATGCGTACACATCATCCGACGCAACCTTCAAGTACACCTCCTGCGCAACCTTTGCATTCGACCGCGCAGGAAAAGATGTTTTCGGCATCAAAATTGTCGCGGTATATGACGGCGCCGAGGAATTGCTCTCGTGTCTGCGCTGCTGCGTGTAGCAGTGTGTAGCCGACCGGAGCGAGCTGGACGACGAGGTCGGGAGACGGGCATGTCGAGGACCGGTAGCGCGTCCTTGGAGAAGACGAGGGATGCACGTCTTCGTCGACATTTCGAGTATACTCCAGCAATTGTATCCACAGACTATCGCAACCGCTGAAGTGGATTAATGAGACGGCGAGGAATTGGTGGGTGGATTGATTATCGGAATTATTTCGTCGAGTTCAGGTTTTATCGGTTTTTGGGTTTCAGGGGGACGGCGGTGAGGAAGTATGACTCGATATTCTCAATTATTACAGAAGTTGATCAAGAAAACGATTAACCAGTTACAGTTGATAATTGAGAGGAGGATTTCTAAGAAAGATGCTTTATGTGTTATCATATATCAAATACTTCAGGCAGGCACCATAAAAAGCTGCAGAAAGTTCTGAGAAAAGACTGCGACCTACTCAATACCAAGAAAATCGGACAAGAAAACCGAAATAAATAGACGATATGTACTACGATGATAATAGATCAAGAAATAAAAACAGTAACAAGAATATGCAAGAGATCCGTAAAAAACACCAAATTATCCCAATAAACCCCTCCTTGCTAAAATTGAAGAAAAATCAAGCAAAAACCAAACAAATGAGGTCCTCCGACCAAGAAAATACCACAATCAGCACCAAGACCAACGCTAAGGCGAAGCAGCGCTGACAAAGTCCTTGACGCTACTACTAAGCCTGTTGAAAAGTCCCACGTCTTCGACCGCGTTTTCCTCGTCTTCAGGCATGCGGAACTTGTCGTTGTCCCTGGACATGCGCCGGGCTTCGACGGTTGGAATTTCGTACACGCGCGGTTTGGAGGAGTTGAAGTGCTGTGTTTGGGGGTTGTAGATGAAGCCTGAGCTTTGGAAGTCGGGTTGGGTTGGTATTGCGACGGCGGTGGTGAGGTGTGGTTGCTGGTAGAGGTCTTCGTCGTTCTCGACATCATCTTGTTGTTCATCTTCGTCTTCTTCCTCGTCGTCGGCGTTGTAGGTTTCTGAAGGTATACGACTGACGATAGCCATAGACTGATACCCGCGATCCCTACTCCGCGAGTTCAACAAGGCCGCTTTCTCCCGATCGAGATTTTTCTCCCGCTCGTCAGCAAGAGTGCGTTCAAGCCAGGCAAGCAGTCGGTGCTTGGCAAGCCAGAGGACGAGCGCGGAGACGAGGATGACGGCGATGATGCCGATGGTGAAGGAGACGACGGTGCTCCAGAGGGTGATGGAGGAGACGGAGCAGCCGAGGCCGCGGGCGCGGAACTCGAAGCGCTCGTCGGTGTAGGGACAGATGTTGCTGTCGCGGATGGCGGCGAGTATGCCGAGGCGGCTAGGGTCGGGCACGCAGGTAGAGGACTGGTTGGGGTGAGCGTTAGGTTGATAAAGCAAGAAAAAAAGAGTAGAGAAGACGTACGAACGGACACCATCCGCAAGGTTGTGAAGTCGGGGCGGTTATACAAGCATGGCAGTTTGTGGAGAAGACGAGGCACTCTTTCATGTAAGCGTCACCTTTTTCAGCGAGCATGGCGACAAACTCATCGTGAGCGCTGCGGGTGTCTAGAAAAAGAAGTATAAGGTCAGCGATACTGTATCGAACGACAAGACGGTAAAGAAAAGAAGATAGCCGTACAGTTTGCGAGATCATCAGCCTGCATGGCGATAGTGGAGTACAGAAGTAGGACAAAGCAGACGGAGCCAAGAGATAGACGAGAGGAAGAACGAGATGCAGATGGCAGTCGGGTCGCCTGACTCAGACTCGGTACCAGGCGTTTACTGCGTTGCCTGACAGGCCGTTCGCACTTTGCTTCAGTTTGCGTCTGTGGCGTCGAGGAAGATTTGGTGGATTTGGTCGAACTGCGCTTATGGCCGGAGGTGTCTTACGCGGGCTGAGCTTATTTCGGGCCCCTGAAAGGTGTATCTGCATTTATTTGCTTGCTTTGATTGATGTTTATTGTTTAGCCAAATCCAGCCCATTCTACGCAGAAACTAGCATAATCCTCCTCGTCTTCGTCTTCTTTCTTATTTACTACAGGCACGACCTCGCCCGCGTCGTTGACCTCACGCCGGGCACCGGCAGGCACGCGACCACCGATCATCCACGCCTTTTTCACGCCAGTGCCGAGTCGGCCTGAGCCGATGAGATCGAGCAGCGCAAAGTCCTCGTCCCACGCTAGACCGCGCACGAGATAGTGCGAGTGGTAGCGCAGAGGGTCGCCTGGATAAGCCAGGAACTGCGAGCCGAAGCGTAGACCGGGGGAGAGGAAGAAGCCCTTGCCATGCAGGTACTTGTAGACCTGGAAGCGAGGGGTGTCTAGGATTGGAGCGATAGAGGACTCAGGGAGGGTTGCCTCGGCTCTATCGCTGGGTTGAGTGACGGCTGGGGTCACAAAGGTTTGCAGACCAGACTCTGCCGCTGTAATGCGGTCTTTTGCAGAGTCGTCGCCGTCTTCTGAAAGAATCAGGTCATGGCTCGCTTGCTCGTCGAGGACGCGGGCTACGCCGAAATGGACGAGCAGAGCAGCCTCTTCAGGCATGAGCTGCAGAGGAAGACCGAGGAAGACGGACTGCTGGGGCACCTGCGGCAGGGTGCCGACGAGGATGCCAGAGATGTGGTGCTCATTGCGAAGGGCCTTGACAGCGTCTATGTCAAAGACGAGGTACTCGCCATCGACATAGCTTATGTCGACAGGAGCAGGCATACTACAGACGAGTTAGAAGCCGGAGGGGAGGAGGGAGGAGATAAGTATGGCCTGGCGTAGAATCATAGACTAGTTACAACACCTGCGCAGTGCGCTTTCAGGGGATTGACAGATTATTCTTTGAGTTTATATAATCATGTAAAGCCAGGCCATGTATGATAAGATATAATAAGAAAAGGGAAGAAGTACCTCTGGAGAGCAGTAAGGTGCTGCTTGAAGGAGCGGGGGACTGGCTGGCCATATCTGAGGACGAGTTAGAGAGCGGAAGAAAAAAAAGGTAGTAGAGAAGAGAGAAGAGGAGCAGAGTCAGAGCTTCTTAGAGGATTGCCGCTTCATCGGGGCGATAAGCCCGCTCGCGTGCGAATAAGAGTTCATCATTCAAGCATTGTCTTCTGAGGAGAAGAGGAATACTTACAGAGGGTAGAGGTAGAGCAGCAGAACAGCAAGCAGAGAGCAGAAAGCAGAGCAGAGAACAGAAAGAAAGAAAAAGGAAGGACGAAGTGACCTGTGATCCACAACTCACAATGTGACCCAGTGTCTGTGTTTAGCACAAATTACACACAAGCCCCGTACAATCAGTGTTAGCGGTAGTCAGCGGCCCCTTCCTGCTGCTGCCGCCCGCCGCCGTCCTTTTCCTTCCCCTTCGTCGCTGTTGTCGCCTCTTATTTTTTGTCTCCCACCCGTTCTCTTATCTTTCTCCCCTCGCAATCCATTCCCTCTCTCGGTGATCTTCTGCTGAATGTATGTATCTTCTTCTCCTCTTCTTTTATTCTCTATCTACGCCTTTCTCGGTCCGGATGCGATTCGCTGCAACGCTGGCGGCTGGGCGACCCACCCTCCGGTGCTCACAACACTCCCCCCGTGCGCCTCCTCGCCCTTCCCCCATCCCATCCCATCCCGGCCGCCAATTGCATCCATCTTCTTCTTCCTCAATCGTCTTTCTCTTGCTGACCTCCGTCCTCTTATCTCTCGCAGATTCAGAATGGGTCTTTCTATCTCAAAGCTTCTCCAGGGCCTCTTTGGCAGAAAGGTATGTAGCTCATCATCCGTCTTCCGGCCTCCTCCTCCCGCAATCCAATTGCAGCCCGCTAATCAATCGTGATCTACACAGGAGATGAGAATATTGATGGTCGGTCTCGATGCCGCTGGTGAGTCTGCTTCGCTGCTTTCATTGTTTTGTTGCTCAACCGCCCTTGGACCGGCCCTGCTGCCTCCGACCTTCGAGCCACGCGGCTGTGCAGACTCCACAAACACAACGCGCTAGCCCAATCGTCTCCACGGCCCCCTTTTCGCCCTCCCGCTAATCCAATCGCATCCTCTTCTACTATTTATTCTTTGAATTAATCGTCTTCTTCTCGATCGATGCGATTGGTCCGTCGGAGGGCGCTCGCGGAGGGTCGTCGGCGTTTGACTTGGCGACGTCGTTTCTTTGTGCTCCGCTGTTTGCCACACCGCCCGGCTCCGATCGCTCGTCGCTCCTCCTCCATCATCGTCTGCTGTCCTCTTTGCTAACCATCTGCTCTGCTTTCTTTTGCTTTTCTGTTTGATTTTAGGAAAAACGTAAGTTTTGTTTTTATTCCCTGCTACCCCTTATCTCTATCTCTGTCGATCCGCTAAAATTGCCTCGTGCTAACTTTACTTATTTTTATCCAGCACTATCCTTTACAAGTTGAAGCTCGGTGAGATTGTCACAACCATCCCCACAATCGGCTTCAACGTCGAGACTGTCGAGTACAAGAACATCTCTTTTACAGTTTGGGATGTCGGTGGACAGGACAAGATCCGTCCTCTCTGGCGCCATTACTTCCAGAACACCCAGGGCATCATCTTCGTCGTCGACAGTAACGATAGAGAGCGTATGCCCGAGGCGCGTGAGGAGCTCCAGAGAATGTTGAACGAGGACGAGCTTAGAGATGCTCTCCTTTTGGTCTTTGCCAACAAGCAGGATTTGCCTAACGCCATGAACGCTGCCGAAATCACAGAGAAGCTTGGTCTCCACTCCCTCAGACAACGAGCCTGGTACATTCAGGCCACCTGCGCCACCAGCGGTGACGGTCTTTACGAGGGTATGTCATCCATCTTATTTAATCTTGTAACATTTACTAACTAGTATATCATAGGCTTGGAATGGTTGAGCACAAACCTCCGCAAGCGCTCATAAAGCTCTGAAGAAAAGCATACTACCGTTCAGTTGTCCCCGCAGTTATATAGTTACCGTCATTATCGCGTTGTATAATGTGTTTTTCTATGCTTTTTATTAGTAGCAATTTATGTCATTTATTTTTTTGTCTTGTTCTTCCAATGTCTTTAATTGAATTTATTAAAGCAACTTATCTATTTACTCTCTTTGCTTCCAACAAGTTGTTTTATAATTGGCTGTTTTTAATAGCTTTGTGCATACGCCAAGTATATAACCGTCTTTTTTATCTTCTTAGTTTTACAAGTCGCGTTGCAAGCTTGCAATCTCTTTCTTATATGTACGAAGCCTTTATAATAGCGCAGCTTGATTCTGTTTGTTTTACTTTATTTTTGGAAATGGATTCATGATGAGCAACACGCGCCTTTTATGATTTGATTAGTCTCTCTTTTCCTCCAAAAATATTATTCACGAACGACTCTGTAAAGACATTGTATTGATTGCGACTAAAACTTGAGTAAGATGATGATTTACTGCTTCTGCGTACCGTAGCCACGGATGCCCTCTGCGAATCTCCAGTTCATGTTCTGACATCTGACGTTCTTGTCCATCTTGACCTCGCCGTCGAGCGTGACGGTCGCGACGGTGTACTTGTCCAAACTCCGCGCGTCTCTGTAGAAGAGCACTTTCATGCACTCGTCAATGACCTTGCGCGCCTGCTCCTCGGAGACGTTCTTCGCGTCGGCCTCCTCGGAGACGATTTTCCGCATGAGCGGGATAGCGAGGTATGCGCCGTATCCGGTCGCTATCGAGGGCGAGGAGTAGGTGACGCCGAGCAGGTCGACGTAGCCGAGGAACGGGGAGCCGTCGTCGTTCTTGCCGGCGACGAGGATGGCGTTCCATAGCGGGTCGATCTTGCTGCGGCGGTTGTACATCACCCGCGAGAGGTACTCGTATATGTGTGGCGCGCGGAGGTGGTGGCCGTCTTGCGGGTAGTTGTCCTCGATTCTGGAGGAGAAGAAGTTGAGGTTAGTGGTGGTGCTGACATGACTTCCATCACAGGTGATGGGGGTTTTAGAGGAACAATACATACAATAAACGCTCAAGAAGAAGCTCAATGTACTGCTGATCAGACGCGTCTCCACTGATTCCGACGACGGTCTCGTTGCCGACCTTGATTAATCGCTCCTGATCCGTGAATCTCGCGAGCGATCCATACGATCCTGTTCATCATCAACCCGTCAGTCCACATCCCCTCCACAGCACCGCATCCTTTTCTCACAACACTGGAAAACATACCCAAATTATCTGCAGCAAGCATGACGCCGTTGTCGAACTTCATCGCGATAACACTGGTTCCCGTGATTGACGGCGTCTGCGTGCGCGACTGCGGGCCCTGGCCGGCGTTGTGGATCGCGCTCTGGTACTCGCCGTACACATCATTCCGGGGACGGCCCCAATTCTCTGGCATATGATCCATGGCGGGTGTACACACTTAATCGCAGAATCAAACAGAATATAACAAACTTGCAATAACTCGCAATCGATGGGCAAACAACTGACCGATATCTGACTGCGAATCGAACGAGCGAGAAGTGGTCTCGCAAGACGCCCCCAGCTCCTGATGTCAGCAGTGAGGGCTGTGTAGACAGCACGTGACTAGACAGCCGCACGCGTCGAGAAGGTGAAAGGGCCAGAATGTAAACAGATGGGGCCCGGTCTGCTTGCGAACGAGATCTGCGAGAGCACAGAGAGACTGCAAAGAAGAAAAAAAAAACAGAATGTCTACGGGCGGTTCACGACGGCTGAGGCGCGAGGATGCAGCAGCAGAGGCGAATCCGTCTGCGGAGACGTCGGCCGCGTTGCTTGCGTCGGCGCGTAAACGACAGACGACGACGACGACGGCTCGGCGCGGTCTTGCGCCGGAGGTAGACACGCAGTCTGTGGTCTCGGATGCTAGCGCGGGGAGTAATAGCACGAGGCGGAGCGCGCGGAGGTTGAGGGGTGTAAGAGGATCGGTGTCGCCTTCGCCTTCGCCTTCGCCTTCGGTAACTACTAGGGCTGCTGCGAGGAGGGAGGCGGAGAAGGCGCTCAGGGAGGGGAGTCCTAGTATTCGTATGTTTCTTCTTTTTGGTTTTTTATTGAACGTTGGACTGATGAGTACGTGTGATGTATAGTGGACGAGGACGACAGATCAATGGTATCAGACGATGATTATACAAGGCCAGACGGATCACGAGCACTCCGCAGATCAGGCTCGGTCGATTCAGAAATAGTTTCAGACTACTCGTTCAGCGAAGAAGAGAAAGAGTACAAAAACCTCGAGATCAGCCGACAAGAAGCAGAAACGCCGGATGTGCGCCCGCCAGCATCATCAGCAGCGGCGGTGAACAATCACCTTGCGTTTGTGATTGCGCGGTTCATTGCCAACTTTTATCGACAAACGACCTCGGCCGAGCTCTTTGCGTATCTCGGGGTGCTTTTGACGGGCGCGTGTGCAGTGGCTTTAGTCGCGGGGGTAGCGCTCTCGAGCAGGTCTGCCGGCGGGACAAGGCCCGTGATTCCGGTTTTCGAACCGCCTGCGTCGGCGCCGAAGGACGCGTACGAGGCTATGATGCGGCTGCTTGATCTCGAGACGAATCTGGATATGATGAGCGCTGCGTTTGGCAGTATCCAGGCTGACTACTTGAAGTATTATGCGGAAAAGAGTGAGCGGTTTGATGCGTTTGAAAGCGAGGTTGGTGCTGCTATGACGGCGCAGTCTGGGCGGTTTGAGACGCTGTATGAAGAGACTGCTGCTGCTGCTGGGGATACCGAAGCGGCTTTTGGCAGACTTGATGAGTCGTTGAAGAAGGTGCTGCAGCAGTACGAGGGTATGCAGAGCGACATCAGCAAACTGTCGTACCACCTCACCGACATCAGCGAGACGACAGACGCCGAGTTTGCAGACTACACCGACAAGCTGGAGACGGTCTACACGAGGCTCGACAGCATGAAGTCGTCGATCGGGCAGGTCAAAGACCGGCTTGACGGGCAGGAACTCGAGATTGGGAATCTGGCCACGAGCGTCTCGGCGCGGTCGGACAGGATGGACGGGAAACTTGCGAAAATGGTGGATGCCGCGCAGGAGACGGCGGTGCAGGCGATCGAGCGCTTGCTGCCGGAGAGGGTACCCGTGCGGGTGCAGGATAACGGCGAGTTGGCGGTCGACCCGTCGTTTTACAAGTACCTGCAAGCCGCGTTTGCGACGCAAGAGGAGGCGAAGGAGGCGTGTGCGCAAGCGGAGGAAACTAAGCACACGGTGCTGGAGAAGCTCGCGTTTTGGAAGAGACGGGAGCAGGGAGCAGACCGGACAGAGCAGCAGCAGCAGCGTCGGCAGCAGAGTACACTACCCCGACGAGATCTGACGTGGAGCGAGTTTCTGGAGAAAAACGAAAAGTCGCTGCAGACGTACATTGATCGCGAGTATCGAGGGTGGATCGGGCAACTTGACGAGCGGGAGATTTTTGTCGACAAGGACACGGTCGTTGACGTAATCCGGAAGGAGATGGATAAAGTGAAGAGCGAGACTGCGCGGCGGCTGCGCGAGTCTGAGCAAGAGCTGGACGAAGTCGTGCAGGAGAAGATTCCCAAGACGAAGCGCAACGCGCAGATTCTCGCGGACGCGTCTGCGGCGGCGGCGGCGGGACAGCCGGTGACGAAGGGGTCGGCGAATCTGACGCAGACGGCGGTGGAGACGCTTGTCGAGGAGGTGCTGCAGCGGTACCATGATGGGCTGGAGATGAAGGTTGATTACGCGGATGTGGCGCGCGACGCGAGGGTTAATCCGTTTGTTACGAGTCCTACGTTTATCGTCGGCGGCAAGGCGGAGAGATCGCTGATGAGTCTGGTATGGAGCCAGATCAGGCAAATGGGCGAGGAGTATAACCCAGAGCTGACGTCGGGCGATTGCTGGCCGTTTGAGGGAACGAGCGGCGTGCTCGGGATTCGCCTTGCGAGTCCCATTTTCCTGACCGAGGTCGCGATCAAGCATGTCCCGTTCGGAAGTCCTGTCGCGCCAAAGGATTTCGAGGTATGGGCAGAAATCAAAGACGACGAAGAACGAGCCGCGCTGCAGCAGAAATTACATGACCTCGACGTATTTTCCCGCCCTTGCGATGACGACGACGAGGACTGTATACCCGAACAACTCAGCAAGGACTCATCCGTCCTGCTCTCGCTCGACGCCCCGAACTTCATCAAACTCGGCCGGTTCAGATACGAAAACAACGGCCCGCTACATCTCCAGAGCTTCCGATTCCCGGCCGCGGCCGCGCAGTCGCTGAGACGGGTGCCGGTCTCGAACGTGGTTTTCAAGTTTGATTCGAATTGGGGGGATCCGGATGCGACGTGTGTTTACAAGACGTTGGTGCATGGCGTGCCTTTGTATGAGTAGTCTTTTTTCTGGTTTTCTTTTTGAGATGTGAGAGGTGGTGATTCTTGGCGATTCTGGCGTTTTGCTTTTTTTTTCTTTTTTATTTGTTTGATGGTTGCAGCTGCTGTTTTATGAAAAGTAATAAAGCTGTTGTATGAAGAGTAATAAAACCACTGATTGAAGTTGTTGAGGGTAAGCTTTTCTTGGTAGGCGAGGTTCTTGGCTGTGGAAGTAGGGCCGAGTTGCAGCAATAGGCAGTGCAGCAGGTCACACTGCGTAGATAAGCGGTGCTAAGTTTTCCAGATAAGAGCAGTTCAGAATAAATAGTTACAGAAACAAAGAAACATAGGAAAGCGATAAAGTACAGGGTAGATGTCATCGCGGAGATCCCGCCTCAAAGATACCCACCAACCACAACTTCTCCCAATACTCGTCCTCCGCCGATCTTTCACACCTTCTCCTCTTCTACTATCCACATTGTTCCGCAGTATAATAAGCATCCGTGCGTAGCGGCGGAAAGAGCGCGGTGCAGGGCCGGGGCTGGATGATCTTAGCTTAGCTTATCTTGGCCCCTGCCCCTGCCCCTTGCCTTCTCCGCGCGGCTCGGTTGTCGCTCCCGCTTATCGGGCTGATAAGCGATTGGGATTTCGTCGATCGTTGCTGCGTGCGCGCATGGCGGGGATAGCGCGCGGGGGATATGCGGAGATGATGTGGGTTGTTTGTTGAGTGATGTTGTTGATGATGATGATTGTTGGTTCTGAATGTTGGCTGGAGGGGTGGTTGATTGTGAACTTGCGGTGGACGCGGTGGATGTTCCGCAGCACTAACTAATCCAGACCAGACTGACAGATCCAAGAACTATCAACTGGTGTATTTATAACCTGCCTCGTAGAACCAACCTCCTTTCCTCCCTCCGCAGTCACAGAAAATGACCCTTCTCGACGAAAAAACAGCCCAAACAACGACCGCCGTCGTCGAGCTCGACGCAGACTCCCAGCATGCTTCTCCCGCCGACGAGGAGAAATCAAAGTGGGCGCGCCTGCGCGAGGGCGTGAATTGGTATATCCCCGGGACGACGGCGCGGGAGAAGAAGTTGTTGCTCAAGCTCGATCTGTCGATTTTGCTGTTTGGATGTCTTTCGACGTTTTCAAAGACGCTGGATAATAACTCGCTTACGAATGCTTATGTCTCGTATGTACTTCTTTTCTTTCTTGCTTGCTTAATTGATTGAGTGAAGTGCTAAGAATGACAGTGGAATGAAGGAAGATCTAGGCCTGGGTGGCAACGACCTCAATTACCTCCAGGCAGTCTACTACGCGTCCTACCTCAGCTTCATGATCCCCGCCAGTTTCGCGCTCACGCGCCTACCGATCCAGCGGATCCTGCCGACGATGGAAGTCCTATGGGGCGCGTGCACGTTCGGCTGCGCATGGTGCCAGAACCTGACGCAGCTGTACGTCTGCCGGTTCTTCCTCGGCGGGTGCGAGACCGTCGCGTTCACGGGGCTCATCTACATCATCGGCAGCTGGTACCGGCGCGGGGAGATCGGCGTGCGGTTCAGTCTGTACACGATCGCGTCGCCGCTCGGGGGGATGATCTCGGGATACCTACAGACGGCGACGTACACGAACCTGAACGGCACGCACGGGCTTGAGGGGTGGCGGTGGTTGTTTGTCGTGTGCTTCTGCATCACGGTGCCGTGCGCGGCCATCGGCTTTGTGTTTTTCCCAAACTCGCCCGAGTACACGAAGCCGTCGTGGTGGTTGACGCAGGACGACATCGATCTGACGATGGAGCGCCTGCGGAGCGAGAAAATCCAGCAGATCAGCAAGCAGAAGGTAAACTACCGCCGGCTGGCCAAGAAGTGTCTTCTCGACTGGCACTGGTACTTTTTCGTGTTTGCCTGGTGCTTGTACGATCAGAACCAGTACTTCAGCGGCACGCCGTTCAGCTTGTATCTCAAAGCAAACTCGGACAGGTACTCGGTCGCGAATATAAACAACTACCCGACGGTCGTCAAGGCAATCTCGATCTTCGTCACCCTGCTGGGCGGGTACTACTCCGACAAGACGCTCGACCGCTACACGCCCTGTCTGATCACCGCCGTGCTGACGCTAATCGGCGCCATCATCCTCTGCGTCTTTGACGTCTCCGAGGGCGCGCGGATTTTTGCGTTCTTCGTCGCCGGCGCGGCAAACTCGATGAACAACTTCCAAATGACCTGGGCCTCGGACGTGACCAAAGACGACCCGGAAGTCCGCTCGCTCATCACCGCGTCCATGAACTGTATCGGCCAGGTCTTTCTCGCGTGGGTCCCGATCTTGACGTTTCCGAGTAACAAAGCGCCGAGGTTTAAGAAGGGCTTCACGTTCTCTGTCATCACGGCCGCGTTGCATGTCGTTACTGTCACGGCGATCTTCTTGCTCGAAAGGAGGGACGTGAGGACGGGGAGGAAGGCGAGACGGATGTTGGAGAGTCACGCGGCTAGAGAGCAGGCCGAGGCTGAGGTCGTGAGAGATGACCAGCTGTCGTTGGAGTCCGAGAAGAGAGCATCTGTTTAGCGGTGCTGTAGTCGTAACTTGTGAACATGATAGCTTATCAACTGTAGACTGTCTTCCCACGCGACACTTTCCGCGCAAAAGCCAGACGGCTAGAGAACAGGCAGAGGCTGAGGTCGTAAGAGATGACCAGCTGTCGCTGGAGTCCGAGAAGAGAGCATCTTTTAGTGTTGCTGTAGTTGTAACTTGTGAACATAGTATAGCTTATCAACTTCAGATTGTCTTCCCACGCGACACTTGTTCTGCGCACATGGCCAAACCTTACAAAATCTGTCAACCAAAGTCCAAACCAAACATCGCCTTTGCAGAACAATACGTAGGATGTCAAATCCTGCAGACTCTGCAGATTGACGCGCGTTGCGTGGGCGTATGTACAGTTAAGGGTTTCAGCTGTCGCGAAATACACCCCAAGCTGCCAATCCAACGCAAGCTAGGATCCACAATCTGTATCCGACTCAACATCGACAACCTCAACAGATGTAGATTACCGTAAACTGCAGACCAGTAGAATATCGAGCCCAAAAACATTCAAGAAACCCGCGCCTACCGCTCCTTCTCCCCCCGCCTCTGCACCCGCCCCATGATTTTCTCCGCCTTCCTCTTCTCCACCAAAAACTGCTGCGTATAAAGCCACAGAAACTCCCTCAAACAGACCAGTCCTGCGCCAGACCGGCTCGCGGCCGAGCACCCGAGGACAAACGTCACGGACTCAGAGTCGCTCACGGAGGCGGCGAGGTCTGGGTCCGCGCGGGTTTCGGAGAGTAGGTGCGCGGGCGAGGAGGAGGAGGAGGAGGAGGAGGAGGAGACGGCGCCGCTGCCGGGGATCGGGTTGTACACTGTCCAGATGTGGCGGCGGTGGTGGTGGGAATGGGAGTGGGAGCGGTTGTGGCAGGGGGAGAGGGTATTGGGGCGGTTGTGCTGGTGGGGGGTATTTGGAGCGAGCAGTTCGAGGAAGCGGGACATGCGCTGCGCGGTGAGGCGGGCGATGGAGTGGTGTTGGCTGTCGATGAAGACGATGAGTTTTTTGCCGGGTATCGAGCGTAGGAAGAGAATGTCGCGTTTCCAGGTGTCGTCGGGGGAGGAAGAGGAGGAGGATGCAGTTGATGGCGCACGAGTCGGCGAGGGCAAAGAAGAAGTGGACGAGGGAGGCGAGGAAGAAGGTGGAGAGGGAGAGGGCAAGGGCACGGGAGCGTAGCGGTAGAGGATCGCGTCTGAAGACCAGATCTGAGCGGATTCAATCTCGAGATTCGCAGTCGTCGGCAGGGTCCCGGGCGAGACTGCAGACTGGGCATGAATATGCACCGCCGGCGGCGGCGAGTTGGTCGACGTCGAGGAGTTGCTGCGAGGACGTGCTGCGAGTGATAGTTTGAAGAATCCATAGAGCGGATAGAACTCGCAGCAGTAGCAGACGGTGATTCCTTTTTCTGCTGCGGTCGTTGGCGACTTCGGCTCCGAGACCAGTCTGTCGATCAACGATCCGCCGCAGCCGAAGGACGAGGAGGGGATATGGTTGTTGAGGATAAAGAGGCGCATGTGCGGAGGTAGGTCTGGATAAGTAATTTTCCCAAGCCAGTTTTCGTGATAAGTGTCCTGCGGTTCGAGGGCGTTGGAGTCGCGACAAAGGTCTGGTGCAGCAGCATCATCAGCGGCCACAGAGTCTTTGTGCGAAGAAGGCGTCATGATGGTCGTTGTGGGGGCAGGAATGCCGGGTTTGCATAACAACAAAGATGCATGATGGGAAGAAAGAGCGGAGTGGGATAAATATGGATATTTGGATAGATTTGGTGGTCGAGGGACAAGGAGCGAGGAAATAGCTGAAGGAGGAGGAAAGTCGAGCGAAAGGCGAAAGTGGCAGCAGCAACAACGAGCGAATCCCAGCGCAGCAGCAGCAACTCTCCCACACCAACTCAGAGAGACATATTGAACCTGTTCATAACTCGATATCTCTCATTATCTGCGCAGCTCTGCAGATTGTCTGTTCATATGAGTTTCGGTAAGTTTGATATTTATTGACGATTGTTTATTGAAATTAAAAAGATATGAAAGAGTATTTTCTGGATGGTCGGTCAAATGCGGCATAGCGGCCCGGAGAAGCAGCTAAGGTTTAATAGGTTTAATACTCTGGTTCCCAAAAGTTCTGGTCGTTGTCACCGGCTGCGGTTGGAGTAGATAGCAGCGCGACTGCTGCGATGAGTACGAAGAGAAGAAGCAGTTGACAAACAGATAGAAAAATCAAAGAGAAGCAAAGAAAGACAGATCTGCGTCGGCTCGAGAACATCTTCCGAATCTTGACTTTCCTCGTTCCCGACCCGAGACTTTCTCGAAGCCAATCCGAATTTCACTCCCACGCCTTCCTCCTCGCTCCTCGCTTCCTTTCACCTCCTTTCCTCCTCTTCACCAACCAAATGTCTCAGGACATATAGGCTAGACTCCAAGGGACATCCGGTCCCGCCGGATTCTTTAGAGTCTGACCCGTGGATTTTTCCGGCTCCGAGGATAGTTTGCAAAGGTAATTTTGGCGTGGGGCAGGTTTTGCTTTTCGCTGCTCGGGATGGGAGGGAGGTAGGTTGCCTGTTTTCATGTTTTGTGTGGGTGTGGGAGGACGTAGGCTGATTCAGAGATGGTAGTTATCCAGATTTGCTCCGTCATGCTCGCGTCTTGCTCGCGTTAGATGCGTGTTGTAGACAATATACACAAACATGCTGCACCTTTCCAAGAGTATTACCTCGACAATAATATCACAACACAAAACAAAAGAACCACCTTCCCTCCCCATCATCAACCCACGCCTCTACGAAAACCAGCTCTACACCCTCCTCTCCCTCCTCCACTCCGCAACCGCGCGATCATGCAGCTTTCTCGAGAGCCCGTTCCGCACGAGCACGAACTTCACGCCGAGTTTCCGCTCGACCTCTTTATTTCGCGACTCGTCGTCGAAAAAGATCATGTCGGCGTACGCGATCCCGGTTTTTTCGTGGAGGGCTTTGAAGTGGGTTATTTTCGAGTCTGGAAGTAATAATTAGTTGGTTGCTGCTGAGATAGTCGATGTCGTAGATTGTTGGAGATATAGATAGAGGGGACTGACCGGGATAGATCTCTAGTACGGAAAAGTGATCGATTGCTCTCCTCCCATCGATATGAAGAAGAGAAAGCATCGCGCGCGCAAGATCAGGAGCATGAGTCCTGCTCGCGGCCGCGATCTGGACGTTTTTAGTGGACGAGAGGTCGGCGATGATGCCGGGCACGTCGGGGTAGAACGCCATTTCTGAGCCGTATCTGTGGATCCAGGTGTGTGAGTTAGGTAGGAGAAAAGGGTTAGGATGGAGGAAGAGGGGAGGAGGAGGACCTGTCTTTGATGGCTGTGCCGGGTTCGGTTGGATGGGCTTTGATAGGGGGTGTTATGTGGGTATCGCACCAGCACTTATCGAGAATCACGTCAGATATTGACCGAAAGGAAGCAGAGAATATAGACAGCAGTAACATACAGCTAGACTATACTGTCAGAACAAGCAGGGAAGATTAAGAGAAAGAGACAAAGACGCACGCCAGAGAGTATAATCAAGATCATAGACAAACAGCTTAGGCAGATCATTCTTAGAAGACGAAGCCGCCATGATTCCAGACCCACACGCACGCGCACAAGCAAGCTCAAAAAAAAGATAGATTCAGTAAAAAATACGAGGAAAGCGGGCCGACGCGTGAACGAGCGGAACGGAGAGATTTCGCGTGGACGAGGCGTGGGATGCTGAATGCAGCAAGTGGAAAACAAAGTGAGAGAGAACGAAAGAGGAAAGCCGAGGGGGCGAGGAGTGGGCCGATAGCCGCGGGGAGATAGTTTGTCAGGTGTTAGTCAGCGGGATATGATTTAAGACCGGCGGTGGTGTTGTTAGAAGTGATTATCTAGTAGAAATACAGATATTATAGAAGAAGAAGTGAAGAAGAGAAAAGAGAAGCAGTTAATAGTGGATGCTGAATGAATGTGATGCTTGCACTCGACTGCAGTGCGCTCGCTGCAGGCCGCCCAGGTCCGACCCGGGTCTCTGAAAGTGAATTTTGAGCGGAAGACGAAGAAGATTAGGATTGGTTAATTATGGGGCCTGGCAAAGTTAGTTCTGGCCTGACTGGCTCGTCTGCTCTATTATGAAGAGAAGAGGAGCGGGGATGATACTGTGTGTTTGAGGAAGATTAAGAGGAGATAAAGAGGAGATTTAGAAGGTCAAGAAGAGATGAAGAAGAGAATAAGAAGGGTCAAAAGAGGTGGTGATGATGAAGGAAGAGAATAAGAAGGGTCAAAAGAGGTGGTGATGATGAAGTTGGCCAAATACAGTGTCAGAATAAGGAATTAAGCGTGAGACGGGATTTGATACGAAAGCAGCAGACCAGAGTCAATACCAACCCGCCCTTCTTCTCTCTCCTGCCGCGCTCTTCCAGTCACGTCAGCAAACCATGACGAACGGTATGAACGTGCATGCAGATGCTGCCGCATCGATCTCTGAATGATCAAATCAAGGGCCCTGCAGCGGCTCCCGACCGAGGGTTGTATATTACCCTTTCCGGCAACCCTCTGCAGTGATATCTCGAATCGCAAGCAACGCAAGTCAAAGCAGAGAAAACCTGCAACGTGGTCCGTACTTGACTACTTTAGCAGTTCGCAGCGGGCGCAATGCAAATCAGACCTTGCGGCCAGGTGCACCTACACGCCCCCCGTCGTCCGCGTGGCTCCGTCGGAGGTTTCCGTTTCTCGCGTTGCTACACGTGTTGTGCTTGTCCTTGTGCCGAGGGCTTGCTTGGTCTCGTTATTCTGGCTAAATTGAGCTCGCATGTGATTTTCCTCTCTCCGGCTGCTCTCTCTTTCTCTCAAGTTCAGGCAGTTTCTAGAGCAGAGCAGGTATCTCTAAAATCAAAACAGAGCAAATAAAAATTCAAATAAGAAAGAATGCAAGATCGAAAGCCGATAAAGAAAAGATCTCATGCATCGTGCCGTGCATCACCGATTATTTCCGTAGGGTTTTTAGCATCCCCCTCCATCTCATCTCCCGTCACCTCCTTCAATCCTCCTCTTCTTCATCTCATCTTCATCTCCTCTTCCTCCTCTATCTCTTCTCGACTTCACATCCCCACTCCAACCCACAGTATATCACACAGCGAAACCCCCGCCCTCCGGCATTGACCAAACCCCCACGCCACCCAACCCCTCCGCAGGTTCGCAATACAGTTTAATACCAAAACCATATAACCTCTATTATCAATAAGCTTTTTTCTGCTTTCACCAGTTCGTCTTCCTCTCGGTCTTTGCCGTCTGTTTTGCCTTTTTTCTCTTCCTTTTCCTTCTTTTGTTTTCTTCTTTTCCTTCTTTTTCTTCTTTTTCTTTGCTTTTTGTGGAAGTTTATGGTTTGGTTTTGTTTCTGCTCTGCTTCTGGACTTTGGATCCCGCTTCCGTGGATCTGCTTCTTATCTCACAACATCAACTCCACCTCGGGTGATTGTTCTCTCGACATTCGCCCTTTCTTCATCTTCACCTCTACCACTCTTACTACTCTACCACTCAAAATCATACTAAACGCCTACTAGCTCTCAATTATTCCAGTCATAACTACATTACATACATACACTTACATACTCTACACTTCCTAATTACACTACACTTAACTCAATGCCGTCGATCCCGCCATCACCCTTCTTCCGGGTCATCAAACCCTCCTATTTATCCGTCTCGCTTTCGGCTCTCGGCTAGTGCTGCGAAAAATAGTCCCCCACTTGCCACAGCCTACTCGTATCTTGCGAAACCGACTGCCCATTTGCCTGCTGCAGACCATGACTTTCGTTATTATCACTGCTCGGCCTCACGCTCTCTCGGCTCTTGTACATGTGCATACCGTTATCTAGCATCGGCGGTTCAACTGGCGGGAGGGTGGACGACGTAGACAGACTCGCTTGTCCGCCGTATAGAGATGTCAAACTGCTGCCTGCCATCCGCGGCGAATTCATCGCTCCTGTAGTGCTCTGCAGTCCTTGATTCTCCTGCTTTAGAAGCGTAGGCGACTGTAGAATCAAACTATCCTGCATCGCGGACTGATATCGTCCTGTTAGTAACTAAAATAACTCGACACAAAAGAACAGCGAACAACGAGTTGTGAAACTACATACATATTTCCCAACTATCTTCTTCAACGCCGGTCCTAAAACCTTCCACGGAAACACCTTCACGTCCTTTTCGATATTTCGCGGCTTCGGACTCGGAAACCCCATAATCAGCTTAAAGAAATGCTCGCACTCGGCCTTACCCTTCGACACCGTCAGCGGCCGGTACCCCTCCAGGTTTCGGCGAATGCGGTTTTTCTCCTCAACAGTGAAATGCGACGACACCAGTTGCTCGAGCAGCGCGATCGTGTCGACCGAGGTCACGTAGTACTCCTTCTTGCGCGCCCAGTGCAGACACGAAATCACGCATTCGCCCTGCCCGCGCCGCTGCGACAGCGAATTCCCCGACACCGACGGCACGCTCGAGATGTACTCCTGCTGACTCAACGGCGCCGCCGTGACGCGGATGACGGACCCGTGCTGCGTGTACGAGAACTTGACGAGCCGGCGCTGCGACTTCCACTCGTCCGCCGTCCAGTTGTGGGTCAGCGCCTCGAGGTCGGTGTGGATTCGCAGGCTCGCGCGCATCGCTGACGACGACGACGGCTGGTGGTCCGCGGGCGATACGTGCTGGGCTAGCGGTGAAGAGGCCGACGACGGGGCGGAGGAGACGTAGTTGGGCAGTGTCGAGGTGCGCACGAGGATAGGCAGCGGGAGCATGGCCGAACCGCTGTCGTCGCCGTAGTCGCCAGTCAAGGAGTGCTGTGGGGTTTGTTGTGGCTGTGATGATGGTTGTGGCTTTGACTGCTGCAGGTAGAGTTGAGAGGACTGCGGGGGTGGTGGTATGCCGGAGTAGTAGATCGAGGAGGAGATTGACGGCAGAGACTCGGCATAGTGCTGTTGCTGCTGTTGTGGAGGTGGCGGTGGTGGTGGTGGAGGTGGTTGTTGGTAGAGCGACGATGAGCCAGATGAGGCCGAGGACCGCGCAGGGGAATAAGCAGACGAGGGAGGTGGTGGAGGAGGAGGAGGGGAGTAGCGCAGATAGTCGCGAGGCGGAGGAGCGAAAGGGTTTTGCTGCTGCTGCTGCTGCTGCTGCTGGAGGGAGAGAGGCGAGTACGAGTCAAATTGCTGGGGAAAGGGCGAGTAAGTGGCGTAGGAAGGCTGGAGGTCGTAGGACTGCCTGCGGGGGTGGGGAAGGAAGTGGGGCAGGGGCGAGGAGAGGAGGGCGTAGGACTCGACGGGGATGGAGGCGAGTTCGTGGCCGGAGCGGGGGTCTTCGACGAGGAGGAGGACGGGGATGCGCTGGTTTATGAAGCGGTCGGGTAGATGGGGGATCTGGGCGGTGAGGGCAAAGTAGCGGGACGAGGACGAGGACGGGGAAGTGTTTTGGGGCGGTGCGGTGCGGGCGAGGGCGACGGGGACGCGGACGCCGGCGAAGGCGAGGAGGAGGACGAGCGAGGGCGGGTTTGCGAGGAGATCAGAGGGAGAGTCGACGTAGACGGTGAAGGCAGAGCCGTGGTGACCGCGCGGGTCCGAGCAGCCAATGACGATGGGCAGCTGCAGATTCATTGATCCATGGCAGGGAGAGGAGGGGAGGGAAGGGGAGAGAGAGAGGGAGGAGAGGGAGGGGGAGGAGGAGAGGAAGAGGGAAGAGGAAGAGGGAGAGTATTATTTATAAGAACCACACGAGGACGAAGAGAAGAACAGGAGCGCAGAGGCAGTTGCTGGCTGCCCACCAGACACGTCCGAGTAGAGAAAGAGGAGCGGAGGAGAAGAAGAGGAGAACCTGAAGAAGAAACAAAGACTATTCTACTTTGTCTATCATATTCTAACCACTAAACACAGCAGCAACCAAAGAAGAGCTCATGGGCCGGAGCAGAGCGCAGTATACGAAGAAAGAGGGGCGCGAGAGTTGAAAGCGAGAGAGCCGGCCGCAGATAAAGCGCCGTTTTAAGGTTTCTGACCCGCTGCGTCTGGGGTGGACCCACCTACCCACCTGGATAACGGCAGGTGGGCCGACAGCTGCGAGAGTTTGGGGATATAAACTGATAGAGAGAATAGGTATTGCAGTAGATGGTATTGTAGAATATTTCATGATAATAGAATGCTGTGGTATTTCATCAGTGTAATACTGCACTGCACCAGTCTGCTGCCAGATCATAGTTTTGTTTTATTATTTAATTCACTTTTTAGCTTTCTTGTCTTCCTCAGGTCTCTGCCCGGCTCTGAGCGACGATGCCTTTTGATCCACCAATTTGTCAAAGTACCGCTTCCTCTTCCGCTGCTCTCGTCCTTTCCCTCTTTCTTATTACTCTGCTCGCTTCTGACCCTCCTTCGCAGTCCTGCTCGTTCTAGGCCATCGCCACGTGCTTTGACTTCAAACCTTTTTAGCGATCCGGACAACCTGGCGAAAACCCCGCAGGGCCTTGTCTCTTCTTATACCTCTCTGATGTGACCATTCTGTTCCTGTTCTCTGTAGTGATCAGAGTAGCTATTGGTTTTGCTCTAGCGACACTGTCTCTTTTATACGAACTCCTCTTGTACACACTCCTCTTATACACACTCCTCTTATGCACTGCGTGGAGACATCTCTATACATCATCCAACATATGCTGTCCACCTCTCATCTGCTACTCAACATCTGCTACTCAACATCAAGGCAGACATCCAGCTGAACAACCATGCAAACTAAGCAAGCCTTACATCTGAAGACTTCTGGTGTCGCAGGAGCGCGAGTACTATCTCACTGATCTTGACCTCTTCAATCAAGGTGGTATCAATCAATGAGTAGAGACCCGAGTGCATTTCTGTTCCTTGTGTACCTGGCTCATACAAACAGATAGATCTTTCTTTTCATAATTACAGAAAGACAGAGCATCTGTGACCATCTACATTCAACACCACAGAACCACAGAACAGATACCTCTTGCTACCCTCGCCAACCTATCAACGACAGACCCCCGCACCAGCAGTACACCACTTCATCTCCCCGCCGCGTGCTTTTCATACATCTGCACACTATACATCTATCAAGCACAGCCTAAGATATCTGCCTCTCCCGCTCTCGCTGTCTCAGCACAGGCCGTGGCTTGCTTGCTCGCATACACGTACCTCCTCTCTTGTCTCTACTCCACCGACCGCGAAAGTTCAATTCAAGTTTCGCAGCGGGTTTACCTCCCAGTCCGCCCTCTCATTCTTTCTGTATTTTCAGTATGCAGACAATCAGACTGCTGAAAGACAGTCATGATTTTTTATTCTGCGCATGCATTTACGCACAGTATGCGTCGCGGAAGGTGGGGGCCAGGATGGGGTTACCCTACTACACTATGCGGACTCGAATGCTATTCCGGTTTCTTTGCAGATTGTTTTCTGGTTGCTGCTTGTGAGATTTGTGAGAGATATTCCTGAAGAAAAAAGGTGTGGAAGAGAAAGATGGAAAGAAAGATGTGGAAGAGTGAGAGGATAGCAGTATTGATTGTCCACACAGTCCGTTTTACTGCTTCCCTTCGTTTTCGTCAAACCTCCACGATCTTCCTTCTCCGACATCAAAACTGCTGGATAACTATTACTGACTAGTATTTTATTCTGACCACTCTGAGTAGCTTAATCTATTTGCTGATACTTTGTTCAAGGCTTGATGACTCATGTTCTTTACAGTGGAAAGTGCATACAAGACCGTACGGTCGATGTCCCTGCAGAGGATCACGAAGGCTTCTCGGTTTGAGTGCGAGTGCGAGTGCTTTTGCCTCTGTTTTTATCAGTCTGGTCTATCGACAGCTTCTTCTTGCTACTATCTACTTCTATCATCTTAGCTCGCAAGACACGATTTATCATACAGTTCTGCAAATTAGCAGCAGGCAGCGGGCAGCAGGCAGTACTCAACACTCAGCACTCAGCAGACCCTAGCTAGCGCAGCCATTCTCAGACGGTAATATGCGCACAAATTACGAAAGTGCACTGGGAGTACTATCAGATGCGAACAAAGAGATAAGATGGGCTGTGCGGAAACAAGCACGTCCACCACACCGGCACAGCGAATACAACGACAAGCACAACCAAGACCGAACCTCCCTCAAATAAACAAAGATCTCCTATATCCCCCCTCTGACATCCCTGCTCTCTCCATCCAGACATCAGAGGATGATTCGGTTGGTTTGTGTGTTCGTTTTCATTTTAATAAGAACAATTAAGTTTGATACTGGCGACTAGCGAGCAATAGCGCTTCATAAAAAAATAAGTCGGTGGTTTAAGCGGTGCACTAGCTGTCGTGTACACCGCCTGTCTGCTCCTGTCCACATGCTCATAATAAGATACTGCTGCCACATTATTCCTATTCATATTCATCATAACATACACACCTCTTCTGCTCAGGAAGAAGTACAGTCACAGAGCCATTCAGAAAGTGCCCAACTCTAAACGCCCACAAACGAGCGAGCGAGCGCTAAAACGCTTAGCGCAGCGGGTGTCAGGCCGACAAATTAGCGTCAAACACAGACTAAACCTTGTTCTGGGCCGTCTTCCGCGCGCCGCTGGGTATGACGATATCGCTCTGACGTAGCGGTGGAGTGCAGTGCGGTGTAGTGGTGGAGTGGAGCGGGTGCAGGGAGGAGTGCAGGTGCAGTGCTGCGGAGAGTGCCGGCGGTCGATAAGGATCGTGACCGGCCCCGCTCGCCTGCTCTTGTTGCTCTTGATCTTGTTTTTTGCAGATGTGTTTATATCATTAGAAAGAAAGAGGAAAATACATTCTATCTGTTAGTGCTCTACTCGTCGCAACGATGCCACCGCTCGCTTCCGTATAGCCGAAGCCTACAGAGCCACAGTCCAACCCCCCCCAACGTAAACGAAATGAAAACAAAGACCAGACCTGACCTGAGACCAGCATTCTAGCCACCAGCACCAGCACTAAGACTACTAAACAGACGGGTCATCCTCTGTCTCTCGCTCCCCCAGCCAGGACCAGACCTATTCTGGCCTGTTTCAGCGCGCGGTGAGCGGGTGCGTGAACCTTCGCGAGTGCCAGGGCGGCGGGTGCATGGACTGCTCTGAGTGACTGAACTGTTTAATATTTAATACTGTTAATACAGTTGCTTCTAGTCTTCACTAGTTCCAACTCTCCTCTTCATCGATCTCTTGTTTGCTCTTATTCTTATTCTTATTCTTCATTCGTTATTCACTTCATCCACTCGTCCTCGTCACATCCTCCTCCTCCTTGGCCCATCGATCGGGTTCAAGACACTTCGACTGCCGCCATACGCACCGCTGGCTTCCCTCTGGCTCACTTCTGTCTCACCCAATCGGCGCGGAAATGTCTGCCTTCTCCATTCCTCTGCTTCCGCTCGTCTCGTCCTTTGTCTCGCTCGTACTTGTCTGTACTCTCTCTGTATTTTAAATGTTTCTTTGCATTGCGTTTTTTGCTTATTCAGCTGCTTAGTTGACTGGTGACTGGTGACTGGTGACTGCGACTGCTGAGCTGTGGTAATGTGCAGTCGGGCACTACTTCTCACTCCACAACTAGGGCTCCTCCGGCCTTACCACCGACCACCCCGACACCCCCCTACTCACCATCTCACTCCCATCTTCTCCTATTCGCATCACTTTCCTCTATCTCTAACAGTTTAGATCCAATTCGGGCATCCTAGTCGTCTCATCTCCTTCATCTTATCTCATTCATCTGATCTCTCCCCACTCTATCCTCCTCATCACCCCACGAAAAAGGCGAAAATCAGATATACCCATCTTTTCCTACCCCTCCAGCTACATCCTCGCACCTACATCCTCTCTATCTCTCCATCTCTCTCCATCTACTTCTACTTCTTCTACTCTGCAATGCATCATATTCAAATCTAAACATACCCCTCCCTCCACCCCCTCCTCAACCCCTCCGCATACCGCACCGCGTCCGCAGGAATACAAAGCGCGCCATCAAACCCCTTCAACCCCAACAACCCGCACCACACCTCATCCCTCTTCATCTCCTCCACCCCGACCTCCTCGCGCGCGACGTCCGCGCTCAGCGCTAACGCCGCGATCCCGAAAAACGCGTGCAGCGCGTCCGGCTGCACCGAGCGGCCGGGACACTTTGCGAAGCCGCCTAGAAGCGTGTTTTGTGTTTTTTGCAGGAGGAAAGCGGCGTTGCTGCGCACGTCTGAGAGTGTTAGTGCGCTTGTGGTCGAGTGCGTGCGCGAGGGGAGCATCGCGAGCGTGCCGCCGACCCAGAAGGAGTAGCATGTATCTGAGGGTTTATTGAACCGGCCGTTAAACCCCGCCAGCGACAACCCATCCTCATCCTCATCCTCATCCTCGCTCTCACTTTCCTCTTCATCTGTAAAAGCCTCGCGCTCGTCCGCGACCGTAGTCTGATGCATCAAGCACCACCGCACCAACTCCTGCAACCCTTCCTCGCCCATCGCCTCCGCGACCGCCTCCCGCGGCGCCGTCTTCCCCCGCGAAAGCAACTCGAGCGTTCCCACGCCGCAGTACGACAACCCACCATGCGACTCCGTAAACCCGCCCATCCCAATCCCTCCATCATACGCGACGCACTCGGCGACGATATACCGCCGCGCAGCCTCGAGATCAAACTCCGCCGCGCCCGGGATCTCGTCGCCGCCGATGATCCACCGCGCGGCCGCGGCGCAGTATCCGAAGCGGAGATCGCGCTCGCCAAAGTGCTCGTTCGAGCCGAGCAGGACGCCGGTGGCGAAACTGCCGTCGGCGCGCTGGCACGAGGACAGGAAGCGCATCATTGCCGGGCGGTCGATGCGCGAAAAGTCGTCGCGCAGGATGAGCAGCGTCGCGAGGGCGAAGTAGGTTCCGGCGGCGTGGCCGGGGTCGTAGATGTTTGGGGTGTCTGTGTCGGCGGAGGGGCCGGTGGAGAGGGCGGGGGAGCAGCGGAAGGCGTCGCGGGAGGGTAGTAGGCATGTGTCGTAGATCCAGTCGCGCCAGGCCGCGCATTGCTCCTCCGAGACTTTCGGCAGCCCGTAGGACTCCCTATCTTCTTTCTCTTCACTGTCATCATAAGGGAGACAGCCGAGCGTATCGAGCGCGGCGATGCAGAAAAACACAAACGCGAGACGAACGGTGTCGGTTGTCGTGTACTGCACTGGCAGCATGCGGATGTGGAAGTTGAAGAACCGAGCGTGGCGCTGGTGAGCAAAGAGCGATCTCGTCTGCTCCCGAGCCTGCTCCTGAGCCAGGGCGGTTTGTGCTGGCATCTTGTTGCTGGTGAGAATGAGATGTGTTGAGATGTGGCTTTGGTGGATGGATGGATAGCTGGATCAGAGACGTGCCATTTACCGTCTTGATTTACTTCTGTGGAGTATCTTGTCGCAATTGCATCTATCTGCAACCGTGTCAGCAACCGTTCAAATCTCGAATTCGGCAGAGGTAGGTAGTCGAGGATTGATATGATATCCACCCGCGGTCGAAATCAAAAGACGACGACAGATCGCGAGCCTCACAAAGCGAGCGAATTGAAAAAAACAAGGAAAATAGGAGCACGCACAGTTTTTATGCAAACCCAGGACTGACTGATCTCTGAGCAGTCTATTCTCTTCTATCAATTCAGCTCAATGCAAGATCACCTGGTGTCTAATGCAAACGCGAGCGCGTAGATATTTATATTTCAAATAATCTCTCCTCCGTGCCGGCGCGTGAACTTCTCTCTTAATCTGTGCTTTTGCTTTCTCAATTCAGATTGATTATATAATAATTGACAAATGCATATTATGACAAAGAAATTAAACTTTGGCGGTTGGGTGAGGAGCTGGTTCGAGGTTGGTCGCGTGGATGGCAGATGATACACAGTCAAAGAGAGATTATTCTGAGCTACAGTTTATACAAAAATCTTTTTATAATCTTCTAAGAACAACTAGAAAACAGCAGTAGGCAAGAACTAGTTGAAAAAGAAGAGGAGGGGAAGGTCATTTGTTCTCGCTGCGCCGCACACTAAGATCAGGTTCGAGCTTAACGGATCTCATGATTCCAGAATGATGCAAGCAAGTTTATGCAAAAAGCTCAAGTATTTCAGCACAAGCGCAGATCGATCGTTTGCTCTCTGCTTCAAAGTCGACAAAATCTGCTACAAATCAGCAAGAAAGAGAGAAAGAACAAAGAGAAAACGAAACGACAAGCAGATCGAACAACGACTAGGACATACAAACACCGCTGATGTCATACCATCTCTCCCCACCAGCATCGCAAGCAGGAGGTGGCTACTCCTCCGTCGAGCCCTCGGAAAACGACTCAGACTCGTCTATTCCCGACCGCGACGACGAAATCGATCTGCTCTCTGCAAACAGCCACGGCCAGGCCGGCGGCCACGTCCTGCACCACCACCGGCGGCGCAAATCATCCGCTGTGCCGGAGGATCCCGTCGTCGCGGCAGAAAGCGCGGGTGCAGGCGGGGTACAGCATGGGATCCGGCATTTGAAGGATATGGTCGAGAGCGGACTGTCGTTGTTGCCGGCCGAGTCTGCGGAGTCGGTGGAGGCGCGCAGGAGGTTGGTGCCGGATACAAAGTGGAAGCTGTACGATCCGCAGCCGTTTCTGTCGCACATCCTGCATCCGCAATCAAAGACCGAGGACGCGACTCCGCCTGCACATCAGCACCAGCATAAGCCCCATGATCATCACCACCATCATCATCAGCATCACAAGCAGGATCCGGCGATGGCAAAGTCGGCGCCGTCGAGCAGGGCGGGTTCGTGGATTTCCCAGAAATCACCCGTGTACGACAAGGCGCACTACACGTTCTCGCCCGCGCGCGAGAATTTTGAGTGCTTTCTGCACGGCGGGCGCAGCAGCACCAGCAATAAACCGACAGCAACCGACTCGGTCTCGTCGCTGGGCTCGGAGGAGCAGGAGAGCGAGAGCATAAGGCAGTCTGTGGGCTCAGAGTCTTCGGGCGACGAATCTGATGACTCGGATGTTTCTGTGCGTCCGAGGAGGTTAGAGCGTCGGTCGTCGACGTTCTACGAGGACGCGACGAGACGGGCGTCAGAGACTGCGAGCGCGTTGCATACGAGGGCGCAGACGAGGGCGCAGGAAGTCTCGAGCGCGATGGACGCGATCCAGTCGAAGATTGCGAATTTCCATCTGAATGTGCATTCGCGGGCGTCAGAAGAAGAGGAGAAGAGCTACGGACCGAGCGAGCGGGCGACAGCAGAGACGGAGAAGAGCTACGGGCCGAGGGAGAGAGGGGGGACGGAGACGGCGCCAAAGTACGCGCACTTTGACGACGCGCATTATTCGCGCGACTCGCTGGTCAGGCGACGGACGCGCGTGGGCGGGAGTCATTCGGGGAAGTTTGAGGAGGAGGAGAGTGTAGCTGAGCAGAAGGATGCGGAGAGGGAGGAGGAAGCAGAGGAAGAACAAGGGTATGAGTTTCAATCGCGCAAGTCGGTGGCGGCAGGGCCGGCGAGTGTGGGAGAGGTGAAGGTGCTGCCTAGGGAGGTCGAGCAGGATCTGCTGAGACGGAAGAGCGCGGAGGATGAAGAGGCAGTAGTGCATGCGGCTGCGGGAGCGTCGTCGTCGTCGTCGTCGTCGGCGTCGTCGCTGGGGATGAGTAAGGTTGAGCGGAGGGTGAGTGAGTGGAAGCCTGCGCCGGGACTGGAAGGCAGACGGACGATGAGTTTTGACTACAATGATTACCGGAAGCAGTTCCATGGGCCGCTGATGACGCCAGAGGAGGAGAAGCGGCCGGGGTTCAGTAGTCGGGATGCAGAGTGAGATGATAAATCTATGTAATAAGTCTGTTGCAACTAGGTTATGACAGAAGACAGAGCAGAGTGGTTCCACGGCCCGCTGATGACGCCAGAGGATGAGAAGCGGTTAAACAATGTATTACTTAAAAGTTCATATAGAGTTAAACAATGTATTATGCCGGGGTTTAGTAGTCGGGATGCAGAGTGAGATGATAAATCTATGTTTTAAGTCTGCATGACAGAAGACAGAGCAGAGTGGATTCACGGCCCGCTGATGACGCCAGAGGAGGAGAAGCGGCCGGGGTTCAGTAGTCGGGATGCAGAGTGAGATGATAAATCTATGTAATAAGTCCGTTGCAACTAGGTCATGACAGAACGACAGCAGACAGAGCAGATTGCGGTAGAGAAGGGTTCGGATGTCGGAAAGGTTGAGTCAGCGGTGGAGGTAAAGAGTAGGTAGAGCCGATTAATGAAAATGAAAAGTCGAGGAATATGAAGTTTGTGTGTGGTTAGTTAGTGAGAGTTTTGATTAAGGGATCGCCGAAGGATTTCGGAGGGCGAGTCAGAGGAAGATAAGGATGAGTGATTTGATTGACGGTTAATTGATGATTTGTTGAGGTACATAGTGCTTTTTATGATATTTTGCAGTAGTCAAGAGTAGAGTGAGTAGGTAGGAAGTTAAAATGTTTGTGTTGACTCGAGATAAGATTGAGGGAAGGTGGTGAGCGTCGGTGTCGGTGAGGAGGACGCCGGTATCGGCGATGGGATTTAATAATTAGCTCACTGATTACGCGTATGCGTATGCCAGCAGCGCTCTGCTTGAGGACAGACTGATGAGCGAGCGGGTATTATTGGTCAGTGATAAGGGCGACTAGGTGATTAATAATAGCACTTCAGAAAGATAGCTGGATGAGAAGGAGATAAGAGGTGTGATGATGTCGGTTATAGGCCCAGGAACTAGAACAGCGACGGGGAGTAGAGTTTGCAGGAGCGGGCCGGAAACGGAGCGGAGCGGAGGACGGAGGACGGAGGACGACGACGAAGACGCAGAAAAACGCACCGACGCCGGATTTTGTGGTCTGTGTTTTGGCTCTTTGCTTTTTGTCGTTGTCGTTGTGTCGGGGCGTAGAAGAAGAGTTTATGAGCGGATTGTGCATATTTCAGTTTTCAGGTTTGAGTTTGCAGGGGAGAACAGGTGATAGTTGGGCTGGGCGGTAAACAGGTGATGGTGAGTAGCAGAGAGAGGATGTGAGGAGACATCGCGGGTGGATCAGACGATGCAGAGAAGAGAAGGAATTGGGGATGTGACTGGAAGGAAGCCAGAAAGAAGTTTTTTTTGAGAAGGATGATGCCTAAGACAACGCCACTGCGACTCATGAACAGCCCTGGCGTCCCTGAGTGCTGCTGCTGCTCTACTACTGACAGTCAACTACAGGATGCACAACACGGCAGAAGAACTGCTGGACAGTCGAGATCATAAAGAGGAGAATATGTTATCATATTGGCTATCTGAATCTTGTTTGTAATGTGATGTAGGAGAGTGGGCCAAGAGACACGGCAAAAGGTAGAAGCAGTCTGTGCGCGAGCTAAGATCTGCTGCGTCGTGGTGAGATCAGCAGCAGCGCAGCAGCAGTGCAGAAACTACACAACAACACAACAACACAGCACTTTAAGTGAAGAAAAAGATGAAAAAGATGATGAAAAAAAGATGAAAACTACAAAACAGCCAACAAAGGAAACCAAAATCGAAATCAAGGTTGATGGCTGCAGGCGACACGGCGGTGGCTGACTCCACCCGGCCGCCATTTCTTAAAACTGCTCTCCTCCTCAACTTTATCTCCTCACTTCTTATCCTCGACAGTGCAAACCGACGAGAAAAATCTTTTCCACGCGGTTTTCTCTCGTTTTTTTGCTTCTAATCTATCATCGCGGCTCTGCTTAGTGCTTCTTAGTGCATTGGCGGCTGAGATGGGGAACCTGTACTGCTGCGGTGGAGTCGGCGATAGTCTGCCGCCTACAAGCGAGCACTGGTGCTCCACTCTGCTGTCTCCGCTTCTGCCCGCTTCTAGCACTTGCCGTTAAAGGTGCGACTGCCGAGAGATAGCTGTGCTTCTATCTGTGTGGAGGCAGTGGTGTGTGGTTCTGCAATTACTACTTGTTCTTCTACTTCTACTTCTGCTCTGCTTCTATAGTATCTACACTCGTATGAAATCATCTGAACAAGTCAGGGACAACAGTCAACAGCAACAGCCAGTCAGACGCCACCGACGTTGACAAAAGACACGTATAGAATAACACAGCAGCTGCAGACTTCTGCAACTCCACTCCACTCCACTCTGCCTTATCTACAAACTATCATCCCAATTCTCGGCACCTCCTGTCCTTGTACCTCGTGTGTCTGGGCAAGTCTTGACGACCGGCCTGACTCTTTTGTCTTTTGTCCGTCGTTTGATTATGTCTTCTGTTTTTCTACGTTATCCTCCTACTCCTCCTCCTCCTCCTCCTCTCTGCGCTTCTCTGCATTTCTCTGCATTTCCTGCTCTCCTCTGCATCTCTGCTCACCAGATGACATGAGATCAGCGGCGTCGCTGGGCGTCACTAGTCGCCCACTAAAACCGCACTATGCACGTTTAAAGTTCACCGCCCTCGACATTCGACACAGTGCCGCGCGTGGCTTATCAAGGTTTCGGAGGCTGGCGTGGGCCAATCGACGTCGTCGCTAGTTTTAGCGATCTGCCCTCCTTCCCTCCGTCTGCACAATGGACGCCGGTCTGCGCTACTCCCGTGCGAGCGCCACCCGGCGCCACCTGCCCGTCGCTCCTTATACCAGACCATCGTTGTTGATCGCTCCTTGTGCTTGTAGAGCTGTAGTATATCAACGACCGGGTGTAGTTTGTAGAAAGTACCTATGAAATAAGTAGCGAATGGCTTACTAGATGATTATTAGTAACTGGTCACGTTCCCTCCTTGTCGTCCCTCCTTGTCGTCCCTCCTTGTCGTCCTGTCGCTCGTTGTGTCGACCCGTGTCGCTCCTTGAGACATTGTTAATTAATCTTGGTACCACTCCTCGTCCTCTCTTCCTCACCGCTCTTTGTCTCTCTTTCTTTATATAGTCGCCCGCTCCTCCCCCCTCGGTCCCCTCCTCCTCCTCTTCCTCCTCCCTCATTCCCTTTCTTCTCTCGTCTCTCATAATCTACCCCCCTCTTACTCGCAATGTCTGAGAAAAACTACAAAGTATCCGGTGAGGCCCCCGCCTACACCACCACCGTCGAGTCCGGCTCGAGCACCTACGGCCAGACCACCGAGGCTCCCGTCGGCGTCTGGGCAAACTTCAAGGACTCCTTCCGCCCCAACGATACCTACCTCGCCAACCGCGCCGCCGCCGCCGGCCAGCACGAGTATGACATCGAGGCCGCCGCCAAGCGCACCGCCGCCTCCCCGCTCGCTCGCAAACTCAAGGGCCGCCATCTGCAGATGATCGCCATCGGTGGCTCCATCGGCACCGGTCTCTTCGTCAACTCCGGCAAGGCCCTCCACAACGGTGGCCCCGCCTCGCTCCTCATCGCCTTTGCCCTCATTGGCGCTATGCTTTACACCGTCGTGCACGCCCTCGGCGAGCTCGCCGTCCTCTTCCCCGTCGCCGGTTCGTTCTCTACCTACTCCACCCGCTTCATCGATCCCGCCTGGGGTTTCGCCATGGGCTGGAACTACGCTCTGCAGTGGCTCGTTGTCTTCCCGCTCGAGCTCGTCGCCGCCTCGATCACGCTCTCGTACTGGAACGTTGACGTCAACAACGCCGTCTGGATCACAATCTTCTGGGTCGTTATCGTCATCATCAACTTCTTCGGTGTCAAGGGTTACGGTGAAGCAGAGTTTGTCTTCTCCTTCATCAAGGTCATCGCAGTCATTGGCTTCATCATCCTCGGAATCGTCCTCACCTGCGGTGGCGGCCCCAAGGGCGGCTACATCGGTGGGAAGTACTGGCAGGATCCCGGCGCTTTCAACAACGGCTTCAAGGGTCTCTGCTCCGTCTTTGTCACCGCTGCCTTTGCCTTCTCCGGCACCGAGCTCGTCGGCCTTGCCGCGGCTGAGACCGCCAACCCGAGAAAGACTCTTCCTTCGGCTGTCAAGCAGGTCTTCTGGCGTATCACCCTCTTTTACATCGTCGCCCTCACCCTCGTCGGACTCCTCGTGCCCTACAACGAAAAGCACCTGCTCGGAGCCTCCTCCGTCGACGCCACTGCCTCGCCCTTCGTCATCGCGATCCAGAACGCCGGAATCAGCGGTCTTCCCTCGGTCATGAACGTCGTCATCATGATTGCCGTGCTCTCCGTCGGCAACTCGTCCGTCTACGGCTGCTCGCGCACGCTCGCCTCGCTCGCCGATATGGGCCAGGCTCCCGCCATCTTTGGTTACATCGACAAGTCTGGCCGCCCGTTGGTCGGAATCGTCATTACCTCGATCTTCGGTCTCTTTGCCTACGTCTCGGCCTCGTCCAAGGAAGGCCAGATCTTTGACTGGCTCCTTGCTCTTTCTGGTCTCTCGTCGATCTTCACCTGGGGCTCCGTCTGCCTCGCGCATATCCTCTTCCGCCGCGCCTGGAAGCTCCAGGGCCACTCGCTCGAGGAACTCGCCTTCCGCTCGCACCCTGGTGTCATTGGCTCCTACTTTGGTCTGATCCTCAACTTCCTCGTCCTCGTCGCCCAGTTCTGGATCGCTGTCTGGCCCACCGGAGGCACCCCCAACGCCTACGACTTCTTTGTCTCGTACCTCGCTGCCCCGGTCGTCCTCGTCTTCTACATCGGCTACAAGGTCTGGTTCCGACCTCCTTTCGTCAAGCCCTCGACCGCTGACCTTGTCACCGGCCGTCGCGAGATCGACATCCCCGCCCTGATCGAGGAGCTCCAGGCCGAGCGCGCCGCCTTGAAGCAGCGCAACTTCTTCTACCGCACGTACAAGTTCTGGTGTTAAGTCTTGGTTTTCTTTTCCTTTTTCTTTTTCTTTTTGCTTTGTGTCTTTGTTTTAGTACTTTGATGAGTCAAAGTATGGTTGGTCTGGTATTGCAGTAGTAATCTTTGCTGGTGTTTTAACATTTCCTTTTTTCCTTTTGTCTTTTTTCTTTTTCTCTTTGTTTCTTTGTTTTTTTCTTTGTTCTTTTGTCTATCTTATGCTTTGTGTTGAGCCATAGCTATATGCTATGGTGCAAACTTGTAAAATATGTGTCATTCTGATAGTTCAAAATCATTGTTTTGTGAATAAAAGTGATTTTTACTTAACTATCTACTCCCATGCGAATATTCTTGGTAGTGTGACGGCAGATGACGAACAGCACAAGCACACTTCCTGTAGTAGAAATAGATTCCGGTGTATATTTAGTACTGTTCTCGTTGCTAACTAACATGCCAACATCCTCGTCAATAACGAAATCGGTGGCTTGTATTCCAAATTCATCTGGTCTCCGTGCGTCGTGGACGATGGTCGAGCGCGGGACTTCCGGTGCGGCTGCTATCGAGGAGGTCTTGACTGTTGTTAGTAAGCGTACGTGTGTTGATAAAGGCTGGCTGGGTGGGGGAACCACGGTGTTCTCTGCGCGTAAAAGATGAGCGCGAAAAGATGACGAGGGAGGAGTAATATAGATCAGGGTCCTTCTCGACATCTTATCGATATGCATTAGAAATAGAGGCAGGAAGTAAACATTGGTGGTGGTGAGGCGCTGCGATATGACGCTAGATTGCGCCATATCAGGATAGGAACAGCAACTTAGGGCCTGACCACGATGACTCTCTGCCATGGCGTAGTCTCCTCTCTCTCTGCGTGTGTTTGCACGGGAATGCGAAGGGGTTCTTAAACTGCCTCTTGTCTGTCTCCTTCTCTTTCTGTCGTGTATATTCTTGGTTTGTAGTGCAGTCGACTTCAACAGTGGTTTCTGGTACGATTTCATCACGCTTCTGATAAGAACTCCACATCAACATCGACTCCACAACCTAAGCTGCAATGCGCGACGATAATTACTCTGAAAAGACCGACGAGTCTGCGACTCTTCTCTACCAAAGCACCAGCAACAACATCCTCGCAGACTCATCGGACTCCTCCTCCTCCTCCTCCTCCTCCTCCAGCGATATCAGCGGCAAAAAGATAGCCGCGGAAATTTATCAACATGAAGTCGAGGAGGACTCGCTCGTCGACGAAAAAAGAGGAGGAGGCACGTACGGTGCGCTCGAGAACGGGGATGCGTCCTCGTTTATCGAGAATACCGAAGCTGCGCAGAGAGAGGAGATTGAACGTCTTCTTGCTGCCGGATTGTATGTTTCCCTTTCTACTTTCTACATAACAACGACGACGACGCTAACAGAGCGGTGGGAAGACCGGCTTGGGACGAGCAGGAGGAAGAGGTCATTCGTCGGAAACTCGATTACCGGGTCATGATATGGGCCTGTGTTATGTTTTTCTCGCTGCAGCTCGTGCGGAATAACATCACAAACGCAATCTCTGCCGACTTTTTGATCGATGCCGGTGCGTACTGCTTTTGCTTTGCTGAATGGAGTGTTGAGTCTTGTGCTGACGATAACATTAGGCCTCGCGCAAAACGAGTACAATCTCGGACAGACTGTGTTCCTAATCTTCTTCCTACTCTGGGAGATTCCCTCGCAAGCCCTCGTGCGCAGATTCGGGGCCGACATCTGGCTTCCTATCCTGATGACTCTCTGGTCCATCATGTCAACACTCCAAATCTTCATCCGCGGCCCCGGCCTTTTTCTCTTCACGCGCGCAGTCATCGGCTCCTGCGAAGGCGGCTTCGTCCCCGGCCTGACATTCTACCTCTCGTCCTTCTACAAAGCGAACGAGCTCTCGATGCGCTACTCGTGGGTCTGGTCCACGCAGTCCGGCACAAACGTCATCGGCGCACTGCTCGCCTCGGGATTCATCCAGATCGGCGGCTCGCTCCGCGGATGGCAGTGGCTGTTTTTGCTCGAGGGTATTTTGTGCACTTGTATCGGCATCTCGTCGTTCTTCGTCATGCCCTCGCTCAGGAAGAAAGTTGTCGCGCGCGTCTTCACGCCGCGCGAGACGGCGATCTTGCGCGTGCGTGTCGCGCACGATGATCCGTCAAAGAAGAATCAGCAGGACACCATCAGGTTCAAACGCGAGAGCCTGGTCGACGGCGTCAAGCTCCTGTACGAGACCGTGACGGACAAGTACCTGTTCCCGATCTTCATCCTCGGTTTCGTGGCCTTTGTGCCGTCGCAGACGGCAAACTACTACCTGACAATCATGTTGCGGCAGCTCGGGTTCACGCAGACGGCGACGAACCTGCTGACGATTCCGTACGCGATCATCAACATCTCGATGACGATCTGGTTCTCGCGTCTGTCGGACCGGTACGGCGTGCGCTGGCTGTTTGCCGTGCTCTCGGCGCTCTGGGTGCTGCCGAACCTGATCCTGATCGAGGTCATCCCGGATTTTTCCTCGCGCTGGCTCCGGTACACGTTCATCACTCTCATCCTCGGGTACCCTTACTACCACCCGATCCTGATCTCCTGGATCTCCGCCAACGCAAACAACCCAAGCCGCCGATCGCTCGGGTTCGCGGTGTACAACATCGCCGTGCAGGCGGGCAACATCCTTGCCGCGAACGTGTACCGCGAAGACGACGCGCCGTTCTACCACCGCGGCAACGGCGTGCTGATCGCGCTCAACCTGCTCTCGATCATCATCGCGGTGGCGATCTGGCGGTATTTCACGTACGAGAATAAGCGGCGCGAGAGGCTGTGGGAGATGTTGACCGAGGTCGAGAGGGAGGAGTATATTGCTGCTTCCGGGGAGTTGGGAAATCAGCAGTTGCATTTCAAGTTGAAGGTTTAGTTTTTTTTATTCTATTTGGATTCTGCATGAGTGTGTCTTTTGCATTGGTGGAGGGGTGGTGCGTGGGTTGGTTGGGGTGTGAGAGAAGGTGTATGATTTAATGTTGCATTACACTTATGTTACGACAAAAGTTTGGTGAAGAGAGTTATTGTAGTCACTACTATATAGTTATTATGAGAATACGAATATCTCCAACAAATCTGAACTGTGTCAGTCGGAGAACACCGACGATTCTCGACTTGTTATCTATCGCGCTGTCGGAAGCTGTTCTTGGCGGTGAATACCAAGTCAAAAGGCCGACTTTCTGCGTCCTTATCTATTCGTGAGGTATTCAGCATCTCGGCGGGGTTTTACGAGACGCAAGATGACGAACGAGTCGGAGAGGTGTCGACGTAAGAGGATGGAAGGTTCGATACTTTCATTTAGGAGCAAATATGAGGATGACAGGAGACAGCACTTCTCCTCAACTACTATAGCATAGCGATCCAGGCAGACTCCACGTCGTCAGTAAAATAACAAATAGATAAGAAAGACTATCGTGGAAAGAAAATAAAGACAAAGAGAGATAAGAGATGGCTCGGCGCCGAGAGCACGGAGCCACGAGAGCCCGCGATAACAGCCGCGTGGGCGGATCGGCGACTGCTTCTTCGATGCTTTCTTGAGTTGTGTCGCTTGACTGCTGGCAAGGCAGTGTCATCGCCTGGGTTTAGAGTGGATTTGGTGGATTGTGATGTTTGTAGTGATGAGCAGGAACCTGATATGAGCAGGGACATGGAGTAGGGAACAATGGTCCATTGTCGTCTTACTGTAAGCGAAAGCTCTGGCTCACGACCCCGTCCGAGCGCTCGTCGTCCTCGTAAAAGGGTAGAGTAATCCCACGGTCCTGCAAACAACCCACGCTACGCCGCCACCGCTGTCGACTACACCGCCTCTATTCAGTGGGGAAAGAAGGAAGGCAGAGGTACCTGACCAAGAAGCAAACTGATGGCTAGAAAGGGAAACTGCGAGCGCCACGGGCGTCCGCCTCCGCCAGAGTCGAACCCGCCGCTCTCGCTTAGCGGGTGATTGAACCCCTCACTAACTTTGGCTCTGTGGGTCGACGATGGCAGCCGCGTGGTCTTTGCCTATTGTTCTTTAATCGAAAGAACGGAGGGTGATGCGTTTTTGGAGGGGGGTAAGATGGTGGGTGAAGGATGGTCGAAGAAGGAAAGAGAACGCGAGAAGGTCTGCGTTGCAATGGCGGAGTTGACTCTGGGCGCGGCCAAGACATCTGATTCAGTCATTGGCAAACGATTATTCCAGAAATCCCAGAATACATCCCGTATTCTGCTACGCTGTTCCTATCCACCATCTCATATCATCCGGAAGCAAAAAGGAACGGGGAAAGAAGCAAGCAAAGCAACCGAGTGGCGAGACAAAAGTGGGGATGTGTGGGGAGACAAGGGCCTTGACAGGCCGGTGTGCCGTCCGATATTAACAGTTCTGGCATTGTCTCCGATACCTGATACCGATGATTCTGGCTGAGATCACCCAAGACTTTCCTGTCTGTTATCTGTGCATGTGCAATACCCCCCGATATCCGGCTCGCGAGTTAAAAGCCCCGCTGCCTCCCTCCTGTCTTTTTTAATTGCTGCCCTCTCAGTGCTACTTCATACCTAGAACATTCAGCGATGGCTAAACAGGCTTCTTTTGAAGTCTCCGAGATTCCTACCGACTACGCCGAAAACCCCTCCGGCGGGTTCTGGTCCAATCTCCACCAACGAGTCGTTCTCGACCACCACGACAAAGATCGGCAGAGCAACAAAGGTACGTCCACATCTTCTTCCTGAATACATGATGCTAACGAAACGGTAGATCTCGACCCCGTCCCCGCGGAAGGCAGGACCTGGTCTGGCTTGGACTACGTGACCTACTGGATTTCCGACAACTTTTCCCCCTCAGGCTGGCGTAAGGCCTCGTCGTTGATGGCAATCGGCATGTCCTGGCGCACAGCGCTGGTCAACGTCGCCATTTCAGAGGTGATCATCGGCGTGGTCGTCACGATCAACGGATACGTTGGCGCAAAGTACCGGATCCCGTTCTCGATCCAGGCGCGCGCGTCGTTCGGGTACTACTTTGCGTACTTGATGATTCTCATGCGATGTATCGTCGGCATCTTTTGGTACGGAATCAGCACCTATACCGGTGCAGAATGTGTCCGGTCGATGATTTACGCGATCTGGCCCTCGTTCCACAACGTAAAGAACCAGCTTCCGGAGAGCGCAAACATCGATACGCAATTCATGATTTCCTACTTTATCTACTACATCACCGTCCTGCCGCTGCACTTGGTGCCAATCTCGAAAATCCGCTGGCTGTTCACCATCAAGGCCGTCACGACGCCAATCATCGGCTTCGGCATGATGGGCTGGACCATCAAGAACGCCGGGGTCGGCAACAACTCGCTCTGGACGCAGGGAAACACCGTCCACGGAAGCGCGCTCAGCTGGGCGTTCATGCAGGGCCTCTACTCCAACATTGGCGGCTGGGCGACCTTGGCCATCAACTCGCCCGACTTTACACGCTACTCAAAGAAAGTCAGCAACACGTACTGGATGGCGATCGCGCTGCCGTTCACTGCGACCTTGATTTGCTTCTTTGGCGTCGTCGGCGCGGGCGGGTCGAAAGTCCTCTACGGCGAGATTCTCTGGGACCCTCTTCTTTTTGTCGACAGGTGGACTTCCAAAGGTGGTCGTGCTGCCGCCTTCTTCTGCGCGCTCGGCTTCTACCTCGCGCAGGCGGCCGCGAACGTTTCTGCGAACTCGATCTCGGCCGCGAATGACCTCAACTGCATGTTTCCTCGGTACATCAACATCCGCCGCGGCCAGATTCTCGTCTCGTTGCTCGGCGGATGGGCGCTGACGCCCTGGAACATTATGACCTCCGCCGCTAGTTTCCTGTCGTTCATGTCGGGCTACACGATCTGGCTTGCGCCCATCTGCGGAATTTTGATCTCGGACTTTTACTTTGTGCACAAGCGCAGGTACGACGTCTGGGAACTGTACAATCCCCACGGCATCTACCGCTACAACAAATACGGCACCAACTGGCGCTCCTTCGTCGCCTTCTTCATCGGCTGGGTTCCCCTTCTCCCGGGCTTTCTTCCCAAAGTGAACGCAAAGATCTCGATGATCCAACCGATGATCAACTTCTACTACTGTGGATACTTCTACGGCCTGCTTGCGCCGATGCTGAGTTATTACCTGCTGTGCCTCGTTGTGCCTGCGAAGGAGACGATGATTGAGCATGCGGTGTATTGCGATGATTTGCTGATTGCGAGAGATGTCGAGGAGATTGCGTCTGAGGGCGTCGATTCGGACTCGTACGGCGATCAGGAGAAGAAGACTCTGTAGCTGTTTAGTATTTTGTTGCCTTCCTTTTATCATTCTGCCCTTATTTGATTATCATGTTTCTTGAGGTTGTAGCAAATCGTATCTTGAATTACCTCTTATGGTACCCGTACCCTGCGCAAGATGTTCAAATAGTAAACCATTAGTTTTAAATTCGGAATCTCCAGTCTCGAGTAAAAACTCGTCGGCAAGTATTGCTCATAAAATAGATCTATAACCAAGTCCAGAAGTGGACCGGGTGTCGTACATCGGCTTTTCTATCAGCTTAGTCATAATGCGCATAAGCACGAACTGCAAACCTTAAAAAAAATCTCCCTCGAAAACTCCCATCCCAACGCGCTTTGTACATTTTTTCTAACACATTTCCACCAGTCAGTCGTCGAAGTTGACCCCCCGGCAGAATCCTCTGCACTTTCTAATTCTGACAGTTTGAAGCTTTGCGCTTTTTGGACTGACGGATTTGGAGCGGAGCGGTATCGAAGAAACTCAGAAAAGAAAAAGAAGAACCGACGGAGTGGATAACGAAAGTTCGGATGGTGGGCGGCGGGAGATCATTGACTACGCGCCTGAGGTGGCGGGTAGGCGCGCAGTCTTCTTCCTACGGTAGCGGAGCGATGAGGATGGTGGGTAGGCCGGTGTGGGGTGGTGCTGGTGCTGCTAGTGCTGCTGCTGCGACGGCGAAGGTGGTTGGGACGTGGAGCGCGTGTGGCAGGGGAGGTTTCGCGCGGTGGATGTCGACGGAGGGGACGGATAAGCCGATGAGCCGGCAGGCCCGGAAACGAAGGAGAAGAAAGTTGCGAAAAGAAAAGGGAGAGAGAAAGAGAGCGCTTAAGGGGACGACAGAGTCGGAAGCGAGTTCAAAGCAGGAGAAAAAATCATCACAGAAGAAGGGAAAATCAAAGACAGTGACGGAATGGTTGCCCCAAAATATGGGTCTGCAAGACAACTTGAAAGCACCCGGCAATACGAGCGATATGCTCGCCTCGGCTAGGGATATCCTTAAGGATATCATTGTGTCCCACAAGGATATAGAGACAGCCGTACAGGGCGCGCAGCAGGGATGGATCTACAAGTTTCTGGTAGCAGCACGTCGGTCAGAGAAAGAGTCTAAGGAGTCGGAAGGGTGGGTTGAGAAGTTTCAGGTAGCGGTCCGTCAGGCAGAGTTGAAGCGAGCGGCTATGGAAAAGTCTGGCGACCCAAAACAGTCTGTGGAGACAATTGCGATCCAGAACGCGCAGGCGATGCTCAAGGAAGAGGATTTTGAAGCCGCAGAGAACTCAACTGTGGAGAAACCCACACTCCTGGCTGTGAATGGACCGGCCGACGAGGTGCTTGCGCAGGAAGAGGGGAAAGCGGGATTTCCAGCAGCAACGCCTGAGGAGCTATTCCGGCAAGTGCATGCACCCCGGTTCTTTGCAGAAGCAAGCGGTGATTCCATCTTTGAACCCGAGCGACAAGCGCGGCCAGCAAGGGGGAACCAAACTATGGAGGAATCCAAACCCCGGGCCGTGAATAGACTGGTCAGCAGCGTACTTGCGCAGGAAGAGGGGAATGTGGGATATTCAGCAGCAACATCTGAGGAGCCATCACGGAAAGTGCATGCACCCCGGTTCTTTGCAGAAGCAAGCGGTGATTCCATCTTTGAACCCGAGCGACAAGCGCGGCCAGCAAGGGGGAACCAAACTATGGAGGAATCCAAACCCCGGGCCGTGAATAGACTGGTCAGCAGCGTACTTGCGCAGGAAGAGGGGAATGTGGGATATTCAGTAGCAACATCTGAGGAGCCATCACGGGAAGTACGTGCACCCCGGTTCTTTGCAGAAACGGTCGGTGATTCCACCTATGAACCCGAGCGACAAGCGCGGCCAGCAAGGAGGACCAAACCTGTGGAGGAGTCCAGACCCCGGGCTGTGAATAGAATGGTCGACACGGTATTTGCGCAGAAAGATGGGAAACGGAGATATTCAGCGCCAAAATCTGAGGAGGCACTCTGGAAAGCGCATGTACCCCGGGTGTTTGCAAAAGAAACCGGTGATTCCACCTATGAACCCGAGCAACAAGCGAGGCCAGCAAGGAGGAACAAAACTGTGGAGGAATCTACACCTCGGGCTGGGAATAGACCGGTCGGTAATGTGCTTGCACAGGAAAAGGGGAAAGTGGGATTTTCAGCAGCAACATCTGATGAGCCATTCCAGGAAGTGCATGAACCCCGGGTGTTTGCAGAAACGGTCGGTTATTCCACCTATGAACGCGAGCGACAAGCGCGGTCGGCAAGGAGGAATGAGAGTATGCACTCCCGGTCTAGGCCACCCCGCTCCTCACTTCCACGGTGGCCTACTCCTCGTGAGCGCCAGCCAATCTCATTACAAGATGACAGCGGAGCGCATGCGCTGAGAATCTATGACGATATTTCGGATCGTGGCGAGATCGATACTGGTGAGCTTGGAGCGGAGTATTCGAAACTCGGAGAGGACGCTATTTTGGAGGCAGCGGTTGTCGTTCAGGCGTCGCCGGCAAAGGAGATGAAGATTGTTCCGGCGCCTGGAGATGATGTTACGGTTCCTCCGACGCTGGCGCATGGTCTTGACAGGGTGTTGTTTAGGTAAGTTGATCTATGTTATGATTTTACAAAGAGGCCAGCGCTGACAGACTCTATGAATAGCCCAGGAGTCCATATGCTACAGGATCCACGAACGGGAGTCTACAATTTCCCCGCCGACCTGAAAAACATCATGTCGGTGCACGATTTCGACTTTGACGCGCTGCCGCAATACCAGCCTCCCTCGGGGGACTCTGTGCTTGAGAAAGTAGCGGTGAAGTACAAGCGCAGATACTATGGCTCGACCTCAAACATGACTGTTATTCTGTCGCAGTTCCATTTCTTTTTGTCGCGCGCACGCCCGCTGCACGTGCCGCAGCTGTCAAAGGCATTCCAAGTCCAGCCGGAGTTCACCAAGGGCTCGCTCTCGGCCGCGTCCTTTTTTCTGCGCTACAAGCCCAAGACCGGCACCTACGCCCTCGACGTCGACAAGTCCGAGGACGAGGACATGATCCTGATGTGGCTCGGCCGGTCGATGGAGAAGCAGCTCGTGACAAACAGCACCGAGTACTCGCTCTTCCACCGCGAGAACTCGCACCAGCTGACGCCCGAGATGCGCGCCGACCGCGAGACGTACCATTACACCGCGTTCGGCGAGTTTATGATGCGGTCGCAGCAGGACGCGATGGACGCGCGGCTGCCGGGCGAAGGCACGTTTGATCTCAAGACGCGCGCGGTGGAGGCCGTGCGCTACGATATTGATTATATCAACGAGCGCGCGACCTGCGACTACCAGCTGCGGACGCTCAAGGGCGAGCGCGAGTCTTTCGAGCGGGAGTATTACGACATGGCGCGGAGCGCGTTTCTAAAGTACCTGCTGCAGGTGCGCATGGGTCGCATGGACGGGATCATGGTGGCGTATCATAACGTCAAGCGGTTGTTTGGGTTCCAGTATATTCCGCGCGAGGAGATGGACGCGATTATCCACGGGCCTTCGTATAGGAACATTGCGTTGCCGGAGTTCCAGGTCAGCATTGAGATGATGGGCGATTTGTTTGGTCGCGCGACTGAAAAGTTTCCTGAAACTGTAAGTTTTGTATTGTTTTTTTGATTGGCTGGCGATGAGTTGGTGCTAACGGTTGGGTATAGTCGCTACATTGCCTGATGCATTACGAGGAGCGCGATCAGGAGTTACATGTATTTGTGACTCCGATGAGCGAGGAAGAGATCGCAAAGACGCAAAAGAGAGAGGAGAGCCGGATGTTCAATGTCAAGAAGAAGGCGCAGAAGATCGCCGAGGCGATTCTCAATTCTGACGAGACGGGTGCGAAAGCGCGGAAGACGACAGAAGGGAAGAAGTGTGCCGAGGACCAGTTCAACAGCACGCTCGACGATGACATCAATTATACGATCCCGGAGCTCAAAGATAAACGCGGGAATCAGGTATTCGTGCACTACCGAATCGAAATCAACCACATAATCAACGGGGAACGGCTTCCACCATATACCCCGCCAGTGATCAAGGACGACGACGACTGGAAGATCGAGTACCTGATCTCCGAGATCCCGGAGCACGGCGACCGCGAGTCGGTGATTGAGTTTTCGAGAGCGATGCAAACGCGGAAGTTGGGCCGGGCGGGCTCGCACTCGAGTATGCTGCGGTCGTTGGGCGAGGCGGGCGCGAGGTACCAGGACCTGCTTGATGCGCGGGACCACGAGAAGAATTTCGAGACGTACGCGCCGGAGAGGGGCGAGGTTCTGTATCAGGAGCGCATAGAGAAGATGCGGGAGGAGATGAGGAAGAGGATGGAGAGCGGGGAGGAGCCGACGCTGGAGCAGCTGAAGGGGTATAAGGAGGTTAATGGGTTTTGGGAAAAGCCCAGTCCGAAGGAAAAGCCCTGGTCGAAGGAATAGTTGTCTGGTGTATATAGATAATCACTGCTGTACATAATCTACTTCTTGTTAACTTTGAGCATTGTTGCATTATTGTATTATTACGTAAGGAAGCGAGTCAGGCGAGTCATCCCAGACTGCAAATAAACTACAATTGACATCAAAGTACTAAAAACTAGAAAGCAGAGGCAGGTTGATAATCAAGAGCGAGCAGATTACGAAGAGCAAAGCCGGGATATGACTACCGAGAACGGGCATGGCCAAAGCGATTTGGATTTTCACGCAGAGCAAGTCTGGAAAGATAGTGGTCCGCGCGAAAGCTGGCGGCGAGAAGAGTGTGGAATTAAGGAGTGGCGTCTTGGGAAAAGGATCTATCGTCTTCCACGACTGTTTCTTGCTGCTGTGTCTGCTTTGCATCTATTGCATTTCATAAACTACTTGAAAGAAAGAAGAAGAGAGGAGCGGGAGGACAATCAGCGCGAGACGAGCAGCTTATCGGAGGCCGAAAGGTCGATAAGTGGCCTGCGCTATTCCCGATCAGGCAACCACGTAATAGCAATTGAGTTTACGAGGCCCAATGAGAACGAGGACGGAGCTGTTTATTATCCGCTCTCCTCCTCCTCCTCTTTCTTCTTCTTCCTCTTCTTCTTCTATACACCCTCCTCCGTCGTATTCTCCTCATTCACCACCATGTCCGACTTCAAGACCTTCGAGACCGAGCTCACGCTCAAGTGCGGCGTCACCCTGCCCATCTTCCTCAAGTACAAGACCTACGGTGATCCCAAGAACCCCGTCATCCTCATCCCGACCTGCTACACCGGCCGCATCAACTCGACCTACAACATGATGCTCGGCGACGACGACGCCGCCTCGCCCAAGAAGTACTTTGTCATCGTCGTCGGCCTCCTCGGCGGCTCCGAGTCCTCCTCGCCTTCGACCCAGCCCGCGCCCTTCGACGGCGCAAACTTCCCCGAGACCGTCTACGAGGACAACATCCACGCGCAGTACAAGCTCGTGCAGTCGCTCGGCTACGACAAGATCTTCGCCTACATGGGCTACTCCATGGGCGGCCAGCAGGCGTACTACTTTGCGTCCATGTACCCCGACAAGGTCCAGAAGATCGTGCCCATGGCCTCGTCCGCCCAGACCTCGGGCTTCAACTGGAACTTCCTCGAGGGCGTCAAGGCCACCGTCAAGGCCTCGTCCGACTTCAAGGCAAACACCTACACCGACCCCGTCATCATCGGCACCAAGGCCTTCGGCCGCGTCTACTCCAACTGGGCTCTCTCCTACGAGTGGTTCGAGACCAAGGCCTGGGAGGTCCACGGCTTCAAGTCCTCGGAGGAGTACCTCCAGAAGGACTGGGAAGAGCGTCTCACCACCTGGGACGCGCGCGATCTCGTGCAGATGGCGGTTACCTGGCAAAAGGGCGACATCGCGACCTTCGCCGACGGCGACCTCGCTGCCGCGCTCGGCAAGATCCAGGCCGAGGTCTGCGTCATGCCCAGCAGAACCGACCAGTACTTCAGATGGGAGGCCAGTGTTAAGGAGGTCGCGGCTCTCAAGAAGGGTGAGCTCCACATCATCGAGTCGGTTTGGGGACATATCGTCGGTGGTGGCGCGGGTACTCCTGAGGACAATGTCTTTATCAACAAGACTGTCGGCGAGTTCTTTGCCAAATAAGTGTAGCTCCTGGTTTGAGATATGAGTTATTTTGATTCTGATCTTTCTTTATGGCGATGTAAATATACAGTAATAACAATAATGATAACGTGACCATTTAATCATATAGTTCCATAGGTATTCCGTATTCAAATATCAATATACATAGCACAACCAAAAAAACGTATATATAAAAAACACTAAAGAACACTCTACGCCGACTTCTTCTCCATCGAATTCTCATCTGTATATCCGAGCTCCTCGGCAATATCATCAGCCGACGACGAGTTGATAAAGTCATCGATAAACACTCCCCGCTCGACATATGTCTCGGTCGCAGGCCAGAATCGGCAGACGACGTAGTACGACAGACAGGCGGCGCCAAAGCCGTAGAAGAAACCGAGGTCGTAGAGGTGGATCATGGCCGGGGTCGAGTAGATGTTTGACACGCTGGGAAGGAAGCCCGGGAGAAGAGGCACCCAGCCGATGGTGAACGCGACGGCGGACCGCCAGTTGAAGCCGCGGTAGTACTTGTACATGCCCTCGAAGTTGTAGAGCTCGTAGACGTCGTACTTCTTCTTGTGGACAAAGAAAAAGTCCGAGACGAGGATGCCGCAGAGCGGGCCGAGCCAGACAGAGTATCCCGACATGAAGTTGAGGAACGCCGGCGCGGAGGTGAGAATGTTCCAGGGAGTGAGCGCCCACGAGCCCAGGATCGAGGCAATGAACTGGCCGCGGCGGATGTTGATGTACCGCGGCAGCAGGCAGTTCATGTCGTTTGCGGCCGCGAGCGAGTTTGCGGCGATGTTGAGACCGAGCTGGGAGAGCAGGAAACTGAAGGAGATGAAGAACGCGGCCGCGCGGCCGCCGGACGAGGTCCAGTTGTTGACGATGAGCAGGGGATCCCAGAGGATGGTGCCGTAGAGGACTTTCGAGCCCGAGGCGACGATGACGCCGATTAGGGTCATGACTGTCGCGGTGAAGGGGACGGCGACGGCGGTGGCATAGGTTGCCGGCTGCGTGGTCGCGTAGCGGGAGTAGTCGGGCGCGTTGACCATGAGGGTGACGCCGGAGCCGATGTTTGAGTAGAGACTGCGCATGAAAGCCCAGGCGAGGGTAGAGCCGTGGACGGTGTTGCCCTGGTTGAAGAGCGAGTCCTTGCCGACGCCGACCTTGGCGACGGTCCAGCCCAGGAGCGCGAAGCAGGCGATGGGGGTCGCGATGGCCTTGACGAGGAAGAGCCATTTCAGGCGCTGCACGCCGACGTAGTGGAGGGGAAGACACATGACGAAGTAGATGACGTAGGCGGTCATGAACTGGGTGGTGATGTTTGCAGACTCGGGGAGGGTGTTGGGCACGTTGCGGAAGGAGGGCCATAGGGCGTAGAGGATTGATTCTGGGTTGTTAGCCTGGTTCTTGAACTGACTCTTAGTAAGTGTAGAAAGGGTACATACGAACACATTCGGCACCGGTATAAGCCTGAATACCGTACCAGAAGATGGCGACAATCATACGCATGAGGATCATGACATAGGAAAAGTAGTAACCAAAGGAAGCGCGGGCCTGGATGGAGAAGGGGATATGGTACTGCGCGCCGACGACACCGTTGATGGTGATGAAGACGCCCTGGAAGATGTTTGCGAGCGAGATACAGAGGAGGGCAAGTCTCCAGGAAAGACCGACTTCCATGACGGAAGCCGCGGCACGGAAGCCAGAGACAGAGAGATGGTCAGAGATCCAGAAGAGGGCGTAGTGGCGCATTCGCCAGGTGCGGCCCTCGAGCGGGACGGGGTCGAGGTCGGCATTACTGCGACGGACGTCGGAGGCAGAGTCGAGCTTGATGAATTGGTCGATGGAGTGCCAGAAGCCGGACTTGGGGGAGGAGGTGAGTTCGGTGGTGGTGCCGTTTGCGACGTCGAGGGGGGTCGCGCGGACTTCGTAGGTTTTTTCTTCCATGGTTGAGGAGGGTGAGTGAGGAGAGGGAAGACGAGGAGGGAGGAGAGGAAGAGGTGAGAGGAGGTGGGGCCATGAGATTATATAGAAGTAGGGGGGATCAATTAGGTTGGCTCTTATCTAGACGAGGCCGTGACTCTGACTCGTGGCGAGGAGGAGAGTCGGTGAGTCTATCCGAGGAGGAGTGTTGTGTGTTCTATTGTCATTATACTGTTCTACTATTATACAGTACTGTATAATACTGTTATCATATTATTAGAGTATTCTCTATTATTCTACAATGCTACTATTTTTCTATTGTTCTACAATTCCACCATTCTATCTAATCCTTCTATGAATTCATACACACCCAACAAAACATTGCACGCCACATCATCCGACGCTTAAGCTCATCCGTCGTCGTCGGCGCAAGCTGCGGCCTTGAACCTTGCCGCCCTGCAGACTTTTCTGCATCCGTTTCTGCTCACTCATATCTGGTTATGCTCTTGTTAGAATAGTCGGTCTGCAAGGCTGAACACGCGTACTCTTCAGATGCCACGCTATCGCCGCACCCGAGCAGCTGGATCAGCGGTACGGTGATCATCGCCAGTGATTGCTGCGATAAGAACAGGCTATTGTGTTATCTCCCGCTGTCTGTCTCTGTCTCTGTCTGTCTCTGTCTCTGTCTCTGTCTCTGTCTGTCTCTGTCTCTGTCTGTCTCTCCCGGCATCTCTGGCATCTGACGGCGGCTGACTGCCGGCCTGAAATGAGCAGACGGGCACAATCTTCCAACTCACATCATCCGCCTGCATGCGGGCTGCGGGCAGGGCGCTGTGGCGCAAATAAAAGACAAAACAGCCATCCGAGGAGGTTGGCACCTCGGTGTACCTCGAGGACTGGTTCTGGTAGTTCTTGGTGATGTTCTTGTTCTTGTTCTATTCTTTTTATTCTTCTTATTCTTCTTGTCTTCTTGTATTGTCTTCTTCTCATTACTTGATACAATACACTTCTTATCACGTCCGTGCTGCACCAGCACTGATAACAACCAGGCCGAGCGGAGGCCCGTCCGCCTCGCTCCCGGCCGCGCTCTGGTCTGTGCCCTTCGTGCCTGTTGTTGAGCGATGTTCAGAGACAAGAACGAGTACCGGATACCGTACCATACAATCCCAATAGTCTCGAATCTCATACAAGCACTAACATCGTAATAAGCACCACCAATCTACAATGCCCAAGTCTTTCTTAGCCATCCTCAACCTCGGCAGGGCGGGCTAAGCCGAGACAAGTGACTGCCAAGACTCTGCTCTCAGTCAGACAAAAACCGTATTCTTCTTCTTATCTGCTCTCGCATTCGACCAAAGTCAATGTTCTCTATCTTCTTCTCTATCTTCTCTTCTCTATCTTCTCTTCTCTATCATCTCTTTATCATCTCTTCATAATTATCAATTCACATTATTTACTATCTCAGATTGGAGTATCACCTCTTACACTTCTCTATATACACTGCCCTACCTCATCTGCGGACTAAACCCTACATCCATCATCCCCTCAATCCCCTCCCCCATCCACTGCACCCCTCCTCCCCCTCCCATCTCAATCTCAACCAACTCCTCCGTAAGAAAATCCTTCATCTCCTCCGTCAATCCCCCTTCAAACCCCAACTCCCCACTCAACTGCCCTTCAAACTCTCCCACCGCCGCCGCCGCTGCCGCACTACTTCCTCCTCCTTTCCCACCGTACTCTCCTACCATCTGCTGCTGCTGGCGACTTTGTAGAAACTCAAGCACACTCTGCTGCCGTGCCGCCTGCTCCTGCTCCTGCTGCTGCTGCGCCGACAGCTTCTGTAACCTCTCCCGCTCCGCCTCCAACTGCTTCAACCGCTCCAGCAACATCGCATTCTCCTCATTCGCCCCATACACTCCCCCCTCCACCCCTCGCGTCCCCATCTCAGTCACTTCTCCGCCCGTAAGCGACACCAGCCGCTCAGACGGCGTACCCCCCAGAATATTAAACGGCCGCGCATTCACCCCCGCCTGCATCTCCGCCTCGCCTGCTGCTGACCCTCCAGCTCCAGCTCCTGCTCCAGCGCCAAAATATCCTACTCGCGCTCCCTGCGCGTTAGAACTCGTTGATGATATCGGCGACGTAGACGTAGTCGTCGCTGTCACCGTCGTCGCTGTCTCTGAAAACCTGCTCTCGCCGCTATTCAATTGCGTCACCCCGCTCGTACTCCGCTGCTGCTGCTGCTGTCCTTCCATCGCTCTATCGTCCTCGCTTAGCAAGTTCGCCATATCAACCTCAAGCTGCAGCAAAAACGACTGCGCAATCAGCATGTCCTCGCGCATATTATCCAGCGCCGTCAGCAGGAAATCCAGCTGCGCCTTACTCGACTCCCGCACCGACGACGGCGTCGACCGCAGCGCCTGGATAAAACACCGCGCGCCAATGTACATGCAAAACACCTGGTACGGATCAAACCTGAAGGTCTCGTAGTGCGCTATGTTTTGCATTATCCGCGTGATCTCCGACGCCGACTGCAGACACTTGTTTGTGCTGTTTTCAATCTCCTGCTCCCGGCCCGCTACCTTCTGACACCGCGCGATCGTGGCCTGGTGCAGACAGATCAGCGACGAATGGATCGACATGTGCAGCTGCGCGACTTGCACCGACTGCTCGGCGTCAAACGACTGCTTCAGCGTGTTTGGCAGCGAAATCACAAACGTGTGCACTAAATTGTTCAGCATCCGGAACCGCTCAAAGAAATCCGGCGCGTAGGGAGTGTACTCCGTCGTCGCCGCGTCCCCGCGGTGCAGATGCCCAAAGATACGGCCAATCATCACCGTAATAACCGCCTTGGCGCAGAACGCAGACATCTTCCGAATATACGTGCACGTCGACGGACTCATCGCCGACCCGACCGAGCACGTCTCCTCCGCGACCCCCTGCTCGTAGTTTTCATCGTTCGTCGGCAGATTCGTCTGGATATCGAGCTCGTTCAGCACCATCGGCCACCCCGTGCCTATACTCGCATACCGATCCAGCAGCAGCGTGACCCAGAACGTCCGCCGCCGCTCCTCGATCTCGATCCAATCCTTCGGCGGCGGCAGACACCGCTTCACGCCCACCACGTTCGAGTCAATCGAATTCAGCTGCAACAACGTCACCATCCGGCACGCGATCCCCACCGAGATCCACGCCCGCGGGAAAAACATCGACCCGTACTCGTACAGCCCGATAATCGCCCACGACTGCACAAACGGCAGCGTCGCGATCCCTTCGCCAAACCCGCGCGTCTGGTGCTTCTCCAGGTATTTGCGCGCCCGCCGGTAGAATATCGGCGTGTACTGCCGGAAATTGCGCGACGCGGACGAGGCCATCGTCCACATCGCGTACCGCAGGTAGATCGGCGGCTGCATCGGCGGCGGGTAGTTGAGACTGGTCATGTAGCGCAGCTTGTGCAGCATCGGGTAGGATTTATTAAACCCTCTGAAAAACAGCTCGTTGAGCTCGTCGGTCACTTGCTTGGGCGGAAGTGGCTCGTCCATTCCAAGCGAGATCAGATCAAAGACATTCGAAGCCCCATCTTGTTTCTGCTCGTCCTCGTTGAACGTGAACGCCTCGAACGCGTATATCTTTTCAAACTCGTCATCGGGGCCTTGAGCACCCCCCTGTGCGCATCCAAACAGCGGATTCTGACTCTCCTCCAACCCATCAGCCGGCGACACCTGCTGCTGCTGCTGCGGCTGTTGAGGCTGCTGCTGCGTCGACGGGGGCGCAATCGAGCTCTTGAACGCCTTCAGCTTTGGCAGCGAGTTGAAGTCGCTCTCGAGCGTGAGGCGCGTGGCCTCCCTGAACGTGCTGTGGGAGCCAATCGAGTAGTTTCCTTCTTCGAAAGTAGGTGATTCACTCTCGAGACCTGCGAGGTCCCGCGGGGGATCGATGGCGGTGGGCTGTGATGGGGGACTATCGCGGCTATTAAGTAATCCCTCGACGTGTGCTGATATCGTTAGCCATGCATGCAATAAAACCAAAACAACAGACACCACTAAATCAAACACCCACCTAATCGCTCCTCGAGCATCTTGACATATCCCCTTCTCGGCCCACTCTTTCGACGCACCGATTCCTCATACGCACACTCATGCTTCAGCCGCGCGCAAGTGCCACACGACGGCCGCGCGCCATCGCATTTCAGCTTGCGTCGGCGACAGATCACGCATGCGATGCGTTTGGCGGGCTGCGGTGTCGCGCCCGATCCGGGCTCGGAGGGTGTGTTGGGCGGGAGTGCGTGGGTTGGCTGCGCGAAGCTGGATGCTGACTGCGGAGGGTTGGAGGCTGACATTTGTTGCTGCTGATCAGACGGGCTGTTGACGGAGACGTATTTTGCAAATCGGTGATGAATAGCAAGTGGATCCAGATACCCGCGATATATCACCGCGCAGGAGAAGAGTGCTCTGCGTGGGTTGGCGACTGTTATCGATGGATAGTAGACAGAGGCCGGGGTCGGTGGGCAGAGCAGGAATTAAATAAAAACGACGGGCGCTGAGATGAGCAAAACCGCGGCGCAGTTGTGCTGCTGTTGGGAGTTTGTCCCCAGACTTGACTACTATGTTGAGATCATTTATACATCTACAAGAACATTGTGAAGATAATAGCAATAGTAAGACCCGAGAACATTTACAGAGAAGAGGACCCGACGAGTGGCAACTGCGTCAGAGCCTGAACAACACCAATACACCTAATCCCAATCTAAGCACGCAGACCTGTAGCCCAACCCAACCAGCAGCCAACAAGCACAAGCAGCAAAGCAGCAAACAAAATACAAGCAAGATTATTTATATAAACCCATCGTAACAATCAAATCAATGCCGTCTATCGTACACAGACTCGTCATCGGGCGGAGACCGCGCGCATGGCCCAGAGGACGACCAGCAGCGAGAGCATGAGAGTGAAGCCGCTCATGAACGATAATGTGCGCGCGGTCGTAGGCTGAGATGTGGTTGTGGTATGAGTTGGTGTGGTTGTAGTCTGATTCGGTGTAGTACTGCTCGCCACCATCGTCTTTTGCGCGCTATGGCTGTCGTTGATATTCGTACCCTCCGCTCCAGGTGCCGCCGCCGGCGTCGTCGACGTGGACGAACTTTTATCAGCCAACAGGCAATCATTCCTCACCCTGCACTTTGGACACACAAACGACCGACTCCTCTCCGCAATCTTCCGCCGCGTCTCGTCCGGCACGCCGTCTATACTCCCCACCGCCCCATCCGCCGACGTGAGCATGAACGAGCGCAGCGCTACCAGCGCCATACGAATACCTATCCTCTCTCCACGTCAGCTACATCCACACCTCACTTCACGAAACAAACACTCACCCCACGCAGGCTGCCACTCCTCGACATGGAAGTTGCTGATCGACAGACAGATCTCGCGGTTGACTTCGAACCTGCCGCTGTCGTGCAGGAACCGGAAACTAGGCGGTGACATGGGGTAGTTGCTCGGCAGGTTAATCCGGCCATGGTACAGCCCGTGCTCGTACACACTCGAAGGCGGACCACGGATCACAAAGTGCCATTCAAACAGGTCATCCTGCAGTTATCAGCAAACGCGCACAAAACAACGTCATCATCATCAGTATAAACAGCACAGTACCTCAGCCGGAGCAGCGTAGATATCAGGATCCGCCTCAGCCAACTCTTTTGCCTCACGCAGGATCCGGCGGATGGCAGGACTACTCCTTCCAGAACGAGGTGGCATCTCGCAGTTCTTCAAAAAGTCTTTAAAAAGCACAATTGAGGAGGACCACGTCGAGATCGGACTTGTCGGTCTCTGCCTCTTCGAAACCAAAACGTGGCGGCTTTGGATCTGAGAGGCCCTAGTGGATTAGGGGGGTTGAGTGGAGTATGGCAGTTCGACCTCCAGTGCTGCTATATTTGATATAGAAATATACTAAATCGACTAATAGAATTTTCCCTGATTTTTCTGTATAATTACTACTGCTACTAAAGCACAGAGAAGTAAAAGCGCCGACAAACAAACGCAAACAAAGCTCCTCAGACTTTCTGGAACCTGCCCGAGACGTCACCTTTCTTCTCTCTCCACCAAACTTTGCCTGCTTCCTTCTTTTCTTCCCTGTTCTCTTCTTTTGCTCAAGTCCACTTTCCAGCATCTGCAGAACTGCGAGATTTCTTATTCTGGTTTATTATAATCTTTTTAAAGTAGGTGGTTTCTTTTTGTATATATGCGCATGGTGCGGATCGAGATGGGTTGAGAGTAGATCGAATCGAGTTGATCACAGCAGCAGATTGTCAATCAGACTCTGTCTGAAGTTCTTCAGTTTGCTATTATTCCCCGTTACAAAGGAACTGTTAATAAGAAGCTGAGAAACTGGATTGATGAGTCCTTGATCGAGTTGATACTCGGTCTCGATTCGCACATGTGCTATTCACTGAAAGCAATCTCATCTGATTCTAACATTTTATAGAGCAATACCTCGTTACATCAATCACTATGACCTCAATTGTTCCTCAAGGTACGTTCACTCTCTTTTTTTTTTTACACTTTCTGCATGACTGCTCTCTGCAGACTGCTGACACCTCCTCCAGTCCTATGGGCCCAGCGCTCAAACGCCTCGGACCCCGAGAAAAACCTGGTGTACCTAACAGTCAACGCGGCCGACGTGCCGACGCCCAAGATCGAGCTGACGCCGACGAAGCTGTCGTACGCCGGGACCGACGCCTCGGGCAAGAACTACGCGATCGAGATCGAGTTCTTTGACGAGATCGATGTGGAAAACAGCAAATACCACTCCACCAACCGCGACTCGTTCTTCTTGCTGCGGAAAAAGGAGGCGCGCGAGGAGTTTTGGCCGCGGTTGTTGAAGGATAAGAAGAAAGTGCATTGGTTGAAGACTGACTTTGATAAGGTGGGTAGTTTTTTTTTCTTTTCTGTGGTTGTGTATTAAGAGCATCTGCTGACTTTCTCATGTCGTTTAGTGGGTTGATGAGGACGAGCAAGAAGCCGCGCCGACTGACGACCCATCGCAATACGGCGGTGGCCTTGACTTTTCCTCGCTCGGCAACGATCTCGGATCGGCTCTCGGCGGCGCAGGCGGTATGGGCGGAATGCCTGGAATGGGTGGTATGGGCGGCATGCCCGGTATGGGCGGTCTGGGCGGTATGATGGGCGGTATGGGCGGTATGCCAGACATGTCGAACCTCGGCGGTGGATTTGGCGATGACTCTGATGATGATGATATCCCGGATGGAGATGACGCGCCTCATGCTGAGCCTGAGAGTGAGGAGGCAAAGTAGAAGTAAATGTGTTGCGTGTTCAAAATCGTATTATAGTAAATATAGTTAGTAAATAGTGATTGTCCAATATTTTTCTGAGTACTCATTTACACACCATCATCTTTACAAACGTAGACTGAGGAGGCGGAGTAGATGTGGTTGTGCTGCGTGTTCAAAATAGTATTATAGTAAATATAGTTAGTAAATAGTGATTGTCCATATCATTTCACTTTCCCATTTACACACCACCGTCTTTACAAACGTAGACTGAGGAGGCGGAGTAGATGTGGTTGTGTTGCGTGTTCAAAATAGTATTATAGTAAATGTTTAGTAAATAGTGATTGTCCGATATCATTTCACATTCCCATTTACACACTACATGACTGAATGCGGCATGTACTATACTGTATACAAAAAAACAAAAACTCCTAACATATGTTAAACAAAAATGACAGCAGCTAACTTTTCAGATTACTCCTCAGACAGAGCTAACCTATCGCCGCTCTCTTCCTCATGGTCGCCGTCAACACTCTCCGCGCGCCGTCGCAGATCCGACATATCCCAAGCATCGCCCTCATCCACATCGCCGCTGTCTTCGTCCTTGCCGAACTTGCCTTGCTCGAAGAGCCACTTGCCGGAGTGCACGATCGTGTCTTTCTTCTTGATTGCGTCTTCCTCAGCCGCTTTCTTGCTTAGCCGCTGCGCTTTCCATTTCATGAACGAGTCGTAGGTGACGGGCGTGAGGTCCGAGCCCAGCTTGTGGCGCTCGGTTTCGAGGAACTCTTCGAGCGTGAGGGTGGGCTTGTTCTTTGCGGCCTCGCGCTCGGCCTGCTTCTGCTCGTTCGTCTTGAGCGTGAAACCAGCCGGGAGCGAGTGCTTGTACTGGCAGTTGTCGCCGCCGTTCGGACAGGTCCAGAACCAGCCGTATTTCTTTGTCTCGACGGCCTCGATGAAGTACTTGCAGACGATGTTTGTGATGACTTTCGGGTTGCCGTGTTTGGAGAGCACGACCGAGCGGAGTTTTTCTTCGTCCCAGGAGTCCATCTCGTCTTTCTTTGTTTGCTCGCGCGCGTCCGTGTAGAGATCTTTTTTCTGGGTCTTGCGCTCGATGTCCATGTCGTGGCTGAACTTGCATCGCGCGCCTTTTGTGCACTTGCCTTGTTTGTAGAAGATGCAGAGGACCCTGTAGAGATAATGTAAGTAGCGTGTCCAGGATATAAAAAGAAAGAGGAGAACTCACGTCTTTGGGTCAACACCAAACGGCACTTTCTGAGTCTGTAAAACAGGATTGAGAATCTCTAACGCTTCAAGCTTCGCCTTCTCTGCCGCTTTCTTCTCCGCCAGCCGCCGGGCCTGCTCGGCTTCTTTCTTCTTTTGCAGGCCGGACACGCCCTGGTTTTCTACTTGGGCCACATATCTCTGGACTTTTGCTGATTTGTTTTTCTGAGGGGGAGTTAGTGAGTGCGAAGACGTGAGATGAACAATAGAGGGGAGATACATTTTTCAGGCCGAAAGTCCTGTCGGTGACGGACTGCTGCTTTTTCTGGATAATGTCCTTTTTCGACAGTTGCTCCTTCTTAGGCGGCATGGTGCAGCACTGTGAATAGTTGAAGCAGGAAGAAGGTCGAGATCAGAGGTTCTTTTTTTTTCTTCTGGTCGATGACGACAGTGAAGAGAGGAAGAAAGAAAGTGAGTGTCTACCGTTAGCAGGCTGACAGGGTGAGGGGGTTGTGTGTTTTTGAGTACACGTTGTCTTTGTAGATGTTCTACTTTGCTTTGATAGAAGACAATCAGTTTGAGCAGGATTGAGCGCATATTACAGATACATCACAGACATTGACATTGGGACATCAACATCGAGGCACACAGACAACTACACATCTACACACTCAACACAATGATCACAGACAAGCAGCTCAACACGATCGCGATCTCGCTCGGCACGGTGATGATGGGACTGATTGTGGTGTACCATTTCGTGAGCGTCAACACGCGCAAGGCCCAGCGGTCATGAGAGCGATGAACGAGGAATAGCAGCAAGAACAGATGGAGGGTGGAGTGCAGAATAAAGCATTGGATTGACAAAAGGTGAGAGAGTGAGTGCAGGAGAAGCGATGACTAAGCGATTACTAATAATATATGTTGAATGTGTAGTTATGGATAAAAGAGATATAATACAGAATATGTGAATAGTATTTGAATGTGTAGGGTGGTGTGGAAATAGAAAGTAGAATGTAGAAAGTAGAAACAGAGAGTAGGATAAGATAGCCGGATTGGGTAATAAGGATGATGCAATAGTTACAGCAACAACACACAGTAGACAACACAACACACAGCAACAACACAACAGCAACACAGATCACATCAACAGATGCACCGCCTCAGCTTTACTCTGCTCAACACACTCAAAACACAAGAAGATTCAGTCCATCCAGACGGACGGATGCGGGGTTCTCCGAGTAATCGGGGCCAGGAGCGGGAGCAGAACCCGTGTGACTCAGTGAAGTGAATCATGGTGTTCCGATACCGATAAGCTGAGATAGGATGTAGTATACTAGTTGATAGTGTATTGTATAGAAAATATAAGAATATATACTGAATATATCTTATAACAACTATATTCCATCTATAATCAACACAGATCTCATTGCCTTCTCGGTGCAGAGCAAACCTCTTCTGATCGCTGCCTCAACCCCTCCCGTTTAGTTATCCCATCGCCGGATCCAGCCTCCGCCGCCCTCCCCCCTTGCTCTTGGTGTGTGTTTGTTCTGAATAGTACTGCTTCCAGACTATCTACTCTATCTACTCTTCTCTACTCTTCTCTACTCTATCTACTCTACTTCACTCTACTCTCCTCTACTCTCTGAGTATGACGTTCGGGTATACCCTACAGCCGGTGGACCGTGCAGTCTGGTGGCGCACGCCCGTGCTGCCGCCTTGTCGAGGCCATCGATGGCCGCCCGCTGATTCTTTTTTCCTTCTCTTCCTGATCCGCGGTGATGTGGTGGTGTTGTTGTAGATGTGGTTTGTAATCGTCTTATTGTAGACTATTCTCTATCATCATCCTCATATCACTCTCAGAAATATCTTATCGCCCCCGTCCCCCCCTCTATCGCCCTATCGCCGCTATCGGCCTCTGATCAGCCACTATCAGATCTGTGGCGGTGTCCCATCACCTGACTGTGCACCAACCACTCCGCGTTTATGCCCCAACTGAACTGCTTCACCGCTTTTTTCCTCGATTTTTTGCGCCGTCTTCGCTTTTGCTGCTTTCCTCTCCCATCCTCTCTTCTTCCTCCATTCTCTTCCTCTTCCTCTTCCTCTTCTCTTCCTACTCCTCCTCTCATCCTCTTCCTCTTCCTCATCCACATCCCTCTCACTCCACATCTCCTCCACCCCCATCCCTCTCTCAGCCTCCGGGCTGCGGCCGCCATGACGCTCGCCCCTGATCTCAACTCTGCCCGCTCTCCCGTACCCATCGCTCCCTCAATGACCCCCTCCGTCGCTTCCGCATCCGCCTCCCAGGCCCCCCCATCTGCCAGAACTGCTCCACCTCAACCACCCCTCTCTGGCGCCGCGACGAGTCCGGCCAGGTCCTCTGCAACGCCTGCGGCCTCTTCCTCAAGCTCCACGGCCGCCCGCGCCCAATCTCGCTCAAGACCGACGTCATCAAATCGCGGAACCGCATCAAGACCTCCACCGCCTCTGCCGCTGCCTCAACCCCTTCCTCGGCCCTCCGCGCCGCAAAGCAGAAGCACAGTCACCACCACCAGCACCAGCACGACTCGGTCTCCTCCAACCCGTCCTCCAACGCCTCCAGTGCCTCTGCAAACTCTCCCGCCGTAGCCGCCGTCTCCAGCCCGGCCCTGCGCGCTTTGCCTGACAATGGCGGTCTGATGCACTTAGCTCACGCCCTCCACCAGCAGGAGCAGCATCAGCAGCAGCAGCAACAACAACAGCAGCAGCAACAGCAGCAGCAGCAGCAACAACTACACCACCAAATGCCCCCCTCCCTCCCTCACGTCAACGCCTTCGGCGAGATCAAGAACGAAAGCATCGACCGATCACCCCGCGTCAACGGCCACGCTGTCTCCCCCCTGCCGCCCTTGCCTCGCGCCCTCGGCCCCTCCGACATGCTCACTCCGCCCCAGCACAACTCGCCCCAGCAGAGATACGAGTATGAGTCGCTGCCCCCGATCCAGGCGCAGGTGGCCTCGAACGGCACTCCACAGCTCGGCCCGGCCACACCGCCGTCAAACAGCCTGCCGCCGCTCGGTCGTCGCGCAAACACCCCGCCGCATCTGTCGCTCTCGCACGACCAGCGCGATCAGTCGCCTCATCCGCCGGCATCCTCGTACACGCTCGAGTCGCTCATGGCCGTCAACCAGACGCTGCGCACGCGCGTGTCCGAGCTCGAGCTCGTCAACGATCTTTTCCGATCGCGCATCTCTGAGCTCGAGTCGAACGAGGCTACCGCGCGAAAGTCGGAGCTGACCCGTCGCGAGATCGAGGCACAGCTGCAGAAGAAGCTCGAGGAGTCCAGCCGCAAGGGCATGGAACTCCAGTCGCGGCTTGAAGAGCTCGAGATCGAACGCGCTCGTCAGATCCATATGCAGCAACAGCAGCAGCAGCAGCAGCACGTCAATCATCTGCTGCATCTGCCGCTGCCGCACACTCCTGCCTCGCCTGCATTGGACGGATCGTCAGAGTCGATCGAGGCGCAGCACCTGCGCAAGAAGATGCGCGTTGCAGAGCTGGTGGGAGGAGATGTCGGTAGTCCGGTGATCAACGGACTGTCTGGCACGCCGCCTTTGCTGCCGACGTCCTCATCCAGAAACGGCACTCCGCATATGCCGGCGATTCTGTCGCCGCAGACGTCTTCGTCGATGCACAACCACCACATTCCGCCGCTTCAGCTGTCGCCGATCATGAGTAAGGGAAGTCCTACGAGCAGCAACTTTAAGCCGGAGAGCGGTAGTGGTGAGGGTAACCACGAGTCTGCGAGCGCAAACAACACAAACAGCAACAACAACAACAACAGCAACAGCGGCAGCACTAATATCAACAACATCAACGGGATAAACGCCAACCCGGCAACTCCAGAGATTAACAGTATCCCGCATATATCGAGCATGACGCTGCCTCCAGTCTCGAGCATAACTTTGCCGCCGATCAGCGCGCCTGGCGACTCGCGCTGAGCGCGCAGCATGTATATTACCCAAGCGACGCTTTCGAGCAGGAGAAGTTACTCTTGTTTAATAGTGCTATCATAATTCTGTCTTGATCTTATTATTGCTATTACTACTGCTATTTATATTATACTGGGAAAAATTTGGGAATGGGATGTTTTGAACTTGCTACTCGGAGTATGTGACCTAAAAAGTTCGTCAATTTTGTCTTTTTTTATTTTTTTTTGATCTATGTTCATAGTTCTATCTGTGTTGAGTGTGTTTTCTGTAGTGTTTATTTGTTGTGTTTTATACTTAATCAAGATGGTCTCCAGTCAGACTTGAGTCTACTTGACTTGAGTCTACTTGACTCGAGTCGGACAGAGATCATTGTCAAATAGTCAGGCTGCTGTATTCTTACTGTGTACGTACTATACCCAGCCGTGTATGTATTCACTTATTGAAAAGACTGTATTAATTACAACTACACTATTGTGACTATAATAAAGCAAGCCGATATGATACCTATCCGGATAACAGATAGCGATCCACAACGACGGTTATCGATATCTAATCGTCGCCGCGATCCACCAAAGCACAATAGCCGGGGGAGGTCATGTGATATTAGGGCCCAACCCTACACCAGCAAAACGCAGTCACGCTCAGCAACGACGTCCACCCTCCGCGCATAAGCGTCGCGCGGCATGCGCAGGTAGTCCACTTTGGGTACGCCAAAACGCCATAGCAAAGACGCGTACCCCGCCGCACCCGTTGCCCGATCGGGAAATTGAGGGCCGGGTAAATTGAGGACGAAGGTTTCGCGGGCGACGCTCAGTTCTTTCCTTTCCTTCCTTTCTGTCGCCAACCGTCACCAGCTCCTGACTCTTCACCCTTTACACCACCACCTTTTCTTCTATCCAACAACAGTAGTTATCGTCAGTCAAGATGGTATGTCGTGGTCTTTGTCTGATTGTCGTTGATGTGTGCGGATGAGCGGGTGTTGGGCTGCGTGTGCTGTCGGAGCATCGAATATTTTTTCGCTGCTTGCTACACCTCACTGCTCCTGCTCTCCGCCGTCTGCTACGATCAATATCAAATGCAATGCAAATACTAACCTCTCTTTTCTTTATAGGTTTTGGCTCAGGATCTCGTATGTCTCCAAATGATTTATGTGGTGTGCTGTGGATGTTGTGTAGTGCGGTGCGGTGCGTGAACAGTGTGGCAAGAGGCTCGGCTCAAGTGATTGCAGATTTCGACGCATTGCAATCATATCGACTGAGTCGCCGAGTGCGTTGAGGTTATTGTGCAGTCTGTATAATGCAGTTTCTTGTGCTGCTTTCTGTGCGGATGGTCAGGGACAGTTGGGTTGGAGTGGTCGGTGATCTCGTGATAGTTGCATCATATCGCCGAAGACCCCCCATCATCCAGCTCACCCATCTCAACACCTTCTGCATCCTCTCTTGCGCTTCAGTCACTGGTCTCTTTCATCATATCTTTCAAAGTCACCGCACTGCACCACACATCACATCGCCGAAAGTCGCGTGATCTGTATCTGTATGCTGACATTTTCTAGCTCAACCCCTCCGCTCAGTCAGAACTTAAGAAGCACAAGCTGAAGCAGCTCGTTGCCTCGCCCAGATCGTTCTTCATGGACGTCAAGTGTATGTGTTCTGTCTATTTTCAAAAATGATCCAAGTAGAAGAGACTAATGAGATGATAGGCCCCGGATGCTTCAACATCACCATTGTTTTCTCGCACGCCCAGACCGTCGTCATCTGCGGTTCGTGCTCTACAGTCCTTTGCCAGCCGACCGGTGGTAAGGCTCGTCTTACCGAGGGCTGCTCTTTCCGCAAGAAATAAATGTGGCAACGACAGAGCGATTACGCCGGCTGCTCTTCTATCTTGTAGAAAGAGTATGCTGAGTAAGGTAATCAAATGTCAGGATCAAAAAAAGCACATTTATGACACTACGAAATAAAAAAAAGACTAAAACACAGGGGAAAAATTGTTTCTTGTTAATTCTATACATGGTTTGCACATCTTTTGTATTTATATTGGTTTGTTTAATAAAACGGCATTACCATTTAGAAGCAGAAAAGGGATGGAATGTGGATCGATGCCGCGCGGCGCAGGAGATGTCGCGTGCGTAGATAACGTAGATTGTAGTTGTATTCTGTATTGTATCTTGTGCAGTTGTTGTATCTGCTTGTTCTATACTGTATTGTTGTTGTATACTGTATTGTACTGCTGTAGTGCTTTCAGAATCAGACATCACAGCCCATCTCTTCTCACCACATGCCTCTCCCACCCCCCCACCGCCGCCCTCACCGCAAGCTCCTCATCGCGGCCGCCGTCCTCGTCACCTTTGTCTTCGTGCACCTCCTCAACCGCCCAGACGAAGTCCCGTCCGAGCCCGCGATCGCGTCCGAGCTGGGCGATATCATCAAGCAGCAGCAGCAGCAGCAGCAGTCGTTGCTTTCCGAGTCTGAGCACGAACGAGCACGGACTGAGAGTGCGGAGGGAGCTGTTGTTTCTGCACAGAGTGTAATTGCTGAGCTGCAGATTGAGAAAGAGGAGTCTTCTTCTTCATCATCATCTTCTTCTCTAGATACTTCAAACATCAACACACACACCGAAGACCAGCAAATCATCATCAAAAAACTGCAGACAAGCATGCACTCGCACCACTCCCACAGCGGCGACTACGTCATGCACGCCAAAGACCATCTCGAGGAGATTGTGCAAAAGGCAGTGCAGATGGGGTTCACGACGTATTGTCTGACCGAGCATATTCCGCGGAACAGGCTTGCGGATTTGTATCCCGAGGAGGTGTGTATTCTTTCTTTCTCCCTTCTCTAGCTTAGTTGGAGATCCAGCTTAGTTGAAGAGCAGAGCACTGCTAACGACACCGCAGAGCAAATTGACAATCACAGACCTCGAAACCACATTCGCGAAATTCTACGCCCACGCGCGCGCCCTGCAAACAAAATACGCCCCGCAAATCACCCTCCTCGTCGGCTTCGAGACCGACTACATCCGCGCGGACGAGTACAGCCCACTAATCAAGACCCTTCAAAACACCTACAAGTTCGACATGTTCGTCGGCTCCGTGCACCACGTCGCCTCGCTCCCCATCGACTTTGACGCCGCGAGATGGACGGCCGCGATGCAGAAAGCCGGCGGAACACCGCGCGCGCTGTTCGCGGCCTACTTTGACGAGCAGTACGCGATGCTCGCGGACCTTCGTCCCCCTGTCGTCGGACACTTTGATCTCATCCGCCTCTTCGCGCCCGCGGACGACACCGCGCGGCCGATCGCGCGCGACTGGCCTGACGTCTGGGCAAAGATCGTGCGCAACGTCGAGTTCGTGATTCGCTACGGCGGCCTCTTCGAGCTGAACTCGGCAGCCATCCGCAAGGGCTGGTCTGAGCCTTATCCGCGGAGCGACGTCGTGCAGCTGATTATGCAGAAGGGCGGGCGGTTTTGTTTGTCGGATGATAGCCATGGGTTGGCGCAGGTGGGGCTTAATTTCCATAAGGTGGTCAAGCATGTCAGTCAGTTGGGTTTGAGGGAGCTGTATTATCTTGATTTGGATGATAGTGGAGAGGCGGTGGTTAGGAAGGATGAGGTCGAGAAGTTGATGACTGATCCGTTTTGGACGCAGTACGACAAGCTGTGGTAGTTATGATCGATAGTATTTTGATGTCTGTATGATGATCTGTAGTAATTTGTATGATGATATGTGATGATGTAGTAAAACTATTACAACTCATTCAACACCGCCCCCACCTCCTCCACGATCCCCGCCGCAATCGTATTCCCATCCTGCCGCAACACCACCCTCCCCAAATCCTTACTCTCCCTAAACGTCTCCAGCGGAAAACACCCTTTCCCCTCCACCTCAATCTCGACCACCGCGCTCTGCCCGCTCACCAGATGCCGCGGCTTACTCTTACTCACCTTCCCGCTCGCCTTATCCAGCACCGCAATCAACTTCGTGATCTTCACCGCCTGCGACGAGCGGCCTCGGTACACGATCGCGTTCGAACCCTTGATGATCGGCACCCGTAGCTGGAACAGAATCACGCGGGCGGTGAACGTCCGCGCGCGACGCACCGGCGCAGAGGTCAGGCCGCAGAGCACGTCGCCCGCGCGGAGATGCACGAGGTCGATGCTCGACAACCCGAGCTGGACGTTATCGCCCGCGACAGCCCAGTCGCGCAGGTCGTTGCTGACCATGATTGTCTTCACTGTCGCAGTCTGCATGCTCGGCACCACGACCACCGTCTCGCCGGATTGCACGTTCCCGCTATTAATCCGCCCCGTCACATTCACGAGGCTCGACGACGACGACTTGAACACGTCCGTGACCGACACCCGCAGACTTCCCTTGATATCCCTTTCCACCAGCCGCAGATTCTCAAGCTCGTCAAGTAACGTCGGCCCGTCGCCGTACCACGCCAATAACTCCTCCTCCGTCGACCGCCGCACAATGTTATCCCCCGCCAACCCGCTACACGGCACAAACGACGCCTGGCTCTCCGCGAACCCGATCGAGGTCAGGAAAGCCTGCATCTGCTCCTTGATCTCCGCGAACCTGTACTCCGCCCACCGCACGTTGTCGAGCTTATTCACCGCGACGATGATCCGCTGCACGCCCAGACTACGCACCAGCAGCGCGTGCTCTTTCGTCTGCCCGTTTTGGTTGAATCCGGATTCGAACGCGTTTGGCGAAGAGTCAATCACGAGAACGGCAAAGTCGGCCTCGGACGCGCCTGCAATCATGTTGGGAACAAAGTCCTTGTGGCCCGGCGCGTCGAGGATCGTGAATGATACTTTTGGCGACTCGAAGTAGTTTGTCGCCACATCAATCGTCACGCCCCTGCGATTGTTAGCATGCGCCTCTGCTAATATCAACAAAATATAGATAAATACCTCTCGCGCTCCTCTTCACTCTGATCGAGCACCCACGCAAACGCAAAGGATCCCTTGCCAAGCTTATCCGCGTCGTGCTTGTACTTATTTATCGTGCGCTCGTCAATCGCGCCAATATCAACCATCAGCCTGCCCATCAACGTACTCTTGCCCGCGTCCACATGCCCCACCACCACGAAATTGACATGCGGCTTCCGCTTCGTCTGCCCGTACTCCTTCACCACGTCTACCTTCGGCTGCTTGACCGCCACAGTCGGCAGCGGCTGCTCCTCGATCGACAGCGCCTTCATGTCCTTTTCGAGCGTTTTCCCCGCCTTTGCTGCTTTCCCTGCTTTCTTGTTCGCCGCCACGGTGCCGCCTTGATTCTTTTGCGCCTCGCTGATGATGTCGTCGGGACTTGGCTTCTTGAAGCTTTTCGAGATCTCTTCAGCTTGCTTGGCGGTCACTGGAAGATAAAAGAGGGGGTGGTTAGCAATCTGCTTCCATATCCTGTCTCCTTCGTCGTCGGAGTCGCCGTCGTCATTGTAGTCGTAGTCAAGCATCTCTGATTCGGGTGGTGAAGTAGTTTGACTACCGTTCATTGAATCCGCAAACCCAGACGGCGCGCTTTCATGGAAAAAAGTAGACGGCGAGGACAGTTCATTCTTGATCGGCGAAGAAGCAGCATGCGTAGAAGACTCTCTCGACATCGCCGCCGACGACGAAAAACTCCCGTTCGAGCTCCGCGATCGCATGGCATGCATCGACGACATCGTGCTTTTAGGAGGCGAGATCGAGCGCGCGGCGTGCGTGGACGGGTAGTCTGCGAGGAACTGCGAGAGGCGGGACGGGGCAGGCGACTGGGACCTTGACGTCGGCTGGGAACCCCGCAGCGATGGTTTCAACGATGAAGAGTCCGGATCGGCTGAGGTCGCGCGAACGTCCTCCATTGGTTCAGATGGCTGCTGTGCTTGTTCTTGCTGTAACCGTTTCGCGGCACGAGCTTTTGCCAGCGCCGCGAGCTTTGATGAGCCGCCCAGTAAGCCGAGTTTCGGAAGAGTGGGAGCGCAGGAGATCAGATCTGAATGCTTCATCTGGGTTGGTAGACGCCATGGGATCCCGTCGAACGCCGAGAGAGTGTGGGTGAGTAGTAGCGGAGAGTTTCGGTTGTGGGTGTGCCTCTGTCTGCTACTTCTGCTGCTGCTGCTGCTGCTACTGCCGCTGTGCTTGCTTCGCGAGTCTTTGAAAAGATGTGAACAAACAACTCCGAGCTGGGGGGAAATATAATCGCGAGAGGACAAGAGCGCGCGCGAAGGACGAGAGGAGGGAGAGCGGGAGATGCGAGGACATGGAGGATAAGACAAACCTTTTGACTTTTGCGCTGCTGTTTTCTTTTTCGCGTCTTCTTTCTTTATGATGTCTTGAGAGGGGATGAGTCAGTCAGTCAGCATGCTGGAGGAGGAGAGGGAGGAAGAAGAGGACAGGAGGGGAATGTACCACGCAATGCTTTGACGGCTTGGTCGACGTCAAAGTAGGAGTCCCAGACGGCGTCGCGGATCTGGGCAGGAGTGGCGGAGGTGCCGGCGAGGATCTCTTTGACTCTGTCGATGGCGTCGTCCATTTGTTCTGTTAAGCATTGGTGTTAGTGACGTTGAGTGTCTGCGATGAAGATGAGAGATAGCGTACGTTGCTCTTCTGGAGAGAGGTCTGGAGAGAGAGGAGATGTTAGTGATTAGTAGTTAATAGAGATAGAGAGGAGATGAGATACCATCTTCTGCTTCGTCGTAGAGATCATCGTCTGGAGGAGGAGGTTAGTGGAGAGTAGAGGAGTGGTGAAGTGATGAGTACAGACCGTCGTAGTACTTCGACATTGTGAAGATGAAGAAGAGTAGAATATATACAATAGAATAGATAGCTTATACTATCAAAGAATAATAGAACATAGAAAGATATACAATAGCAACAGAAGAAAGCATTAAGAAGCCGCACAGCAGTTAAGACGACCCACAACTCAAATCCACTCGCAGGTCACATTCTGCCTCCTCACCGCCTCCTCCCCAACTTCACCACTTTCCTCACTCCCTTCATCTCTCTCCACCTCAATCATCCCGCCTCTGCACACAATGTCCTCCTTCGGCAGATACTCCGACACCGGCGGCGGCCCTTCCAGACACGAGTCCTATTCCGAACGGTTCCGTGTCCAGGACTCCCGTCTCTCGGCCGCAGGGCCGGCTGTTCACCGTTCCGACGCACCGGAGCGGTCGCGGCTTAGCAGGTTGATTGGTATGCAATGCTGTGTATTCTGTTGCGCTTATTCTTATTATTATTGTTGTTGTTGCTATTGTCGTTGTTGCTGCTGCTCAATCTATTACATCAAATGCTAACTCACCAGACCGCGCCTGCGACCCCTCCAATCTCGAGCCAAACCTCGCGCTCAACCTCGAAATCGCTGATCTCATCAATGAAAAGAAAGGAAACTCGTATGTTGTTCTACAGTTTTCTTAACCAATCTCTTCTCAATCTTCTAATTACATCATCCAGCGCCCGTGAAGCTGCCTCGCAAATCGTCAAGCTTATCAACAGTCGCTCATCTGCAATCTCCATCCTCGCCCTGGCCGTACGTCTCCTCTTCCTCTCCTCACTCTTCCTCCCTACCCACACTAACTCTTCCAGCTCCTCGACATCTGCGTCAAAAACTGCGGCTACCCGTTCCACCTGCAGATCTCGCGCAAAGAGTTCCTCAACGAGCTCGTCCGCAAGTTCCCCGAGCGCCCGCCGCCCCGCTACTCGCGCACCCAGCAGCTGATTCTCGAGTCCATCGAGGAGTGGAGAGAGACTATTTGCCAGACCAGCAGATATAAAGATGATCTGGGGTATATCCGGGATATGCACAGATTGCTGGCTTATAAAGGTGTGTTGGTCTTGTTTCATTGTTGTTTGAGCTTGTATTGACTCTTCTAGGATACTCCTTCCCGGAGATTAACAGAGACGATGCCGCCGTCCTCAACCCGTCCGATGTACGTATTCCATCAGTCCCCCTTTCTTGTACTATTGCTAACCTCTCAGAACATCAAATCCGCCGAAGAACTAGAAGAAGAAGAGCGCGACGCGCAGGCGGCAAAGCTGCAAGAGCTCATCCGCCGCGGCACCCCCGCCGATCTTCTCGAAGCCAACCACCTGATGAAGATCATGGCCGGCTACGACACCGAGCACCGCACCGACTACCGCGCCAAAGCGGCCGAGGACCTGGCCAAGATCCAGCGCAAGGCAAAGTTGCTGGACGAGATGCTGGACGGCGTGCGTAATGGGGACGCGATCGGGCGGCAGGATGCGTTTGAGGAGCTGTATAATGCAATCAAGAGCTCGCAGCCAAAGATTCAAAAGATTATAAAAGAAGAGAGCGATGACGCCGACGCGGTCCAGAGATTGCTCGGGCTGAACGATTACATCAACACCGTCATTACAAAATACGAGACTGTCAAATCCACCAGACGGCCAGGAAGCAGTGCCTCGTCGAGCACAACCCCGAGCAGAACCGGCTCGCCGACGGTGTCCAGTCCGACTGCGGCCAAGTCCTCGTCGACTGCTGCTTCTGCTGCCCCTGCTGCGGCCGTCAACCTGATTGATTTCGACGACGAGATCGACGTCTCGCAGCCGCCGATCTTTCTCTCTACATCCCCTGCTCCTGGCGCCAGCACCGCATCCTCGACGTCGACCACTCCCGCTGCGTTTTCAAACGAACTTTTTGCATCAGTGGTTCCGCAGTCATCACAGTCACAATCACCTTCCTCCCCGCCCTTACAACAGCAGCAGCAGCAGCAGCAGCACTTGTCGACCGAGTCGATCCTTGCGCAGTTCAGAAACACGACGATTTCCTCGCCCGCGCCGATGCAGCCCTCGAACGGCATGCAATTCGCAAACCTCCTCAACTCCACCCCTTCGCCGCAGCAACCGCAGCAGCCTAACAACTCGTTCGCGGCATTCCAAGCATTGTCATCCTCCTCATTATCATCATCTGCCGCATCGCCTGCTCCTGCATCTGCACCACAGATGTCGTCGCAGTCGGTTCTGCTGCCGGCTACGAACCCTACACAATCCGCGATGCAGCCTACGCCTTCTCCTGCCGCGCAGCAGCAGCAGGCCAAACCAGCAGCGAGCAGTAACCTTCTCGATCTCGAAGGTTTGTTTTAGAGAATAGAGAGTGTATTGTTCTTTTGAGAGAGAGTATTTGCAAGGCGTTATAATCCACTGTTAAACGGCCTGTTTGTGTGCTGATGGTACATCTGTTTTTTGTTATATCTACGTTATATATATGAGTAGGTTGAATCTACGTGTTTTTGTTTCAAGGTAGGTTAGGTTTGAGGGTGGCATGTTGTTCGATCTGAATTGTTTGTTTAGTAGTCTAGTTTATTTCTCTTCGCGAATTGGCGGAGCATTTTGTGTTGCATTATCAATTTACGCATTCTTTAACTATTCAAAGAGCTTATAGCTATTCAAGAACACAGATCAACGACCTCTGATACTCCGATCCATAGCATCCTTCAACCTATACACCCGCAAATCACCAGTCCTATCCACCGGCTTCATCCAATTTCCCCACCCGGCAAGTCTGACGACGATACATGTCGCGTTATCATCACCCCCGACGTCCTCGGCATAATTAACCACCTCGCGCGCCGCGTCCTGCGGAGTGCCCCGGCCGGACCCGGAGCGGTAGCCGATCGAGGTGATGATGTCGACTATTTCCTGGTCCGAGACGAATTTCGAGACGCCGTCGGAGACGAGCGCGAGGAAGGGCTCGCTGCCGCCGAAGCCGGAGTCGGAGGTTTTGGAGTTGAGGGTGTATGACGACATGTCAGGTTCGGCGGAGACGCCGAGGCGTTTCATCGGGAGGTCGCCGAACGAGCGGGTGTTTTCGACGTTGCCGAAGCGTTCCTCGCCGAAGGAGTCGGTGAAGAAGCTGGCGGAGTAGCGGCGCAGGCGGTTTGATTCGATCGGGGAGGAGAGGTGGTGGGTTGCGGTGAGCGGGATGGCGAGGCCGCGGGCGTCGGAGATGACGCAGCGGGTGTCGCCGACGTGGGCGATGAGGAGGTGGGATTCGCCGCCGGCAAAGTAGGGGATCGCGGGGTTGCTGTTGTAGATCATGGCGGTGGTGCAGGTCGAGCCGCTGGGGCGGGTGGAGTTGATGAAGTCTAGGTCTGCCTGGAGGAAGGCGAGGGGGACGCGGAGGAGGAGGTCGCCTGAGAGAAAAAAGAGAAAAAGAAACAGTCAGAGGAGAACAGAGAATATGATACAGATAGAGATGGAGGAGACGTACTATCGCTGGTGAGCTGCCGCTTGTATTTCTCGAAATGGCCCTTCCATCGCGCCCAGTACCCTCCCACGTTTTCGCGCCACTCCTGCTCTAGATCCTCACCGGAATTGATATTCACAGTCTCGATATACGACGCCAGATTCTGCGCCAGAAACTCGCTGCACTGGGCGCCGCCGTGGCCGTCAAAGACGCCGTAGTAAAAGACCTGGCGGGTGGGATTGTCCGAGTCCTTGAAGCGGCGCGGGGTGAGGGTCGAGTTTGCGGGGACGGTAAGGACGCCGACGCAGTAGCGGTCTTCGTTGTAGAGTCTGTTACTGCGGGACGAGAGGTGGCCTAGGTGGGTTGGAGCGTTGAGGAGGGGGATGCGGAGGCGGGGAGGGGGAGGGGAGGGCGAGGAGGTGGTGGTGGAGGGTGGGGAGGGTGAGGAGGAGGAGGTTGTTGTGTAGTAGGTCGTGAAGGGTCGTCTGAAGCTGCTGATGAATTCTGTGAATAGTTAGATCAATATACATCTAGAAGAAGATATCAAGAAGATATCAAGAAGATATCAAGACATCAAGACAAGATCATACTGTAGGAATCGGCAATCGTCCACCTCTGCCGCTGCTGCTTGGCTGCGAGCATTGCGAGTTCTATAAGACTATCACTATCAGACTACCAGCGAGGTCATTTCTCTATTACTCTCGTTCTGATACAGATATAGATATAGAATATAGACTATAGAATACAGAGTAGATCCAGATGTTGATGAGGTGGGAGTTCACGCACTTTGGCTTTCGGACCCGCCGCGGCTCTGCGTCCGGCTTCGGTTCAATTCGCTCTGTTGCTTCAATTGCCTTATTCTCTGTTATCGTAGTTATATTCTTTTGTAGTCTTTTATGTATTGTGTATATTGTATATGTTGTATATGTTGTATATATTGTATATAATTCAACAATCATAATATCAATGGCAAACTCCGGCAGCTTGAATCCTGCTGCTTCCCTCCTAAATGCAAATCCTGATGCTGTTCGCTTCCAACCAGCGAAGAATACAAAACAAAACATAACGATTCATAAAACAGATCTCTGCAACTCTTCTTTTTTTCTTACTATTCATCCTCATCTCCTCATCTCATCTCTCTCATCTCTCTCACCCTATAATCCCACTCACAGACACAGTCAAATACATCGTAAGCGAGACCACGCCCAGCACGCCCACGACAGCGGGCGTCGACATGCTCCGGTCGGAGTCCGACGCGAGGTTTGTGCCGTGCCGCGTGCTCGCGCTGTATGACGACGAGCGCGCGTATGTGTGCGGTTGTGCTCGCGCTTCCGCTGTGGCTGTGGTTCGGGGGTGGGGTTTGAATGGTGTTTGTGTTTGTGTTGATTGTGTTGATTGTGTTGATTGAGCTGATTGAGTTGACTGCGTTGATTGTGTTGATTGAGTTGACTGTGTTGACTGTGTTGACTGAGCTGATTGAGATTGATATGGAGATGCAGCCTGATATGGAGATGCAGATGGAAATGGAGATGCAGCCTGAGATGGAGAAGCAGGAGATATAAATCGCCTACCTCTCAACGTCCTGAACTGCTCATACGCCTGCTGCTGCTTCATATGTTTCTCATAATCCTAAACGACTTCGTCAGCATACTCTCCCCACCTCTCTTCATCCCTCATCTCCTCAGCAAACTCACAAAATGCGGCACGTCGTCATTCAACCCCGTCGCATACCCCCCTCCCAACCCGCTATTCATCGGATTATAAGGATGCGACCCCCTCGGCACCCGTCGTCCGAAAACAGTCTCGTACTGGCCATACTCGCCCGACCCGCGCTGGTCCGCCGCCGTCTGCTGAGTGGTCTGCGTGCGCGCTCGCGTGCGCGTGCGGTTCAGACCCGAGTAGTGCTGCGACCGCCGCTCGCCCGGCGTGCGATAATACGGGTTCGTTCCTGACGAAGAGGAAGAGTATCCGGCAGCAGTATTCGCCGCGAACGAGGCTCTCATGCGCTCGTCGTACTCCCGCTTCCGGTCCGCGTGGCCGAGGACCGAGTACGCCTCCGAGACGGCATCGAACCTGGATCGGGCGCGTGCGCGGTCTGGCGCCGAGCGGTGGAGGACGCGGTCGGGGTGGAATTCTTTGGAGAGCCGGTAGAACTGCTTCTTGATCTCTGGCGCGGTCGCGGTGAGGGGGAGGTTGAGGGCGGCGTAGTGGTTGATGGACGAGGGAGGGGCGAATCGCGGCAGAGAAGCGCGCATGGAAGTAGCAGAGAGTTGTTTGCTTGTTCTTGAGAGTAATAGAAGCTGCTTCGACTGGAATTGAATCAAATCAAATCAGCCTGGAACCAGCACCACAGCAATTGAGATGCGGAAGAGGTCTAGAATCAGGCGGATTTGGCTGGGATCGAGGCTCGTGGAGTGGATGCCCTAAACCTCTGCTTATCTGAGATGGTTGCGACGGATGCTGAGTAGAAGAAGAAGTAGTAGTAGAAGAAGAAGAAGAAGAAGTAGAAGAAGAAGATGTCGAGAGGTGTAGTAGAGTACAGTAATATAGAATAGAGAATACTTTTTCTGATCTAGTTATGCTCATAAACTATTAGTAATCGCTTACCTCATCCACAACACCTAAATTGAAAACTTCTAACTCCTCGTCATCCAACACCAGCACATCTCGAGATCTTCACGCAAAATGACTGTAGAGACCGAGCTCGCTGCCGAAGTGGCTGCCGTCACTCGTGAGTATCTCCTCTTCTCCTGATCAATATCAAACACTGACACCCCCCAGTCGACAAGCCCGCAGACGACCACGCCGCCTCTGATGCTTCCGACGACGAGCCTTCTTCAACCACAACACCCGCAGAAGGAGCAGCCGCGCCGAAGAAGAAAAAGAAGAAATCAAAAAAGAAGAAATCAAAGCCGACCGCGCAGACCGAACCCCCCTCGATCGGCCTCTCAAAGTTCTTCCCCGACGCAAAGTACCCCGAAGGCGAGATCTGCGAGTACACCGACGACGACAACCGCTTCCGCACCACGAGCGAGGAGAAGCGGTACCTCGACCGCATGAACTACGACCCGCTCAACGACCTCCGCAAGGCGGCCGAGACGCACAGGAAAGTGCGCCAGTACGCACAGAAATACATCAGGCCCGGTCTGACGACGACCGAGATCGCAGAGACGATCGAGAACGCTGCGCGCGCGCTGGCCGAGGGCGACGGGCTCGAGGCCGGCGTCGGGTTCCCGACCGGACTCAGTCTGAACCACGTCGCGGCGCATTACACGCCCAACGCGGGCGACACGACGGTGCTGCAGTACGACGACGTGATGAAGGTCGATATCGGCGTGCACGTCAACGGGCGGATCGTCGACTCGGCGTTCACGGTCTCGTTCGATCCAAAGTACGACAAGCTGCTCGAGGCCGTCAAGGACGCGACCAACACGGGCGTGCGCGAGGCCGGCATCGACGTCCGCATGAGCGACATCGGCGCGGCCATCCAGGAGGTCATGGAGTCCTACGAGGCCGAGTTCGACGGCAAGACACACCAGGTCAAGGCGATCCGCAACCTCAACGGCCACAACATCCGGCACTACCTCATCCACGGCGACAAGAGCGTGCCGATCGTGAAAAACAACGACCAGACAAAGATGGAGGAAGGCGAGACGTTCGCGATCGAGACCTTTGGCAGTACCGGCAAGGGCTACGTCCACAGCTCGGGCGAGTGCTCGCATTACTCCCGGGACGCGGACGCAGGCCACGTTCCTCTCCGTCTTAACAAGGCAAAGACCCTGCTCAGCACGATCGACAAGAACTTTGGCACCCTGCCGTTCTGCCGACGCTACCTCGACCGCTTGGGCGAGGACAAGTACTTGCTCGCGCTCAAGAACTTGGTGCAGGCGGGCGTGATTAACGAATATCCTCCGCTCGTCGACGTCAAGGGCTGCAAGACCGCGCAGTTTGAACACACTATTGTCTTGCGACCTACTTGCAAGGAGGTTGTATCCAGAGGAGATGATTTCTAGTTCTTATTTTATTGGAGTTGTAAATACATGTAAATTTTTAAGATCCTGCATCACTCTATGTACTATTTTAACCAGGAGGGAGACTGCTGATGTCGACGACCTCATCAGCAGACTTCTCGGCCTCCTTTGCACTGCTATCTTCAACGGGCGTGCGCGTGAGAGCCATCATTCCTAAAGTAAAGTTGAGTTAGAAAGAAGGTTACAGATATCAGATTTGATACAGATTTGATATAACATACCACTGCGAGCCAGTTCGAGGATACCAAACGGCTGGACAAGCGAGATAAAAGCCGAGATTCTGGCCGGCTTGGCCGAGACCTCAACCACGCACGAGTTCATCGAGATATCGAGCACTTTGCCGCCAAACTGGTGCGCCAGCTTTGTGATTGCGTCGAGATGCATGTGCTTGTGACGGAGGGCCTCGGACGGCGCGATCTTGGACGGGTGATAGTCCTGGTAAGACTCGGACTCGTCAATCACGCCGATCGACTCGTCGCTCTCGGCCTCGGAGATCCCGTGCTCGTGGTGCGCGAGCAGCTCCTCAAAGTACTCGGGCCCGAGCAGGGACACCTTTGCGAGCAGGAGCTCGCGCTGGATGGTCGGCGTGTGGGTGTAGTCCAGCACCGCCCAGACCGGGACGAGATCCTCGAGCTGGCGCCGGGCCTGCTCGACCACGCCGTCCTGGCCCTTGAGCACGATCGTCATGCGCGAGAGATCCTCGACCTCGGTGTTGCAGACGACGAGGGAGTCGATGTTGAATCCTCTCGCGGCGAGGATCCCTGCGACGCGCGAAAGCACACCGGGCTCGTTCTGCACGAGACAGTTGAGCACGTGCGAGACGTCGGGGGGCTGCTCGGCCGACGGCATCTCGTAGAGGATCGAGGAAACCGCGGTCGAGGCCGACCAGGACGGCGTCCCGATCTTGGGGGACTGGGGGTAGCGGGCACGGCGGTGGAGGGCTTTGTATGCGAGCGCCGAGGTCGATGATTTGGTTGGTTTGAGGGCGGAGGCGGAGGAGGAGAACTGCCTCCTTGCGCCGGAAGCGAGTCCAGAGGAGAGCCCGCGGAGCATTGTGGGGGAGGTGGTGAAGAGGGAAGGGTGGTGGGGAAGAGGAGGAGGAGGAGGAGGAGCAAAGTGACTATTAAAATGTTTTTTTGTTCGGCCCGATGTCGCTCTGGGTGGGATGAGAACCACGTTGCTGGCTTTGTTAGTGATTCAGTTGTGTATCTGATAGATGATGAATAGAGGTGTTTTATATTCTATTTACTACTCAATTGTATTGTCTGTATCTTTTATAGATACTATTATACCTAGTTACATCGAGGTGGTATCTTACATAATCCATCATCAAACTATTACATAATTCATTACATAACACTTCACTACTCTCCCCACCGCTACTTCCCATCCCATCCCATCTTCACCACCATCTCCTCATCCACTCCACTCTCTCCTCTCTTCTCATCTCTCCGCACGGCTTCCTCGAAGCTCACCAATCCTCAACCCCACCTCTCCCGCCGTGGCACCGCGCAGCCGTCGCCCGCTCTCGCCCTCCGCCTCCCTCGACGACGGACCTCCGCCCCCGAAGCGGCACCGTCCTGAGCCAATGCCCATGAGAATCGAGCCCGCCGCTCATTTCCAGAACGGCAACTCGCACCCGAAGCATCCTCTCAAGTCGCTCGGACAGTCTTCTACGTCTTCGTCCTCCAGCTCAAGCTACGCTCTCGGCGGCGCATCCGCTGACGACTCTGACCATGACGACTACCACGGCGTCTCCCGTCTCGAGACCACGCGCCTCATGATCCAAGCCCTCCGCGACCTGGGATTTGCCTCCTCCGCCGCCGCGCTTGAGCAAGAGTCCGGCTGCACGATCGAGTCCCACGAGGTCTCCGAGTTCCGCACCGCGATCCTCGCCGGCCACTGGACCGTCGCCGAGCGCATCCTCGGCGCGCTCGAGCTCAAGCCCGGATCGGACGTCATCCGCCTGAAGTTCCTGATCCGCCAGCAAAAGTTCCTCGAACTGCTCGAGCAGCAACAGACCATGACCGCGATCTCGGTCCTGCACAACGAGCTCACGCCGCTCAGACACGACCAGCACCGGCTGCACGACCTCTCGAGCCTCGTCATGTGCTCCTCCGCCGACGACATCCGGCAGCTCGCGCACTGGTCCGGCGTCGACGGCGACTCGCGCCAGGAACTGCTCGCAAACCTGCAGGACCACATCTCGCCCGTGATCATGATCCCGGACCACAGACTCGCGACCTTGCTCGGCCAGGCGGCCGCGTACCAGGAACTCAAGTGCACCTATCACAACTACGCCGGCCGGCTCTCGCTCTACACCGACCACATCTGCCCGCGCTCTGAGCTCCCGACCGTCACCTCCCAAATTCTCTCCGACCACATCGGCGAGGTCTGGTTCATCGCCTTCTCAAACGACGGCACGAAGCTCGCGTCCGCAAGCAAGGATCTCACCGTCATCATCTGGGACATCAAGACCTTTGAAAAGATCCAAGTCCTCAAAGGCCACGCCGACCACGGCGTCACCTCCCTCGCCTGGTCCCCTGACGACCAGATCCTCATCACCTGCGGCTACGACCGCTGCGTCAAGCTCTGGGACGTCACCACCTACGAATGTCTCGAGACCCTCGACTTTCAAGAATCCGTCACCTCCTGCGCCTGGGCCTCCTCAGGCGACGAGTTCCTCACCGGCAGTCTCGACATGGCGAAAGCAATCTCCGTATACTCCGCCACCGGCCGCGAGCTGCACCGACTCTCCGGCTTCCGCGTCTACGACCTCGCGCTCACCCCGGACGGCAAGAAAATCGTCGCCATCTGCAACGAAAACCGGCTGCGCATCTACTCGCGCGCAGACTACAAGCTCATCGCCGAGATCCAGTTGCAGGCAATCATGACCTGCGTGACCATCTCCAAGGACTCGCGGTACGCGCTCGTAAACATCTCCGCAAAGGAAATCCATCTCTGGGATATCGAAAAGATCCAGCTCGTGCGCAAGTGCGTCGGTCAGCAGCAAAAGGACTTTATCATCCGCTCCTGCTTCGGCGGCGTCGCAGATAACTTTCTTGTTTCGGGAAGTGACGACGCAAACGTCTATATCTGGAGACGCCAGGATGGTATGCTCATCGACGTCTTGCCAGGCCACTCTAAAGGCGTCAACTCGGTCGCGTGGAATCCGGTCGATCAGCATATGTTTGCGTCGGCTAGCGACGACAATACAATCAGGATATGGACCAGTGATGTTTGAGCAGTTTCTTTAGTTTGTTGTCATTTTGGTGTGATTCTGTTATTTCTATGCTGTTTAGTTCGGTTACGTCATTATGTGGAGGGCGCTCGGGTTCAATATATATCTTTACAATGAATGCTGTATTATCTAGATTGTCTAATCTCTCTTATCCGCGCCCAACCTCGCGACCACCTCGTCGATCTTCTTCGCCGCCCATCCATACCTCATATTCGGGACCAAGAACGGCCGCAGATCGAACCGATTGTCGTCCGGCGAATACGACTCTGCATGGTACGCGGGCGTCATGATTGTCATCTTGTGGCGATTAATCGCATAAAAGAAAAAGAAATTCTTGACCTTTGTCGCAATCTGCTCGGCCGTCAGCCGCGGCGTCCACTCGTGGTACAGCTTGATGAACATCGAGTACGGCCCGCACTTGTCGATCTTGCGCAGCCGGCCAAAGATCGAGAGCTCTTCGTAGGTCATGCCCATGTCGGCTTCGTCGGATTGCACGTACGTCTCGGTTATGGGCTCGAGCTCGGCCGTCGGCGTCGCGTCGAGGAACGATTGCAGGACTGGCATGTTGTACTCGTCCCGCGCGTAGGCGATGAACGCCTTCAAGTCGGTTTTCGAGATGCCGCCGATGGGGTTGATGTCGGCAGACGAGCAGTCGTACTTGGTCAAGTACCCGCGCAAGCACTCGTCCACGTTCGCGCTGCCGAGAACAAGCAATCCGCCACTACGTCCCCGCACCCACGGCAACAGCTGCGCAAAGAGGTACGCAAACACCATACGCAGCCGCGCCTGGATGTTTTGCAGCGCAAGGTTCTCGGCATCAGACCCGCCGTGCACGCGAAACATCGGCTTCTTGCCCGTCACGACCACAAACACCTCGCGCACGGCACTCACCGCGAGGTCCATGTTCAGATCGACATGGTACGAGCCCACGTCATTTGCGAGCCGCGTCGCGCGCTGCCGCGTGTCGAACGACGAGTTCTCGGTGCCCATGTAGCAGGTGTGGAAGATGCGGCTCGCAAACTCGGCGGGGTCGGTAGGGATGTACTCGGACTCGGGCAGGCCGACGGCGCGGCGCGCGTCGCGGATGACGTCCTCGTTGCCTTCGTCGCACGCGCTCACCACGAGCCGGCACATCGAGTACACAATCACCGCGGTTGAGCAGGAATCGATGCCTCCGGAGAGCGGCAGAAAGAAGCCTGCGGATTTCGACCGGCGCAGGTAGTCCCACATCCAGCAGGCGGGTCCGAGCGCGATCTCCTCCTCCGGACGGTGATATCTGATCGGACGGGGTTTGGTGGGGACGATGGTCGGATCGAAAGTCGAGCCGGATTTGGAGAGCGCAAAGGCGGTGGGGATGCGCTGGTAGGTGGGTGTAGTGCGGCTCTGGAGGCCGTGCGACATGAGCGAGCGGTAGGAGCGGACGTCTTCGAGGTCGACGGTGGCGGTGACGACTTCGACGTCGTTGAGCGAGAACTGCGAGCCCTGGCCGACGACTTTGCCGTTGACGACGATGAGCGGGCAGCCGTCGTAGTAGAGGCGGTCGCCGTCGCAGCCGCGCTGGTTGGCGTAGAGGTAGATGCCGCCGCACTTTGCGGTGGCCTCGGTGATGAGGTTGAGGCGGAGATCGAGTTTGCGGAGCTGATGATGCGAGCCAGAGGAGTTTGTGAAGATCTCGATGCCGTCGAGGGACATGTCGATGTGGGGAGAGTCCGGGGTGAAGAGCTCTTCGCAGGTCTCTGCGCCGAGGACGGTGTCGAAGGTGGAGAGCACGGCGTCGCCAAAGTCGACCTCGTGCTGGCCGGTGATTTCGGAGATCATGCGGGGGAGGGCGAACTTCTCGACCTGGCGGGGTTTCATCCAGGGGGTGAAGTAGCGCATTTCGCGGTAGTTGCCGTCGTTTGCGAGCCAGAGTTTTGGGCGGATGAGGAGGATGTTTTTTCCGTAGGAGAGCATGCGGCAGTTGTAGCGGACGTTTTTGTGCATGACGGGCATGCCGACGTCGAGGAGGATGCCGTGGCAGTCTTCGTTCTGGAGCATACGGGCGTACATTTCCCAGGAGTGGAGGAAGGTGTCGCCTTCGAGGAAGTGGTCGAGGCAGCCGTAGCCTCTGTGATGAAGTTAGAGTGGGTAGATATGGGGATAAAGAAGAGAGAAGAAGAGGGACGGACGTGATTTCAAGCTCAGGGCCGACGCGGAGAGAGGAGCCCTGGGCCTTTGCCTGGACGATGGAGGCGACGATGCGGTCGAGGTTGCCTTCGAAGTCGAGGGCCCATTGGTTGAGGGCACTAGAAGTTCAATTAGAGTCAATTGAGTAGAGTGAAGAGCAGGAAGATAAATACCATGTCGAGACAGTCACCAGATGGCCCATTGCGGTGGTGAAGAGTAGCAGTTCACTTGATCAGTAGTGGAGTGGAGTGGAGTAGAGCAAGAGAAAGGTAAGCAGCGGGGTTTGTGGTGATGTTACTAACTGTGACTGATCTGTGAGCTACTGTGACTCATTGTGAACCATGCGATAACAAAGTCAGTCACAACCCACTCACACTTATGCCACAACTCACACAGAGTCACAATCGATTGGCTGAGAGCGCGCGATACGCAGGGCAGCAGGCCGGCGGCCGGACTAAGCCTAAAGCCCTTCGCCTCCAATTTAGAACCGCCTCGACCCACCTTTTCTCTTCTCTTCACCACTGCTTTCGGTTTATTCACAATGGTTTGTAGTTCTTGTGCTGTTTGTAGTCAATTGGGCTGCTGGATTGTGTGTTAACTCTCTTCTCTCAGGCCGGTGCTATCGATAACGCTAAGAAGCTCATTAAGAACCTCGACGACGATGGACAGTATGGTATGTCTTTATCTATCCTCTCATATCTCTATCTTTCTTCTCTCTACTAACACAATCGTACATCAAAGGCTCTGTCTACTCGGTCTCTGGACCCGTCGTCGTCGCCGAGAACATGATTGGCTGCGCCATGTACGAATTGGTACGTCTCTTATCTCCCTCTTCCCATACTATCATCTTCTCGTTACTATACTAACACCTCCCAGGTCCGCGTCGGTCACGAAAACCTGGTCGGTGAGGTCATCAGAATCGAGGCCGACAAGGCTACCATCCAGGTCTACGAGGAGACTGGTAAGTCCCCCCTTCTACTCCTACTCATCTTCTCTCTCACCCTACTCACACCCCCCAGCCGGCGTCACCGTCGGCGACCCCGTCCTCCGCACCGGTAAGCCCCTCTCCGTCGAGCTCGGCCCCGGTCTCATGGAAACCATCTACGATGGTATCCAGCGACCCCTCAAGGCCATTCAGGAGCTCTCCGGCTCTATCTATATCCCCCGTGGTATCGATACCCCTGCTCTCGACCGCTCAATCGCCTACGCCTTCACCCCCGCCGCAAACCTCAAGGTCGGCGACCACATCACCGGTGGCGACATCTTCGGTTCCGTCTTTGAGAACTCGCTCCTCAGCGACCACAAAATCATCCTCCCCCCGCGCGCCCGCGGTACCATCACCTCCATCGCCGAGGCCGGCAACTACACCCTCAACGACACCATCCTCGAGGTCGAGTTCGAGGGCAAGGTCTCCAAGTACTCCATGTTCCACTCCTGGCCCGTCCGTGTCCCCAGACCCGTGTCCGAGAAGCTCACCGCTGACTACCCCCTTCTCACCGGCCAGCGTGTCCTCGACGCCCTCTTCCCCGTCGTCCAGGGCGGCACCACCTGCATCCCCGGTGCCTTCGGCTGCGGCAAGACCGTCATCTCCCAGTCCCTCTCCAAGTACTCCAACTCCGACGTCATCATCTACGTCGGCTGCGGTGAGCGCGGTAACGAGATGGCTGAGGTACTCATGGACTTCCCCGAGCTCTCCATCGAGATCAACGGCCGCAAGGAGCCCATCATGAAGCGCACCACCCTCGTCGCAAACACCTCCAACATGCCCGTCGCCGCCCGCGAGGCCTCCATCTACACCGGTATCACTCTGTCCGAGTACTTCCGTGATCAGGGCAAGAACGTCGCCATGATGGCCGACTCCTCCTCCCGATGGGCCGAGGCTCTTCGTGAGATCTCTGGTCGTCTCGGTGAGATGCCTGCCGATCAGGGTTTCCCTGCCTACCTCGGAGCTAAGCTCGCGTCTTTCTACGAGCGCGCCGGAAAGGTCGTCACCCTCGGCTCGCCCAAGCGCATGGGTTCCGTCTCCGTCGTCGGCGCCGTCTCGCCTCCTGGCGGTGATTTCTCTGACCCGGTCACTGCTGCCACCCTCGGTATCACCCAGGTCTTTTGGGGTCTGGACAAGAAGCTCGCGCAGCGAAAGCACTTCCCGTCCGTCAACACCTCGCTCTCGTACTCCAAGTACAACAACATCCTCGGCAAGTTCTACGAGTCCAACTACCCCGAGTTCCCCTCGCTCCGCGACAAGATCAAGGAGATCATCTCCGACGCCGAGGAGCTCGAGCAGGTTGTCCAGCTCGTGGGTAAGTCCGCTCTGTCTGACTCCGACAAGATTATTCTCGAGGTCGCGACCTTGATCAAGGAGGACTTCTTGCAGCAGAACGGTTACTCGACCTACGACGCCTACTGCCCGATCTGGAAGACCGCCCAGATGATGAAGGCATTCGTGCTCTACCACGACGAGGCCCAGAAGGCCGTCGCCTCCGGCTCGGTCTGGAACAAGCTCAGAGAGTCCACCAACGACGTCAAGTACGCCATCTCCGCGACCAAGTTCTTCGAGCCCAGCAGAGGCGAGGCCGACGTCACTGCCGAGTTCGACAAGCTCTACAACAACATCTCCGAGACCTTTGCCTCGGCTTCCGAGTAAGCTCATGTCCTCTCTACAGTTGTTTTGGGTCTGCGCTCTTTAGTTTGAGCATCGGTCGTCAGTTTCTTTTAGATTGGAATCGTCTTTCCTTATTTCTATAGTCGTTCGTTTGTGAGCCTGTGTTTTATTTCTTTGTACTTTTTTCAAAATATTGTTTGTAGTTAAGCGAACTTGATAGCATTGTGGTAATAATAATCGTTTTCATATCATTCTGGCCTAAACTTTTCATTATAAATTTCTATCCTACAGCAATCCCTGCTTCTTCAAATCATTATACACTTTCTCGCTCATCACGTTGCCCTCGTCATCCTCGACCTCGATCGCCTGCTCCTGCATACTCTCCTGCGCCCGCTTCTCCCGCTTTATCTTATTCCACAGCGTCAGCGCGTCCTGTATACTCGTAATCTCCCTAAACAGGCTCGAGTTTTGAATCCCCAGACACCGCAAGCCATGGATATGCCTCGGCTCGACAAAGTGCTTGTCGAAAGCCTTGCGGCCCATGTACACGAAATTCCCACAAATCTCACACGGATACTCAACTCCCAGCCCATGCAACTTCCACAGCCAGAACGGAATCGGCTTGCCATCCCACCCGATCGGCAGCTTAAGCGGGTTATAAATCTTTCCGTCCTCGCCGTCGCCGCCGCTACCCTCGCCAGCACCGTCCTCGTCCTCGCTATCCTCCTCGCCGTTTTCTTCCCGCTCGAGCGCTTCCATCTCTAGCTGTCGCTCACGCACCGTCAGCGCGGATTTCCGCTCAACGTTGACCTTTGTGTCTGCGCGTTCTTTCGCGAGGATCTCAAACAGCTTCACGATCTCATACTCGCGCAACGCGATCACGCGCGCCTTCAGGTCTTGCACGGATGTATGTGAGCTTCCGCCCGTCTTCTTGTTCTCCGCATTCTTTTTGTGTTTTTTGCCGGTAAAGTGCGCGTCGTAGACAGTCTGTTTCTCAAATACCTTGTCGCACGCGCTGCAGTACCACCCGTTCTCGACCGGCCCGTCAGCCTTCTCGACCGTACTTGCCTCTTTAGCTTTTTCTTCCCACTCCTTTTCAAAGTCTTCGCCGATCTTGTCAATCATGCCGTCCGGGTCGTTGAGTGGCTGTGTTCGACGAAGGAAGCTTTGAAGGTAGGAAGATAGTGCGGTGATGTACTTGAAGTACTCCTCGTCTTTTGAAGATTTCGAAATCTGCGCAAACTTATCAACTACATCGAAATACTGCACGTACGACACCCGCTTCACGCCGCGAATGTTGAGATACCGCTCATGAAACGCAACCAAATCGAGATACCGCCCAAGATGTTCCTCGCCCGTAAACATCGACTCGATCACGTCCACCGCACTGCTCTGACCACCAGCTGCCTCATCCTCGGTAGTCTCGGTCTTTCGCTTCTTCCGGTAGTTTTCCTCGAGATTGTCGACGGGCTCGTTCGGGTACCTGCGGTGGAAATCTTTGATTTCTTTGTATTGTTTGTAGAACTCGTCGAGCGGCGTTGAGGTTTGGCCGCCGTGGATCTTTTCTATCTCGTTTGCTCGGAGGCTAGTCGTACATGTTAGCCAACTATCAAAAGAGGAAAAAGAAGAAGAAGAAGAAGAAGATGCAATGGAAAACTAACCCATCAGGGTCCTCGAGACTGGTGAGCAAGAATTTGCTCTGCTGCTGTATGCGCTCGAGGAACTTTGCGATTTCATGCTGCTGCGCGATCTTTGCCCGGTGCTAAACAGATAACAAGCAGATCAGCTACCTGCACTCACACCACACCACACGTCTTGTCATAAACATCAAAAAAAACACTCACGCTCTTCGGGGGAGCAAGAAGGCGATCAGCGATGGCTTGCTCTAGCCGGTCGAGATCTGGATATCGCAGGTGTCAGTGCTCTGCAACAGCAGCAACAACAAAGAACGGGAAATAACTCACCTTCGAGCGCGTATCGCTGACTCTCGAGCACCGACATGGCCGAATACACTAAACTGACTGGAACAAACTGCTTGTCTGTATCTGACTGCAGTTGGAGAGAGCCAGAGAAGGCTGGCTCCCGCATAAAAGACTCAGCACTGTGGCTGTTGTGCAGCCACTAGCCACTTGCGGCAGTGCCCGCCCAGCCACCCGCCCAAACCGCTCAGCGCCGCACCGTCCCAGGTGGCCCCGGATCCCCGCGATGGCTGGCCGCCCGGTGCTCGAACAGGCAACGAGCGGCGGCGTGGCGTGGCCGGGGGGCGGGACGGGACGGGGTGGTATGGATTGTGGTTGTATATCTGCATCTTGCCCTGCCCGTGCGCGCATGTTTCCTTGTGTTTCCTGCTCTCTGTGTTGTTCTCCTTGTTGTTCTCCTGCTGGGCATCGATATCTTCAAACCACTACCGCGCGCTCTATTCCCCTTTAGCTAGTTCTTCACCACCTTCCCCCTGCCTAGCGTTATCCGAGTACATCCCTCCTGCAGCGAATCTCCACCATGTCTCCTGTTGCGTTGTTACAGCCCGCAGACGACATCTCCCGCTTCCAATACCTCTCCGATCTCGAGCGCAGCAACGCGCTCCGCCGCGGCCGCGAGGACCTCAGCCCTGTCTCCTCGCCGACAAAGAAATACGCAAAGCTCAACAAGCGCGAGGAGTCCTGGATCAGAGAGCTCGTGAAGCCACCGTCGCTCGAGAACCTCAAGCCGCAATTGACGAGCGCGCAGCTCAAGGTCCCGGACGCGATGCAGCATCTGACTGCTATCGCGAGCCATCCTTCGCTGCCGTTTGTGGCGGTCGGAAGCGGCGGGCGGGAAAAGAATCTCTACATCTATGAGAGAGGTACCTCGAAAGGGCGGTCTCATCTATACGTACGTATTCGTCACTAGACTATAGTAAGCTGATGTTGGACTAACATGTGTTTAGCACCGACAAACCGTCTCTCTTCCTCATATCTACAGTCTTGCATGGGCGCCATTGGGAAAGTTCACGTCCAGCACAGTCATAGCGACTGGTCACCGCAATGGCGCTGTCCATCTAGTCTCGCTCCCGGATTCGTCGAATCCATATCCTGCCCGCATCATCAAGCGCTTCAACCACGCCCACGCTGTATGTATCCCTTTCTTTGTGATCCAACTAGATTTAAATGAGATATAGGACTGACTTTAATGACAGGATCCCAGACGAATCGCGTGCGGCCCCGGACTCCGGGTATCACATGTCGAATTTACAAGTCCGGTATGGACCTGTGTTCCCGACGCTTCTCTAATCAGTCTCTACGGCCAAACCGTCCACATCTGGGATCTTTCCCGCAACGACCGGCCGCTGCTCACCCAGCGCGTGGCCACTATCAACGGCCTCCACGCGTCACCCTTCCGAGACGGAATCCTAGGCCTGAGCGGCGCGTTCGGAATCGCGCTGCTCGACGTGCGCACCCGCACGCGAGGGCTGCTGCGGCCCAAGATTGCGAATCACTCCGAGTCGACGGCGGTGAAGTGGTCGCCGTACAACTCGAACTGGGTCGCGTCCGCGCACGAGGACAGTAAGATTCGGGTGTGGGACATTCGCGCGTCGCAGCCATTCGCGGAGCTGGCGGGTCACTCTGACATCATAAACACGCTCGAGTGGTCGGCTACCAATCCCAACGAGTTGATCTCGGGATGCGCGGATCAGACGATCAACGTGTGGGACGTGACGAGCACGACGTTCAATTACGACACGAGCAAGTCGAAGGAGAAATACTTCACCAAGCTCGAGCGCCGCGAGGACGCCACGCTGATCCCACCGGAGGCGGTCGAGAGCGCGCGGCGACGGAGGGCGCTGTTCACTATCCTCGAGGATCCAGATGACTCGGCAATCGACGAGACAGCGGAGGGCGTCAAGTCGTACCGGCAGTCGGCGTCAGTGATTGGTCTGGCGTCGGTGGACGTACCAAGCAGCAGCGGCGGAGCGAGCAACAAGGAGTTTTGCTCAATCAGCACCGATACGACGGTGTCGCTTCACCAGATGTGCGCGCGCGGGAGCGGGATGGAGCCGGTGAAGCGGGTCAAGTCGCGGAAGGCGAATGCTCACCATGGATTCAGCGGCATGATTGAAGCCAGAAATATGGAGACTGTGAGCAGAGCGCGCACACTGCTGTGAGCGAGAGAGAGAGGTTGAAATGGTGATTCGGCTTCGGATTTGATATCGCGTTTTGTTTCGGTCGTTTTCTTTGTCTGTAGTTTTGGGTGTTTATAGTCAATTGCTGTTTTGGTGTTTGCGTCACTTTTGTATATTTATTGTCAAATACAGATCCGAGGAGTTGGATGTTACAGAAGCACACAACGATATGTGATTTGAAAAGCACACAGTAGATAGGGAACAGGATCCAGGTTATATCTCATATCAGATATCGACTGATCTCATCTCCAAGCGCACGTGCTCTCTGCCTTCAACGTGACTCTTCTTCCTCCTCGACCGCTGAACCTTAAAAATCTCCGCGGTTTTTTTTTCTACAAAACGCGTTTGGTTTTTTCTTCTTCTTTTTCTTCTTCTTTTTGCTATAAAAAGGCTGCTGCTCCGTGTCTTTTGTCGGCAGACCGTTTCTTACTCAGTCAGTTTACTACTTCCCAGCTAATCAGATATGCCTGTACGTCGCCTTTCCCCTGATCTTGCTCGCCTCCCAGTGCTCTTACTCACTCTTGCTTCTTCAGATGTTCATCTCCAACCCACACATCGGCGACCAGTCCCGCTCCGAGGACTGGAGAAGTGCGTCTTTCTTTTTCTTCTTTCTTTTCACATGTTCATATACTCACACAACTTGTGTAGTCCGCGGGTACGACCCCATTACTCCCCCCGACCTCCTCCAGCACGAGATCAAGCAGACCAAGATCTCGAAGCAGACCGTCATCCAGGGCCGCAACGAGGCCGTCAAGATCATCAACGGCGAAGACGACCGTCTCCTCGTCGTCATCGGCCCCTGCTCGATCCACGACGTCGACGCCGCGCTCGACTACGTCAACAGACTCAAGCCGCTCGCCGACAAGTACAAAAACGACCTGCACGTCGTCATGCGCGCATACCTCGAAAAGCCCCGCACCACCGTCGGCTGGAAAGGCCTCATCAACGACCCTGATATCAACGGCACCTTCGACATCAACAAGGGCCTCAAGATCTCGCGGAATCTCTTCCTCAAGCTCACAGAGAAACTCCCCATCGCCGGCGAGATGCTCGACACCATCTCGCCCCAGTTCCTCGCCGACCTCGTCTCTGTCGGCGCCATCGGCGCCCGCACCACCGAGTCCCAGCTCCACCGCGAGCTAGCTTCCGGCCTCTCCTTCCCCGTCGGCTTCAAGAACGGCACAGACGGCACCGTCGACGTCGCCGTCGACGCCATCCGCGCCTCGTCCTGCCCGCACCACTTCTTGTCCGTCACAAAGCCCGGCGTCGTCGCCGTCGTCGGATCGGAGGGAAACACCGATACCTTCATCATCCTCCGCGGCGGCAAGGGCGGCACCAACTACGACTCCAAGAGCGTGCGTGCGGCCAAGAGCAAGCTTCTCAAGGCCGAGTTCATTGTCGAGAAGCTCGAGGAGAAGCTGCGCAAGCTCGGCAAGGGCGATCTCGAAGGCGACGCCAAGGTCGAGGAAATGAAGAAGCACCTGACGAGAATAATGATCGACTGCTCGCACGGCAACTCAAACAAAGACTACCGCAACCAACCCAAGGTCGTCAAGTCGATCTGCGCCCAGCTCGCAAAGGGCCAGACCGGAATCATGGGCGTCATGATCGAGTCCTTCATCACCGAGGGCAAGCAGGACAGCGAAAAGCGCATGCGCGGGGGGGAGTTTGTCTACGGCCAGTCCATCACCGACGCTTGCATCTCCTGGGAATCGACCGAAGACGTGCTCGCCGAGCTCGCCAAGGGCGTCCAGGACAGACGCGCGTACAAGCTCGCGCATCCGAACGCGACCGGCGATGGCGATAACACTGACGAGGATGAGGAGATTGTCGAGAGCAATGGCAATGGCAAGAAGCGCGAGGCCGACGAGCCGTTGGCGAACGGCAGCAAGCGCCAGCACTAATCACATACTACTACTACAAAGAACCAAATTCTTTCCTTCTTTGTGATTATTTTCCCGTGTTCATAGTTATCAACGCCACCTTCTTTTTTGATATATTCTTTTGGAGTTTTTTGCTTGTGTTTTTGTTTTTGATAATGGTCTGTCTATACGAGAGAAAACGGGAAAAAAGTTATTACATTTTTTGAAATTTTTGGAAAGCGGTGACGAAATTTTTAGTTTGAGATTTAGTTTAGACGGGGTTCGGACGAAAATTTATTTGATTTGTAATTATTTTTTGTATTTTTTATATGTTTATATGTGAAATGAACTGTTTTATCAGGAAAAAGTAGTAAATACCAGAAATGGACGAGTTGGGACAAAGAGTAGATACAAAGAGATTCTCGGGGTCACATGCAAGTCAGAGGCTCGCCGCACTCCACCATCTTCTCACTAGTCACTTCACTACACTCGCGCCCTTTTCCTTCTGTCTACGTACTTGCTCAGTTATTGTACTGGTTTCTCGCTGAGAGGATTATATGTTCATTACTATTGATATCAAGTCAAGCAAACAAAGAAGCACATGCGGAAACAGCAACAACAGAGTATCGATCAAGCGAAAAAGCAATTCACAACAACAACAGCAGCATCATCTTGTCATCTTCGTCTTATAGGCCCGATATTTATCCAATGACAACCCCAGTCTTCTTCTCTCGTCGTCCATTTCTCTAACAACAAGTGCTGCTGACGCGCCTTCTCGGATCCTGCGATCTATGATATCCATAAGTTTCTTGCGACGCTGATAATACCTCTTGTCCTTCGCCGCCATTCTCCACCGCACGCCAAATCGTTCTTCCAATGATCTCACTGACGGGCACTGATAGAGTCCCTTATCCCACTCAAGCCATGCATCTGCAACCGTCGTCAATGTTCGGTTCATCACATATTTCTCCACGGGTTTCTCAGGGCTGACGACAGGTTTGACGACAGGAGTGTTCACTGCCTCGGACAGATACCAATACCCATTAGGTAGGACATACGCGTGGACAGAAGGAGCAGCAGACGGTTGAAAAGCCAGCGCACGCGCCCAAGGTCCGGTTTGATTACTTCGCTGCGGTGGTGGCGGCTGAGCCAAAGCCAAGGGAGGATATTGGGATTGTTGTCGACCTTGTTGGTTGGGCAACTGCGCGCCTCGAGAGTGTTGTCCTCTCGAAGCAAACACCTGGCTTAGTTGGGACGTCAGGCTCGCCGCTTGCTGCTCTTGTCCTTTGTTCAGATCCGCGATTTTGTCCTTCAGGTTCGCGGTTCGCTGCTCTGGTCTTGCGATTTGCTGCTCTTGTCTCGCGGAAAGTCCATTTGTTAGCACTTCCCGTCGGTACGGCGCTTGCGCTATCTCTGGAATTGTTTCCTGTAGGCGCAGGGACGGTGGCGTAATTTTCTCAGCAGAGTCATGCACCGCACACACCCTATTCGCAAAAGCTTCAAAATCCGGATGCCGAAACACTTTGTGACTAAGTATCGACAAATTTGGGAATCTCCTTCTGAGTATTGCTGCATCTTGCAAAATAACCAATCTGCATTCGAGCAGGAGTTTGAGAAAATTTTGCGCTGCCTTATCTGGCTGAACTTCTGCATCTCGGTTGCGGAACCGTGCAAGCCATCCTTCAGCTTGAGGAAAAATCATGTTTTGGAGCGTTTTGGGTGGGATAACTGATGCTCGAGGAAGGTAGTACCTTCCTGGTTGATCCTTGAATCCCGCTTGAATCTTCTTTGCTTGCAACGTAGCTGAATTCAGGGTCGTGGTATTCAAGGCACTGCCTTGCCAGCGTACGATGTGCTCAATGCTTGTGGTAGTTACTCCCGCCCGCTCGAACATTCGCTTAAACACCTCATCATAGGCCGTCCAAGACATTTCGGCGCAGGGGTCCCGAGAATCCACCGTCCGGATCAACTTCTGAAAGTACCAATTCGCGCGTCTGTGGAAATCTGGAAGTGGTTCGCAGTTGATTTCGAACCTCCCAAACAGATAAAAGGCGAGTGCATTGAACGCGCAAAGAAGCGGATCTTTATGACGTATGACTGATGAGAATTCGCTGCGACCATTTTCTTGATCCATTCGCATCATTAATACCTTCACCGGCGTTATATCAGAGGCGTTCGGAACTTGGACAAACAGGTCGGCGAATTCCAGGCGCCGAACACTCTCGCCCTGGAGCAAAAGTTTATGGCTCATCAAAACAATCAACCGGTCTCTCAAATCACATTCTGCTGTCCTTTCGGTCTCTGCGGATGATCCCAGGAAACATTCATTCATCTTCACCAGATTGCATTACCCCTTGAATTGCCCAAGGGCTTCTGTCCTCAAGGCTTTTGCGGACTCTAAGTTCAATTTTCTTCGCGTAGGTTCTCAACAACATCTTCATAATGCGTCCTCTGGGGCACTCTTCAGTGCTTATTCCTCGCCGGACCTGTGAGTTTCACAGATCGACTAGTGCTGCGACATACAATCGCAATGTCTCTATCGCAACTATGCTATCGCCCTGATCTGATTTCGGACTATCCGGACCGATAACTCGCACCGTTAAGAAAAACACGGCACTAGGATCGTTGACTATACAATCCATGCCCTTTGTCTCTACCCAATCCAAGAACTCGAGCTGCCTTACGCGGAAAGCGTAATCGGCGTTCTTCGTTCGTGATCCCCGATCTTTCTGATTCTTCTCTTCGACAATTCGTTGTCGTTCAGTTATATTGAATTGTAGTCGAGGCCATTGGCCGGGCTCTGGCGCGATGCCCTCCATCGGACCCGTCGCATTTTGATCGCTCTTGGCTTTCTGTCGCGAATCAAGTGATTTATAGTAGTGAGATAAACTGAAGTGAGATTGTCCCTAAACGGCAGGAAGGCGTAAGGTGAATGAAGAGAAACGAGAAAAGAGAAAAGAGAGAAGAGAGAAGAGGGAGCGTGTTAGCTCAAGGCGTAGATAGAGAAGGCAGGGGCTGTACTACTCAGCTATCTGAGACTTAATGCTGCTATCAATTGCTCTGTTCTGAATAAAAAACAAATATGGCTATTTCCATGATTCAACTGATTCGATATATCTGTAAATCATCTACTCTTGACCACAGCGAAAGCCATGATCTACTACAGACGGACGAGCAAGTTGAGATTCTCCTATAGCTGGCAGAGTCAGGAGTCAAGTCAAGTCCCAGCACAGTCAGCAGCCAGTCATCAGGTCAGGTGACCAGATACAGCTCATCGTGAGCCTCACGTCAAAAACCGCAAAATCAAAACAAACAAACCCGCGTCCATCAACTGCCCGCAGCTTCCTCGACTTCAAACGGACGGCTTTAGAGCAGAGTGGTTTTTAGCGAAAAAAAATGGAATTCTCAGAATTTATTGCTACGACAGGGAAGGATCTCATCAGGCAGATTGCGCCAGCTGTGTCGTATTCTGGTAAATATATCGCGACGATCTCGACCAGCAGCCCAGCAGCGGCTCTCTCTGCGTCGAATACAAGTAAACCACTTCGTTCAAAAAGTGGTAATGGCACAGCAGCAGCGCAGGGAACAGTGCAGCATGAGCTTGTGATTAGGGGTACGCGCTCGCTGGCCGTCAAAAGGAAAATATTCATGCCTCTCGGCTTCACGCCGCGGTTTCTCAAATGGTATCGTCCAGCGACGCTCGGACTACCGGCCGATCCCGAAGATAGCTCGAGCACGTCGCAGATAGACGACGACGTGCACCGGATTCTGGCAGCCGACGAGGCAGGGCAAGTGTGTGTCTGGGACATCGACGGGATCCTGGCGCGGACGATCGTGGACGAGATCGAGGATCTAAAGTCGGTTGTTATTATCCGGCAGCTGGACTGGGGCGCCAACGTACCGGTCAAAGCAGTCGACTGGGGAAGGTCGCCGGATGAGATTTTGGTGTTTTCGGACTATAACGTCGCTGTTGCGGTGTGGTCTATCGCAAGTCGCGAGTGCGTGCAGCTCTATCATCCGAAATATACAACACACCATGGATACTCATTCCAACCCGGCAGCAGGCATCTCACCGTCCTCTCCCATCCGGTTGCTGACGACGTTCTGTCAATCTACGGCGGTCCGCTGTCAAATCTCCAGTCGCTAGCTTCCTTTTCTCTGACGGATTTCTACCACGCAAAGGGATTCAAATGGTCCCCCGACGGCCGCTGGATCGCGGTTTATGACACAATCACGAACTTCCAAGTGGGCGTGTATACGCCGCTCGGAGCCCTTTACCGCGTGTTTATAACGACAGAGATCGGACTTGGTGTGTGCGATATCGAGTGGTCTCCTGCGGGGAATTTGCTGGCGGTCGCTTCTTATGATGGGTTGATTAGATGTTTGAACACATGGACCTTTACGCCAGTGAGTGTCTTCTCCAGAGAGAAGAGAGAGCAAAAACTAACTTTTTTAGACTGTTATTTTAAAGCACCAGCCCACTATCCAGACCAAAGAACCGGTAGTCTTTGTTGAGCGGCCGATAAGCAGTAAGGAAGGATTTGCCAAATGTAAGTCTCAACACAAACCTCACTTCTTTGCATTATACTAACAGATAAATCTGCAGACGAGAGAGTGCTGCAATATCCAGTCAGTCCCCCGAAACTCAAGACCTCGCCCACCGACGCCCCGCCAAAGACAGGATTCAGTATAATGGCGTTCAACAAAGACGGCACGCTGCTTGCGACGAAGTACGACCTGATACCGACCACGCTGTGGATCTGGTCGCTTCGGACACTAGCCCCGGTAGCGATTTTAGTACATGTTCGGAAGGTCAAGAGCGCGGTCTGGCATCCCAACAAACAGCATCTGCTGATGATCACCTGCGCGACCGCGAACGCGAAAGACGACGAGTCCTACGAAAACTACAATCTGGCGGATGTTGGCGTGGAAAACGACTGCAGCATACGGATCTGGAACTCAGAATGGCGCGCGCCTGTCGCGTTTGCGGTGCCGAAAGTGAACAGCAAAGGCGCGTTTTCAAATATTCTCGAAGCGACATGGATCCGCGACGACCAGCAGTTCGTAAACAGTATAGATATGGACTCGACGTTAGACGAGGACACAAAGATGGGATTGAGGGCAAAGATCTTGATCAGCGACCGGGGCGCGTATTCGGTCGGCTATCTTGACGACGAGCAGGAGACCGAGGACGACGATACTAAAGTACAGAGACTGATTGATGGTGTGCAGCAGCAGGAGTGGGCAGAGGCGATGACTACCACCTGCATCGACGACACGTTTGCAAATATCGCACCCCGCCAGAGGAGTATACCTACGTGATGTAGTATGTCCACTTAATATACCTTTCTAATAACTATTAACTACCAATCAATTGCTGCTTATAAAAGTCCGGACAACTTCGCCAGATGCAGAAGCAGCAGCACGTGACCGGAACAAGATTCAGGGAGACAGAAACCTTAAAAATAATTTTTCCCTGCGAGCTCAGACTCATCGCTATCAGGAAACAGTCATAGGCCCAGTAATACTCATAAACACCTTTTTGGAACAGGTTTACGCAGATTAGAGCAGTTTACTTCGTTCTCTTCTGTTCTTTGAGATTATTTCCATCATCGAGAAACATGAGTGTTGTTCCTGAATACACAGCAGCGACTCTGCAATCGCTACCGGGATCGCGGCTCGCTGTTCTCGGAGCTGCCTTCGTGCGGGTAGCTTCCTCCGCCGACGTCGTGGCCGTCAAGACGTTCGTCGCAGAGAACTTTGGCGCCGTCGAGTTCTACGCAATCCTCCCGAGCGGCGTGTCTGTCGACGAGGCCATCGCGCTGCTTGATGCGGGCGTCGAGGCCGTCGTCGTTGCCGCCGCGGACGAATTGCTCGCGGCAGGTGTCCCCGCGTCGCGAATCATTCTCTCGTCCGCCACCGCGAGCGCGGTCGAGTCTGCTGCGGGTCTCTTTGTCGACGAGGCCGCTGCTAAGACAGCCAAGCTCTCAGACAAGCAGACGCTGTACGTCGCGCTCTCGGCGCCCAAGCTCGAGCTCGTCAAGGCGCTCCCGGCATCGTCTGTCGTCGTCGTGCCTGCCGAGTCGCTCAGCACCGAACTCGAGACTCTGGCGGGAAAGCTGTCGGTTGCGGATGTTGTCGTCAGCAAGCTTGTGTCTGACCGGACCGACGGATTGTTTTCGACTCTCGTCGTCGACGCCCGCGATACCGCGCTCGGCCTCGTTTACTCCTCCGCCGAGTCGGTTGCGAACGCGATCGCGACGTCGACGGGCGTGTATCAGTCGCGCAAGCGCGGGCTTTGGTTTAAGGGTGCGACTTCTGGTGCGGTGCAGAAGCTGCTCAAGATCTCGGCCGACTGCGACAGCGACTGCTTGAAGTTCGTGGTTGAGCAGTCCGGCGCCGGGTTCTGTCACAAGGAGACGGCTTCGTGCTTTGGTTCAGTGTCTGGGATCAGCGCGCTCGAGAAGACGCTCGTGAGCCGGAAGGAGTCTGCGCCGGAGGGATCGTACACCAAGCGGCTGTTTACGGACGAGAAGCTGTTGCACGCGAAGATTATGGAGGAGGCCGAGGAGCTTACGACTGCGAAGAGCAAGAGCGAGATTGCGTGGGAACTCGCGGATCTGGTGTACTTTGCCATGACCAAGGCGGTCCAGAACGGCGTCTCGTGGACGGATGTCGAGAACAACCTTGATGCGAAGAGCAAGAAGATTACGAGACGGAAAGGAGACGCGAAGGGGAAGTGGGCGCCTAAGGAGGAGCCCAAGCCTGAGGAGAAGAAGGTGGAGGAGGAGAAGAAGGAGGACAACGGCCGGATCGCACTGACGAGATATAACGTCGCTGATGTGTCGGCAAAGGCGCTCGACGATCTGCTCCGCCGTCCTGCTCAGAAGAACGCAAACATCATGAACCTCGTCACTCCGATTGTTGAGGCGGTGCGCACGCGCGGTGACGCCGCTCTGCTTGAGTTCACGGCCAAGTTTGAGAAGGCGCACCTTAAGTCTCCTGTTTTGAAAGCGCCGTTCCCTGCCGAGCTGATGGCGCTGGACGAGAAGACCAAGGCGGCGATCGACATGTCGATCGAGAACGTGCGCAAGTTCCACGCCGGCCAACTCGAGAAGGAGCCGCTCGTTGTCGAGACGCAGCCGGGCGTTGTGTGCAGCCGGTTCGCGCGACCGATCGAGACCGTCGGCCTGTACGTTCCCGGCGGAACCGCGATCCTGCCGTCGACGGCGCTGATGCTCGGTGTTCCCGCGCAGGTGGCCGGGTGCAAGAACATCATCATCGCGTCGCCTCCCAAGGCTGACGGAACGCTGACGCCCGAGGTTGTCTACGTCGCGCACAAGGTCGGCGCTAGCATGATTCTGCTTGCCGGTGGATCGCAGGCGGTGGCGGCGATGGCCTATGGAACCGAGTCGGTTCCGAAGGTGAACAAGATCCTCGGTCCCGGAAACCAGTTTGTGACCGCGGCCAAGATGCTCGTCCAGAACGATACCTCGGCGCTTGTGTCGATCGATATGCCAGCGGGCCCGTCCGAGGTTCTAGTCGTTGCCGACAAGTACGCGAACCCAGCTTTCGTGGCCTCAGACCTGCTGTCGCAGGCCGAGCACGGCGTCGATTCGCAGGTGATTCTGATCGCCGTCGATCTGACCGAAGCCGAGCTGCAAAAGATCGAGGACGAGGTGCACGAGCAAGCCATGCGTCTGCCGCGCGTCGACATTGTGCGTGGAGCGATCGCGCACTCGCGCACGTTCAGCGTCAAGACGGTCGAGGACGCGATCGCGCTGAGCAACAAGTACGCGCCCGAGCACTTGATTTTGCAGATTGAGGACGCGGCCAAGTACGTCGATCTTGTGCAGCATGCCGGATCTGTCTTTGTCGGTGCTTGGAGTCCGGAGTCGTGCGGTGACTACTCTTCCGTAAGTCTTTTCTCAATGATCTTTTCTCAATGAAGTTACTAATGAATATTTAGGGAACAAACCACACTCTCCCAACCTACGGCTACGCAACCGTCTACTCGGGCGTCAACACCGGCTCGTTCATGAAGCACCTGACCAGCCAAGAGCTCACGCCCAAGGGTCTCGAGATCATCGGCCCGGCTGTCGTGAGACTTGCGGACGTCGAGGGCCTTGACGCGCATGGAAACGCGGTGCGGGTGCGACTTACGCACTTGGCCAAGACGAAGACGGAGGAGGTTTTGGCAAGGGTTTAGAGGTGAAAAAGCGGAGTAAACGAAGTTTTGGATATGTGCATGCTATAGCTTAATTTGTTTTGTACAAGAGTTGAGAAATAAAGAATGAATAAAGAATTTTAATCACATGAGAATCGTGAATGCACTTTTGGGTAAACTACAACTCCGGGGTGTCGGCGTAGAGATCACCGTCGGTGGGGTAGCGATCACCAGCGACAGCATCGGCCGCGGCGTCAACAAACTCGCGAATCGACTTCTTCTCCTCCTCGGTCAGGGTCAAAGTCGCCGACCCCGCGTTCTCAACCACACGGTCGATCTTGGTGGTTCCCGGGATAGGCACGTACCCCTGCGAGATGATCCACGCGAGACAGACCTGGCCGGGCGTCGCGCCCTTCTTCTCCGCGATGGCCTTGAACGCCTCGACGAGCTTGAGGTTCGCGGCGAAAGTGTCAGGCTGGAAGCGGGGGTTCGACAGGCGCCAGTCGGTGGGGCCAAGATCGGCGAGCGAGGTGAGCGCGCCGGTGAGCATGCCTCGCGCGAGAGGCGAGTAGGCGACGACACCGACGCCGAGCTCGGCGCAGGCCTCGATCAGACCGTTCTTCTCGGCCTCGACGGCGAAGGGCGAGTACTCGATCTGCACGGCGGTCACCTGGTGGATCTTGCACGCGCGTCTGAGGGTGGCGGCGGAGCACTCGGACAGTCCAATGTACTTGATCTTGCCCTCCTCGACGAAGCCCTTGAGCGTCTTCATCACGGTCTCGACCGGGGTGTTGGGGTCCATGCGGTGCTGGTAGTAGAGATCGATGGAGTCGACGCCCAATCGCTCGAGGGACTCGTCCAAGCTCTGCTTGATGTACTCGGGCGAGGCAAGGAATCCCGATCCGTCGGTCTTGATGCCGAACTTGGTGCAGAGGAAGAGCTTCTCGCGCACGCCCGGCCGGGCCTTGAACCAGCGTCCGATGAGGAGCTCGTTGTCGTTGTAGATGCGCGCGGTGTCGAGGAAAGTGACGCCGGATTCGACGACCTTGTCAAGGACGGCGAAGGCCTGCTCGTCGTTGAGCAGCGTCTCGTAGTAAGCGGAGATTCCCTAGACACAGCCAACAGTCAGTGGTCGATCTCGGGAGAAGTAGGAGGGGAGGACATACCATCGCGCCGAAACCGAGGACGCACACCTCAGGGCCCTTTGATCCAAGCTTTGTAGTAGGAAGCGACATGTTGTTTGTTCAATTGAGTGCAGGAAGTGAGTTGATGTCGAGATGGAGGAGGAGGAGGAGGAGGAGGGGCTCAGCTTATAGAGTGGTATCGGCCGAGAACGTTCTTATCGCTCGGAGTGGACCTCGGGGAAGTTTTCGCTTAACTGCTTACCTCGTGTTATGTAATGGATTACTAATACCAATACTTGCTGATTCCATATGTAGATGCTATAACTAGATCGTAGGATAAACAAAACTCCATAACCATCAATAACTCCAAGCACCATGCCAAACCACAAGTCTACACATAACAAGATAACAGATCAACCTGTACATAAACATAGGAGACATCACACCTGCTTGATCCACGACGGTGTCCAGTACTCCCTCGGCCGCGCCTGCTCATCGACCCAGACCAATCCCGCAGCAACAAGATCGTCTAAAACAGTAATACACCGCGCCGTCTCCCAATTCAGATTATCGCGCAAAATCGGCACAGAGATGTATCCCATCGCCTGCGTAGCCTCGATCGCGACCGCCTGGTCCTTACTCATCTCCTGCGGCACGCTGCGGATAAACTCCCGGTTCGCAAGCTTGACAATCTCGAATCCGTGGCCGAGCGGCGCCAGCGTGGCCACCGCCCGCACGACGTCTTCGTGGGACACCGGCGGGCGGTTGGGCGAGAGACTGTTTATCCTCGCGCGCACGTCGTCAACGAGCATCAACCCCCCGTTCTCCTCCCTCGTCCGTCGACAGAGCTCAATGATCCTGACCGCGAGCTCAAAGAAGAAATCGTTGACGTCGTTACCCAGCAGCTCAGCCCAGAACGACCCGCCTTTCTTGTTCGCGGCCGAGGACGCGAGCGGGTCGACGCCGATCGCAGCGCACATCTTTACAAACTCGGCGCGGAAGACGGGGTCGGACCTGATTTCGTTTGCATGAGACTCGGCGAATTTGGTGAGCGCGGATTGAAACGTCTTCAGTTGGTCTGAGAGCTCGGAGATGTGAGCTGAGAGGAGGGAGGAGCCAAGGTCTGAGTATTGCTGTGCTGCGCGCTGGCTGTTGTCGAACGCAGCCAGACCTACTCCGCGTCTGAGAGACATCGTGAGGTGTAGATGTAGATGTGAGATGTGTAATGCAAAGAAGAATAAGAGGAAGATGTGAAGGAGAAGAGGAAGAGCGATAATGATCTCTGGAGATAATCACGTGAAGACAAAGGCGCAACTTCCTGTTTTGGTTCCATCCTTCGGAGCCGGCTAATTTGGGCGGAACCCATCCGTTTTGGGCAGTTCATGCGCAACCACCGCCCACTCGCTCGCTGTGCTGTTATAATACAGTAAAAACTGATTGTTCTGCTACTCATATCATTCTCATTTTCTCTACGCTGTCAGTTCACTTACAAAATCAACGCGTCGTGGGCGAAGATCAAACCGCGGCTAATTAGCCTAAACAGGCGGCGGCGGGGCACCGCAGTGACGCACTTAAAGAGCCCCGACGCCCGCTGGCCTCCTCCGCACTCCACTTTCCTTCTCAACTTCACCACAATTCACAATGGCTGTAAGTCTTCTTCTTCTTCCTCATAATCTCTTTCTTCTCCCCGCTAACCTACCAGAACCCCTCCTTCGTCATGCAAAAGGTCCTCGACGTCTCCTTCGAGGACCGGCCGATCCCAAAACTGATCTCACCCCGCGACGTCCGCATCGAAATCAAGCAGACCGGCATCTGCGGTTCTGATGTCCACTACTACACCCACGGCGCCATCGGCAGCTTCATCGTCAAGGCCCCCATGGTCCTCGGCCACGAGTCCGCCGGGATCGTCGCCGAAGTCGGCCCCGAGGTCACCTCCCTCAAGGTCGGCGACCGCGTCGCCCTCGAGCCCGGCGTGCCCTGCCGCTTCTGCGACCACTGCAAGGCCGGCAAGTACAACCTCTGCGCAGACATGAAGTTCGCCGCCACGCCCCCCTACGACGGCACCCTTTGCCGCTACTACGTCCTCCCCGACGACTTCTGCGTCAAGCTCCCCGACAACGTCTCCCTCGAGGAAGGCGCGCTCGTCGAACCCCTCTCCGTCGCCGTCCACGTCACAAAGCTCGCTGACGTCCAGGTCGGCTCGACCGCAATCATCTTCGGCGCCGGCCCGGTCGGTCTTCTTTGCTGCGCCGTCGCAAAGGCATTCGGCGCCACAACCGTCGTCGCCGTCGACCTCGTCCAGTCCCGTCTCGATCTCGCGCTCGATCTCGCGGCAACGCACTCGTACGTTCCCCAGAAAGGCGACTCCGCCGCCGACTCGGCCGCAAAGATCATCGCCATGCTCGGCGGCAAGCAACCCGATTTCGCAATCGACGCCTCCGGCGCCGGCGCGTCTGTCAACACCGCTATCCACGTGCTCAAGCAGGGCGGAAACTACGTCCAGGCCGGCATGGGCGCGCCCGAGATCTCGTTCCCGATCACCGAGTTCACCGTCAAGGAGATCACCGCTCGCGGCTCGTTCAGATACGGACCTGGTGATTACCAGCTCGCGGTCGCGCTTGTGGCGAGCGGAAAGGTCGATGTCAAGAAGCTCATCACGCATCGTGTCAAGTTCGAGGAGGCAGAGGAGGCGTTCAAGCTCGTGCTCAAGGGCCAGGGCGTCAAGATCCTCATCGAGGGTCCTGCTGCTCCTGCTGCTTAAGCTGGGCTTTGAGTGAGGGAGAAACAAAAATATATAACATGGGGGAAGCGCATCGCTTTATTTAGACTTGGCCTAGAGATCAACCGGCCTTTCTATTGTATTATAATAGTATATTTACATTCATCGTCACCATCCCTTACAAAGTAAGTACCAAACAATATAAAAAATACAAAACACCATCCTAATGTACATCCGTGTAAATACCTAAATACCCAAAAACCCATCTCGCTCACTAGAACTCACCTCGCTCACAAGAACCCACTGTCCTGCAACAACCTTGCAAGCTTATCATCATCCCCGCGCTCGCGCGGCTCGTACTCAAGCGACGTGTTGTACAGCTGCTCGAGGTTCTGCGAATTACTCAGCCCCTCCTGCAACAGATCCTGCAGCTCCCTGACCGGCCGCAGCGTGTACGGCACAGATTGGTACTGCTGGATCTCGCGGATGACTTCGGCCGCGCGCGTGCGTTTCGAGAAATTGATCATGTCGGACCGGACTGGGTCTGCTGGTGGAGCAGGGGACGAGGTTGCTGCCGCTGCTGAAGAAGATGAGGTGGGGGAGGTGGTAACAGACAAAGACGGTTCTCTGCTACTCGTTTTGTCGCCTCCGTCGTCGGCTCGCTGCTTGCTGTTGTCTCCGTTATTTATCGACTGCACGAGATTATTCGTGTTCCCGTCCTCGATAAACGTCAGGTCGGTCAGATACACCCCAAAGAACGGCACGCACGGCGGACTGATCAGATGCAGCATCGTGCGGTACTCGCCAAAGTTGCGGCTCGAGTCGATCAGCCGGTAGAGATTCTCGAGCATGACATGGTACTTTTGGGGAAGAATGTCCCATGTCTTGATCAGACGGTGGATCGTGGCGGAGTATAAGCTCGAGATGATTGCTGTCATTGATGAGAAGTTGTGCAGTTGTCGGCATTGCTACAGTCGTCCAGTTAGTATTTGCAAAAAAGAAAAAGGAAAGAAGAAGGAGTAGACGTACATCGGCCACATTGATCAGATGCTTAATCACATTCGCCCTCTTCTTCACATCCGCGTACGAAAGAATCAGATGGGCGGTATAATTAGTCAACTGATTCGAATAATGAATCAACGCCGCAATATTCTCCTCTCCACTACCCCCGCTCCCCGAACTCGTGCTTGCTCCACCCACACTCCGCTTATGCCCTGTCCTCTTTGTTCGCGCCAGACACTCTGACGGCTTGATCCTGCTAAACAGGTCAAACTCGATCAACGTCAGCTGGCGCGCAATCTCGAGCGCGTGGAAGTGCGAGAACTTGAGTTTCTTTGAACTGCGTTTCGGCAGAATTGGCGCGGGCGCGTTGCTCAAGCTCACCGAGATCTGCGTCGGCCGGCGCAGGCCTGACACGTCGCCGCCTCCTAGTCTCTGTCTGACCGCTTTCGCGAGCGTCGATGCGCCGGGAAATTGCTGCTGGATAAGCAGCTTTGTGAACCCTTCGAGCGACGACAGCACTTCTCGAGACATCTCCGCCTCTTCGCTGTCAAAGTCGTCGTCAACCCAATACTGCTCGATCCAGATCTTGATGATGTTGAACACCCGCAGCCGAATCGGCTTCTGCTTCCTCTCCACCCACTCTTCCAGTTGCTCGGCGGTTAAACTCTCTGGAGGCTGGATCGTGAACCTGTTGATCAGCATCTCGAACAGCGTACGTGAGTTTGTAAAGCTGCGATACGTCAGCAGGAACGTCGAGTTAAACGACGTATCCAGAAAATCGTGCCGCGTCAACCGTTCCAGCAACGCAGTCAAAGTTCCGCCTTTGACCGCTCCTCGAGCGTCGTACACCAGTTCGTCTTCGTAATCGTTTTTCAGGTACCAAGGTGTATCTTCTTTGCGTCGATCGCCCGCAGCCGGCGTGAATGAGTACGCTTTTGGAACCCCCTTGTTTCCGAAAAACTGCTCTAGCTTCCGCTCGCTCTTCGTCACTGGGAAGTTCGCCGCGCTGAGACTGTCGCCTGCCCCGGCGCGTCCAGCGTCGTCAATCAAGATATCCATAAACGAATTCCGTCGGCTTCCGGCGCTAGTTCTTCGCATGCCGCCGCTGTCAAACCCACCAGTTAAATCAAACAGCTTATCCGTACTCTCACTATTCGTCGAATTCTTGCGATCCCTCATCGCTTTCTCTTCAACCAAAAACTGCAACGGGAACGTGATACTCTGGACCGCCCGCTCAAGCTCGCGTGTAGACCGCACAGATTTCTCAAGCCTCGGTCCAAACGTCGCCGCAGGCTCGTCCGTCAGCGTCAGATTCTGCGCCGCGAGCAAGAATCCCGCGATCGCGTCATACAGCGCCTGCTTCGACGTCTTAAAGTCCGCGACCGTGGGCGATAATGGCTGCAGAAGCGGTGTCAAATCCGCAGATTCCAGAAGCGACAGATAAGACCTCACAAACTCGGCCGCCTTGATCGCCTTTTCAATCATAATCTCCTCGTCCGAGGACGGCGAGTATGGCTGCTTTTCGAGAAACTTTACGAAATCCCGCAATACGTTCGTTATCGCAGCGTGTTGCGCTTCGGCAGTACCGAGGAATTGCTCGTCAAGTGCCGCCGTCGGTGCGCTACCGCCGGATGCTGCTGAATTCTGCCGACTTCGGAACGCGCCCCAGAATCCGTCGAGCTGTAATGAAGTCACGCTCGGTGCTCGCGACGAGGACGATGCAGCGCTGATGGGGGTCTTTCCATCTGCAGCGTCAGTATTCGACGCAAAATCCAAATCACTCGCGGCGCTGGTTGCACCAGCGACGGCGCTGCTGTCGATAAATTCGGGTTGCTGGTTTTGTACAGGTGTCGGGCGCGTCAGACGAGCCTGGTAGATGAATTTGACCAGCGCGCTTTGCAGCTTTTGGCAGCTAACTTCGCATTCATAATCATACGGCGAAGACCTCGGACTTGTGGGAGGCAGATCTGTCGCCGGAGATACCGCAGGCGTGGTCTCAGGCGACAGAGAGGCCTGTTCTGCCGCGACAACCAATTTTCCTAGCGAGTCCATGATTTGCGAATGCAGCTCGCCAAATATAGGGTCGTTGTCTTCTATCAAGAACCCAGGGAACGCGGCGCCGGTCATGACGGTTGTAAGGGCGTTGATGGTGTCGTGAACGCACGTGCTGTATTCGCGTTTTTGGCCGCCATTAATTGCAGCTAGCAAGCGGTCGAGACTCGCGATTGCGAGGGATTGTAGGTCGTCCCATGTTTGAACTTCGTTGGGCTCGTTGACTATCGGGATAGAAGAAGCTGTGACCGTAGATGGTGAGCGCTGAGGAGTGCAGATAGTTAGCATACGTTCGCGGACGATTTTGCGGCTAAACTGATTCGAAAGGAGAGCAAACGCGTACCCGTGGCAACCAGTAAGAATCAGTGGAGGATTTTCGAAAGGTCTCAAACGAAAACATTTTAGATTGCGTCGGAGTCGGTGTTTCTCTCGAGGAGGACTCCCGGGCCGAGAACTTGTCGTCGTCGTCTTCGTCTTCGTCGTCGTCGTCCACTTCTTCGTCATCTTCGTCGTCATCGTCGTCGTATACTAGATCATTGTCATCGCTCCCGGAGTCCACAAACTCCTCTACCAGCTTACACATCGCGACCATGCCCTCAGGGATCTCGTCCTCGGGAACCGGCACGGTGAAGTTACTAGGGAACCATCCCCTGCGCTCGTCGCCGTCGCCGATCTGGCCGTCCCACCAGCCGGTGTCGAGCTGGAGACAGACGGCGATGTACTCGCCGGCCTTGAACGAGAGAGAATTGGGCTCGTCGGAGTCGTAGTCGTAGAGAGCACGGACGAAGAGGACGGGTTCGTGTTCGGTGTGATGAGAGCTGGGGAGGGATGGCTCGAGGTCCGCGGACACCGAGCGCGACGAGCCGGCGATGGGGTCGTCGTCTGCAGGCATCGGGCCTACAGATTTCAGCGACGCAAAGTGAAGAAGGGGTCAGTGAGTTGATGCAGAGATGAGAGCGGTCTATGCAGATACGGCGGGAAGGTGCGGGATCAAGAGCAGAAGCGGGCCGGATGGGCGTTGATAGACGACGGAGAGCGAGCCAGCAGAGCCTTTCGGTATTTGATTCCTGCTCGAAATGGTCCCGACCCTTGCCCTCGGATAGTATCGGCACCGCGGAGCTGTTATTACTCTTGTTAGTAACTATTTGTAGTATCTGTTGTTTATTTGTTATTTAAGCTGTTTTATTGTTGAATCCCTACAGTACATTTCATAACTCCGAGCGAGGGATCTATAACTCCAATCAAACCGCCCCCATCCTTTTCTCTATCTCCTCATCCCTCTCCTCCTGCAGCGCCTGCACCCGATCGCAAAAGTCAGGCGTGCACTTCTGAGCCCATATATGCTCCAACCCCTCTCGTATAATCATCGCCGTCTTCCACCCCGTAGCCACGTACGTTTCCTCCAAAACACCACACAGCCATGCTCGCTGCGTCTTATCCTGGATCTGCGGACCGGCATATAACAACGGCATCGACATACACACCCACGCAGCAGCCGACGTCGGACTCCGGCCTACTTTCCCCTCGAGATCCGATACCGCCGGCGCGCTCATTAACGACGGGGAGTTTTTCCTAATCACGTACCTCAGCGACAGATTGCTGTCCTGCAATCCGGGTGAACTGTCCCGACTGTCCTGATCCTGCTCTGTCTGACTGCTCTGCTGCTGCTGGTCCACCGAAACCGACCGTCGAGGAGCACCTGACATAACGATACCCTCGGCAGTTCGACAGATCACCATAGTCGACAACATCCCCTGCTGCGCTGTCTCCCGCACGTTAGACAAACCCGCCGTCATCGCAGGATACGTAGTCGACCCTGGCTTATTGCGCACCAAAAACAACCGCCACATCGCCAGATACATGCGCAAGACCCCGTCTTGGATCTCGGGATACCACAGCGGCGGTCCAAATAGCGACGCACCCGCTTCCGCTAGCGGCACACCGTTCGCGGGATGCCGGGTCTCCAAAAACTCTTCCTCCAACGCCAGATACAGCGCATCGAGCTCTCCCCATTCGCGACAGGAGACCGCAAAGGTGAAATTCGACTCGCCCTTATTTCGTTTCCGATTGCTCTCTCGCACAATGAAATGCAGCAACCGGACCGTCAACTTCATCGAAGAATCGTACAGCCGGATCGTGTCGTTCGTCGTCCGCGACGGAATCTGATCCCAGAACTCAGATTCGATATATGGAGCCGTATCGAGCGCAATAGCCTGCATGATCTGCATCCGCAGATAAAAGTACAGCAAGTCCATAAACAGTATCGCATCCGACTTTCGCTGTCGCAGATAGCTCCTCCGAGCACGAGCTGCCTGCTCGGCCGCGCGCTCCTCCGCTGTCAGCTTGCTGAATACCGAAGCCGAGGCAGCGCGATCGGCCTGGTCAAGCTCGCTGTCCGAGATCGCTAGGTCGGCAATGATCGCTGGGATATCCCATTCCCGGATGAGATTACTTGCGCCCATCAGATGGCGCGCCCATTTGTCATATTCTCCTGTAGTGATTTCGTAGTGAGCTAGCACGAGAGTTGCGGCGAAAATGCCCATGTCGCCGTTTGCTACCGAGGGAGTAGTTCCGATTCGTCGTGAGCCCATGTTCTTTCGTTCTCTTAGCGCTTTGGATAGACGGCGGATTCCAAGGTGGTAGTGCAGCAAAGAGGCATGCTGGTGCGCGGCCGCCGACTCGAGTTTCACTGTCGACAAACCAGCAATGTGTAATGCCGACACTGCCAGGATCGCATGAAGCAGTGCTGGAGTTTGAAGTGCCATCAATGGCACCTGATAGGTCCAGATGTTTGTTTCGTGCATTTTATTCGTCGACTGCGAGGCTACCAGTATCAACCGGGCCGGATCTGGCACGTGCCGCTCAAACAAACTGATCTGGCAAGAAACGACGTGGACAAAGTGACTAAACATTCTCTGGGGAGCCGGGTGCATCAGAGGGGACTGGGTAGGACTGGGCCTGTAACCCACCAGAGACGTCGCTGGATCGACAGACTCGGTCATCGCAAGGTAGTAAGGGAAAGCGGTGGTGCGGATGCCGGAGTCAGCGTCGGCATGGGAAGGAGGCGGAGCAAACAGTGAGGGAACCATGTAGCCAGGAATCAGAGTGTCGTCGACCGAAAGGTACGCTTCAATTTCCTCGCTGAAGGTGAGGTTCGGTGGCAAGATTGCCTGCGTCGTGGGCGCGCGGGATAATTGCGTTTCATCCGAGCCTTGGGGAGGCATTTCATGAAGTGTAATATGCGACAGTACGTCTTACGAGTAGAGAGAGGTTAGTTAACTGTTCGAGGAAATTAGCAGGTAACAAATTTATCTTACATTGACCGCCATTAGCTCCTGCCGGAACCGCCTGTTGACCAGTCCAGACTCCAGGTGCCGCGCTTGAATAAGCTACTCCAGCCGGCACACCGACCTGCCGAAACTCGGGCACCGCATAAGAGGAGTGTAAACGGTTCCCGTCCTGACCACCAGTTGGAGCGGACCACACGTATGAGATTTGACGCGGGACCTGGCCGGCATCCGAGGCGCCGGGATCAAAGGATGTGTTGACGTAGCCTTCGCATACGCGGTTGGCTTTTACACATCGTGCGCATTTTGGCTGCGCTTCGTCGCATTTCACGCGTCTGCAAGAACTAGGTCAGCAACTGAGATTGATATTAAGCAACGAAAGAGTGTTACCGACCTTCGTCGACACGTCAGACAGCCGGTACGGGTCCGCTTTCTTGCAACGTCGCGAGCCTGCCCAGGTTTAAGTCCATCTTGTTCTTGAGGCCCAGCTGCGACCACTCCGACGTGATCTCTGCAGTCTGCGTCCTCTTCTCGGAGTTCGGGAGTAGGTATCATCTAAGTGACAAAGCAGTTCTGGTCTGCCGGGTGAAGGTTCGGAATGAATTTCTGGCTTTAATAGGGAACTGCAGATCGCCGTGGGATCTGCAACGGTCAGGAACTGGCTGTACTCGGGCGGTGAACGGAGACAGTCGACGGAGAACAGAGAGTAGTCAATGATCACAGTACTATCCAGCGATATCTCGGTCTGCAAGCAGCGAATATCTCTCCTCTGTCAGAAATGGCGAAAATACGGCAGACATGTGAGCTCAGGGCCGGTCAGCCTCGGTCTTGTGCGTAGGTTCCTGGCGTGCGGCGCCAGATGATCTGCAAAGTTTCTTAAATTATGTTTATGTAATGAATTATTAATATACATTTGCGAAGAGCTCGTCGCAGTGCTCAGTCTTCCTGCAGCCTTTGCTCTGCCGCCGTTTCAGACGTCCTGCTCTCTGGGGCGGCAGGCTCCTCCTGTTTCGGTTCTGGCGCCTTGCGCATCTCTGTAGACACCGGACTGCTCTGCTGTGACGGGCTTCGACTTGGAGCCTGCTTGTTGTATGCTGGGAACTGTGGTCGGAGGTTGTGCTGCGGCATTGGACCCGGTCTTAGATTGAGCTGCTGCATTTGTTGTAGCATCTGTTGCTGTTGCTGCTGCTGGTGTTGATGTTGCTGCTGATGTTGAGGGTGTTGTTTGTGTTGTTGATATACCGCAGGCTGTTGCTTCCCCAGTGGCATTGGCCGTGGCATCGGCTGCTGAGGCATACCAACTCCGTAGCGCGCACCGTTATTGTAGTCTGCATTCATCATCTGGTGCTGCTGGAAGTGAGCGCCCGGCCGTTGCATCTGAGCAGCCTTCATCTGCTGGACTTGCTGCATCTGCATCTGTGTTTGCATCTGCATCTGCATCTGCATCTGCATCTCCGGCGACATCGGTTGCTGCACTGGCATGCGCGAAGCCGGAGACATGTAGTACCCTGGCGGATATTGGGGCATGGGAGCCATGTATGGAGCACCCATCGTCGTTGGCGATACCGGCAGCGACGAGTACATTCCGCGCTGATAGCTTTGTCCTTGTGGCATCGGCGTCGGCATCACAGCAGGGGTCTTTGCATAATGCTGATGGGCGTAGTTCCTTCGACTATATTCGTCGCCATATCCGGTGCCCATAGGATACTGTGGGTACGGCATCTGCATCTGCGGCGGTTGCTTGTAGTTTGCGAATTGGGGCGGCGGCATCTGCGGTTGCGGCCGGTTTGGCTGTAGTGGCATGCCGTACTCATTCATGCCGGCTCTGCTTTGATCATTTCTCATGTAGTGTTCGGGGCCGTGCATCGCCTGATGGTCTGGTGTAAATCCTCTCTGCTGATAAGGCATATAGCCTGTTGGCAGTGTGTTGTAGCCTGGGTGGGGGCCTGGCTGATGGGGCGGTGCACTGTATGGCCCATTTTTGTCATAATACTGGTAGTAATTCGTGGTACCCACAGGGACAAACATAGAACGTCGATAGAAATCGGGATCATCATCGTCGTCTTTCTCTTCGTTTGCCCGCCGTCCAGGTTCAGGCCCGGATCCGACAGACAGGTTACCGGAGTCTGTCTCGCTCAGCTTGGACTTGTTGATCTCCCCGTCCTCGTTATCGCCTTCTGATTCCTCAAAATCTTTGAATATCCGTCTCCTTGCTTCTTCATACGCGGCGGCCCGCTCTTCTAATGTAGTAGCCAATCTGCCCGGTCCAGTGGTTGCCGACGAGCCCGACGCGGACGGTGTAGACGACGACGATCCCGGACCTCCGGCGACACTAGTCGCAGTTGACGAATCCTGGGCCGCTTGCGAATCGTTTGTTCCCGAGGCAGACGAAGCCTCGCTGCTCACATCGTTCGGATTCGGAGTCTCGCGGCGCATGATGCGGATTCCTGATGGCGGTGGCTGCGCGGCGGCGGCCTGGCCGGATGATGTCGAGGAATGCTCAGGGTCAAGCATTATGAAGTGACAAGTAGAAGGAGGCGATAATCAAAAACGCAAATAAACTCGGAAATACAAAGATCTTTCCTGCTTTTTTCAGATAGCCAGCTAGATCGAGAGAAGCAGAAAACGATGATGATGCGAACGAAAGATGATCTGGCAGATCAGGATGCAGTGTCTCAGTCGTTCTTTCTTTGCTCTGCGTTCAGCAACTTTTATAGAATATGAATCTAGATACCGGAGGCGCAGAGTCCGTTGCAAAGAGTCATACTCATGGTCGTGTAATGAAGAGAGATGTGTAAGAAAGAATCGAGATGGCTGAAGGGGTCTAATTCTGCTTCCTTCCACAATCCTGTAGCCGCAACAAGGCGATCTGGCTACTTGCAAAAGGTGGTGCAGATCAGAAGACACCAGAGCAGTGCAAGTGCAGTGTATTCACGGATCCGAAAGAATGCAGCGCTGCGGAGGAGAATGAATGCAGAGAAGATGGTTTAAAGAGAGTGGAATCGAGGGATGGGTTTTTTCTGGCGTGAAATCGTAAGTTTTTTAGATTCAGAGACTTGGCCCAGCGAGCGGCCGCAGTCCGCCACTGCGCTTTGATGATGATGATAAAAGAAGCAGAAAGAATAGCTGATTCAAGTTCAATTCTATTGAATACATATATTCTGTGTTCTGTAACTGCAGTTGTCCTAAGCAGAGGCAGTAAAACAGAGAAACGTGAATCTATTACATAATCGCTTACTCACCCACTATAAGTAATCGGACATCCAGAGCCTTATTGAATTTCATCCGAAGCGCTGGCAGGTCCCTCCCTCACTCGACACTCCGCTGTCTACGAGGCCTTTTCATCTACAGACTACTCTTATTCCTCAAGGACATCTGCTGTCTGCTCTTTGCATTGTCCAGAACCGCAGCTTGCGCCTGACATAAATCCACACGTACTAACCTGGATACGGCATAAACGCGAAACCGCTGAATCGACACCTGAACTAGCTCTTGTCAGGCACAACCTGTCCATCAGTTTCTCTTTCGCATATCCAGCGGTGTTTGAGCCTGAATCGGTCCAATTGTGCTGTTATCTTGCTGTCCGGAATCTCTAATCAGGATACCCTTGCGTTTACTGGGCAACAACCTACGCCAGAATGAGTGACTCGCCGCAGAACGACGCCGAAACGGTACGCAGCCATATCCACCGCCCGCTTCCCCAACCTACATTGATAGACCACTAACCATACACATCCTCCCCCACAGATCAGAAGGAAGCGTTTGGCAAAGCTGCAAGGACCCCAGCCTGAACGGTCTCCATCGCAGCCTTCATCGGCCACCGCGACGCCTCCTCCGGATAATTCGCCCGCTCCGACGGCCTCGGCCTCCGCTGCCGCTGCCGCTTCTGCTGCCGTCGCCCGATCTGCCTTGGCTGCTCCACCCCAGGCCGAAAACCCGTTCGGCGCGCTCTCCACCGCGTCATCGATCCCAAAGATCAAGATCGCGCGTGCAAATGAAGCACCTGCGCCGGCGGTCGTGCCAAAGCCCGTGAAGCCTCCTGTCGACTTCAAGACCTGGGCCGATGACAAGCTGACTGATGCATTCAAGTTCAGTCTGAAAGTGAGTACTACTATGTGCACTTTAAGTTATTAAGAACTGATGCTAATCTGGTTGAAATTGCAGGCTGTGAAGGAAGGATCCACTATCTGCTACCTAGAAGAAGTCGCGATTGAGCTTAAGGAGTCAGGGTCAGGTACGTATACATGTCTCCATGTCGTCTCTCGGATCGGCCTCACCAGATTACTTACTCCTTCATTACAGAACCTCTGCTTTCAGAGGCTACCCTGGATCGGTCGCTGCTTTCGCGCCTATCTGAGATCCCAATCGCGCAGCCTTTCCTCTACTTGCTATCGAGCTGGCGTTCTCTCGAATCAGTCCGCCGCACAATCCGCTCGAGTGATCCCGACCGTGCACAGAAGAACTCACTGCTCAATGAGGCGCGCCGGCTATGTACTGGCTACGCGGTTCTAACCGTATGCATGCCGGAGATGTTCAACAGCTCTGACGAAACCGATCTGGCAGCGTTTATGGTGGAGAAGCCTGATTCGTCACGGGCAGTGCCGATCGAGTTCATTGATGCCATGATTCTGCGCGCCACAGAAGATGAACAGCTAGCGGAGTTTATTACTCCGGTGATCACGAATCTCAGTATACGCATGCGAACGATAACGATGAGCGACTCCTATCAGCCCTACTTTAGAGCATTGCAGGCACTGGTCATGCATAAATCGGTTGCCGCTTTAATAACTGAGATGCCTCAGTTCTTACCCACTGACGTCACAGCTGTCACGATCGAGCTCTACACTATTCTCGGTCCGTTCCTTAGAATATCACCTGTCGAGGCCAAAGTTGCCACATTTTACTTTTCAGACTCGAAGACCAAGCCTGCGTCGGAAATTAACTCTGCTGTCACCGCACTGCGAACCGAACTAGGCGCAGTTCAAGATCAGCTCTCGTTCATCGTTGACAAGATTGTGCGCGCAGGAGCGGAACCCCGTGAGAAAATGCTGCAGTATTTTGCACGCGCGGTGAATCTCAACCATAAGCGACGAGCTATACAGATTGTGGCTGGGACTACCTCGACCGATGCTTTCATGCTCAATCTTACCGCCGTTTTGAACAAACTCTGCGAGCCGTTCATTGATGCGACATTCTCAAAGATCGACAGAATCGATCCACTATACTTCAAAAAGTCTGACCGGATAGATATTGCGGAGGAGGTGAAGTTGAATGCGGATCAGAATGGATACAAGGCATATATGGAGGACCGGATCGAAGGTACACCGAACTTTATTTCTGAGGTGTTCTATCTCAATGTTGCGTGCCATTTCTATGGACTAGGAGGAGCGATGCACAGTATTGGACAGCTAGGAAACGACATCAAGGATCTTGAGAAACATCTAAACCAGTTGGAGTCAGAGCAGCCTAAATGGATCAATTCACCTCAGGCGCCTCTGCTCAACAGTACGCTGACGCGCGTGCGCACACAGCTGAACAGCGCACTTGCATTCCAGCACGCGTTGAACGCGGTGCTACAGGATCGACAGGCGATGTCGCGCTCGTTCTCGTTCCTTATGGTGCTCGCGACTTGGCTTGTGCGCATGGTTGATCCCGCGCATGGCCATCCCCAGAAGCACATCAAGCTGCCTCTGGCAGACCCTAGTCCTGATGCATTCAAGATACTTCCAGAGTATTTTGTCGAGGATATCACTGGGTTTGTCATTTATTTTTCGCGGCATTTTCCCCAGGTCTTGTTTGATCAGACTCATGTTGACTTAGTGACGTTTGCGGTAACATTTGTGCGCTCGTCGTCGTACATCAAGAACCCGTATCTGAAAGCCAAGATTATCGAGGTTTTGTACTATGGAGTGCAGAGCCAGACTGGATACAAGAACGGTTTCCTCGGCGATACCTTGAATACTCTGCCGTTTGCCAACGAACACGTGTTCCATATGCTGATGCAGTTCTACATTGAGATTGAGCAAACGGGCTCCAGTTCGCAGTTTTACGACAAATTCAATATCAGATACTACATCTCTCAGATTGTCAAGTGCATATGGGAGAACCCGGTTTATCGCGACAAGCTTGAGCAGGAAAGCAAGGTCGATGTCGATTTTTTTGTGCGCTTTGTCGCCCTGCTTCTAAACGACGTGACATATCTTCTGGATGAATCGCTGTCGAAGCTGGTCGAGATTCACAAGTTGCAAGGGGAGCTTGGGCCAGGCGCGTCGACGGCACTGTCTCAGCAGGAGCAGACCGAGCGACAGCGCACACTGGCTTCGGCCGAGCGGCAGGCGTCGTCGTACATGTCGCTCGCGAACGAAACGGTCTCGATCTTGAAACTATTCACAAAGGCGGTTCCGCAGGCGTTTGTGACACTAGAGATTGTAGAGCGGTTGGCGGCGATGTTGGATTACAATCTCGACGCGTTGGTGGGGCCAAAGTGCACGGGCTTGAAGGTCAAGGATCCGCAAAAGTATCATTTCAACCCCAAGGCGCTGCTGTCTGATATCGCAGAGGTGTACTTGAACCTCTCAGCCGAAGCGAGCTTTGTGCTCGCTGTCGCGCGCGACGGACGATCGTACCGCCGCGAGATTTTCACGCGCGCGGCTAGCATTCTGGGCAAGTACGCGGTGATGTCGTCCAAGGATATCGAGAAGCTGCGGCGGTTTGCGGACGGGGTCGAGCAGACCAAGCTGGCGAACGAGCAAGGCGAAGAAGAGCTGGGCGAGATCCCAGACGAGTTCCTCGATCCGCTGATGTACACTCTGATGGAAGATCCCGTGATTCTGCCGTCGTCGCGCATATCGATTGACCGGGCGACGATCAAGTCGCATCTGCTTTCGGACGCGACGGATCCGTTCAATCGGATGCCGCTCAAGTTGGAGGACGTGATTCCGAACGTGGAGCTGAAGGCGCAGATCGAGGAGTTTCGGCGGTCGAAGCGGTCGCAGGCGCAGAGTGCGGCGGCGAGTGCTGCTGAGGAGGTCGCGAAGGACGCGGACGGGGATGTGAGTATGGCGTGAGGATCACAGAATGAGTTTATGGTTTGCAAAAGGTCCAGAAGTAAGCAATGGATAGTATTTCAGATAGTATTACCGATCAGTAGTTCTTACTTAAAGAAGAAGAACGGTAGAGAACCCCAACCCGATGCATCCACGAGACCCTTCAGATCGTAAGCGGATCTCCTGAGCCCCGCGCGCAGAGGTGCAAATCCGAGCGAGGAAAAAAAGTTGGTTCGCCGTGATCGACAAGAGCTCTCGGTCGTCTTCTCCTTCCCAGCAGCGACAGTTTCTGTAGAGCTGCTTCGAGACCACACGAGCAAGAATGCGCCAGCTGTTGCGGTCGACTATCGTTGGCTTGCGGCGAATAAGGTGAGTTCCTGCATGAGCAGTGCCTGGCTGCCTGCACCGCGTCTTTGCTTGCTTGCACCCAGAAAGACTGACGACGATCGTCTCTTGCCTTGGTTTTAGTCGTATACAGAGAGCGTCTGTGGGAGATGTCGCTTCGGCGCGGCACACGCTCACAACCCCGCTGCTGCGCTCCATTTTCTCGTGGCAGCGCGGCGGCGCGGGCAGAGTCGAGCAGCCTGTCAAGCATGCAGACGCATGGCGCGAGATGAGCGGCACCGCGACCACGGTGGCTGCTCGCAGCGAGATCGACCCGCACCACCAGATCTCGTTTGACGCGAAGCGGGTGTACGTGCCGTGGAGCAAAGGCGTGACTTCGACGTACCACAATATCTGGCTGCGCGACAGCTGCCAGTGCAGCGCCTGCTTCCATCCGGTGACGAAGCAGCGCTTGCTAAACACTTTTGCGATCCCGGAGGATATCAAGCCCGAAAACGCTGAGCCGTCTGACTCTGGCTTGAATATAAAGTGTAATTGCTGCTTCAGTACTTATTTATATGTATCCTTATGGTATGCTGATCCAGGATTCAATCTAGGGGATAACGACGGCCACCAAAGCTTCTACCCATGGGACTGGCTCCATTTACACTCATACCAACCTATTCTAGAGAAAACGCAGACATACCACCGCTTCCTATGGGGGCGCAACGAGATCGTGGAAAACCCTCCCGTGGTGGAGTATGCCGATGTCATGGCTTCAGACGCGGGAGTCGCGGAATGGACGAGCAAGGTCAAAATGTACGGCTTTTGTTTTGTCGAAGGCACGCCGGTGTCGCCTGAAGCTACCGAGGAGCTCATTAATAGAATCTCCTTTGCGAGAAATACGCATTATGGTGAGCCATACTCCTTTCGGAAACTTGATGGACGTGCGTGGACTGACTCTTTCCCGTCTAGGTGGATTCTGGGATTTCACTTCTGATCTTTCCAAAGCCGACACGGCATACACAGACTTACCTCTAGGCCTTCACACAGACGGCACCTATTTCACCGACCCTCCCGGTCTCCAACTCCTTCACTGTCTCTCCCACGACGGCAATGGCGGCGAGTCAATCCTGGCAGACGGTTTCCGCGCTGCCCGGATTCTTCGCGAGGAGTCGCCAGAGCACTACAAAACGCTCTCGCGAGTGCGAGTTCCAGCGCACAGTGCCGGAAACGAAGACGTCTGCATCCGGCCTACATTCTCCGCCCGTCCTATCCTGAACCACGACGACGTCTCTGGCGAGCTCCTGCAGGTGCGCTGGAACAACGACGATCGGTCGACAATGGATCGATGGTCGAGCGTCGACCCTGACGGCGGCGTGCTTCAATTCTACGACGCGATCCGGAAATGGAACCAAATCCTCTCGCGGCCGGAGGTGGAGTACCGGTTCAAGTTGAAGCCCGGCCGCCCGATGATCTTTGACAATTGGAGAGTGATGCACGGCCGGACGCAGTTCGATGGCAAACGGAGACTGTGCGGGGCGTATATCAATATGGATGACTTTGAGTCGCGCATGAGACTTACGAATATGGGTCGCGAGGCTGTGTTGCGGCAGCTATGAGTGAGATTATGAATTGTTATGATGTTTTTTGTTAGGGCGGATATTTGGGATCATGGGTTTTTTCATTTAGTTTACTTGTTTTTGCGTGGTCTGTTTTAGCGTTGATTTTACTGTTTTGTCGCACTTGTCATAGCACTCATTACATCCGGTTTACGTGTTTACAATTTAGTGAAATTAAGAGCTTTCATTACTAGCACCACGATAAAACAAAACTAATAGCCATACAGTACCTCAGATCCCAATAACTTGAACAACTAAGCAGAGATATAATCTAGGACCCGAGACCGGTAGACCGAGAGGACGTACTTCGAGAGGATGAGGTGCTGATAGGCCGTCGCCCGGTTGATGGAGCGCTCGAGGTAGATTTCGAAGCCGCCGGTTTCGCGCCACCGCCAAGTTTATTTCCGTAAACTAAAACAAAGAATATAAAGTCAGAAACCGCATCTCAACTCACGACGAAGAGAAAAGATAGGGCCATACTTCGCTTCTGCAGCACGGCGTCGCGCCTCCGCTTGAGTTCCTCCGCCTCTTTCTTCTTCTGGTTCGCCAGCGCAGCTTCCTGCGCGCGTCGTTCCGCATTCGCTCTAGCTTGCGCTTGTTGTGCAGCCAGAGCTATCAATCTGGCTTGGTGTAGTTGCTCGTCCTGTGAATGATACAGAGATCGCGTGTTAGCTCGTGGTAGAGGAAGGAGAAGATGGGTGGGTGGACGACAGACCTTTGTGGCGCCCTCCCACTCGCTGTCGAAAACGAGGCGCTGGGTGTGCTCTGTTTGCGACAGAATCCGGATCCAGAGGTCTAGTAAACTGTCGACATTTCTCGTGGTTCGAGTGACTCTCTGTAATGAGAACGGTCAGATCTTCTAGTTCTCCAACAAAATATATAAACAGTCAAAAGATAGCAACATACGTCAAGATTTGACTCGGCAACTCTGATGCTATCCAGCACGGTATCAATCGACGCGTTCATAGCCTTTACCTGCTCGAGCTCTAGCAGCAATCTCTCTTCCCGGTACGCTGTGGCATCGTCATTATCCCCCGTCGGTAGATATCCCTGTCCGGGTGTGGATGACTGCTGTGGTTGCTGCTGTTGCTGCTGCTCAAAGGCCTGTAAAGATACTGCGAGGTCTTGCAGAGTGGCTGCTAGGTTGTCTGTATCTGCTGGCATCGCGGGATGTGTTTGTGTTGTGTTTGTGTTTGTTGTGATTGTTGTTTAAGAGTTGACGCGAGGAGCGCTGTTCTGCCTTGAGTAAATATTCTTCCAATCAGCAGCTCAGAATACAGCACCGTTCTATAGATATTCAATGACAACACCGCTGCTGCTGCAAATCCAAAGTAAACACAGTTGTTGATGCAAAAAGATGCGCTGGGGCTCTGGACGCGTGCTCGTCGCGTCGGTCTGCGGTGGTGGCTGGCTCTGAATGAAAGTTACCCGGCGCAGAGCCAAATCCTTCTTCGCCCACCAACGCGTGTGCGCCCAGCCTCCCCTTCTCACATCGCGTCCCTTTGTTCCATCACAGGCCTGGACTCACGCGCGCTCGCAGACTGCTTACTCGTTGGCATCGTGATATCTGGCAAGGGGAAAAGCTTTTCACAAGAAATATACATACAGCACACACGAAGATGGCTACTACGCCGCCGCGGTTCACGTCAGACGCAGCGGATGATTTCGGCATCGCGACGCCTGCTACGCCAAAGCATGGGCCAAAGTTCGATCCTGATTGCTACACTATTAGAGATCGACGGCGGAAAGAACAACACGCTGCTGCTGCTGCGGCTAGCGGTGATCATAAACCAACAGAGCTATGGACGACCAAAGACTCGTGGCAGTCAAAACCCGATTGCGCAGACGAAGCTGAAGCCGAAGAGCTCGCGGCTCCGACTCCTAATTCCCGCGGATCGCGACTTAGAACTCGCACGAGAACAATCTCTGGGCCGCAACCTGGTGCACCAATGTTGACCCCGCGCGAGACTCCGGACGCGAGAAGACAGCGTCGGGCGCAGCAGCATCATCAGTTCGAGCAGGCGCTGACGACGCCAAAGGAGGTGTCTTCGGCGCTTGAAGTCGATAGTGAAGACGAAGAGCTGTTTCCTACTTTCCCAACTGCGTCAAAATCTAAGAGCGCGACTAGATCGGCGGCGAGGATACTATTCCCGACTGCGACTTCGTCAAAGACGACCCCTTCGTTCAAGGTGTATGAAGATGAAGAGGAAATTTTGCCGCAGAGGAGTAGCAAGATCCCGGTGTTTAGAGACGCTGATGTTTTTGACGATCCGTTTAATTCGTCTTTTGTTGCGTCCAAGAAACGGTGTAGAGCTATACCAGACCGCCAAACGGAGTCTCCTGATTGTCTACCGTCAAAGAAGGGCATGATGTTCGTCTTGTAAGTGAATTCGCTCTTGATTATTGATAGATCCTGGATGGTTACTAATTTTATTACAGTCGTGGAAAAAAGGTGTTCCGCCCGTTTGACGAGGAAGGCGACCTCTCAGACGACGAGCTAGCAGTGGCTCCCATAAAACCAAGGATTCTTTTCCCCGAGGCTCAGAAGAAGGCAAAAGAGCTATCCGGCGACCCCGATGACCGCTCGCCCACCCTCCCATCATCATCCTCGTCAATCTTCGACGACGGGCTAACCAGCCAAGAGTCAGATTTCTCGCCCGCTACGTCGCAGCTGGGTTCCTCCAGCATGATTCTGCAAGAAAAGCTAGGCGTCAGTCGAGGTCGTCGATCTTCATCTTCGCGATCGCTTCGGAGTGGAAGGTCGTTTGCTATAGCGAGTAGTGATGATGGAGAGTCGTTTGTGACGGCGAGTCAGACTTCTGTTTATATGGATAATCCGGAAGAGGAGGAGACTGATATTGATGAGAGCTACTGTTCGCCATGAGGTTAGGTGGAGCGAGATGGGTGTTTCGGATTGCTGTGCGTCCACCAATCACTGATTAAAAGTGGATGTAAAGGAGACGATCAAGTGATCCCGGATCTCTCGTTCTAAAGAATGACTATCTACTATTTCTTTTCTTGTTTTCATTGTTGTGATTGTGTGGAGTTTGCATGTACATATAGTCCTTTGAAGACCACACGCAGGCGTTATTGGGCTGATCATTGAACGGGATGCTATTGTTTTTTATATGAGTGTGTGGATGTGGGCGTCGAAATAGGAGAATATCAAGAACCAAGTTTAAACGAATATATATACAAAGCAGTCATCAAACGATTAAGAGGAGAACAAGTAGACCCATATGCGGCGACAGTCTAGTAGATTCAGCTTTAACTATCGACCGATACGGAATCAACCCAGCTTCAGAGTTTGTGAGTATCGTGAATTGAGTCTGAAGAGTAAAGAGGAGAATATATGTGTAATATATGGTACAAAAGAGCGAATGCTTGATATACGACTATCGACGTTTAAGCAAACAGCTCGACGATCGAGGGCACTACCAAGTTCAAACAAGTTAGCTGTTCCGCCCTCCAAATCAATAAACCGTAGATCTCTCGCAGAATATCTAAACAAAAGCAAAAACATACCAATCCAGAGGCTGACAGCTCCAACGACGGCGCTGGTGAAAATGAACAGCGCAGCAGCGTCCTCCTCGGCGACGCGCTCAGGCGGGGGTGGTGGCGGCATTCCTCCAAACATATTTGCGTTCTTTTTATCTGATAGTAGTAGCTTCCCTACTTATTTCTGTGTCTTTTTGTCAAAGAAGAGAGAGAATCCTCGGAACTGCGGTTGAGCAAGAATATGCCCGTCAATAGTTTTCTCGTGCGGCGAAAAAGTGTGCCTGGATGTGCGTCACGTGATCTTAACATAACTGCGGCTGCGGTTGCGCGGTTGTGTCAAACGTCTGTTCAGCACCGGATCAGTTTGGCTCGCAGGACAGAAGGCGACACATTCTGGATCGTTACGAACGAGCTATTGACAATGTCGGATAAAGAAGAGCAGTCCGATCGTGAGGAGGACAAGGTCGTCCAGGAAGAAGCTGAGAAAGAGGAGCTGAACAACAACAACCTGTTTGACGATGACGAGGACGAGCTGTCTGATCTCGACGAGGACCAGTTCCAGGACATTAACGAAGACAACGTCGGTTTGCCCATCTCAACTGATGTGTTTCAGAAAGTGCAGCGGCATAAGCGGGCGAAGGATGACTCTGAGCCTGCGGCGCCGAAGAAGAGAAAAGAGAGGACGAGGACAGCGAGAAGGAGCGAGGCGGCAGGTGATGATGGGAAGCCCGCGAGAAAGCGCCAGCCGAAGAAGGCGGAAGAGGGTGGCAAGCCGAGAAATGACTATGAGAGTTTAGACCCAGATGCGCGTAGGTCACCACTGATTGCTATTTGGTGAGGACGACTGGTTATAACTAACTGGAGGATTTGATTGTGTATAGGACGATTAAGGGAGCTGGAAGACAAGCTCGATGCCGCACTGAAACCCCAGAAAAAGAGAAAGAAAGTGGATGAGGACGATATCGAGCAAATGCAGGACGAGCGAATTGTTCGAGTGCGGGATCAGATGCGTGAGGCCGCGATGAGGGACGCCGAGGCGATCAAGGATGGACTGCCGGCTGTGCACAAGCTGAAGATGCTCCCTGAGGTTCGCAGTATTCTACAAAAGTGGGTTTGATCATTGTGATTGTGTATATCTCATGCTTCAGGTCTGATACTAACATGGTTCTTGCCAGGCACTCCCTTTACGATTCGATTCTCGACAACAATATGCTCGAGTCAGTACGACTGTGGCTCGAACCATTACCTGATGCCTCGCTTCCTTCGTACAGCATCCAGAAAGAGATGTTTGCCGCTCTGGAAGAGCTGCCGATCAAGACCACTCACCTTCGAGAGAGTGGGGTGGGCAAGGTTGTGCTGTTTTACCAGCAGAGTCGGAAACCTGAGGTTTCCATCAAGCATATTGCAGAGAAGTTGGTTGGTACGTATTCTCATTTTTTGATTTTCCGAGAGTTTGATTAGTAACACGTGGAATTTTTTAGGCGATTGGAGTCGACCGATTATAAGTCGGAACAAAAAGAGAAATTTAGTGGTGAGGTAGACTGATGTATGCACGATAGACTACATTGGCTGTCTTTCAAAATTATATTTCAATGAGGAGTGTATGCTGGGATAAGAGGATTCTTGAGTACAGGTTTCAAAAGTAACTGCTTTAGATCCTCGTGGATGTATTGACTGTAAAATAAAATCTTTTGAAGCATATGGATGACTTATGGCTTCTGCGGCTATATGGCCGGAGATGGAAAATGTAGTTTGGGGTTGCTGCGTCAAATTACTGTCGGTCGAGTAAGAAGATATCAGAAGACTGTAATTGAATAAAGACATCAAGCAATTGCTCAATAGTTGCTGTTGACTACAAAAACTGCTGCCATCAAACAAGGACCCAGACTTGCTCAGTTGGGAGATAAACCCCCAGCGGCTTCCTTACATCATCAACCTCTTCGCCATCTCAGTCGCCTTCTACACACGAACGAACAAGCATCTGGCTGAGCAACACCGACACCCAGCCAAAACATGCTAACAGCACCGGGAATATATGCAACCTCCTTGCATTCATCTCCTGCTCCGTTGCCTGACAAGTACGCAAACGGCAGTATGCGCCCTTCAACGCAGTCCTCGTCCTCGGCATCTCCAGCCTCCACGAGCCAGACGCCCATACAAACTTCACCTACGACTCCCTCTACAGCACCAGAGAACACATCACAGCTATTACCACTTACTCCAAGACCACTGCCAAAAGTCTCAGACATCCCAGCCCAGATCCCGGACTTTGACGCACTAGTAGCCGAGCTCAGGCGGCAACTTGGCTTTACCTCCGGCATCGACTCTGCTGATGTCGACGTCGAGAACCTGAAGGAGGCCATGCGCAGATATATCTCGAGTCGTAAGGAGTGGGGGAAATTTGCTCTTGAGGATCCGTCGCGGAATTATACTAGGTATTGTCATTTGCTGCTAATTTCATAATGTTTGAAGATTGAGGCGTAGCAAGGTTGGCTGCGCTCTTTGCTCGACTCGTGCAGAACGATTTTCTGACTACTGAACTATTTTATGTAGGAACGGCGTTGATACGTTGAACGAGAAAGCAAATTTACTGGTTTTAGTATGGAATCCCGGCAAAGGGTCGCTAATTCATGATCATTCAAATGCACAGTACGTTCCCTTTCACCTTTCCCTCCTCCTCCAGAAGCTAACGCCACCAAAGCTGCGTGATGAAAATACTAGAAGGCGAACTTGTCGAGACGCAGTATAAATTCCCAGATCCCAACGCACCGCCGCGACCGATGGACAAGCAAAAAGTCACAGAGTACGGCAAAGACGAGGTCACATACATATCGGACGAGATAGGTCTGCATCGGATGAGTAACGAGACTGATAAGATTGCCATCTCGTTGCATTTGTATACGCCGCCTTGGGCAGCGAAATGTGAGTTTTGCCTTGTTGCGTTTTTTCTGAACTGTGCGAAAGACGGGATGCTAACGGGGCGTAGATGGGTGCTACTCGTTCAATGAGAAAACTAGCAAGCAGATATGGACAGATCTATCGAATCTGTACAGCGACAAGGGAGTTCTCTGTGGAAAAATGTCCAGCCATGTTTGATTTCTATTCCATGTTTCATGACACTCCTCCTCTACGAAGCATACAGTCGTGCCGCGCATTCATACGGAGTAACTTCCGTCACTCTCATTTTTTTTCAGGTAGTCTCAAGATGACCTTATTTCATTCTTTGTTGTCAGACTACGTTCAATTCTGCAGGAGTATGGTATTACTTAACTTTCATTTCAAGTTTTTTTCACATTGGTAAGGTGATAAATCTGGGTTGGTGTCTTTGGCAATGTTTGGTTTGCTATAGTTTAATCACGGCAAGATGTGGGTTGCATGTTCATTAATAATCGTTCATTCATTGAATAGTATTATTTCCATCCACTTCAATGCCTTCTAGGTCTGTTATAGCAAACTCCGACTGTAAATAAAATAAGTAAAATTACAAATCTCTCTAATGCGAGATATACTGGAACGCATACGTAATCACGTCCTCCCCGGATTCCTGTCTAAGCAGCAGATCCTGGATATCCTTCAAGCACCCATTAGTGAAATGGTTCCACGAGCTAGTATCGCCATACATCATCGCGGGTGCCTTGACAAACTGTCGACCGTCAGGTTTGCATCGTTTGCATTTAAACGTGACATGCGTATCCGACTGCGCGCCCGGCACGAATTGGAACAGCTGGCGGAGTCCGTCGCGCGAGAAATGGCGCTCGACGTCCTGTGCCTCGTCAACAACACATGACGAGAGCGACTGCTTGTGTGATTGCCGCTGGAAAATCTTCTCCTCAATCGTACCGGTCGCGATGAAGCGGTAGACGAAGCAGTCTTTCTTTTGACCGTCACGCCAGACGCGCGCGAGTGCTTGCTGGTCCGCGGCCGGGTTCCAGTCTGGGTCGAAGAGGATGAGCCGGTTGGCGCCAATCAGGTTGATACCACAGCCACCGGCCTTGCTGCTGAGTAGAAAGACAAACTCCTCGCCTTCAGGGTCATTGAATCGGTCCACCAGCTTCTGTCGCTTATTCACGTTCATCGTTCCATCCAATCTAAGGTTTCCGTACCTCATTGTCCGGCAGTACTTCTCAATCACGTCCAGCGTCTGCGTGTAGTTACTAATCAGCACGATCTTGTCGTTCGTATCCGCGCGGATCCGACTCAGCATGCGGGCCAGAACCTGCATCTTTCCCGAGAGCGAGACGTCAATGTCCCGATCGCGGCTGCCTCTTTGATCTTTAGGCACGTAGCTCTCGGGGAAAAACTCATCGCTGCCGTCGATATCACCCGGGAGATCGAGCAAGTCTGGATGGTTGCACAGTTTCTTGAGGATATTGATTGCTTTCAACGGCTGAGACTCGGTGCCCTTGATCAACTTCCTGATCACAGGTGAAGTGATGAAATGGTTATACAGGGCTTCCTGGAAAGGGGAAAGCCTGCAAAACACAACGTGCTCGTATTTCACCGGCAGATACTTTGACAGAATATCGTTCGTGCGTCGGATAATGAACTTATTGACAAGCTGTCCGAGCTCTTCAAGTTTCCGATCACCGTCCTCGCGGTCTTTCTCAGTGCCGTCCGCGTCACGGCCGCGGAGAATCGGGTTCTCGTAGTTCTTCTTGAAGTCGGTGCGTGATCCCAAAAGATCGGGATTCGCAAAATTCAAAAGCGCGAAATACTCGGAAAGATCGTTTTGGATTGGCGTTCCGGAGAGAATCACACGGCGCTGGACGTTGAGTCCGTTAAGCGCCATATAAGTTAGTGATTCGTCGTTCTTCAGACGATGGCCTTCATCGCACAGCAGCAAGCCTATCTTTGTGTTTTTCAACTCGTCAATATTAAGTCTCAGCGTCTCATACGACACAATCAAAACCGGACGGATAGCCGACCGGCCTTCAGCGATGGCCCACTGCTTGAGCTGCATCGTGAGCTCGGCTTTGCTGGATTTGCCGTCGATCGCAAATGAGTTTATTGCGCCTTTGCCGAGCCACTTGTCGAGTTCGTTGGCCCAGTTCTTCACCAGACTTGAGGGGCAGACAATGACGCATTTCTGGATGGTCGACCTTCCGGCTTCGGGAGATTGCTTGAGTAAAGTCCACATGAGGGTGATGCATTGTAGCTATGTAGATGAGATTAGTAGGGGTTCAATGAATATGGATAAGTAAAATGCAACTCACAGTCTTTCCGAGACCCATCTCGTCTGCCATAATACAGCCATGAGCTTTTGGATCAATAAGACCGGTCGTACAGCGGTACAAAAATTTTACACCCTCAACTTGATGAGGTCTCAAGACTTTTGCCAGTCGCGGGTCGATAACGACCGGTACCTTTGGTCTTTCTTCCACCTTTTTGTTGAGACCTAGTAAATCCGACAGACTTTTGTGCATTGTCGATACTGGTTTCGGCGGTTCTTCTTCGACGGGTTTGATATCCTCAGGTTCGTCAATGGTCGGATCGTAGAGCACGATCGCGAATTCACCGGACGGGTCATGGAGTGGCTTAATGATCATGTTCTTCCGTCGTAGCATGCCCAGCGCAGGCGGTGGTGCACGTTGAGCAAAGTCGTCAGGCTTGTTCTTGAGCGGAACAGAAAACTTTTGAGAAAACACAACCTCCTTGTCACGCGGCCGGAAAACTGGGAATCTATTCGCCATCCGCTCCGCAAGCGGGGACCGGCCATCTTCCAAATACACACTATCACCAGCAGCCTCATCATTTCCGGCTGCATCTTCACGATAATTCACCCGTATCCGTTTGCGAAGGGGTAGGTCCCGTTTCGCGGTGACCGGAGCACCAGGAGATCGAAAGGGCTTCTGCAGTGTAGAAAGCGCATCAACAGATACCGCCCGTCGACGACCGTTGAAGCTCTGGCTACTTGCCGGAAGAGTCTTTGCTCTATGAGCCGGTGTCGGAGTGACTACTACATCAGTCACAGCCATGTCTGGTTGGTGTTTAGAACAAGAACAGAGACGAGGTTCGCAGCAGACTACCGATGTTTGTCAAGGCCTGGTGATGACGGCTGGTCGAGTAGGCTTTGTTTACTCGCAGTCGCTTGTGCCAGTTTTGTTCTACATTTATGCATTTTAGACGCGCGGTCACGTGAACAAGTGACGCGTTCGAACGCGTCATTTAGTCAAAGCTGCTTTTACTTTTGATCAGCGTTACGAAGTCGAAGGAAAGGACCGCATGATAGTTGCTGCTGCTCTATGCGGTTATATGAGTCGATGGAGGACAGCGATGCGCGGTTTCAGCGACTGAGATCCCAGTACAGTCTGGTAGACCGGTGATGAAAGCAACACCCACACCAACCTCCTATGAAGTAAGACCCCACAAACACACAACGCAGCAGTTAAATCTCCTCATGTTAACAACTGCTTCACTCGCCCGATATCCGAGCGAAATCACATCGCTTTTGATGGATAACGGTCGAGTGCCCAGATGAGAGCTAGTATTTATCACGTGATTGTACCCTAACCTGTTGTTATAGCGGTCGCAGAGCGGCGTTGCTTCGAGTTTTGAGAGCGGCACTGAAAACGGTTTCCTAGTCTGGTTCTACACCGGCAGACAGACCGCCGGATCCAGCGCTTCCTTTTCGATTATCACACTTATATAGCGAAGACTGTGGTGTGGTCTTTGTTGTTCTGCTCCAAATACAGCTGCTCCGTCTTTGCTTGTGCAGGCGGTCTGCGTAGTTTGCGTGGATATTTGGTTTGTTTACACTTTCTAGTGACGGTCTATATCTGGCCTTGATTCTGCAAACATGAGGTACGCAGTCGGACTTCCTATGTGGTTTTATATTCTCCAAAAACTAACGACATCTGGCTCTGTAGCTACACACCAGCGCGAGATAGTCCCGGAAACTCCATCAAAGGTAGGCCGCCCGACTCAACGATAAGGCGTCGTCATCGCTCACTTGATCTAACTCCTGCCTTTCTCTATTCCAGTTGTCGCGCGATTCAGGCCACCAAATGCGACAGAAATTCAGCACAATGGCGAGTCTATCGTGCAGTTTATTGCAAATGATACTTGTGCGATAGAGGTATCGTAAACCATACGCGTTGTTTTGTTGCACAGATCTAATACCTGTGGTTATTGTGCATCTCCAATTGCTGCGTACACTTATACTCACACCTTTCGCCTCATTTACAGAACAGCACATTCACATTCGACCGAGTCTTTGGGGTCGACAGCAAACAGGCAGAGCTCTTTGATTACAGTATAAAGTCCACTGTTGACGGTAAGCTTCCAAAGCTGCTAGGATCGCCGAAGTACGGCTGTTAATTAACGCGCTTGTTGTCAATCTAGACATCCTCCACGGCTACAATGGAACAGTCTTTGCATACGGTCAGACTGGCTCTGGCAAATCATATTCAATGATGGTGGGTGTCATTTTTTTTATTTTCTAATTATAGTCCAAATTTCAAAGGAACATCGGCCTGACTATGTGCTATATGTAGGGCCCGGATATCGATGGTCCACATCGAGGTATTATCCCGCGCATCGTCGAACAGATTTTTGCCTCTATACTAGAGAGTCCAGCAGAAATTGAGTATACTGTGCGCGTGAGCTATATGGAGATCTACATGGAACGCATCAAGGATCTGCTACAGCGTAAGTATTTTTGCCTTGCTACTCGAGAATATGTCCTCTCCGCCCTACTAACCAAAGGTATAGCAATAAATGATAATCTCCCAATTCACGAAGACAAATCCAAAGGTATCTACGTCAAGGGTTTGAGTGAAATCTATGTTTCGAGTGTCGACGAAGTCTACGATGTCATGCGTCAAGGTGCGACGGCACGTGCGGTCGCCTCAACAAATATGAACCAAGAATCTTCGCGCTCGCATTCGATCTTTGCATTAGCAGTCACCCAGAAGAACGTGGAGACTGGAAGCTCAAAGTCTGGACAGCTGTTTCTGGTCGATCTCGCAGGTTCCGAGAAAGTAGGCAAAACAGGTGCCTCAGGACAAGTACTCGAGGAAGCAAAGAAAATCAACAAGTCGCTTTCTGCTCTCGGAAACGTCATCAATGCGCTTACAGACGGAAAATCTACTCATGTACCCTACCGTGACTCCAAACTGACGAGAATCCTGCAAGAATCTTTGGGTGGAAATTCCCGCACGACATTAATTGTCAATTGCTCGCCCTCAATATACAACATGCAGGAGACGTTGTCGACCCTGAAATTTGGTATGCGGGCAAAGACGATCAAGAACAGACCGAAAATTAATGCCGAGCTTTCGCCGACAGAGCTCAAGATGCAGCTGAAGAAGGTCGTGCATCAGAACGCGTCTTTATCTGAGTATGCTGCTGCTTTAGAGAAAGAAGTACAAGCATGGAGAGCCGGCGAGCAAGTTCCTCAGGAGAGCTGGGCGTCCAAAGAGAGATCACGGAGTAGTCTGAGCAACAGCAGCGGTAACAGTAGCGGAATCGACATCAGTGTCCCAAGCACACCACGGCCACGGTCACAAATCTCGGCGGAAACACCTGCGAGGCCAACATCAGCGGATGACACAGTTGAGGAATACATGCGGCGAGAGAACGAGATGCAGGATAGGTTGAGTGATCGAGAGACTGCGATCGATGCACTGGAACGAATGATTAAAGAACTGAATGCCGAAAACCTGACGTTGACCGAGCGCGAGGCGGCGCTGGTACAGGAGAACGAAAAGTTCCAGGACGACATGATGAAGCTGAAGCAGGATCTCGAAAAGCTACAGTTCGAATCTAGGGAAGCAGTGATTGCGATGGAGAGCCTGAAGGAGCTGAACGCAGAGACGACTGCCGATCTGGATAACGCGCGGAAACAGCTGTACGAGCTCGAGCTGCAGAACCAGGAGAAGATCCGCAAGGCCGAAGAGCGAGATCGTCGAAAGCGCGAAAAGATGCGGGAGATGGCCAGCGGGTTTGAGTTTTTCACTTTGGATGACAAAACCGCTGCTGATGAGAATGGTGCGGAGGGAGAATATGCTGGTGAGAAAAGAGATTGGATCGGTGAAGCGCTCGCGTTGATTGATAACGGCACAGAACAGTTTAGTGAGTCGCAACGGCTTTCGCTGAAAATGTATCTTCTTGAATGCCGAGAGTTCATATCGCGCGCTGAGCAAGTACTAGATGCTCGGATGGATGAGATGGAAGACCAGGTGTCAAGACGTGAGGAGATTGATGTCAAGCTGAAGGAGCTGGATGAGTCTGTGAGACGCTTTGTTGAGAGTGATCCAACAAATCTCGCATGCCTGAATGAGTACATCTCGCTGAAGCAGAGCTTGTTGGAGAGTCAACTTTTGAATGCGAAGCGCGATCTCGGGTTGTCGATTAGCGACAACAAACGGTTACGCAAGATCATTGCCAGTGGCGAGCGTGAGCAGAAGCAGTCGACTGCAGCGGCCGAGCCTACAAATGGTAGCGAACGGCTTTCGTCAGCGTCGTCGTCTAGTGGCTCTTCGTTATCGACCTCGTCGGCCACTGGGGGGACGCCGATTACTCCTACGACTACAGCTCAGACTAACTCTGCACCAGAAGTCTCTCCCATGTCATCCCTTCCCTCGTCGCCATCAAAGTCAGCGGCTAGATTCCAGGTGATGAAGCAGCAGCTGAACGACTTTGAGACGGTGAAGCGCTCGCTGATGCGCGATCTACAAAATCGCTGCGAGCGGGTTGTCGAGCTCGAGATCCAGCTTGACGAACTACAAGAGCAAAACACGATGATGACGAAAAACACGTCTGCTAGTAAAGGACAGTTGAAGCGGATGGCTTTTCTGGAGCGGAACTTGGAGCAACTTACGCAGGTGCAGCGGGCGCTGGTAGACCAGAACGCGCAGTTGAAGCGGGAGGTAGCGGTGAACGAGCGCAAGCTGCGGGTGCGCAACGAGAAGATCTCGGCGCTGGAGCAGAGCCTGTCGGCCACTCAGGAGCGATTGGCAGCCGAGACTCTGTCGTTTGAGAAGAAGATGTCGCAGCTTGTGGATCGCTATGAGGACGCGAAACTGTTCAGAAGACAGGCTGAGGGGCTTGGAAGTAGTCCGATCACAGGAAGTGGCGGCCAGGGTGGGTTTGGAAATCAGCGGATCGTCAAGCCGCTTCGTGGAGGCGGGGGTGGGAATGGGCTGGGAAGTAGTCCGTTGACAGCGTACATGCGAGGCGGCTCGTCGCCCGAGAATAATCGGCTAGATTCCTCGCCTGGACATTATCAATCGTCGCCGTCGGCATCGAAACGAACGAGCTGGTTTTCAAGGAATTGAGAGAATCTGACTACGGATTTGGGCTTTCAAAAAATGATGATGATGATGATGATGTTTATGGGTTCGAGTCATAGCTATTCGGGTGTTTTTGTACTTTGCTCTTTGGCCATTACCATTGTCATGTGTTGCTTTAGGTCATATACATTTTCCTCCCAACATGCATTTCAAAATCCCCATCATTAACCTCATAAGAAAATCTATCAAGAGCTCTCCTCAGGCTCACCCATAAACAGGGCGCTGCGACGCATTTGATCTTCGACAGGCCAGGGGAACCATATCTGCACGCCCATTTGCTTCGCAGTAGCAGCTTCCCTAATCGCATCTGCGAGCGCAGTGGTCGCCTGCTCCGTCGCCTGCTGAGGAGGTTGCGTAGCAGCAGTAGCCGAAGATGAGTCCGGCTCTTGTTTAATTTTCTCTTGCGTCTGAGCACCTTCTTTCGACCCTTCAGCAGACCCTGCTGCTGCTGCCGCGGCGGCGGCGGCGGCAGCGGCGGTGACGGGTGCAGCTTGTGCGGGCTGCGATGCGAGTTTGATGAGGCCCACAGGCGCGGTTGTGAATTTTGAGATGCGAGTGGCGTACGTGAGTAGTTCAGAGTAATTAACTTTCTTTTCTGTGTCGCCTGTGCTGTTGTCTTTCTCCTTGTCCTTTTCGTCGCCGTCGTCGTGTGCTGCGGTTCCGTCGCCGTCGCTGTCGTTGTCGATGACTTGTGTGATTGAAAAGTCGGGGACCCCTGGGATTGAAAGTAACTGGCTTCGCGCCTCAGAAAGGGCGGAGAGAAGGGTGTCTAGTTTGCGGTCGAGGGAGTTTGAGATTGTTGTGAGTTGGGCGATTGTGTCTTTGTTTTCCTGGTAGATCATCACTAGAGTCGGAGTTGTGTTAGCTAAACGGTTTGAGTGATTTGGAAGCAATAATGTGGGCACGGACATTCTTCGACGGCTTTTCCAAGAGATAGATCAGCAGAGACAAGTGCTTTTGCAGCAGCAGTAGCGGGTTTATATTGTCCGACCGCATTGAGCAGATCCCCTAGATTTCTCTCAAACTCGTCCAGGGCGCCAAAGACCGACAGGGCCTGCTGCTTCTGGGTATTAGCATGAGCAGATGAGACGGCTGTGTTTGCGTCAGATGCGGTCGTAGGTGTAGGTGTTGGTGCTGATGACTGTGATGGTGTTTTTTGCGCGGGCTGTTGCTGCTGTGTGGGCAAGACAAACGTCCGTCGCCGGTCCTGGATCGCAGACGCAAGTGACCGCGGCGGCGGCGGGACGGTTGATGTCGGCACCAGTGAGGAAGCAGGAGCTGAGGCGGAAGAAGGCTGTGAGATTGCTGGTGCCACCGAGGCGGACACCGAAGAAGCCATGTGCGTGTGGGTGTGTCGTCTGCGGAGGCCGAGGTGCGGTGGTGATGGTCGAGGTCGAGGAAGTTTGAGCGCGGCTCGGGGAGGTTTAAGGTTTAGATCTCTGACTCGGGGCGGTCGAGAGATGGGGTTGCAATGCGATGGAGACCCTGACGAGATGATGCTCTGGCTTTAAGATACAGACTAAATGTAGATCAAGAAGCAGAATAAAATGGCACACAAAGATTGTATTCAGTAGTGGATCAACGACAGAGTGGTGATAGTCGTGAACATGTGAAGACGTGAAGACTACTCCAACACTCGACCACGAGGCCTCCTCTCCAACACTCGACCACGAGGCCTCCTCTCCAACCCCGAGCATCATCAGCAGACCTCGCGGCGTCGACGACAGCCAAAGCCCGTTCGCCGCTCATCCCGAACCCCATCGCGGCTGCTCTGCTCCTCCGCCTTTGTCTCTGCTTCCGCTGCTCGGATCCGTCTCGCTTGGTCCTGCACTGCCGCAGCTGCGCCTCTCCACGGGGCCAATTACGTCACACTCAAACCGGGAGCCGAGAAGCAATAAAGCCAGCCAGCTGCTCACTTGGCATCCTCCTCCATCGGTTCTTTCTCCTTTCTTCCATCTTCTTTTCTTATTACAGCCTCTTCTACTCTCATCCACTTCTACAATGGGTCTCGCTGCTAAACTCGCAGCCTCTGGACCTCCCGTCGGCGCTGCTCCCACCGCTACTGCCGCTGCCGTCCCTCCCGCTGGTTCCTACCCCTCCGCTGCCGCTCCCGGCGGTCTTCCCCCCAAGCCCGCGCAATCGCCTTACGGCCAGCAGCCCGCCCAGCAGGTGCCCTACGGGACCAAGCCCGGCGCTACTTCTTCGCCCTACGGCCAGCCCCAGAGCCCCTACGGCGCTCCGCAGCAGTCACCGTACGGCCAACCACAATCACAGCAGCAATCACCGTACGGCCAGCAGGGTCAGCAGCAGCAGTATGGTGCTCCTCAGGGACAATACGGTGCTCCACAAGGGCAGTACGGCGCGCCTCAGGGACAGTATGGCGCTCCTCAGAATCAGTACGGCGCTCCTCAGGGACAATACGGTGCTCCACAAGGGCAGTACGGCGCCCCTGCTCAAGGTGCATATGGCGCTCCCCAGGGACAGTATGGTGCTCCTCAGGGACAATACGGTGCTCCACAAGGGCAGTACGGCGCCCCTGCTCAAGGTGCATATGGCGCTCCGGCAGCTGCTGCCGGTGCTGCCGGTGCTGCCGGTGCTGCCGGTGCTGCTGGAGGATCGGGCAACTACCTCAGTCTACTGCAGAAAGCCGTTCAGGAGAACCAGCTTCAGGCGTTCTACCCTCCCGGCTCGCTAGAGCAGATCGCGGCGCGCATCGGGGGCCAGCTGCAGCAGATCGCGCAGCTCTGGCGTCTGCCGATGGAGATTGCGGTCGATCTCGTGCGTCTGGCGCTTTACGACATTGTTCTCTTTGTCGATGACTCGGGATCGATGGCCTTTGAGGAGAACGGTGAGCGGATAGACGATCTCAAGCTGATTCTCGCTCGCGTCGCCTATGCTGCCTCGCTCTTCGACCAGGACGGAATCGAGGTCAGATTCATGAACAGTCAAACCCAGGGCAACGGCGTCAACTCCGAGCAGGCCGCCTCGCAGCTCGTCTCGCAGGTTCGCTTCGCCGGCCTGACACCGCTCGGCACAAACCTGAACAAGAAAGTCATCGAGCCACTAGTCATCGGACCCGCTCGTAACGGCCAGATGAAGAAACCCGTCCTGGTGATCGCGATCACCGACGGTCAGCCCGCAGGCGAGGATTCCAAGACCGTCTTCCGCGTGATCAGAGGCGCGAAGCAAGCCGTCGCGCAGTCGCGCTACGGACCGGGCGCTGTCGCGTTCCAGTTCGCGCAGGTCGGTAACGATCTCAAGGCGCGCGAGTTCCTTGGCGCGCTCGATACCGATCGCGAGGTCGGTAACCTTGTCGACTGTACGTCGAACTTTGAGTCTGAGCAGGACGAGATGGCGCGTTTGGGCGTGAACCTCACGCCTGAGACGTGGCTTGTCAAGTTGCTGATGGGCGCTATCGATCGGTCTTACGATACTCAGGACGAGCAGGGAGGACGTTGATTTCTATATCTTGTAAAAAAAGACGAGAGTCTGCTAGGGTTTATCTGGTTAATATGGATATGCTTTGTTTTGTTTCTTTTGCCATAGTATAGTATTTTTGTATGCGTGACTATAATTGTAATCCAATAGTAATATATCAGCATAATAGACGATTACTTGCTGACGCTGAGTTCTAGAGCGTCGGTGTAGTCCGCGGCAGAAGAAGGTAACAGGTGGTCTCAAGCTAATCAAGATCCAGAGAATTAGATAGAATTAACTAGAATTAAATCGAAATTAAATGAAGAAAGGAAAGGGGTTCTGTCATCGCATCTCTTTAAGTGAATTGATAGAGATACGGCGACCGCAATCAGTCAAATCACAAATCCTCCTCTGCTCCTCCGCCTCCTCCTCCTCCCTCTCTTCCTATCACCCCGCCTCCACTTTCTCCACCATAATTCACAAATACACACGCACGCAATATCCACTTATCGGTAGATTTGCATCTCATTGTGTGCCAGCCCTAATCACCATCCCTGTTAATTGTGGGTCCGCGCTCTGTCTCGTTTTACTTCTCGGTTTCTCAATCAGGACGTGACTGTATTGATTGAATCAAATGTACTCTCTGTGACTCTTGCCGAAATCTACAGAGCTGATATTTTTTCTCTTTGGTCCTGTGTATTTTGATTATCCTGAGCCTGTGAGTTATACCCAAGAAACTCGAGCGAACGTCTACCATTACCGCTCAAGGTATCATCCTTCGTTATAAATTTCCCTGAATTTAAAGCACTATTGTCAAGATAAATGAGACACTAAAAAAAAAATTGAAAAAACAATGAACGATAGTAAAAAGCAAATCCTCCCGCACTCCGATTTCCACATTTTCTCCTACATTAACAGTAAAGAACGTGCTTTGTAACTGAAAGACAAACATTTTCAAGTCGATGCCAGAATCCACATAAAACAAACAAACAACAAAAAAACAGGACAGCAATACAATCGTATACAGACAGCTCTTCTCTTCAACTCACCAGCACTCACGCAATCAAGGTGAGAACCCGTTCATCAGCTTGGCGATACGCTTCGCATGTAAGTCCTCGTTCTTCAACTTCTTGACCACCCACTCCGGCAAGACCGTAGGTCCCAGTCCCGGAAGCTTCATGTACCCGACTCCGATATCGCGACCGAACGTCAGCGAGAGCGAGTGTCGCAAGGTAACGTAGTGGTCTCTTGGCTTTTTCCCTTCCAGCACCGCCGAGACGTTGTTGAAAAGCACTGGCATCGAGTTGCCGCGCGAGTGCAAGGCCTGCTTGACCTCGGGAATGTCGTTTGCGTCGCCGACGCAGAAGACGTTGGGATCAAGCACGGTCTGGAAGGTATCGAGCACCTGCACGGATCCGCCCGAGTTCTTGAACTCGCTGGGAATGAACCAGGTATTCGGCTTGGGCGTGATATCCGTCAACACCATATCCGCCTCGATATCCTCATTGGACACGTTTCCCATCGAGTTGTGCTGCAGCGTCACCGTTCCGTCGCGATTGTCGTACCCGAGTGTACTGTAAATCACATTCACGCCGAGCTTCTTGAGCATCCCCGCGACTTTCTTGCGCAGCTTGGGCATGTAGATCGGCGTCAAGGGCAGCTCGCGGGCGTGGATCAAGATCACGTTCTTCGAGCGCCCGTAGCGGGACTTGATCTCGCCCGACACTTCGCAGCCCACAGAGCCGGCGCCGATGACGACGATGTTTTTGCTGTTCTGGACGCGCTCGCGAAGGGCTTGGTAGTATGCCAGCGTTTCCTCGTGCGTCGAAGGTGCGCTGTTTGGATCGTTCCAGGCGCATCCTGGAGTCAATATCTGTTTGTAGTCGCGTTAGAATCAATCAATGGCAAGGTAGCAGAGTGCAATTGGATCAACATACAAGCACATCATATCGGACACTCTCGCCAGACTCAAGCTTGACGAGCTTCTTCTGTCTATCCAAGCCGATGACAAGTCCCTTCTTGACTTCTCCCAGGCTCGGATTCGGGTTAAAGAGACCGTCATACGGCTTGATGTATTCGCTCAGATCCTCGACGAGGTTGCGGCAGTTTATCGGCAGGTAGATAAAATCATCGCGTTTCTCAATCAGCGTGACGTGCACAAACTTCGGATCCATCTTGCGCAGGAAATACGACACTGTGCCGACGCCGTAGATGCCACCGCCGACGACGACGATCTCCTTGCGGCGGGAGGAGGCTGCGGGATTGAGAGCCATAGTGAGTGCGATCTTGGGAGTAAGATGCTGAGAGTAGGTAAGTGAAGGGAGCAGTTGGGAAACCGGGGGACAGGGAGGTGGAGGAGGGCGAGTACTTATCCCCTTGTTTGTTCGAGTCGGTAAAGCTGCATGCACCCCAATATATCATGAGCAAGAGAAATGCGAAGCGAGCAGTACAGGTACCCTGAGCTCGAACACAGATCACAGAAGTTATCGAGGTATACAAGCACAGAAGAGATACAAGTGCACAGACAGTAGGATTGCACAGCAGCTAATGAGTTATGAAACTACGACGACCAACAGCAGACGAACAGTCGAACATTGAACCCGACGGAATCACTTTGTTGAGTAGTAAGCAGTCCATGAAGGGCAGCACTGACTGCGATAACAGCACGTGGAGGCAGTATCGGGCAATTGCGGATAGAGTTGGCCATAGATGATAGGATACGGGGAGCGAGTAAGCAGAAAAAAGAGGGAAAAGTTGATGAAAACTGTGAAGTTAGCCGGGGAGAGGGGCGCACGAGAAGTGGGCAGCGACGGTCGGGAACAAGGAAGAGCACTGCAGCGAAGAGGATCTAGAAAGAAACTAAAGTCACAGATCGTCGTTGCTCGGACCCCAAAGAAGGGGGGGCCACGGTCAATTAATTGAAAAAATTACGCAGAGATTAGAGGGACAGTGGACAGTGTGTCGGTAACAACAAACAGCAGGAAGCAGTCGATAGCGGCCAGCACGAAGAAGCCGCATAGGAAACCGCCGGGGCGGAATTTGCCTATAGCGTCTTTTCTCTATAGAATGTTTGGCAATTGGGATACAGAGCTGCGTTTATCTGCCGACGGATATCATTGGCCTATTCACGAACTCACGGTCACAGCGGCTGGCTGGTGGTCGATACACCCTCGCGATGCAAAGGGGCTCTTGACATCTACAATTACATGTTACCCCCCGCGCACAGGGCCACATCCACGCACCCACATCGCATATATAGACGACGTTTCTCGGATTCGGAAACAGGAAACGGTAAACACTTTAGTTCGATCGAGGGCCGCAAGCGGTTACAGCCCTGCCTCCCCGACTAAATTGCTATCGATAGATTGCGCTGTATATACTTGCTCTTTCTTCTTTATAAGCATGATGGTTAAATAACCTGATAGACGTGCGTAGAAGTTATAAACTGTTCTACTAGATTATAGAAGCACATATGGCTCAGAGAATCTGGTCGAGCGAGCCATAGAATCAGAATCGAAGCCAGCAGAGAATACTACGTCCGCCGGCTCTTCTTGCGCGAAATCCTCCTTTTCTTTCCCTTCCTCTTCCCTGCGGATCACAATTTGCAAAACAATCTAAAACAGAAGAGGGACCCGGGGCCAAGGAAAAAACTAAAGCCAGCACGAAAACAGACCAGAGATGGCGGTGCACTAATCTCAGTCTTTCCAGGAGTAGCAGAAAATCACAGGTCCGCAGTTCGAGGTAATTTCTGCCGTCGTCGAGCAGGCGGATCCGGACCGCGCCGCATCGGTACAAGTACCTCGATATCAACTATTAGTAGCCCATCACATAAGCCATCTTACATAATCACTCTGACTAAGCAGATGATCTGCATCTGGGCGCCTGTCCGCCAAATGTCGCGGAATTAAGCCAAACTGTCCATTCACGAGAACTGCTCCGAGCTCCTCTAATTCCACTACGCCACCTCCGTTTAAATAATGTCGGAACCGAGTTGTCAAGAAGACGACGACAAATGCTGTTCTCCAGTTACATTCGATCAGTTCGGCGCCGAGCCTGAGATGGATCCTCCGACGCTCTCGCATCCGCCCTCCATCAACTCCCTCGCGGTCTCGCAGTGCTATGCCTCCCGCAGCGAGATCAAGGACATCATCAAAACTGCCTCGATCCGCGACGGCTGGTCGTTCTATTGTCTCAAATCAAACTACTCTCGCTACACCGTTCGCTGCAAAGAGCCCTCCTGCTCTTGGTATCTCCACGCCTCTTGCGCCCGCCCCGGTGCACCGTTCGTCATCAAAGTCTACCGGCCACTGCATACGTGCTACCGTCAGCGCGATGAGTCCGCCGGCGTTGCTTCCTCGCAGTGGATCGCTCGCCGCATCCTGCCGGCGGTCCTCGTCGACCGCAACATCTCGCCGTCCGATCTCATCGCTCGCCTACGATCCACCCACGGCGTCACCGTCACCTACAAGCAGGCCTGGCGAGCGCGCGAGGTCGCCCTCAGACTGCTCAGCAACCGGGCAAACTGCATCCCAGTCACCGACGCCACCGACCGCTTCTGCGCGCTTCTAGATCAACGCGACCAGTTCTCGCACGCATCCTGCGAGCTCTGGGATCCCGTCGGCCGCGGAGCTTTGCTTCCTGATCCTTCACAATGCAACTTCCGCCGCATGTTTTGGACCTACAGCGCCGCTCTCAACGCCTTCCTTCACTGTCGCCAGGTCATCGTTCTAGATCTTCAGGAACACAAGGTCCAGAACGATGACGTGATGTGGATGGTGGCCGCCGCGCGAGATGCGGAGGACAACATGGTCCCGATCGCGTTCGCGGTCTTGCGGCTAGTCCTGCCTGACACTTGGGACTGGTTTCTCAATAACTTGCGTGTTGCGCTCGTCAAGTTCTTATGTGGTAACCGGCCTACGTGGACCGCCGCCGAAGTATGCGATTTTGTCCGCAATATCATCTTTGTCTCAAACAAACAAGGCGGCGCGGCAGAAGGCGTCGCCCGCGTGTTTCCTGAAAACGCTCCAAGACACTCTCTATGCCTTCATTACCTCTACACCCAAGTCAACACCAAATACGGCCGCCGCGAAGCCGAGACCGTGACGCGCGCGGCGTACGCCTACACGGAAGCTTCGTTCTACAACATTCTCGAGCACGGACTCACGGCTTCGCAGCGCGACTGGCTTCTGACGCGGTATCCTCCGGTCGAATGGGCAGAGTCGATGTTTCCTGGAAACCGACGCGGCGTCATGGACGCAAACTTGCTCCGCATGATTGTGGAGTGGGAGTTTGTCACTCACCAGCCGGTGCGCGTGCAAGGTCGGCTACTACCTGCGGATTTCATCCGGAAAGATCAGAGCACGGTCGCGTTCAGATCATCGTACATGATGGGTCCTGCAGTCTCCATGGGCCTGGCGAAGCTTTTTGAGTCCCGGCGGCAGCGCGCGATCGAATACGCCAAGCAACACCCCGAGCAAGTCGTGACCGAGTACGTGCGGAATCTGGTGACGAGTGCGTTGCAGCGGATGAAGTCGCGCGTGTTACGGGTTGAGAGCACTACTTCGGGCTCGATTTTTCGCGTGCGGATCGGAGAGAATATGCGGGTTGAAGGGCCGAGCTCGTCTGCGGATGGGACAATGAGGTTCCCGCTGGTCACGTTGGAGGATGTCACGGACGAACTTGGCGCTGAAGCCTCAGGGACGAGCTCCTGCGCTGAGCCCCAGGAGGTAGATTTTAAGTACGCGGAATATGCACAGGAGCTGCAGGCGATGCTTAGAGCTGCAGGATTCACCGAAGACAAAATCCCTCATGAAACCTCCTCGGACGTGGCGCTGCGCCAACCTCCCGGAGATATCGAGTCCGCCGCGACATCAACAGAACCCGCGACCGACGTCGTCGTCGATCTCAACCTCCGCCACTGCTCGTGTATGGCATGGAGCAAGAACGGCCTGCCGTGCGAGCACGTGCTCGCTGTCCTGCAAATGATCCGCAAGACCTCGCTCGAAGGCGGCAACACGGACTTGGACGCGTTCGAAATCTGCGGCGGCGCGTGGTTGTTTGATCCGATGTTTACGCTGGATGTGTACCAGCGGTGCTACGAGATGCCGGTCGAGATTGTGAACGATAGCGATACGTTTACGTTTGTTTAGGCGTGGAAATGGAAATGAAAAAAGGCGGATGATCGAGCGGAGTTACAAAAGAAACGAGGGTGTTTGGATATGAAGGACTGGCGTTAAGGAATATGGAAACGGATCTGGATTTGCTTTGCTTGTTTGATAATTGGTATAATCTCTAATTATGTACTTAATACTTCTCGTTTTATTTACTTTTTGATATATGTCTATGTCTTTGACTTTGTTGGAATTCGGAGTATGGAGACTGAGGTAAAATGCCGAAATGATATCTCTTGAATACATTTGCTCCTGCTGCTTCGAGTTTGTGTTTTGCTGATTCCTTAGAAACATTCGGGATATGCTTCACCGGACTGTTTATGTCTTTACAGGAAATATACATTATGCTTCTTACAATAGAGACACTAAGTCATAAGTACAAAAGAAATTGCCACACAACAACCAGAAGTGAATAACAGTAAAAGAAAGAAAATTTGCCGGAGCTCTTTGAACTCTTTGTCTGGCGGCTAGAAGATCTGACATCAGGTTAGGGTACACCGAGGAACCGACGATCTGAAGCAAGGGCGGAGGACGTCGCAGCTGTCAAAACGATCAGTGAAAGCGATAGGAAAGCGAACAGCTGTCAAAGAGTGATACAGTACTAGGATCGAAAGCTAGCTACTGGTATGAGCAGTACCGGGCAAAGATAGAGGTATGGGAGAGTGAGTGGGCTGTGGGGTTTGTTGCGAACGCGGGGTTGCTAATTCATGTGTGAAGGCAATTAGATATACGATAAGGAAGCAAGATGGCAGAAGACAAGAAAAAATTGCTCGAGCTTCCGCGGTCGAATGCGACCAACGGACCGCTGAATCTGAAGATTGCCCAGGCGCGGGCGGTGGAGTACTACCCAGGCTACGAGGTGTCGGAGCGGATTCTGTATACAATGATTGATCTGCGGGAGGTGATCACGCCTCTGAGCGAGATCGTAGCCGAGGTGCCGCGGCAGGTGCACATCGTTGGCTCGAAGCAACTGTACCGGCAGATCAAGGACACAGTGTGCAGCGGGCACAACGTGATGATGAACGGACACTACCTGTTTGAGGGCGTGCGTGTCGTGCTGGATGATCGGATACAGGGTCTTGTGCTGAACAACACCGGGCGCGTGCACCAGGCCGGCTCGCGGCTGGCGGAGCGGTTGAAGACTGCGATTCTGGCGAACGCAAACGCAGCGGCGCAGCATGACTTGCAGTACAGGGTCTACACCGGCAGTCCGATCGTGTACTCGATCAAGCACGGCGACGGCAACGAGTGGATCCGGCCAGACCAGGTGCTCGGGCTCGTGGACGACATGCTGAGTGTTTCGCGGCCGGTCTGGGCGGCGATCTTGCTGGTGGGTTATTCGGATGATGGGGATCAGCTGCGGGAGAGCGCGAGAGCGTTTTTGATTCCGCCGCAGGACGAGGAACCGGAGCGGGTCGATATGGTGATCTTGGTGGACGTGCCGTATCATCAAGAGTACGAGACGCTGGATGATCTGCCCGAGTACGTGGATGTGAGCTACTACATGCGCAACAGCGAGTGCACGACGATCGAGAAGGTCTACCAGGCGCGGGTGTCGAAGCTCGATCCGGTGATTGCGTTTGATCTAGCATACATGGGCATCAACACGACAGAGACGACGGTCGACGACGCGCTGCGACAGCTCGAGTCTGAGGCCGACGAGCCAGGGCGGTCGATCAGGATGTCGCCGGAAGAGGAAAAGTACCCTGGAGAGTGGATGATCAGACATAGCACGTCTGCGCGGGTGACGGTCGATCGAACGCTGGTGAACTCGTGGCTCGAGGACGTGTTTGAGGAGCGCAGGGTTGAGGCGAGTGTATTCTATGAGGAGCAGCGCATGGCGAACCGGTCTTGCACTATTGTGTAGTCTACGATCTTTGGATATAGTGGTGATTGGAAAGAATGATAGAGAAAATGTGGAGAAGATAATAGAGAAGTAATAAGAGATTAAGCAGTTGAAACACACTCCTTGATTCCTCGCTATATCACCACAAGAATGACCGCCCATCTCTTTTCTTTTCTTTTATTTTCCTATTCACTTTCGTCTGATTAAACTGAAACCTCATCAAATCTCCGACCACGGCACCACCTTATCGTCATTTTACTTTTCTTCTTCCGCCGGGCCCTGGCTCGCACTTGAACCGGCGGCGCGGTTTCAGACCCGTACACGAGGCGCGCGCTGGTTTAGAGTTTTTTCAGGAATATATTGACGCGTTTATTTACGCGTTCTTTCGCGTCGCTCGTCCTTGATTGTACGCGTAGACTGGATAAAGAACAAGAAACAGTGAATAGTATATGTAACTCGACAATCCAATCAGTAAAACAACGCGAACACGTCCTGCTCAGGACTGGGATCTGGTGAATGAGAGGAAAGTACCGTGCATCGTGTTCGGCGCACGCACGCGCACGAGATGTTTATTTGAACACAAGGGGTTGGCTCATCAGTCATACATTGTACTTCTATTGCTGCAGTTCCCTATTCAGTCTTCATGTTTAATTGCACATCAAATGCTTGAGTCATTTTATCTGCTTTTATTGTCTATATCAGTATTATTGATATCATACAACATAATTCGGACAACGAGGCAGGAAGGTGAAACGAGCGCACAGAGCATTCTTCTGAAGCCAGGGATCAATTCAAATCCACTCCGCTAACCGAGATCAACTCACAATCAGCTTCCTTTCTTTCTAAGATGTTCAGATCATTCCATTTCAGTGCAACAGCTTATGAGGAAGAAGATAATAATACAGTCGTGAAACATAAACAGATACTATCGCCGTAAAATCAAATCAAACTAAAATCAAAAGAAAACCCAGACGGCGGTACTATTTTTTCCCTCTCTATAGCAAAGAACAGGCATCATGAGACCCAAACAATACAACAGATAAAACAAGCAGAAACACATCATTATAATTCATCATAGCAAACAAAAACAAAAGACAGGAATTTATTCAAACTCGACTGTCTCGGCCTTGCCGTACCAGTTGCTGTCGTTGTCCTGGTAAGTGTACGACACAACAATCTTCTTGCCGATCGTGGTGCCGTCCTCGACAACCGGAGCAGCCTGGCCACCGTAGTTGTATCCGTTGCTGCCGGCCTCGGTCTCGTACAGGAAGGTGGCGGTCGTGTTCCAGGGACCGGCCGGGGACTGCGAAGTGATGGCGTAGAACTTGGAGTCGGCCCAGTTGGTGAAGAAGACAAGGACGTAGGCGTTGTGGTACTTGGAGTAGAACATCGAGCCGGTCGAGAACGGCATCTCACCGGTGAAGACGGCCTTGTCCTTGTTGCGCTTGGTCGCATCGGGAGGGCTGCTCGACCAGCTGTCGCTGCCGCCGTCGTAGTAGCTCCAGGTCGAGGTGTCGTAGATCGTCGCCCGGGGAACAGACGCAAGGTGGACGTCGTACTTGTCAGAGTAAGTGGAGTCGAGTGCGTACATGTAGACGACGTTGTTGACCAAGAGCGAGGCAAACGCGCCGTAGGGGTAGGTAGTCGTAGTCATGGAGGTAACCTCGCGGCGAGTGACCTCGAGCGCGCCATCGCTGATCGAGTAGTCGGCAACGGTGTAACCAACGGTCTCGGAGTACGACGAGTTGGCAAACTTGACAATCGACCAGACCTGCGAGGCATGCGAGTCGTCGATGGGGACGCAGGGTCCGAACGCCCAGAGCGCGTAGCGGTCATCATCGTACTGGGTCTCCTTCTCCTCGTCAGTCCATGGGATCGCGACCACGACCGTGCCGTCGTGCTCAATCGAGATCTCCTCGACCGAAGCAGGGTTGGACGAGTCTCTGCTAACGACGACCGAGTTGGACGCCGCGCCGACAAATGTGCCGTCGGACTTGTACGCGAACGAGTCGTCAAAGAACCAGAAGAAGTACTTGCCGATCGGGCAGATCGTGGGCAGATCACGGTGAATCACCCACGGACTGTCGGGATCGCTCAGCTTGCCTTTGTCGGAGTGGCTCGAGACCTTCAGGTGGTCGTGCTTGCAGCTGCCGGAGATGCGGTAGGAGTCTGAGACTTGGTACGAGAATCTGTCGCCAGAGACGGAGGGGATGGTGAACTGTCGCTGCGCGACGAATGAGCTTGATGCAGAGCCAAAGAGACCGCGCTCCTCCAGAGGAGCAGCAGATGCAAGAGAAGCCAGAGCAAGGGTGGCAGCTGCCAGTTGCCGCAAGTCGATGAACATTGTAATAGTGTAGGGGAGGAAGAAGATGCGAAGGAGAGGAGTGGTCAAGAGAAGCAGTGAAGAGAGGTGGAAGCTGATGATGAGAGGGAAGGGAAGAGGCGCACACGGCTATTATTTATACCAGAGAGCAATTGGTATATTTTGGCTCGGGCCATGGTGGACGAGGTAAAATTGAAGGGGGCGGGGCCTGAGAGAAGGGGCCGAGGGGGGTGCGAACCAGAACTAGAGGAGCGGAAAAAAGGCTGTACCTGAACACAAACCCAGTAATTTGGGTTTCCAGAGGTACGAAGCGACCCGCCCCCTGCGCCGCCTCAGGTCTGAGATTCGGTACCCGTTTTTCTGGTTGCAGTCCGCTTTCCTGTCTACGCGTAGCGTTGTAGGATTATGATGAGATCTGAGTAGAGAACGCGTAGAATTGTTTGTTTGGGAGACGAGACCTGCCGGCTGCGGAAAACAACGCAGAGCGGTCTTGAGATGACTATCAAACAGACGCGTATTGCAATTCACAAAGGAGAATCAAACACCTGAATTAATTCGAAACCAGGCATGAGAGAAAAAAAAAGAAGCCGAAGAAGCACGGATTTTGAACACGAAACCAAGCCTAATCTCAAGCCTGCTCGTCCCCTGCCCGGCATGAACCTGGAAGCCTGCGAGTATGGTGAAGCAAGGGGAGTCTGTGGAATGCAAGGCTGAACCAGAGCTAAAAGACCGTTATTAAGGTTCGATGTGACTCATTGGGTTAGGGATCTTTTATCTACTCAGCGACGCGCTTGGACCCTAAATTTGAGCGAGACCCTGAGACACAAGAACCTGCGTAGATTTTGACCGTACCCGCCGCCGACTCTTCCTCGGAGCGCCGTGCTCCTGCGCTGCTCTGATCACTTTTTTATTAAAAACACAAGAGTAGGTAAATTTGAGCACCCTGTGGTTTGTAATTAAACCCGGGAAACACTCCGAAAAAAGAAAAAGAACAAGAAATGGAATGAATTTAGAGACCGCCGTGTAAGCGATCTGCTCTGCTCTCTATCGTATCCTCGTTTCAGCAGCGAGCGAGTAAACTCACACGATTGCCGCTGCTGGATACGACGACTAATGCTGCAGGCAGGACAAAAAGCAAAAAGCAAAGACCGGCGGCAGCAGCAGCAGCAGCAGCAGCTTGATGCTAGTCTTCGATTCGAGGTGTAGGCCCGGCGGTAATTATTAATTCGTTTCATTAAGATGAACACCGCGTAGAATATCTCCTTTTTTTCTTCTTCTTCTACCTGAAACTAGTAGCCACGCATATTCTACAAAAAATGCACAAGGATTACCATCAGTTAATAAACAGACCCCGCCTCCAGCATATCTTCTCTTCTACTACCAGCAAGACTAAGAGCGACCCTGCAGAGCGCAGCCGCTGCCACTTTGGCGTCAGTACGCAGCAATACCTCTAGACAGCAATCAACTAGTAAATCAATCAGTTGACTTATTGTCAGGCAACATTAGCTTTTGCACGCGGTCCGACAGATTGGACAAGCTAGCCTGCCGATTCTTTCACTGTAGCTCAAGTCAATGGGGGACTACCAGACCCCGGCCTCGGGAGTAAAGATGCTCGTCGTGCTCGAATACCGTGCGCAGTGTGCCAGACCGTTCTTTTCTTCTACATGCTATTTATCATACCTCTCAGCGATCGCCGCCATCGTCGTCTTCGTGGAAGAGAGAAAAAATGATGTGTCATAACCGTATTTCCGCTAATCAAACTCCATGAAAACCATCTTTTTCATTTCCTGCCGGCAGCTGCGGCGACGAGCGGCGCGAACTGACGAAGAGCCTACGCCGCCTTTTCCTCACCTCTTAAACCTTTCCAACCACATCGCCCTCCTCTTCCTCCTACTGCAGGAACAGGCTGGGCTTGCTTTTCTCTTCGGAGTAGTGCTTCAGACTATCCAACACTCGGGATCCCGGCCAGCCTTCCTAACTCCTCCATCCCACCTCTTGTCCTGATCTATCACCAACATGCTACAAATTATTAGAATAACATCTGCTGATCTCTGCTGGCTAGCTCTCGATTTTCCTCTTATATGCCTGGTGACCGGAGCAGACTGCACGCATCCACAGCCTTGGGCGGGCTGCTTAAACCCGGTCTCTCTCTCGTGTACTAGAGCAAACTGGCCGGTGCTCTCCCAGCCAGGCCGCGCGGTGCTCTCCCAGCCAGGCCGCGCGCTCCACCCCCTCCCCCATCGCCCGATAATCAGGGTCGGCTCGGCTCGCCTCGTCTCGTCTCTCGCTACCGCGCTGGTTCCTTGGCTTCTCCATATCGATTATCTAAACTAGGCGACTTCTATAAAGCAATGCACCCACACTTTGTTCTGTCCTTCCTTCCATTTCGATCGTGCAGAGAAATCAGCTTCTTCAGGCTGATATTCCTAATCCTTTTTGGTTCGGACGGAGGACAACCGTCGCGCTACGTCGTCCGCACTAAGCAAGCATACGTCAACTCAAGAAACGGATGTCACGATTTACAACTCTAACGTCGTCGGCCCTCCCTCTCCCTCAGTACTTTGAGTTGTTCCCTGTCGCGTGGAGTAAGAAACAGAGTAAGAGCAAGAGTAAGAGCATCAGCAGCACGCCACGCTCACTGATAAGCCGTCTGGGTTATTTTACTTAGCCTATCGTATCCCCTCGTCCTCCTGATCAGCGCTGCATGACAGATTAACTGCCTCTGCTAACCTGCTTCGTCTGACGTCTGGCGACTCTGGACGCTCAATTTGCGCACGAGGTTGAGACTCGCTCACGACAATAGACTTTTCCTTTTTCCCCGGCTCGAAGCTCAGTCGCTGGATGCCCGCCTGTCTCTCTCTGTCTGTCTGTCTGTTTGATGATTTTCATCATTTTTAGTTTTATTGCAGGACGTCGGACACGAGCGAGGTCGAGTAGAGTTCTGGGCCTTCTACAATAGCTGCTTCTGTCTGCAATTGCAATCAGAAAAGCGATCATGTTAATCTCTGTTGATCAATGATCCACCGACGAGGCAGTAAGTGACTTCTCGCAGCAGTGCTTTTTCGTACAAAAGTGGTGATGACCTTTGTTTACCATCAGGGCGCGTAGATGTGCGTACGGATAACCTTCGTGCACCGATTTCTCATCTGACTTGTCAGGGACCCAACAACCCGGATGGGGCCCTGCGGAGCTTAATGGGCGAGAGAAAGTAGGTTTAGGCCGCCAGCCGACTGCTACCGTCGGAGTTTCATACCAGGTGTCCGTACCTACAAGTCGGTTCTCTAGTCGGGAGCTGTCGTTGGTCGCCTTTCAAATCACCGGAAAACATTAACTAGAAAGAAGCGGATGGCTATCCTGCAAAGTTCTGGAGGTGAGGAGGCGCACAATTGGGTGGGGTCTGTGGTCGTGAAGTGGTGATCAGGCTTTGGTGGGCCCAGCCTCCTCGCTCCCAGTTTTCTGCAATGATCTCGTTATCAGCCCCTGTGATCTGTTCCCTAGCTCCGTACGCCTCGGCTATCGTTCTCGTTAAACACAGTCTTTGTCTGCGCTCTCTGCTGATCTGCGCTACGACTACAATCTCATCAACATCCAGAGACCGTTGTGGTTGCATACGCGCTTTCATATTCATGTATATCATGTTCTATGGCTCAAACCAATGGTAGTCTGTAGTCACAATCGCGCTTTTATTCGTGTTTGTCGGTACCGGGTCTTTTTGAAAAACCACATCTGTCAGATTTATAACGCAGCAGGCCAAGACTAAGAAGTGATTGAGCGGGCATACCGAGAGAGACCCGGGAGGACCCTCTTCCCGTTTTCCGGAGGGTGCCCAGGCCATTGAGAAAAGCCAATTCATCTTGGAAGAGCCTGCTGGCTGCTCCTGCTCCTCCGCCCTCGTTTGCCGTACCTGCCACCCACCCACCACGGATTAGAATTCGAAAAAAACACAAATCCTAATCTCGCGGCCGGGGCCCTCCGAAAGTAAGACCGCTTAGAACTAGACCCGCACAACTCTAACGCTATTAAAGTTAACAAAAAGCTGCTACTACTTGAAACCGCAGGGCTGCAAATAAGATTTTCACGGCTGCTTTCTCCAATGCTGCACCTGCGCTCGAGAAACTTGGGGGGGCGGGGAGGACCATGCTGGGCGGTTGACGCTGCTGCAGCCACTGTACTGCGCTGCGAGAGAAGAGCCAGATAGGCCCTATCCACCATCGGTTAAGCCGCCGTTGGGAGTGATGCTATATATCCAGGAACCAAGAGCGCCGCAGAGGCCTCCCTCTGGTTTAATATTCGAGTACACGATCAGGCAGCCGTTGCGAAGTTCGATATAAGATCTGCGGGCGATCTGGTTGTGTTAGCCTAGCGACCGACCGTACGTACGTATGCTCCTTGCCCGGTCCTCTCCACCGCCGGCTTCTCACTAGTTACGTGATTCCCCGACACCGAAAACCCGCATAGCCCCTCTCGCTTTTGCCTGTTTTCGTCTTATTTGACATTCTGTTTGACACAATGGCAGGCATTAATACTCCTCTTTTCGGTGCCATGCGTAGGACTCGGCAGGCCGTCGTAGGCAGCTCTTGAGTTTCTGCTAGTGCTGCCGGTGTGAGCAGCAGCGAGGCAAACAAGTTTACGCTTTTCCCGTTTCAGTGTGACAGACACATCCCGCAGGAGGATTAGCTTTCTGCTGTGTCATATTTCTTGATGATTTGATAGGTGTCTACACGAACACCATGAGCTACTGCAGAGTAGAACAAAAGCATAAGAACAGAAAGCATAAGAGGATAATTATACTGTTTTGGATAACTAATGGATTGTCAGTCACGGTTCCCCGTTCTTCTTTCTTGCTCTGCTGACGCGTAATAGACTCGTAATATCTCTCTCTGTAAGTCCGATTATTCACTCTGTTCTAATGCTTCGTGATTTGCGCTCATTCAGTAAAAGATATCAGATTTCTTTCCATCCCTGATAGTGAGAGTTCAAGCTGAGACAAAAAAGCGATAATTATCCCCTCCTCCAAGATCACCATAATTTATTCCCACCCGCCGTAAATCCGCACCCTTCGATCTATGAATTTTACTTATTTATCTAATTATTTACCTGGTTTGATTTTTGTTCGAGCCGTGGCTCTGGAATCTTCTCTAGCTGGGTATCGAATGTTTCACTGGCGCGGCAGGGGCGAGGGATATCTTTCTTTCTTTGTTAAATAACCAAATAAGCCGGTCACTGCCCGCTATATGACTTCACATCTTCTTTCAGTTGCAGCAGGCTCCTGCAGTCCGCCGCCGCCGCCGCTACCGCTGCATCAACTGAGTAAGAAAACTGGACTACCTGCTTACACAGCGCTAGCAAACTTATTCTTGAAGTCCCAATTATCAATCATCAGGAGAGTTTCCATTTAGCAAAAATGGCAATTACTAACCAACCTTGATACACAGCAGAAAGTGAAGAAGTCAGAGAAAAGGTAAAGATCTAGCTAAACTCTCGAAAAAAATTTTCAGATTGCCATACTACTAACTTTCACTACTCCTTTGCTGCAAGTTGGACTTGATAACGCAATGTGTGGGAATTTCGATATAGAGCTGATAGTTATTGGTCGCCCAACATTCTAAGAAGGAATAATGGATTTGATACATTACAAACGATATTCAATCTTCTCCGTCTAACTATAGTTTACTACGGATTGGTAACAACAAGGACAATAACAAAAGAAAAATAATCCTTATCAACGCTCCGGTTCTTTCCTCTTCTTTCCCAAACGGGAAAAACAAAAATAAGATTGTGAGCAGACACGACCAACTGTTCTTGAACAGAAAAAAGAAATCCACGACTGCGCGCAATCCCGAAATTTATTCAGATATCATATCGCCGCCGTATACGAAAGAAACCGTTGGCTCTTTTCCGCTCCCGCTGTCTCTCGGTACTGTCGTCCGAAAACATTTGTTTTTGATTCCGGTGAAAGTTTTGGTTGATTGTTATCTTGAAAAAATATCGCCTGCTTTTTCTGAGCACGTACAAAATACATCTCCGAAAACCCGCGCATTTTCATTTCTCTATTTGTTCAAGCTGTACCTCCGCATTATATGTCGCTCTCAGACCGCAGTAGTAAACGGTGTGTATAAATCGGAAATCACAGATAAGCAGTAACAATGACGAAATTGACTCATTCACTCTGCCAAAGACAGCATGTCAATACCATGAGCCTCCGGCTATCATTTCGACAGGCGCCATCCAACAGAAACGAGGAAAAAAAATTGCGAAATAAAGCGAATGATGTCTGAGACAGCTCTATTGACAGTGACAGCAGCTAAAACGCGCAACGCTCTGCGAGTGTATACCTATTTAGGCAACTGAATGCCCGTCATCTCGGGATACACCCCATTGTTCACAGGATGTCTGATTTGGAACTACTTTGATCCGCTAAGCGAGTAGCCGTCGTAGACTGCTTTGCTGTTGGGAGCGCGATAGTTGACGGTGGCGGAATTGCGAGATGTTGAGTTGGCTAACGGGTGTGCGGTTCGTCAGATACGTGAACCGAAGACTTCAATCACAGGATACCAAGAAAGCACGCATTCAATAGCAGCACCTCTGGGTAAATAACATCAACACTAAAGCTATTACACTATACCAGAACTTATGAGAAGCAATCTCATATGAGATGGAGAGCAGATTCAGCTTCCGCCATTCGGTCGCGTCCCATCCGGTCACGTCGCGTCTGATGCTACTCGTATGCTCGTGACGGGTACTCCCACTCCGCCGAGAGATGCCACTGGCCGACATGGAAGGTTGTAAACATTTGACCGTAAACACTACTCAAGACGACCGGAAGCTGAAAGCAAATATAGACAGTCCGCAACTTCTTGATGGAGTTAAACTGGAAGATGTCCAGCACGCGAATTGGGACATTGCAGGTCGTGCTTACATAATCAAAGCATAACTGCAGCACAACGGTTTGCATTGCAGCTCTAAACACGAAACCCCGCGGCACAGCATAACTGCGCAAACCCAAGCGGTTACCGCGTCAGTGTGGTGAGCCAGCCACCTTGTTTACATTCCACAACGGCAAGCTCCCGCGCCCTCTCTCGCTTCACTTCACAGCTGTTCTAACGTCGCCGTGGAAATTTGCAGTCTCTTTTTGCTTTTATTCACACTACTCGGTGGACGTTTAGAATCAGTACTGATCTGAATTATATAAAGTCTTCTGTTTACCAGTGATAACAAACAATAGAGCGCGATGTTTTATTCTGAGACTCTTCTCCTGAAGAAGGTATGTACCTTTCACTTATCAGCAGTTCATGAGAGATACTAACCGCTTTCTTGTGATAGGGACCTCTAGCTCGTGTATGGCTAGCTGCTAATCTTGAGCGGAAACTGTCGAAAGCGCAATACCTGCAAGCCAGTATCGAAAAGTCAGTAGGCGCGATCGTGGGTCAAGATGTTGCGCCTATGGCACTCAGACTGTCGGGCCAGCTTCTGCTTGGTGTTGTCAGAATTTACGGTCGCAAGGCCAAGTATTTACTTGACGACTGTAACGAGGCGCTTATAAAATTGCGAATGGTGAGTATTCGTGGTCACTCATGGGATGTCGAAGGGGGACTTGACGCTAACATTTAATTTCCATCCTGATAGACCTTCAGCAAGGGAAACGTCGATCTCACAGCCAGCGCAACTGCAGCGAACCCCCAGCAGCTTACTCTTCCCAACACTATCACCGATCTCGACCTACTGAACCCTGATCCGTCGGCGATTCTCGGTCTCAATGCCGCCGATCCCTTTGCTGAGCCATCCGGTGCGACCGCGGCCGCCTCGGGCGCGCACACGTTAGCTGCCGAGGAAATTACACTACCCGAGCTGCAAGACTCGATTGAATATGCGAGAGGGAATAACATTGAGGATGAGCTGGAAAACATGGGCGACGACGACCTTGTGCTTGACACGGGCGAGTACTTGGAGACTTCTGAGGGGCAGAACCAGTTGCCGGAGATCAACGACGATAATGCGATGGATGAGGATATTCCGTTGGATATGAGTATCGAAATCGGTAGAGACAACGAAGTCAACCCTGATCAGCTTGAGGATTATGCGTTGGAGCTCGGCGACGAGCCCTTACTTCCTCCCGAGGAAGAGCCCGAAATGGCAGATGTTGACCGGGCTCCTCGCCTCGAAGACATGGATATGTCGGAGATGGAAATGCCCAGTATGAGACAGGATGATGATCTGCTGGTTGCTGATGCTGATCAGGAGCGAGCACCGACTCAGAAACGCGCACCTCGTCAACACAGGGTTAAAATCGATACCGCTACCGAGCTCAGAGGCGCCTACATCAAGGACATGCAAGAGAACCGTACTGGTATTCTCAAGACGTATCCTACACTTCCCTACTCTCGTGACACTGTCACCCTTATTGAGAGCTACGAGAGCCAGGGTGTCTTTGATTTGATTTTCAAGCCTACGTTTATGAACGAGGCCCTCAGCAAGATCTTGGAGCCTGAGCTGCTACCTAACACTCCCCGCAAGAGAAAGTCGTCGAACGATGGGGAGGATGCCGAGGAGGATCAAAGCCCCAAGAGAGCTCATATGGAGGAAAACAGAATTGTAGTAGAGGAAGAGGATATGTATGCCTACGAGGATGTTCCGGTTATCGACTCTCGCTTTGATCTTCCTCAGGACGACATTGAACTTCCTCGTGAAGACGACGGTCTAGAACTCGATCTTGCTGACCCGTTCTCTTCCGGAGATATCAATGCAGAGGGTACTGAGGCGGTTGATGCTGCCGCTGAGGAGGAGGAAGAGATGCCTAGCACTCAAGCCGTTAACGGTATTTCGCGGAATACCAAGGAGGCAGTTGCGGTCCTTGTCAGCGAGCTGTCTAACCAAGACAAGGTTGACTTCCAGTCTCTGACGGTTGACAAGCCACGAAGCAAGGCGGTCAAGCTGTTCTTTGAGACCTTGGTTTTGGCCACGAAGGACGCGATTGAGGTTGAGCAGAAGAACCCGTACGGACTCATCGATATCTCGGCGAAGGATGCGTTGTTTGGCAACGACTGGATTGACGCGAATACCGAGGTCGCGCCGTCGCAGGTAGTGGCTTAGATCACTGAAAGATGACGGAGGAGAAAAAAGTGATGCAGTCATCACAAATTCTGCTTGCTTTGGGTCAGATGATTGGGGTGTTTGTATTCTAGCTGGCTGTTATGTGCTCTTTTGTCAAGACATCTTCTGTTATCTGGTTAACCTCTAGACAGTCGATGGATTTATGCTTGTATTTTTATATCAGTTAGTGATTGTATTATTAGGCTTGTTACTGGGTTGCCGTTTATACGTTTGGTTAATTCTGTTTTGTTTGTTTGTTCTACTTTCTTGCTGTAAGACCGGAATATATAGTCAGCGATATTAGTTCTCAGTGTATGGTTTATTAACTTGATATATTACACAAACTCGACCTCTCCAGCCGCGATAAATTTCCTGATTGTTATATAAGGCAAGACATAGATATTCCCTTTCCTTAGCTCGATCGAGTCTTCTTTGTTGATAACCACCTCTCCGGGAATATCTTTCAGTACACGGATGAAGATGACGTCGTCTAGGTCTGGTTGGTCGACCATCTGTAGGATCGGCGAGTTGTCGTCTAGGCGCTGGATTTTGGGGGTGCTCTTGAAGTTGGAGAGGAAGCGTTGGTCGTATAGCCGTTTTAACTGTGTTGCTCGTCTTTTGTGTGTCAGTGCCAGTTTGATTGAAAATGATTAGAGGAAGTGAAAAGAGGACATACCGAACGACGAAGCGTTGCTCAGCTACAGAGAGCTTTTGCCGGACGTCAGAGTCGTCTGTGGATAGATACATGTAGTATTTATCAATCTTGTGCAGCCTAGCCCGCACATACCCGCGAACCAGAAACTTGATTCTCTCCAACTCCGACTCAACCAGCAGCAACTTGAGCTTACTCTGGCTCGCGACCTCCGGATCCGCCGTCGCCATCTCGATAAACTCCACCTGCTCGCGCAGCCGGTCCGTCAGACTGTTCATAAGCTGTTCGTCGTAGGGTAGGATGTCCGGGCACGTCCGCTCCGAGATCCAGAGACGCACTAGTTTCGCAAAGTCTTGTTCTTTCTCATACTCGCGTGTTTTCGAACTGCCTGGTCGTTGGGCTGTGGGCGCGCCGCTGCGGAATCGGTAGTCGCGGTCGAGGTTGTCGATAAGATCGTCGATCTCGGCATCGCGATCGTCGGTCGCCATATTCTCTCTCTGACTGAAATATAGCGCGTGTATGTATATATTTCGCTTCACAAAACAAATAGATTATCATATAACTCCTTGACTCGTCGTTCGTCGCTGCTCTTCCAATTCTTGATTGTTGACACCCCTCGCGTCGAGACGCGTTTCCAAAGTTTTTGAAAGAGGCAACTGGCCGCAGTCAGCCACGTGATATCACGTGACTGAAGTCCGAAACTCCCAATGAGCACATTCTGAGGTATTTCGCCGCCGGCTGTCAGCATCGGCGCTTGTTGTTCAGTTATCGCTGATTACCAGATTTTCTGTCCACCATCTCTCATTAGTTGAATCGATTTATATTGTAGGTCGCAAGTTTTGGGATGTTGATTGATAGTTTGAGAGGACTGGACTAACGCTGTTATCTTGCTCAGCACCATCACAACAATGTCCGAGAAAGTCGCCTACACCAAGCTCGAGTCCGACGAGGTCCCGGCCTACGAGGAGACCGAGCAGGCACCTACCTACGAAGAGTCTGCCGAGGCCGAAGCCCAGCAGCAGACAGAGGCCAGACACCAGTTGCGCCGTGGCCAGATTGCCGGCCGCATGCTGGCTATCATGCTTACGATGTTTGTCGGATCGTTCGTTGTCGCTAGCGTTGCTGCGCCTTGCGGGGGGTGGTAGATTGTGGGATTGGCGCACGATGATGATTATCGTTGAGTTTACGTTTTGTTGATGCTTGCTTTGATATGATTTCCATTTGATATATTGGGTATTGGCTCTGGAGTCTAGGGCGGAGAAATGGGTTATAGCGCTACTTTTGTTTATCGGCTGCTTTTTTGTTTGCGAGCTGCGGGTTCCGTCTTATCTTCAGAACGTCAGCTTGGACAGACAGAAGAGCGGAAGTTACAGAGTCTGATGAATGGCCGCGGTGGTGCTTTGAATTTCTGCTATGAATTATAGGAACATTGCTGTCACATTTAACGTTGGTATGTAATAATCAACTTGGTATTATACAATATGCTTGTAATTTTGGACGTAGAAGAGGCCGCATACTCTGAGCCTCTATCGTTCCACTTACGTAGCATAATCTACGCAATTGTTATCGGCCATACAAAGAACACAGCAACGAAGATTCCGAAGAAAGCAAATGGCACCCCGAATGTGAAGAAAGTTACCTTCCCACCCCCTGAGAACTCCCTCCACCCCACCACCACTCCCACAACTTCCCCGGCCGCCAACCTGAAGCCAATCGCCCGCTGTTCAGGACTCTTCTATCGTCGCATACGCATCAATTGCGAAAAGTAATGTCAGATTCGGAAGCAGAGGTCAAACCAGCAGCAAAGCGCGCACGCGGACGCGGCAACGGCAACAGCTCGTCAAAGGGAACCACGAAATCAGCAAAGAACAAGACAGCTGCGACGAAGGAGGCCGAGATGTTTCCCCGCACGCAGGGGCTGAAGATGTTTGTTGGTGCTCATGTTAGCTCTGCGAAAGGTTGGTGTGCTTGTGAATTGTTGAGGGGATTGCGGTGATGTTGAGTAAGCTAACGCGCGGACAGGTGTTTTTAATGCAGTCACCAATAGCAATCGGACCGGGTACCTATTCTCCTCTAATAAGCACTAGGGAAGCTACAACAGGAATATAGCGACATCGACTGACCTATCTGAAATAGCGGGAACGCGTTTGCCCTTTTCGTAAAGCCACAAAGAAGATGGACTGCATCACCACTAAAGCCAGAAGAGATATCTGAGTTTGGGAAACTGGCCAAAGAGCTCGACTACGATCTGAAAAAGTACTGTCCCCGCATCTTCCTCTTTCCACCTTAGTATGGATCAAGCTGACAAAACGCTCTGGCGGTAGACACGCGCTTCCTCATGGCTCTTACTTGATCAATCTCGCGAATTTGGACAAGGATAAGAATAAGCAGGCATACGACGCGTTCTTGGACGAGCTCAAGAGATGCGAGCAGCTTGGAATCGGTCATTATAACTTCCAGTATGTTTCAATACCACTCATATCGTCCTTTCTTATCGACAGTCGCTTACAACTATTGATAGCCCCGGCTCAACTCTGGGAAACGATCGCGCAACCGCGTTAAAACAACTAGCCACCAACGTCAACCGCGCAATCAAAGAAACCTCCTCCGTGAAGATCGTCCTCGAAAACATGGCCGGCCATGGCAATCTGATCGGATCCACATGGGAAGACCTCAAAGAAGTAATCGACATGGTCGAAGACAAGACTCGCGTCGGCGTCTGCATCGATACATGCCATACTTTTGCAGCGGGCTTTGATATCCGGACGCAGGAGCTGTATGATAAAATGTGGGAGGAGTTTGACCGAGTCGTCGGGCTGAAGTATTTGTCATCTATTCATCTCAATGACTCAAAGGCACCGCTGGGGAGTAACCGCGATCTGCATCAGAATATCGGACTTGGCTTTCTGGGACTGGAGTCCTTCAGAGTGGTGAGTGCTTTTCTCTTTCAGCTATATCTGCTTTTTCAACTATAGCTGCTTTCTAAATCGGGTTTGTGCTGATAATCTCGATAGCTCATGAACACAAAGCACGTAGAGGGCTTACCAATGATCCTCGAAACCCCAAACGGCGAAGACGAAACCGTCTGGGCGCGAGAAATCAAGTACATCATCCCCCGCTGCTATCAATATCTCATCATCAATACTGGAAAGCTAACTTCTTCTCCAAGGCTGCTCGAATGGCTGATAGGAAAATCCGCAGACGATCCGGAATTCATCGCCAAGCGCGACGAGCTGTCGAAAAAAGGCGCTGCGGACCGGAAGGTGCAGGAGGAAAAGAATACTAAAAAGCAGGAAAAGAAGCAGGATAAGAAACAGGCTCAGCTGTCGTTTAAGCGCAAGAAGGGGAAGGGGTCTGACTCGGAGAGCGAGTGAAAGCCTCTTTACGGCAATACAAGTCTATCAAACAAATTAATCATCCTACGCATTTCTGTACCTTTCCGTAATCATCTTATTAATCATACATCAACATCTGGCCTGTTAAGCACCACAGTCTACACAAATTTCTGGCTATCCAACACAGCCTTGATAATGCTCTCGCTATCAGAAGCCTCGCTCACCAGCTTATCCACCTCGGGACCCACAAACTCGGCAAACCGTGCCCGGTCCTGATCAGTCAGATCGTCGATCGTGGTAAATTCAGGGTCGACTAGTGAGCGGAGTGCTTCGATGACGGCATTACCTAGCCTTCGCTTGTCTTCGTCCGTGACAGCGCTGGTGCTGCCAATAACCGCCGCCCAGTCTCGCAGGTTTCCTAGGATGAGAACGCGGACGACTTCGGGACCCATCGCGGTCAGACCTGAGAGTGCGCCGTACTGCGTACCGGCGGATTTGGAGGTATCCATAAAGGCCTTCAACAGCGTGCGCGTCACGCGCGGCTTTAGAGTGTGATAAGTGTCGCCGTATTTGGTGCAGACTTGGTTCAGCAGCGAGGCGGCAAAGTCACGGACTTTGTAGTGTTCTTCTGTTGACGACTGCGAGGTGCCGATGCGTTTACCGACCAGCAGTGTAAGAATTGGCGGCATTATAGAGTGGATCTGGATCAAAAGTTAGTCAAACCAATCACAAACGCAACAAACAGACAAAAGGTCACGCACATATGGTTCTATAAATATTGTCTGATTTGTGAGAAGTTTGTGGAGCACTTGAAGCATCAGATACAACATCGATGCATTCTTCAGGTTAAGCCTGATCTTCTCCGCCACGAACTGTATCAAATAGGGGATCAACTGATGAAGCCCAGGATCATTTCCAAGACTGTTGAGCACTGCATTCTTCATAGCCGACGTCGAGGACTCCTCAGTCAGCGCTGCAACCACACGGTCGTAGTATAGCTGCAGTTCTCTGGACAGCGCGTGCTTCACCAACGGCTTGACTTCGATCTCGGTCGAGCTCACTCCCGGTTGACCTGGCGCAGCAGATCTTCCCTCGGAAGGCTGAGGATTTTGAGGGATTGCAGGTTGAACTCCTTCGATTGCAAGCCAGTGGGCTGTATAGGGCTCTGTTATTGTCTGTACATTAATGAAATGATGTAAAGTCTGAGCGTACCTGTGAACGAGACTTCTCGTGGGACTTTTGGTAGGGGCATGTTGATTATCCTTTCAAAGTCTACTTCTTCATCATCAATGTAGTATAGAGTCTGTCCTGGTCCCAGAACTGCTTCCCGGAATTTGATAGGTCTTGTCGAATCGTATCCATAGAGGGGCTAGTTTGGTATCCGTAAGCATCAAATACCACAACATACTCGTCATGTTTGAATATAATTACCTCAAGATTAAGCACCCGGAATGCATGACTGATATCCTGAGTGGTCAAAATAGTCCGCTTTGAATGCTTCATAAACTTGGTGGCCTGCTCGAGAACCTCGTTTATCCGATACTCCACATCCATCGCAAGGGACTTGCTCACTTCCTCAGAAAGGTTCGCAATCCCAAGACTCTCGGCCACATCTTTGACTGTGTCGCTCGGTGACCACAGCGTGTATGAGTATTTCATAGAAGAAGAAGAAGACGACGCCATGTTTAGTTTGCTGTATGTTTGTCTTCAAGTTCGTCCGTCCTTATTTGAATATAGTTGGGGTGATCTATCGCGACCAAAACGAAAGCAGTAATCAAGCACAAGACCGTCTCATTAAAAGCTCAGCGCCCTCAACCGATATCTTCTTCTTTAAAATAATATCAGCTCAGTCAATCCAGCTATTCCGTGGAGATGATCCAGTCCAAAGATGAGCTTCCGTCTCACTTTACATCGATCCTTACAGTAAACCTTAATATCCTATGTCCAGGTTAGGGTAAACAGCTTCGCACGCGCAGCGCGTCTTTCTGGTTTGTTTACATTCGGCCCGCCAGTCAGTCAGACAGCCAGTCTTCCAACTGTATAGATTCTCACTGCGCGCTACTTCTCTCTCTCTTCTGCCAATACTTCTGTTTAAGTAGCTTGGCAGCGAAACTTAGATATTTTTTATATCTGCTTCTGGAGCAGGACATAAATAGCCTATTGTTGGCATATTTAGTTCTTGTTTCTGTTTTTACTGCTGTTTCTGTATTATCTCGCTGGCGGTCTCTTGTCCGAAATCCAAGATTACTGGACAAATAGCAGATCAGATCACCTCTGACTGTTTGATATATGTCACACCCACAGACCAGCAACTTGAAACGGAAATCGAACTTCCCTTCAGCGCCATCCCCGTCACCATCAAACCCATCGGCGCTTCGTTCTGATCGCGCAGAGAGCCTTTCGATCCCTCCCTCTCTTCCCCCAGACGGTAGCCAAATTGACGCTACTCTACTGCTTAACCCGCGAACTATGTCTAATATCTCATGCTTGCTCCAGTCTGATCTGCCGGCATATGAACTCCCCGCGATCCAAGAAACATCAAAGCAGACCGAGTGTACCACATTGCAGCCTTCGACGTCTTTGAGGTTGGAGGTAATGTCTGGTAACGGGACAGTGAACGGAGCCGAGCTGGCGCGGGCGCGCGAGCTCCAGGAGCTACATGATCTGCTTGAAGATACGGAGCTTGTACAATTTGTGAGGATTGCTGATTGGACTGTTGATGATCTTAGTATTTTGATCCGGGCTAAGATGAATGATTTGGTATGTTCTTATTTTTCACTTCATTGTTTCTTCATTCAAGACATCTTAATAACACATTTACGTCTTTAGTCTTGGCCAGTGATTGCAGATATTATCGGCGACGATAGAACAGTAGGCGACTGCAAAGAGATCTATTTCAGACTCACTTTGTTCTGGTATGTGTTGATTATAAGAGCTTTCTTGGAGCCGAGCTAATTTTGAACCTTCATATTTTTCAGCAGGCGCAGGAGGGCCATAAATCAAACATTGCAGTCGATCGCATCTTCTGCACAAATTACTAGACTAGAGTCTCCGATTGAGCCTCCAGCTCTGCCTTCGCAAAGAGAAGATAATGTTGAGGAATCGCCCTCTGCTTCAGCCCTTCAAATCGTCCAGTATCAGTCCGCTGTGACATCTCGCCCGGCCAGACAGCAATCCCTTGCGAAAGTCTCACCTCAAAAATCTCCTGCAAAGAAAACAGTCAGGAAGCGACGTGGGACTGGCAGTGCGACATCACAAGTAATCGCAACTGCTGCGTCAAACCTCGCAGCGGAGTCTTTGGAGTCAAATGATCGCCCAAATCAAACCGCGGAGATTAAAGGAGAGACAGAACAGACTCCCCATCATACAGCGCATTCCGAGCTCAATTCTGAGGAACATCCTCCGGCGGCTCGGCCGTCTTTGGCTGAAAACTCAGCGAAGGATACCGCTGCCGGGGCCGAGAATTCTGCGGCACAGACATTACTGTCTGCCGCATCAATCACCGAGACCGCGCCCGACAGTCTCAGCAGAAGTCCGAATCAGAGAGCGGGTCAAAAGGTTACGGAGAAAGTAAGGGTCGTATGCCCTCCTTCGACATCAGGACAGCAAACCGATCCTGCTGAGACAGGCTCGCAAGAGTTATCAGGGCAAACCACGTCTTCCCAGCCAGGCCCTGAGGACTCCCCAAGGCAAACCACTCCATCCCTGCCCGCTACCGAGAAACCTCTAGGACGAACCACCCCGTCCCAGCCAGTGACTGAGGAATCCTCAGGACACATGTTTGGGTCTCCATTTAATGACCTGGAGTCAATCGCTGTCGAGTTCCCGGCAGGCGCACGAGTCATCCGGGTCAGCGCTATCGATGAGACGTCCAGCGTATCCAAAAATGAAGTGCCTGAAGTGCCCGAGACTCTGAGAGAAGTTGAGCTCAATAGCGGTCCATCCGTGATTGAACGGCCAGTTGGCGAATCGCCGCAGAACAAGGAAATGAGCTCCGCATCGGGCCGTTCGCAGGCTGCAGCTGATAGTGGTACCGATGTCACAAAAAGGTTTACCCTTATGTCTAAATTTCAAACTCCAATTTATGCGACTGTTCGCTCAGGAGAGATAAGTCTTTCCAGATTTCCCGAAAAGCTCTCACTTGAGCTTCCGAAGAAGGATCTTCCAGAACAGAAGGCGGACGACACAAGTTCTGTAGAGTCGAAATCCATTGAGAAGCCAGAGTTCAAGAAACCGTCGATAGCCAAGCCGCCAAAACTGCCATTGCTCTCGACCATGCGTCCTCCGCGGTCACTTTTAGCAATCAGAGATGTGGATGACTCGAGAGGCGAGTCTTCTCTTCACGGGTTTAGCTGGAATCGTAACGAGACCATAACTCGCAGAAAGAAGTCTACGAAAAACGAGCGGAGTCGGCAGAGTGTTATTCGTATGATCAGAGGGGAAGAGGAACCGGGATCGACTCGGCGTGAGAGAGTTGATTATGACGGTGATTCATTTGAGGATGCTGAGACGAGAACTGATGTTGATGATGGGGAAGTGGAAGACGAAAGATTGGATACTGATGCCACAATATCTGTGCCCGATAGCAGCGTGGACGAAGACTCTGAGATCGAGAGCGGACGAGCTAACATAGTGCACGTTGATTTCTGTGATTATAGGACTAATACTGAGATCTATTTATTGGGCAGTGTGCTAACTCGATGTAATCTACAGGAAACCGATGGGCAACGCTAAACTCAACAACATCATGAGAGACAAAGACCTGGTGTCTACGATCGTGACGCTTCGTAACGAAAACAACAGGTTTTCGGCACTAGCACACGTTCTGAGTGACTATAGCGCGACCGAACGCTTGACCGCCGATTTGATTGAGAAAGTCTACAAGCGCGCGACCAGAGGGTTGACGTCTGCTACTGCTGATATTACTGATAGGGAAGAGCTGTCAGATGCCACTGCAGCAAAATCTGGCGACGATACCATCGATGAAGATGGAGATGATAAACTGTAATAGCATTTGCGAGGGGAGCTGATAAGTGGCTTCCTGTTTCTGATACTGATTCTGTTTCTGATTTTGTCTGTGCTCAATGTTAACACCACGATGCTTTTATCATACTCTAGGTATTCACTCGGCGAATCTGAGCAGTACGATCTGCTAGAGCTCAAAAACCGCAACGCCCCTCGGGAGGATGTGCTTAAGAAGTTCCCAAAGCATGATGAACACGCTCTCCTCGAGTACTACGAAAGCTTAGAGTTTGAGATGCTGGGGTCAAGACGGCAGCGAGGATATGTGCCGACGAAAGTGTATTTGCGACAGGTGAGGAGAAGAGACAGTATCAGCTTCAGCAGCAAGAAGAAGAAAGATGATGGTCGTCGCAAGAATAGTAGCGTTGGACGGCCAGCAAAGAAAGCGCGACCCAATGCGGAAAACAGCAAGAAAAAGACAGAGACAGTTGCGCCGTCTGCTGACGCGAGTTTGACTGATAATGGATATCTGACAAGTTCTGAAGAGGGTGAGATTATTGAACCCGCGACGCAGAGGACTTCTGGAACTAAAAAGACGACAGAGACTTCCCAGCGCGCGAATGGTCCAACGTCTGATTTTAGGATACTGTTGAGACTTGCGAAGAAGCCTGAGAGTCCTGTGTCATCGCCGCCGTCGACGATGTTGAGGTGGAGGCGTAAATCTGCTAATCATGCGACGCTGTCAGCGATCAACCAGGGCACAGAGACCTTGATCTCGGGTGTGCAAAACAGCCAGGGGGGTACGACATCGAGTCCGGTCCAGTCGAGAGGTGCGGTGAAGAAAAAGCCTGAGAGTTCTGTGTCATCGACGCCGTCGATGATGTTGAAGTGGAGGCACAAATCTGACAATCGTGAGACGCTGTCAGCGAGTAACCCGGACAAAATTTCGGGTGTGCAGGACAGCCAGGGGGGTACGACATCGAGTCCGATCCAATCGCTACGTTCTGTTCGGAAACGACCGTGCCCGAGCTCCATGGTTGCTGCGAAGCGGATGCGTGGAGCTGCTCCGTCTTCATCAGGGCAGACGTCCTGTGGGTGTCGCGGCCGTCGGGTTGGCGGGGCAGGTGGGACTTCAACGGGGAAGTGAGATGAGGTTGGTATTGGTCTGTGTATGGATATTCTTCGGACCAGAGGTCGTCGTAAATGCGCTATCAGCGCTGTGTATTATATTTTCCTGGTTCTGTGTATTTTTATGTTTTCTGTCTCATGATTTGATGTAGTTACTCAAATTATTCAATCGAAATATTGTCAATCGAAATACTGAGCTCTAGTCGTAAGAAGTAGTGATAATTTCAGATCTCTATCCACGTGAAATCCCGCAACCACGAGAACACACCCCTTTTGATGACCTGACTGGATCGCACTGCGAGGAGCAGCCGATCCCTGCCTGATTCATCATCTACAAGTCCGAAGAGCGAGCAATGTGACATGCACCAAAGTATGCAAAACCAAACCAAGCTACAAGGACAACGGCTCATACAGTTTAATACCCTGATCTCGAGGCGGCGAGCAAGGCGGGTCTCAGGTTCTAAATAGGATAGAGTTTGGGTGCGGCTTTTATGCTATGGCTGCCTCGACCTGCGACCCCGGGATTCGGCCTGTTCTATAATTACGCTCTTTTCACATATCAACAACGAAAGTTATGTTCTCTGCTGTCTAAATACCCTTCTGTCCGTCGCTGATTGCTGTTCTTCCTGTGGTCTTGCTTGTTTTTTGCACTTTACGCTCTCTATTACCACAGTCTTTTGACATCGCATGCGAATCAAATCATCATCGCTAGCATGTGTGTAATGCAGATTCGCTCGCTCGCCGTCGTTAAGATCCTTGCTGTCGTGCCGCTGCTGCTGTTGCTACTACACGTCCAGTCAGCCTGCGCGCATGGCAGCAAGTATGACTCGACGCCTAACATCTACCCATCCCGTGAGTCCCGCCCATTCCTTCCCCATCCCGAATCTCCCACTAACCCTTCCTGCCTACCGCTCAAGTCCTCGGAGGTCGCAACCCGACCGACACAGACTGGAACCTCGCCTACATCAAAGCCCGCGAATTCGTCTCCCAGCTCACGCTTCTCGAGAAAGTCAACCTGACGACCGGCACCGGCTGGCAAATGGGCCCCTGCGTCGGCAACACGGGCTCGGTCCCGCGCCTCAACTTCTCCGCAATCTGTCTCCAGGACGGCCCGCTCGGGATCCGGTTCACGGACCTCAACTCGGCGTTTCCGGCGGGTATTGCCACCGGCGCGACGTTTAACAAGAATCTGATGTACCAGCGCGGGAACGCGCTCGGGCTGGAGAACAAAGCAAAGGGAATCAATGTCGCGCTCGCGCCGTGCATAGGTCCTATAGGACGCGCGGCAGAGGCAGGCCGTAACTGGGAGGGTTTTGGCGCCGATCCGTATTTGCAGGGTATTGCGGGCGCTGAGACAGTTCGGGGAATCCAGGACGCGGGAGTGATTGCGACCGCGAAGCATTACCTGCTTAACGAGCAGGAGCATTTCCGTCAGTACGCCGAATGGGTAGGCTTTGGCTTTGACGACCTCAAGGAGCCGTACTCCGCCAACGCCGACGACCGCGTCTTGCGCGAGATCTACGTCTGGCCGTTTGCCGAGGCCGTGCGCGCGGGCGTCGGGTCCGTGATGTGCTCGTACAATCAGGCGAACCAGAGCCAGGCTTGCCAGAACTCGTATCTGCTCAACAAGGTTCTCAAGGACGAGCTGGGGTTTCAGGGATTTGTAATGTCGGACTGGCTCGGGCAGCGCTCGGGCGTTGCGTCTGCGCTCGCGGGAATGGATATGACGATGCCGGGCGACGGTATCGCCTGGGCCGACGGCGTCTCGCTGTACGGACCAAACTTGACTTTGGCCGTCATGAACGGGTCCGTTCCGACCTGGAGGCTGGACGACATGGTGACGCGCATCATGGCCGCGTACTTCAAGGTCGGCCAGGACCCAAGCACGTACCCCGAGCCGAATTTTTCATCCTGGACGCTGGATACCAAAGGAGATTACTTCCCTTCGATCGACGATAGTCCGTACGGGGTCGTCAATCAGCACGTGGACGCGCGGTCGAGCGTTAGCAGTCAGGTCACGAGGCAGATCGCGTTGGAGAGTGTGGTACTGCTCAAGAATGAGAACGAGGTGCTGCCGCTGGCGGATTTCAAGAAGTTGGCGGTGGTGGGATCGGCTGCTGGGCCGTTTTCTGGAGGGCCGAATGGATGCGAAAACAGGGATTGCAATAATGGCACTCTGGCGGTATGTTTTCTTCTTTGTATTTTCCTATTTTCTGTTTTAAGCTTGTGCTAACTCGTGATACAGACCGGATGGGGATCTGGATCTGTCAATTTTCCATACATGATTACGCCTGTGGAAGTAATCAACTACAGAGCCGCCATGAGCGGATTCCAGGTCGACTACTTGCTCGAAGACTACGACCACACTGCCGCGAGTACTTACGCCTCCGCTGCCGACGTCGCGATTGTGTTTGTCTCCTCCGACTCTGGCGAAGGATTCGTCGACGTCGAAGGGAATCTCGGCGACCGGAACAATCTTAAGCTATGGCACGGCGGCGACGAGCTGATTAAAGCTGTTGCGGCGGTGAATTCAAAGACAGTGGTGGTAGTCGAGGCCGTGGGCGCGGTCGATATGGAGGAGTGGATCGAGCACGAGAACGTGACTGCCGTTTTGTACTCGCTTGTTCCCGGACAAGACATCGGCTTCGGTCTCGCGGACGTCATCTTTGGCGCGTACAACCCGTCCGGCCGCCTGCCGTTCACGATCGCAAAGGACAAAGACGACTACCCCGCGAGCGTGGTCTACAACGTGACCTCGCCCGTGCCGCAGATCAACTTCACCGAGGGCCTGTACGTCGACTACCGCCATTTCGACAAGCAGGAGATCACGCCGCGGTTCGAGTTTGGGTTTGGGATGAGTTACACGAATTTCACGTTTAGCAATTTCACCGTCACTGTCGACGAGGAAGCGGATACGGGCGAGTATCCTACCGCGCCGGAGGCGTATCTTGCTCCTGTGTTTTATAACGGGACGAATAGTTCGCTGCCGGACAAGAGCGACGTCGAATATCCCAAAAACTTCCGCAAGTTTGAAAATTTCGTGTATCCATACCTTACCGCGAGCGAAGCCAAGAAGATCGAGTATGATGCCGACGCGTATCCGTACCCGGACGACTACTCCGAGACGCAGCCAGACGAGCCCAGTCCAGCGGGCGGCGCGTCCGGCGGCAATCCCGCGCTGTTTGACAACCTCGTGAGTGTCACGGCCGTGATCACAAACACCGGCACGCTCGACGGCGCCGAGGTCGCGCAGGTGTACCTGTCGTACCCGTCTGACGCGGAGGTCGAGTTCCCGGTCAAAGCTTTGCGCGGGTTCGAGAAGGTGGAGTTGCAGGCGGGGCAATCGTACGAGGTGACGTTTTATTTGACGCGCAAGGATTTGAGTTATTACGAGGTCGAGACGGGGGAGTGGAGGATTCCGAGGGGGGAGTTTGAGGTGTTGGTGGGGAGAAGTAGTCGGAAGCATCAGGTGGCGGGGTCGTTTACTTTGGAGTGAGCGAGCTGTATATTACCTTTGAGAAGGAAGAGAGAGAACCAAAAGTGTTTTAATAAAAAAAAACTGAGATTAAGAGTTTAGATAATCAGATTACGCGGGATGAGAAGGAAACAAAATAGCCCAACACCTTATGCACAAAATTGGAAAAAATACCAACACAAAATAACAAGAAAACCAAAGACCAAGCATATTTTAAGACTTCGATCAGATGTAACTCCAATCGAAGCAATCCTGGCACTCTGTATTCGCCACGCACGTCGGCGTAGAATTATACGACGCAATCATCTCGACCACGTTCCGGATCCGATGGTTGGTGCTCGACACTCTCCAGTTCTTATCATTGACGGTGTCGTACACGCACTCGAGCGCAGAGTGGCACTGCGTCTCCATCGCGTAGCCGCCCATCCAGCAGATCGACGACGGGCCGTTGCAGACGCCCATGTAGATCGGGTCGGCGGTGTTGCCGATATGCCAGATCATCGTTTCTTCCTCCGGGATAGGCGGAAACGGGAGGTGCAGTCGCTTCGCGGCCAGCTTCTCCGGCGGGGCTTCGAAAGTGACGGTGGGAGCGGCGTAGGTGCGGCCGAGGAGAGAGGCCATGGCGCCGCCGAGGGAGTGGCCTGTGAGCCAGATCGTGGCGTCCGGGTAGATCGAGGTGGTGTTGCGGTAGATGTCGAGCACGGCGCGGTAGTACTTGTCTTCTTCGTAGAGAGCGTCTTCGACGCAGTCTTGCTTGCAGGTGTAGGTCGAGTCGTAGCAGTCACATACAGTTTTCCACATGTAGCTGACGCGCGAGCAGCAGCATGAAAACAGAAGATTGTCCTAGATATAGTTGGTAAGAACCCACATCTCTCAAGCACAAAAGGAGAAGAAGAAGTGCAGCATACGTTTATCTTATCACTAGGCGCAGTCTCGCCATCGCTATCAAACAGCGCAGCACTCGTGCCCTTGATCGCAATAACAACCGTCTTATTCTTCTCATCCGCAAACACATGTCCTCTAATTCCCGCCGCGTCCCACCCAAAGTCTGAGCTGCGATTATACGGCACACCGACGTCCAGCCAGTTCGCATTATCCGGCAACCCGACGTATGCGTCCGCCGTCATCTTGGCCAGCGTGACGAGCGTATCGCGGTCCGTGATGTTGGGCGTCGGAATGATCTCGTGCACCCAGTCGAAATCCTGCACGCCGACAATCTCGCGCGTACGTACTTTCTCAAGATAGCTTTCCACGCTGTCGCAGTCGCGCTTCGCCATTCGCGTCGCCTGGCGGTCAACAGACGACAGCTCAAACGCCGTGCTTTCTTCGTCGCCCGCAGACGCGATGTGGAACTCAGCTGGGACGTCTAGCCGCCGGTGCAGCTTTGGGAACTCATCGGTGCCGTGGTGAAATACTTGCCGCAGTGTGAATCCGGATGGGTATTGCCCGGAAAGCGGGCTCGAGACGAGGTTGTCGCTGTCGGTCGTGGGCGTGAGGCCGAAGGGTAGTTGGATGGCGAGCGCGGCCGACGCGAGAAGGAGGCAGTATCCCGCAACAAGCAGAGACATATAAATGCGCATGGCTGGTGCTGCCGTCCTGGCTTAGTATAAAGATTTGAAAGAAGATAGAATGACGAAGATATCTGAAAGTAGAAGACGGGTTGGCGGGGTTGGAGTTTAGGTTTTGAAGGTCGGAGGCCCAGAATCGAGCGATAACAGCAGGTTGAGGGTTTAGAGTTTTATTGTGTTGCTTGAACAAGTATATTTGATAGGTAACGGCAATATTCAGAATACCAACTCCAACAATAAAAATAGAGAAAAACACAACTAAGCATAGACAACGTAACAAGAGAAAAGTATAGGCGGTGATGCACTTGCACGCAAAGCGCACAGTGATCTTTTTGGTTCACAAATCTCATCTAGCTGTTCAATCAACGTCTCCAGTATCAACACGTCGACGGATCACTTTCTGTCGAGGTAGATACCAAAGAGCGAGCAACAAAACAGTTCAGCTATTAAACAACATTAGGAAATAGGGTGCAAATCCCATACATGAGGCGGCAAAATTTTCCATGTCAAAATATCGACATTACAGGAGAGATACAAACAGCAATATACTCGAAAGTCAAAGATAAATAAAATAAAAGGAGAAGCGACCCAGACCTTATCCCAAAATAAAAACAAATACGAGAAAGCATTTCAGATGTTTCCTTTTTTTGGAGGTATGTTTAAAACTCCTTGTCTCTGTCCTGGAGACCCTGGACGGGGTAGGGATACATGCCTGGTCGCATGTTCATGGCTTGAGCCTGGACAGAGCGCTGCTGCTGATGCTGGGCAACGGCGGCGGCGACGGCACGCTGCTGGGCGTTAGCGGCGGCAACGAGAGAGTGGTCGTCCTGGGGCAGGTCATCAACCATGGGAGGCTGCTGGGGAACCTGCTGAGGAGGAGGCGGGGCAACGGGCTCTTCTGGGGCGTTGAGGCAAGCTTGTATAAGGTTCTTGCCCTCGGCCTTGGTGACGAGAGGTTGCAGCTTGGGGGTGGTGAAGGTGTAGACGAGACCGGTTTCGGAGACGACGAGAAGAAGGACCTGGGTGCCGGTGAGGACAGAGAGCTCGTAGGCCTGAGGAAGTTAGTATGGGTAGAGAAGATGCATGAATAATCATAAGTAGAAAGATAAAAGAGAGAAAACAAAATAATAGATAATTAGGAAGCACAATAGAAGAAACAAGTAGACAATAAAAAGTGAGGAAGACGCGTCGGTCGAAATAGGAAAGGACGCGCGCGGCCGTAATAGGCAGGGCAACACAACAACAGTCAGGCTGTGATCAGCGCCAGCACGCGGCGGCATGAGCCATCACAACAACAAACAGCAATCACGCACGGAGAAGGGTGTGGAAGAAGATAGGAAAGAAAAATAATGATGCTCAAGTAGAAGAAATAGAGAATGGACATGCAAATAAATAGGATAGGAGCGAGTAAACGGGTACACTTGGATCGAAGCCGGTCCACAGCAGGAAAAAAAGAGAAAAAAAGAGGAGCGAGATAGAGCATAGAGCGAGAGAGAAGGAACGAAAGCAGAGAATAGACAATGAAGGATGACCTACCTTCTTCATGATACCGGCCTTGCGCTTGGAGAAAGTGATGTGTCTTCGCGACTTGTCGTCGATGAACTTGATTTCGATCTTGCGCCGCTCGCGTCCGGGCTTGGAGGTCTCGTCGTCGTCGTCGTCGTCGTCGTCGTCGCGCTGGGGCTTGAGGTCGACATGCTGCTGCTGCTGCTGCTGTTGCTGCTGCTGCTGCTGCTGATGCTGTTCGTCTGACATTTGAGGAGGTAGCTATGCCTGGGCAGGGACTGGATTGGGCAGAGGGCTGGCGGGGAAGGGTTCAGAGCGCGGGGAAGACGGGAGTAGCTTACTTGGGAAGCGGCGAGCAGGATCAGGAAGGAGGAAGGAGCGGGCGGAGGGAGGTCGACAAACGCGGCAAGACGAGGGCAGGGGTGGGGTTGGGGTAGGGTAGGGTTTGTGTGCTGAATTGTACGCAGTGCCGAGATCTGCGCTGCCCGCCAATCGGGGCTGCGGTGTCTGCTGCAGTGCGCTGGTGCTGCCAAGCCGATGACCGAGTCGAGGGCGTTGCCGAGCTCATCGCTTGTGTTTATTCTACTCTGCTTCTGCTTCTTCTTCTTGTTGTTCTTCTTCTTCATCATCTTCTTCTTCTTATTCTTCTGATCAACGGCTGCGTGCAGCGGGGGTATGCACTCTGCGGACACAGACGCAACCGGAAATTGCGGTCCTGCCGAAACACGATAAACAACGCCCGGCTAGCTCGGCCACTCACACCGTTTCTTTTACTCTGATCCACCGCTTCCATCATACTTCTATCAGGACCAATAGACTATCGCAGACATCAATACAAGCAACGACTAAATAATAATGTCTATATATTAACAATGTCTTTTTACAAATACAATACTCTCCCGAGTATCCGTAACTGATGTATTGCAACAAAAAGAACAAGACCTGCGGGAATTAAACGGGAATACCAAATATATAGTAAAATGAGAAAGATATTAAAAAAATGGATAAAGCACGAAAGAAAAGCAAAAGCATCGATGCACATTATTGCAACTTCTGTGTATTATATAAATCATTCACGCAATCGCGACTAACCAAAAAACAAATCAAGCATTACTCTCTTAGTTCACATTGCAGAATCGGAAATCATGCTCAATCGTACTTCTTGGAAATCCCGCTGCGAGACACCGAAGAGAAAAAGTGGAGAAACCGGAACCGAAAACAAAACGCGCACACACAAAGGCGATACGTTTAGTAAGCGGCACGCAGCTTCTGGCGAGCCTGGTACTTCTTCAAGCAGAAGAAGAAGAAGAGGGCAAGGCCTATAGAGCTCGAGTTAGTATTTATCCAGACTTGCTCAATTGCAGTGAATTGCAGTGAATTGCAGTGCATTGATTGGATTGAGCGATATATGAAAACAGCTGTGGAAACATACCGACAACACCGACGATGCAGAAGACGAGGATAACTCCAGCGGGCAACATTGTGATTATATACTTCTATACCAATACTGTTAGCGCATATCCTCTTAACCAACTACCGCCTCAACCGCAGTGCTGTCCGAAAATTCTTCACCACGCGTGCCCACAACAATGCTCCCGCTGTAAACACAGCTATCGTGCTCGACAGCACAGCACCCCCGAGCACGCAGACCAGGACACGCGCGACTACTCAACACATTCTCAAACAACTACCCGAGGCAACGTCAAGCAAAAGAATAAACATACGGAAAGCGGCGAAAGGCTACTGTTGAAAGGAGAATTCTGCGGAGGGACGAGGAAACAAAGAGGAGCGAGTGACGGACGGGCCGAGCATGGAATAAATAAGACGGCCACCGAGCGACTCTGGCGTGCCCTAGCCCCCGTGGCGTCGCTCCAGCCACATCTCCAGCCACTCGGTGCAAACACTGCTCTTTGATAATCCCGGGCTTTTCTGCTGTGTTTCTGCTTGTTCAGCGCTGGGTCCTGTTGCGGTCGCTGCTGCTGTTGCTGTGCTTGATATCATTGTTGAGAGCAGCAGGAAAAACAGTTCTGCTCTGCCTCTGGGACCGGTGCTGCTGCTGCGCGTCCGCCGTCGTTGCGGAACATGCGGGTCTTGCCATATCAGTCCTCAAACCCCCGAGAGCTGTGGACCTGCGAGCGGGTGCCGAGACCCAGAATAGTGTCTCTACACCTATTCAATAGTTGCAGATCCTATCCTGGCTCTCTAAACACTCTCTGTGGCGCCGACCAATGACCTTAGCCGGAAGCGGCGGACGAGGTTTAGGGTCGGCTCTGGCGGCACTTCGCTCGCACATTGTTCGCTTCCGTTTTCGGCAGACGCCGGCTGTGATCGCGAGCACGTGAGTTCGGTGATGGTCTGCACGCGTCGCGGCCTGCTTATAGCTGCCGGTCTTCCCTGACTCTTGCCGCGAACCTCCGGCTGGGCACATCGACCTTTCCTGGTATTTCGTCATCTTCCGGAGCGCTGCCTGTGACGTTGTTCTCACTTTGTTCTGCGCCTCTACTTAAGAACTCTGCTTCCCTTCTGCGCAGACTACTCAAACCCTTTGTCTCTGCGCAGAATCCTGTCCTGGTATTCAACGTACGTGACCACGATATGATCCCCACCCACCTCTCTGTCCAGACTCAAATCTCTGCATTGTTGTCTGACGCGGTCTCGCCAACGGCTCGCTGTCCCGAACCGCAAAATGACCATTGTAGAGCCGCCAGTCGTAGAATCGCGCCCACCTTTCTCCATGTTTATCAAGTTTACTTATGTCCCGTTCAGGCAACTCTACTGCCTCTTCCAGTTAGCGTGCACGTGAACCAAAGCCTAAAAAATTTTTTTTCTGTCTGCAGTCTTAACTACTCCCAACGTCGAACTTCACACAATCCTTTCCTCTCTCTCTCTCTCTCTCCAACTTCTTAGGGTCGAGTAAGAGGAGCAGCAAATCGATACTAAGGTGTGTGCTCTTGCTAGAGAGATGCTATTCGGACGTACTTTACAGCTATACTGACTTCAAAAACACAAAGTTGGACCTGACGATGCCGTCTACGATTCCTACTTCTCCGGTTATCAAGCCTTTCCAGCCTGGATCTGCTCCTTCCGCTGGAATATCTATCGCTGCCCCCTCTCGCAGATACTCTAGCACTTCTTTCTCCCCTGTTTCATCGCCTAATGGTGGTTTCACCTCTGGATCATTCGTCGACATGGACTCCATCGAGTCCCAGTTGGCTACCGTCGTCCCTGCTCCCGTCACCGCCGCGATCAACGGCGGCGAGGGCAAGCGGCTCGCGGCCCTAGAGCTCAAGGACGGCACCTGCGTCCAGGGTTACTCCTTTGGTGCCGATGTCTCGGTCTCTGGCGAGTTCGTCTTCCAGACTGGTACGTGTCTTTGTCCTCATCACATATGACTGACTTTCTTTTCGCGACGATCGCGTGAGCTGACTGTAAATTTTTTCCCTGCTTCACAGGAATGGTGGGGTACCCCGAGACTCTTACCGACCCCTCCTACCAGGGACAAATCCTCGTCTGCACCTTTCCGCTGATGGGAAACTACGGTGTTCCCTCGCGCGACACCGAGGACCCTCTCCTGCCCGGCATCCCGCTTCACTTCGAGTCCAAGAAGATTCACGTCGCTGGTCTCGTCGTTTGTGACTACACCGATGATTTCTCCCACTTCCTCGCGACTTCTTCTCTTGGATCGTGGCTCAAGGAGCAGGGTGTTCCTGCCATCTACGGCGTTGACACGCGTGCCCTCACCAAGACCATTCGTGAGAAGGGTTCTATGCTCGGGAAGCTCATGATGGCTACCGAGGCCGCCTCCCCGTCCCCGTCCAACGACTGGCGCGCTGGTTTTGAGTCAGTAGAATGGGACGATCCCAATGTCAAGAACTTGGTCGCCGAGGTCTCGGTCTCCGAGCCAATCACCTACTATCCCGACCCCAAGACTGCCATCAAAAAGGCAAACGGCCAGAACCTCAGAATCCTCTGTATCGACGTCGGAATGAAATTCAATCAGATCCGCTGCTTTGTGTCTCGCGGTGTCGAGCTCAAAGTCGTGCCTTGGGACTACGACATCCTCTCGGAAGAAGGCTACGATGGTCTCTTTGTCTCCAACGGTCCTGGTGATCCCGCCACTATGTCTTCTACTGTCGAGAACCTCGCCGTCGCGCTCAAGGAGGCCAAGACTCCCATCTTTGGTATCTGTCTCGGCCACCAGCTTCTTGCTCGTGCCTCTGGCGCCCAGACCATCAAGCTCAAATTCGGTAACCGTGGCCACAACATCCCCTGCACGAACATGATCAACGGCAAATGCTACATCACCTCGCAAAACCACGGTTATGCCGTCGACGTCACTACTCTGCAGTCTGACTGGAAGGAACTTTTCGTGAACGCCAACGACGGCACAAACGAGGGTATCTACAACACCAAACTCCCGTTCTTCTCCGTCCAGTTCCATCCTGAGTCTACTCCTGGTCCCAGAGATACCGAGTGGCTCTTTGACACCTTCATCGAGTCTGTGCGCAAATCGAGCGAGCTTGGGCAGCTCGTGCCTGTGACTATGCCTGGTGACACCAAAGAAGTGGCTGAGAAGAAGACCCCCAGAGTTGACGTCAAGAAGGTTCTTGTTCTTGGCAGTGGTGGTCTCAGTATCGGCCAGGCCGGTGAGTTTGACTACTCTGGCTCGCAGGCTATCAAGGCTCTTAAGGAAGAAGGAATCTACACAATCCTCATCAACCCCAACATCGCCACTATCCAGACATCAAAGGGTTTGGCCGATAAGGTTTACTTCCTTCCCGTCACCCCTGACTTTGTCCGCAAGGTCATCAAGTACGAGCACCCCGATGCCATCTACGTCACTTTCGGTGGTCAGACCGCATTGAACGTTGGTATCAAGCTCAAGGATGAGTTCGAGGAGCTCGGAGTCAAGGTTCTCGGTACTCCCATCGACACAATCATTACCACCGAGGACCGTGAGCTTTTCGCTCGCTCGATGGAGGAAATTGGCGAGAAATGCGCAAAGTCCGCGTCGGCCTCAAATATGGACGAAGCACTCGCTGCCGTCGAGGATATCGGATACCCAGTCATCGTCCGTGCTGCTTACGCTCTCGGAGGTCTCGGTTCGGGATTTGCAGAGAACAAGGAGCAGCTCGTCGAGCTTTGCAACAAGGCATTCGCTGCCAGCCCTCAGGTTCTTGTTGAGCGCAGTATGAAGGGCTGGAAGGAGATCGAGTACGAGGTTGTCCGTGATTGCCGCGACAACTGTATCACAGTCTGTAACATGGAGAACTTTGACCCTCTTGGAATTCACACCGGTGACTCGATCGTCATCGCTCCTTCGCAGACTCTCTCGGACGAGGACTACAACATGCTGCGAACCACTGCCGTCAACGTCATCCGTCACTTGGGCGTTGTCGGAGAGTGCAACATCCAGTATGCTCTCAACCCGTTCTCCAAGGAATACTGCATTATCGAAGTCAACGCCCGTCTGTCGCGTTCGTCGGCCCTGGCCTCAAAGGCCACCGGCTACCCCTTGGCTTTTGTCGCCGCCAAGCTCGGTCTCAACATCCCTCTCAACGAGGTGAAGAACTCAGTCACCAAGGTCACTTGCGCGTGCTTCGAGCCTTCGCTTGATTACGTCGTTGTCAAGATCCCCAGATGGGACTTGAAGAAGTTCACCCGCGTCAGCACTGCTCTCAACTCGAGCATGAAGAGTGTGGGTGAAGTGATGGCCATTGGCCGAACTTTCGAGGAGGCCATCCAAAAGGGTATCCGCTCCATCGATTACCACAACCTCGGATTCAACGCCACCGAGGCTCTCATGTCCATCGACATCGACACTGAGCTTCAGACTCCCTCCGATCAGCGCCTGTTTGCTATCGCCAACGCTCTCGATAGCGGATACAGCGTCCAGAAGATCTGGGAGCTTACAAAGATCGACACCTGGTTCTTGAACAAGCTCGAGCGATTGATCAAGTTCGGCAAGTTCACCAGTGAGTTCAACACCAACACTATCTCTCCCGGACTCATGAGAGAGGCTAAGCAGCTCGGCTTTGACGACCGCCAGCTTGCCAAGTTCTTGGGCTCTAACGAGTTGGCTGTTCGTCAGCGCCGACTCGAATTCGGCATCACGCCTTTTGTCAAGCAAATCGATACCGGTGAGTTTCTACTGTTTGCTTATCTTGGTTCTGTATTTAAGAATACTAACAGACGTATATATAGTCGCTGCTGAATTCCCTTGCTTCACCAACTACCTGTACATCACCTACAACGCGTCTCAGCACGACGTCGCCTTTGATGATCATGGAGTTATGGTGCTCGGATCTGGTGTCTACCGCATCGGATCCTCTGTCGAGTTCGATTGGTGCGCCGTCCGAACCGTGCGCACTCTTCGTGCCAGCAAGGTCAAGACCATTATGGTGAACTACAACCCCGAGACTGTCTCGACCGATTACGACGAGGCCGACCGTCTCTACTTTGAGAGCATCAACCTCGAGCGCATTCTCGACATCTACCAGCTCGAGCGCTCGAACGGTGTCGTTGTCTCTATGGGTGGTCAGACCTCCAACAACATTGCCCTGCCTTTGCACCGCCAGAACGTCAAGATTCTCGGAACCTCGCCCGAGATGATTGACTCTGCCGAGAACAGATACAAGTTCTCTCGTATGCTTGACAGAATCGGAGTCGACCAGCCCGCGTGGAAGGAACTCACCAGCATTGACGAGGCTGCCGAGTTCTGCGATAAGGTTTCCTACCCCGTTCTCGTGCGTCCGTCGTACGTGCTTTCGGGTGCTGCGATGAACACAGTCTATTCGAAGGACGATCTCGCAAGCTACCTGCAGCAGGCTGTCGAGGTCTCGCGCGACTACCCTGTCGTTATCTCAAAGTACATCGAGAACGCCAAGGAGATCGAGATGGACGCTGTTGCCAAGGACGGTAAGATGCTCATGCACGTCGTCTCTGAGCACGTCGAGAACGCCGGTGTTCACTCTGGTGATGCTACCTTGATTGTGCCGCCGCAGGATCTGGACCCCGAGACTGTTCGTCGGATCATTAAGGCCACCGCGAAGATCGGAGACGCGCTCAACGTTACCGGTCCTTTCAACATCCAGTTCATCGCCAAGGACAACGAGATCAAGGTTATTGAGTGCAACGTTCGTGCCTCGCGTTCGTTCCCCTTCGTCTCAAAGGCGCTCGGCGTTGATCTCATCGAGCTTGCTACAAAGGCCATCATGGGTCTGCCTGTTACGCCTTACCCCTCGCCGGCCGAGCCTGTGCCGTCTGACTACGTCGCGGTCAAGGTTCCCCAGTTCTCGTTCTCGCGTCTTTCTGGTGCGGACCCCGTTCTCGGTGTCGAGATGGCCTCGACCGGTGAAGTCGCGGCTCTGGGACATGACAAGTACGAGGCTTATCTGAAGGCCTTGGTTGCTACTGGCTTCCATCTTCCCAAGAAGAACATTCTGCTTTCGATCGGTTCTTACAAGGAGAAGATGGAGATGCTTCCTTCTGTGAAGAAGCTGCACGAGCTGGGCTACAGCTTGTTTGCTACCGCCGGTACTGCTGATTTCTTGCAGGAGAACGGCTTGCCTGTCAAGTACCTCGAGGTTCTCAGCGACGAGGAGAACCAAAAGTCGGAGTACTCGCTCACGCAGCACTTGGCCAACAACCTGATTGATTTGTATGTCAACCTGCCGTCTGCGAACCGCTTCCGTCGCCCGGCATCGTACATGTCCAAGGGCTACCAGTCGCGTCGTATGGCTGTCGATTACTCGGTTCCTCTTGTTACGAACGTCAAGAACGCGAAGCTCTTGGTCGAGGCTCTTGCGCGCAACTTCGCGCTCGGTGTGTCTAGCATCGACTCTATGTCGAGCCACCGCACCGTTGTCCTCCCTGGACTCATCAACATCGCTACCTTCGTGCCGGGATTGACGGTCCAGGGAAGCACTGACTTTGAGAAGGTTTCCAAGGCTTCGATTGCCGCTGGTTTCACGATGATTCGTGTGATGCCCACCGGTATCAAGAGCTCGCTCACCGACGCTAGAGCTCTTGTCGTCGCCCAGGGTAACTCCGAGAATAGCGCGTACACTGACTACAACTTCTCAGTTGCGGCCAATGCCACCAACTCGCAGCAGCTGAGCCAGGTGCAGCTCACTGTCGGATCGCTTTACATTCCGTTCAACTTCTTGTCGGAGAACATCAACAAGGTCGCTGCCGTGACTGAGCATTTCAAGGTCTGGCCTGCTCTCAAGCCGATCGTGACTGATGCTCGCACGACCGACCTTGCGTCGATCTTGCTTTTGGCTAGCTTGCACAGCCGTCCTGTCCATATCACCAATGTTACGACCAAGGATGATATCGGATTGATTGCTCTGAGCAAGGAGAAGGGTCTGCAGGTTACCTGTGACGTTTCGGTCTACAGCCTGTTCTTGTCGCAGGATGACTACCCCCAGTGCTCGAGTTTGCCCGCCAAGGAGGACCAGGCCGCGCTCTGGGAGCACTTGGCTGTCATTGACTGCTTCTCTGTTGGCGCGCTTCCCTCGCAGCTTGCCGCTGACGTTGGCGAGTCTATCGTTCCCGCTATCGGAATTGAGGATACTCTGCCGTTGCTGTTCACTGCTGTGCGCGATGGTAGACTTACTCTTGAGGACATTGTCAGCCGGTTGCACACCAACCCCAAGATGATCTTTGAGCTCCACGATCAGCCCGAGACCTCGGTCGAAGTCGAGATTGACCGCGAGTTTATCAAGAAGTCGTCTGGCGTCTGGTCTCCGTTTGCTGGCAAGAAGATGTCCGGCTCGATCCTGCGTGTCTCGCTCTACGGACAGACCGCGTGTTTGGACGGACAGGTTCTGGTGCCTGGCACTATCGGAAGAGACATGTCTGCTTCCGGAGCCAGCAAGTTCGAGCGCACTCGCTCGGTCACCGCCAACGGCGCTGTCGTCCCGGTTGCTGACCCGCGCTCGCCGCAGATCGGCAAGTCGAGCGGTTTCGACCAGGCCGACATGCTTTCCACGCCGGCGTCGTCCAAGGCCGTCGAGCAGATCTTCAACGCGCCGGCTCTTGCTCGCGAGGTCTCGCCTCCCGCGTCGATCACCGCCACTCTTCGCGGCAGCAACCCGTTCATCAGACAGCACATCCTGTCTGTCCGCCAGTTTGAGCGCAGCGACTTGCACTTGCTGTTCTCTGTCGCGCAGGAGATGCGTCTCGCGGTCGAGCGCCAGGGTGTCTTGAACATTCTGAGCAACAGACTGCTGTGCACGCTCTTCTACGAGCCGTCTACACGTACAAGCTCGTCATTTGATGCCGCCATGCAGCGCCTTGGTGGTCGTGTTGTCAACGTGAGCGCGAGCAGCTCTAGCGTCGTCAAGGGAGAGACGCTCCAAGACACCATTCGCACTGTCGGCTCGTACGTCGATTGCATTGCTCTCCGCCATCCTTCGGAGGAGAGCGCGGCTATTGCTGCCAAGTACAGTCCTATCCCCGTTCTCAATGCGGGTACGTCAGCTCTTTATCTCATTTTTGGTGGTACGATATATGCTAACGATCATCTAGGTAACGGATCTTTGGAGCACCCTACTCAGGCTCTTCTTGACCTGTTCACGATCCGTGAGGAGCTTGGCACCGTCAACGGAATCACCGTGACCTTCATGGGAGACCTCAAGTACGGCCGCACTGTGCACTCTCTTTGCACTCTTCTCCAGCACTACCAGGTCCGCGTGCAACTCGTCTCTCCTCCCCAGCTCAGACTGCCGGACGAGTACCGCGAGGAGCTTGAGCGCGCTGGCATGCTTGTGCTCGAGACTGCGGAGTTCACACCGGAGGTTGTCGCCAACACCGATGTGCTGTACTGCACTCGTGTGCAGAAGGAGCGGTTTGCGGACCTGGCTGAGTTTGAGATGTTGAAGGATACCTACATCGTCGACAGCTCCTCGCTCAAGCACGCCAAGAAGCACATGTGTGTCATGCATCCTCTGCCTCGTAACAACGAGATTAGCGAGGAGATTGACTTTGACCATCGTTCGGCGTACTTCAGACAGGTTCGTTTCTATTTATTCGTTCAGTCTTGCTAGATGTCAATTACTAACTTTTGATTTAGATGAAATACGGTCTCTACGTCCGCATGGCTCTTCTCGCCCTTGTCATGGGTCCCAGCTATTAGGGATGAATCACTCTCTTCTATTCTCTAATTATCTTTTTTATTCGTGAGAGGTATACATAAATTCAGTTTAATGGTCTAATAATGATGTCGTTTTCATTTTTCTTGTGTTTTATGAAGAAATATCTAGAATTTCAAAAAAGTTATTACTTGTCTGTGGTTTTTATGTCTTGTCTTTTCTGTTTTCCATGATTTCATTCTTTTTCATGTTTTCTTTCAGTCATTTGTCTTTTCATCACTCTCCACTTGTCGCTTTTCTCCATAAGAGGAAAAAGCGCAGCGAAACACACAGTTATACAAATAACACCAAAAAATCTCTATTTCTTCTTCTTCGACCGTAAGAGGTTTTTTTATCCAAAAAACCGAATAGGTACCGAGAAGAAATTTAGGGAAAGTTATTTCATTTTTGTTTCGTGTGGTGTGCATGTTTCTTTCGTTTGCGTGTATTTGTATTTTCTTATTTTGATTTGGTTGTGTTTCATAAAAGGGTTTAAAAAAACATTGGGAAGGGGATATTCAAAAGTTTTCTCTATTTATCTTTTCTTTTTGATTTGTCTAATCTAATATATTCATCTTTTTATTTAACTATTAGGGCATGAATTGATTCAATCAAGAGTATTATTTCCTGGGCTTGCTGCCGAGCGACGAAGCAAGTATCAATGAAGGATAGTCGTCTATACTGTACATAGACTACCTACCGTACAACACAGCATCTACATTCATTTTGCGCAATGTCTGCCAGTCGTATCTGAACGATGGATTGAGCGTCCTAATTATCCGTAAATGGAAAGAAAATCACGAAACGGGCGGCGCGTTAAGTGTGTGTTTACTTTCGGCCAAAACTAGAAACCCTATTACATCAGACACGCGCCCGGCCGAGCCACGATCCGCATATTTAAACGCGCCCGCCCTTCTTCCCGCTCTTCTCTCTTCTCTTCTCCCCTCCCATGGGGCAGGTTTTCGGCTCCTGTACCACCCCAGCGATTTGATCTATTTCCCAGCAATAGATCGGGATTATCAGCATCCCGCGGCTCTCTCTCGACGACAAAAACATTCGGCGGAGGTTGATGAGGGTATGTTTTGATCTTTCTTTCTTTGATCGCATGCATGGCACCTCGTGAAGTCGCCAGAAAGCAGCCTATCCTGCGCAGGTAGCACTCTTAGAGAGTGCCATATACCGAAGCGGTAGTATTCTCAAAGTGTAGACTGCACTGTTCCATGAGCATCTCCAGAGAAACTGCCTATGCGTGGGTAGCGTTCTCGTACTGAGGGCAGAATACTCCGCACCAGGTAGCACTCTCTGGGGGCTGCTATGACTGGAACAGATAGCGCGCCTTTCAGGGTAGCATAATATCCAGGTAGCGTTCTCTAAGAGTAGCATATACCGCAGCAGGTAGGACTCGCTTTATGTGGTTGGACCTCGAGAAGTAGGGGAGTTGCATATTCCGGTCTGTTTCCGTGGTTGCACACCCTCAAGAGAGGGTGTCGTGCCATGCATGCGAGAGAAGAGGGAGGGAGAAGCTTACTCGACCAAGCGGTCTGGTATATGGCCTGCCCGCGCAGATACCGGGTGAGTTCGCTCAAAGGAACTGAAATTCCGTTGTCGGCCCGGTCCCTCTGCGTGGCCGTCTCATGTACGCGCCGAGGATCCTGCCTGGTCAGGGTGGACGCGGTTGGTTAGGGCGGCCAATCTGATGGGCTTCTTCTTTAGCCAGGTTGCCCATTGGATTTAAAACGTCTTCGTTGTCGCGTCTCTTCAACAAACGCACTGGTAAGTTGCGCCGTCGCAGGGGAGCCCCGAGGCGACGGTTGTTGAAGAGAGTCCGCACGACCAAGCGGTTCAAGCGCAACGTTGACAATCCACCAATACGGGGGCAGTCTATGACTGCCTTCTGGGTGAAGTCGGGTTTTAGTGGGTATGGCGATTTCGAGAGTCGCAGAGTCCCACATAACTTTTGAGAAAGAGCCTAATCATCTCTTGTGAAAGAGTATGCGTAATGCATTCTTCCCGATCCTGGCACCAGTCGCTTTATGCGCGCTCTTCCTGTCTGTCGTTTCTGTATCTGCTTCTCTGGTGTTGTTCTGTTCTGATTTATGCTGACAAGCTGTTGCGCTGGCTTGTTGTACTGTTGTGTTGTTATATTGTTACGTTGTTGTGCTTTTATTTGTTGTTAAACTTTGTTTGTTGTTTTCTTTTATTTTCTTATATTTCTTAGCAGAGAGCAGAGTGTTTTTGTATTTGATGTATCAAGAGCGCGCGGCGGTACCGTATTGTAAAACCAAGAAAGAAAAAAAAATAAACTCCCTTCTTTTTGTTTTATATCTGGTCCCTGAACAGTGATTGTGGCTGTAATTATTTCTAATCTAGTTTGGAAGAAAAGTGCGTGTAGGAACTTTGGTGATAACCGTAACAGGAAGTTGGGATTTCGCGGTGAGGCGCTGGCGAGATGCAGTGGTTATTCGATTGATGCTGTTATCGCCTATATCAACACGCTCTCAACAAATAAAAAAAAATAGAAAAGAACGAAATAATTCATATTAATCTTACATCGAGGCATATAATATAACCTGATAATATCTTCAAAACTGCTATAATTGTCTTTCTGGCCCGCAACTTTCCTGCAAAAATATTTTCTAGAAAATCTACAATTTACGAAGCGACTGAGAAAATGATCTGTAATATATTTATAAACCAAGAAAAAAAGAATTTCATTAAAAAATAGAAAGAAGGAACAAACCTACAAAAAGTAGGATATAGACACATGAAAGATAAATTTCTAGATCGTTACATTATAAGAGGACTCAAAGACCGAGCGTTGTTACTCCGTCCAAGAAATCACAAACATCATGCCGGCGCCCAATAACATCGCGAAAGCCTGATAGATTCCCTTCTTGATCTCTCCGAGCCTTGATAGTCGCGAGTCGGTCTCGAGGATTTCGGGGATGACGCCGACGGTGGCGATGTAGAGGAATCCACCTAGATTTTGAAGGTTAGCATATCTTCTTCAAAGTTGTGAGAAAGGGGTGTTGTACCTGCGGTGAAAGGGAGGATCAAGTCACCTGTTTTGCAGGAAGTTCCAAATAATCCGCCCTCACTTTCGCCATGTCCGTGGCCGTCGTGGTCGACTCCCTCGACAGAGGACAGATACTGAATGAGGATTCCGATGAATGTTCCCAGAAACGCGCCGATGGCGGTGACGAACTGCGCGCCCATGGCCTTTGACTTTGAGAACCCGCCCTGGATGAGCAGCGCGAAATCACCGACCTCGTGCGGAATTTCGTGGAAAAAGACGGCGAGGGTGGTGGTCGCGCCCACGCTGTGGGAGATGTAGAACGAGGCGGCGATGGCGAGGCCGTCGGTGATGTTGTGGGAGAAATCGGCAATCAGGTTCAGGTAAGCAGAGAGTTTGACAGACGTGCTGATTTCGTCTTCCTGGGGCTTCTTGGCTACTTCTTTTGACTCGGTCGGCTCCTTTTCAGCTTTCGATCGGCTGCGAAGGTTGCGAACAGGTGCGTCCTCGACAGCGGATGACGAGGCAGACTCCTTCTCCTCCACCTCGTGAGAGTGCGAGTGCGAGTGGTCGTGTCCGCCCTCGCCGCCAAAGATGCGCATGGTCTTGTCGAGAACGATGAAAGCTCCGAAACCAAAGAAGATCGCCAGTCCAAGAAGCGTGTTTTTGTGCTCTTCGACAAGGACGAGGCTAACGTGGCCTGGATCGTGACTTTCACCGAGGAAGGTCTCGGGCATGAGGTGGAAAAACACGTCACCGAGTAAACCGCCGACAGCAAAGGATACAAGAACTGACAACGATGACGGATCAATGTTGGTCGGGATCTGGAGACGTCAGTATCTGTACACAGACGAGCTGATTCAGTCGCAGGCAGCTTACCAGAGCTAGAAGAATATTTGGCGGTCCGGAAATATAAGCGGTCGCAAGAAGCGCGTTCGCACCGGGTCCTGTAACGAGTGTCAGCAGATTAACTAGAGCAATGTGCTGAAAACAAAAGATAAGACGCACCAAAGGGAAACAACGCGTCGAACGTCTTTTGAATGAAGCCAATCTCGGTAGACTGGCTGCTCTCCTTTAGCTTGTCCAGCTCTTTAACAACCGTGCATTTCTGGAAGCCCGTTAGAACATCTGTCCCACTCAACTAAAGACAAACGACATTACCTGCAGCTCGTGTTCAATGTATTCAAGGTCATAGGTCCCCGAGCCGGTGAGCACTTCCGCAGCCACGACATTGAAGAGCCCCAAAACCGCGAGGACGACGAGGATAAGTTTGAAATTTGCCATTTTTGTGCAATGATGCCAACTCAATTGACAGTCGAGATAAAAGAGGGAGTTAATAGAATGGAATCAGACAGTGGTAATTGGGATATTTTTGGCACAGTCCAGAATAGGAGCGGGATCAGCTCGTGTGTCCAAAAATATAGCGCGAAGAGGAGGTGGCCCTAGAAATCTATACAACGACAAGCACCTAAAACCACAGACGCTCAATTAATTCAATTCCAATTCCAGTCCACGGTCACAGATTTCATGCAAATACACAAAACCAGAGGTCCAAAACAAACAATGAGCAGCGAGGATGGCCGAGATCAAAGATCAAAGAAGGGGGTGTTGAACAAGCCGCAGCAATAGCGAAAGCTTGAAAACTTTAATTCCCAAAGCGCTGCGCTGTCGTCAAAAGGTGGACCAGCAGCCTGAATTTGCTTTCTCTCATCTCATTGTCTATCGACCTGCTCTGATTGTTTGTTGATGTTCAGCTGATTATAATAGAAGCGATCTAGGCGTATCGTCGACACTGAATCATGCAGGACTATTTGACAGGCTTCCTGCCGCAGACGCAACCGAAACCGTCGACGACCGCGCTCGAGACGATCGCAAAGTTATGTGATCGTCTCCTGAACTCGACCCTTCTCGAAGACAGACGGGCCGCTGTTCTGGGACTCAAAGGTTTCTGTCGGGAGTACCGTGAGGCAGTCGTCACCGGCGGATTGAGAGGGCTGATTGCCGAGCTTCAGCGTGATCGTCTTGATACCGAGACTATCAAAGCTACTCTGGAAACCGTCCTGCTGCTGTTTGTGAGAGACAAAACTGATGTCCGTGACCACCTTTGCTAGCCTGTCCTTGTTTCGTTTGCTAACCGGTTTTCAGACCACGGCTGATGTTGATTATATCGCCCTGTGGCTCGCCGACGAGTTTACTCAGGTACGCCCGTCTGTCTATTATGTACACTTGAAGATTGCGACTAACTCCCTGATCAATACTCCAGCGCGAGGAAAACATATCACTGTTGATTGACATTTTGGAAAATCCCGATTTCTATGTGCGATTATATACTCTCCAACTCCTAGCTGCGATCCTCACAAACAGACCAGAACGAACCAAGCAGTGCGTCTTTGCGGCCCCTCTCGGTATCTCTAGATTTGTTTCCACGTTGGATGATCACAGAGAAGCAATTCAGAATGGTAACTTCCGAGCTCTTTACTGTGACTTTTATGACTGTGAGATCTTGCTAATACATACTCATGTTTAGAGGCCGTCATGCTACTCATTCACCTCGTCGACGGCCATCCTGATATCCAGAAGCTAGTTGCGTTCGAAAACACCTTTGACAAGATTTTCCTGATCATCGAGCGAGAGGGAGGTGTCGAAGGCGGCGTGATTGTCCGAGACTGTCTGCTACTGATTGCCAATCTTCTGCGCTTCAACCCTTCCAACCAAAACTTATTCAGAGAGACGAGCTGTATTCCCCGACTTTCAGAGCTCATGATTACCGACAAAGGGGCCGCGAATTGGGATCAGCAGAAAACCAAAAACATGATTCTCGTGCTGGAGATCTGTAGATTGTTCGTGGTCGAGGATAGCTTGGGAACTCCTGCCAACCAGCAGATTTTGTTCCAGGCCGGCGTGCTGATGAATGTCCTGCGCCTTGCATTCGGTGACTCGACAAACATCCAGGTTCGCGCTATGGCTCTTGTTGCCGCAGGAGACTTGATTCGCGGGCACGATGAGATCCAGGAGAAGTTTTCAAATATCGATGTGCCATATATCAACGTTTCTGCCCCAGGCGAACCTTCCCATGTCCAGGTCGAACCGGAAGCGATCCCTGTGACGCAGGCGCTCTTGAACTGGGCACTCTCATGCTCGTCTATCTACGCTTTCGATCTACGAGTCGGCGCAACGATGTGCTTAGAAGGATATCTTTCTAACAACAACAACACCCGAGTCGCGTTTTTGGAAGACGCTATCGACGCCTACTTCAACGACAACCGCGGTCCTAAAAACACCAAACTTCTCAGCGGCATTCTAGACCACGAAACCGACGCGCGCACAGATCCCTACAAAACATGGTTTGCGTGCGTGATCATGCTCCATATCTTCGAAGGCGGACAGGAGCTCAAGGATCTCGCCCGATCGATCACGATCGGCGATGAGGAACAGGGCGAGGAGGTTGTTACCGCGATCCAGACTATATCTGCGAATCTCGTCGCTGCTCTACAGTACAATCTCGACGCGCGAATTCCTATTGCGTACATCATGCTTCTCTGTGTCTGGCTTTACGAGGACTACGAAGCGATCGACGATTTTTTGAGCGAAGGATCCAGCGTGCAGTCTTTGGTCGCGGATGTTTCGCAGTCGTCAAGTCATAATATTATGGTGGAGGGGATGTGCACTACATTACTCGCTGTCCTGTACGGTTACTGCACCACCCAGTCGCCAATTCCAAGGTAAGCCATCCCGTATGCGTACTTGATAGTAGCTTTTACTAACAAAATACTGTAATCAAGACCCACGCTGCATCGACTGTTGGTAAACAGAATAGGCCGCGACTCGTTTATCATGAAACTCCGCCTTTTGCGTCGCAACAACTTTGTCCGAGACTTTGATTCGTCCGAGATTTTGTCCGCGGGAAAAGACGAGACCGGTCTGCCAAAGGTGTTTTTCAACCGGGTGTTTATTGACTTTTTCAAGGATCGGTACAGCCGGCTTGAGAAAGTTCTTGATAAGGATCCGAATCGCGATCCGATTAGTCCAGGTACGTGCCTTTGCTACTTCTATTGAAGGACAGAAAATTGACTTTAATGGTGATACAGAAGCGATCGAGGCTCAAAACGAACAGGCGGTCGAGTCCATGGAGTCGATGGCCAAAGAAATCGACGAGCTCCGCGCTCAACTCGAAGGTGCCAACGCGTCAATAGCGCAGACGCAAGAGTCTCTTGCCGGCTCAGTCTCACAATCCGAGACGCTTGCGCATGAGAAAGAGGCCTTGAGCTCACGGTTGGAAGAGTCCTCGACTGTTGTGAAAAAGCTGCAGGAGCAGCTTGCGGCCGCGGAGAAGGAGGTCGCGGGCGAGAAGGAGAAAGCCAAGGAGATTGAAAAGAAACTTGGGGTTAACGTTCAATCGCTCGGGCTGGAGACGATGCGCCTGCAAAAGGAGAAAAGCGAACTGCAAGAGTCCTTCCGGAAAGAGAAGAATCGGGCGGATAACATGGACAAGGAGCTCACGAGATCCAAAGAGCGGGCGTTGCAAGCCGAGTCTAGTCTGCGGTCATTGAAAGAGTCTGCAGCTGCGGAGAAGACGAAGTTGGAAGCCCGGCTGAAGCAGGTTGAGGAGCAGCGGTCGTATACCCATGCGATGATGGAGAATAAGGACAAAGAGCTGAAGCAGGTGGCTACCAAGACTGAGCAATTGCAGACGCTGTTGAACGGGTTCAAGACTAAGGCGGCTGACTTGAACGGGCAGGTCGATGCTCTGAAGAAGGAGGTGGCTGACAAGGAGAAAGCAGTGGAGGAGGTCAAGGCGGCCTCGACGAGCAAAGATCAGAAGATCTCGGAGCTGGAGAAGGAAGTACAGTCGATCAAGACAGAGCGCGATAGCTTGAAGTCACAGGTGACAAAGTTGGAAGCAGAGGTCAAGAGTGTGAATGAAAAGTTGAGCGCCGCTTCATCCGACAAGGGTGCCAAGGCTCGCAAGACCGAAGAGAAGCTGAAGGAGACGCAGGCTAAGTTGGATGCTTTGCAGAAGCAGTTCAAAGAAGAGAAGCAAAAGTCTACGAACGCGCTTTCTGAGATCGAAGCGAAGAAGACCGAGGTCACGAAGCTTAAAAAATCACTGAAAGAGTCGGAGGAGAAGGTTGAAGATCTTTTGCTAGTCATGGCTGATTTGGAGGAGAAGATTGCGAATATTGGTGGTGACGAGGAAGACGAAGAGGAGGAGGAGGAAGAGGATGGTGGAGAGGATGGCGATGAGGAGGAGGAGGAAGAGGAGGAAGCGAGTGAGGAAAAAGTAGAAGAGAAGACAGAGGCAAAGAAAGCTGCTGAGCCTAATGGTACGACAAAGACTAATGGCAAAGCGAGCGCCGACGAGGAAGACGAGGATGAAGAAGACGAGGAGGACGATGAGGACGACGAAGAGGAGGACGAAGATGACGTCGACTAGACGGACGGTGTTATATAAGCTAGAAGTGGATTGTATCATATGCCAGAGTGGCAGAAACATTGTAATATACTAATAAAAGTGGTCGATCTTCTTAAATACTAATAATCATACATCGCGAGTCAAAATATATACAGGCATTCTTTACAAATCACTAGTCCAAGTCTTTGCCAAGTTCCAGTAATGAGTCGTCTGGGTTTTATCCAACAACTCACGAACGTCAGCCGCTGTCTCGGTCTCTCTATACGTGAACCGATAAAACTGATGCTTTTTCAACTCTCCTTCCCAAATCAGCTCGCACTTATTCTGCGACAGATCCGCCAGCGAAGACCGGTCAGCGCTGTTTTTCACACCCTCGATCTCGTACTCGTCTGACTGCTTCGACTGGATGTTTGCCGTCCAGTCGATTCGGTTGAGCATTAGCTTTTTGTATTGCTTGAGCGTGCGGGCGCCAGACTCGGCAATCACGAGGCAGAACTTTGGATTGACGATCGTGATGCCGCGGACTCCGTACTCGAGCGCGTTCTTGTGGACCTTGAATCTGTGCTGTGAGTTTGCCAGGCTGCCGATCTTGAACACAGCGCAAAAGATTCCTTTTTGCTCATCTTTCTCGAGCTGCTTCTGTAGCTTCTCGTGCCGCTGCTCGGGCGTGAGCTTGCGTTCTTCGTTGTCCCGGATGTGAGCTAATCTTCGCTCCTCCATCTCCCTTCGCACGCGAGCTTCGACCAACGTCGGATCGCGAATCGCCTCGTTCGTGAGCACGTTCATCAGGTTGCTCAGCTTCACCTTTGGTGGAGGCGCCGGGTCGAGACCCAGCCTGATTCTGTCCTGCTTATCCTTGTGTCGCTCTGCTCGTTCGGCTTTGCGGATCCGCTTCATTTCCCGCTTTGTCAGGTGCGGCGGGCGGATCAAGACTGTATTTTTGTCCCATGGGGGGTTGATGGGGACCGGGTGTTGTACTAGGTCTGTGATGATTGATTGCTCGGAATCGATCAGTACATTCTCTTTGTTGTCGAGATCGTCATAGGTTTTGTTGGCCAGGAATCCTTGATCCCACCATTCAGCCTCTGGGGGTTCCTCTTTCTGCAAAAGAGTTAGTATTCAATAACACACATATACAAAAGACACGCTGTCTCACCTTCAATGCAAGATCGGAAGCATCAAACTCCTGAAATGTACCAGCCGCTTTCGCTTCCGCCTCCATTCGTTTCTCGAGTTCCGCCAACTGCGCCTGCGATCGCAACTCTCTCGCCTGCTCGATATACTTTCCCTTCTCATTAAATGCCAGCATCCGCCTCCCTCTCTCCTTGGGCTTCACATCCAGCGTCGGATCAAAGTATGGGTTCTTCTTCGGATCAATTTCCTCAGGAGGCGGCCCTGTCAGGATCTCCAGCTCCTTCTTGCGATTATTCGCCATCGTGCTGGAAAATTTAGGCGCCATCAGCTTCTTGGAGCCCTTGCCGGATTCTTGAGCGGTCTTTGGTTTCAGTCGCGAGTCGAGAAGCGCGGGGTGCACGCCGACGTTTAGTCCGCCGTGGGCTTTGATGTCGTCTCTCTGGTTTGCAAGATTTTTCGCGCCGACATCTGGCTTTTTTGGAGCGGCGGTAGCGGAGGCTCGTACGCCTCGCTGAGCAGCGATCTGAGCGAGCAGTGCCTTCACATCAAGTCCGGACGAGCTCGAGGAGGAGGTAGACGGCGGTGGTGGTGCTGCTGATGAGGGTGGCTGAGGTTGACTAGATGGTGGTGGAGGTGGAGGAGTCGAAGATGCTTTATTTTGCTGCTGCATCTTCTCTTTGATCGCAGCAGCTTTTGCGCGAGCAATCGCCTTTGCTCTTGCGATGATGTCGTTTGCTTTGTTTGCAGGTGCTCCTGCTGGCGCGGGAGAAGCAGGGATCGGGGAGCCATCGGGTGCTTTTTGCTTCTTGGCAGAAGACGGCGTGTCCGGCCCTGGTTCGTCCGCGGGGAGCGACCGTTTACGGGTTTCGGACGCCATCGCTGGTGGATGTGAGATGGGCAGTACGGTAGAGCGGTAGATGCGATGTAGATGACGAAGAGTATTTGACGTCGACGGTGAGTTACCCTGATTGATTGTATAAGGTATGACATAATCAATACTTTGAGAGAGATTATCAGATAACTGACGAACCTTACTCACCGGCCCTCGAGGAGCAGAGGCAATAATACAGCTACTGTGCTGGATATTCAGCAGATATCTGACAATAAAACAGTCTCTTCTATCTCATAGAAACAACCAGAATTCTCCATAAAAAGAGGAGATTGCGTGCGCTGACTGTGCTCTCGTAATCAAAAACCCTGACCCTCTCCATTAAGGCGCCGTAGTCGATTATAAATCGCCATGCGGTTCCCTGTTCGCCTTCTGCCCGTCATCGTCGTCCACCGCGAGTTATCAGCCCAGCAACCTCTTCTTCTTCTTCCTATTCACAGCCTACAGGAATACTTCCAGCAATGTCGTCTCACGAGTACCAGTTCAACGTCGCGATGTCGTGCTCCGGATGCTCCGGCGCCGTCAACCGGGTCCTCAACAAGCTCGAGGGTATGCCATCTCCTTTCATCATTGTTACTGATCAAGTCGAAACAGTCGATTCAATTGTCGTCGTGACGTGTTCATTATCTTTGCATAGATCTCACTCAATATGTTTGCCTACTAACAACCATCTCATCAGGAGTCAGCGACGTCAAGATCACCCTCGACGACCAGAAAGTCATCGTCAAGACCGCCGAGAACGTCTCCTACGACACCGTCCTCGCCCAGATCAAGAAGTCCGGCAAGGAGGTCCGCAGCGGAGAGGTTGTTGCCTAATTTAGCTATACAATCACCAAATTTAATGGAGCTTGCATAGTTTTGGATATAATTTGCTCATGGACCAGACCAGACCTCTCTGGTTTGGGGTACCGACCTCTCGTAGTCTTAAATCATATTTACAGTCTATTTACATTCTATGTACAATCACGTCTGCGCTTCAGCCCTCACTGATATCCTCCGGTCCTCCACCGGTCCGCCCCCCAGAAGCCTGTCTCCAGAGTACACGACCGTAGTCTGCCCGCTCGCCACACTATCCAGCGGTCTTGCAAACGTAATCGCAACCTTCTCACCCCCCGGCAGAATCTCGAGTTTTGACACCGCTTCCGGGTCTGATAGACTCCGAATGCGTACCTGTAGCTTTCCGTCCTCCGCCAGCTTCACCAGCGACTCGACCTCGTCTGCGGCGGCCATCCATGTCCAGTCCGTACACGTTATGGCGTCCGAAAGCAGCCACTCGTTGATCCGTCCGCGAGCAATGACTACCTCGTTCGTAGCTATCCTCTTGTCTACCACGTACCAGGCACCTGCACACTCCGGGTCTCCCTGCGGCATCGTGACACCACTTCTTTGTCCTACCGTCCAACCCCAGAGACCATCGTGCTTGCCCACAACCTTCCCGTCCACAGTCACCACATCACCGGGATTGGGGTCAATGAATTCTGCCAAAAACTCCCTAAAATGCGTATACCCACTGCTTTTTACCAACTTCTTCCCGCTCTTGTGGGCTTTCGCTGCCGCGGTAGCGCCTATGCTCGGATACACAAAACACAGACCCTGCGAGTCAGGGCGGTATGCAGTCGGTAGATTGTTGTCAACCGCAATCTGTCGGATCTCAGGCTTTGAATACTGATGCAGCGGAAACAGAATGTTAGGAAGTCTCCGGTGGTCGATATTCGATAGATAGTACGTCTGATCTTTCCTGCTATCCGCCGGCCGCAACAGATGAGTCTGCCCGGTCGGAATATGCCTAGCCACGCGGGCATAATGGCCAGTGACTAGCCACCATTTCCCCGTCTTTCTTTCCTGCGCCATTTTCTCCACCGCATCGTACAGTTTCCCAAACTTGATGTATTTGTTGCAACTCACGTCCGGGTTCGGCGTGGTTCCCGCTTCGTACTGGCGCAGCATGGGATCAAACACTTCGGTCCAGTAATCTTTTTCAAAGCTCAGTCTGATCGAAGGAATAGCGAGACTCTCGCACACAGACTGAACGTCCGCCCAGTCAGTCTCCGTGCAGAGCATGCCTGATTCCAAGTCCTGTCTATCCTGCTCGGCCTCTTCTTTCTCAATCCTCTCAATAGCCCCCGGATCTTTGGGGACTACCATCCGAATCTTCTTCTTCCTGATCTCCCGCCTTGACGTCCGAGGCATCGACCAGTTCGCCATATATACCCCCGTCACGTTCTTATAACCCTGCGCCATCAAAAACGCAACGACCGACGAGTCTACGCCGCCCGACATGGCGACGAAGATGGCGTCGTCGGGACCGGGCTTGACGTCTTCGTAGTCTGTCCCCGGAAAGGCCGTGGAGTACCTGCTCAGTTGCTGCCACCGCACCCGAGTCAGCTGAGCACATACTCCTCGAACATAGAGGGATGCTGGTAGTATTCGGTTCATATGCTGAGAGATGGGTCTTCGGATATAAGATGCTGATGCAGGTTCGAGTTGGGAGGTTTTGAAAGATTTTATTTCTTTCGAGCCGCACAGCAGAAATCTATCTTCGACGTTTAAGAACATATTCCAGAGGCATCTGTATAATATTTCCTCTATAAACAATTGAATAATACATCTAACAGTAAGGTTGAACTAATTACATTAGAAAAGTGCAGCATTGACACAATCGAAAACAAAAACATCACGCGACGAAGCCGAACTTACGAAAACAGCGACTACAAAGTCGGCAAATAGATAGATAATGTAGAGAGTAGAGAAACAATACTGTAAACAAAAAAAGAAACCATACACTCACACATGAGCCCATGACCTAGCAGAAATATCATCAGGACACAAACGATTAAAGAAAGAAAACAAATGCTGTTGAAGCGCATTTCAATATTTGACCCGCACGCCTAATTTTTCCCAAGCCGTAATATGAATTAAGAAATCAAAATCAAAAAAATAAAACAATAAAAAATGAAACAATAAAAAACACAGGTGAAATAATACAGAGACGCCATGATCGTCTACCGGCGCCCGATCAGCGAGAAAAACTCCTCTCTCGTCTTCTGCGCTTCTCGGAAGCGACCAAGCATACAACTGGTAACTGTTGAACTACCAGGCTTCTGAACTCCTCTCATAACCATACACATGTGCGAGGCCTCCATAACAACCGCGACACCCTGTGGCCGGAGAATCTCCCACACCGCCAGCGCGACCTGCTTCGTCAGGCGCTCCTGCACTTGTAGTCTGCGCGCAAACATCTCGGCAATTCGCGCTAGTTTCGAGAGACCGAGCACTCGCGAGTTGGGGATGTAGCCAATCGAGATCGTGCCGTTGAAAGGGACCATGTGGTGCTCGCAAAGTGAGAATACCGGGATGTCCTTCACTATCACCATCTCGTCGTGGTCCTCTTCAAACACCGCGCGGTTGATCACGCTTCGAATGTTTTGCTCGTATCCCTTGGTAAAGAACAGCATAGCCTTTGCATATCGCTCCGGCGTCGACAGCAGGCCTTCTCGAGACGGGTCCTCACCCAGCTCGGTCAAGATAACTCTGACGGCGTCGGCAATGCGCTTGATTTTCGCCTCCCGCTCCTCAGGCGTATTCTCGAGCCGCGACCGCGTCCCTATCGACGGCCACGAGAGCCCGTCAAAATCAATCGGCGGATTGAGCGTATACGGCGACGCGGGCCTCGAAATCTTCGACCCAGCAGCCGAGTCCGACAGGTGAGGGTGCGTGTACGCGAGATGGTGCTGACCACCTCCGTTTGTCGACGGTCGAGACGAGCCCGCGCCACCGCTGAGTGGCGAAGAGGGCGTCGTTCGCGAAGGTTGAGAAAGCGATGCTACACTCGCGTTTCCGCTCACGTCGTCGATTCCGTCGTCTTCCTCGAGCTCGTCGTCGTCGGAAAGGTCATCTTCCGTGGGGCCCTCGGTCCGCACTCGGACTTTGTCGTTGAGCGAGAGCAGCGAGATGAGCGTGTCTGGGTCCGCAGCGACCTCGGCGTTGGGGTTAATTGGCATCGCAGGGTCTTAAGTAATTGCTTCTGAAGTGAGTAAAGAGCGACAACTGAATGCAGAGGACGGTGGGGGATAAGAGCGGAGTGTATTTTATCAGCAAAATTTTGAGAAATTTCGGTTGGGACCAAAGCTGAGGATTAAAGTTATAATTTAAACCTTAATCGGATGTCGCCTCCTGCTGGCGGCTCTTTTGACTGCTTCACGACCGCCGAGCAGCCTTCCGTCTCTGCTTTGCTTTCGATCAACTACGCGCATCAATAGACCGTCTTCTGTGTGTGGAGATACAGAGGATCGTTGGCGGAACAACCCACAACCAGTCTCATCGCCGCTCGCCCGGCACCGCACCGCTTCCGCTGCCTCCCGAATGCTAAGCATACGCCTGTAGTGGCCAACCCACAGACACAGCAGCAATGGACCCGTGGGGTTCGTTTGAATCGTCGCCTGCAGTGACGCAGTCTTCTTCCGCGCCTTGGAGCGCGATTGACGACGTACTGCCGGACTGGGGCACACCCGCGCCTTCGCAAGCATCACTCGGTTTTGGCCAGGAGAGGCAGGAGCAGCCGTCATACTCTCAAGCCGACGCGTTCGGGCAATCAGAAACTCTTGACTCGGCGCGATCTGCTTCGCCTGTGATTCCTGTCATTGCTGAAGATGACGATGATGATGAAGAAGAGGATCCATGGGCGTCTTTCGTGGCTTCCCCGCCGACGGTGACTACACCTGCAGCGACTGTGCAGCAGCAATCTGATCTAAAACCAGACAATCAAGAAACTACAGATCAACCATCCGACGACGCGAAGGACGTTGTTGAAGATACTGCAAAGGATGTCGCAGATCTTGCGATTTCGGAACAAGAAGATGCGAAAGATCAGACCGAGGCGGAAGCTGAAGCTACCGCGCACGCAGAGGTCGATCCTGAGAATAGCAAGAATGAGCCCTCAGAACAATCACCAGCCAACACAGATAAGACAGAGTCAAAGGATGACAACAATGATACAGATTCAAAAGAATCAGAGATCAAGACAATTGAATCCGAGAAATCAGCAACACCGCCAACCGAAGAGCCCTTAACAGAGACCAATGGCACAAGCCACAAAGAACCAGAAGCAGACCTTCCATCCACTGTCAACTACAAAAGCTCACCCGAAATGAGTGCGGACGCGCAATGGGGCGACAGCACCACCACCAACCACTTCTCCACCGGCGGCTTCGACCAGACCGCCGCCGACGACGACGACTCGAGTTTTGCAGCGTTTGCCGAAGCACTGCCGCCGATCTCTGTCAAGCCGATGACCGCCAGTAGTCCCGAGTTTGACGCCGGCGGCGGGTTTGGCGGGGACACAGGGTTGTCCTCGAACACCGGCGGGTTTGGCGATTTCGGGACCCTGCCTGATCCGTTTTCGGACTCGGGAATGAACTTTTCGAATCCGTTTGAAGCGGGCTCGCAGAAGCCGCCCGAGGCACCCACGTATTCGGATTTGAGCAAGATTTTCCCGTTGGCTGAAGATCGAGATGAGGATCGTGAGAATATTGCCTCGTTCTTTTCAGATACACAGGCACCTCAGCCATTACTCAACTACGGTCGATCGTATGTTTTGTTTCCTGCTGCTATATGACTTTCTTTATTTGCCCACTAACTCTGTGTCTCTAGTCGAAAATTGAATGGGATGCTGAACCGACCGATCCGCCAATTCTTCACTCCCGCTCCGAAAAGCAACTCACCCTCGGCCCCATCCTCTCCCGCGTCGACAAACACCTCCCTGTCCCGCAGCCAAGCCGACGACGGCATCAGAGTCAAATGGAAGCGCTCTGAGATCCAGAGCCGGGTGTACGACGTCGTCTCACAGTGGAAGGCGCAGCAGAAGGTCGCCGGTAGATATTTCGACTGGGATAATGCAGATCAACCGCTTAGTCCGAGCAAGTACGTCGACGCCGAGTACGCGCGCAAGGGAATGCTGGCACCGCCGCCGCGGCAAAAGCATGGGAATGATAGTGCGACTGCGATGAAATTGCAGAACGCGTTTGGATGGCAGACAGATTCGTCGCGGACGCCGTCGCCTGCCATTCAACAGCCTGCGGCCTCGAGCGGTCAGACGGACGAATGGGGCGACTTTGCAGTGCTGGACACTGCCGCAGCTAAGCCAAAGGCTAAAACACTTACAGTTGACACAGGAGCAAAGAAGAACGGCAACCCGGCGGCGACGAGTATGCCTGCGATGCAACCCGTCATGCTGCAGCCGACGGTTTTGCATCCGACGTCGGTTGTTCCTGCACAGCCGGTTCAGATCGTGGATGATGACGATGATTGGGGTGAACTGATGTCGTCGCCGAAAACATCAAATGCTCCGCCTCTACCCACTTCCGCTAGGCCGACACCAAGTCAATCCTCATCGGTGGTGCACCATCACCACCACCACTCAAACAGTCAAGGCCACATGAACGGTGCGATCTACGTACCTCCCCCGAAACCCTCGTCACCAACGTCGATGTACATGTCCTCCTCCTCGTCCTCCTCAACCTCAGATATCTCCGCCTCCGCCGCCGCAAAACGCGCAGTCGTCCTGTCACCCACGTTACCGACCTCCAGCGATGCCAGACAGAAGGAAGACGCGCTGGTACGGCGGATCATAGACTCTGTTCCAGACATATCGTATATGTTAGCCTAGCATGATTTTTCTATTTTTTCTTTAGGAATTCGAGAGATGTTGCAGACGCGATTTGGTTTGTTGTACATACGTTATGTTAATCCCGTGCATTGGTGGTCTTTCCTAGCACCTTGCTTATGTTGGGATAGTGCGGACTGCAGTGAGAATCATGACATGTTTATATGTAGTCTTTTGTAATGTCAAAGTAGAAATTATTTGAATAGAGTCCGGTTCTGTTGTAATTTGCCCAAGTGAGCAGCGACGCGAGCGATCTTTAAACTTTAATTATTTTATTTTCGCAACCGCTTTTGTCTGCATTCAACGAAGAGGAGCATGGAAGTAGAAGTCTTGACTGAGCGCGTGGAATAGAGGAACATGATATACGATTAAAGAACAAGGGAATTACGGAAAACAAAACACACAGGGAAGAAAGATGCAGGCGATTCGAAGGTCGATGGCCAGGTTGCTGGTGCCGGCGAGGAGTAGAAACCATTACGTTGTTCGCCATGTTCCCAGCCGGTTTTCGTTTATGAGGATGTACAGTACCGAACCAGCTGAGTCAATACCAGGTAAGCCGTCGTCGTCAAAGCATCTGTGACTTCTTTACGGGTAGCAAGTGGCGGGAGTGGCTAACATGGAGATGCGAGCAGACGACGAATATATTCTAAGTCCCGAACTACGCGCGAAAGCGGAATCGCTCAAGGCCGAATACGACCAACTGACCGCGTCACTGGCGGAGGCCTACGACAATGCAAAGATGCGGCAACACGCGAAACTCGAGGCGCTGGTGAACTACGCGACCGCGTACGAGCGGTCCTCGGCCGAGCTCGCGGATCTGGAGGAGCTCGCGTCCGCGACGGATAAGGACTCGTTGCAGTTGCGGGATGAGGCGTTGGGGGAGATGCAGGAGATCAAGGTCAGCATGGCGGGGTTGAAGGAGAAGATTCAGAGGTTGCTGATTCCGCCGCATCCGTTTGCGGATTATCCATGTATCATGGAGTTCCGGCCGGGCGTGGGCGGGTCCGAGGCTGCGATTTTCACCAAGAATCTGATGGAGATGTACCAAAACTACTGCCAGAACATGCGCTGGAAGTTCTCGGTGCTGGAGTACCACCCGTCCGGCGACGGCTCCGGGATCACGGAAGGCATCCTCGCGATCGAAGAACCGGGCGCGTACGACCGCCTGCGGTTCGAAGGCGGCGTTCATCGCGTGCAGCGGATTCCCGAGACAGAGTCGAAAGGACGGGTGCATACCTCGACCGCGGCCATAGTCGTGCTTCCGCAACTCGACCAAGGCGACGAGAACTCGAACGAAGCCGAGCGGTCGTTCGCGCCGGGCGAAGTGCGCGTGGACGTCATGCGCGCGCGGGGCGCGGGCGGGCAGCACGTCAACACGACTGACTCTGCCGTTCGGCTGACGCATATCCCGACGGGAATCGTGGTCGCGATGCAGGACCAGCGATCACAGCATAAAAACAAGGCGCGGGCGTATATGATTCTGCGGGCGCGGCTGGCGGAGAAAGAACATAACGAGAAAGTGATCAAGGATCGCCAGGCGCGGACGTCGCAGGTGACGACCACGGACCGGTCGGATAAGTTGCGGACGTACAATTATCCGCAAAACAGAGTGACTGATCACCGGTGCGGGTTTACGATGCATGATTTGCCGGGCTGTATGGATGGGTCGGCGCTCGATACTTTGCTGGATAAGGTGCAGGAGTGGGCTACGAACGAGGAGGTTAAGAATCTCCAGTTCCAATGATGTATATATGTATAATAATAGTACCTACACTGCCAAAGATATATCATACTCAATTCACTATTTGAGACAACATAGTAAGAGAAAGAAAAATGAAACCGCTAGATTAACACACTATGCACAAACTGAAGAATCGACACACTCTTTCGTATCCTATATTTTAAAATTACGAGACTCTACTATTAAGCAGCCCCAAGCTCCGAAAGCTCCTCCATAAACTGCTGCGGCGTACACAGCTGCGTGCTTCCGTACACGATCCGCCGGTTTGTGCGTTTCGCAAACTCCTGCAGATTGCCATACTCGAGGAACGTGCCGCCGCCGACGGTGAACACGATCGCTTCCGAACACGCGGTGCGGTTGCGCGGAATCGGCCGCGTGAGCGAGCCCCGCGCCATCTTGGGGTCAAAGTACAGGTAGTCTTCGGTCGAGTGCGTGCTGCCGCTGCCGGGGTCCATCAGACTTTCGACGAGCCGCGTGATTGTCAGGTCCTTGCGCGAGGGCAAAAAGTTCTTCACTCCCGAGATGAGGTTCTCAAAGCCGCCGGACAGACCGCCGTCTTTGAGACGGCCGGTGAGGCGGTTCGACAGACTGCTGAAACCGCGCAGGATGTTGTCGGCGGACGGGCCGGCGCCGCTGGATTGGTTGGATGCGCCGCTGGGCTGGGTGGACATCATTGTCATTCGCGTGATTTCACGAACACGCTTGATGTACGTCAGCGACGCGATATCGCAGCCGGCCTGGACGAGCGCGTGCTCGTACTCGGCCATGTCAGCAGCAGAGATTGTAGACTCGGCGGAGATGAAGTAGATCAAAAACATGCGCATCTTGTCGAGCGGATCCTTGCGCTCGGGATCGTTGATGGTCTCGAGAATGGTCTGCTTCGGTGTCTTTGTGATGTTTTCCTCCATCTGGAAAAACGAGTCAAGACCCCGCTCCTTAATACCCTTGAGCAGCGCGGTCGCGATGTTCATGTGCATATCCAGCGTCTGCTTCCGCGCCGTCAGCTCAGGCAGCGCGGTGATTGCAGACTTGAGATGCGCCGCGTTCGCGTTCAAATCCAGCTGATTGACATCCTCGATCGAGTTCACGCCGGTGGCCGACGTGATCTCGGTCGTGTCGTTTTTGTAGCGCGTGAGCTCGGCGTCGATGTCCTCGGCCACCTGCGGGAACGGGATCGCGGCGTTTTTGTTCCAGAAAAAGTCCTTGGGGTCCAGATCGTAGCCCTTCTTTGAGACCTTGCCGTTGCCGTCGTCGACTTCCACTCTGATTCTATTCAGCTTCATCTCGAGGACGTCGTTGATCAGGCACTGATATGTCCACGAGTGCGACAACATTGGCACCAGATCGATGTTTCTGTCAAAGATCACCAGGACTGAATATGTTAGTAGAGATATATAAAGAGCAAAAATAGTAATCACATACTTGGTCTTTGGGCGTTGACTGTAGGCGAATTGAACGTGCTGTCTCTGGAGTTGATGACATAGTCGCGCAACTTCTGATCGAGCTTCTGAGCCACCATCTCGGCCGCGTTCCCGCGCGGACAGCGGATTATAGGGATCTGGCCCATGGTGAGGATGACAGAAAACAGACCGATGACGATCCGGTCGATGATCTCTTCGATCTCCTGGTCTTGGATCTTCGGGCTCGCGAGTGTGGAGTAGACTTTATCGAGCGCGAGGCTGAACGCGTCGGGCTCGGTGACGATGAAGTTGAGGTACTGGTCGTAGACCTGGGAAACCATGTGGGCGGAGTTAATGGCCTGCGAGGCAAAGTCTTCGAGGAGGTTGCGGGGGATGGAGGAGATGAAGTTGACGTAGATGGATTCGTAGAGGCTTTGGTTGAGGTCCTGGGCGATCCGCTTGATGTTGTCGGCCGTGGGCTGGACAAAGTAGATGGCAGGAACATCTGGGATGCTGTGCCGGACCGAGTTTAGTAGCCTGGAGGGTATTAGCCTTGTGATAAATAATAAATTAGACCATATCGAGAAACATACATGTGAATAGTGACTCCGTTCTAGAAAGAAAATAAAATAAAAGAACCGTCAGCTTATTCTCAAGGCGATCAAAGGACAACAGATGGCTGATTACCTGAAACAAGTCGTTGACTCTCAAGACACTTGATATTATATCCTGCCCAAACTTGTCAAAAACCAGTACTTTCCAGATCAGCTCGTCAGCACCGGTGCCATTCGGATCCGATCCGTTCGCATCGGGCGTTGTGACGTCGCCACCTGGGGTTACGACGTTGGGACTCTTGTCCTTGTTGAGGTTCAAGAGCCTCTCGATAACGACTGGATTAGAGCGGTCAGTCAGCATACCACCGACATCAAACACAGCAGAGACATAAAAGTAAACGCACCTATCTGCTTATCGCGCAGGGTCATTGGTTTTGATGGAGAAGAGGCGCCTAATTGGAGCGCCATTGTGTGGGATTATATGACGTGGCAGAGAGGGATGCTCGGTGCTGTAGATGAGCTCGGGGGTGTACCGAGCGGCGGTTCTCGAGAATAGCGGATCCTACTAAAGCAGAGGCAGCTCTGATAACTGACTCAAGCTGAACAACAAAAGAACACGACGCTGATCTGCGACGAGAGAACTGCTGGGTTTGTTCACGATACAGGGAATCGCTGGCCGAGGGCGTAGTCTTCGAGAGGAGCGACGCCGACGCGCCCAACGCCTTATTCCGGGGACAAAAACACCGCCATCTTCGCTCCTTCACCACCACACCATCGCCATCAACGCCTGCTTGCGAACAGACGAGCAACTCGGTCCGATCTACAGCATGTCGGGGTCAGACAAGTACAAGTACAAGCCGGAGATCCAGCAGATGATGTTTGTCTCCGGCGAGACCAACGATCCGCCGACGGAGACGACGTCGCTTATCGAGGACATTGTCCGCTCGCAGGTCATCGAGATGCTGCTGCAAGCAACCGCCCAGGCGGCCCGGCGCGGGTCTCGCTCGATTGCCGTCGAGGACCTCATTTTCTTGATCAGACACGACCGCGCAAAGGTCAATCGGCTGAGAACATATCTGTCTTGGAAAGACGTGCGGAAGAACGCAAAGGATCAAGAAGGCGGGGCAGTCGAAGGCACCGAACTACTCGAGGACGCCGCTGCGCCCGCGGTCGCGGCGCCAGACCAGCTCGGACCGAAGATGAAGTACCGGAAATCAAAAGTGAAGCTGCCGTGGGACCTCACAAACATGTTTCCCGAGCCGGTGCCGGACGCGGAGGACGAGGACGGCAACGCGGGACCGGACGAGGAGGAGATGGAGGCTAATCTCGCGACGTTGCAGCGGCTGCAGTCTGCGGACGAGCGCACGCGCGCAGTGACAAAGGAGGAATACGTGCATTGGAGTGAGTGCCGGCAGGCGAGTTTCACGTTCAGAAAGGGAAAACGGTTTCGCGAATGGGCTGGCATCGGCGCGCTCACAGACTCGAAACCGAACGACGACATCATCGATATCCTGGGTTTCCTGACATTCGAAATCGTAGCGGTCCTGACAGAGGAAGCGATCAAGGTTAAAGAAGCCGAGGATGAGATGGAGATGCGACGAAGCAAGCGCACAAAGACGCGCAAGACCGAGCGGTTCCTGTTTGATCCGCCGGATGAGGACCAGCGACCTATCCTGGCTAAGCATGTAGCAGAGGCGTTCAGAAATCTGCAGATTGCAAAGCCGAGACAGTATTCTTTGCGGAACTTTTCGGGGGGTCTGGTGCGGACTCGAACGGTCGTTATATAACGACTTGCATTATGAATTTTGGCTGTTCATTGGTGTTTTTGTTTTTCGACTCATTTGGTTAATTTTGGGTGTCTACAGTGTCCACATTGGTAACGGACTACGCTTGGTGCCCACAACTTTTGTTTTTGGAGTTGGATTCTGCGTTTGTGCGTAGTTGTATAGTTTAGTTGTATAGTCGATGGTAATTACTATTATACATTGTCATTATAGAGTACATTTTAGTTGACCTTTGTAGTTCCAAATCCTTTGATACCCATCATCTGCTCCATCGCCAGCCGTTCCTCATCGACCTCATCCCCGCCAGCCGACGCCGACCTCGCTCTCCTCTCTTTCCGCTTTGCATTCCTCTTCTCCCTCCTCCGTTGCCGCTCTTCCTCCTCTATCCGTTTCCTCTCTGCGATTCTCTTTTGGATATCGTACTGCTGCCCTTGTAAATCCTCCTCGCGCTTCTGCCGCAGCCACCGCAGCCGACTCCGGACATCTTCCACCGTCGCTCGCTTGACCGAGTCCGTTTGCCCGGTCGCTTGTAGATGCTGCTTACTGTTCAAATGATCCACCCACTGCAAACTGTCCTTGAACGTCAAGTTACACGCCTCGCAATAGTACCCAGCTCCCCGTCCGCGCTTGCCGACCGCAGACGCACCAGCCGGCACAAGCGTGACTTTATTCAGATCAGAGTCGAGGTTCAGTCGCTGCCGCCGGATCTCAATCTCCTGAGCGTCCGGCGGCGTGGGTTCTCTGACGAAGCGGGACTCTCGCGCGTGCCGCTCGCGCTCGGCGCGTTCGCGGGCTTGCTTGAGCATTTCGTCTTTGTCCCATGTTTGCCGGCCTGTCTCTGCGGGTTTGTTGGCTCCGTAGAAGGATTTCTGGTCGGACATTGCTGCTGTCTGCGTAGAAGTAGGTGATGGAGGAGAATAGTCGAGAGTGGAGGATTTAAACATTTGGAGGAAGCCGCACGAAGGCATCCCAGATGCCGCCTTCACGACTGCTCTGCACACAACAGCGCAGTCAATCAGTGGTTGACAATTAATTCAAGAATGGCGACGAACGACGATGCGAAGCTGCAGATTGCGGGAAACATGACGACGGAGGCCGTGTTGGACACGTTCTCGAACCCGTCGCTGACGCCGACCTCGTATCTGAACTCGATCCTCCCTTCGTACCGCGGCAGCTCGACGACGCTGCCGCAGATGCACACCGAGGCGGTCAACATTCTGTCTTCGCTCGATCACACGACGCAGGAGCTGATTAAGAAGTTGGAGAAGGTGGTCACAGAGATGCTCAGCTCGTCCACACGGCTCAAGTACGAGGTCGAGCTGCTGGCGGGCGACGTGGAGCAGCTTGATACGACGATCAACAAGGAACTCAAGCCGCGCGTCGAGAGCGAGGTCGCGCAGAAGAACCCGGCGATGCAGCGTCTGGAGATGCTTGAGCTGGTGAGACGGCGGCTGGTGGAGGTTATCACTACGTTTGAGGAGGCAAAGAAGGTCGACGTCGATCTACGGCAGCAGAACGGGCAGGGCATGGAGGACAACGTCCGCCAGCTGCTGTCGGAGGACAAGTTCAAGCTCGCAAACGACGAGGTCGAGCGGCTGGAGAAAGTGATTGAGGTCTGGAACGGAACACAGGAATACGCGGCCAAGGCCGAGTTCGTGGGCAGGCTGCGGAAGCTCGTGCAGGACACTGTCTCGCGGAGCGAAAACAACAACGGCGGGTCGCGCGCGCTGTCGGCGGGGATCATGTCCGGCACGAGCACGCCCGCGACGGCGAGGAGTCCTGTGCCGCCGGGGGTGACGGGTTTTGAGAGACAGGAGTATCCGAATGTGCGGGCTTCGGCTGAGTTTTTGAAGCAGGAGGCGAAGGAGGGGTATCTAGGGCTGATAGAGTCGCTGAAGAAGATACGGCAGGCTCAGTGATTATGATGAATAATGTATACATCTTGCGAGATTAAGAATATTAAGACAAAAAGTTATAAAGACTAATTACTAAATACAGCAAAGAGACCCAACACCCTAACAACTATCCAGCAACACCCACGTCTTGATCAGCAGCTACTGCTGCTTGCATTCACCCTTCTTCTTCTTCTTTCCCGACTCGAGGACCTCGTTGTAAGTAGGCGAGATCTTGGGCCCGGCGTTTCTGATGTTCACATTGGTGGGGACATCCTGGGTGTGGTAGTTTCCACCGCCTCTTTGGACGGTCTCCCAGCTCTGGGGCGGACGCCAGCCGGAGTCGAACGAGACCGGGACGATTTTTTTGCCAGAACCAGAACCAGAGCCAGAGCCAGACATTGTAAGATGAGACAAGAGGAGATGAGATCTGAGACAAGAGAAGAGGTGTTGATGTGGTCTGATGGGATCTACGTGCTTTTTATGTTACGCGACTGATTGCAACGCTGGTGGAAGTGCGATAGCGAGCAGCATAAACAGCATTAAAGTGGTCTAATAAACAAGCAAACAGCTAATATACACTATCTGATACATCCACTGATACAAGTGACCCTCAAAACCGCTCGCGATAAGTCATTTTCCCGCGTCCCTTGTACTTTATCGGCGGCGCACCGCTCTTGCTCTCGTCCTCACCACCTCCGCCGTTCGAAAACCTCTCACGACTGTCGCTGCCCCGATATGAGTCTCTGTCGTAGTCTCTGTCGTGGTAGTCCACGCGTCGTCGGTCGTGCGGCCGGCGCTCGCGGTATCTGTCCTCATGACCACCTTCGTGTCGGCGCCTGCTATCCCGGTCCCGTCTGTCTCTGTCTCTATCTCTGTCTCTATCCTCAGGCTCGCGCGAGTGTCGCCGTCGGTCATAGGTCCTGCTCAGAGGATTGCGCACCGGCTCAAGCGGATCTTTCTTCTCCGGGCGCTCTGGGTCTTGGTCGTCTTCGGATCGCTTCTTCCTATCGACAGACTCCACCGACGAGCTACTGCGGCGGCGCGAGCGCGACACCACCGGAGATCTGCTTCTGCTTCTGCTCAAGCTCCTGTCTCTCCGTCGATCAGGCGAGACAGACCTCTTCCGACTGGTCTCTTGTCGTTCTTCGGTCTGTGGTTTCTTTTTCTTTTTGAATATCAGTTCGCCGCATTGCACTATGCGCGGCTCCTGGCCCGCGACTGGTCGGTCGTCGTCGTTGTCGAGGTCGATCTCGACGTTTGCGAAGCTGTCGAGGAGTGGTAGTGATTCTGGAATGACTCTTCCAAAGCAGCAGCATTTTTCGTCGAGATCAGTGCATGCAGCGAGCTGTAGTAGTAGACGTCAGTCAGTAGTCTGAGACGCAGGTGCGACTAGTAGAATGAATACTCACGGTGATGATAAATTGGCTGGTGTTTGTGTCTGGCCCTTTGTTTGCCATGCACAGCAGACCAGGTTCGTCTATCGACCGCCAGTTGAGGTTCTCGTCCGCGAACGGCTCGCCGTAGATTGATTTTCCGCCTGCGTACTCAGTTGTCAGATGCGTACTCGGAGAAGGAAGATAGCGAAGGAGGCATACCTGTTCCGTCGCCGGCGGTGATGTCACCGCCTTGCACGAGATATGCGGGATCAGCGACGACGCGGTGGAAGACGCTGTCTTTGTATGTCAGATCAGTGCCCTTTTCGCCGGTGCAGAGAGAGCGGAAGCTGATGAGTAGTAGTTAGCAGATGAAGAGGATCATATACTCTCAGGTACGTACTTCTCGCAGGTCTTTGGAGCCTTGTCATTGAAGAGCTCTATTATGAGTCTTCCGGTGACTGCAGGCGACTGAATGTCGACGAAGACTCTCGGACGGGGTGCCATTGGGCATATCCAATACAATACAATACAACAACAACACAATACAATAACAGCAACAACAGCCGTAATAGCAGATGTACGCAGGTGGCTGTGCGTGGCTCAATGTGGCTGGGGCGGTGGCTGATTCCACGCGGTTCTCGGAAAATTTGAAAACCGCCTCGAGGAACATCGACGCTGCTCTTCTCACACGACACCCGCCCTTCGCCGCAACTGCTGCCTGCACCTTCACCACTTCCTCTGCAGTATTCTGTATGGATAAGGAGCTTCTGCGTCGATTTCCCTGCCCGCCAAAGTGAGTGCGCAGTCGCGGTGCTCGTAGCTCTCTTCAGGCTCTCTCTAACCGCCCTCACAGACCCAGATAACATCCAGATTCCCTCTTCCTGCTCTCTGCTCCGCTCTCTGCTCCTCCTCCTCCGACCCTCCTGATCTCCGCACCTCTGCGGTTGCCCGATTCCCTGCAGCGTCGTCCACCACCTCACGACCTCTCTCTGGAAGACCGGTAACCACTCCGCTGCCTGCCCGCCCGCCCGCCTGCCTCAACTGCTCGCTCGCCCGCCATGGTCTCGCCCATCGCCATCCACTCCTCCGACCAGGACCACAACCCGGCTCACCAGATCGACAACTCCTACTCGGTCAACCACGAGGCCTCCGTCACTCTCGACTCCACCAACGCCTTCGAGGGTATGTCTCTCTGTCTTCCTCTACCCATCCTTCCTCTTTCGGCGAAAACCTCTGCTAACCCATCTTTGATCCCACAGGGCCCGAAAAACTCCTCGAAGTCTGGTTCGCGCCCGACTCCTTCCGTCTTCCCGCCTCCATGGTCCGCACCGGCCTCAAATCAGTCGACCGCAGCCTCTGGGAAGACATGCTCGATCTCGTGCACTGCAAAGTGCTCTCCGTCATCGGCACCGAAGAGGTCGACGCCTACCTACTCTCCGAGTCCGCCATGTTTGTCTTCCCCCACAAACTCATCCTCAAGACCTGCGGAACCACAACCTTGCTCAACGGCCTGCCCCGTCTTCTCGAGATCGCCCGCGACGAGGCCGGATACCCGCAGGGCCTCGAGCCTTGGCATGTCTTTTACTCCCGCAAAAACTTCATGTTCCCGGATCGCCAGCTGCACCCTCATCGCTCATGGAAGGAGGAGGTCAAGATCCTCGACGCCCACTTCAGCAACGGATCCGCATACATGGTCGGCCGTATGAACTCTGATCACCACTGGTACCTCTACTCTGCGAAGCGCGATGCTTCTCCGTCCGATATCAAGATCGGGTCGTCCTTCGCTCCCGTGCCGCCCGCCGACGGACGATTCGAGGACGAGACGCTCGAGATCCTCATGACCGGCCTCGACGAGAAGAAGGCCGCGCAGTTCTACAACGACCGTCTCGTGCCCGACACCGCCTCGGACTCTGGCTCGTCCAGCGTGGCCTCGGACGACCTCGATCCCGGCCACGTCGCGGGCTCAGAAGTCACCGCAAAGTGCGGCCTCGGAAAACTCTACCCGTCTTCCCGCATCGACTCGTTCTCGTTCTCGCCCTGCGGATACTCGGCCAACGGCCTCACCGACAAAACCCACAACTACTTCACCGTCCACGTCACGCCCGAATCAGGCTTCTCGTACGCCTCGTTCGAGTCCAACGTGCCCTCGTCGGTGTCCAAGATGAACCCCTTGGACGTGGTCAACTACGTCATCAACATCTTTGGTCCCTCGCACTTCAGCGTGACCATGTTCGAGACGCGTGGTACCAAGCACAGTTTTGCAGAGGCGAGCATCAAGGGCGTGAAGCCGTCCGAGATCCCGGGCTACACGCGGTCTGATAGAATAGTGTACGAGCTTGACGAGTACGATTTGGTGTTTTTGGCGTTTGAGAAGAATGCGCGTTGAGCTTGCTACTGTACCTCTGCTACTATTATTTGCTTTACATCCTGTATTCCAGTTTTCAATATCCTCCACACAATATAAGGGAGGTTGAATTGTGCTTTTCCTTGCTTTGATTTTATCGGGATTGTTTTTTGCTTCATGCATATGGTTTTATAAAAGAATTGCCGTGTTTCTCTGTAATGTACGCTCTCACTACACGACCAGGGCTGAGACGCAAAAAGGCGATTAATTGTGAAGAGTAGATAATAATCGAATACACAAAAGAAATCTATATTCTACTATACAGTTGTAAAGTAAATGCTTGCCATTAAAATATATACAAAAAGCGCAGAGAGTAGACGGTGGGTCATCCACCACGAAGGTTTCAATCGGCTTTTGCAAAATTAGCGGCGCCAAAACCAACTCTGAAATCCATCTGCGCTTCGTTCTTTCTTTCTCTTCTTCTTCTGCTGTTTGCTATTGCAGTCCAGTGGTTTCGAATCCAGACAGTCGGATCTCTGGTTTATTTGCTTTTGTTTTTATTATTCGTCCTTGATTTCTCTGGCTGCGGAAGGCTGCGGAAATAACGTGCGCATTGTTGTTCAGATGTCGACGAATGGACCTCTGGTATGACACCTGTTCTTAATCTCGTTGCTGGTCTACAGTGCCGCGTGACGGTATCAGATTATTGTTTGGATGCTGACGTGGGTTTGACGTGCTAGTTTTATGCTGAGGATACCGTTTATACCAATGACGCGAACAACATCGGAATCGTGGAGGTAAGCATCTCATCCGTTGTTCATAGCTGATTCATTACTAACGACCTGCGACAACAGAAAACCTGGCATGATGTAAGATCTAGTGGTATTGTATTCATAGTGATCGTGTCTAATAAGTTGTTGTAAAGGTCTATCGCGACTACCCATACGATGATGATCAGATCGATGGACCTCCGGAAATAGTCCAGCACTACCGCAACAACGGCCTGCCTCCTCGTGGCTGGGTAAGTCCTCCCTTACAACTCAAACCAGATCTTTAACTCATCTTATCTACTCGTGCAGACCATCGTCGCAGAAACCCTCGGTCGACGCGCCATCCCCGACGCTGCTCTCCGCCTCGTCGACCGCACCTTTTCCTGCGGCGATATCACCAGATACGTCGGCCGCTCGTCCCAGTCCGGCATCGTGCTCGAGGTCTCAATGACCGTCTCGCTCCAGCATACTCTCACAAACCAGGTCGTGCACGACGTCCCCGGCGATGAGCTCCAGCTGTACATATACCCCGAACAAGGCCAGCTCATCAGCGACGGCGAGAGACTGGGCGAGGTCGTCAATGCCTTGTACCGGACGGCGATAAGGCAGCCTAATGGTGGTACGGTCTGGGTCAACGAGGCCTCGGATCTGGAAGTCGTGGTTCCCGCGACTGCGTCCCAGGTCGCCCCAACTAGAGGGATCGCTCCCGCGCTGATAGCTGCGCCGACTGAGGTCCCGTTCCCGCATCAGACGGTCGTCACTTCTCGCGAAAACATCCGCAGAGGACAGTGGATCTACGGCGCTTATGACCCCTTGGTGCCTCCTGCGGGGACAGTTTTGAGATCTGAAGTCCAGAGTCTGACGCTGCGGTGGCTGCCGGAGGGCATCGAAGACTTTATAGACGTCGAGGATGCGGACTACAGCAAGTTCAAGGTATACCTCGACATGATGGACTATGGAAACTGGACAGTGGGCGACCGCGTGGTCCTAAAGAACGGCCCCGACGCGTTCGCAAAGTATGGTCTCACGCGGCTAGGAAGAGAACGGTACGGCGGGTTCGACGTAAACACTCTGATTATTTCCGAGACACACACAAAGGTGAAGGTCAGGTGGCAGGATCTGACAGAGACCGTCGAAGACTCGAAAAATCTGGCGCCGTACGTGCTTGCTGACGACCACGATATATGGCCGGGCGAGTTTGTCGGGCGGAAGGATCCGTCGAAAAAGCAGCCGGCGGAGGACGTCGACATCGAGCTGGATTATACGCACATTGGTGTCGCGCAGTCGGTCGAGACCAAGGAGCAGTCTGCTAAAGTCCGCTGGTTCAAGGATACAAACAATCTCACGCCCGAGAATCTGTCTGATGTCGAGGAGGAAGTCAGTTACTACGAACTTGCGCCGCACTCCTTGATCAGCTACGGCATCGGCGATTACGTTTACCTCCCGCATGCTCCCTTTCTGCAACCCGAGTCTGGTCGGACTTCGATCTTGGAGCAAGGCGGGGGTATGATGTCGGCGTTTGCGCGCGCGATTCTGACGCAGGGGAATAACCAACTAACCCAGCTTGCGCGATCGATTCTGCGCACGGGATCTGGTCCGCAGAGTCCTACGAGCGAGACTGAAGGAGGCGCGGGAGGAGGAGGTCGGAGGTCTGCAGAGTTGACCGCTCGGGATGCAGCGCAGTCTGTGTGCGATTGGTACGGCCAGATCGTTCGGCTGAATTTGGACGGGACTGTGATTGTTCGGCTGGGATTCTTTGATCCACCAAAAGACGTGGAGTATCCGGCGACTGCTATAATCGGCTTGCCTGAGGACGAGGAGGAAGATGAGGACGCCGATATTGATTACGATGGGTCGTATATCGACTCTGAGATCGACATGGACGAGGATGAGATTGACTATCTTCATGATGGCACGCAGGACGCCAGCGAGACTAGGCGGTTGATGGTTGCTGGTGAAGCTACCACGCGATACCCTGACGGCGAGCAAATTACGGATGACGGATCGAGCTGGGAAGACGAGGATGATGAGGATCTGGAGTTTGACAGTGCGTATGAAGGGCACGAAGATTTAGAGTCGCCGGGTTCGTCGTCCGAGCCACCGACTAAGGTGCTTGTGACTGAAGCCACGCAGAATGGAAAGGCAGTTGGGAAGATTGAGGAGGTGGAGATTTCTGGACCCGCGGCTGATGAGGATGAAGACGAGGACGGCGAGCTTAGTCGGTTTTTGATCATCGACAGCATGCCCGGGGACGACCACCATTTCGCATCTCAAGAGCCCGCGTCTCTGAACCACCGCCGACTTGCACGAGAGCGCAAGATCCTACAGACTTCTCTGCCGGAAGGAATCTACGTGCGCACATACGCGAGCAGACTCGATCTCTACCGGGTTCTAATCATCGGCCCTGCGCAGACGCCGTACGAGATGGCGCCGTTTATGTTTGATATGTACATTAAATCCTCGTTCCCCAAAGAACCACCCGAGTGTTTTTTCCACAGCTGGAACACGAACGGTGCCGGGCGCGTGAACCCGAACCTGTACGAAGACGGCAAGATCTGTCTGTCGCTTCTGGGCACGTGGCCTGGCGAACAGTCGACAGAGGTCTGGAGTCCGGAGACGAGCACGATTCTGCAGCTGCTGGTTAGCTTGCAAGCGTTGGTGCTGAACAACACTCCGTACTTCAACGAGGCCGGGTACGACGCAATGATAAACACGGACGAGTCCGCGGTCTCGGCGGAGCTGTACTCGCAGCGGACGTTTGTGCTTTCTCGCGGGTTTGTGCTGTACGCGCTCGAGAACCCGGTCGAGGAGTTTGCGAGTGTGATTGAGCACTTGTATTACAAGAAAGGGTACTTTAAGAAAAACCTGGAATGGATAAAAGAAGTACTGGACAACTCGACGACCGGCAACGCTGGGAACACGTCCTTGGCCGCTGCTACAGACGCGAAGGCATCTTCGGAGAGAATCTCGAGGGTCTCGAAGGGCGCGCGGATGGTGCTCGAGAGGCATTATCAGAGCCTGAAGCAGTTGGCGGATGCGAAGGGCATATAGCCTTTTGATTAATTTATTATTGCTTTCTTTTTGTCTGGTTTTATTTTATTTTATTTACTGGCGCTCCATGATTTCTGTTTTATTTATTGCTTTTGTCAGTATACTTCTACTACATAATTACTTTGTTTATTGTTTATTGTTTATTGTTATTTCTTATTCGTTTTCAACATAATGGCTTAATGAGTACATTCGCTGACTCTTCTTTACTGTACATATATAGAGATTTTCATTTAACGAAGATGTATTCAAGTAACGATGCAAATATGAGGATAGTAGCTAATGCAACACGAATATTGTACAGATTGCTGTTTACTAGGAAACGATCGATAACGCCAGGCCGAGAAGTACACAAATTTTACAAAGAATGATAGTGTGATGAAAGTAAAAGTACAGAGAGAGGGATTAGTAGGTGACCTCGTACTTTGCGTAGACGTCTTTGTCGACTGACATGGAGACTCGGGTTTGGTACATGCAGCGTCTGATGTCGCGCCAGATGTACTCGACCTCGTTTCTTTTCGGCAGCGTATTCTATCAAACAATTTAGCTCAGCTTCAGAACCAAGAGAACGAGGGATACTCACAGGAAAGATCACCAACAACCGTCCCCGGCCTTTGACGATGACAGCGAGATAGTAAATCACTTCAAAGCCGCGAAACCCTTCGTTGATGACGATGTCCTGGATCAATTCGATAGGAATGAACTGCGAAGACGACGAGAAGCGCATTGCGCCTGCGCTCTTGAGCTCGATGCCAAAGTCGTGCATCACCAGGATCGAGTCTTGCGCATAGCCTCGGTAGATGTATGATGAGCAGAACAGGCAGATTGCGAGGATGACGAGGAGATAGTTTGGAAAAGAGTAAGTGGACGAAGCAACAGTGACTTGCACGCGGTCATAAACCTGCACAGTGACACCAAACGGCAGCCCGACGACCGCGCTCCTGAACCGCGAGAGCGAGTGCGCGCATGCGCCGAGGAAGAAGACCAGACATGCGAGCCGGTACGCGCGCACGAGCAGCGCGCCGGCGGATCTGCCGCGCGTCTGGTTGGTAATTGTGTAGCTGACCGTCGTCGGCGCGGGCGCATCGCGCGTCACCGTCAGACCGCCTTCTGTCGTTACCACGGATGCGGTCGGGGGCATCGCTGCATGGCGGGTGGTGTCTTGTCGATAGAGCGAAGATAGAGGGATGGATGTAAAGCACGTGATATATGCGGCTCAATATGTTACTCATCACCAACAGCTAAGTGACATAATACACTTAGGGCACAACCCTACCATTCAGGGGAAAGCAGTCACGCGTCCAGCGCCGGCGAGCGAGGCTTCGCGGTCAGAAAGTGCGACTGAGGCTTTGAAGGCTTTCGACTATCGAGAAAAGCAGTTCGTCCTCTCATTGCAGCAACCGGCTTCATCACCACACATCATCCGAAATATGTCTGTTCCCAACGCCCTCGCTCCTACTCAGCAGGACATTGAGCTCCTGCTCGCTGCCCAGGCCCACCTCGGCAGCAAAAACCTCCAGGTCAGTTAGATATGGGATCCTCGAGTCCAGCAAGTCGGTCGGTTGATGGGAGTGCAGGGAGGACGGATGGAGAGAGAGAGAGATGGGATGGAGAAGAGTTGTGAAAGAAGGAATGGAAGAGAAACAAGAGAAGGGAATAGAGAAGGATCCTGCATCATCAGACATGACCGACTGCAGACTGAATGCAAGAGCGCTATTCTAACGAAATTTTGAACAGACACACATGGAGCCCTACGTCTACAAGACTCGTGCTGATGGTGTTAACCTCATCAACATCGGCAAGACCTGGTATGTGACTTTAAATGCAGTCGAAGTTTTACAAGAGCTGCAGACGACTAACAGCTATCGCACCACAGGGAGAAGCTCGTCCTCGCCGCCCGTATCTTGGTCACCATCCCCAACCCCGCCGATATCGTCGTCGTCTCTGCCCGTCCCTATGGTCAGCGTGCCGTTCTGAAGTTTGCCTCGCACATTGGTGCTACCGCTATTGCTGGTAGATTCACCCCTGGTTCCTTCACCAACTACATCACCCGATCATTCAAGGAGCCCAGACTCATTGTCGTGACCGACCCCCGTACCGACGCGCAGGCCATCAAGGAGGCTTCGTACGTCAACATTCCCGTGATTGCTCTTGCTGACACCGACTCTCCTACCGAGTTTGTTGATGTCGCTATTCCTTGCAACAACAAGGGCCGACACTCCATCGGTCTTATTTGGTGGATGCTTGCCCGGGAAGTCCTGAGACTGAGAGGTAACCTTCCCCGCGCCGAGCCCTGGAGCGTCATGGTCGATCTCTACTTCTACCGTGATCCCGAGGAGACCGAGAAGGAGGTCATCGAGATTGCTGCTCCGGCCAAGGAGATCGAGGCTGCTCCTGCTGTCGAGGTTGCGGACGAGTGGGCGGTTGATGTGTCTGCTGCCAACCCTGCTGCCGGCTTCGACGCTACTGCTATCACCAGCGAGGCTGTCAGCGGCGACTGGGACTAAGCATATGGGGAGTTTGAGTTAAAAAAACCAAATATTAATAAAGTAACCTTCTGCAACCAAGATGATCTCGATCTTATAAAAAGCTTTGGAAGATTGAGATGGTTGGAAAAAGAAAGAATTATGTGTGAGAAGGAGAAATGAAAAAAGGGATCTGCTATGTTTTTTTGTTTGTTTGTATTATATAATATAAATATCTTTCCACAAGTGAGAATCTGTAGATCTAGCATGGAAAGCTTTATTATCATCAAAAATAAACAAGAAATATCTAGAATGAAGAAGATATAAATATCTTTCCACAAGTGAGTGAGTAGATGTAGATGTAGATGTAGTAACTATGGAAAGCTTTATTATCATCCAAAAAAAACAACCAAGAACTATCCAAAATGAAAGCAACGTAGATACATAAGAATTACCAGCCCCTAGAATAAACAGCACAAACAAACAGCAGAAGCAAAGAGAAGGACAAGCGTAAGAGAAAGAAAACCAAAGGGAAAGAGAACCAAAGATGGCATGGGATACTAGATAAAACAACACCGAGGAAAGTAGAGAGGAGGAGGGAGAGGAAGAGGAGGGAGAAGAGGAAGAAGATTCATAATGCAGCCTTTATATAAAACAAACCAAGGATAGGAAAGTAGAAAAAGAAAGAAAACGGTCTATTGCGGAGCAGTATCATCAATTCCGACGGAGCTTAAACCTGAGACCCTGGAACTTGTGCGGGCGGATACGGATAGCGAGGCCGAGGGCGGTAGCGATCATGAAGCCGAGGATGATCGGGAAGCGGATGCCGAGGACGTTTCTGTTGTAGGGGGTGATTGTTGCGAGGCCGGTTGCGAGGAAGGAGAAGAAGAGGCCGATGTAGCCTAGTACTCTGTGGTATTTGTACTGTGCGGGGGGTGTTAGTTGAAGACATGGAGGAGGAGGAGGGGAGGGGGAGGACTGACCAAGCTTTTTGCTCGGGTTACGCTGCCGTAGATTCCAGGCATCCAGTACTGCGTGAATCCGATAATGACATTGACCAAGAGGATGACATATGTGAGCAGCCCGACGGCCGCGTGAGCGGAGTGGATGTGCGCGCCGCCGTTACTGGTCTTGTTGATGAAGACGATGCCAAAGGCCATGACGTAGCAGATCGCTCCAAAGAGGTTGAACAAGCCGTGGACCATTGCGCCGAGCTGCTTCTCGGCCGTGGTCGCGGTCGGCTGGACGAGGATGATGGACTGCACGAGCATGAGGATGGCAAAGTTGTTGAGCGCAGGATGGCCGGTGAAGAAGATGATGTCGCTGGTCATGATACGCCAGACGACGTAGAAGAACATGCCGATGATGCCGACCTGCGCGAGAATCGACGACCGCGAGGACACCAGGTTGCGGCGGATCATGCCGAGATGCGCCTTGGACTCTTGCGAGTCGATCGAGTTGATACTCCGGCGGTCGGACGGGACGGTGGACGAGGACGAGCCCATCGAGAATGCGGGTAGTGAGTATGAGCTCCGCGTGCTGAACGTGCCGGGGCCTTGCTGCTGCTGCTGCTGTGAGTCAGGCGGAAGAAGAGGATCGGTTTCGGTAGGAGTTGGGGCGGGAATGGCGGACATTTTGGAGATTGGAGCAACTGTTGCGATGGGCTGCTGAGTGGATTCGGCGGTGTTGCTCGTAGTTCTGATTAAACACAAACACTCTCTCTTTCACACTAAATATAAACAACTTCTTGTCTTCTCTTCTGTCTCTATCTGCACGGACTCTGCTGCTGCTCTTCTTCTGCTTCTGCTGTTTGGCAATCGCTGCTATCGTCGACGAGGCCTATCATCCGCATCGGTTCTTAGGGTTCGCGCGTGCTCGCGACTACGCTGTTGTGTAATCTTAATTCCGGCCGCTGCTACGGGCTGGGAGGACGTGTTCGAGATCACCGCTCTTCTAGTTCATATGATGGCAAAGACGTGTTCTGTTCTTATACCTAGTCTATATACATTTGGACTCACGCCGCGGCCGCCTCGCTCTTCTCCTCTCCTTCCGCCTGCTCGCCCTCTGCATGCTCGCCCACACGCACCTTGCGACTCCGGTACCGCTCGTTCTGCACCTCAAAGTGGTCCGTCACCTTGCGCTTCTCCACCGGCTCATACGCACTCCGCCACTTGCCCCAGCCGTCTCCGACGTTAATCTGCACCCGGTCCGCAAGCCGCGGGTTCAGCGCCGCGCGCTCCGGCAGACGCACAGCAGACTCGAGCACGTTCCGCATCGTGCGCTGCATCTCGTTCTTAATCACGCCATCGTACCACAGCGCGTACACGTCCGCGATCGTCGAGCCGGGCGTCGCGCTCTGCCCGTTCGCGAGATCGGTCGCGGTCTTCCACCGCACGTCGCTGTCAAACTCGCAATCGTACAGCACAAGCGGCACGTCGTCGGCCATGTCGTAGATCGGCTTGCACGGGTACCGCTCGACGTCGAGCAGGTTCGCTACGATGGCTGGTTGCTCGAGGCGTTGGCCGACGAGGAAGAGGATGCCCATTATGCAGCGCACTTGGTGCCACAAGAACGCGGTCCCGTGCAGATCAAACACGTAAACATCCGTAGGCTCGGTGTCGTTCCCGGCCGACGCCACGCTCTTGACATGGCTGAACGAGGCAGATAAGATCTCTCTGTAGAAATGGGTCATCTGCTTCGACCCATCGATCTTGCAGAAATTCCGAAAGTCGTGCGTGCCGACCAGCATCCGCGCTGCCTCGCTCATCGCATTGATATCCAACTCTCCCGGCCGCGCGGCGAAAAAATACTTGTAGTGCCGCGATCTGCAGCTATGTCGCGCGTCGAATCCCTCGGGCGGGTGCAGACAGACCTGGTAGACCCTGATATCCGGCGGCAGCGCGTGGTTAAGCTGTGTGATGTACGGAAACTCCCGATCGTCATTAGCCTCGTCCTGCTGCTCCTCGGGACTGAGCCGTGACCGGATCTTGAGACTGATGACCTGCGCCAGCGCGGACACGCCCTTGTCGGTGCGGCCGCAGCGGCTGAATTCGCAGCCTTTGAGGTCGACTTCGGACTCGATCAGTCTGCAGCGCGCCAGGGCTTTCAGGATCAGTCCTTCCACTGTTGGAAGAGGGGTTTTGTCAAACTGGACGTTGAGACCGTTGTAGTTCCATCCCTGGGGTGGGGTGTTAGTCTAGAGGTTCGTAGGGAGTGGGAGCGTGCGACACACTTACTAGATATGCGAACCGAAGAGCAACCAGACGGGTCGGATGGGCTTTAAAGTCAAATTCCTTTTCCTGTTTCTTTATTTTCTTCTTTTTGACGTTGACCTCGAGACTCGAATCTGCAATCGACGTTTCTGTGCTATTTAAGAGATCAGCAAATGTCCACTCAAATCAATCTAAAGAACTTACAGTCGTTCCAACTCATCAATCCGATTAATTAGATCGCGCTTCGTCCAAAACTTGTAATCCACCTTTGGCGTAATTTCATCCATCCTGTACCGTAATCTGTCAGGCAGAAGCGCACCACAGCGGGTAATATTCGTGTGTCCCTTAAGCTCTTTATCGACCTCTGCGAATCTCTCGTCTAGTTCCCGAAGATTCCGCTCAGTAGCTACTTCCCGCTCTAGATCGTATACTTTGTAAACGTGGGCCTTTGCGTAGCTCTGAGCTTGGAGCTTGAAGTGTCGGGAGTGAGAGAGTGGAGTTGTGAATGCAGAAACTGGTGAACCTCGGCGGTGTAAGATGTATGATGCTTCCGATCCGCGTCCAAGACTTGTGAGTGTAGCAGGCAACCGTAGCCTATGCATCAAAGTGTCTGGTATCAGTCAGACCGAGTCATACGAGTTGAATATCTCAAATACGTGTGGATTCAGATCTTTCTTCTTTGTCAGAGCAGTTGCAGGTCTCAAAAATATTTCAGCCCTAGCCCAAAGGTCCTTTAAACCTTATTCTTCTACCCAACCGCTGCTTTTGGTTATTGATCAGACTGGATTTGAGGTTGGATAGGTTTAGTTGAGATGAAAAGGTGTTTTGATTGATATAAGTACACAGTTTAGATTCTATTTGCAAATATACATATGGTACTGTGAGTGCGGGTATAAGAAACTACTAATTCACTTCTCATCACTGAATCAACTAGAAAACTGCATCCTTCCGGTTCGACCCAAACATCGCGCCGATGAGAATAACGGTATTCCGGGCATCTATAAACTTCTGATCCCGATGATCTTCAAGCAGGCGCTGACAACTTGCTGAATCACCGCGGGGCTCTGTCAACTCACATGTCGGCGTCAGAGATGCCAGTACGCGAGCGAGCAAGTGACGGATGCGGGAGAAAGAGTGCCGTTTGAGAGAGAGGAGGTGAGCGATTGTGGGGTGGGAAGAGAGCTTGCGGTTGAGGGCCGGTGTGTCTGAGAGTGGGTTGGTGTTGATGCTGTTGAGGTCGTCGGTGCCGGTGCCGGTGGTCGGGTATGCGGACTGCTTCGGTTCGGCTGTTTGGGAGGTGGTTGTAGATGCGGCCATGGCGATGCCGAAGAAGTCAGGCTGTGGTGTTGATCTCGAACTAAGCAGCAGCAGGACGGCAGGAAGACCGAAGCTTCTCCAGGCTGATGATATATACATCTTTCTCTAGCAACGCGTGTATCACTCGTCCTGCCTGTCCCTATTACTGCTTCTCCTGCTCGTTCTTGGTGATTGAGCGTGGCTACAGCGTGCGTTGATTTGACTGCTTGTCTACGTCTGGTTGTATCCATGTCCGTGGGGTGCGCACTGTAGACGGTTATCAGATCGGTTAGTATTGTTGTTTTCACAAGACAAGCGAGGTTCTGGCGGGTGCATGAAACCCGCAGTGATACGGGCAGACAGGATGTGATCTCAGAAGTGAGAGTACTAATCTGAGCAGTTTAGTTGTTTGGAGAAAAGGGGTGGTTGTCGAGCAGAGAAGGATCAGGGTGGTGGGGAGATCTTCACTTCCCAACCAGCCGACCAGATCCAGTTCCGAACCACAGAACAGCAGCAACAGCAACAGCAACAGCAACACCACCCACATTCTTTCCTCTACAAACTGCAAACACGCAAAATAACAGAAAGAATGAGGCAGTAAACAAAAACAAAAACAAGCATAAGCTTAAAACGGTCGGAGAGGAGCCGTGGGGAGTCGCATTGTTCGCAGCGGCGGTCTTACTATTGTCCGTCGCCTTGTTCGATATGAGCTCACATCGGCTTTGGTTTGTGAATCTGTGATGTTGAGTGTTGTGGAGAGGTGTTCTGCTGTTCTGTTATTGTTCTGTTGATCTCTTGTTCTGTTATTCTGTTATTCTGCTGTTCTTTTGTTCTGTTGATCTCTTGTTCTGTTGTTCCTGATCTGATATATCCTCTCTGTCTATCTGATATCTAATTCACCAAACACTACTCTGGATACATCGAATTGAGGCATCCATCAACAACCTTCCCAACCCTCCTCCTCTCGAACGCACCCACCGGATCCACACCTTATTCTCCAATCCCGGCCTCACTTTGCACCGCTCCCGCGACGATCCTCGCCTCCACCGCTTCGGTTCTGCACCTAATCCGTTCCTTGGCTTGAGACATCCCGCCACGTGGTTCGAGATGTGCTCACGCTAACTCCCTAGCACCGTTTTATCCGGTCCGCTTTCTTCCTCCACGGTCTCAGACCTACAGATCCGGAACCTCCTGGTTCTGCGAATGCCCCATATATAAGACTGCTGGGTAGTGCTCATGTTGTAGTCCTTTGCTGGCTGTTGCTCTTCTGTCTCTTCATCCATCTCTACTGCTCAACATATATCTCGAAATTTGCGAAACTGGTATGCTTTCTATGCCATCTCTCTCATAATAGTCATCCACTAACACCTCTCAGAGCATGGACTCCTTCTCCTCTGAAGACGAAAAGCAGGTCTCGACCGACGACGGTGTCTACGAGAAAACCTCCTCCTTCTCAAAGTCTTCCTACAGAAAAGACCTCACCGACCGTGTTGCTTCCGCCAACGATGTCAAGCTTGCAATCAGTCGCATCGACGAGCTCTCTCTCGACCAGGCTCTTGACATCCTCAGAACCGCCGCAGACTATCATAAAGATGACATGAACTTCTCCGAAGAGGCAATGGCCAAGATCCAGCTCATCCTCCAGGGCCCCGAGGCGTACCCCGCTGACGCCGAGGTCTATGAATTCGACGCAAAAGTCGAAGCCGCTCTCATCAAGTTCTTCTCTCCCTACCCCGAAGTTCGCTCAATTGCGTCTATTGATGACGAGGAAGATGTACCGGTCGAGTCTCTCCGTGCCTATGTCATCCTAGTCGTCTGGACCATCGTCGGCTCTGGTGTCAACCAATTCTTCAGCTCGCGTCTTCCCCAGATCACCCTCACGACCGACATCATGCAGCTTCTAATTTACTTCACCGCGAGAGTCCTCGAGTTTCTTCCTGACGTTGGCTTCACTGTCTTTGGAACTCGAGTCTCAGCCAATCCTGGCCCTTGGTCCTTCAAAGAGCAAATGTTCTGCACTATCGCAATCAATGCCGGCATGACGACTCCCTACGTTACCCAGGCAAACATCATTGTCCAGAAACTAGACCTCTTCTATGGAAGTACCTGGGTCAGCATCGGCTACCAGTTCCTCTTGGTACTCTCAAGTCAGTTCATGGGCTTTGGCTACGCCGGTCTCATGCGCCGTCTGGCTGTTTACCCCATCAAAGCTCTTTGGCCTATCGTCCTTCCTAGTCTTGCTATGAACCGCGCTCTAGTGTCGAACCGCAAGAACGAGATCGCCAACGGCTGGAAGATTTCCGGGGTCAAGTTCTTCTTCATCGTCTTTGCCGCTTCGTTCCTGTGGGCCTGGATCCCAGACTACCTCTTTCCTGCTCTTAGCGAGTTTGACTGGATGACCTGGATCGCGCCGAATAACTTCAATCTTGTTGCAATCACCGGTATTTCAATGGGCATGGGAATCAACCCGATTCCTAGCTTTGACTGGGGTGTTATTGGCTACAGTTCGCCGCTTGTTTTACCGTTCTTCTCGTTCGTCAATTACTTTATTGGGACAGCTCTTGGTACCCTTATCATCATTGGCATGTACTACTCCAACTATCGCTGGACGGCCTACATGCCTATCAATACCAACACGGTGGTCTCCAACACCATGGATGCATTTGACGTCTCGATGGTGTTATCCCAAAACGGCACGTTCGACGAATCTCTCTACCAGCAATACTCTCCTGCCTTCTTCTCCGCCGGATTCTTGATTTCCTACGGCTCTGTGTTTGCCCTTTACCCAGCTCTGCTGGTTTGGACTGGACTCAACTATTGGAGAAGCATGGCGAGCGCGTTTGTCGACTTTTATCAAGCAGTCAAAGACCGCTCGCGATCGATGTATGCCCAGTTCACAGACCCGTTCTCGGAGTACATGCGCAAGCACAAAGAGGTTCCGGATTGGTGGTTTCTAGTCGTCCTGCTGATCTCGTTCATATTCGCGGTCGTGTGTCTCACTGTCTATCCCACGCAGACCTCTGTCGGAGGACTTATTCTGATTATGTTTATCAACATGGTGTTTTTGGTACCGGTCACGTTGCTCAATGCGACCACGGGTGTATCCATGGGTCTCAATATCATCACCGAGCTTATCTCAGGAAAGATGTACCCTGGAAACCCCAACGCGCTGATGACACTCAAGGCGTACGGTGTAATGATTGACGGCCAGGCTGCTACCTATATCTCTGACCAGAAGGCGGCACATTATACCAAGGTACCTCCGCGAGCGGTTTTCCGCGGACAGATTCTTGCCACTTTGCTCGCTGCGATTGTCAGTATTGGAGTGCTGAACTGGCAGATGGGCCACGTCACGGACTTTTGCTCGCAGCTGCAGACAGAGTCGTTTACCTGTCCGAGTGCTTACAGCTTTTTCTCTGCGTCGATCATGTTTGGAATTCTGGGACCCAAGAAGATGTTTGATGGACTGTACCCGATCTTGCCTTGGTGCTTCCTCATCGGAGCGCTCATCACGATCCCGTTCTTTTTCGCACGAAAGTATTTCTTCCGGTACTTTAGATCGTTCCACCCGCTGCTTGTCATTGGCGGGATGACTATCTTTGGCGCGTACAACATCTCATACTACATCCCTGGTCTGTACATGTCATTTGTGTTTATGTACTACATCCGTCGCAAGTACCTGGCCTGGTGGGAGAAGTACAACTACCTGCTCTCATCCGCCCTGGGCGCCGGTCTTGCGTTCTCGGTCATCATCATCTTCTTCTCCGTTCAATATCACCCGAAGGACGTCGTTTGGTGGGGTTTGACCGTGCTGTACTCTGGCATCGAGGCTGGAATAGGTCAGGTCTCGCGTCTACCGGTTCCTGAGGTTGGTTACTTTGGGCCTGCTCCTGGTCACTATCCTTGAGCTTTGGCAGTCGTGGTTCTGCGATAATTTGCTATGTGATGTTGGGTGTGTTTTATTTGCTCCTATAGTTCGTAAATGTCGTGCTTAATATTACCAGTCTTTGTCTCTCGGCCAGATCTGACTACCTCGCTGTATATCCCATATAATAGCTTATAATTTCCACCATTCTACTATCCAAGACCTCCAAATTAACAATCACGAACAGCAGATCAACTACTTTGCAGCATCGAGGAGCTCAAGGTACACGTGACGTCATGGACCGGTTCGATTTAATCTGGGTGCGAACGTCGGGTATCAATGCTTTAGGCCTTTGAATTAGCACTTTCACGCAGCTCAGTGCTGCCTCGGGTCTGCCAAATCACCATTCTCACGCTCAGCTTGCACCCCCCACTGCAGAGATCTGCTGCGGACACAGATCGGCGAGTGGACCAAGGACAATGCGAAAGTGGTGCCTACGGCGAGACACAACAGGGAGAAGCTCAGACGCTGCTGCCACTTTAGTGTTGCTGTAAATCAGAGACACAGACCTGCCCTATCCACGCAATGGCTTCCAAGCACCGATCGCAGGATTCGTGGTCGTCGCGGGCGCGGAACTCGTTCGATAGTCGGGCGCGGCCGCAGTTAGATGCGCTGTCGGACTCGGTGGCGAAGATACGGATTGAATCGTCGCCGTCGCGCTCGTCGTTCGTGCCTGACGAGACGTACAATTACCTGATCAAGATCAGCAGTCTTACTTTCCAAACCACGCCGAATCTGCCTTCCTCCACCGGCACCCACAACAACAAACCCAACGACTATCCGTTTGTGCCGCTGATTGCCGAGATATATAATCTTCCCGAAAGCCGGGTCGAGCGCGACGTTTATGCCCTGTTGAGAACAGTCACGCCGGCAGAGTACATCAACGACTTGAAGTTCCTCCTCGAGTGCATGCGGACGGCCACGCGCCCTTCTGCAAGCGAGTTTTCTTCGGAAAAGGATTTCAAGACATGGTGCCGGTTCGAAATCTCGGCGATCAATCAGATCATCCTGGGGATCGTTCAGGGCGGCCTACAGATCCTTCCGTCGAATTCGGCCAAGCACTCGCTTGTGTTCATTCCAGAAAATCCGTCGACGATATACTTCCTAGTGCTCAAGAAGTGTTTATCGCGAGATATCTCGTCGTTCTTGCTCAAGACAAAGTCAGAACAGCACGCGGACGTGATGGATCCACTTTCCAGACGAGCGATCTCGATCCTATCCGAAGAGTCAAGGGATTTGCTCAACACGCTGTTTTTGCGTTGGCGGGTCGGAAAAGCGACTAGAGATGTGCTTACACTGCGCGCGTCGTTGGATCTAGTTATTGGGCGTGCTATGCCTATGGCTGCGTTTTTGAATATGTTTAGACTGATCAGCTTCGAACCGCTAACTACATATACTATGGCCCATGAGCCATGGACGATATCTAACGTGAGCGTCCCTCTGCATGCTTTTCTTGTTGTGGATTATTTGCTGACTGAATACAGCAAAACCTCTACCGTGAATGTCTGATGGCTATATACGACTTATTTCTGGCCAGGCTGACAAAAGAGCTCGACAAAATCTCAAACCTCGAACCTATCGACATTGCCGAAATCCTCGCAATGTTTGACCTCTATCTCTTCTCCGATGCATATTTCGCGCTCCATGGAGTTCCGTTTTCTGAGACGATTACCACGATGGAAAAACACATACGCGGTGCGGTCCGTCGTCACTTTAGCGAGTCGATCGCGTCCGCGTCCGAGGACGGCTTATGGCCCGCGCTTGCGCTCATCAATGGTGTACTAGAAAATGAGATTCTGTGGCTGCGACAGGTTTGTCGCGACTACTCAATGCCAAAGATGCACGGCAGTGTAAATCTCTTGCGATGGTCTGAATCGTTGGATATCTCCCGCGTGGCGTCATCGGAGTTTGTTCTGGCTGCTTCAGAGACGTCTTGGGAGATTCTCAAGAACTCGATGCTCAAGGGGAGAAGTCCAGAGGAGGAAACCGAGCAGCTTGAGGAGCTTTCTCGGTTTTACTATTCAGCCTGCGAGCTCCGACAGATTCAGAAAATGCTATCCGAAGAAACTGACCCTTCGGGCATCGAAACTGAACTATACCCTGTCATTCTAAAGTCCATCAGATCCGGGCCCTCTTCATTACATCTCTCTACAAACTTCCGTCAAGACTCATTTCTTCCGATCGACGACCAGGCCTCGTACAGTGCGCGCGTGATGGAGATCGACCGGATATGGAGAAGCAGGCTGTCGCTCGTGCAGTCTCTGAACTGGCCGGTCGAGATCCAGCTAGCCGCTTTCTATGACGCCGTGATTCGCGACTTTGCGGCGCCTGTGCGCGCGTATTTGGATTACCTGCGATTGTCGTTTTCTGCGGATCTGAACGTGCAGGATTCGGACGCGGATTTCTACAGTATACCGCTGGAAGTGCGGGTTAAATTCTCAAATCTGAGATTTTTGAATGAGAGTCTACAAGAAACGCGAGACTTACTGAGAGATCGGTTTATGACCTCTGTCTTAGAAGCCGAAACCGAAGAAATTGGGCATCTGATCAGTCCCGATTACTGCCTGAAGTTCAAGATCCTCGAGCTTGAGAACTATATTATCTCAGCCGGCTGTCGCGCGGTCCATATCTCGATCGAGACTAAAGACGCCGACTCTGGCCAGACGCGGACTGTGCAGACGCGGCCTCTGTCGACGATCAGCGCGGCGGCGTTTGTGTGGAACGAGGAGTTTGAGCTGAGGTTTCCTAGGGATACTGAGGTTTATATGTTTACGATGCGGTTGGTCGAGCATCTTGCTGATGAGACGTTGGTGGAGGAGGAGTCGAAGTTTGTTGATGTTGATGTTCGAGATAGTTTCTTTTATGAAGCTTGGGTATGTTTCTTTTCTTTGCATTTTATATGCGTGAGGTGTTCGCTAATGATGGTATATAGGACTATCATCTGGCGATGCAACCCCATGGGCTCGAGGAGGACTCAGCTCACGGGCTTGTTCGGTTACGGATGCAGTTGACGAAAGATAGCAAGAACCCGTCCGAAATGTTTGACAGTTTGATATCGGAAATCAATAATCTGGAAACGATATTGATCCAAGGTACCTCCGAGCAGATGTTTGGTACTATCTACCGAGTTCTATCGCTCGATAATCTGCTAGACTCGTCTGAAGCCGAAGACTTTGACGTCAAGAAAGAAGCAATCTCGTCGCTTTTGAATTATCTCGAACTCAGCTTCGCGACAATCACAGCCCAAGTAGGCAAACGGCTTTCGCAGCGGATGATGCTCACGGTGTGGGACGAATGCATCGAAGCGTTAAACATCTTGCTCGACGCGGTCACCGATCCGGACGAAAACTTGATTGAGAAGGAGAAAACAGATGTGGTGAATCAGTGGCTTCAGACGCTGAAAAAGTTCTTTTATTCGGGAGGAAGGGATGTCCCGCTTGCGATGCTGGAGAGTGCAAAGTTGCGTGAGATACTGCGGAGGGTTTATTAGAGAGTAGTAGTTTCTCTCTGGTTAGGTAGATCCTGTGCAATGCCCTTTTCTTTATTTTATGTATTTCTTTTTGCTTTTGCTTTCGTGCTGTGTTCTGTCCTTGGGAAGGCGTTTCTCCAGTCGTTTGTTTTATCCATGTCCATGTGCAATTTGTGATATTCTCGGGAAAAGAAGATCGAGATGGAGTTTCATATACTATATGTTTTGTTTTGATTGTTGTGTTTGGGTATTCAGTGTGTTTTGAAGGGCCGTGTAAATACAAAAAGCTGAGAGTTATCTAGTGCAAAGACTAGTCGTAGGCTTTGATCTCTCCTGATCCACGCCTTATCTGATCCAACTCCACCCGTCTATGAGACGTATCGAAAATAGGGTTGCTATCAGCTGTCGCTGTCCATCTCCACCTGCCGAGATCAGAGACTGTTCGACCATGACTTGGCTGCCGAGAGAAATTAGGGTGTCGGCAGCGGCGTGGCCGGGCGGCCAGGTACGGAGGGGGGCGGGGCGGGAGAGGGTTATGAGATTAGGCACGTGCCGATTAGCTGATTACGGGGCGATAGTGCGTAGATACGATTGTGAGCTACCCATCGGTCAGTTTTCTTAATGTTCAGATATTTGAATAAAAGATCTGCTTATGCTTTTGTCAGATTGATAATTGAGAAGTTATAATAACAAAGAGATGAGTGTTGGGCTTGAGAAATAGGGAGGCGGGTATGATAAGTACAAATCCCTCATACGCATTGGGTATAATTGCGTGCGCAATGCGTTAATCGATAGGGCTCGTGCCGACGATCACTGCTCTTTGTCCACTTTTGATCTTCCTGCGCTGTCTGCCAGTTCTTGCTTTCGTTTGATATACGTTGAGAATTAGGGATTAGATTTCGAGGTAGAAGGGATTTGACATTGAACTTGTTCGCGAAATATCAGAGGAAAGATGGCGTCTTACCAGGATGGGGAGAGTTCAGATAGGTATCTGCGGACTGTGAATGCCCTGGCTTTGCAGAGGTGATGTGCTAACGACTTGTGTGTATCAGCAATAGGGAGAATTTGCTATACCAGTCAGATGAAACGGACCGGACGCTGGGCAGAGGAAGTGGATGGTACAACATACCAACAGTCTACGCCTTCCTCCCCACCTTCTTCCTCAGCGCCTTCGCGGCCGGCGCCGTCATCGCGCCAATGCTAAACTTGATCCTGTCGCTCTACTGCCGCGCGTACTACGCCGAGCACGACTCGTCGCTGGCAGAGGACGCGGACCGCAACTGTCAGGTGCCCGAGGTTCACGCGGTGGTTTCGCGCGCGGTGATGATCCTCGGGCTGATTCAGAGCTTGATTGGCGCGCTCGTTAGTCCTAAGCTTGGGGCTTGGTCGGATAGGATTGGGCGGAAGAGGGTGCTTTTGATTCCAATCTGTGGAGAGACGGTTAGTGTGTGTGACTGTGCGATCTTTTGGGCTGGGAACTAACTAGAATGTACAGCTTGCGCACTTGGTCAATCTTATGATTGCTAGATCGTCGTATATTCACGTCTACAGATTTCTATTCATCGCGAACGTCATGAGCGGCCTGTCAGGCTCTCTCCCCTGCGTCATGCTTATCGGTCAAGCCTACGTCGCGGACTGCACCTCCTCCGCCAAGCGCGCGAGCGGCTTCGGTCTCCTGCGCGCGCTTTTCTTCGCCGGCATCTCGATCGGCCCGATCGCAGGTGGTCTCGTGATCAACCACATGGGCTCGCTGGTCTCGGTCTTTTACTTTTCGGTCTCGATGCAGATCATAAACGCGCTTTACGTCGCGTTCGTGCTGCCCGAGTCGCTGTCGGACGAGAACCGGACGCATGCGACCGAGCTCCGTCGCGCGGATTCGGAGGTAGATCTGATGAGGCCGCGGAATGTCAAGTACTATCTCCGCCGGATGAACTTTTTGACTCCGCTGCGTGCGCTGTGGCCGAACGATGGGACACGGTACATCATCAAGAAAAACATCATCTTGCTCTCCGTCATCGACACGTTCTTCCACGGCGTCGAGATCGGAGTTCTGATGAACGTACTGCTGTATGCCGAGCTAACCTTTGGCTGGACCAGCGTCGCCACGGGAATTTTCATCTCGTTCAGTTCGTTCATCCGCGCGTTCTCGCTGGTCGTGGTGTTGCCGCTCATGGTGCACTATCATCAGAAATGGAAGCCTCATATCCTGCACGAGGTCGGCGCGTCGAAAGGCGACGTGTTTTTAATCCGCATCTCGTTTCTGTTTTGTATTGTTTCGTACGTCGTCATGGCTCTTGCTCGCAACACGACCGAGTTTTTAATCGGCGGTCTCCTCGGCGCCGCGGGCTCGATCGGTTCTCCGACCGCGGCCTCTGCGATAACGAAGCACGTTCCCAAGCAAAACACAGGCGCGATCCTCGGCGCGCTTTCGCTCTTGCAGAGTATCGCGACCGTCATCGGACCGCTTGTGTTTTCCAACATTTACGCGTCGACGGTGACGTATGCGCCCAAGACGATCTTCTACGTCGTCATTGGGTTGTTTGGTGGTTCCCTTGGCTGTTCGATGTTTTTGAAAGAGCATGCGAGTGGCGGGTTGTATGATAGTGGGGATGGGCTCGATGATGAGCAGGCGGGTGAGGATGCGGTGGACGATGAGGGGAGGATCAGGTTGTGATTTGTTTCTGTAGTCTGTCTTTGTTTTCTTTTTTATTTATAGTTATTGCTAGATGGTACGGTTAACAGATTTTGTGCGGGAAGGTGTATGGGGTGGAGATGGGCGGGTAGGAGCAAACGGCATTTATTTGGACCACATTTATAGCGGAGTTACCTTTATTTACAGTTGCAGCAATATAATAATACTACTGAATAAGTTAAGAGCCGTGGTCGTGCCTTGAGTTTGCTCCAAAAGCTAGCTATTCAAGAGAAGACTTCAAGAGAAAACACGCGCTGGAGATATGGATACAGAAAGCTCTAGATCTAGCCCTTAGCTTGTCTCCTGTTCACACTAAGCAGCCCAGGATGCTGATAAGACTGCGATAAGGGCCTTGTTTGCATTGCGTCGGAGTCATTCTCGTCCGACTTCCGACCCGTAGCCCCTCTGTACTTTTCTCCCATGCGCAGCACAGCTAGTAATTTTTTCACAGCGCAAGCAGTGACGATCAGTAGACGGAAAGCCAAGGCCGCAAGGGAGAGGTGGATAGGTCATTGTTGAGTGCTTAATCGCTCTGGGGAAGAGGAGGCATTGTCTGCGATAACAAAGCGATAAGGGAATTGAGTTTTGTAGTCAGTGAGCCCTCGGACCCTCTGCGCGATGCCCGCCTGCTCGGTGTAGAGCCTGGAAGCTCTTCCTACTGGACCTCGAGTATCAGAATGAAGACAGAAGCAGAAAGTACAGACAGCAGATAAGAAATGCGATGTCAATACACAAAACAGACAAAATAAATCAGATAATAATCTGCACCAAAACTCGGTGTCTGCGATACCCGCCAGCCGCGCGCAGATGGCCCCGGCCCCCGCGCAGATGGTTTGTCTCGAACTCCAAAAATCCTCGTGACTTTTTGCTTTTTATTCATTTTGGCGGGAACACCCGCCGCCGCCGACGATCGCTATCGCGGCCTTGTTTTGACGGATCACCGTAGGGTTCGGCTTTTCGTTGTTTGCTCCATTCGCGCTGGTTCGTCGACGATCGGCATTCTTGTCTTTGGTTTCTAATCGACGTTGAGCGTTTGGTGTGCTGTAGAGGTGCCTATCAGTCGATGCAGGGCCGTGTTCTAAGCTGCAAAGACAGTTCCTACAAACCCACTACACTCCACAATCTCACTCAAAACCCCAGACGCAAACGAAATGGACACACGAAAGGAAAGCGACGAGAAATCGGTCGTCATCACCGAAGCCGTGCGCGCGTCCTCGTCTGCCTCGCGTACAGACCAGGACTCGGCCTCGGTGGTGAAGCTGCAGGAGCAGGAGCAGCCCCAGCGCACTGCGGTCGGCAACGCTCTCAGCTATCTCAATCCGTTTGCGGTTCGGTATATCCCGCCGATTCCTGACCGGCCGGGTGTAACGCCCGAAGCGACGGCGAATAGACTGAGCAAGATATATTTTGTCTGGATGAACAAGCTTATGAAGGTGGGCGATGATATCGACTTTGGACTGAGCGAGCGTTACTGACTTGTCGTCGTCATATAGACCGGATACGCACGTCCGCTGGTAGAGAATGATATCCCGCTAGTCGAAGACCGCAAACGGTCGTCTCCCATGACCGATCGTTTCCAAGCAAATTTCGATGCCCGAGTCGCCAAAGGCCAGCGCAAGAACGTGCTTCTGACCGCGTTACTCGACACCTTCCCCTTCGAGGTCTGGTACTCCATGACCGCGCGCATCATCGTCGACATCATCTGGATGACGGCCCCCCAGCTCTCCCGCAGAATCATCTACCAGGTCTCGGACGCGTACAAGGCCAAGCTCAACGGAACCCAGCAGCCCCCTGTCGGACACGGCGTCGGCATGGTGATCGGTCTCGCGCTGCTCTTACTCGTCTCATGTGTCTTCCAGCAGCAGTTTTTCTACTACGCCGGTCTGGCGGGCTCGCAGTCCCGAACGGTCTTGATCAACGCGCTCTATCGCAAATCGCTCAAGCTCTCGAATCGCTCGCGCATCGAGTACACAAACGGCAGAATCACAAACCTGATGTCGACAGATACCTACCGCGTCGAGTTTTGCTGCATGTTTGTCGAGCACTTGCTTGACGCGCCTATCCCTCTGATTATCTGTCTCATCTTGCTGCTCGTCAACATCGGTGTCTCGTCGCTTTGCGGATTTGCGCTGCTTGTCGTTGCCTCGCCCGCGCTCGGAAATATCACGCGCGTGATTGCCCGCCGACGACTTCGGTCGACCGTGTTCACCGACCAGCGCATCCGATTGATCCAAGAACTCCTTCAAAACATGCGCATCATCAAGTTCTTCGCGTGGGAAAACGCCTACATCAAACGGCTGTACTCGATCCGCGTGAAGGAAATCAAGCTCGTGCGCTACGTCCTCGTTCTCCGATCAGCGATCTTTGCAATCAGTATCACGCTCCCGGTCTTTGCCTCAATGATCTCGTTCGTCATCCTCTCAGTCACAGGACACAACCTCGACCCGGCCAAAGTGTTTGCCAGTCTGTCGCTGTTCAACATGCTGCGTATTCCGCTCATGGTCATCCCGCTTGGTTTGACGACCGGGACGGATGCGTACGTTGCGCTGCAGCGGATTGAGAAGATGTTGATGGCGGGCGAGCTCGAGAGCGAGGTTACGTCAGACAAGGATCTGGACTGCGCGATTTCGATCAATAATGCCTCGTTTGTATGGGAGGCTGAGACTGAGGAGGAAGCTCTTGCTGCGGACGCGAAGAAGGCTGCGGACGAGAAGAACGCGCGAAAGAAAGGGTTCTTTTCGCGACGTAGCAAGGCGGCGAAAGCCAAAGAGGCTGAGGAGGAGAAAGAAAATCAGCTTCGAAGGACGATTAGTGCTGAAACTGCCAGTCTTGCCGGGATCGAGATCGACGCAGAAGCAGAGCACGAGGTCAGTCATGAGTTGAAGCCGATTGACGAAGTCATGGATGACTCTGAGGACGACGAGAAAACTGAGTTTACCGGTCTGCATAATCTCAACTTGAAAGTGAAGCCCGGAGAGCTTGTTGTCATCACCGGATTCATTGGGTCGGGAAAAACGTCTCTGCTGGCTGCATTGGTGGGAGAGATGCGTCAGACCGGTGGATCAGTCAAGATGGGCGGAACGGTTGCGTACTGTCCTCAGCCGTGGATTCAAAACTCCACTTTACGAGAGAACATCCTTTTTGGTCGCGATTTTGACGAGGAAAAATACGCAAACGTGATCAAAGGATGTGCGCTCGAACACGACCTGGCCGTCCTTCCCGCGGGCGACCAGACCGAGATTGGCGAGCGCGGAATCAACATCTCGGGCGGCCAAAAGTCGCGGATCACGCTCGCTCGGGCGGCGTACTACGGCGCCGAGATTGTGTTGCTGGACGACGTTTTGTCGGCGGTGGATCCGCATGTGGGAAGGCATTTGGTTGAGCAGTGTATTTGCGGGTTGCTGAGGGATTCGACGAGGTTGCTGGCTACGCACCAGCTTCATGTTCTGCCGCATGCGGACCGGATTATTTTCATGAACGGCACCGGAGGGTTTGATGTTGGCACTTATGACGAGTTGCTTGTGGCGTGTCCGAAGTTCGCAGAGTTGATTCAATATGGATCGTCAAAGAATAGTGAAGAGGAGGAGGAGGAGGAAGAGGAAGCGCCTCCCGCTGCTGCTGAGAAGAAGGACGCAGATGGTGAAAAGATAGAAGAGGAGAAGGAAGACGAAGTTGAGCAAAAGAAGAAAGGCGCGACGCTGATGAACAAAGAAGAGCGTCAAAGCGAAAACGTCTCGTGGACCGTCTATCGCGAGTACTTCAAAGCCGCGGGCGGGAAATACGTCGGCTGGGCTGTTGCCCCGATGATTGTCGGAGTCGCGATCCTGGCTTCGGGCACGCAGATTTTGACAAATCTCTGGCTGTCGTACTGGACGCAGGATAAGTTCTCGCTCTCGAAGGGTCAGTATATTGGATTGTTTGTCGCGTTTGGTGTTATTTGTGCGATTCTGTACTTTTTGCTTGGATTCTCAATCACATATGGTGAGTTCTATGTTATCAAAGCTGCAATTACTCTACTTGCTAACACTATTTCTTCTCAATTGTTCAGCCGGTGCGAATGCATCAGTGTCTATGAATATGACTGCTACAGAGAAAGTGATACAGGCGCCAATGGCATTCTTCGATACGTCACCGCTAGGTCGGATCATGAACCGCTTCTCGAATGACGTGGAGTCGATGGACAACACGCTTATCGATGCCTATCGGCAATACCTGATGACGATGAGTTCTATTTGCGGAATCCTGATTTTGATCATCGCGTACTTCCACTACTTTGCGATTGCGCTCGCGCCGATGATATTCTTGTACATTGTGGCGACGATGTACTACCGCGCGTCAGCCGTCGATATCAAGCGGATGGACTCGAACGCGCGTTCAGCCGTGTTTTCACACTTCTCCGAGACATTGACGGGTCTGACCTCTGTACGCGCGTATAACGAGCAGTCAAGATTTTCGCTAAAAATGGAAAAGGCGCTAGACGAGATGAATCGGTTTTCGTATCTGCTTGTCGGCAACCAGCGATGGCTGTCGGTACGGCTGGAGTCGATTGCGATCTGCCTCGTGTTTATCACGGGCATGCTTGCGGTGTCGGCCAAGTTCAACGTCGGGGCGGCGTCGTTGGGACTGGTGCTCTCGTACTGCATGTCGCTGTCGATGCAGATGTCGATGGTGATCAAGCAGTTGGCTGACGTGGAGAACTTCATGAACGCGGCCGAGCGGATTTACTACTACATGACGAATCTCCCGTCCGAGGCAGCGTACGAGATCGAGGAAGCTAAACCCCGGGCGACGTGGCCAGAGAAAGGCGCGATAGAGATGAAAGAGGTCGTGCTGCAGTACCGACCGGGTCTTCCGAAAGTATTACGTGGCCTGGATTTGATGATCGAGGGAGGTCAGAAGATTGGCATCTGTGGCCGCACGGGAGCGGGCAAGAGTTCGATTATGGTGGCGCTCTACAGACTTGCGGAACTCACCGGAGGCCAGGTTTTGATTGACGGGGTCGATATCTCAAAGATCGGACTGCACGACCTGCGGTCAAAACTCGCGATTATTCCGCAGGACCCCGTGCTATTCCGCGGCACGATCAGAACCAACCTCGACCCGTTCAATATCTACTCTGATGCCGAGCTCTGGGACGCGCTGCGCAGGGCTGGCTTGCTGGGAGACGACGCGGCGGGGAATTTGTCTGCGGCGCACGAAAGCGAGAATGGTAATGGCGCAGCCGCACCATCATCGCCCGACGCGCACGTCAACAGCACGAAAAAGGACGGTGATGTGGCCTCAGGCGCGGCCGGCGCTGGAGCAGCTGCTGCTGCGAGCCCGATAGGAAAGTTCCAGTTAGACTCGCCGGTCGATGACGAAGGCTTGAACTTTTCGCTAGGCGAGCGACAGCTGCTGGCACTTGCGCGTGCGCTGGTGAGAAACTTCCAGATCCTCGTGCTGGACGAGGCCACGTCGTCTGTAGACTACCAGACCGACGCGAAGATCCAGGAGATCATTGTGCGCGAGTTTGCGCACTGCACGATTCTGTGCATCGCGCACCGGCTGAAGACTATTATTAACTACGACCGGATCCTGGTGCTCGACGCGGGCAAGGTGGCTGAGTTCGGGGCCCCTCTCGAGCTATACGAACGCGAGGAGAGTATATTCCGGGGGCTGTGCTTGAAGTCGAAGATCACGACGGAAGACTTTGGGAGCGGACGAAGATGAGTCACGAAGAGAAGGGGTTCAGAGGAAGATGAGCGATTTACGTGCCTGCAGCGACTTTGACTAATAGTTCGGACGCAGCACTGCAGCACTGATCTACGTTAACTAATCACGATTAATAACATTACGTAACCATGCGAGCAATTAAACTGAGCCCGAGTCGGAGTCGGGCGCTTTCGAGTCTCCGTCCGAATGGGCGGCGAACCTAACCCTCGCACAAGTGGCCCAAACCGGTTAGCGTTGAGAGCTCGCTTGCGGATGCGACGACCAGCGCGAGGCCGCGCGTCCTCTGCGCACACCCAGAATAGCGAATTACCCGAGAGCCCACGGTGCTCAGCCTTATGCTGGGCGCGTCTCCGCCGGGCGCGGCTGAAGAAGAGCGCACAAGTGACGTCAGCCTGGGCTAGGGCAGGCACCGCTCAGCATCTGTCTCGGACCCGGCCGGGCTTAGATAAACTCCGCCGGCCGAGGTGGTGTACGACAATCCGGACAAAGATTGTTTAAAGTAGGGATCTCCTCCTGCCCTGCGCTCACTTTCTTTTGTTTTCTTTTTTCTGTATTCACCTCTATTCACTCTTCTCCACGAACTTTCAATGAGAATGCGTTCTTCTTCTCCCCGGCGCAGAGTCGCGGCCAGCAATGCCGCTGCTGCTCTTCGCGCGGCTGACTCCAGCGATGACGAAATGACAATCGACGAGCGCAAGGAATGGATGGGCATCGCGGACCCTCTCCTTCGCCGCCGAATACAGAACCGCGTCGCCCAACGCGCCAGACGTATGTCCTATCTTGTATTTTTTTGTGGTTCTGATCTTTATATAGTGCAAATCAGCTAACCCATGTTCTTTCTCTCTATAGGGCGCAGATTGGCGAAAAGCAAAGGTAGCAAAGATCACAGCGAAAGCAAATCCCGCCAACAGAGCTGGGACAGCGAAGCTTCTTCGACAGCGCCTTCCTCCACATTCGATGAGAAGGCCGCGGAAGAACCCACAGACGAGCCACTAGCTTGCGAATCCGCGTCTGATCCACCCTCATCTGCTTCGATAATCGCAGAGATCCTAGGTCTGGACAGCACGCCTCCCTCAGCTACCCTCTCAACTCCCTCCTCCTCCTCCATCTCAGACACAGACTCAATCTCCCCAAGCACTCCGCCCACTCTATTTGCCACCCCGCAGGATCTCCAGCGCGAGCATTATGAGCGCGAGCTTGAGCGAATGACCTCGCTCGACTTTGATTCCGCGCTCGACTGCAGTCTCTTTGACGAGCCCTCGACCGCGCCGCCAGATCAGTTCCGGCAATGTCTGGCGGGCTCGCTGGCGCCTACGACTACGACCTTGCAAGAGCTACTGATGCCGCCGTCGCTGATGATGCCATGCCAGCCTGTCGGGACGGCGATGTGCCACAACATCAAGAAACTGCCTCTTCCGCACGACTTGCCACAGTATCAGGTCTTTTCCCCACCCGAAGACTCCAGCTCGATCCCACGGTCTCTCTTTCCCACTCAGCTGCAGAGTGTAGTACCACACATCCAATATGTTGATGCTATCCCGTTTTCGAGCTTGCGCGACGCGCTCCTGCAGCAGATGCGCATGGGATCGCTGGACGAGATTGCGTTCTGCCAGGACCTGCTCAACGACGGGTTTCGCGTCTGGGGATCAGATCCCGCGCAGCCGTTAGCGTGGGAGATTTCCGAGGAGTTTGCAAAGAAATGGGCATGGCTGATCGATGACTCGATCCTCGACATCGCAAAGTTCTGGGCCGGCCAGCGCAAGCAGGGTCATCTGGATGGCGAAATCCTCCCCTCGCTCTTGTGAGCGTTCTCTTCATATCTCTAGATTCGCTTTTTTTACATTCTCTGTCTTACTTGTCAGATCATTATTTGGGATGGATTATTAGGCAAACAGGCAGGCAGGCAACTTCGAGGCTAATCATTAGGAAGTAGATATATTCTCGGGTTCATTATGGGTGTAAATTGTATTTATTGGGGGCTTTTGCGTATCCGGAGTTTTTGTTTTTTTATTTCTCGTTTTGTATGTATGGCTGTTCATGTTTAATCCGCTGTATAATCTCTAACTCTCTCAATCTGATATCTCCTCCACCTCTTCTCTTCTCAATCTGCTCAATGGCATTGTTGTCCCCAACGCAGGCACGAAAAGAAATGCTGACAGAGTTCGGTGCTGACCAAACAGAGATCTGTAATAAATACAACAAACCTTAAACCATGCATTCGTTCGGGTGATTATTCATCTAAGACTCGCTAAACTTTAATAGAATCGAACACGAACCCGCGTCTTCGGACTCGCGTTCTTTGTCAGCTGCGCGGGCCAAAAGAAGCAGAGGCAAATGCGAGCCGGGAAGAGTCATAGTTCTTTGTTCTCTCGCGTTCCAGGAGTTAAAGTAAGAGTGAGTTGATTTGGTTTTATTTTTTTTGTCTTTCGAGTGTTCTAGAGTGTCTTGCCTGCATGGAACTGCTGCTCACTCACAGTCGTCCGACGTGCTAGCACTAGAATACAACAGAACAATAGTTACTACAAAACTGCAGAAAAGTAACAAATAAAATGATGAACAGCAAATCTCATAATAAAAATAAAAGCAAAAAGAAAAAAAAACAGAGGTTTAAAAATATAAAAAAATGGCGACACCAGCAGGACTCGAACCTGCGCCTCGAAACGAGAAAAGATATCGGATTTTGAATCAGCGCAAGCTGAATGGAATTCGAGTCTTTCGCCTTAACCACTCGGCCATAGTGCCTTATTGAGAAAAATTTAATTCACCGGTTCTTTATAATGTCATAGATCTTGAAGTAGATATTGCATGATTTTAGGAAAATCATAATGTGATGATGGAGAGTGAAGATTTTGGATCAAGTTGAAGGTATTTTGGAAGTGTTTATTAGGAAAATGGACGGATTATAGAGGTTTAGTTGCTGTTTCGAGGCACAAGAGTTCGCCTCGAAGCCCTCAACTCGCAAGCTTGATTGCGCTGTAGTTGCTCCACACATCGCTTCTTGAATCCTAAACTTTGTCTGCCTCGTAAATGAATTATCAATGACAGAGCTGTCAACTAATTTTAGATTCATATGGCTGAATTGGAATCGAATCAGACGCAGAGGAGCGGTAAGAACGATGGACTAACAACGCGTCGGGAGAAGTACAGTCTGCGGTTTAGGGCGCAAAAAATCATGTTAATCTCTTCTGCAACTTCCCATCCCAACCAGCTTCTCGATCTACACGTCTCCCATGAATCGAGAATGAGCACAAGGAGTCTGCAGATTGGATTACGGTTTAGTAGAGGAATATTTTGCAGCTATGTGGGAAGTAGTTGTTGGCCTTTGCAGACGACGATAAAGAGGACAAAGGTCACCAAGGCGAGCTCGAAACGGTGGGTGCAGCGGCAAGGCAGTGATATGTATGCTCGGGAGGCAAAAGAGCAGGGGTTGAGAAGTCGGGCGGCGTTTAAGTTGCTGGAGGTGTGTTGTTTCTTTTGAGCTATTAATCTGGGGATATATAGCTGTTATTTGAAAGATTGGCTAACTCTTGCTGGTCTGAAGATTGATCAATCGCATAAGATCTTCAAAGCAGGACAGACAGTTATCGATCTGGTATGACTCCCTATCTTCCAGACAATTCTCTATCGTCGATGCAAAACCAAATCTGACATTCTCATTGATTTCCTAGGGCTTTGCTCCCGGATCATGGACCCAAGTAGCCGTCGACCACACCCGCCCCAACGGGCGCGTACTCGGAATCGATATCCTCCCCGCCGCGCCGCCCAAGGGCGCGATAGCCGTTCAGGGCGATTTCATGTCGCCGCTAGTGCAAGCCGGTATCAAAGAGTACTTGGAAAATCCAGATGAGGTCGAGAAGCGTGCGGTTGAGGGCGATCAGACGAAGCAGCAGGAGAGTGGGCAAGAGTCGGGGAGTGCGAGGACAAGAGAGAAGCAGAGTGCGCCTGCGTCTGCGGTTGATACGGTGGATGTGATGCTGAGTGATATGTTAGTATTCTGTGCTTGATGCTTGGTGGTTTTGCTGCAAGTTGTCAACTACTAACTGTGGAATTATCAGGCTTATGAACACCTCCGGAAACGCATTTCGGGATCACGCTACAAGCATGGTACTCCCCCACTCCCTCATTCCTATTTTATCAAAAAGACACCCCAAACTAACCCACCACCAGGACCTCTCCAACGTCGCTCTCGATTTCGCGCTCGACACCCTCCGCCCCGGCGGCAGCTTCGTCTGCAAATTCTACGCCGGCGGAGAAGACTCCTTGCTCGAGCGGCGACTTCGCAGCGCGTTCGACCGGGTCAAGAGGGAGAAACCTGCTGCGTCGCGCGGGGAGTCGCGCGAGCAGTATTTTGTGGCGACGGGGAAGAAGAAGAGGAGGAAGGTAGAGAGTGTGAAGGGGGGAGGGGGGCGGGGGTAGGAGTTGGGGGGTGTAGTGTATGATTAAGAATTGAATTTATGGCTAAAATTTGCTATTTTGACGACTTTATCTCTGTATAAATATTTAGTGGGAAGTGTCTGATACAGTATAATTTTGCATCTTTTTTGGTCATTTACTATACTTTTCCCTCAATCGTACGGGTACATCTTTACAGGCTATAAGAGTGAGTGCAATACTGCGAGCCCGCAGATTTCTCAATCATGCTTGCTAGGGCTCTCAGGTCAAAAACAAAAAAAAAATCAACTGCACTTCACAACTTCCACGCAATTTTTAAGAATCTGCATAAAAAAAGGGAGAGCGTGTTTGTATTTATCCAGAGATGATTAGAGAACATTAATAATTGCAAAAAGAGGAGAAAAAAACAAGAAGAAAACTATGCTTGCTTGCGCAATATTATAATAAAGGAGATAATTATCAAAAATGACAAACGCAGAGATAGATATAATAGAGAGGAACAAAGAAAAGGCAGATTCGTGAACCCATGAGCGATTTGAACTGAACAAAAAAGGTAGCTATAAATACAATATAAAACATAAATGAAGGTAATCGAACAGAGAAAGAGAATATATAGACATGAGAAAAGCGGTGAATAAAAACGGGGTGACCAGACTACCGACTATCCAGGGTAAAATGGGCGCAAATAGATGAGATGATATCGCTCTTATTTATAGTAGATGAACAAACACTCTATCAGAATCGTCGATCTCCGGTGTACTCGTACGCAGCACGAATCTCAGTGTTCACACTCCCCCCCAAAGGCGGGAACAAGTCGCCGAGCCCGCCATCTTTCGTCGGGTTCTGCTGCTGGTTCTGCTTCTGCTGCTGCTGCGTAGCCGGATCGTTGGGGTCGCCGAGCTTGGAGAACCAGACCTTGTTTCCTTCTTCTTGCGAGATGCCCGCAAAGCAGCGGTTGAAAATGTCGCTGTAGAAGTGGCACGGGACACCCTCGATTCCCTCCTTGACGACGTTCGGGAGGGCTTCCCAGTCTGCTACGTTACCGGCGGGGAAGAAGACGGTCTTTGCACCAGCGCGCTTAGCGGCAACAGTCTTCTCGCGCAGTCCTCCGATGCGGAGGATGCGGCCAGTCACAGTGATTTCTCCAGTCATGGCAAAGCCAGGATCAACGGGTTTGTTGAGCGCAAGCGAAAGAAGCGAGGTCGAGATCGTGACACCAGCTGACGGTCCGTCCTTTGGCGTCGCGCCCTCGGGGCAGTGCATGTGAATCCGCGCGTGCTCAAAGAATCGGTTCTCGGGGAAATGAGAGGCGATAAACATCTTTGCAAAAGTGTAGGCAATCGCGGTCGACTCCTTCATGACGTCGCCGAGCATACCGGTGTACTTGAAATTCTGCGTCGAAGAAGGCACCAGCGGCGCCTCCACCACGGACTCCACGTACATACACGTTCCGCCCATCTGGGTCCATGCCAGACCAGTGATAACACCAGTAGGCGGCTGCTCGTCGTAAAGCTTGTCGGATGTGTAAATTGGTGGGCCGACGTAATCAGCGAGGTTCTCGGCCGTCAACTTGATATGCACCGAGTCCGGAACAACAAGTGGCTGGACCTGCGGCTGCTCGGGAGCTGCCTTCTCAGCGCTCGCGTCCGCCACCTTGGCCTCACCTTCCACAGTCTCGGCGCCTTCTGTCTTCTCTGCACCGGCTGCTACTGTCTTCTCGGCGTCGACCTCCGGTGCCTTGGCTTCAGCTTCCGCAGTAATTACTTTCGCCTCAAGAACTTCAGGCTCCTTAATATCCTTGACGATTTCGAGCGCAGCCTTGCGGTACACCTTCTCGATCTGCTTCTTCAGGTTTCGAACACCGCTCTCACGGCAGTAGCTCTTGATCAGGCGTTCGATAGCCTCATCCGTCAGCTCAACGTTGACATCCTTCAGTCCCGAGTTCTCACGAGCCTGAGGAACGAGGTACTTTGATGCGATCGCCATCTTCTCCTCGGCGATGTAACCCGAGACTTCGATGATCTCCATACGATCCAGCAAGGGCTGCGGAATCGTGTCGATCATGTTCGCAGTGCAGACAAACAGCACTTTGCTAACATCGACAGGGATGTCAAGGTAGTGATCCAGGAAACTGTTGTTTTGTTCGGGATCTAACAGCTCAAGCAGGGCTGACTTGGGATCTCCCTGATGACCGTGACCGACCTTGTCGACTTCGTCAATCAAAATCAACGGGTTCTCAGTCTGGCAGTTCTTGAGAGACTGAATGATACGTCCAGGAAGAGCACCAACGTAAGTTCGTCGATGACCCTTGATCTCTGCAACATCCGCCAAACCACCAACACTGAACCGCTGGAACTGTCTACCCAGAGCGCGGGCAATCGACTTTCCGATAGACGTCTTTCCGACACCAGGCGGTCCCACGAAGCAAAGGATCTTGCCGTCCACGTTGCCACGAAGCTTGCCAACCGCAATAAACTCTAGAATACGGTCCTTGACATCTTTCATGCCATAATGGTCTTCGTCCAATACATCGACAGCGTGCTTCACAGAGTAATTCTCAGGTGACGTGATTCCCCACGGCAGCTGAGTGATCCAATCAAGGTACTTGAGTGTAACATTGTACTCTGATCCCGAGGGCTCGAGACTCATAAGCTTGTTGAGCTCTTCATCAAACACGACCTGCGCTGCCTCTGGCATGTTCAGTTTCGCAGCGCGCTCCTTGAATTTCTCAATCTGCTTGTCCTTGCCATCTGACTCCATTCCAAGCTCCTTTCGGATGACACGCATCTGCTCCATCAGGAAGTACTCTCGTTGACGCTTCTGGATCTTGCTCTCGACATCCTTGCTGATCTTGTTCTGCAGCTTTGCAGTCATAAGCTCCTTCTTGAGCAAAACAATTCCCTTCTCGAGACGTTGCACGGGATCGCGAATATCCATAAGCTCCTGCAGCTCTAGCGCATCCCCTCCGCAGACGGCAGAAGCAAAATCGGAGAGACGAACAGGCTCTTCGAGAACGTTTCCGTTCGAAAGACTGAGAGTGAAGGACGTGATCTGATCACGGAATGACGGGTTCTTCATGGAAATTTCCTTCAGGAGAGCGACAACTTCGCCCATAAGAGCTTTGACTGTGGGATCTTGCTTGTCAATGGGAAGATCGGGTCGGTCCTTAACACGGACAGTCGTGACACTATCGCGCAGGAAAGCCACTGGGTCTTTCTCTGGCGCACCTTTAGCTTCTATAATGATATAACGTCAGTATACAGTTCGAACCTCGATGAGATAAGCTCCTCATTACAACGACAAAATACACGCAAACTCACCATCCGCAACAACATCAAAGCTCGTAACATCAGTTGTGGAAGAAGATTCGCTTTCGCTCCGGCTCTCAATTGGCTTCTCCGGATGCTTGGCAATAAAAACCTCCTCAATCTCGATTCTCTTGTGGGGGTACAGCATGATGGTCAAGCCTTCACTCTGAACACCATCCCTGGAAATGTTTCGAGGAAATATGCTCGTGATCTGGGCTAGCACACCATTATAGTAAATCTCGTCCGGGGCCATGATCGCCTCGGTTTTCGGATTAGGATCCTTCTGCAAAAAGACACCGACATATGGGAATCCACGTTCCTTGAGCTCGAGAATGGCTTCGATATGTCGCTCGTCATGCAACACAACGGCCTTGTAAAATTTAGGGAAAATAGGTCGGGAGACGATAGGCAGCGCCATAAGCTCTGTAATGTTTTCGGGGACGAAACTTCCGGAGCTCGAGTCGCTTGCATGGTCGGACGGAATTCCGACCGTGCGTATCGTCACAAGCGGGCCTGATGTCAACCTCTCCTTCAAGGAATCTTTCGCCTCGGACTCGTTCTTGCTTTCCTTGACATCCTTCGATTCCTTTGATTCCTTCGATTCCTTCGATTCCTTCGAAGATGATTCGGGGGTTGAATCTGCTGGTGCTGACGCCGACGAAGAAGCAGCAGCAGCTTTGCTTTCGGTATTGCGTATGCGGTGACGAACAGCCTTAGGCTCCTTGGTGACGACCTCGCTCTTCGAGTCAGCAGAAGCCTTCTCGTCAGCGGCGGCCTCCTTCGACTCAGATTTCGCATCTTCATCCTTCTTCGACTTTTTGCTTTCCTTCTCAGAAGACTCAGCTGACGGCTTCTTGCTCTTGCTTTCGCTGTCGCCGTCGTCGTCAGACTTCTTGCCCGCCCTCCGAATGCTGGACTGCGAGAACGCGCGGCGCGAGATTGCCAGCGTGGACGGTGCCGCAATCCGGGCGCGCATGACGGCATTCAAGTTCCGGGAAGCGGGCGCAAGGAGCTGGGTGGGTTGCGACCGCGAGATCGCAGCAATATACGGAAGTACGCGGCTCATTTGTGAATTGGTGGAGTGTGGATTGAGCTTGAAGCGGGTTTGATGACGGTGAGGGCGAGTACTGCTGCGTAAACGCGGTATTCAAGAGTGGAAGATGTGGCGACGCTTGTACAACTTCCGTGCGAATGCAGAAAGAGATAGATGCGACTTCGACAACAACAAAAAAAGAGAAAATCAATCCCACTCAGTAGCTGAAAAGGCTTATGAGGGTGTGGAAGCTGAATGGGCGGTGGTGTGAAGTCGACACAAGACCGATGCTGGTGTCTTTTGGCTGAGAGCGGATGGCGGTGGAAGATCTGGAGCTTAGAAATCCGGCGCAAGACTGACCGGGTCACGTTCAGTCACACATGAGTCACATGACTCGTGATCCATTCTCACTCCATTTCCTACATCAGTCTCTAACTGCTTTTACATTATTGTTACTGAATATTTCCACAAATGATAGGTCGAGTTATTTATTGAATCTTCTGGATACTTAGATAGACAACAAACATAAGAGCGACGACGAACACAAACATTCATTCTCCAAAACGCATTTAGACATAAAAAGTAACGTGATCATTATATTGTGTTGGCCTAGACTCTGCTATAGCCCCGACTGATATTTTTGTTTTGTTTATTTAGTAGGGAAAGCAGTCTTGCCCATGTTGGGCTGGATGATAGGACCGCCCTCCTTAGGCATTATATCGAAGTCAAAGATATCAGCAGGGATCGAGTAGCTGACGCACGAGTTGGGAACATCGACGATGGACGAGATATGGGTCTCGACCGGGGCAGCCGACAGAAGAAGGTAGGCCTGCTCACCGGTGTAGCCGAATCCCTTGAGGTACTCGATAGCGTTGAGGACGGCCTGTCGGAAGGCGACCTTGGCGTCGAGGAAGTGCTGCTTGCCGTCGTCGTCGACGGAGATACCCTGGAAGGTGAGGTATCGCGAAGGACCGTAGTGCGCGGTCACGTTTCCGGGGATGAAGACAGGGTTGTAGATCGACATATCCTTCATGCCGTTCTTGATGATTCCAAGCTTGAGGGTGATGATTCCGTGCATCTCAATGGCACCGCAGAACGAGATCTCACCGTCGCCCTCGGAGAAGTGGATGTCACCGACCGAGAAACCGGCTCCCTTGACGTAGATAGGGAGGTAAGCCTTAGAACCTCTGCTCAAGTTCTTGATGTCGATGTTTCCACCGTGCTCACGAGGGGGAACAGTCCGGACACCTTCCTCGCCGACCTTCTTGGCGAGAGCGGGGTCGACGCCCTGTCCGATGTAGGAGCCCTCGGGGTTGGGGAGAGCGGCGACAGTGCAGCCATCGTTGAGCGAGGCATGGAAGTCAACGAGATCGGCCTCGCGCTTCTTCCACTTGTTGAGCATCTCGTAGCTGGGAAGAGTTCCAATGATACCGGGGTGAATGAAGCCGGGGAACTTGACGTGGGGAATGTGTCGGGAGGAGGCAAAGATTCCATCAATGTCCCAGATAGCCTTCTGCATCTGCGGGTACTTGTCGTTCAAGAACGCGCTGGTCTTGGCGGGATCCATGATAGCGGTGTATCCCCAGGGCTCATCGGGGAAGGGCTGGATGTCCTGGATGTCGACGATAAGGAGATCGCCAGGCTGGAGAATGATCAGTTATTAGCTTGGAGTTTATGGAGAGAATATCGACAAGGATTTCAAAACACACCTCAGCACCCTTGACCTCAATAGGGCCAGACAAGCAATGGATGCTCAAGGGGTTGACCTTGGCGATGTCATCGGCGTCGTCGGTGTTGAAGACCTGACCACCGGAGGAGTCGAAGCACTCGACCTTGAAGACCTCACCCGGCTCGACAGAGCACTACATCGGAGAAAGAAGATTAGACTGGCTCACGGTTGAATCTAAACGAGAAGATGCACTCGTAGAATTGAGTGGAAACTTACGTAGAAGGGAATCTCCGGGTGCCAGCGAGTGTGCAGACCAGGCTGCTCATGGTAGGGTCTGTGAAGATCCACAGAGATCTTGGTAGGGATGGCGTCTAGGTCAATTCGGTTAGTACAAGATGATAATACCTCATGCAAGAAGCTCTGCTGCTCTGTGATCTCAATTGGAGAGAACTCGTAGGCAGGCCATTGTCGGGGATGCAAGGTCGTGAACGCCGAGACCAGCAACGGCAGAGATAAGCGCAGAAAGAGAGAAAGAAGGAGATGGACGTACCGACAGGCATTTTCAATGTAATAGTCTGCTAATTGGCAACTGCTACAAGTAAAAGAGAAAGCGTAAGGAACAGGCGTGAGGGAGGGAGAAGAAGAGAATGCGGTCGGCTCGAATCTACCAGAGGTTTATTCCGCAGAACGTTCGGCTGCTGGCTGCTGGCTGCTGGGCCTGGCTGGCTCCTGGCTCATTGAACCTCAGATAAGCCAAAGCCCTGAAGCTTATCGTGGTTGACTTCTCCCGAGACTCGTCAATTGAGTTCCGGTTAGGGCTTTTGCATGCCTATTCGGGATAATATATGCTGGGCGGGATGGCTTGAGTGCCCGTCGTCGGCACTTGTGCGGAGAACAAGCCCTTTTCTAGTAGTGTGTGTTGCAGTCGTCTGAGTAGACTGTCTAGGGACGCAGGATATAAGTATGCTTGCTGCTCTGATCTGCATCTGCAATTGCTAATGGTAATGCTGAACCACGCCAACATCGAAGCAACGAATTGGCTATCAGCATTATCCCGATAGAAGCACGAGACGGCAGCTAACAACACATGCAATGCAATATCTACACCAGTAACAAATCAAGATTGAAAAAACCAGCCGTACGCCGCGCGTTGAGATGATTCCAACAACACTCCACTCCATACCGTCCTCCAATCCACTACCCTCTCCCCGACCACCATGCAATGCAATCGCAGCTCAACCGATCAGCGCCGAGTCGTCGGCGCCAAACGAGATAATCTGCAGCTCAGTATAGTTCCTAACCAGATTCCGATACGCCTCGCTCCATCCCTTGATGTCGTCGAATTTGTCGTAGTTTTCAAGGTACCGCGTCATCCCGCGCTCTCGCAGGAACATGAACGCGCGAACACGGAACGGAGCAGCAGAGCTGAAATGGACCTCGACAGTCGCACTTGAACGGTACAAGTTCTCGAGGTCCTTGTAGTCTAGACTTTCCATCACCATCGCCATGATCTCCTGGGGAAGAAGAAGCAGCGGAGCGCGCGATGATTCGAGAGGCTGTTCTTCGACAGCGCATACCATCGCCGTTTCTGTTTGACTTTGACGCTGCTGAATGACTCCTACTTCAAGATCCGTAAAGATGAAAGACAATCATCAGTCTATTATATATCAATCGAATAACAACATGATGAGCTGCTTGACGATAGCTGCACGCAACTGGGACTGTTGAGCCTCTTGTGCTTGCAGCTGCTCGCGCGAAGGCTGATGGCAGACAAACCAAGTCACGTGATATCAAATACAGTTTAAAGGCTCTCCAAATATAGCTAGCGTACACGTGCAAGACCATCGGCCTTCGCCGAGCAACGATCTTCGGAGGGCAGCGTCGGTATATGGACAAGATACCAGTCTTGGAAAGAGAGTGCTTGTTGGTTATCTAATCTCGCTGTGCCATTCCAGAAGCCGTCAAAGGAGCTGGGGACAGAGATAGCGCTGCGAAGGGTGCCAGGGGTTTGTTCTATTGATCGTTGCTGTTAACTTCCCACGCGTGCACTCACAGCAGGGAAGCCGAGCACGGAATAGACGAGACCGGCACACGCGCGACAGAAACGAGCTGTTAATCACCTAACTCATGACATTATCGGAGAAGACATCCTTACTAGACCCAGGGCGATCCACGCGACCCGCAGACGACGATATAGAGGAGATCACCCAGCTTTCTCCGCATTCGAGCTACGATTCGATGTCGAGTTCGACATTCAAGCGGAAGATAACCGCAGCCGGGGAGGCCGAAGCAGAGAGTTTCTGGCAAGGAGGGACGGTTGGCGAGGAAGCAGCTGGACTGCTGGAGCAAAGTGTTCTTGCGGACGAGGACTTGACGGCGACGGTTGTCGAGATCGATCCTGAGCTCGAGCGGTCGATATGCCGGAAGCTCGACTGGCGACTTCTTCCAGCGCTGAGTCTTATGTACCTTTTCAAGTGAGTGCCGTGATACTCGACAGGCGTACTTTCGATTTGGCTTGACTAACACCCCGCCCAGCTCCCTCGACAAGAGTAACCTTGGGAATGCCAAAACCGACGGGATCGATATGGATCTTCACTTTCGCGGCAACCAGTACAATCTGCTGCTATCGATATTCTACGTGCCCTACGTCCTATTTGCTCTCCCTCTTACTCTGGCGGGAAAGAAGTACGGCGTGACCCGCGTGCTTCCGTTTCTGATGTTTGGTTTCGGTCTGATGTCACTAGCATCTGCCGCATGCCAGAACTGGGGAAGCTTGATGGCTGTCCGCTGGTTTTTGGGCACGTTTGAGTCTGCGTTCTTCCCGCTCGTTGTGTTTTACCTGACGACTTTCTATCGTCGTGGCGAGCTTGCGCGACGGCTGGCGGTCTTTTACGCGGCCTCGAACGTCGCCTCTGCCTTCTCAGGTCTCCTGTCGTTTGCGGTTTTCCAGATTCAAGATTCTCCTTTGGAAGGATGGCGCTGGCTTTTCATTATTGAAGGTGGGTGCACTGTCTTTGCTGCCCTGGGGGCGTGGGCGTTCCTGCCACGAGATGTATCGTCGGCAAAGTTCTTGACCGAGGAGGAACGAGCATTGGGTTTCCTACGCGTGCAGAGCGACTCGTCAGCTGTCGTGAACGAGCCGCTGAAAATCAAGGAGGCTTTGAAAGTGTTTGCACACCCGGTCGCATGGGGGTGGCTGATTCTCGAGGTCAGCCTCGGAGTGCCGCTTCAGTCTGTGACTGTGTTTCTACCGCAGATTGTCGAGCGACTGGGGTATTCTACGGTCAAGACTAATCTGTACACGGTAGCTCCCAACATTAGCGGAGCAGTGGTTTTGCTGCTTTTAGCATTTATGTCGGATAAATACCGCCTGCGATCGCCGTTCATTGCGATAGGATTCCTGCTGCCGGTGCTGGGATTCATCATCTACCTCGCGATCAGCGACGTGAACGCGCATTTGAACGTGGCGTACTTTGCCTGCTTTCTGATGACTGCGGGTATTGCCGCGCCCTCGGTTCTGCTATCGACCTGGTTTTCAAACAATATCCCGTCCGAGGGCCAGCGCGCGGCGCTTACGGGCGTCGGAGTCCCGCTTGCGAACCTGATGGGCCTTGTATCGGCGAACGTGTTTCGGGAGCAGGACAGGCCGCGGTATGTGCTGGCGCTGACAGTGACGGCTGCGTTTGGGGTTTTGGGGGTGGTTGTGAGTAGTGCGATGGGTGCGTGGATGAAGTACGATAACAATAGACGCGATAGAAGGCAGAACGCGTGGGTTAGAGGGGAGGTTGCGACTATGGTCTTGAGCGAGGGGCCAGCTCATCCGGGCTTCAGATGGTTCATTTAATGAGGGGATATATGTGGAGTATGGTAGATGATGAAGTGATGACCAAGCTGTTGTTGATGATAAATCTAATGAAAGTTGATTGATGTATGTTTCAGCCCTTAAGCCGCGAGTATCTCCGTCCACCCGGTGCTAAAAACTCACCCCGGGCCAAGCGTCCATAAGAATAGCTTGAATGGATAATGGAGGGCCTGTTGCTGACAAAGGAAACCTTGTAGCGGTTACAGTCTGATTGCGTGTTAATGGCACAATATAGCGTTAGTGTGCTCCAAGGCCGGTGCACTCGGAGTTAAAGTGCTCGGATACCGGCAAGGGTTTGTGCGATAATGGGCAGGATCGGCGGCGACAGGCAAAGTATTAAATCGTCGGATTGGCCGAGCTGCAAACGAGGCGGGTTCTCGGGCCAGACTGCGGTTTGTTCCGGTTTACTAGAATGGTCTTTGTCAAGTCAGTCAAGTCAAGCCAGTCAGTAGTCATGCCACGGAGACAGAGGAGCGGCGATAAGAAGCTGCCCCAGCCCTTGATGGCGCCGGCCGAGGAAAGTGCGCCGCGAGACGCAGCTCGTGTTTGTGGGCCAGAGATAGAGAGAGAGATAGCGGCCAGCGCTGCTCGTCCTATTTTCTATAACAATCTGGCCTAAACACTGACTTTGGCATTGGGAAGCAGTGCGGAGCAGACAGATACAGGGGAAGCACGATCTTCTCGGCAGAGCGTGTTCATGCTTCATGTCCTGTCTGTCGGCGCCAGCTCCACCTCCGCGCCCAGCTGAGCAGCCACTCCCGTCTAACAGCACACAAAAGCCGGTCATCTACAATCAGACGCTCTCGGTGAATCTGTAGATACCACTTCAGCGCTATTTCTGCACGCATATCGCAAGCCGTCGGTGTCAGCAAATACCTCTGAAGACCTAAACTCCGCTCTCTAAGTTTAGTGCTGCGTCGGCAGCGTGGAGCCTAAAAACCTAATATCCGTCCTCCGTCCGTCAACGAGTCTGCAATAATTGAGCCACCTGTCGCCGGTCTTCTCGCTCATCCCCGCCCTACACCATCGGCTTCCCTCTTGCCTGTTTCCCATCCCTCATTGCAGTACACTCTTACCATATCGCTAAAGTAGAGTACACCGGTCTTTGATGGGTTCCAGCATCGACAAAGACGGTCCTGTGCTCGTCTCCTCGACGTCGGCTTCCTCATCCTCGGCCTCGTCTTCGGACGACACCGCCGTTCAGAAAGGGATGACGACCGAGGACGCCCGCTCACTGCGCGAAGACGACGAGGAAGATGAGGGAGCAGCGCAGGACTATGCGCCTATCAAGCGGAACTTGGTCTCGCGCGTTTTCCGCAAGATAAATCCGTTTGTGCCAATCGACCCACCTCCTGTGCCGGCGGAGCCAAAGATGTCGCCCGAGGAAGGGTGCTCGTTTATGTCTAAGCTTCTGTTCGGTTGGATGAACGAGGTTATGAGTGTGCGTACTTACTCTATGCTATCGGAGAAGAAAGGATTACTGACTGAAAATTTGAATATAGATTGGCTATTCGCGACCGATACAGGAGAACGATATCCCGCTCGTACCCCCCTCTCGTACCGCGCACGCGATGACCGAAAAGTTCCTCGAAAACTTCAGGAAGCGCTGTGCCGAAGTCGAGGCTGCTTCCGCGTCTGGGCAGAAAGGCAAGCTCGTGCGGATTAAAGAGAAAAGTCTCGTGTTTTTGGCGCTCCACGATACCTTTAAATTTGACTTTTGGGCCGGGTTTGTGCATCGCAATGTCGTCGATATCGTGCAGATGACTTCGCCGCAGCTGTCGAGGAAGGTCATTTATTGGGTCTCGGACAAGTACGTTTATGGCACCGGGAACAAGGGACGAGGAATTGGCTATGTCATCGGTCTCGTCGCGATGCTTATCGTGGCGTGCTTTTGCCAGCAGCAATACTTTTACGCGACCTCTCGATTCGGATCACACTCGCGAACGGTGCTCATCAACGCGCTTTACCAAAAGTCACTGGTCCTGTCAAACAAAGAGCGGCTCGAGTTTACAAACGGAAAGATCACAAACTTGATGTCGACAGACACCTACCGGATCGAGTTCGCGTCGATGTTTTTCCATCATCTGAGTAACTTCCCCGTGCCGATCATTATCTGCGTCGTGCTTTTGTTGGTGAATATCGGGTATCCGTCGCTGGTCGGAATCGCGCTCTTGTTTGGCGCCATGCCGTTCCTTGCCATAGCCACGCGCACGATCGCCCTCCGCCGCATCAAGTCTACGATTTTCACCGATCAACGCATTCGTCTTACGCAGGAGCTTTTGACATCCATGCGCGTGGTCAAGCTGTTTGCCTGGGAAAACGCGTATTTGCAAAAACTGGCCACTGTCCGACTAAAAGAGATCAAGATCGTGCGCTATCTGCTCACTCTTCGGTCCGGCTTGTTTGCAGTCTCGATGACGGTCCCTATCTTTTCGTCCATGATTGCGTTCGTCGTCTTGTCTGTCACAGGCCATCTCATGGACGCCGCCAAGGTCTTTGCCAGTCTCTCGCTTTTCAACATGCTGCGCATGCCACTCATGCTGATCCCCATCGCGCTCAGCACCTCTTCCGACGCCTACGTTGCGTGCGGCCGCATCCAGGCCATGCTCGTCGCGGGCGAGCTCGAAGACGCGATCACCGCGGACGAGAGCCTGGACTGCGCGCTGCTGGTTGAGCGGGCGTCGTTCATGTGGGAGGAAGATCCGGAGGCGTATCAGCGCCGGATCGAGGAGGAGAAGATCGCGGCCGAGAAGAGAAAGAAAGAGGTTCCGCGCGCGGGACCGCCTGGGTTTGGACCTCCACCTGGCGGGCCACCGGGAAAGAAGAACAAGAAGGAGAAGGAGAAGAAGAAGGCGGGCGGTGGGCGGCGACGGGGATTTTGGTCGCGAAAGTCAAAGAAGACGACCGATCCCGAGAAGGAGCTGGAGGAGAACGCGAACGCGCTGAGTCGGGTGGTGTCGATTGAGTCTGCGCATGTTATAGGCGCGGACGCGGACGCGGACGAGGAGCGCGCAAATCTCGACGAGTTGATTGAGGAAGACGACGGCGGGAACGAAGACACCGGCGACAAGTTCACTGGCTTGCATGATATCGACTTCCGAATCGAGCGAGGCGAGCTAATTGTGATTACGGGCTTCATTGGATCCGGCAAGACGTCGCTTTTGGCGTCGCTTGTGGGCGAGATGCGGCAGACGGGAGGATCGGTGAAGATTGGCGGGAAGATTGCGTACTGCCCGCAGCCGTGGATCCAGAACAGCACGTTGCGCGAGAATATTTTGTTTGGACGGGAGTACGATGAGGACAAGTACAAGCAGATCTTGAAGGCGTGCGCGCTGGAGCACGACGTCGAGGTTCTGCCGGCTGGCGACCAGACCGAGATTGGCGAGCGGGGGATTAATATTTCGGGAGGGCAAAAGGCGCGGATTTCGCTCGCGCGAGCGGCGTACTTTGAGTCCGATATCGTGATTCTGGACGACGTGCTGTCGGCTGTGGATCCGCACGTCGGCCGGACGCTGGTGGATGGGTGTATCTGTGGGCTGCTGGGCGGGAAGACGCGGTTGCTGGCTACGCATCAGCTTCATGTTTTGCCAAAGGCGGATCGGATTATTTATATGAATGGTAAGGGAGGGTGCGTGATTGGGACTTATGAGGAGTTGAAGGCGTCGGTTCCTGAGTTTGCTGAGTTGACGACTTATGGTTCTGTTCAGAAGAACGAGGAGGAGGAAGAGGAGGAGGAGAAGGAGGAGGAGGAATTGCCGCCTCAGGTGCTGGTGAAGGCCGCAGAGGTAGAAGATGAGGCCGCAGAGGTAGAAGACGGCGAAGAAGCAACTGAGGCAGCAGCCGCCAAGACCAAGAAAGCAGGCAAGCTGATGCGGAAAGAAGAACGCAACACCGACAGCGTCTCGTTCGAGGTCTATCGCGAGTACTTCAAGTTAGCGGGCGGGCCTGTTCTTGGGTGGGGTGTTGCGCCGCTTGTTACTGCGTTTGCGGGGTTGGTTGCCGGGTTGCAGATTGTGACGAATCTGTGGCTTTCGTATTGGACTTCGGATAGGTTTGATCGGTCGAATGGGTTCTATGTGAGTTTACCTGTTTTATGTTGTTATGTGGATTGAGTACTGACAGACGGTGTAGATTGGGATCTATGTCATGCTTGGAATGGTTTGCACGATTTTCTTTTTCCTTCTCGGATGGGCTACCACGATTGGTATGTGTCTCTACCATATTTAAAGGAGCTTGGGCTAACTGGATTATAGCTGGATCCCGGGCGTCGGTAAAGATGAATCTGAAGGCCACAGAGAAAGTGATGAGCGCGCCAATGTCGTTTTTCGACACAAACCCGATCGGGCGAATCATCAACAGATTCTCAAACGACGTCGAATCGATGGACAACACGCTGACGGATGCATATCGGCAATACCTGATTTCGGTGACAAACATCATTGGAGTGCTCGTGCTGATTATCGCGTATCTTTATTGGTTTGCGATCGCGCTGGTGCCGATGGTTGCGCTTTATATTCTGTCGACGGCGTATTACCGCGCGTCGGCGGTGGAGCTGAAGCGGTTGGACTCGAACTCGCGGTCGACGGTGTTTTCGCATTTCTCGGAGACGTTGACGGGGTTGACGTCGGTGCGAGCGTATAATGAGCAAGAGCGGTTTAAGGCGCGGATGGAGAAACAGCTCGACTACATGAACCGGTTTTCGTTTATGATTCTGGGGAACCAGCGGTGGCTGTCTGTGCGGATCGAGTCGATTGCGGTAGCGCTTGTGCTGATCGTCGGACTTTTGGCGATCTTGGTGCATTTCTCGAGTCTGTCGGCGTCGAGTATCGGGCTCGTGCTGTCGTACTGTATCACGCTTGCGATGCAGCTCGCGATGGTGATCAAGCAGCTCGCGGACGTGGAGAACCATATGAACGCGGCGGAGCGGGTGTATCATTACATGGCCAAGTTGCCGAGCGAGGCGCCGTACGAGATTCCCGAGACGAAGCCGGCGGAGTCGTGGCCGGAGAAGGGCGCGATCGAGATCAAGGACGTGTATTTGAGGTACAGACCTGGGTTGCCGTATGTGCTTAAGGGGCTCTCGCTGTCGATTCAGGGGGGCGAGAAGGTTGGAATCTGCGGACGCACGGGAGCCGGGAAGTCGTCGATTATGGTCGCGCTGTACCGGTTAGCTGAGATCTCGAAGGGTCAGTTCCTTATTGACGGAGTGGATATTTCAAAGATTGGGCTTCACGATCTACGGTCGAAGCTTGCGATTATCCCGCAGGACCCGGTTTTGTTTCGAGGCACGATCCGATCTAACCTCGACCCGTTCAACCACTACTCGGACGCGCAGCTATGGGACGCGCTGCGGCGGTCGGGTCTGCTGGGCGACGCGGACTCGGCGGACGAGTATAATGAGAAGAACGGACAGCAAGGCGGGCAGGGTATCGGGAAGTTCCATCTCGACCAGGCGGTTGACGACGAAGGTCTTAATTTCTCGCTCGGCGAGCGGCAGCTGCTTGCGCTTGCACGCGCGCTGGTGCGGAATTTCCAGATTTTGGTGTTGGACGAAGCAACCTCGTCGGTTGACTACCAGACCGACGCGAAGATCCAGCAGGTGATTGTGCGAGAATTCAGCCATTGCACGATTCTGTGCATTGCGCACCGGTTGAAGACGATTATCGGGTACGACAAGATTCTTGTGCTGGACGGGGGGAAGGTTGCGGAGTTTGGGCCGCCGAGGGAGTTGTTTGGGATGGATGACGGGATTTTCCGGGCGATGTGCACGAAGAGCGGGATCCAGGATGAGGATTTTGAGGTTGCAAGGAGGTTGCTGTGATGTGTTGATTATGTGCTGCTTGTTAGTTATGTCGGTGTTCTGTAGTTGGTGTTTGTTTGTTTGCGAGGTTAGGTTTAGTTTAGTTTGCTTATGAGTTATTTGGTCTGATTGTTTGTTGATTGAATAGTGAATGATAATGAGGGTATTAAGATGATTAGAAGATGATTATAAGGTAGAGGGTAGGGTGGATGTGGTGATGACGACGAATGGCAGTTGCGGTGATGATGACGAATGGTGGTTAAGTAATTAGCCGGCGGGATGAGCGTCGAGCGCAAGCGCCGCGTCAGAGCGGTAACGGCGAGGGTGGGTAGAGTTATTTGAGTTGTGTTGAGCTGTGTCGAGCTGTGTTGAGCTGTGTTTCGGAGTTTGCTGTTCGCAGGTTAGGTTAAACGTGGCAGAAAGAAGACAGATGTGGTAGCAAACCGCAGTTTAAAACAGACGGGTATTTAACAAGGAGAATGAGAAGAGAAGAGGAAGTCGGCACTCTGGCCGAAGGAGAGTATCAGAGCGTGGCCGGGGTGGGGATCAGAAGGAAATGAAATTGTAATCCGCGGAGAGACGGCAGAGCAGTGATCGAGACGGTGATCCGGCGTGGGCTGGATGCGCCCGAGCTGGCCTGTGCTGGGATGAAGTAAGAAGAGAAGAGAAAAGTAGATAAAAGAAGAGAAGAGAGAAGTAGAGAGAAGAAGAAAAGAGAGTAAAGAGAGAATAGAAGAAGATATCAAAGCATCTATTCTATAAAGAGAAGAGGAGAAGCAAAAGCATTAGTAATTCAACAAAACGATCTGGATGCAACAGCTGTGACTCGAGGCGGCTAAAGCTCCGCAGCGGACTCGGTCACAAACTTAGGCTGTCAAGTGAGGGGAAGGAGTAAGGATCCGCCGCGGGATAAGTCACTTATTATTTGCTGTGTTATTATGTAGTAAGTAGTGTAGTTATTGTAGTTGTAGTTATTGTAACTATTCTACTGTATTCTACACTATCTACACCATCTACATATCTACACTACTATTAAAATACTACGGTCTACTACTAAAAACAAGTACAAATCCCATCCAATCCAAAACCTCTCATTGGTAACACTTTTGTGAGTGAATTTTCTCTTCCCCGCATTCCCTCGCAGACTCGCCGCCAGCTGCTCTTTCGCTCGCTCTTCCTCTTCCGCCTCTCGTCGCTGCCTCCTTCCCCACTAACTCCCTTCCTGCTCCCCTCCCCCATTTCCCTCTTTCTCTCTTCCTCTTTCTCTTCCTCCCACCCCCCACCCCCCACCACTCATCATCTCATATCCCCTCCCTCCCATGAGCTCGTCCGTCAAGGCCTTCTGCGCTTCGACGGCTTCTGCTTCCGCCTCGGCCTCCTCCTTCGCCTCCATGCAGACCGTCCTCCAGCTCGGCTCCGCCCTCGACTCAAACTCCCGCCGCCCCCGCAAGCAGTACATCTGCCGCCACTGCCAGGTCGCCTTCAAGCGCTGCGAGCACCTCGCCCGCCATGAGCGCTCCCACACCGCCGAGCGGCCCTTCGTCTGCCCCGTCTGCAGCCGCGGCTTCACCAGAAAAGACCTCCTCGTCCGCCATCAGCGCATGTGCGACGGCACCCGCCCTAAGCGCAAAGAACGTCGTCGCTCCGTCATCCAGCGCGTCATCATCCGCCCAAACGAAGTAGATCCACCAGAACTCGACCAGCAGCAACTGCAACTACAACAACAACACCAGCAGCAGCCATCCCCGGACAGCAAAGATCTTCTGCGCGAGCAGCTCCTCGACGCCAGCACGCCGCACCAGCCCTCGCAAGAGATCCAGCTCCATTCCGACCCGCTCTCCTCCAAACCAAAGCCTGCATGGAACGACCACGCCCTTTTCGACATGCTCGATCTCGAGCACTCTCCTGCCGAATCCTCCGTCGCGCTCTCGACCCCTTCCTCCGTCGCCGAGACCACCACAACTCCCACCCGCGACCTGCAAGAGGCCGTCGTCGCCACCGCTTCCCAGTTCGCGCTCAACATGCAGGACTGGAGCTTTCTCGACCAATTTCGCATCCCCGACATCTTCAACAACAACCTCTTCGATTTGCCGGCCGCCCAACCTTCCGTCCCCACAACTCCCTCGTGGCTGCATACCGAGTTTGGATATTCACCTACCTCGACCGATAACGAAACCATCGTCGTCGACGACAAAGCCTCTCAACTCACCGACGCCTCTCCCTCGCCGATGCCGTCCTCAGCTCCTCATCACAACTATCAATCTCTTCCCTCGGCAGGTGCGGTCCCTGGCTCGAACTTCACCGCCTCGGCCTCCGCCGGCGGACCGCCAGCAACTTTCCCGACCCGCTCGACTCAAACTCAGCATATCTGGATCGTGCCCTTCGACGACAACTGCCGCGCCTCAATGATTGCTCTTTTGTCGAACCTCACCACATCCAGAGATATCTTTGTCTTTGATACCCTTACCATGCAGCGATATCTCTCAGTCTATGTCACAAACTTCAGTCTGCACTTTCCCATCATCCACCCGTCGGTTTATCAGTTTGAGGTTTTGAAAGAGTACCACCGAAACCGACATTTATACTCAAACGTCCAGTCGGATTCGAATTACCCCTGGGAAGCAGTGTCCACCGCAGTCCTCACTGTTGTCATGGCCGCAAACGGCGCCGTCCACTGCCTTGCGCACAAGGATGCCCGCGTGCTACGAAACTGGGCACGCAGACTGCTAGCTGAGCTGCCGAGCGAGGCCACCCTGCCGGACGAGCGTCGGCTCGGTCTCGTCCAGGCCCATCTCATCCTCTCCGGATTCGATGCTTGGAGTGGCGACGACCAAGGTATGCAGGTTGCTCTTGACGAGCAGGCATTTTTTGTCCGCTTCTGCACCCTCGGACTCAAGAAACGATGCGAGCGGGTTACCTCGTCTTGGAAAGAGTGGATTGTGCGTGAGAGCTGCCATCGACTGTTTTGGGGCATTTTCATCGTCTTGTCCGACTACAATATCACTTTCCACCAAATGCTTCCGCTGCGCATCAACGACGTCGGCATCTTGCTTCCCGACAGCGAGACTCTCTGGCACGCGCGGTGCGAAAGTGACTGGCTCGCGCTCCTGCCGTCCTGTCCGCCGCCGTCGAGCATCGATGCCGTCGTCCTCTCGATCTTGAACGACCCGTCATGCAGAGTGAACGAGATTGTGGAGATGCAGGCGTCTCCACCTTCGTCGTGGTTCAAGGCAAGACGAGACGGTAGTGAGTTTGCTGGTACAGGTACTACCGCTAGCTCTGGCACTGGCAGCGGAGAAGATGGTGGTTTGGCGGGTGGCGACGATGGCGCCGGTTCGCCGTCGTCGGTTACCTCGACCGGTACGACCGAAGAAGACGAGACAGCGACTAGGGTGATTGTGATTAACGAAAAACCGCATGTGCTCTCGTTGTTTTCGGTGTACATTGTTATGCATGTGATCATGAACCATATCTGGACGGCAGACCAGGTTCTGCAGGTTGGATACACGCCGTCCGCACCTCGGATCCAGGAGCTGAACCAGCTCCGTCTCTTCACATTCCAGCAAGCCGAGCGGATTCTCACGCAGTCTGCGCAAAATCTCGCGAAATCGCAGGCTGAATTTGCGCGCCGCGTGCCCGGTGCCGCGGGGGTGCCAGTTTCGCCGATGATTTTCAACTCGTGCTCGCTCGTGCGGGTGATGCAAGTGCGGTTGTTCAAGTCGTCGAGCGTGCTCAACAGTTTGCTGTGCGATCCCGAGTTGAAGGCGAACATGGACGACGCGCTAGAGGAGTTTTTGGATTCCAAGCCGGAGATGGGATCGCTGGTCGACAAAGCGCTGGACGAGGCGGTTCTCGGTCTCGAAGTACAAGTCCGAGCCGGACCGACGATGATCAAGCGATTGGCTCCGGTGTATTGGAATGTTGAGCATGCATTGTGTGGCTGGGATTCGAGTAAGTGATTGTTCCGTTTGAGTTGTTGAGAGAGTTGCACTAACATTCTGTAGATTTGTTCCTCTCGCGTTGGTTGCATGAGATTGAGATCCGCACCGCAATGTCGGGATATGTTCCTACTCCGTCCGAGCTGTCTATCCTCAAACGCATTCAGAATCTGCTCCGCGAGGCCAACATCCTCAAGGAAGACATCATTGTCGATACGGAGCAAGACCAGATGCCCGCGCTCAAGCCTCAGAAAGAACTCCCGTTCAAATCCAGTCTGTCGCTGGCGGCTGCGATCGTCGAGTTCTGCTCTGATTTGCTGGACGATACCTGGGTGTGGGGAGTCTCGGTCAAGATGGCCTTGATTCTGCGACAGCTGGGCGAGAAGTACCGGGCGCGCAACCTGCAGTGTCGGATCATGAGCTTTGATCGCCGAGGCAGCGAGTCGTCGATCGACTCGACGTCGTCGTCGTCGTTTCTGCACGGCCAGGACACGATGAGCGAGTTTGCGTCTTCGACATCGACGAGTTCGTCGGCGAGTGTGTTTGGGACGTTGCAGCAGGGTCGGGGAGGAGGGGTGGGAGAGAAACGGCGGCAATCGGCGTTCTAGCTTGACTTTTGATGATGTATATAAAACATAGGAATATAACTTGGCATACCAAATATACTAGATCTGCAAAAGTAATTGCAAAGTAATTGCAAAGTAATTGGCGACCGAGGGGTACTTAACTAAAGCACAGCAAAGGCTGGAGGGGAACGGAGGAAGGTGGGATGATCAGAGCTGCTTGCGCTTCGGCGTTATTTATCCCACTCCGCGCGCCCTGCGGTTATATTCCCACACCACCCTTTAACCTTTAATCCAGAACGGCGTAGAAGGTCGCCTGTCGAAGGTGAAGGTCCCGCGTAGCCTATTCTGTCGAGATTGATAGTCTCTGCTAACAGTCTTCTTCTGCGGTGGTGGGGGTTGTGACGACGGATCAAGCTGTGGGACTGGAGGTGGGTTGTTCGCGTGCTCTTCCTGTACAACTCGCTTCCAAACTCGCTCCTCCCCCACCCTCTCTTCACCAACTCACTCTTCCCTCTTAATGATCTGAGCGCGCAGACAAGTAGAAGCAGCAGGCACCAATCTTTAATAAATCAGCATCTCAGCGCGAACGTGCGTGTGCCTGGGCCTGGGCCGGATTAACTACACCCGCCCAACCGCGGCTTTTTAAGTTTTCCCTCATCTTATGATTCTGTTTCCCGTACGCCGAGGATGTGCCGAGCTTGTTGTCCGAGCACTTTTAGCGGACCGAGAAGGAAATCGGGGTGAGGGGCTGTCATCTTTTTGGATGTTTGGGTTGGGAGACGTGTGGGAAGGCTGTGGGTGGGTGGTGAGTTAACGGCTATGGGTGGAAGGAGATTTGGTGAATCCCTGGGGATTTCTGTGTATTTTCTGGTACAAACAAAACAAAGATAATCAAGAAACCCAACTCGAATCGAAAGAAAGAAAGAAAGAAAGAAAGAAACATCTCAAAAGATCGCGCGTATACATCTCCCCAAATCATAATCAGCAAACCATCCCCAAGCCCACATAGATCTCAAAAAATCACAACAACTAAACAGCATCAAATCATCTCTCAAATACGAGCCTTCGCAAGCCGCGCCGACATCGCGACAAAAAACACAGGCACGATACTAATAACCTCGCTAACACCCGCCCACGTAGGTCCGACACGCACCTTGACAAACGCACCAGAGGTCATCAGCACCGCAAACAGGTTATACCCGAGCGCCCAGCAGACGCCGATGAGGATCCGCGCGCGCACCTGGCTCGCCAAATCGAGCAAGTGCACGACCCCCGCGATATCGCCCGTGAGCACGCACGCGTCCGCGGACGCGAGCGTGATGCCCTCCGAGGTCATGCTGAGTCCGATGTCGGCCTCAGCCAGCGCGAGCGCGTCGTTGGCGCCGTCGCCGCAGAACAGCACTTTGCCCGTGTCGGAAGCCTTGAGCTCGTTGATGTAGTCGAGTTTGCCCTCGGGCGAGGTCTCGGCTGCGAAGTCGGAGATGCCGAGGTCCTTGCAGACGGACTCGACCGCCGCGCGCGTGTCGCCGGAGAGGACGTGGACGGTGATCTTGCGCTGCTGGAGCTTGGCGATGACTTGCTTGCAGTTCGAGCGCAGCGTCGAGGCGATGCCAAATACGGCCAGCACGGGCCCGTTCTTGACCCCGACGCAGAACAGGGACGAGCCAGAGGCAAGCAATCTTGCGACACGGTCGTCGGTCTTGGAGAGCCCGACAAACGCGGGCTTGCCGCACAGCAGCGTCATCGTCTTGCCGGTTGTCGGGTGCGCAAACGTCGTCTTGATGCCCGAACCCACCACGTTCTCGAGCTCGCCGACAGGGTACTCGTCTTCTCCCTCCTTCTCAGCCGAGTCTGCGAACCGCTCGGCCATGTACGCCGCCACCGCGCGCGAGATCGGGTGCTTATTCTCCACCACGACCGATCTGACGAGTCCACGGACGGGCAACGTGCTCGCCTCGTTGAACCACGCCGAGTTCACGCCGAGGTTATCTGTCGTCAGCGTGCCGGTCTTGTCGAACACGATATGGCGGACCTTGCGCGCGGTCTCGGTCGGGGCCGCGGACTTGAGCAGCACGCCGTAGTTCTTCTTCCCGGCCGCGACGCCGATCGACAGCGTGAGCGGGATGACGAGCACGAGCGCGCAGGGGCAGGAGACTGCGAGCGTGCCGATCGCGTAGGTGATTGCGTCCGAGACTGCTCGCGAACCAGACCACTTGCGCGTGCCCTGCGTGTTTACAAGCACCCAGATCAAAAACACGGCGCACGACACGACGACCATCACGGGAGTAAGGTACTTAGCCACCGCCTCGACCGCGTCGCTCTGCCTCGTTCTGAACGAGGTCACGCTGTCGACTAAAACTTTCACGTTCGACACCGAGTTCTCGGGAACAAGTCGCGTCGCGCGGAAAACGACTGGCGCACTCGACACCAGCTGCGCACCCGCCAGAACCTCGTTCCCGCGCCGCTTAAACACCGGCAGCGACTCGCCCGTGACATGGGACTCGTCGAACTCGCCCGAGCCAGAGACGATGATTCCGTCGGTGACGGATTTCTCGCCGGGGTTGATGATCACGCGATCGCCGTATTGCAGGAGCGAGGCCGGGATCGAGTCGTGCTCGGGGAAGGCCTCGATGCGCATCGTGGTGGGTTGGTACACGTCGAACTTGACCTGGTCTGCAGCCGCGCGACGGATCAGGGCGGTGATGACTTTTCCAAAGAGGACGAGGGCCAGGAGAAGCGAAGAGGATTCATATAGCTCCTCTTCGTCTGTCATCTTGCCTACGCGGTGGAGACCGTAGACAACGACAGAGTAGATGTACGCGACCGACGTCGACAGCGCGACAAGGCAGTCCGAATCAAGCGCGTAGCGGTGGCGGATAGTGTAATACACCGACTGATAAATCTTGCGCGCGCACCCGAGCTGGATGATTGTCGCCAACACCAGCATTGCAGTCGACCGCGCGAAATACGAGCTCTCGCTGAAATTGCCCCACGACATCACCAAGATCGGGATCGTGAGCGTGATGGCGACGCCGAACTGCAGGATCTGATCGCGCGCTTCTGAATCCACCGTGACGCCGAGGATCCTCCAGTCGTCAGAGTTATCGTTGTCGTCAGAGTTTGGCACAATATCTGAAACATCCAGGCCCAAACTCGTCATCTTGTCGCGTGCGGTGGTGGAAGCTGGGTCGAAACTGATTTTCCAAAGCCCTTCGCCTGCTTTCGTCACATCCTTGCCTTCCACCTGTCGCGACGAAAGTAGATAAAACGCCGTCTCGTTCATCCGCAGGACCGAGGCCTTGAACCCCGTCTGACCTTGCAAATCCGCGCAGATCTTCTTCGGCGAGGTCAAGTGCGGGTAATAATCGACCGAACCCTTGCCAAACAGAAAGTTAACCGACACGTTCGAGACGCCGTTCATTTTCTGCAGAGAGCGAAATGCTTTCTTTTCGCAGGACGAGCAGGTCATGCCGTGGATCGAGAGCGAGAGCGGTTCGGCGGTGGCAGAGGCTTCGAGGTCGAGATCGTTGGCTTTGTCTTCGGCAAAGTAGACGAATTCTTTCTTCTCGTCGTGGTCGTCGTGGTCATGGTCATGGTCATGGTCATGGTCATGATCGCCGTGATCGTGCGCGTGCGCATGAGAGCGGTGGCGACGCCCGTGACGATGGCCATGCTTATGCTCCGTCCCATGAGCATGCTGATGTCCATGCCCGTCGTGGTCATGACTATGCGCCCCGCCATGGTGACGCCGGCGACGACGAAGGTTACTAGTTCCATGCTCGGCGTGGTTGTGGGCGTGGCTGACAGACGAACGCGAGAGAGCAGGGTACAGGAACGAGTACGGACCGTTGGACGCGCAGCAGCCTGAGCCGACGCCGAGTTGGCCGACGATCGAGCACAGGCAGCGGCGGAGAGACTCGCGCTGGGTTTGCAGGAAGCGGGAGTAGTGGTTTGCGATCGATTCGTGGTTTTCGCAGCTCACTGGGTGGATGTTAGAGCATATCCAAAACAGTAACATAGATATAGAGAGAGCACATACCGAAATCCTCGCGCTTGCATTCCTTCTCGCAAAGTGCCTTGGCCAGACGATCGACACACTCATCTAAAAACACACCGGTTAAAACCACGCGCAAAGCAAGCTGTGATATAGAAATACATACCATCGCAAGAACAGTTCGCCTCAGCAGTCTTCTCCGGCTTCGCGCCACGAAGACGGATAACCTTATGATCCAAGGCAGCGAGCTCGAGAGCAGTAGTACCTTCGCAGCACACCAAGAGCGTCTCGGTGCTTGACGCAGGCGAGGTTTCGATTTGAGCGCAGCACGGTTTCGCGGTCACGGTCGATTCGGATTTCTTCTTGTCGCCACAGCAGGTGTCTTCGGAAGACTTCTTGCCGCAGCAGTCGTCGGAGGCGTCCTCGTCCGCACCACAGCAGGAGTCCTTCTTCTTGCTGCAGTAGTCGTCGTCAGTGTTGTCCTTCTTGCCGCAGCAGTCGTCCTCAGCGCTGTCCTTCTTGCCGCAGCAGTCGTCCTCAGAGCTGTTCTTCTTGCCACAGCAGTCGTCCTCAGCGCTGATCTTCTTGCCGCAGCAGTCATCGTCAGAAGCGTCCTCGCCCGCACCGCAGCAAGAGTCCTTCGCGGTCTCGTCCTCGCCCGCGCAGCATGCGTCTTCCTCCTCGTCGGAATCGCAGCATCCGTCAGACTCGCAACAGTCGTCTTCGTCATCATCATCCGAGCTGCAGCACGTGCTATGCGCGTCTTCGTGATCGTGGTCATGGTCGTGGTCGTGAGCGTGATGGTCATGGTCGTGAGCGTGTTCGTCCTTTCCAGGCGCGCAACAGCCGTCGGCGCAAGACGCGTCGACGACCGCGGCGGAGGAGGTCGATGCCTGGATCTCTTCGATCTCGATCTTTGACGCCATCGCTCGTGGATAGTAACTATCTGCTAAAAGCGAGAGAGGGCGAAAGAGGAATTAGTTGCGAGAAGAGGGAAGAGGAGAGGTGGCGGCGCTGGGAGGGCGGGGGGCCAAGGTGGATTATATAGCGAGGCGAGTTTTCTGGTGAAGAACCAAAAAAAACATAAATTGATTAACTACGCGAGAGTGCCGGTCACATCATCATCTCCGCGCCCAGTCCGACTCCTGGTCTTCTCTCTTTACGTCCTTCAAACTTTTAATACGTCCATAGCAATTATTTGTGGAAATCGGTATCGCTGCAGGACCGAGAGCGAACCAGACCGCAGGCCGGCGGGCACGTTCCTGTCTGGCCTTAGGCAGAAACCGAATAATCTGATGGCTTTTGCAGATTTAAAATTCGGAAATCAGGGGTAGGCACCTTCCGATAAGCTGATCAAGGCCTTCTGCTGGCAACTGTATGTTGGAGGCACTTTGCGCTCCAGACGATTTCCTCTCTGCTGTTGCTTTCAATTATTTCAAAAAACAGAGCATCGCCAAGCAGCAGCAGGATCCAATGATCTTCAAACCTGCCCGCATGACTTCACCGCTGCCGAGCGCGGCGGAGCAGCAAACGTACTATAAAACGATTAGGTTTTCGGGTCCATGGCCATGCCGCCTCCACTTCTGCATTTATGCCCCATCGGCTCTGCGTAAGTGTGCATCAAAATCCCCGGGTAGATGTCCCTCTCGTCAGTGCGCCGCCGCCGCTCGCCAGTCGAGACCCGTTTGCGTTCGTCATTTGTCTGCTGATGGACTGGTTTTCGACGATAGTTTTGATTCAGATGATGCTGCTCATGACAAAACGATGATAAGAAACAAAACAGTTAAAGCGAATGTGTGACTAAATTACCTCACCGCACCACATAAACATGCCCAAGACTAGCCAACTTCCATATTCATCTTTGCCCGCCACTCCGGTCCCTTCTTCTTCACATAAAACTGCAACGCCAGAAAAATCAGACCCATAAACATAATCATTGTGAACAGCCATCCGATGCCCATCGCGTTCTCGAGCGGGACGGTGATGAACGTACTCACGCCGGCGGTGATGCAGCGAATGAACGTGTTGATCGAGGCGGCTGCACTCCTGCGCTTCGGCATGGAGTCTACCAGGAATGTCAACGTGGTCGTGAAAATGATGAGCGAGCCAAAGCCAAACATAAACGTTCCAATGATCTACAATGACGAAGTTAGAAAATACTCGCCACGCGTTATGAAAAAAAGGAGAATGAGAGAAACGCACAGGAACAAACCAAAACAGACGCTTATCCGCCGTCCATCCGTAGAGAATCATGCCCGCGCAAACGACTATACCGGCAAACACCATGTTCTCTGCAAGTCGTGCTTCAGGCACAAGAGTGCCGTTGTTTTTCTTCACGGATTTCTTGATAATATGGTCGCTCCATCGGCCACCGATTATACTGCCGCACATGTATCCCAAGCCGTTGGGTAGATACATCAAGCCAGTGATGATCGAGCTGAAATTGTACGGCGGTAATGTGAAGAAATCTGGGATAGTGTTGTTGATCCTAGATGCCCATTAGCAGCCAAAACTTCTACCACTGTAGTAAACCAAATCAGGAAACTCACATATATAAACATCCGTACGTAAAGCTGTTATAGCTGATTGCGAACAGAAAACTCGGATGCCGAAGCAACAGAAATGCCTTAAACGGACCAATGAAAAACTCCCATGTCTCTTTCAGATAGTACTTTGCTTTTCCTGCTTCCTTCATCGCTGCTCTTTTCTCTGCGATATGCGCAGGAACAACCTGCGGCCGTAAGGTCTCGGGAAGGAAAAGGAACATCATGAGCCATGACGAGAGACCGATTATGATCAGGAAATATTGCGTCGATCGCCATCCCCATCTGTCAACCAATGCACCAGAAATAATCGGCTACATTTATTCAAGATTTAGTTTCCAAAAAAAACACTGCAAAAGCACACATAGAGCAACTTACAGCAATCATGGGTCCGCACAATGGCCCAAGATAGAAATAACTGTTGGCCCTGCCTCTCTCGGTCGGGATATAGATATCGCCAATCGCACCCGCGCCCACGGTCTGTGAAGAGGCAGCGGCACCACCCGCGAGAATTCGGAATGCTATCAGCATACCTATACTCGTCGACTTTGCACATCCCACGTTGAACACTAGAGCATAAGTTGTTAGTAGAGTACTTCTTTCAGGAGGGATAAAGATATCGCAGTACGCACGTGCAAAGAGAAGGAAGGAGACGAGATATACACCTCTTCTACCGCCTGTTTCTGAGAAATAACTCCACCATAATGGAAATACACCCAATGAAATCATATAGAATCCGACTGACAACTACAACATACAGACCAGTCAGCTCCACGCTCTCTCTCACCTTTTCAAAAACGAGAACAGCATACATTAATAACCGTGAGATCCGTATTGAACTCCGACGCGATATCATTGACCGCAGGATAAAACACAGCAGAACCCATAGCCGGCACCATGCCCGCGAACGCGAAAATAAAGACCAGCAAATTCTTCACAAGCGGAGAGTACTCGTACGGGTTTTCGAGCTCCTTGATGTAGCAAAACTTATGCAGTGTTCCAATCGGTGTCCTTCGCTTCGGCTTCTTCTTAGGATTCCCGTCCTCGTTCTCCGGATAGTCCTCGCCCGGCCGCGAAACCTGGGATCCAATAACGTCCAGGACACGCGACGACGCGGGTTCGAGTGCAATAGCAGGCGGCGCAGAGCCCTCGATGTCGAGCATCTCGTCCCCTACATCCCTGGAGTTTGCGGTATACAGAGACTCCGGCTTGCTCGTGTCGCTGGCAGTGTATGTGTTCGGTTTGTCGAATTGCGCCGCTGGCTTTTCGCTCGTAGTTTGCGTCCCAGTCGGGGACTTTGAAGGCGTCGTCATGATAGCTCAAACAATCAAACAATGGAAACCTGGAGCTGTCAATTATTATTCAAAAAACACTTTGAGCTCGCATAAGCCAGTTCAACTCAGTCTCAATAACTCGACATCTTATGACTCTTTCTTTTCAACAGAAGCCTCCTTCGTCAACCAGAGGGAAAAACCAAGGAATGAGTCTTTGAAGCGGTGCGCTAGCAAACTGCACATTTCCGTTCTAGCGCGATATCGGAGTCTTGTCCGAGGCGGTCGAGGTGGGCAACTGCTGTGCTCTACCTCGGGGTTAGCGGACCTACGCAAACTTTATTCGTGTCTACGCTATCCGATGCCGATATCGGGCTCGCCTCCCTACTGCAATGCGGTTGTCATATAGCGTGATTTATGAATACAATTGCTATGTTTTTTGTCTGTTCTATTGGCCAAATTCCCTCTATTGTCTTTATCCGTGTCCATCTCCCAAAAGTAGCTTGCAGTGCTGCAAAAAGCCCATCCACGTGATCTCAATCAAGACCAAGACCATCGGCTCGGCCCGGGCCTAAAACACCGGATCTCCGTTTTTAGCAAAATTGGCTATATAGGAAGCCAAAAATCGAATGTGTATCTGGGAATTGATAGATTGCAGCCGATACCGGCTTGTCTATGTCGAGTGTGGAGTAGTTTTGTTTCAACGCAGCATGGAGTCTACTTTCTCTCCGATTGCCAGGCTGGACGTGAGTCCTGTATAACAGAGCGCTCGTTAGTGTATCCGTGATTTTTGATCAGATGATGAGGAAATATAGAAACATCACCAGCAAACGTACCTGGACTCTCAATCCCCAGCAAATTGATAAACCCCGGAAACCCCTCCTCATGTCTAATCACGAAATCCACAAATCCCTTATGCTCCGGCCCCGTGATCTTTGGCCGGATGCCGGCGTAGTCTGGCTCGAGTGCTGATTTTTCGACGTGCGGGAGGTACTTTGTTATTTCGCTGTACGCTTCTTCGAGCTGATCGCCTTCGGCTGCGAGATCGTCTGCGCTGGACACCCATTTCACGTTTGGACCGAAACGGATGCGGCCGCCTAGGTCGAGTGTGAGATGGGTTCCCAAGCCGGCGTGGCCTGCAGGGCAAGGATAGATCTGTTGATAGATATTGCGGTGAGTAAAGTAGCAGTAGTCCTGCTCAAGAAAGTTGCACTCACCAATCTTTGAGTCTTCGGTCTCGAAAGTCCGTACGAAAAATACGATCCTTTAGCAAAATATCCCTTCACATGTCGATCAGACGGTAGTATCATATTCGAAACATCAGGAGCGCCATGTCCCGCAGCATTAACCACGCTTTCGAACCTCAGGTTCATAACCTCCTCTCCATACTTGAACTCTGCAGTATATAGCTGTCGCGAGCTATCAAACTCGATATTCGCGACGGTCGTGTTGAGAGCTAGGTCGCCGCCATGTTCTTCGAATCGGCCGAGGAGATACTCCATTAGCGAGTGTGAGGATATTATCCCTGTAGATGGTGAATTGAGAATTGCTCTTCGTGCAGTAACGGCTGGTTCTATGTCTTTTGCTTTGGATAGAGGGACGAACTCTGTCGGGATCTGGATCAACGTCAGTCAGCTTGATTTGCGCAGAACAATAACATCTGTAAATAAAATAGAACTGATTACCCCTAGTTGAAGTGCCTTTTCGTGCATTTTTTCAAGATATTCGTGCTCCTTTTCATCCTGTGCGACAATCCATTTCCCTGAAAAAGAAGTAATAAGCAACCGCGTTCTCTTCCCATCATCCCCCCAAACGATCCACAACATACCACACCGCCGATACTCGATTCCCATCTTATCCGCAATCCCGTAAATCATATTCTTGCCCCGGATACACAATTCTGTCTTGAGCGACTCGGGCGGATAATACAGTCCCGCGTGGATCACTTCCGAGTTTCTCGCGGAGGTCTCGGTCCCAATCGCATTGTGCCGCTCGACGAGGAGGACGGAGGTCCCGCGGCGGGCAGCGAGACGGGAGGCGATTGAGAGGCCAATGACGCCGGCGCCGACGACTAGGTGGGAGAAATCAGCCATCTGATGGGGTGGGTGTGGAGGTTTCTTGCATGTTGGTTGTCCACGCGTAGAAGTCTCGAACTCGAAGAAGCCGCACAGCATTTTAGCCGAAGTATAGATAAATACAGAAAACTACGATCTTCCACTTCCAATCACTTTTAATAGAGAGGAAAAAAAAAAGACGAATGAATCGGATGCAAAATTACTATATTAATCTATTACCATATCCACTTCACATGCCCATATTACAAAGATCATTTCAGTACACCACCCAAAGCTTAGAAGAACTCCCAAAACAGCGCGCAAAAACCAAAAGCACAGTAGCGACAACATAGCAAGCCCCGCAGAAGCCAACAAGTCCCGCATAGTGATTATCCATCGACTTCAAGATCGCGCCCGCGATCGGCGTGCCGGTCAGCGTCGCGATGCTGGCGAGCGTGTAGGCGGTGCCGTAGGTCTTGCCGTAGTTTCTGATGTCGCAGATTTGCGCAAAGCAGACGGGCACGAGCGAGATTCCCGTGCCGGAGGCGAAGCCGAAGCAGATCAGGTACGCGATTTGACCGCCGATGTTGCGTTTGTCGATCGTGGCGATCGGGAGCCACATTGTCAGGTTGAAGAGTCCGCAGAGCGCGACGGTGATTACTAGCAGATTGAACGCGCCGTATTTGTCGGCGTAGTAGCCTGGGATAAAGCGGCCAAATACCGAGGCAGCGTTCATGATCGCGACGAGACCATAGCCGAAATCTTCAGTCACACCCTGGGAGATTGCGTAGTTCATAAAGTAAGTTGCCGGGATCTGAAGCGCCCACTCAATCATGAAATTTCCAAGTGCGGTGGCAGCAAACAGCCTGTCTTTGAACATACGAAGGTCCATCATCGCACTCTTCCCCGACTTCCGCTCCAGCCGCGTCTTCATGCATAGAACCGAGCAAACCGACATAAACAAAACAATGAACGCCATGATTCGAATTGACCAGCCGTATCCAACTTGCGGCAAAAGCGATCGTGTCATCATAGGAAACACAATGCCGCCTAAACTGCCGCCGGTACAAACCAGACCCGTAGCAACGCCACGCCGGGCGTGAAACCACTGAGAAACCACTGCGATAGAAGGCGTGAAAATCATGGAGCATGAGATTCCACCCAAGACTCCGAAACTCAGGAAAAACTGGTAGTACTCGGTGCAAAGACTGAACATCATGAGCGCTACCACCAGCCCAACGAAGCCGATAGAGACTAGCACTTGTAGTCCATACTTGTCGTAGATGGGTCCTATAATATTTCTGTCAGTAATTCTGCGGCAACAAGAGCAGACATCATTGCAATAGTACATACCAACCTGCAACCCACAGAAATAAAACAGAAACGAGTACACGGAAAAAATCCAGGACACAGTTCCCGAGCTGTACTCCGACAGCTGATTCTCACACAAGTACGACTCAAAGATACCCAGAGAGTTCCACAGGCCGAACGACGCAAACATAGCGCACCACGAACCAAAGGCTACCGTCCACGCCATGCGCCCGCCTTCTGGATACGTGATCTCTTCCGCATTTTCGAGCTTTTCTGAGCTCGCTTCCGGTGCGAGATCCAGGTCTGATGGGCTTTCGAGCGCATCCAGGGGTTCGTTTCCGCTGTACTGCTCGGACTTTTCTGATTGTACTTCTTCAGGGGCTAGACCCAGCTGAGACTTCTCGGATGATGATGGACTCCGGTCGATCATCGTATAGGCTGTGACACACTTGTGCGAGCAGGCAAGTTCAGTTCAGAGCAACGATCTCCTGGTGAAGAGAGTAATGCAAAGGAGAAAACGCTTCTTGACATGATTTTGTCATAATTAGTCAAGTTTTCTCACAGCTTGAACAAGGCAAATGCGCGGACCCTCCATAATGGTGACTAACCGTGCACAGAGCAGCTATTGCGTTATCAGCTAGCGGCCAGTGTGCAGGTGCACTTATCATTATCGCTTTCGGACAGCCGATCGATAGAGTCTATGGAGAGAACATCTCCTGTTGAAGCGCACATGGTATTCTCAAGACGTTCTGCTCTACAGATGCGATTTTGCGGGGATCAAGCCATCAACAGTAGTTGGCGCCATTTTCCTCAGTCGGAGGCGTTCAGGTCTCTCGGTCGACAGAGTGGAAAAATACAATAAAAATAAAATTCGAGAAAAAAAGTTAAATCCGAACTGTGAAAGCCGAGACGGGAAAGAATTGTTATCGGTGAAAGACGAACACGAGAGCTGGCCGCAGCTTGGACGGATAATCAAGCACGTCCATCGCCCCACGGTGCTGCTGCTTCGTGTAGTTAGAAAGCAGCTGGCAGAAGCACAGTCCGCACTATCTCCTGACCGTGTGCGTACTGAAAAAATCCGGATGAAGTCTCGAGACAGAAGATACAGTTTAGGGCTGCTACGGGATGTAAACTCGGTAATCATCGGTAGCTGCCGCAGGCGTCAGCCATTTCAGCTTGGCAGGTTCTTTGTGTTCCAACTCACGTCTGAAAGTGCCTCGTCAAAGGCTTGTCTGTCTTATCGCAGGCCGTCTTCTGCTGCTGATTAGCTGCTTGCCGGTCGTGGTGGCGGCGGCGGACCGGCCATCGAAACCTTCGGGTGCTGCTGCATGTGCACTTGAGTGAGTGAGTGTGGATAAACCAGATACGGACGGGCACCGTGGATCGGCACGCGCCTGCTTCGATTCCCATTCAGGCATACTATCATAGTGGGCTGGAGGGAGTCACTGGCGCCTCCAGCTTCCGCAGTCACAACAGGCTAGACGATGACTCCTGTGCCGATGGGCTGTCTGTCCTAAAAGCGCAGGTCGAACAGAAGTCCTTGTCCAAATTTTGTCTTCTCCTCCAACTCTGCCAGTAGAAGAGAATCAACACTTATCACTTAACACCGATAGCACGCACTCGATAATTTGCGCACAGGAGTCTCTGCTGATAGCCCCAGCGTCGCGTATAAGCAGCAGCGCTACTGGCCAGAGCTGAGTGTGGGCCGGCAGCAGAGATAGAGGATAGGTCGTTGGTTTGAGTTTCCTGCGATGATAAGGACGGGGCGAGTCACTCAACTAGAGTTTAGTTAACAAAGCTTGCCGCGACAGAGTTCGGAATAGCAGAGAAGTCACTCGCTGCCCCTCCTCCCACTCACCCCACCTGCGGAAACCGATGGCGGCGGTGGCGGCGGGAACATCCAACGCCTCCGGTCCAGAATGGACAAGACAGAGCACGCCTCAGACGCCACCGGCCGCCGTATGACGATTTGACTCATCTGACGAGCGCAACAATGAAGCCGGACGATGGAGTCTCTTGGCTCCCAATCTGGGGTTGCCGAATTAATTTTCAGATAACCGTAGAGAAGAAGGACGTGTGTGCACTTGCAGCTGGTTCCTGCGACGTAATCAGTGCTGACAACTGTGGTCCTATCGCGGGCTTGATTGCGCTAAAGCCAGTACCGCTCTGTCCTCCTGTTCTGGTCCTCAGACCCTCTCTCTGTCCGAAATAGCTGCTCTGGCCCAAGCGTTGCTCGCTGTCCGCACTCTCGCGTCTGGTCTGGCCTCGCTCTGTAGAAGACTCGAAATATTTCGTAAGTATAATCCACAGACGTACGCAGATCGACTGAAGACAATACCACAGCAGAATTTAGGGCAGTAATCTCGCCCGATCAACTCTCTTTGTTATCTGGCGGTGGGGAATCAGCCCGATCGACCCCTTCGATTATCGACGGTCGCGCAGGTACGCAGACGGTGAAACCCGTGTACGAAAGTTTCTTCTGCTTTGTTGAGTGCGATAAGCTGTCCTCTCGTACCCTTCCCTCGTGCACGCGCACAATCTCCTGCTACGAGTCAGTAATGGATACCTCTTCGGGATATATAAGTTGACAGCCCGCGCCCGTCTTGCGTCCGGGAGTCTTTTCTTCTTTTCTCCCACATCCATATCACCTCCCATCCCCCTCTTTTAGTCACTTCCATACCTCTTTGAGAAGTACACCATGGCCGAGGTCGATATTGAGAAGAAGGTCAACAGCGAGGAGCTGTACGACGAGAAGTATGCGAGCGTCGCCGCCGGCGAGACCGTCGTCATCTCGGAAGATGATTCTTCAGACGACTACAGCGGAACCAAAGAGCCATCCACCGGCATCATTGGCAAGCTCGAGAACTTTGCCCGGAAATACAAGATGGAGTTGATCGGTATCGACCCCGTTCCCGAGGACCAGCGCAACGACAGAAATGTCTGGACTCCGGCTTACTTCTGGTGGGCTGCCAACCTTGTCATGCCTCCTGTGTCTATCGGATGCTTGGGTATCTCTACCTTTGGTCTCAGCTTCTGGGACTCTGCTCTCGTCATCATCTTCTTCAACGCGCTCGGCTGTCTGCCTGTTGCTTTCTACTCTATGTTCGGTCCCATCTACGGTCTCCGCCAGATGGTCTTCTCTCGTTTCTGGTTCGGTTACCACGGTGTCAAGATCTTTGGTGTTCTCAACGTCATCGGCTGCGTCTGCTGGACTGCGCTGAACACCATCGTCGCTGCATCGCTCCTCCACTCGGTTAACGACGGTCAGATGCCGTCATGGGCTGGTATCATGGTCGTCGCTCTCGGCACTCTTATTCTTGGAATGTTTGGCTACAAGCTTGTTCATGCCTATGAGAGATGGTCGTGGATCTTCACCTTTGTTATTCTGTGGATTGTACGTCTCACTACTTTTTATTCATGCCAAAGAGGATTGTTTACTAACTGTTTAACTTAGCTCATTGCTCGTCTGAAAATGTCCGACAACTTCGCTGCCGGTACAATGCCTACCGGTCCCTTTGAGGCCGGCAACGTTCTCTCCTACGGCTCCGTCATCTTTGGCGGTACCAACGGATGGGCCACCTACGCGTGCGATTACGCCGTCTACCAGAAGAAGGACGCCAGCCGATCAAAGATCTTCTGGTCCGTCTTTGGCTCCCTTTTTCTCTCGCTCACCTTCACCACCCTCATCGGTGCCGTCATCATGGCCGCCGCTGTCAACTACCAACCCTGGGCTGATTCGTACGACGAGGGCTCTGTCGGTGGCTTGGTCTACTCGATCTTGGTCACCAACTCGCTCCACGGATTCGGCAAGTTCTGCGTCGTTTTCTTCGCCTTGTCTTGCATCGGTATCTCTGTCGTCAACATCTACTCGCTTGCGTTCTCGATGCAGATCATCAGCCACTACTTTGCCATCATCCCCCGTTTCGTTTGGTCCACCATCGGAACCGGTGTCTACTTTGGCATCTCGATGGGAGCCTACTACTCATTCAACACCTTCATGTCGAACTTCATGAGTATCATCGCCTACTGGATTTGCATCTACGAAGGTATCTCTCTCGCCGAGCACTTCATCTTCCGCAAGGGCGACATGTACGGCTACGACGTCTCCCAGATCAACAACCCCAAGGCCATGCCCCCGGGCTTCGCCTCGACCTTCTCCTTCTGCGTCGGTGTTGCCGGTGCCGTCCTGGGCATGGACCAGGTCTGGTACGCGGGCCCCATCGCTGTTGCGTGCAAGGGCGACGTCGGTTGGCAATTCGCGCTCATTTTCTCGTTCGTCGCTTATGTCTGCACTCGTCCCATCGAGCGTCACTTCTTCCATCGTTGATCGTTTCCGTCTTATTTTCCTTATAATTTTCTAATTTCACGGCTGTTTTTCTTTACTTGGCGTGCGTTTTTTTCTAATATTAATGGAGATGTAAGATTTCGCGGCGTGCGGGGGTACGAGTATCGTTATTTTCAAAGGGTATAGTGAACTTGCAGGCCTCCTGCTTCTTGTACATATACTAATCTATTCTGCTATCTATAATGAATGATATTCCAACTCCATCTACACCTTCCGAAATCGTAACATAAAAATAAAATAAAAAAGCAATCACTTAACACAGCTCAAATAACTCCATCATATCCAATGCGCATCACTTCTCCATCCGCTTCTATTCAACTCCGGCCGCGACCTCAGCTCCGGCAAGTTCCGGATCCTGTCCGACCCGTGCTCGTACCATCTGTAATGGGTGAGCAAGTCCAGAGTGTTGTTTTCGCCGTTGATCGTGAACGTCGTGGTGCTATACACCGTAATCTTTATTCCAAATTTGTCGGCGATCGGATCGAGTAAGCCTGTGTAGATGTTTTTGCAGTCCCAGACTGTTAGTTCGCGAACAGTCGAGGTTAGCGAGTCCACGCGGCTGACAATCTCCTCGGTCGAGACGAACCGCGAGTTTGTCTCGTTCTCGTCGTAGGGGATACCCAAGAGATCAAAAACACCGAATCGAGTCACGACCGGTGAGTATCCAATGTCCACTTTTTCCAAGTTTCGAAGCTGTCTAAACACCGCGAGCGACGTGTCCTGGATCGTATTTCCGAGATATAGCTTACGGATATTGGGACACTGGTAAACGATACTATGCGCCAGCGTGAACTTCTCCGGATCCGTATCGAATTGCATCCCATCCTCAGGCCGGGGATGCATATAATGATCGATATCGTCATATATCGACGAGCAGTAATCGATAAGCAAGCGATGGTAGCACGCCGACGACAGATCGAGCTCTTCCAGAAACTGGCTCGACACGCTCCGAAGCATTCTCACGAGCGCAAAATTGCCGAGGAACGGATAGGCCACGTCGGCCAGGACAAGCTTCCGGATCTGCGGTCGCTGGTTCGAAACACGCGAGTCAACCCATAATTTCTCTGCGTTCTGCGCCATGAACCGCGGCAGTTCGGTCGAGCAGACAAAGATGATTTCGCGGATCGATTTCGAGCCCGCGTAAAGTAAGATCTGGGGGACCATAGAGTACTGGATATCCACAGTCTCCAACTTGTGCAGGTGCGTGAGGTCTAATTCGGCGGCATTCTGGAAGCCGCCCATGCCGACTGCAAAGGCATCTATGCGGACCATGCAGAATCGTTTCAGATTTGGCAGGATTGAAAGCAATCTTTGAAGCCCGACCATCCATAGCAAGATCCACTTATTTGACCCAAACAGCGGCGACGTGAGGTATCTGTACAGATACTTCTCTTCAGGTAACCGTGAGCCAATGTGTAGGCTCTCTATACTGTCCAATATAGTCGTGTTCTGTATCGGAATTTCGTAATGTATAGTCTCGCGGAACATCTCGAACCAATCGACGTCAAAGTGCACATCTTTCAAAGTCGGGATCGGATAATGCAGCAAACACGAGACAAACTCTGGTGAATTTCGAATATGCACCGTGATACTGCTCAGGCGGGAGAAGATCTGGTTCGAGGCCAGAAACGTGCGGTCGTTGAAGAACGAGGTTTGCGTCGACCAGTGGATTTCCTCTAAATGCTTCAGCGACTCTCTCAAATTCGTAGACGCAAGGTATCGCTCGACAACAACTTGCTCCAGTAAGCTTTTCATATCCGACAAACGCAGCGACCGCACGCTATTCCGCGACATCTCGATGCACTTAAACACTTGTTCTGCCGCAAGCGGCGCGCTCGTGCCGCTAAAGTCTAGAGAGGACCATAGCTCGGACGAGCCCAGGATTGCGTCGCGCCATGATCGGTTTACTAGTTGGAGTTGAACCACGGTCAGGAACGGTAGTTGCCGCAGTATGAGGACGAAAATCTCGGCGGGGAAGTAGAGCTGGGGATCGATCCTGGTCTCCGTTCTTGGCAGCTCGTCCTCCTGGAACTTTACATCGTCAGTAGTAGTCAATAAAACAATAAAAACACAGTAAATATCTTACAATCAGATCTGATGGTGGAGCAGTAAGCATTATGGGAAACGAGTGAGGCTAAGCCGACTCCCAAGATGAGAAGAGGTGAGGTTACTAGGGAAGCTGGATCACATGAATAGAGCCCAGTATACGCGAGAGACTCCAACTCAAGACCCCAGTCCACAAAAACCACAGCTAGCTAACAAATCCTCAAACAAACCGCGCAGTACTAACAAAAGACCGCTCTTCACTACAAGAGGGGCGCGTCAGGCAGAGCAGGAATCTCGATAGCTACTGTCGCGAGAATTGGGAACAAGGCGATAAGTAGAATCATCGGGGATGGGGAGCTTATTGTGGGGGTCCGGGCACGGAACTTTATCAGCAATACGCGGGACCGAGTTTCTCCGGCTTTTGATCTGTCGGCCGCAGACAAAGCGGTTTTGTGATTAGTGATATATCATCAATTGCTACGGAATGAATAATCAGAGATCTAAATCTGTCTGTATTTCTGGGAATTGAGGTAATTGAGCAATTGGAGCCATAAAGAGACCATGGCTTTATTCGATTGGGCCGCTAACGTTCCTGGTTGTCTAATAGAGCTTCTCGACGATCTTGTAGAAAGAACTGCCTTGGGTCTCGGCAATTTCCTTCTCGAGCTTGGTCACCTGGCGCGAGCCGTCGGCACCAGCGAAGGTACCAGCACCCCAAGGTCTGTAAAAAGAATTGACGATTAGTGATCGCAAAAGAGACGGGCAAAGTTGAGAGGGCTAGATGCTACTTACGATCCTCCGTGGAATTCATCGAAAGTGGTCTGCTGGGGGAACGCGCGGTATCCGAGGGGAATGTAGTTGATTCCGTGGTGAACGAGGACCGAGAGCGAGTTGAGGGCGGTGGTCTCCTGTCCACCCTGCGGGGTGCCGGTGGAGACAAAGATACCGGCAGTTTTACCGATCAGAGCGCCGCTACCCCAGAGGGCGCCGGTGCCGTCCCAGAAGGACTTCCACTGCGAAGGGTAGGTTCCGTAGCGGGTGGGAAGACCGAACAGGAAAGCATCGTGCTCCTTGAGGGTGTCGTTTGTGGCGATGGCGTAGTCGGGCTTGGGAGGCGCGTGGAGGATGGTGAGGATCTCGGGGGAGAGAGTCTCGGGGACCTGGAAGATGGTGGCCTTTCCACCGACAGACTCGATGCCAGCCTTGGTAGCCTCGGCGAGGGCTCCGATGTGTCCGTAGAGAGAGTAGACGATGATAGCGACGCGGGGGGCCATTTGTGCGGTTGATTGAGGTGTGGGAGAGGAGGATGGGGAAGGAGAAGACAGATCAGAGGGCGGTCTGCCGCGTATTTAAAGGCCGCAGGAAGTCGGGAGCAGGGAAGTTGATGATCGCTTAGAAATGATGCCGTAATCGCTTTAAATCAGCAATTGCGTTTAATGACTTGCTCCTCCTCGGTTAACGTGCTCGGAGGATCGCAGCAGCGGGTGAGTAGCCAAACTGTAGCCCCTGAGTGAGGTCTCGCCGTTCAGCATCCAGCATCGTAGCTGTTCGAGAGAGTGCGCTGCTGCAGCGTGGCAGAGAGCAGAGTAGTCGCGACAGTGTCATGAGAAGAAGCTGTTGTTTCTGTATCGATTGCGCAACCAATTGCCCTCGCATGCGTTGTTCGACACCTCCGTGATGCACCACGATGATGCGAAGATGCAGCGATGCGGGACAAAGTCGTGATTCTTACTCAATATCACAAAAGAAAAACACATATAGGCTGTGATAGCATGAGCCTACAGGTAATCTGATACAGCAATGGCGAGCTATTGTGCTTATCTAGACCTTATTGAGTCTGTTCTTGGCAATTGCTTGACCGTGTTGGCAGATATACAAGCTTGCGTCCTGCTTTGATTCAGAGCTCAGCAGACGAAATAACACGCGTCTTCACTATCGAGACACTCACCACTTCACTGATCGAATTCAGGACATATCACGTCAATTATACCAGGGTAGACTACTGTTTCTGACTAAATCAGATACTCGCTCCCAGTCAAGTCATATCTCCATTGCGCGCAACCGACGCGAAGGTCTGGCAAGTTTTGCTCTTAACTTCGCCTACACGAGGGAAGATTACAATGCTGTCCGGAATATGAGAGGCCTATGAATTGTGAATTTCTTTCTGCAGGAATCGTCTGTCTAGGAACGTGCGGAGAGCAACATGACTGTCATCGAAACTATCCAAAGCGGATACCAATCTCGTGAGTTACCACCTTCTTGACGGAATCACTCCTACACTCAATTGCTTGGTTCATTCAAGACATATGTCCAGTTACTCTTGGGTGATGTGGTGGACCCAATAATAAGCAAAATCTATAGAGATCGGACATAACAATTTCTGGTTCGGCGATGGCGATCTGATGCTGAGCTATACTGCAATGACTTGTGGAGAGATACGAATGACTCGATCCCGATCCCGATCGTCATCTCGGGCGAGTGACCTGCCAGTTATCTTATCGACATTGACGCTACTCTACAGGCTTATCTATAGACAAGACATCCTACTGACTTACGCATGAAGGCGTACTGGACTACTACAAAGAACGCAGATCGTCATTTCAAAAGTGGAACTGTCAATTGATACATAGGATTGAACAACTAATACCACAATCTAGATATAGTGTATGCGATAATGAATTGTGACATTTAGGTGGAGAGGTACTATACAACAAAGAGTCAGAGCGACGCTTTCACACCCGGCAAATCTGAAGGCAAAGGAAGTAAACGTACGTAGTTGATCTGCGACGCCTCAAGATCCCAGACATCGGCAGCATAGACATCAGTCTTGATCATTTCCAGGACCTCGTCCTTCGACTCGGCCTCGACAATCATCATCGAGCCAATGATAGCGGGCTTCTTGCCCGAGGCGGGATCGAAGGCCTCAGAGGTGATCGCACCGCCGGAGAGGATCTTGCCCTCCTTGATGAGCTTGCCGGCGCGCTCGAGGTGCTGTGCGCGGACAGCCATGCGGGCTTCGAGCTGTACAGAAAGATTAGCAGACGAGCAGTCTAATCGGAGAAAAGCAGATAGCTTGCAGCGAGAGTAAACATACGCAGCCCTTCTTGTCGACCATGTAGCAGATGAACTTCATTTTTGCAGGAATTGGATGGGATCTATGTCGAAGAAGACAAAGTAGAGGGATTGAGCGATGATATAGAAAGAAAGATGGTGAAGCAGCCCGGAGGTTTGGATGTGGAGCAAATACCCCGGGCCTCTCGGTCGGACTAGTGGGGGACGACCGGAACTGCTCGGTGGGGTACCGAGCACCCGGCTATAAGATTGTAATATATTAATAATCACAGCCGTAGTGTATTAGTCATGGGATTATTATACTACTTCGCTCTCCTCATCTGCAGCACTGTCTTACCAACAGTCAGAATCTACCGCAGAAAGAACAATGCCAGTAAATTTTCTATATCCTGTCGTATACAATATCACATCATAGAGAGGCTATTCAAATACCGCATCTCGTGGACTCACAAGAGCGCACCAACATTCACTCTACTCATCAGTCCCAACTGTATTGACATCTGTTCAACTCCATACGCTTTACCCGTTCATTGCTCCTGCAAAAAGCTGACAAGTCACTGTATATTCGCTGATACTAATACACGCGCATCATCAAGCATAGAAATTTGTATAGAGAGACGTTACTAACGTCACCAAGAATACCACGCTCTCGTCTATCTCAATTCTGCAGTTATTAAGCTAATAGTCGTCAACTTGACGTCTACAGAAAAACTGTCATATTTACCTTGGCAGTTATTGGGGTTTAATAAACTGATGATCTTTGCTTTTGGTGCACGGGTTGTCGTAATGGAGCTTGGTGAAAAGAAAGATATCTGTATTGAGTCCCAAAGAGAAAAACGGCAATTGTGTATTATCATCTATGATCTCATTTCCTTGGTGGAATTCCACTGCAACCCAAGAAAATCAAAACTACAGTCTAGATTCTGGAGTACAGCAATCCACAGCATTGAGCCTTCTCCTCCTACACTGAATACGTCAACATCGTACCGTGTCGTGACGCTTGCCTTTTTACGTTCTACAAAATAGTATTGGAGGCTATTTCGATGCAGCAGCTGTAATTTAAACAGAGTTTGTCTCTTCCCGAAGTAGAAGACAGTAATAACTGTAGCATAGCCCCGAGGCTTCCCGTTCAAGCTACAGTAACTTGACCTTCGTCGCTGGCGTGCTTGTCATTCGCCTGCGATTGCCTACTCGCTTGCGAAACAGAAAGGGGAAAGTATGTAACCTTACTCTCAGATTCAAACAGACAGAATGGGAGCCAACGTCATATTATGTACATCAAACTAATCCATGCTGGACCCTGACTACAAATTCTCATCTTGAAAAAATGAGAACGGCAAGGGTCTGGACGAATGCAATTTCCCGCGTCGTCCAGACTCTGTCGCGGAGCCACGGGAGCGGGAAGAGGTAAGGCACGGGCGACGAGCTAGTCGCGCTTCTCGCATATTTCAGGTACGGTACCTTTTAGCCAATTTGCGAGTTGCCTTGAGAAAGCGAGCGTGCGAGAGAGGAGGAAGGAGTATGAAGATGGGAGGTTGTAGATAAAAAAACCTGAGCCGCATCGCTTCCTCGAGGAGGTTTCGACCTATGACGCGCGATCTTGCTTTCCACGTTTCCGCCTTGACAGCTCTCGACTGTCGACAACAGCAGGTTGGGTACATGAGGTATGCTCGAGTTTGCTTCTTCTCTGAGAGACTGAGAGCAAGAGATTATGTGCTCTCGTGAGAGATCTCTCAAAGCAGATATCTGGTCACCTTTGAGAGTAATATATGGAAGACTTCGACTTCGACTGCTACTCTGTTCTGTATTCATGTTCTGTTTCCATCTCTAGACGTCCTGTTTGCGCGGTCCACAATCACCCGCAATGAACTTCTACTTGCTTATACTGTACCTGTCATCTTACTAATCTAATCATCTTCTGAGATCTTGGCATCCGACTTGCATACTCCTCTGATCTATTCACGACCTGTCTATCCGAGCCCACGTGCGTAAGCTCATACCTCACACAGTCAAATCAGCATGCTGGACGATAGCGACTACAGTATGCATGGGCTTTGGGCGTGTCTGGATCTTACCCTTTTGGCGTCTACACCGGGTGGGCGACTGGAATTGACTCAGACGTCGGAACCTATATCGGTATGCCGGGAGAGCACCGAGGCACTATAAAGACGACTCTCTTTCTCTATACGAAGTACTTTTCTCATCAGGAACCACCTTGATAAATCAAAAATGAAGTTCTCGTCAGCTCTCGCCATTGCATCTGCTCTCCTCGCCGCTTCCCCCGTTCTCGCAAAGACCGAGTCCGGCAAGGCAGACTCTATCCGCATCCTCTCCTGGAACTTGCGCTATGATTCAAAGTCGAACAAAATCACCGTCGATGAGACCATCGACTCGTTGAATGCTACCATTCCCAACGACGACGAGGTCTCGTACTTCACCAACTACACCGAACACGCGTGGTCGGACCGTCGCATCGGCGTCTCGAATGAGATGCTCTTCAACAAGCCCGACGTTATCTGTAGGTCACGCCTCGATTTTTATCTTTTTTTGTTCTGCAGCTAATCAATTCATTTTTTAAAAGGCGTCCAGGAGGCTCTTCATCGTCAGGTCGAGGATTTGCTCGATCTCTTGCCTGGATTTGAGTACATTGGCGTCGGCAGAGACGACGGCAATCAGTCGGGCGAGTACGAGGCCATCTTCTACCGCACGTGAGTTTCCATCCTGTCCTCAACTTTTGGTCCACGAAGCACGGCTACTGACTACTTCTCATTACTTTAGTGAGAAAATCAAGGTTCTGGACTGGAGCACTTTCTGGCTCTCAGACGACCCCTTCGAGCCCTCGAAATACCCCGGCGCCGGCTCCTACCGCTCCGCCACCGTCGGCCACCTGCGCACAAAGTCCAAGTCCGAGTTCACCGCGATCTGCACCCACTGGGATGACAAGTCCGACGAGCAGCGCCAGCTCGCCGGGTCCATGATCCGCTACCGCGGCGCGTACGAGGCCGAGACTACCGGTAACCCTGTGTTTGCCTTTGGCGACTTCAACTCGCCGTCGACCGGCGGCGACAGCGGTGGATACAAGATCATCACGGGCGAGAGCGACATGCTTACCATGAACGAGACCTTTGTCGAGACCTACAACTCCTCCATCTCTGATACTTTTGTCTTCAAGGATTTCCTCCACGAGACTGATGCTCAGTTCCGTATGGGCCATTTCGCTACCTGCACTGGTTTCACCGAGGTCGACACTCAGGGATCGACGAGAGTCGATTTCCAGCTTGGTGGCTCGAACGGTGGCTGGAGCACGACTGCGTTCAAGGTCATGAACGAGTTCTACGATACCGGTTACCATCTCTCTGACCACAGACCTGTTATCTCCGACGTTATCGTTGGATATACCGACTAAGTCTGTTAGATATGACTGGATAGTGCGAAAAGTATTGATTTCAGATAAAAAAAAGTTTGTAATTAAGATGCTAGCACAAATAAAATCAACTATAGTATACTGATATGCAACAGCAAAAACGCTCAATAACAGTCTAAATATAATACGAAACACAATCTATAATACCCTACAGATCCTCCTGCCACCATAATCCATCCGGCCGCTTAATAAGGCATCGAGACGGCCAATACCGCTCATTGACTTGCACGCTGACCACGCTCGTGACATCCTTTCTATTCACGAGCTTAACCCTGACAAACTGGCCATCGCTCCACTTCTGCTTCTCGCGCACGACTTGCAGGAATCTGTCAATCGAGTCGACCATGACGTCGTCAATCTCGATGATCCACTGCGCAGGGCGGATGTTGTTCAGCGCCGGCGCGCCGTAGGACACCGAACCGACGTATACGCCGCGCGAGAGAGGTACGAGTTTGGTGTTGTGCGCGACTTGCTCGATGGCCTCGGAAAAGGTCTCGTGCAGGTACGCGCCGCTCCACTGCACAATCTTTGGCGCCACGAGGCCGCTCGACATATCTGGTAGCGGACGGATAGTGATAGTTTTCTCGGCACCGCCGCGGAGGATCGTGAATTGGAAAGAGTCCTTGGACAGGTCCTGCAGTTGCAGTTCGAGATCGAGCAAGCGCACGACCGGCACGCCGTCGATTTCGAGCAAGATATCTCCCGAGACAAGATCATTAGCCTCGTTGACCTCCGAATCAGCGTGAGAAAACTTCTCGAGTACATTCACAAACTTGACGTTGCTGGTGTTCAGGAGCGTCTTCGACAGTTTTGTGAACTGCTTGATGCGGGAGGCGCGCAGACCGAGACTTGTCGCGACCGTGAGCGAGACGACGCCGGTCTCGACGTTGAACGTGCGAGATTTCGGCAATTCGGCTTTGAGAGCGTCGACTGTTGACAAAGAGGGCGAGGTGTGGGCCTGCGCTACACTGCGCCGGATGCTGTCGACAACGGACTTGATGTAGACGCTGTAGACCATTCCGGTTTTCCAAAATATGTCTGCGTCCGAACTGTTTTGCGAAGAAGCGTTCACCCACAACGCGACGATCTTGAACACCCCCCGCTCCTTGGCTTCGCCGCCCGCCGGATCGTCATACTTCTCGGTGTGCTTTTGCGCAATCAGGCCACCGTCGCAGGATACGCTATCTGCCAGAGAGATTCCTTCGACGTTGATCAGCCTGAACCGCGGCGGGTTGCACTTTGTAGTCCCCACATCGCCGAGCTGCGACACGGTCGTGCTTTTCTCGACGAATGATTGCGAACTTGTCAAACCGACGACAGTGACTTCGTCCTTGATCTTCAGTCGCGCATCGGCGTCGAATTCTGCAGTGCGAAGTTTCACGCCCTTTGGAAGATCGGCGAGGTTGAAAGTCAGGTACGCCAGGCGATCCATGGCGATAACGCGGCCGGTGACGTAGTGATGTTGGATCGTCAAGCGCACGTCAACGACCTCGGAGGGTACGGCAGCGCGGTCGACTGCGATGATAGGGAAGTCGTTTTCGAGGGATAGAAGGGTGCCGACGCCGTAGTATGCGTTGGAGGAGCTGTAGCCGTTCACGCTGAATGGAAGGCGCACGTTGACGTAGATCAAGCTTTCACGAAGAGGAGTCAATGGATCATCGTCTTCCTCCTCGTCATCCTCTTCTTCAACGACGTCTTCCTCGGTGGAAGACGCAGACGCGCATGGTTCGGCGGTCGCAGGAAGCAACTTCTGACGATCCCAAACGCCAGTCTTATCATTCCGCACGAACAGATGCTCCTGATTGAAATGGCGATCGACAGTGACTACCCCGACTGTCTCCCGTGAGGCGCCCAAATCCTTCGTCCGCGACGGAACACGCGCAGAGTCCGGGACAGTCTTCAGGATCTCGAGAAACGCGTCGAGGTTAGGCGTCGGCCGGCCGGCGAAAGAGGTCAGGAGGTAGTTACGCGTGAGAGAACTCCAGTTTAGCATACCCGAGAGCGCGACGTAGACACCTTGGTCCTTGACTGGCATGCCGTAGGAACGGGCTTGCTGGTACGAGAGGTCGTGGAAGATCGCGCCGCCGACTTCGGCAAAGCGGTCGGGAGTGATGGCGTGCAGGTCGCCTACGACGACAGAGCACTCAAATGCCTCCGTACCTCTGTACAGCGAGAGCCGGACAGAGGAGTTGATGTTGCTATCAATGATATCGAATAAAGGCACAAAGCTGTCGAGGATCACATCATTACAAGCGATAAGGATATCGCCGGGCTCAAGCCTGCCGTGCGCAGGACCGCCAGGGAGGACTCGCGCGACTGTGAGTAAACCGGTTGAGGAAGGATTCCAGCTGCGGCAGGAAGCTTCTGATTCGGGCGATAGACCAAGCCGTCGAAGCTCATCGTATGAGCGGTGAACAAACTCGGTCTGCAGAGTACCGCGCGTGATGGGTAGGCCATTGCGAAGGCAGTTGAGTGCGCGCACAACACGGTCGAGAGGAAGGTAGAATGACGACGCGGAGCGCTTCGATCCGCCGGCGTTCAGAGCAATTGCCTGGCCCGAGATATTGAGCACCGGTGAGCCCGATGATCCACCAGAGGTACCAGTAGCAGCCTGGTAATAAAACGTATTGAAATCCTCGTACAAGTCGTCTCCGTAGCGCGGTGCGCCGCGGTCAAGACGCGCGAGCGTGCTGCCGAGAATACTGAGTTTCTCGCCAGAGTCGTTGCCGACGACTTTGATTGAAAGACCGACTTTTGCGAGATCTGGTCTCAGTTCAATCTCTTCGACGTCGAGAAACCGGATTTTCTCGGGGTCGTACTGGAAGAAGCCAAAGTCGTGGACCGGGTCGCGGTAGATTGGGCGCAGAGGTGCTTCCTCGTAACTGGAACGCGCACGTTAGCAATTGGTCTACAAATAAAAATCAAGATATAAAGACTAGAATACTCACTTTACGAAAACAGCAGTGGCAGTGATTGGGGCGGGGTTGACCACATGTCGATTGGAAAGGATGATTCCGCGTTCCTTGTCGACGACAAAGCCGGTAGCAGTATAGTCCCCACTGGCCTCAGTATCAAATGCACGCACAGCCGAAGCTCTGATTGAGACAATTCCCTTGACGATACGTTCGATTGTGGTATCCCATGTCTGGTCTTTACCGAGGTGTTGCTGAAACGCGTGCTGCGCAGCGGCAGCGGCTTCGAATGAGTTTCGAGAGAGAAGAGCCGGTTTCAAAGGAGCTTGCTTCGGAAACAACGACGGCGCGAAGGGCGGGTCGATTGGCATGGCATTGAAGAACTGCGAGGTATTGGGGGGCGAGAAAACAGCGCCGGGAGTCGACGGGTTCGCGGGCATACGGAGGGCGGCGTCCGGGTCTGGAGTGAGGGCCGGGGTGCGGATCATGTTTGTCATGTTGCGCGGCGGAATGGCGATGCAAGGAGTTGAATTCGAGGGCGGAGTTGCCGCTGAGACCGAAGAGGCCTCGGAGCGCGCAGATGTGGGTGCCATGTTGACGGTTGTGAGTAGGGAGGAAGGCAGGAGGGTGCGTAGACGGGAAGATGAAAGCCCAAGACGGGGGAAGAACGAGAAGGCACGGCTGAGAATCCTGAGGGCAAGAGCTGGAAGAAAGAGGGAAGAAGTGGAGTCTAAGTAGTAACGAAAGCTATGAGCAGACTGAAATGAGGATGGGCAATCGAGGAGGTAGTGGGGCCTTTAAATGAGCATGTAAACCGATATCAACGGCGCGGACGGACTTGTGGCCACCCGGCTCTCCGCGCATGCCGTTTCGTGCAGCAGAGTTAATGTATACGAAGCGAGTGCAGTCCTATCTTTGCCATCGAGGCAAACCTTCTCCCCACGCCCGACTCCTGGCGCGTTTTGAGCGGTCGAAGGTCGCGTAGGCGGCACTGCTATCGGACTCTTCGGAGTCGAGGATGCCGCGACGCGCGAGGCCACGCGAACTCTCGAGATGGTCTCCGATAATCGCACTCTCCCAACTTATTCTGGCATCATAAATACTATATCTTACAATACTAGAAGTCTGTACTATGGTATCCAAAAGATGGCCACCGAAAGACGGCGAGCCGCAGCGGCGTAATCTGCCGACTGGCAACGAGAGTTTGGCCTCGGATTGTTGGTCGCCGTCCGGCGGATGCCTTGGCTATTGTGGAGTATAGGCTGTGTGGGTGTATCAGCGTAGACTGATTGCTGTTGTATCGTGCTGCTATCTTACGAAGGGAAGGCGAGGCGAGGCGAGAGGAGTTGCTGGCCGTCTGGTGAGTGAAGTAGCTACGAGCAGAGCGGGAACAGGAAGCAGCAGAGGCAGTGGCAACGCAACGGTCAGTCAGGAGACCTGCAGCAGAGGTCCGCACAGGCTGCATTCGTTAGTGTCCCGTTAAGTGTATAATTCATAACAAAAACCGGTGGATGAGCAATCTATGTTGACTTAATCCGGTGAAGGGTGCAGTCCGCCTCACCCGCTGCGGCAGCCGTACACAGCTGCTGCCTATCTGGTATCTCCCTCGATGTCTGCGATATCTCACTGCAGGAGACCATTGACGAGAGATTGTCTTCTACAGTCAGATCCAGAGTGTTATTGCTCCACTTCTGGCAGTAATCCTACCCAGAAGCTCAGTCCAGAAAGCGGCAGTGCCAGCAGACTGCTTGCCGGGTACCTGCGGCGGCTCCCGCTTCCAGAAGCAGTAACCTCATCGGGGCCTGCATAACACGCCTTCCACCGAGCCTTTGTCTGCCTCTTTTTAATTTCCCAAGCAAACTCAATCAATTTAACTTTAAAATAACGTAAGATGTGAATAATGCAGCATAGCCGCGCTCTGGGGCTCACGGTCCGCAGGGTTTTGTCTGAATATCCTGGGATTGTGATGAGGAAGTCACATTGCGATGCTGTTCGCGCACCATCACTTGTCCCTAAATAGAAGTGTATACTGTTGTTTGGACTAAAGCTGTCAAAGTGAATGGCTTTCAGTTTAAAAGAGCGACTATTGGACATGCTCGAGTCCTGCTTCAACTCTCTTTCTGTGGTTTACGTTCACAGCTGTCATACTGAGGGACTCTGCGCTCGCAAAATCAGATCCACTTGATCGTTTCCAAATACCAACAGTGATCACTTGTTCAAAAATACTAGTTCTGTTATTAGAACTGTGCTTATATTTATACCCAGACCCAAGAGACTCTAGTAGAGCTGTGACTGTGACATCGCCAGAACAATGAGATAATAAGACGAGTATCAAGTGACTGAACAACTGTCTTCACCACCATCAGCTAACGCACTACACCCTCTCTTCTCATCATATTGCCCCCACACGTTGTGCTCAAAATGGACCACAGTGTGATTGTGCCAAATCTGTTTCCCCGGATCCCAACAATATATAAACCACCTCTTCTCTCCCTCCATCTCTCTCTCAATCCATCCTCGCAGCCCACATATCTACTACTACAACCACTACACACCCAAGCACAATGGAGAACATTTTTGAATTCGGACGTCAGAAGAGCCAGGAACTTTCTCAGGGAAACTTCTCGCCTGAGGAGCACAAGGCCAAGTTCAGCCACGAGGCTATTGCCGGTGTTGCTTCCTTCGCTGCCGTGCGTACCCTATTCAAGTCTTTATCTTAACATCGTATCTTTATTAACCACACCCTTTGATAACAGTTCAAGGCATTCGAGGACAAGTGCGTATCCTCCTACATCAACATGGAATGTGAAATCATATAGCTAACCGCTTCTCCTCAACAGGCAGCGCAAAGAGGGTAAGCCCGTCAGCCACGCATTCGCAAAGGAGCTTCTCGCCGGAATCGCCGGCGCCGAAGTCGACAAGCTTGTCGAGACCAAGGGCCTCAACTTCGTTGACCGGTATGTCCTACCTTTCTTTATCATATCCCGTTTGCCCTCTTGCTTAATACTTACTCTTTTTTCTTTTACGTCTCAACAGCGAGAAGGCAAAGAACACCTCGCGCAACCAGCTCAACCAGATGTACGACTCTTACTACGGAGGCGACCAGCAGTACGACCCTAACTCTCGCCAGGCGCCTAGCCAGATCCGCGAGGAGATCGGAAAATAAGGCAGTACTGCCCGGGTGTCAAGCGTCAAGGAGGATGGTTGCTATTTTACTAGACTATCTTGTATTTTTGTCCCCTAATACACCTATCGTACAATTTCCAATATAATCACAATGTAGACATAAAAATAGCTGGCGAAACTCTCAGACCTATCTTGGTAAAAATTAGCAACCAGAGAAATGCAGCAAGTGACAATAAATTCAGTTACTTACTAGAAGCCTCTCCTGATACTTGGCGTATGCGTCCGCGCGCGGAACAACCCCGGCGTAGCAATCCCATTAACCCCAGTCTTTGCCCTCTGCAGTCCGCCGCCATCTTTTTTCTTCTTAGCCTCCTCCTCCTCCTTCTCTCTCTTCGTTCTGTCCTCATCAAACTGCGCTTCAATCTCCATCCTCCGTGAGAATTCTTGCTCGGTCGCTCGGCGGTGGCGGGATGCGTACCCGGTCTTCTCCTTCACGCTGTAGAATACGCCGCCAAGCTCGGCGAGCCAATGCGGGTCGACTGCCGTGACTGTAGACATGAACTCCTTCGACGTCAGCACGAGTTCGTGGTATACCACGTACTCTGGTAGGTATCCGAGGCCGTAAAGCGCAGATGTCGGGTGCAGCTGTACAGTCACGCTCGTGCGTAGATTGACATACTCGCCCAACCCCTTGACCTTCGCCGCCTGCAAGAAGTATCCCGAGCAGACGCATTTGCGAATGACGTCCCAATCCGATCCGCATGAGACTATGCTCATTTTCTGGAACGTCATGATATCGAGCAACTGCTGTCTGATCTCCTTTGCACGTCGCAGCGTCTTCGGGTGCAGGAAATGCCGCATGCACCAGGCGTCTGAATGACCGTTTGCTTTCCATTGATTGTAGACGTTTAGCAAAGTCAAATGATCCGACTCGGCAACGAAAAACTTTTCCCGCGCGGCATCGCTCTCTTCCTGTCTCTCCTTCGGCCTGTAAAACACGTTCGGCACACTGAGCATCGACACAATCGTCAGCATCTCCTGCACGCATTCGTACTCCTCAGACATAATCAACAACTTCGAAAGCGACGGCTCCATCGGGAACGACGCCATCCTCATTCCCAAAGACGTGAGTTGGCCCATATTATCGAGCGCGCCTAGCGCCCACAGATCGTACAAACTGCTCGTCATCGTCTCAGCCGGAGGAGGATCCATAAAGTCGAATTCCATCAGGTCGCGCACGCCCAACGACTTTAGCAGTAGAATCGTATTCGACAGGTTCGTGCGCTGGATCTCGGGAATGTTTTGTATGTAAAACTCGTTCCGGTACGCAGACTCCGTGTACAGTCGATACGCAAGTCCGGGTTCCGTTCTACCGGCTCGTCCTGATCGCTGGTTCGCGTTCGCCTGAGAAATTGGCGTGATTTGGAGGGTATCCATGCCCATACGCGGATTGTACACTTTAAGCTTCGAATACCCGCTATCGACCACAAACTTGATTCCGTCGACCGTGAGCGACGTCTCGGCAATGTTCGTGGCCACGATAACCTTCCGCGTGCCCTTTGCGGTTTTGTCGAAAATCTTGGCTTGTAAATCTGCCGGCATCTGGGAGTAAATCGGGAGAATCTCGAGCTTGGGCGGGTTGTCGAGTGTCGCCAGGCGCTCGGCTGTAATCTCGCACGTAGCCTCAATATCCTCTTGTCCGGTCATAAACACGAGAATGTCACCTGGTCCCTGCTGCAGATGAATCGTGAGGATCTGCTTCACCGCTGCGTCGACGTAATCCTCACAGGGAGATTTCGAGTAAAGCACGTCGACCGGGAAGGTACGGCCAGGGATGGTAAACTGCGGCGCGTTGCCGTAAAACTTTGAGAAGCGTTCGGCGTTCATTGTCGCTGATGTGACAATCAGCTTGAGATCTCGTCTGCGAGCGAGGATCTTCTTGAATAGTCCCATGAGCACATCCGTGTTCAAAGCACGCTCGTGCGCCTCGTCCATAATGATGCACGAGTACTTGTCAAGATCAGACTCCTGCAGCGATTCGCGCAAAAGAACACCATCAGTCATATACTTGATGGCCGTCTCTTTCGAAGTACAGTCTTCGAACCGAATAGAGTAGCCCACGAGTCCACCCAGCGTCACACCCATCTCCTCTGCCACTCGATTGGCAACACTCATTGCCGCCACACGTCGAGGCTGCGTGCATCCAATCATCCCGCGTTTGCCGTAGCCATCTTCGTAGAGAAACTGAGTAAGCTGCGTCGTCTTACCGGACCCGGTCTCGCCAATCACGATCGTTACTTGATTGTCGCGAATAGCGCGCAATAGTTCCTCGCGGACCGCAAATGCAGGCAGAGCCTGCCGCTGCTCGGTGATTGTCTTTTCTTGACTGAACTTGGACGCTCCCGCGTTCTTCTTCATATGCGACGCAAACTTGCTATCATTCTTCGACTCCACCGAGCCGCCATCTCCGGCCAACACACTGTCAGACTCATCATCCTGCCGCTCTTTGATTCCGAGCACGTTACCAAGCGCGGTGCCAGACATGTCAAGCGCGTCCTTGGCTTGCCGCTGACGCTCGCGCTGCAGCCGTCTTTCGCGTACAAGCGCCGAGCCTGACCTACTAAAGACCGCCATATCGCTCTGTGGGTCGCGCACAGCCGAGATAGGGTCTCGCTGGCGCGTGAAGACATTTCTGCCGTCGAGGAAAGGAGGCGTGAGGTCGTGCACAAGCAAATGGACTCTGTTCTCCGCGTCGTCATCGTCGTTGTCAAAATTGACTTCCTGTGCGCGACCGACGCCCGAGGTCAGCAGCCGGTTGTTTTCCCACATGTCTGCATCGTGCTGCTTCGCCTTTGCGCGCATGCTCATTCTGTTTGCAAGCTTGGCTTGCAGCTTTGACTCGGCCTCCTGGATATCGTACGCGGACGCAGAGCTGCCGAACGGGTTATGACTTTCGTCACCGGCCACATGGCCGAGCTCGTCTGTAGCGTACCAGTCTCGCTCTAATGCTGATAAGCTTTCTTCGTCGTAGTCTGATGGAAGTAGACCTCGGTTTGAAGCCGCGAGAGGAGTTGGCTGGCGGTTGCGCGAAGGCGTGGGATCCATTCGTTGGCGGCGCGAGGAAGCTGCTGACGATGATTTGCGGGAAGAGGCCACGGTCACGCGGTAGCCGTCTTCGTCGTCAAGGTCGGGGTCTGGCTGGGCTGGTCTCTTTCGTGACGAGGATGCGGTAGAGAGACCCTGGCGTTGACGGCTGTTGTGTAGACGTCGACGAGCCTCGTCAGAGAGTCCGGGGCCGTGACTTGGAGTCTCGATCCGTCGTTCACGCCGCGCCGACGCTACCGAAGAAGGCAGCGACGGTTTTTTAAACTTGGCTTCCGACGTCTCTGAATCGTCATTGCTGAGTGCGACTGGCACTATCCGCTGCTGCTGGTCTTTCTGCTCACGCTCAAGGCGAGCTTTGGGAATGATAAGCCCGCCGCGAGCAGACGGGATCCGCAAGCCACCTGGGGTCTCGTCGCCGGACTCTGCGGATCCGGGAAGTCTGTCAGAAGTACCTGTGAAGTTGATCTTCCTCGGCAGGTCGGCCATTAGCGGTAAATGGATGTAGATGAGTCGCGGTCAGAGGGGCATCTGGGTGGGAAGTAAATAAATGTTTCGCCTTCACGCAAACCCTGCGCGGCGTGCGGCTCGCCACCGAGCATCGATGACGGATTTGATGTTCTGTTTGCTTTTCTGTTGAGCGCTAGAAGAGATATACCAGCGATAGAATAGAGAGAGTATAATTAGAGAAGAAGGAAGCAAGGAGGAAAGAAAAAAGGAGAGATTATACATAGCAAGGATGTCTCTTGTCGACGAGCTGCTGGCTGATTTCTCGCCTTCGCCATCTCCTTCACAGTCTCGTTCTGCATCGCCAGAGCCTGAAAACGACAGACAAGATGAGGAACTGGTTGATGCTAACAGTATCGCTGAGGAAAATGGCTTCAAAGATGGACCAGGAAATGACCAGGCCTCTGAGCGTACTGGTGTGCTGGCAGAACTGGAGACTACGGCCAGGTTATTGGATCAGCTAAATCCACTACTAGACGCAAGTATCCACTCTTGTTTGATAGAGAGATCTGATGGAGAGCTAACAACTTGCAACAGGAAATCGACAAATACACCGCGAACCCCGATTCTGCAGGTGGAAGCGTCGAGGATAATCCAGAGTACAAGCTCCTGGTGTCGGTCACCAACATCGCCGCAGACATCACGACCGAAATCGTCGCGCTTTACAAGTACACTGTCGAGAATTACAATCCGCGGTTCCCCGAGCTGGAGTCGCTTGTGCTGAATCCGGTCGAGTACGCACGTACCGTCAAAGCTGTAGGGAACAATGTCGAGCAGATCAAGGATATGCGGACGACGCTTGCCGAGTTTCTTCCGGCAGCGATTATCATGGTTCTCACTGTGTCGGCGGTGACGTCAAAGTCGCGGCCGTTGACGGACGAGGAACTCGCGAGAGTGCAGGAGTCGAGTGATGTCCTGCTTTTTCTCGATTCGGCGAATAAGAAGATCACGCAGTACGTTTCTTCAAAGCTCTCAGTTTTTGCACCCAATACGTCTGCACTTGTGGGATCGACTACAGCCGCACAATTAGTCGGCGCCGTAGGCGGTCTCAACGGACTATCAAAGATGCCGTCCTGTAATATGCCTTCGCTGGGCGTTCGGCGCAATCAAACAAACATCGGTCTCGGAAACACAGGTATCCGACAGCAAGGGTTTTTGTATTTCAGCCCCGTGATACAAAAGCTACCGCTAGATCTACGCAAACAGGGGCTTCGAATATTATCCGGAAAAGTCGCGCTGATGGCCCGAATCGACCTCGCGCGCTCTCACACAGATGGCAGCGCGGGCAACAAGATGCGCGTGGAAGTAGAGGAGAAACTGGACAAGCTGGGCGTGCCGCCTTCAAACAAGGGGCCCAAGGCATTACCGGCACCGGATGACAAGCCTTCGAAAAAGAGAGGAGGTAGGAGGCTACGGAAGTATAAGCAGCAGTTTGCGATGACAGATGTACGAAAGGCGCAGAATCGGATGAGGTTTGGCGACCAGGATGGAGATTATATCTGAGAGTTGTATTTTAGAGTTTTTATCTAATAAATAAATGTACTATGTATCGTTGCTCTTTGGCTGAGATTCTGTTTGTGGTTTTGAAGAGTAATCATAAGTCTGCAATTTTACCGGATTGCCGTCGTCAGTAACAGGCTGCCAGATGAAAAGATCGCAGCCAGTCTCCTGTTGATATGCCGATGCGCACGACCAGAAATACTTTCCGAGCGAGTCCTGCTTTTTTGAAACACAGCGGAGAACCATGGTGATTCCGCATTTACACGTAGGACTGTTTTCGGGTGAAAACTCCTGTCGGAACATGCGGTAGGTCAGGTTCAAACGGACGTTGCCCGCGATAGGATGCGGATCGACTTTGCGGGCGGGAATCACTGAATGCTTGAACTTTTCTTGACAAGGGGCGTGCATGATTAATAGACTGTTGTGGGGTAGATGGAGAGAGTATGTTTGCGTGCCGCTATTCTCAGACGGGGGAGCCATCGGACGTAGACGGAACTCGCGGGTTACTCCAAGAGACAGACTGGCAATGACAGGCTGCGGACCGATGTAGGTAAGCCGGTCGGAATGGAAGCCGACGCTCTCTGTCGGGCCGTCGTAGCGATTGCAGAAGGCAACGTCGGCAACCCATTTGTCGTGCGTCTGATGTTTGAGAAAACCGCGGTCGGAAATCTCTTTGTTGACTACCTCTTCGATGAGAGCCTGGACCTGCATCATCGTGTCGTTGAAGCGGCGTACGTCTGTGATTGCTGCACCATTGTAGCGGTAGGTGTGAGTGAATGCATCGACTTTGTCCGGATTGACGTAGAACGATGTCGTGTGTGGAGAGGAGACTTCTCTGTTGAAAAGCCTAAACAGATTCGGCTGCCAGCTGACTGATTCGTCAAGTAAAAAAGAGAGCAGCGGCTCGGCCAGGTCGGGGGGAAGGAAGTTCGGGGTGAAGGTACAGGGCGTGTATTGAGCGATAGTGGCGGGAGTATAGAGATGAAGGACTGGAGGAGGGAGTTTGGATAGCGTCCCGCTGTGAGTGCGGACCCGTTTTCGTGGCGGAGAGGTTTCTGAAGATGAGGAAACGTTGAAAAAACGCGTAACCGGCGCCTGCAGCTGCTTTGAGGATGTAGATGTAGATGTAGATGTAGATATGGAGGAGGAAGACGCGAGTCGCGTGCGGGCAAGTTCGACGTCGCCTCCCGCGTCGACGAGCACCTCAAGAAGAGAATCAAAGGCCGAGTCTGGCGCCAAAGAGGCCAAGATCGCCAGCTTCGTGTCGGTGTCCATCCATCAACACTTACTTACTCTGATATCGAATCACCCGCGATAACAAACACCAGGCGAGGTCGAGCAAGTCAAGAAATAAGCTTTCATTAAAGTGGCTTTATATTAAGTCACGTGAGTGCTGCAACCTCGAAGAGAAATTGGGCTTAGTTTGATGCAGCAGCCAGCCAGTCCGTCGGCTCAGGATCACCACTTTTTCTCTGCTTCCTCTTCCTCTTCACGGCTTCGGTTTGAAGCGGTTTCTGTGTCTGCTGCTTTCAGTACTGAATCAGCTTGTTTTTGGTGTCTGGCAATCGGTTCCTCTCTCTTTCTTTCCCCTACTTGGCCCGTCCGACCTCCGCTGCCGCCATCACCACGCCCTCCTCCTCTTCACTGCTGCTGCCCCCCTTGATCAGTCCCCCAACCTCCTCCAAACTGTCGCCTCACGACCAACAACGCCGACCGCCGCCGCTGCTGCTTGCAGAGAACTCGACTGGGCAGCTTCCTTCTTCATCTTCCTCCGCTTCTGCCTCCGCCTCCCCAGTTGTCGCCAGCACTCCCCCCGTCTCGGCCAGGTCTGCCTCTTTTCAGCATCTCCAGCAGCGCTCCTCCCGTCGCGCCGTCTCCCTCTTTGATCCCGCATCTTCAGTCACCTCCGCTGCCTCGTCGTCCTCAACTGCCTCTGCTCGTCGCGTAGCCAGGCAACCGTCCTCCGAGTCCCTCTACTCCACGCACTCTGCACCCATCTCGCGCCACTCCTCCGCGGCTTCGTTCTCTGACCTCATCCTCACTCAAAACAACTCGGCCTCTGCGATCCCGCCCTTGCCTGAGTCCTCCGCCTTTTTCACTGATCCCGAGCCTGACGTCAAGCCCTACCGTCCTCCTCGTCTGTCAATCATGCTCAGCGGGTTTGTCTCCTACCTCAGCGGCCTGCGTCCGCCGCGCGCCTACACCCGCTCGGTCCAGTGGGCCGTCCTCACATTCGTCGCGCTCCTGCTCCTCATCTTTGCTGCACACAGACACCAGCAGCCCTCGCTCAACACCGCCCCATCCTACGCCGCGCTCAACGACGCCATCTACCAGGCGCACAGCCAGGCTGCATTCACACCGCTCGTGCCAAAGTCGGACAAAGATGTGCCGATCGAGGTCCTACGCGCGCGTCCAAAACCCAAGGCTGCGCTTATTTCGCTCGTGCGTAACCAGGAGATTGAGGGAATCGAAATGTCAATGCGTCAGCTAGAGGCCAGATTCAACCACAAATACAACTATCCTTGGGTCTTCTTCAACGACGTGCCGTTCGATGATGAATTCAAGGCGCGCACGCAGAATCTCACGTCTGCCGAATGCAAATATATTTTGATCCCGGACGAGCACTGGTCTCTGCCTCCTTGGATCGACGAGGGACGATTCATCTCATCGTTGGAGTATCTCGGTGCGATTGGAGTCGGAAAGGGATGGATGATTTCCTATCGCCACATGTGTCGCTGGAACTCTGGCTTCTTCTACAAGCATCCCGCTCTCGACGAATACGACTGGTACTGGCGAGTGGAGCCCGACGTTCACTTCTTCTGCGATATCGACTATGATCCGTTTGCGTTCATGGCCGAAAACGGTCTCAAGTACGGATTCAACATGAACATTCTCGACGACGCCCGGTCTTTCCCGTCTATGTGGCGCCAGACGCAGGAGTTCATGGCCGACTATCCCGAGATGATCCACCCGGATGCCGATCTGTCATGGATTCTTGATCACCGTAACGATGGAGAGTACAACAACTGCCAGTTCTTTAGTAATTTCGAGATTGGCTCGCTTGACTTCTTCCGCAGTAAGACTTACAACACCTACTTTGACTACATTGATCGAAAAGGTGGTTTCTTCTACGAACGTTTCGGTGACGCTCCTCTGCATACTCTTGCGATCGTTCTCTTCCTGCCCAAGCGCGAGACGCATTTCTTCCGCGACATTGGCTACCAGCACGACATCAACCGTCAGTGCCCTGCGCAGCTGTTTGACAAATGCTCGTGCGAGCCAACGAACCTGGACGAGAACTTTTACAAGCTGGTGCCGATGGAATCACCCCAGCGCAAGCCGGACGATTCTTGCATTAGATTATGGCTCGGTGGAGAGTGGCTGGCGAGGGACGAAAATACAGGGGAATACATCAAGTCTGGCTTCTCGTATTGATTGACTTGCTTGTGTTTTTATTCATTTATTTTTCATTTATCTTGTCAAATACTTTTCTATTGTGTGTTACTTAATCATTCAATCTTCAACGCTTTTTACATCGTTTGCTTGTTTGCTCTTGTTCTCTTTATAATCTTGACTGCGTCTCGTTTCCGAAAACAGGCCAGTTCATTATTCGTCACGATACATTTCTCATTCCACTTCTATCCTACAAAATGTTGTTTGCTTGTCGCTGCTTGTTGTCATATAATTCACAAGACTGTACATTCAGTTCTTTTTGCATCTTCAGTTCTCGGGTTCAAAGCACATTTTTTCTGTTTTTAAAAACTGCAATTTTTATCGAAATTAAAAATAAAATCAACACCGCTCGCGTCGCTTTCAGCCGCTGCTACTGTCACGTAGTCACGTGATGTTGTGTGTATCACGTGAAAATGTGACAATGAGTGTGTAATGGATTATGTAACGAAGTTGAAGTAGAGATCGATGTCGACATTCAGTGATAGTGAAACAGACTGTAAGAAACAATACCAAGAACGTTTTGGGTCTTGATTTCTGGGCTGCTTTGATGTTATTTCTGAGGATGCTTGTTCTCCTATTTGATGCAGATACTGTCCAAGCTCATCACTCAGTGCGCTACTGAGAGCAGGACGCGACTGCAACCAGCCTTGTGCTTGATACCATCCCCACTGCTCATGTCTTTTGCTCCGTTTACGATCTGTTCTTTTCGTTCTCATTTGATCTGCTATACTCGCTATTCTTTGCTGTATTGTTATTGTGCTGCTGTAGTATGAGCTGAGAGGTCAGGAAGTTGCCTTGTTCGAAACAGGCCACGATCGCCTTGCTGAACTGATGATTCACTCACCTCCCTCACGATCTTGTCATCCCGACCTTCAACATGGCCATCTTCTTCCGATGCGTGAACCATTTAACAAATTCCCCAGTTTATATGTGCTGAAAAGCATTTCCAGACTGTTTAGCCCGCTTCTTCTCACACAGACTCGTCTCATTGGCATGTGCTCGCGTGTGCTCGTCCCCGCCTTTTCGCCCCTTGTTCCTCTTTCGTCACTACCTCCCACCTCCGCTCTCTTGTTTTTCTTCTCTCTTTCTATCTTTTGATCCTATTTCTTTATTGCTATTTGCCTTTGTTGTCGTTCTAACCCGTTTTCATCCTGCTCTCTCGCCGAGTATAACTTGCTAGCTTGTTAAAGAGCCCACGTCTCCATAGAACTGCATCTATCCCACCATCCGCTCGGACTGTGACTATCCGCCTCGTCTACTGGCTTGTTTCCGCTCCACTGCATTATATACTAGATCCTCTACAAAATGTCACCAACGAAGCGCCATTCCTGGCCGATCGCCAAGATACTCTCCTACTCTACAGGCTCGTCCTACGTCTCATCCGAACCCGCCGACCTATCTCCCGATAACGACCAAGCTTGTTCGCTACCGCAGTCACGCTCACAATCGCCTACCCTACCGCCACCCGCTACGGCTTCCGCGTCTAAACCTGTTAAAGAGAAAAAACCGGACGGGGATGTTCAGAAGAAGAAGCGGAATCTCATTCCCGAATGCTTAAAACGGCGATGCGCAATATGCGCCGGAGTTGTGTACAGAACAGTCACCCCCTACCTCGACGGCCGACGGACATTCTACTTCACCACCAGATATGTCCACCGCGTGATTGTCGCGGTTGTTGCCTCTGCCGTTCTTTTATGCACCAGTTTGTCGCTCTTCGTGTTCATCACGCGCGGAATCGTGCGACCGCCGTACAATAACGTGCCGATCTACGCTACAATCAACCACATCAAACATCAGCAGCCTAGCCTTGCTATGCCTCCCAAACGAGTACACCGAACCGATCAATATATCCCTCTAGAGTCGTTTGACCTGCACGACAAGCCCAAGGCAGCGCTTATATCCCTCGTGCGCAATCAGGAGATTGACGGGATCGAAATGTCGATGCGCCAGCTCGAGGCCAGGTTCAACCACAAACACAACTACCCCTGGATCTTCTTCAACGACGTGCCCTTTGACGACGACTTCAAAGCCCGCACGCAAAACCTCACGGCGTCGGAGTGCCAATACGTGCATATCCCGAAGGAGCACTGGTCGCTGCCGCACTGGGTTGATCAGGAGCGGTTTGCGGCGTCGTTGGAGTATTTGGGCGCAATCGGGGTTGGCAAAGGATGGATGATCTCTTATCGCCACATGTGTCGCTGGAACTCGGGGTTCTTTTACAAGCACCCGATTCTCGACGACTATGACTATTATTGGCGAGTGGAGCCCGACGTGCACTTCTTTTGCGATCTGGAGTATGACCCGTTTGCCTTCATGGCCGAGAACGGTCTCAAGTATGGATTCAACATGAACATTCTCGACGACGCGCGCTCATTCCCTTCACTCTGGCGGCAAACAAAGGAGTTCATGGCGGAGTACCCTGACCTGATTCATCCGGACGCTGATCTTTCGTGGCTGCGCGACCCGCGGAACAGCCAGGAATACAACAATTGCCAGTTCTTTAGTAACTTTGAGATCGGTTCCCTTGATTTCTTCCGCAGCAGTACCTATAACGCATACTTTGACTTCGTCGACCGCAAAGGCGGCTTCTTCTACGAACGGTTCGGCGACGCCCCGCTGCATACCCTCGCCATCGCGCTGTTCATGGCCAAGAACGAGACGCATTTCTTCCGCGATATAGGATACCAGCATGACATCAACCGGCAATGCCCGGCAAACCTGGCGGATAAGTGCTCGTGCGAACCCACGAACTTGGATGACAATTTCTACAAGTTGGTGCCGATGGAGTCGAGGCAGCGGAAGCCGGACGATACTTGTATTAGACTATGGCTGGGTGGGGAGTGGCTTGAGAGGGACGAGGAGACTGGCGCGTATGTCAAGTCTGGGTTTTCGTATTAATCTAAAAGTTTTTGTGTGTTTGTGATTTATTTCTCAGCCTTTACTATCTGTCTACTTAATGTCTAATTTTGTATAATATCCTTAATTACATGCAAAAAAACACTTTTATCATCAATACTAAATTACAAAGTAAGCTCTTCCTCCTCGTCCTCGGTTTCCTTCTTCTTCTGCTTCTTCTTATCCTCCCCGGTCTCCTCCTTCTTGACCTCTTTCTTCTTCATTTTCTTAAACTTTGCGACAAAGAAACCGTCGACGTTGTATGTGTGCGGGTAGTACCTTCTCGTGAGGTTGAGTTTCTGGTTGAACTCCTTTCCTCTGAAAGACGTGAAGCCCGGGACACCAAAGACCAAGCCCGTGTCGACGAGCTTGACGTCAGGTCTCTTTCTGAGCGCGTAGTCGACAACCGCTTCGTTTTCGTCGACGGTGACGGAGCAGGTCGAGTAGACGATGTAGCCTCCGGTCTTTGAGTTTGCGTCGACAGAGTCGATTGCCGCGAGCAGCAGCTTCTTTTGCAAAAAGGGAAGGTCGATGAAATCCTTCTCGTTCCTGCTGGTCTTCACAGACGCGTCCTTGGCGATGACTCCCGTGCCCGAGCAGGGAGCGTCGAGCAGGACGCGGTCGAAACCGCCAATGACGCGGGGGAACTCCTGCGCGTCGTAGTGGCAGACGACGGTGTTTGTGCAGCCGAGACGGTGGATGTTTGCAATCAGCGACTTTGTACGCGCCTTGTTTGCATCGTTGGCAAACACGCAACCAGTGTTTTTCATCAGCGCGGAGAGGTATGTGGTTTTGCCACCGGGCGCGGCAGCCATGTCGAGCACGCGCTCGCCTTCCTGGGGCGCGAGAGCGATGCAGGGCAGGAACGAGGACGCAGCCTGGATGATGTAGTGGCCAGCAAGGTACTCGGGAGTTGCGCCGATGGGGACTTGCGAATCAAAGATCTGGAGACCGACTTTTGTCCAGTTTCCGATCGGTTTCAGGTTCACGCCGCGGTTGACGAGCGCCTGGGCGAGGTTGCGGCGGCGGGTTTTGAGCGTGTTTGTGCGGATCGTGATGGGACGGGGGACTTCGTTGGCCTCGAAGAATTCGAGTGCTTCGCGCGGGGAGAAGAGCTCAAAGAGTTTGCCGGCGAGGAACTCGGTGTAGCCGTAGTAGTTTGCAATGTCGGCAATCAGCTGGGTCACGTACTCGGACCGCGAGCGACCGGCCTCGGCGAGCTTCTTGAAGTCGTCGAGCACGTTGAGGATTTCTTGGATGCGAGTGCGGGAGAGATGGATATCGGGTGCGATGGAGGAAGAAGCCTCGAGTTCTTGGCCGGAGGGGAGGATTGAGGTGGTTTTGGAGTCGACGTTGATCTCGACGTCTTCTTCGTCGCTGCCTGGCTCGCCTTCTTCGTCGTCGTCGTCTTCGAGATCGAATTCATCAGCGACGTCGGAATCGTTGAGGTCGGAGGCGCCGTCTGAGCCTTCGACTAGACCATCCGAGTCATTGTCTTCGAATTCAAACTCGTCCTCTTCTCCGTCCTCTTCCTCTTCATCGTCATCTACCTCCTCTTCTTCCTCTTCATCGTCATCTACCTCCTCCTCGTCCTCTTCCTTGTCGTCATCCTTCTCTCCGACAGTCTTGAAAGCCTTCTTAAGACCCTGCATATTTGCAGACTCTAGGAGATCAGTGTCGCCTTCGTCGTCGCTGAATATCGGTTTTCCTTCTTCGTCCTCGTCCTCTCCAGAGTCGTAGACCTACAACATATTAGCACACACTGCCCAACGCAAACCTCACGATAATAATAAACAACATACATCGTCAACGGGAGAAGAGTCAGAATCCGACGCAGCGCCATTCTGCTCGTCATCGTCTCCAAAATCATAGAAATCATCATCACCAGCAGCCTTTGCTTTCTTTACACTACTCCGCTCGACGAAATCCACCTTCTCCGCCTTCCCGGCCGTCTTCTTGCTGTTCAAGTACTTTGACTCGCGATCGCCGTCCGCCCGCTTGCGCTTACGCTCGCCGTTCCTGTCGTTTGTGCCGTTTCTTTTCGCGCCCGCGCCGTGGCTGCCGCGGTACGGCTTGTGTTCTAGCATGCCGGCCTGGAACTCGGTGAGGGTAGGGACCAGGCCCTGTTTGGTGCGGGCCTTGCGTCCGACCTTCGGACGGGCTTCTCTGACCATTTTCGTGTCGTGTGCGGTGGAGGAGGTGGGGAGAGAGGGAGGTGGGATGGGTTGTTGGTAGCGGAGGAGGAAGAAAGAAAAAAAAATCGAGTTGGGAGGAAAGAAAAGTTGCACGAGGAGTTTTGTTGACCCCTGAAAATTTTGATTCTGCTGCCTTTGATCTTTCTCTGCATCTGCAACGGGTTTATCAGCAAGAATGGCACAAGGAGCACTGAAAGTGATAAAGAAGGGGTAATTTGTTTGTGGTTATGGTATTTTTGTGTTTGTGCTAACAGTATTAGCAACGTCAAAAAGTCGCAGACGCCGAAAAAGGCGGCGAAGAAGACGATTGCGCCTCGAAAGAACTCTGCGATTGTCACCGCAAAACTGAAGAAGGTACATTTCTGCTCTTGCACTGTATTTATTATCTGCAGAAGAGATACTTATCAGTGTACATTTTAGAAACACTCATCAGCCATCGCGGTCGAGACTGAGAAACTACTCTCGTCGCGAGTAGGCCATCTCGAGGTGCTCAAAGGGTCGCGACGCGAGATTGCAAAGAAGGATGCGCAGAAGCAGGCAAAGGAGCGGATTGCGAAGCATCAGGAGAAGAGCAAGTGATGGGTTGCTTTTGAATGTTTGGTCGTTAGAAGTGTTTGAGAGGGAGGAGAAGCAGATGTGGCACTACTATGGATATCATTGTTTTTATGGAATACTAATGGCGTTATGATCGGGTATCTCAGCAATCATTTAAATGCACTTTTTTTTATTTCTTTTTTCTTTCCCTCGGACTACAATCATAGAAAAGAAGAGGATGTATATTGATGAATATGTTTACAAAACCAGCATCAACTTTATCTCTGGGGATATATCTTGCATCATTCTCTTTTGCATCCTCGCAGACACACAACCCACACACTTGCCTATCGTAAACTACTCGGACTCCTTTAGTAAATCAAAATCCGCCGGTGCTCGTTCTATCACTTTCTCCTTCTGACTTTCTCCTTCTGGACAGAAGGGGTTGTCTACGAGAGCGACTTGTTCATGAAACGGCGACGGGTGAATGCCAGCCAGTACTATAAGATAACGAGTTAACAATCGGCTGATTTTCAAAAACAGAGCCTTTCGCTAGAAACAGAACAATATGTCATACCTTGCTGGGCTTATCGCTGCTGCCGTACACACGATCGATCAACCTGACGGCCAACTCCTGTCTAAACTGCGCCAGGTATCCTCTCAGCATCTCCGCCTCTGTTCGATCTCTGGGCGGCGCATAAAGACTGTTGAGCGGAAACCCCGCGTCGCCGGGGATCGAGAAATGCTCGAGCGCGAGGGTGTTGAGGATGCGGTTTGCTTCCGAGCGGTCGACGACGACGTTCTTGTTTGCTGATATGGCCGAGAGACAGTCTGTGATGAAGAGGATGCCGTAGATCAACGTGCGGTCGGCGGGGCCCTTGATTTCAAAGTTGCGGAAGAAGGAGTTGGCGCGGAAAAGGTCGAGGACTTCGTCGATGATGTCGTAGTCCTCTGCGGTCGGGTATGCCGGGCCGCGGAACTTGGTGCGAAGGGGAAGCACGGCGAAGTTGCCTGTTGGGTGGTATTAGTGTCTGATCTGGAGGAGTACTAAAAGATAAAGAAAGAAAGATCACTCACCGACCAGCCGTGTATCAGCTTCAGCGAGAAATGTGGAGTGGTAGGCCTGGTGATCGTGGAATACTCCAGTCAGCGCTGTCCGAATCAACCGGCACGAATGCCCACCAATTGCGCAATAATCAGCAATCAACAAACAACGAAACAAAATCAACCTACCGGCATTGCGATAACTGCTTATATTATGCGATTGCGGCACTGGTTTTGCGTGAGAAGACGGACGGGGATGGGATTCTAATCGACGACGAGCCCGAGGCCGGCTTCGTGGCTGGGCGGAGGTTGGGCAGCGCAGCAAAACTCAAATTCGCCGTCGCCTTTTCGACTTCCTCACCGCCGTCAGGAGCCATATCATCGACAGATCGCCTTTAATCGACCACAGACTGACTGCAGACAATGTCCTCGGCTCTGGAACCGCCGACGACTGCAAAAGTCATTCTGCACACCACAAAAGGTCCGGTTGAGGTCGAGCTCTGGGCGAAAGAAACACCCAAAGCCTGCCGCAACTTCCTCCAGCTCTGCCTCGACGGTACATTCGACAACACAATCTTCCACCGCGTCGTCCCCGGCTTTCTCGTCCAGGGCGGTGATCCAACAGGGACAGGACATGGAGGTACCAGCATATACGACGACGAAGGCGGGTTCGAGACCGAGGCGCACTCGCGGCTGAGGTTCAATCGACGCGGACTGCTGGGGAACGCGGACGCGGAGAAGATGAACGACAACTCACAGTTCTTCATCACGCTTGCTGCGACGCCAGAGTTACAGGGAAAGCATACAATGTTTGGCAGGATTATGGGCGATACAATCTTTAACGTGCTCAAGATCGGCGAAGCTGAGCTGGATAACAACGATCGTCCTCTGTATCCGACCAAGATCACAAAAGTCGAGATCGTGGTCAATTATTTTGACGACATGAAACCCCGCCGATCCGAGTCGACTGCGGCATCGAAGTCGTCCTCGGACAAGAAGAAAAAGAAGGCAAAGCCAAAGGTCAAAATGTCGTTTGCGGACGACGAGGTTGACGAGGACGACGGCGACGGCGGGGATGCGAAGCGGTTTAAAATGAAACCTGCACATGAGATTTTGAATGATTCAAGACTTTCGAACCAACCTGCTGTTGGCGCCGACGATATAACACCGCCACCGCAGGTTGAACCTCTACGGATTAGAAAGAAGAAATCATCATCATCTTCGTCTACAGAGAAACCGAAAGCAAGCAACACAAGCGAGAAGACTGAAACCCCACCACAACGATCATCAAAATCCACAGCACCACAAGCCATAGACGACGGCACGCAATCCCTGAATCAATCATTTGACCAGGTGTCGAATCAGAAATCAGAGTTTGACCGGATCAACGAGGAGATTATCGCCATGAAGTCCTCACTCAAGCGGAAAGCTGCCGCCGACGACGAAAGTCACGAGGCAAAGAAGAAGGCGTCGTCGTCGTCGTCGTCGCTACTGGAAGAAGAAAGACAGAAGTATTTACAAAAGCAGAGTGCGCCGACGTCATCAAAAAAGTCAAAGAAGAAACAGCTAGAAGAGCGCGAGGCGGCCACTCTTGCCATGCTCAGCAAATTCACTACGAAGCTCCACACCGCATCCTCATCTAACCCAGCACCACCTGCTTTACCCAGAAAATCTTCAAAAAGGAAGATCACCGAGCCAAAATCAGAACGAGGACAAGAGAAAGGAGAAGAGGAGGAACGATGCGACCTGCACAATCTGGTCAACTGCCAGTCGTGCCTGTATTACGATCAATTAAGCGGCGACGAGGACGACGACCCAGAGTCTCTCATGACACATACGTTCGAGGACACAAAGAGTGTAAGGGTGGCGGCTGACTATCGAGCACGAATGTCGCCGCCACCGGTTCCGCCGACGAACGAGAGAAGACATAGGACGAGGCGATGAGGGATAAGTGTACATGTGTGTATATTAGTGTATTTGTAGACAAGGCAAGAATGGAATCTTGAAGTAAAACCAAAAGCAAAAAATTGAATAATCATATAAGTACAAAAAGAAGAATGAATATAACCAATTGCGTCCTACTCTCCCCGCAAATTCATAGAACTTTCTATTTTGCTATCATAAGAACCTGATTTCATGAATCGAAGACTGAAGAATGCCTTCTCCAACCGAAAGAAAGAGAAGAAGAAACGGATGCTTTTTCAAGTACTACAAGCTCTGGTCATCAACAGATTTACTCCTCCTTGACGCCGCCCAGACCGCTCTTCTCAGCCTCCTCGATAGCCTTCTTGTCGGTAGCGACGTTGGCGCCGGCACCCGCGCCAGCAAACAGACCGGCGGCCTTGAACGGACGCTTGAGGTCTCCGACGGCGGGCTTGCCGAGAAGATGGATCTGGACGATCTTCTGCTCGAAAAGACTCTTGAGCGGGAGAATGGACTGCATGACAAGAGGGTTGGTGTAGCCGAGCTTGAAGTGCATGAAGAGAAGGACGGCGATACCGAAGAGCGAGGACTGTGAGAGATGTTAGTATCTTGAGTGGATATTATTCCATAAAGATAAGTAAAACGTACTCTCAGGGCGGTGGTGACCTGCAGGAGATCGTACTCCTTGATGGTGGTTGTAACGAGCTTCTTCTCAGAGCTTCCAGACATGGGAGAGGGAGGCTCGACGTACTTGAGGGTAGTAAGATCTAGAACAGCCAGGTCAGCAGTCAGCAGACGACGAACAAGCAGAAATCGCGCTACAGAATGCAGAGCAAGGCCAATTGACTGCTCTCAAGCAAGAAATAAGCACATACCGTTCTTCTGGGTGATCTTGTAGCGGGTGAACATGTAGATGGCGAAGATAATGATGTTGCTGGCCACGTAGACGCATCTGGCGTAGAAGACGACCATTGGGTCCTCGAAGGGGATCTTCTTGGAGAGCTGCATGAGCCCAAACATGAGGACCATGTTCGACACGGCGGGATTCATCTTTGCGAGTGGTTTTGGGGGGATTCGTGGGAAAGAGGGTGGGTGGAGGAGGATGAAGACAGAGAGGCGGTGGTGGGGCGGGCCAAGTAGTAGGAAGTCTTGTAAAATATCTGGGAAGTTAAATAAGTTATTGAAGCCAGAAGTGTATAAACATTTGCTTATTAAAGCCTTAACTCACACTAGTAGTGTTTTATCTGCAGCCACAACACTCATTTACAAACTCTGATCCTGCGCGCGTCTCATCCTCCCCAGACTGCTATCTACCCATCCACACCGCTCGATATCCACCGTCAACCGTCGGCAAGACAGATTCCAGCTCGAGAACCGCTCTGAATACTTCACGGACCTCTATCAGACACCTACAGCAATGTCCGGTGCCGCCAACGGCCACGCTCCGCAGCCGGAGTACACGCTTCAAGGTATGCTATGCCTGCCCTGGATCGTCATATGCGCTGCACTATATCCATCCGATGCGATACCCGCCAGCACAGCTTCTCTGACCTTTTATCATCCTTAGGCGTCATGCGGTTCCTGCAGAGCGAGTGGCAGAAGAACGAGCGATACAGAATCCAATGGGAGATTGAGAAAGCTGAGATGAAGGTACGTCGCAGCCGTGCTGTTTCTGATCCCGTGCTCCTGATATCTGGGCTATGTAGTAGCTGACTGTCGAACGCGTTTCTGTGTTGTTTAGGCGCGGATAGCGAGACTAGAAGGCGAGAAGCGCGGGACCGAGAAGTTGGTGGAGTCCTATGTCAAACGGATCACTATGCTCGAGCGCGCTCTGGCGGAAGAGAGGTGAGTGGTTGTCGCTGTCTTATTACGATCTGGGTTGTTTGTCTAACTTGGAGTTTTTTTAACCAGATCGAAAGCATCTGGGACTGCACCAGCACCTGCAGATAGTAAAACGACCGAGAAGAAAGCTGATCCAGAGGAATTCAGCAGTGAGCTGGAGACAGGTACTGTCATTATCAAATCTATCTACAGCATGGTAGTGAACAACAAGCTGACAATGTGTATCATGTTACAGCAGCTACTTCCGAGCCATTCATCAACAGCAAAGCATACATCGAGGAGACCGAGAAACGGAGGCTCAAGTCTAGACAATACCTGGAAAAGTACAATACACCTCGGCTCGTTTAGCCTCAGCGTTCGAGAGCTAACCTTGAACTCATCTAGATGCCTACAAGAAGTCACATATCTCCTGGTGTTTGCGGATAATATTCCGTTGCAGAGCTCTGCTTTGCCAGAATCACAGCAGCAGCCCAACTCTTCATATGCAGCCGCGGTTAACGGATCAGGTGCGCATTCAGATAACGGCAACCGGCAGCAGCAGCAGCAGCGGCAAGGTGAAGGAGCACTGCCGCCACAGTATGAAGCGAATCCAGGACGGAACGGCAACGGCACCAACGATCGGATGCGTCAGTCTGCACCAAACTCAAGCACAAACAATGACAGCAGCAGCAGCAGCAGTACCAACAACAATAGCAGCCGAGTGATTATATTCAAAGAAAATGCATCTGAAAACGGCACAGGCAACACGGCGGCGGGCGCGGCTACGAATAATGGCGCGCCGCGGATCACAGCGCAGGCGGTTGAGATCACGGACGCGGACGCAGACCGTCCGGTTGCGATTGGAGAACCGCTGGTGAGCAGCACGATTGTGAGTGAAACGGACGGATGGGACGATGACGATCGACCTAGGACTGGAGCCGGAACTTCGGGGTCCTCGACTCGCACAATCCCACTGTAGTGCGATATATATATATTTGGGTGATATGAGAGGGTTGCTCTAGAGTACAGCTGTGTATATTAAACTAACATATCAAGGAACTACAAGCGAGTTAGTCTTCGCTAGAAATACAGAAATCATATTTTACAAGACGGAAACGAGATGAGATAAGAGAAAACCGCTCGCGTAAAACCTAAGAAGACGGCGGTTCCGAAGTTTCCGGACTCTGGCAGCCGTTTCCATTAGCTTCGTCGTGAGCGTTATGCCGGTCGGCATAAAGCACGTAGTTGACAGACTCGAGCGGCAAGTCCCAGACGCCGTCTGAGCCTTTCCAGAGATACTTGTCGTCCTCGGAGATGACTGCGTATTCGTCAGTTATCGTAGTGAGATGGTTGAGTTCGGGAGTGAGGATCTCGACGTTGTAGCTGACGAGGGCGACGTATATGTACACGATCAGCATGACGAGAAAAGACGGGAACGCGAGGGCCCACCAGCGCGAGGGATAGTAGTATATTTTGAGACTGTGCAGGACCGACTGCGGCAGGAAGGCCCAGAGGATGTAGATGATGAAGGCGAATGTGCTAGAGACGTAGAGCGCAAAGCCAAAGTACTCGCGCTCGGGTGGGACGGCATCGCCGCCGACGGTGACATCAGATTCCTTTGCGAGCTTGTCGCCGTCTGGGATGTCTGCTTCCGAGTCTGAGGCGACGGATGCTGAGCGGGTTACGGAGGCACGGGGGGAGTTGCGGCCGGAGGTGAAGAGGGAGAATGGGGTGTTTGTAGGTTTTTTGAGCGGCTAGAGACACAATTAGTCGATGTCAGTACTTTGCAGGTATTCTATTCGACGATTGAAAAAGAAGAAACGCACAGTAGGAGGATGATTGTAGAACGGAGGCTGGAACTGCCAACTGTTGTCCTCGAGAGCCTCGAGGTTCGACGACGAGGCAGACTGCCGCGGCCGACGCCTGCGGATGGAAGCCGACGATTTGCTACGTTTCATAAAAGCAGCGCACCTGCAGACTTGTGCATTTCTCGAGCAGCGAGTTCAGGACGAGAAAAGTCGAGATATCAAGAAGAACAACGAGGGTGTCTTCACAGCTCGAATCCGTGGTTGGGATTTGAGTTGCCGCGTCCATCGCGAGCCGAACCTTAACGAGCCTCACCCTTCCAATCTGCTTCCGCACTTTATAACCTGCGCTCTTCCGCCTCCAAGCACAATAACAAATCCTCATTCATCCATCGCATGTCTTCCGACTCTCTCTCCACCGGGCGAGTTGCTGTCGCTGAGGCTGCGGCCGAGGTTGCGGCCGGAAGCGGCGAGAGCCTCGACGTGGCCGAGGAAGCGACTGATATACAGATTCCAGAGCAGGTAAGTGCCCTCCTGAACCGCGGTGTCCCGGACGAGATCTTCGTGTGGTGAAGCGAGAAAGAGCGCGGGCGGACGAAGCAGATTGCTGACTTGTTGCTTTTCTGTGCTGTAGGACGGGCTGCTAGAGCCGATCCCGACTGCTTCCGATCCCGTCGAGACCCCACAAGCCAGCAGCACCGCCCCTAACGAGACTCCTGCTGACTCTGCTGCGAGTCCCGAGCCGGCATCCTCCCCGACGACTGACAAGCCAGAGCCAGTCTCGGAGCTGTCTGAATCATTCGCCTGCACCGGCCTCGACTCGGCAGATCAGACTGAACAACCGGCATCACCACCGCCTGCGCACGCGCCTCGAGCTTCCGCCAGAGACGAAGCGATCCGAGCCGAGCTCGAATCGAGCGTTTTCAAAATCAAGACCATCACATGGTATGATCCATACGGCCAGACCCGCGAGTCGCCAATTATTCTGCAAAACAAGAATGGACCGTGTCCGCTAATTGCGCTGGTCAACACGCTTATTCTGTCTACTCCGCCAGACGTGAAGACCCCGATCTCAAACATATCGGCCTCACGCACCGAGATTAGTGCAAAGTACTTGATCGACCTTCTTGCCGACGTGCTCTTATCTTCTGAAAACACCGAACACACAGACGTGAACAACGTGCTCTCGCTCCTGCCCAGCCTACACACCGGGTTGAACATAAACCCTAGATTTGACGGATCGTTCGAGTCCTCTGAAGAACTAGCTCTCTTTCGCGCATTCGACGTCGACCTTGTCCACGGATGGGTGTCTGATCCCGCAAACAAATATGTAGACTCGGCGGTTACAAAAGCCGGGTCGTATGAGGGCGCTCAAGGCTATCTAGTCCAAGCCTCAGAGTTCACATCCAAGCTTGACGACGGGATCTCACTCACAGACGAAGAGATGGCGCTCATGGAAACCGCCAGATTAATAGACCTCTTCCTGTCCCAGACGGCTACCCAGCTTACCTCATTCGGCCTCAAATTTCTCTCCGAGCTGCTCTCGCCCGGAAGCCTTGCAGTCTTATTCCGCAACGACCATTTCTCAACAGTATACAAGCACCCAGATTCAAAGCAGCTCTTCATGCTCGTCACCGACTCTGGCTTCAGCCACATCAAAAACATCGTCTGGGAATCTCTCAACGACGTCTCCGGATCTAGCAGCTATTTCTTCAACGGCGTCTTTGTCCCTAGCGAGTTTGGCGAAGACAAGCCAAAACCTACCGACCCACCTCCGCCACCGGCGTCAAAACAGGTCCAGTTCTCGACGCCGGTGGACTCGACCGATCTCGACCTTGCTCTGGCAATGGAGCTCCAACAGCAAGAAGACGAGCAGGTGGCCCGCGAGCAGCAATTGATCGAGGACCGCGCGGCATCAAGAGGGACACGCAGTCGCCAAGGGTCTTCTGCTGCCGCAGGACAACCTCCAGCCGGATCTCGTCCCCATCCCGGCACTCGTGGATCGCATGGCAACGCTCGTCCGCGTGGCCCGAATAACGTGAGTATATATGCGCCTTATGGAGGACAAGCACGAGGCTTACTCAACGAACTACAGTCCTCAGGAAACACGCCGTCGTCGACGTCAACGTCGTCCGCTGGAACGAATGCGGCTCTTTCAAAGAAATCTAAACGCGCGGCAGGCGGGAAAGCATCGGGGGAGAAGGACAAGTGCTGCATCATGTAGACGAGCGTTTTGAAAGAGCTGTATACTCCACAGCGATACAGTGTCTAAAAGATTTTTGCTTTATTTTTTGCATAGGGTGGTGGCGTGCTTTAATGTGATTCCAGGTTGGCGCGTTTCGATTTAGATTCTATATTTGTGTATCGTCAAAGGACTATCCAGGCCTTTACTTTTGATTACGTGTAGAAGACATTGTTTCTGAAATATAAAATTGAATATACATGTGTAAATTACTTTCCCACCGACCCTTGAAGTTCAATACTGCTCTTCACAACCCCGACCAACGCGCTAGTCTGCAGGGTCTCCGAGCCTCCACTCGACAATCTATACTCAATATCCGCCAACCCCGAAATCATCTCGGCTCTGACTGACGGCGCGAACTGGATCTGTTCCGACTCCTCAAACACGCCCTGCAACATATCCGCCAGCGCCAGTCCATTGAGCTCCTTAATCTTTCGCACGGATCGCAGCGCGGCGCCCCATTCTTGCGACATCATCGTGTCCATCAACTGCCGGATGTCCGAAGGCTTCGGATTTCCCACACAATCGTATATATCCGCCTCTGAGATCGGGACTTCTTGCTTCTCGCCGTCTTCTCGCGAGACATGGCATGCTTGGAGGACGTTCAGCGCTCGTCGCATGTCGCCTTTGGAGAGCGAGAGGAGGGCGGAGAAGGCCTCGTTCGAGATGTTTACGTTCTCTTGCTCGATGACGTGGGTGATGCGTTTGCGAATTGAGGATTCGGGGATGGGTGAGAAGCGGAAGCGGGTGCAGCGGGATTGGATGGCTGGGGTTAGTTTGTGGACGTAGTTTGCGAGGATGCAGAACCGTGTGTGGGTCGTAAACTTCTCCATTACTGAAACAAGTAGAGTCAGCAATCTTCTTTCAATCCTACAACCAAAACCGAAAAAAGAGAGAAAACTCACTTCGTCGCAAGGCATTCTGAGCAGCATTCGTCATCATATCCGCCTCATCCAAAATCACAAGTTTGAACCCATTGCTAAACATCTGTCGCGTCGACGCAAAGGTCTTGATCTGATCACGCACGACGTCGATTCCGCGCTCGTCCGAGGCGTTCAGCTCAAGCACCATGTTTTTGAAGCTCTTGCCGTAGATCTCGCGCGCGACGGCGAGGATCGTCGAGGTTTTGCCGGTGCCGGGAGGGCCGTAGAAGAGGAGATGCGGGATCTTGTTTGAGGAGATGAATGTTCGGACTGTACAAGTTGCGTCAGCTGGCTGCACCGAACTTTCGATATCATAGTAGCTAGAGGACTTACTCGTAGATATAATGCTCTCATGACCCGCTACATCATCTAAGCTGCTCGGTCTATACTTCTCGACCCTGCAAATCATCATATCAGTCTCTATAACCCAGCACCTTTTCTCACCACCAGAGCAACACATACCATGGCAAATTGTCGTCGCCCTCACTCTCGCCTGCTCTAACCTTTCCCTTTGCAATCGTCTTTGGAAACTGGTCCACTTCCATTGATTCACTCATCGTGTTCTCGTCCTTCGCTGCTGTATGAAGTCACCGTCGAGACGCGTTCGACGAGCGCGAGGCGCGTAGCTCCTTCCTGGTCTGCGCCCTAACCACCAAACCCTAATATCAATTAGGATCACGTGCAAAGCCGAGCATCGCCAGATGGGCAACCAGCCATGCCTCGGTCTGAGATCACGAACGATCCTCGAGGCAATTGCTCGTTCAATTGATTGTTGAGTGCTCAGCTGCACTTTCAAACCGCTTTGGCATCGATCATTTGGGTGTGCATCTGCAATGCAGCTCGTCCGTCCGAGCTACGACTCCTGGGCTCAGTACCAGTCAGATATCTATGCCACCCTGCTTCCGCCTGCGATCTCGACCGACGCCAGAGAATGGGAAGCCGAAGCGCGAAAACGGCTGCCGCCGCGAAACTTCAACTACATCAACGGCAACGCGAACCAGTCCCGCACGTACGACGCCAACCTGCGCGCGTTTTCTCGGTACAGACTTGTTCCGCGCATGCTCGCGGGCGCGAGTTCGCGGGACCTCTCGATCGAGCTGTTTGGCAAGCGGTTTCCGTCGCCGGTTATAGTTGGTCCTATTGGCGTGCAAAGCCTTGCGCATAAGGAAGCGGAGCGCGGAAGTGCGCGGGCAGCGGCGCGGTTGAATGTCCCGTTTGTGTTGTCGACGGCGTCGAGCACGAGCATGGAAACCATCGCCTCGGTGCACGAGGAAGACTCTGTTGCGGCTACAGACAAGTTTGCGAAATCAGATCGATGGTTTCAGCTGTACTGGCCCAAGAACGACGCAATCACGAAATCGCTGCTAGACCGTGCTGCAGATCATGGGTTCTCGGTGCTCGTAGTCACGCTCGATACCTTCTCGCTTGGGTTCAGGCCTACTGATCTTGATCAAAGCTTTCTGCCGTTTATCTGGGGCGAGGGATGCGCGATTGGATTGACTGATCCTGAGTTCAACAGATTCTACGCGAAGCTGCTGGCGTCTCAGATGAAGGCTACTTTTACACAGAAGCTCAAGTTGTTAATTGAGCGTAGTCGTGGGAACTGGAGACTTGCATTATTCCTCATCTGGAACCAGTCCACTATCTTCAAAGCGCTGGCTTGGCTTTCCCAGACATACTCTGGCCAACACAAGTCCTGGGAAGACCTACGATTCCTGCGCGAGAACTGGAAAGGCCCGCTTGTGCTGAAAGGAATTCAGAGCGTTGAAGACGCCCAGACTGCAATCAAGTACGGAATCGACGGCATCATTGTCTCCAACCACGGCGGCAGACAAGTCGATGGCGCCATCCCCTCCCTCGACGCGCTGGCCAGAATCACAGCAGACCCGGTCATCCAGGACTCAAATCTGACCGTCCTCTTCGACTCTGGCGTGCGCACTGGATCGGACATTATAAAAGCGCTAGCTCTAGGAGCAAAAGCGGTATTGATTGGCAGGCCGTTTGTTTACGGACTTGCGATCGGAGGAACAAAAGGCGTTGAGCATGTGCTGAGATGTATTTTGGCGGATACGGACATCTCTATGGCGAATATTGGGAAAAAGTCGATTGCTGAGTTGGACAGGAGTATTTTGGATATTGTGGATGTTGAATAGGTGCTTTTGAGTCTGGAGTTGTGTATTTATGTTGATCTTTCTTAGTTGAATAGTTTTCTTTTCTGGAATTGTATCCTTGTATTTCAGTAACACTTATCTGTAGGGTATGTAGGGCGTCATTAAACCCTACAGAAACTCGTAGGGTTACGTAATACGCGACTCCGCTGACTGAACTCCCAAAAATATCAACAACGCGATCCCAAAGACACTCACCCAGCAACACCCCACACAACTCCACCGATGACGGATGTATTCTCGCTTCTCCCAGACATCCAGCTCGAGGACTATGACTTACTTAACCTTTTTTCCGAGTGCAATTACCTTGCCGCAGATTTAGCGGCGCTGTCGTCGTCAGTCGATACCCTTGCGCGACGCACGCGCCGGAGCGAGGGCGAAGTGCGAGCGTTTATGGACGCGTATGAGCGCGAGTTGAAAAAGGGTGATATCGATAATGGACCGGTTGGGATCTCAGAGTGTGCGGCTGTGAATATGAAGGGCGGTGATACTGCGCAGAAAGATTGTCTGCTGCGGTTCTTCACGACGGGAGATGACCTGCTTGATTCAGCGTTGTTCGGAGGCGTGGGAATCGCGACCGGTTGCATTACGGAGTTTGTAGGGGAAAGCAGCGTTGGGAAATCTACGGTTTTGACACAGCTGTGCGTGTCTGTGCAGCTGCCATTGGTCTATGGTGGACTTGATCGGGAAGCAGTCTATATCTCGACCGAAGGCGGTCTGTCGACTCATCGACTCAACATGCTCCTCGCGAGTTTTCGCACACGCTATCCCGACGCGCGAAAGACTATCAGTGCCGATCGAATACACTACGTCGCGTGCCGAGATCTGGAAGAGCAGGACCATATTATTCAGTACCAGTTACCGACATTTGTCAGGAACCGCAATATTGGACTGATAGTACTCGACAGCATTGCGAGCCACTACCGCGCCGAGCAAGTAGGCTCCGGTCCGTCCGCGATGTACACCCGAGGAAACGAGCTGCTAAAGACTGCGTCGATGCTGCGACGGCTGGCGAAGGAGTGCAGGTGTGCGGTGGTGGTCGCGAATCAGGTCACCGATCTGTTTAGAGTGAATCAGCTGATGCAGGATGCCATTAACAGCGCGTCGGTCATGACATCCACCCCGCCTCCTCAAGCTTCGCAGTCCACTCAGGCTTGCACCCAAAAGTCGCAATCACCTCCTATCTCTGCAGATCCCAACTCCTCTACCGCCAGCATCCCCCCCGCCGCCATCACATCCGACCCACCCCTCTCGTTCGACGAACTCGAAGCCGAACTCTTCGCCTCGCGCATGGAAGACGACGACCACGCCGTCGACTTTGACATCATGGAACTCGACCTGCAATCCCGCTTCTATACCGGCTGGAACTGGCTCTCCGACGCGCCGTCGACAAAGTCCATTCTCGTGCGCGAAGGACAAGGAAAAACGACGGCGATGGGTCATGTTTGGAGTATCTGCGTCGCGCAGCGGGTCGTGCTTAAGCGCGAGACGAGCGGGATTGAATATGATTTGGGTCGCGGGAGGAGGAGTATGGAGGTCGTGTTTTCGCCGTATTTCGAGAGTGGGAATGTTGTCGAGTTTGAGATTGATAATGAGGGCGTTAAGGGGGTTGCGGGGAGTGATCTGAGTAGAGCGCAGTAGTCTCGATCGTTTTTGGTTATCAGCACAGATTTACATAATCCTTAATTACAGACCATCTACGAAACAGATTATAATATGAGTCACAATAATATTCAAAATAATACAAAACAGACAACTACAAAATCAAAAAAAACCAAAACACCCAACAAAAACAATATACAAAACAAAAAAAAGCACAAAGCACCAGGTATGATAAAAAAACCCACCGATAATACTAAACAGAGACTCCAAAAACTCCAAAAACTCCACAGAACAAGCTCAGCAAACACAGACACAGACACAGCGTGGCAGCAATCGTCCCTAGTCGATAACGATTATATCATCCAGAACGAGATCGTCAAGGGACTCAGAATCATCTTCGGGTATTTCGACGGGCAGAGAGTCCAAAGAGTTCGAGTTATCTTCGGGCATCTCGTAAAACAGATAGTCCAGGGAACCAGAGTCGTCTTCCGGGATCGGGGCCTCAGGCAGGGCAAGTGCAGCGGCGGTATTGCTGCTTCTGGCGGCCTCGGCGTACTGATTATTGACGTCGAACGAATCGACAACTAGGGAAGGATCCATTTCGCTCGAGGTCGGATCAGCTGGGGGTGGCAAGAGACAATTGTAAGGATCAGACCACTGGCTCAGGGTAGCGGAAGGGAGATTGTACGAAAAGCCAGTTGATTCATTCAGATGATTGGTGAAACTCGGGGGTTTCAGGGCCGCTTGATGCACGGCCAACTGTAGATCTTCCGGGTATTGCTGTTGCAGCTGTAGCGAGAAACCATAAGGATCAGACTGATCGACAGGAGCTGGGGGTGGATTGTTGAACGGAGCGACCGTTGACACATTCCCAGCACTGTGATAGCCCATGTGATGTGGTCCGTCGAGACCACTGCCCTCAGCAGCATTCGGAACATCCTCAGGAATTGTAATGACTTGTTGGGCAGCAGCTGCCGTCTTCTCCGTAGCCAAGCACTGCCGTTTCGCTGGACGGCTGTCTGCATTAGCATCCGCGTTGGCGTGCTTGGCTTGGGTACTCTGACTGCTCACAGAAGAAGAAGACGGTACAGCGCTTAGTTGTTCGCCATTAGCAACCGGGGATTGTTGGCGTTCCGGCTCGTGGGGCTTAGGAACGTACTTGTACTTGGGATGAATGATCATATGTAAGTCATTCATCTCCTCGTGTATCGCCTTAAACAAGAGCCGCTGACATTCAGTGAGCACCTTGTGCCAGACGATCTTCGTATACATCCGGAGCGAGGTCTGTCTGATGTTCTCGCCCGGAGATACGAAGCGCTCGAAAGCCCGAGCAAAGACAAAGAAGCTGTTTTGAGGGCGGATCTCTTGGTATCCTTGGTTTCTGATTCGCTTGTTAACGATCTCGTCGGAGTCAACGTTAACGGCCTTGACCTTGCAGCTATACAAAGCAGAGACGAGGACGTCGAGTGCATAGCCGCGGTCGGTCTCATCAGCGGCCTTAAGCTTGTCCAGCAAACTCTGGCACTCATCGCGAGTGAGGTGCAATTCTTGACGCGCGGTGACCTTCTGGCCGTTCGCCGTCTTCTCGTTGCATTTCTCTCCGTGCTCGCGAAGAGTTTCGTCGATCCACTCTTGCCTGATCTGGCTGCGATCCGGGGTGATCAGGAGAATGAGCCGGTAGATGCGACTTAGATGTCGGATGCGCTCATAGTCGGTCAGCAAGGATGAGAATTCCGGAAGGTTGAGGCGACAGTCGGCAAGGACTTTCTGCATCAAGGGATGGTACTCCTTCTTGCCGGACGTAGTAGCGCCGGAGGAGGCCGGAAGAAGCTCCCCCAAAGGGATGATATCGATAGCTGCCACGCTGTGCTGTCTCAATCCCTTGCAATCATCGGTCGTAACATACTCTGGATAGACCGTCTCGACGATGCGTTGAAAGTCCGGAGAACGCTTTTGGAAATCGAGCATGTAAGTGCGCAGGCGGTCTTTGTAAGACGCCGACGTGTTCTTCGCCCTGCGGTCAGACTTGTTTGCCTTCAGGTAACATTTCTTCGAGGAGTCCGAGAGGTCTATGACTTCGTTTCCCCCCGAATTGTTACTGGAGGTATTATCAACAGGCTGCTGCTGCGCAGGCGCTTCGGTCTGGAGGGGCACCACCACGCTTTCCTCGGATGGCGTAGGAGGGAAGTTGGAGGCAGTAAGAAGTGCTGGATCAATTCCAGCGGAAGCATGAGGAACGTTCCCCATCATGTCGTAAAGATACGACTCAGTCTCAGGATCGCCGGTCGGCGGCGGTTGGACAGCGGGCGGTTGGACAATGCGTCCTCCAGGCGGCAAGATCAGTCCACCGTAGTCGAACTGTACGGGGGCGGGGGCCGGGTCAGGGGCGAAAGACTTGACAAGACGTGCCAGTCCGCGGGTATTCATGGTGGTCACAGATATCGGAAGGTCGGGAAAGAGGTAAGGCAATTCGGAAGAGGAGAGGGGGGGAGAGAAGAAGAGAAGAGGGAGAAGAGGGAGAGACAGACAAGGCGATTGATATAGCAGGGCACAAGAGGGCCAGCAAAAAAAAGGGTATTCCACATGGGTTCTGAAAATAGAAGGACTGCTGTGATTGCAATCAGTAAATGGAGTCAACAAGGCTTTGGTGGTTCAGCGAAGGAAGCCTTGTTGACCACTGGCTCTTTCGACAAGCCATTTTGGATGCCACAGGCTTCGTTGCTCTTCAAAAATGTCAAACGCCATCAGTAGAATACGCAAAATATCACCAGAAGCTTGATAAACATGCCCTCGAGCCACGCAGAACGATAAGCAGCCGTGCCTCTGGTTGTTCGCGGTGTTCGTGAGCAAGCAGACGATGGCGGGACAAGCGAACAAGGGACTGCGATTAAGGTTTCGCTACGGTCTTTGTTGGTCCGAGCCAAACCCACACAACGAGCAGACCTACAAACGGCATGCAATGGGCTATTTAGATGGAGTATTAAAGTCATATATTTTTAGTTAATTATGGCGCAAAATGCTCATGACTATATCTTAAACTTCGAGATCACAAGTAGTAGAGGTAGCACATCATCAGGGTCTAGTTAAAAGCTGCATAACCTCATCGCACAGCTTCTTATCCGCAACCTTACAGGTCTTCTTCCCTTTAACTGTCGCATAAGCATCAAGACTGGCACAGATATCCATCGCCTCGACACCAATCTCCTTATCCAGCGGAGCGCAGTAAAATATAAGACCCAACGAGAGCAAAAGCCTGCCCAGCGTAGGTCCTGACTCTTCTTCTCGACCGATACCTTCAATCAAAGCTACGATCAACTCGATTCCAATGTCTTGGCCTAGAAGTACCTCTTCTGAGTCTGACGCTCGTCGTTTCTGACCGTAGGCAACGATGTTGAACGCGAGTGATGAAGCGGCTAGACGGACGTTGACGTGGTCGTCAAGTAGCGACTTTGCAGCAAGCTGGGCAAGAGAGCCGCCTAGCTTTGAGATCAAGAGAGGAGCAAAGAGAGGAGAGCTGAAGAGATTGCAGAGCAGTTGGAGAGTAACTAAACGGACCTGAAAGGGACTTTCATCTCTTGAACTGAAATCGATGACGACCTTGATAGTGTTTAGATCTAAAATATTGTTAGTAAATTATCACAAACATACAAACGCACATTATACATACCGTGCTCCTCTGCAAACCACGAGCCCACGCGAACATCGACAGCTGCAATTCTGAACAAGTCAATAATAGGAAACAAATTCTCTCCGCTTCCGCTTTCCGAGCTGGCTAGACTTTTCTGCACAAACGCCGCCCACGCCGATAGGTCAGGCACAGGAGCTTCCCGCGCTCCCTCTGTGCTGCGCAGACGCACAAAATCCGCAATATGACTGATAATCGGATCATTAATTCCAGCACCGGCAAGCTTTGCAACAATCTTGTCGAGTGGGGGTAGCTTGGCGTAGCTGATTGGCGTATTGGGAGTACCGAGGAGAATCGGCAGGCGCAGACGCCGATGCGGGTGGACAGGATACGCAGCCTGTAGGAGCATCTGGACATTACTCTCAAGAGTCGGAGGCGAGGCACCTTTCCATTCATCGAGCTTTTCGCCGCTGATAAAGGTCATGAATGTTGGTGTGGCGGAAATTCTCCACCGCGTGGCGATATCGTAGGCGTCGTTGATGTCGACCTTGATGAACTTGCATTTGTCACCGTATTCCTCAGCAAGCTGATCGTACTTGGGGTAAGCAATCCGACAAGGGCCGCAAGTGGCGGAAGTGAAGAAGACGGTTGAACATTTGCTAGTCTTGATCATGTTGTCGAGCTCTGACGCGGAAGTGGTATAGATAACCGCGTGCTGCCCCGCCTGAGGTGTCTGCTGTTGCGGAGCCCTTGCCGGAGCCTGCGTCGGAGTCTGTGAGAATGGCGCTGATGAAGGCGCTGTCGTGATTGGTCTTAGCGAGTTCTCAATCACGGGCCTCATCATCTGTCCAAAGGGAGTCTCCAAGACCTCGCGCGGCAGGTTTGAGATATGTGGCGGGATATCGCGACCGACGAGGAACTGACACAGGTCTTGGGAGAAGTTATTGCAGTTGTGCATAAACAGGTCGTACTTCTCCTGTGTGTAGATTTCGGCAAGCGAGCCGATGTATTCCCGCACGATGTCCTCCGGGAGCGAGCTCTCGCTCATGTCGACGATCTCCAAGGGCTGGCCGTGGTGCGTAGAACCGGGAGCTGCGGTCTGCACGCCGGCGCCGTAGTAGTACTCAACATTATTGTAGACGACACTGGTATGCCATACACCATCTGGAGAAGAAGGTCTCGGTCAGCACATCAGCTCGTTCAGATGCGTAGAGGTGCAAAGTGCGGCTTACCTATCTGTTTGCCAACGAGCTGTCTCGACATCTGGTGATTGATGGAAGTTAGTCAGGATCTAGATGGTATACTCAGCAGTGGATCGTTCAATACCTGTCGAGCAAGACCTGTCGAGAATGTTAATAGAGATCACACATATGACGGATTTGGGAGTGGCCATACCTTTGGACAGATCATACACGTATAGTTTCACAGGAAAGCCAGTCATAGTCGCAGTAAATAAACCAGTAACAGCAAAATCTGTAGAATCAACAACACACGAATAGAAGAAGAAGCCCGCTATTTATCCTGATCGACGGCACGGCTGTTGCTCTGCTGAACTGTTATCGGTTCTCGGTCATCTTCCACGCGTAATCTCAGCCGCGCCTACGTAACTGCGTGGATCCTGAGCACGTGAACACAGCCTGACTCCCAGAGCCGATGACGTGGGCAGCCGAAGCGGACGACAATTCAATCCTTCAGAGAGCGTTGTTGGATTCTGCAACGACTATACTCTGGTAGGAGGAATTCACAGTGGCTATGGCGGGTGCAAGATATTGGACCTGCTCGGCGTGCAGACCGCAGCGAGAAGCACTGCGATGGTGCATTTCCAGATCAGCAACTCCGACGGCGAATCGTCGCGGCAATCGATGCTATTCCAAGTACTCGATAGAAGAACCTGTGTTTGAGCACATGGATATTGAGCATGTTATCTCAAAGGTGTGTTTAGTCGCGTTACTCTAGCTCCGGAGTAGATCATTGTCATGAACTGTTGTTAATGGTGTCTTGTTTAGTACTCGAAAAATTCCAGCACGAGGTAAGGCTTTACTTTGAGACTATTCTAGGAGAAAACTATCTAACAACCAGCTGCTTAGACTGACGTTGCAAGACCTGCTGCAATTTGGAAAACCACCAGTAGCCGTCGACAAGCTCGTTCTCAACGCGCGCCATATTAAGCGTGAACTACTGAGTAGTCTCTCTCGCCGCGTGATCGCCCTGCGGAATCTGCCATACATTATGATGCTCAATCCAAACATCTCACAGATCTACCACAAATATCTTTCCTCGATCGGGTTTGTCTACGGCAACGAGATCTTCAAAGCAAAGAACGTCACCACCGAGGAGGAAAACCGGCAGTTTGTCGACGCCCTTCAAAAGATGGTCGACGAGCATACTGATGCGATTCCGATCTTGGCCAAGGGCGTGGCCGAGTCCCGGTCTTATATTAGCAGTACGCACGCCAATGCGTTTTTAGATGAGCACCTGAGAGCTCGCGTGGGAACCAGATTAGCGGCAAAGCATCATATCATGCTTTCGCACCAGAGCTCGCCGGACTACGACACCTCCAGACGCTATGTCGGCATGGTCGATACCAATCTCAAACCCGCGGAGATGGTGCAGTCGGTCGCTGATTTGCTCTCTGATGTGTCTGATCTACAGTATGGCTTACGGCCTCATTTGTTGGTTGATAAAGGCAGTGATATCGAGATCGAATATGTCTCGGAACATCTGGAGTACATTCTCACCGAGCTCCTGAAAAACTGCTTCAGAGCAACAGTTGAGCATCATCTCGGCCAGTCGTCGTCTGCGGAGTATCGGATGTCTAGCAGCAGCGCTTCTGAAAGTCGTGGTATTTTCGGAGGCAATATATCTTCCATACCTCCTGTGCTCGTCACAATCACCAGCACCCCAACTGGCATACAAATCCGCTTACGCGACCGGGGCGGTGGTATCCAAGATGACAATCTAAAGAGAATATGGGGCTACTCAGAGTCCACTTTCGAAGGAGACTCACGCAGTGACGGGTTCAAGACGTTGAACACGCCGCCACCCAGCGTTACCGGAACCGGAGGCAGCTCGATGGGTGGTTTGGGCTATGGTCTTCCTTTGAGCAGAGCTTATGCTGATTATTTTGGGGGTGATATAGAGTTGGAATCCATTTATGGGTGGGGTGTAAGTACTCTATTTTTTATTTTGGTATTAGGCACTGCTGATTATTGTTTAGACTGACGCATACATTACGCTCCACTGCCCAAGGACCGGTGAATAGAGAGAAGAAATAATGATTTGTCTATTAATAATACAACCCAAAAGCAAACAAAATGGTCATTAGTCATTAATTATAGTAGCAAAATTTGAAGGAACGTGGGTACTAGCTCGCAGGCATAGTAATTGTCTCGTAAGCCACTGCAGTGAGAACTTCGACCGCGGTCGCAGTCGCAGTCACTTCGACCACGTCGTAGACTACGCCGTCTGCACCGGTGGTCGCGGCAGGGGCGGCAGTTGTAGTCGCCGATGTTGCCGCCGCGGTTGCTGTTGTACTGGCGACGGCCATCATAGCCGTGTCGCTCGAAGAAGTGGTAGTAGCAGACGACATCATCTGCGCTGCAGCGGAAGTCGAAGAGGCTGTCCATCCAGACAATGAGAAGGTAGTGGTGCCGGTCGAGCAGACGAGATCGGGGAAGACTGCGGTCAGCTTTGTGGTGGACGAGGTAGCAGCAGAGGTGGTAGTGTCGGCCATTGCGGTGGAGCTGGTGGTGGCTGCCATCATTGCGTCTGAAGTAGAACTACTCGAAGTCGTCATCATTGCGTCTGAGGTGGTTGAAGATGTCGTAGAAACCACCGCGGCCTGCACCATTGAGTCTGTCGACGACGACGAGGACGTTGTAGCTGTCGTTAAAGTCGAATCCGCCGCGACGAACCCGGGCAGACTGCTGACCGTCGTGGTAACGTACGCAATCACGACGTTATCTGTACTTTGCTGCTGCACGAAGCCGTCGTCGCGTACCGCGAGCTTTGTCGCCGTCACGGTCTTTGTCGAGAACGAGGTCGGCAGATGCTTGCGGTAGTGGGCATGGTGCTGGTGCGGAAGCGCAAATGCGGCGTCGGAGCAGACGAGCACCAGGGCTGATAACGGCAGTAGTAGCGAGAGCTTCATGATTCAGCTACGGCCAGCGCGAATAAGTTGCATCGAGGGGGATTCGCAAGAACGGAGAAGGCGAGCAGAGAACGTTATAACAGTTTCCCGCGCCGAGCTGTCAGACCGGCGCCCGCCGACTCCTGGCGGTGTGGCGGTGTCGCAGGGGTCGGCGAGGAATTTGGAACGACGCGTCGCGGAGGCCAAACGCGTGATGCGGCTTGACGCGTCTCGCATCGATTAGGCTGCGGCCCCTGATTCAGGACCCCTTCGCATAGCTGAGCCTAAACTGGGCTGCCGAGGGCACGGCTGTTTGTTTGTTCTGTAAACAATATCAGTTTATTGTATAGGAGATTAAAGAGTTGATACAGGAGACTATTACTATTAGAGAGCAGTTACAGGTTGACAACTATGCATTTACTTTTGCAGCTTCAATAACTACACTAATTACAATTCATAACAAAACAAAACTATACTCGTTTCACTCTGCTCATCATCACTCTCAAGAGGCCTTCAGCTCCGTCGTCACATACGCGTTGAACTCCTCCGGATTGTCGAGATAAAGATGATGGCCTGCCCTGCTAATTGTCTTACATTCGGAACGCACCCCATTCTTGCGCATAATCTCTGCCGCTTTTTCGCCCGCCTCGGCGTCCATCCAGTCGTTTTCGCCATACATCCATACAGTAGGTACTTTGAGGTTTTTGATTCTATCAATCAAGGCGATGCGCGCATACGCACCAGGTGCTAGTAACCGCGTCACCGCATATTCTCCCGACCCTCGTGCTGTGAAGAGTCCGAGAACGTAGTCGTGCAGCGCCGCAGCCTGCTCCTTGGGAAGCATCGAGAAACGGTTGCTTGTCCACAGATACACCAGTTGCGGACCAAGAGGCCCGGTGTGTCTGACAAAGACGAACGGTGAAACATGCCGTTCCCACAAAAACACAAGCCATGACGGGATCGGCCGCTTCAGCTCGCCTTTTGCTACCGGATGAGGATATTGGCCAGAGGAATTGTGAAGAGTGTGCGGCTTCGTGGTCTCCTGCTGAGGCTGGAGCTCTGCTGCGGCCAATTGCATGGGATCTACCGACACTGACTCGCCGGCGTCGTCGTGAATAACAAACGGATCTCGAGGTACACCAGCAGGACTGACTAATATTAATTTCTTGACCCGCTCGGGATACCGCAAGGCATACGCAACGCCGACGTAGCCACCCATTGAGTGAGCCATGAGGGTAAACTTGTCGAGTCCGCGCTTTTGCCTCCATTCCTCAATTGAGTCGACGAACCAGCTCTCGGCCGCGTAAACAGCCTCGTACTTGTCCTTCGCTTTTATCCTGAACTTGGGCCGCGAGGACCGGCCGTAGCCAAGTAGGTCTAATGCGTGCAGTCGCCATCCGGCAATTCGCGACAGGCCGTCAAAGTTGCGGATGAAGAACGCCAGGCCTGCGCCATATCCGTGGAGGATAACGAGATCGTTTTCGACTTTTTCTGTCGTCCGCGTGATTTCAAACTCGTTGATCATGCGCGTGGGGGATAGCTCGACCTGGAGCGATTGCGCGGACCGGGATGCGTCCGGCTCGGGGAAGAAAGGCAGGAATGAGAGGACTTTCTTCTCGGAGATCTCGAGCGAGGGCGGGCTCCACCACTGCTGCACGGCCTCGCGGAACGGCAGTGGCATCTCCAGCGAGGAGATGCGGGAGATAATCCCGCGACGGGGCGGGTCCGGGTTTGCTATGATGATATCGGTTGCGTCGTCGTCACCGTGGACGACACGACGCTTTGCGGGGGGCGGGGGGGAGGAGTGGGAGGACTTGTGGCGTCCGGTGGAGGCAGTGGCCGAGGAGGCAGCCGGGAGCGCGACTGAGAAGAGCCGTCGATGGCTTTTGTGGATGTGCAGACGCAGGCGACACGCCCACACAGCGTAGTTTTGTAGTGACAACTGCAACGTGGCGGCGGCGGGTGGTCAGCGGAGTCGGCAGGACGATCTTCCTCTTCGGGTAGCAGCAAAAGGTCAGCAAATGTCAGCCCGGACGGCGACGGGTGCTCGAGTCAATGGCACCGTTGTGCGGACACGCTGGCTGACGACAGGGCTTTGGGAAGAAGAGCAGCGCGGAGTCGCTGTCGAGAAGTGCAGGCAGCAACAGGTCCAGCTGTCGGTGCACGATAATCCTTACGCTCTTCTCTCTCCCGTCGAGCCTCGCTGTCGGCCGTCCCCAACATGTGTAGCGCACGTGATCTGTCATGTGAGGGTCATGTGACTGCGGCTTACTACTCTGTCTCAACTACTGTAACTCTACGGGGGCAAATACAGAACATACAACTACTGAGAAAAAGCCTTACGGCCGAGTGTATTGAAACTGCCGACATATGCTACATTCGCACTCGCGGTTGTCGTATTCCCGTGCCAGATCCCGTAGCTCAGAGTTCCGCAGCACGATAACACCCCTCTCGCCCGCGGTCTTGGTCAGAATCATCATCGTCGCCTTCGCCAGCTCCACCTTCCGGCATGTCATTCCGTCGATTATCCACCATCCCAGAAACGGTATCCGTTTGTTAGACCCGACGATTGTCTTGAGAGACTGATTTGTCATATGGCCTGGTCTCAGGATGATCGTCCGCTCAAACATGAGCTTTACTATCTCCAGCTCAAACTCTGCTTGTAGACGTGCGCACGCGAAACGCGAGTCGCGCGACGCGCCGTGGCTCGAGACGACGACGATCGTAGGAATATCCTGCTTCCGTGCCACCCGGGCGATCTGCAGGTTCTTCTCCTTCTGTCTCCTGTACTGCTCCTCGAGGTCCCTGCCCCGCCGGCCGTCGATATCAAGGCCGATAAAGATAATCTGGGTCTCGTCCGGGATCGCGTATGCCCCGTCTGCAGTCACCCGGTTGATGACCGTCTTTGCCGCCGGATCGGTCGAGGGTAAGGACAGCGGCCGTTCTGTTATCGCGACTATTTTCTCGACCTTGGTGGGGAGGGTGGGAGCTGCGCGTAGGAGCGATACGAACGAGAGCCCGGTGTAGCCGGATGCGCCCACCACCGTGATTGTGTCGCGTGAACTTTTGAGGAGAGAGGTCATTGTGCTGCTGTGTGTGTTTTCGTTATCTACGATTATCCTACGCAGAGGGACGCATGTGTGGATTTATATACAATAAGAGTCTTGTTGTTGGAGTAGCGATGGGATCCAAATCGGGAGCAAAGTGCTTACGGTACGCAACCTGGGCCAGACTCGAGCTTCCTGACTCAACAATTAAACGTCGCATCCAAACTCTGCTTCCCTTTTCTGCCGTCCAAAATGAGCTCTTTGCTCCAACTTTGCTTCTACCCGAGCAAGTCAAATTGTCTATTTCGCTCAGCTGAGTAAGCTCCCGTTCTGGCGGGATGGCGAGAGCGGGCCGCATTATGTAACGGCTGGTTAAATGCCTAATCGAGCAGTCCTGCCCCACACCACCCGTTCAGCTAAGTGAATGCCCTCTAGCAAATATCATGAACGTGCGGTCGTCCGTTCTGTTCTCTGTGTTCTCGTGCTCATGACCCTTCGCAGTGGTTGGGGCTTGCGCTGTGGTGGCGGCTGTCCCTGACTGCTGGCGGTGCTCCACCGGGGAGGACACCGGGCCCATGCTTTCCATGCTTTCCTTCCCGCTAACTAATCAAAAATTACAAATCCAAGCATTTCATTCGGCCTGTCTGTCTTTCAGTGCCGCCATTGTCTATTGTGTAAGAAGTGGTCGAAGTGCTCTGCAGAAGTTTGCCTATCTCGCCACTCCCTGCGCACGCAGCGCCTTTTGCCACTAGATCCTACTTCCTAAAAAATAACAGTCTCTTATCATTCATGTGTTTGTACAATGATACCGCACAACAGCTGCAGCCGGCTCTGAGAATCGGCTACGGATCTCGTCCACAGCACGCGATAACTTTCCAACCACATATCTCCGATGGTCGTCCGCCGAATCTACCGCAGCGGCCGATTGCTGATTACGTACTTGGCGATTATCAATAACACTGGCCAAGTACGTCTGGACTCTGGCGCACGCCTGTAATCTGTTTTCTGTAAAGTGCGGGCGATGACTGTCCACTCTCTGGCTCGTCCCCTCGGTGCTCGAGGTCAGACAGACCAGATGGGATAGCAAACGCGGCATGTCCAGCATCAGCGAGCAGAGGTCCTGAGACCTTTCGTTTGGCTTACTCGCGCATGCTTTGATGTACCTCCTGCTATCCTGCAAACTCGATGTAGCAGACTCTTTCATCCTGTCCATCACGAACGGGTCGATCTGTAGTCTATCCCTGTCCTCTGACTGAAACTGCGCCAAACTCTCCGCACGGCTGCTTGCCGGCCACTGGCTCTCGTAGTACTGCACACTGGCCAAATACAGTTTACCAATCTCTGCTCTGATGTCGTAGTAATACAGCTGAAGCTGAGTCTTAAAGGTTTGGAGCGGCAGTCCTTCGTACTGAGTCGAGTTTTCCGAGCTTCCACCCGACACCGTCGTCTCGCTCGTCGAATTCTCTTCCTTCTCGTTCGACTCTCGAAGCACTTCAGGTATATCAAGCCGCCACTCCTCCAGCTTCTCCATAAACTCTCCCGTCACTGTGAACAAAATGCCCGGCACACGAAGTGACTTTTCCGGTATCCAATCCTTCGAGCTTTCCTTCACGCTACAACGCAGCGCCAACGCGGAAATACGCGCATTCAGAAACTGCAGCACCGTGATATCATACTTTGACCGAGAGTACGAGAACTCAGCGTACAGTGCATCCGAGTATGTGAGAATCGGAGGAAGGGAGTAAGAAGCGAAGATGCCGGAGTCGAGCAAGAATAGCGAGCCGAGAGACAGCGTGGTGATGCATTTCTCTTGGTTGTTTTTCGGAGACAGTTGGCAGAGACGGAGTTGGGTGTATGCTGCCGAGGCAAGCTTGTATGCGACCTGAATCTGCATAGTGGCGATTTTGTATAGGCTAGTTCCGAGTCAGTAAGTCCTTCCATAAAGCCTCATTCTGACAGTATCATACCTGAGATAGATCAAGCTTTGAGCTCCAAACAAGTCTGAATGACTGAGTCCGTCCCCAGTCCATCTATACGCCAACTGAATCAGTTTATCTCGGTACTCCTCCAACGACCCAATGCGCTCAAACGGAGAGTATCTCAATATCCACTCCGCACCTAGTGCTAGTATCGTACACATCAACGACCCCTCAGACTTTGTGTACCGGGCCGGCGACAGCGCGGTCGAGAGCAGATCAACTATTTTCGACGTTGGCGAGGAAAGAAAGACGGGGTAGAATGCGTGGATGTGTTGGACAAATGCGGATATCAGAGGGAGGTAGACTGCTGGTCCTCGTCGGAGAAGGGTTTCTAGAATATTAGACTCGTCGTCGGACTTTCTTGATGGCGCTGTGCTGTCTTCGATATCGGGAGCGTGTAAAGCGATCGAGAGAAGTAGATCGTCATAAACGCTCAGATTCATTGAAAGAGAGGATCTGCTCGGGAACTGCGTGCTGGTGGATATCTGTGTAAAGTTTCGTCTTTCCAGAGCAAATTCATGAGCATCCGCTGCTAATTGACCTATGCTGGCGGCCTCTGCTGATACCTGAGGCGACTTCTTTGGGACCGGAGCTGCGCCTGGCAGTAAAGACCCATGCGAGGACCCGACCCCCTGCAAAGCAGATAGCTTAGACTCTGATGGACCCTTGCTAGGCTTGAAGTTCAGCGACGCAATTCCGGGAAGGGTAGTGGACTCTGACGAGTCTGAATTCGATGATATCCTTCGTTTCTTGGGCTCCATCTTGCCGTTCAAACGCTTACTCTCTTTCGCAGCCAAACCCGGCATTTTGCCGTACTTGCACGCTATCTTCTTTGCTGCACAGGGAACACAAGCCGGCCGGGACTCGTCGCATTTGATCTTTTTTGACCGACAGTTCTCACACGAGTACTTTGCCTTCCGCCGAGGATTGACGCCCGCAGATCCGTCTGCGCAAAACACAAACTCGAGAGGTACGGGCAATTCCATCACCGGCGATGTCCTGCGAAGACCGCGATCAGTCATAGTGGCAACCAGGCAACACCACACACAGCCAGACTCATCACCTGTATGCGCATGCGGTTTACTTCGCCTACGTCCATCTTCTCTGGGTATTTACTGCCTGGGCAGACGAGGGCCCGTAACTTTAGCCGGTTTCCCCGCAAAGTCTAGTGCGGCGCCACGGAAGTCAGCCTATTTTGGCTGTCTCCGCCGGAGCACTCCCGATTTATCCTCCAATGCGGCAACTGCTCCGAGGATTCCTGGTACAGCCTATGTAAGCTCTTTTTCAACTATTCAACATGCGGTTAAGTTGATATGATGTGTATATTTGTAATCTACACAATAGCTCCCGAGTCCTGCATCACGGCCGCAAAATTCTCAAAATTGACCGTGCCATACGCGTTGCCTGACGCGACTCGAAGCATCTCCTGCAAGTCTTCGTCTGTAACGTTATCCTTCACAAACTCTGCCACCTTTCGTAAATCGTCAATCGTAATGTACCGCTGATCCTGTCTGTGCTCGATAAACAACTCGAAAGCATCTTCTAATTCCTCCCTTTTCGCCTCGTTGATCTCGACCTTGTGGCTGCTTCCTGTGTCACCTTTACGCGCGGCCGCTCGAAGCTCTTTGTTTCGCTCTTGATACTTTAGCGCCATGATCTCGACAAAAAGATCATGGTCGACAATCCCACTACTGCTAGGATCCGCTGTCGCAATGATCTCCTGTAACTCTTGCGGACTAACAGAGAATCCGAGCGCAGCAACCGCATCTTCAATATTATCAGCGTGAAACACCTCCGATTCTGGGTCAGCCGCTATCTCGTAAACCTCCTCGATGTCTTGCAAGTCTGCTTCACTGATTCCTAGCGATGCAGCACTGGTTTTTTGTTTCTTTGGTCGCCGAGTTGACCTCCGAGGTGCTTCGGCAGTAGGTGGAGGCGGTGAGGCGGGTGTGGGTGCGGGTGCGGATGCGGGTGCGGGTGCAGGTGCAACTGCGATCGGCTCTGCAGACGAGCGTGCTGAGTTCTCCGCTGTCTGGAGTTCGCTTTCAATATATGATAAACTGTTTACTGGCTGTGGTTCGTCGTCTGCGCTGGTGAAGTGTTCTTCTGTACGGGGAGTCAATTTCGATTCGGTATCGGATTTTAGCACCGGAAGCTCCTCTGCCAAAGGTTCGCTGGTGAGTATCGGGGCAGGCGTCCGCTGCGGTTCTGGCTCCGGAGGTTGTTCCTCAGGCGCAGATTCTGGGGGCACTTCAACCCTCACCTCCTCCTTCTTTGCTACTTTCCTTGGCCTCTGGTCTTCATCATCAGACGAATCAGGATGAAATTCATCCTCCGAATCAATCTCACTATACTGCTCCACCTCCTCGTCATCTTCAAACAAAATCTCGTATCCGTCAAGTTCCCCACCGTCGCCGCTATTACTTCCCGACAGATTCTCTTTCGCGTTCTCAAAATCGTCGGCGTCACTCATCGACAGATCTGGGGTGTCGCTGGCGCGAGACGCATTTCGCGTTGACCGGCGCGTGCCTGGAGACTGAGACGATGCCTTACAACCAAAACAGTCAGCTCCTAGCATTCACCAAATACCATATCGTATGCAATAGAGAGATCTTACCATTCAAGCAGACAGCACTACAGAACTGTGCAGAGCGCTCTGCAGATCATCGCTGACGACAAGTTCACCAAGATCATCTCCCGCCATCAACCTCCAACCAGCTGAGGTCACGTGAATCACTTTTACGTTAGGGCACCAACCCTAAACAACCAAAAGGATAAAACCCAGCTCTGCTTCGAAATCTTTTCTTTTCTTTCTTTCTTTTTTTTTTTTTCTAAAATCTCTTTTATTTAGCTAGAACTCATATCTGCCATCTTTCACAGAGAGGTATGGGTGTGGACACTGGAGAGACATTGATATGCTATTCGCTTTACTGCAGAAGGAAGTTTGTGCCTTGATTCTCGACTAGAGAGAGTTGAGGTCTTTTCTGCGGCCATTAGGGCAGTTGATTGGTTTCTTCTGTTCGGTGGGTAATTGAGGCGGAGCAGACATGCTTATGGTCTCATAGCTTTGGGGGACTGAGCATATGCTGTTGGATCGGTTTGGGCATCTGGTGCGTGGGTTCAAAGAGATTTGGATGTATGCATTGCCTGAAGGGTTGAAAAACCGATTTGGGCAGGCAAATGACTGATCCTCCCTCCTACGTATATAAAAACTGAAGGATAAAATGCATATTATATTGCCTTCGCAATACGTTGAATCGTTCATCTGAAACTGTTTTTCATCTCGCGCAGCCTTTTCATCACCTCAGTTCGGCCTGTCTTCCCAGTAGCCTTCAAGATTTGCGGGTCCTACACAACTCATGTTAGTCTTTTACTGTGGTAGATACGGAGCGAATGTAAACGACTTACAGTAAGCATCATGTACGGATTATAACTCTTCTCGTCGCCAATGGTGAATATTCCCGTGGTGACTTCGTTCGCATTCGTATATGCGTCAAGTTTGTCAAGTGCTTTGCTATTCTTGAGCACCGATGTCGCAAACTTGACATTCGAAGCAGTGTACTCGTGACCGGGCTAAATGCAAGCTCTTATCAGCTCTCGAGCTATACGAGTTACGAATGCAAAGATCCGTATACTTACGTAGATCACAGTATCATCGGGAAGCGCTCCAAGAACCGTGTTCAACGACGTATCCATATCCTCCGCAGTCCCCTCAAAGAACCTACCACACCCACAAACGAAAAGCGTGTCACCTGTAAACACAGCGCGATCGTCTCCGTCCTCGCAAAAGTAGCTGATCGAGTCTTGCGTGTGGCATGGGGTGTAAAGCGCTTTGATCGAGATATTCTTTCCCAGTTTAAAAGTCGAGCCGTTGTCGGGGGTCTGGGTGACTAAGGGAGAGTCGAAGCCGGCTATTATTGGAACTTCAGGGAAGACGGAGCTCTGGGGAGGTGTTAGCTGTAGTACTCTGCTTTATGCGCTTTTTGTCGTCCGTGACAGCGCTTAGATTGCTAGCTTACCAGTTCCGCGTTACCGCCTAGGATATGTATCGTTAGTAGTCTTTCTTCTCTCGAGATGTTCGGTTGACGTCTTACCGGAGTGATCGTGATGATGGTGAGTATTGACTATCCCAGCGACGACAATTTCGCCTTTCTTCACTAGATCATGAATAGTAGGCAGAACCCTGCAATCCAAACATTAGCATCAATAGAAGAGCAATACAACTGCATACAACTTACTCAGCCGGCTCGGCAGGGTCGATTATGAATGTCTCCTTGGTAGTGTCGTCGGTTAGCAGGTAGCAGTAGTTGTCGCCGGTACCCCACCGCATTTTAATGTGCTGAATAGTCATGCTTCGTTTGGCCTGTTTATTCTGTTAGATTCACTCTTGATTACTGAAACACGCTGAGACTATAGTAAGATAGCAGCACGATCAGGACTGGATGTACAATGCGATTCAAATACTGCGCCTTATCCTATCGACCCCGCAGAAAGATCTCGCAGTTTAGAGAAAGTCATATACCTGAAATTGAGCCAGCCAAGCTGAATAGTAGCCTTTCCGGCTACTTCTCGCTGCTACCAGCGCAGACCGTCTATAAGCTACTGCAGCAATCATCCTTGATGTGTTGATCAGAGGGTGTGGATTGGCAACTGGTCACTGTGCTTAAACACAATGTCAAGAAGTTGGGATTAGATAACGCAGACTAGGGCTCATCACCTGGAGTACTTCAGCGCGTTAAGTAATTTATGACTAGCTGGCTGCTCTGTAGCCAGTGACATTCTCTCTTTTTATAAGCCAGATCTAGATGAGAATTAGAGACAGCAGATCGTAACGACCGTTCATACTCGATTATGTGATGTGATATATCACCAGATTTGATTTGACTATACAGTATTTAATTGAGCTATGGAACGCTAATCCACACATTCATCTCCTAGTGGAGTGCGCAATACACTTAAAAGCTGTTCTTCAACTCACGTAGCTTCTTCATGACCGCAGTTCTGTCAGTCTCTCCAGTGGATTTTATGATTTGAGGGTCCTATGCAAGTTAGTCAGCACTCTCTCCAGAGATGATGAAAGTCAGAAGAATCAATTGCGGGGAACGTACAGTGAGCATCATGAACGGGTTGTAGGTCTTCTCGTCGCCGATGGTGAATTTTCCGGCGGTAACCTCGTTAGCCTTCGTGAAAGCCTCAAGCTTGTCGAGCGCTTCGTTCTTGAGCACCGACTTGGCGAACTTGACGTTGGACGCGGTGTACTCATGGCCGGGCTATATGTCGACATGTTAGCGCTAGCTCGTTACAGCATTTACGGAAGCAAGGACGTGCTATCGCATCAGAGACTTACGTAAACTTTGGTATCGTCAGGAAGCGATCCAAGGATAGTGTTCAGCGCGGTATCCATCTCGGCCGGGGTACCCTCGAAGAATCGTCCCGATCCGCAAATGAAGAGCGTGTCGCCGGTGAAGACCGCCCGGTCGTCGCCTTCTTCAAAGAAGTAGCAGATTGAGTCCTGAGTGTGGCAGGGAGTGTGCAGCGCCGTGACAGTGATGTCCTTGCCGAGCTTGAACGTAGACTTGTTCGCAGGCGTCTTGGTCACATGGGGAGAATTGAAACCGGCGATGATGGGGACGGTAGGAAAAGTTTTCCGCTATAGGTGGGTTAGTTTGATCTTCCTTGGTAATTTCCAAGAGTTTCTGCATACCAGCTTGTCATTGCCACCTGTAGATAATCTTGTCAGCATCGCTCAAGGAGCGCAGTATGCTTAAACAGAAGTGCTTACCAGAGTGATCGTAATGATGATGTGTGTTCACGATTCCAGTGACGACAATCTCGCCCTTAGCAACGAGGTCATTAATGGTAGGCAGGACCCTATAACAAGTCAATTTTGAATGCAAGATCACTAGATGACGATACTGTCTCAAAACTCACTCTGCTGGCTCGGCCGGGTCGATGATCAGCGTCTCCTTGGTAGCGTTGTCGGTGACCAGATAACAGAAGTTATCGCCGGTTCCCCAGCGCATCTTAATGTGTTGGACAAGCATGTTGCTGTTGCGTTTAACCTAAGTCCGGTCTAGTCAGCAACTACAGTCTTTCTTCACGCACATTTAATAACTGGCATTTGGTATCGACAATACAATAGGTCTTGCTGTACTCTCCACGATCGCGGTACCGCTTCTTTGCATGCGATCCCACAATCCAGTCATCACCAACGCCACTGCAATTGGCATGTATATCCAGCGAGCGGGCATACCTGAGATAGTAATTGAGCGATTGAAGTGATTCAGATAGCAGACGGAGCGGAGAAGGCAGATAGCGAGATCGATTGAGTCTGAGTGTAACTAATCGGCTTATCGCCTGTAAGCGTCCTATCCCAAGGCGTTAATTCGACCATTGGCTTAACCCTAGCCCTTGGATGCTGGGGTAGCCTCCGGTCGATATTCAGAAGACCAGTATTTTAGTAATTCAGTATCTCACCTGAAGCTATCTTGGAGTTGTATTCTATTTGATGATGGCATGCTGCAACTGGCCATGATATCAAGAAGTCATTGGCAAACATTCTATTATCATCCCTGCCTGTGAGTAGCTTGCTGATCAGTGTGCAAGAAGCGAAGAGATCAGATAGCTGCAATCACAATCGAAATTACTCCGAAAAGTCATAAGAGCGTAAATTAAAATCTGTCCTATTGTACATGAATTGTTGCGATACGAATGCATCTATACATCAGTCTGAAGCAGCAACGGCTTCAATTTTCGCCTTCTTCTCCTCGATAACAGCCTCCGACGACTCATCATGCTTTCTCTTCGCGCCGCCAGCAGACTCCTCCTTGATATCCTCAGCTTTCTTCTCTTTATTCGCAGCTGGTAACCGCTTTCTCTTCTTTCCGCCTGCTCTGACATCATTCGACGGAATCACGCGCGTTCCCCAGAGTACGTATCCACCGCCGGATCTCGAAGTCATAAGCGGATGAGTTCGGCCAGGGAATACCTGATACTTGCGAACACGTGTTTCTAAGATAGTGGGGGCAAGCACGCGTAGATCGGCCATCAGATCATGCGCGGTGTCGACGAGCGGTTCTTTCGCTGTGTTGTAAATGACTAGCTGTCTTGATCCTGCTACGGCTGGGATCAGCTTCTCCAAAAGAGACTGTGTTTCCAGGGATGTAGCCAGAACGAGCCTTTATCCGTAAAGTCAGTATGCAATCTCAAAAGTTGTGTACGCTTAAACAGATATAGTATTCATACCCATCGTAGAAACCATTCTTGATTTGATCGAATAGGGTTGTGAGTTCAGCTTCACGGGCAACTCGTCGATAGTACTGTCCTCTGCGAGAAGATTTCATCCCCGCCAAAATCTCATCCGATAATCGTTTGACGGCTATAAGACAAACAATAAATCAGTAAATGAAGACTTGTCCTCTATGGTGTCTCGCCAACTCACGTTCTTCCTCTTCTGGATGATAGAGCTGTAACAGATTCAAGACCTTGAGCATTCTGTTTGTCATTTCCTCGGGAAAGTTCATGTACTTGATGATTTCGAAATTCGGGTGTTCGTTCTCGTGAATGAACAAAATGGTGCCCTCTCCGTCCATACGTTCCAGCATAGCACCTGTCACTAATCCGCCAGTGTCATCGACAACAATGTAATTTCCTCCCGGATGCACGTTCGCCAAACTCATCATCAAGCCAAGACTCTCTGGAGTCAGCTCCAAGACCCGATGGTAGTCTTTCAGCTGAAAGTGCTCGATGAGCTCAGAGCTGCCGATGCTGCATGGTGTGAAGCGTCTCAGGAATTTCTGCTGTTTCCGTCTTGTGTACTTCTCCTTACTGTATATACTTTTCTTTTCAAACGCGCCGTGGGACTTGATAACCTGCTGGATGATTTTTTCGCCGTGCTCGGTTTTTTTGAGATCTTCAATCTCTTTCATCGACAGTTTCTGGATAGACGTATCATCTATCGTCGTCTCATTCGTGTTGATCTTAGATTCAGGCACCGGCGTTGAACCATTCGAAGTGGTCTCCTCCTCGCCCTCCTCCTCCTCGTCCGCATGATCAGCATTAACATCTGACGAAGCAAACAGCCCTTCGGATGAATATATCACATCCACATGCTTGTCATCGCGGATCTCATATGTGTATCCGAATGGCTTGCCAATGATGTCGTCCGCGTAGAACGAGCCAAATTTTCCTGCGTTGATTGTTGTGTGCGGCACGAGCTGGACTACTCTGAGAGTAAGAGATGGCAGTCGAATCAAAACATAGTGATTCGGCTGAATGATGTCTTCGTTCATATTTGCTTCCTGAAGTACTTGTTTTCAGATGGTGAAGTATACAGAAGAATCAGCCAGCTTGAAATATATTCTATAAACTCCATGGCCAAAATTTTTTTGTAAATAAGCCGCACAGAAACAAACTCCCAACGAATATTATGTAATGAGCTAAAGTATCGACTACTTTCTGTAGGGCTTTGTCTCTCTTTGAATTAATGGATAACTTTTGCGTCTATTTCCTACCTCTATGATATAACAAAACATTAAGACAATTTGATACTCTAATTATCAAAGTCGTCGCCGCCACCTCTCCGGCGCTTTCCTCCCCGTCCACCAGGACCGTCGGCGCCCCGTTTCTTGCCGTACTTGCTGAAGTACTCCTTTTTATCTTTCTTCTCGCGCTCTCTTCTCTTCTGCTCATTATCGGCCAGTTTCTTCTCAAACACCGCCTTGCGCTCCTGCTTCTTCTCCTGTCGCTTACGATCCTTTTCGTTGCGAAGGGTCATAACCTTCTGCAGCAGATCGCGCTTCTTCTTCTCGTCGCCTCCCAGCACAACTGCCCGCTTCGCAAGGTAAGTTTCCTTCTTCTGCGGTTTCATCATTGCGATTTGAGACTTGAACGGAAGGTCGGTGCGAATAGCCTTAGGAACACGAAGAGGATTGAAACGACGAGCTTCGCGCTCGACTGTCTTGTACTGAGAGTCCTTCTGGTTGGGCACAGCAATCTCGTTCTCGTAACGGACTTGGCCGGTGAGACGCATTCCCTGCCACTCGGTCTTGTCCTTGATAAGAAGGGAAGTGACAGGATTATACAGCTTGCGAGGTTTAATAGGATACCAAGCTCGGAGAATAACGATATCTAGGATAGGCAACAAGTTAGAACTAATTCAGAACACGATACCATGATCATAAAACTCACCACTCATCAAAATCTTATCCTCGAAAGTAGCACGGTAGTGTCCCTCAGGTTTAGCAAGCGCTCGTTTGATTTGTCCACGAATTCCAGAAACAGTCTTGATAGTGGCTCCTTCGAACTTTGCGACCTCAAGGGCCGATGTGAACATCCCCTGGATGAAAGCCGTGTTCTTAAAGATCTTGTAAGGAGTGCCGACAAGTTTAAGCTTCTTGACGATCTCGACGCTCTGATCAACTTCCTGGACGGTACCCGTCGCAGCAATTCGGAAAGCGCCCGTGGCTGACTTATTAGCAACCGAGGTCACAGCACAGAAACCTGTATTAGGTGCAACCAGTGGCCCGTAAAAAGTAGCGAGACAATGTAAATGCTCCGGGGTGTACTTCAGCATACGGTTCCTAGTTCTCGAGTCGGTGGTGGTATAGATTGGAATACTCTGGAACCGTCTCCATCCAATGGAGAAGATCAACGGATCATTTGTCTTGAGAATCTTGCGATGCCAACGATGACGCTTGATACGGACTTGGACGAATCCAAAACGATCCTCTGACGCCAACAGACTGCCAATAACAACTGGGAACTTTGGATCAAAGGTTTCGATAAACTCATAAGGAATGTGATCGATCACTACACGGACATAGCAGCCGGATCGGAAACCCTCAATACGATCACGAGTGGCCTGATCCAGCTCGTCAAATTCGGCCTTATTGATCTCTTGCTGTTTGGCAATCTTGGCCTTCTGAGCATCATGCCAAGTATCGTAGAGCTTCTTGTCTTGATCATCGTCTCCGAGTCCGTCGTCTTCCTGAAGCTCTTCCTCCTCAAAGCGCAAACGGAGCTTCTCTTTCTTCTTGGCGTTTAACTCACGTTCCTTTGCGTAGTCACGCTTAGAAGATTTGCTTTCATCTCCGCCTTCTTCGCCCTCAGAGGCTTCCTTTTTGACTGACTCGTGCTTCTCACCAGTCTCGAGGTCTTCAAAGTCACCCAAGTCTTCTCCGTCCTCGTCGCTGTCAAAGTCGCTCGAGTGATACGCGTCGTCCTCTTCATCATCGTCAGCGTGACCGGTCAAGAATCGACCCCTGATAAGCGAGAGTCCTGAGCCTTCCTCGCTCCACTTGGATTTTAGTTCTTCCTGATCATATGCCGGTAGCGAACGATCGATAACCTCTGTTCCAGCAGAAAGGATCGAAGTGTTATCAAGTTTCTTGAAGAAATTTCCATCATCGTCGTCCTCTTCGTTTTCGGAGCCACTTTCTTCCTCTTCAGATCCGTTTGAAATTTCCTCATCTCTCCATCTCTTGATGACGTCTTCAGGAGTGATGTTATCAAGATAGAGCAGCTTTCCGATATCCCACTTGCGACGACCAATTTTGTAGTCTTTGAGAGCGCGATCGGCGAGATTGTCTTTCCATCTCAAATCACCACCGTTTTCATCCTCGAAACCATCAAACTCGTCATCGAAGCCCATGTCGGAATCACTGTCTGCGAATTCGAATTCCTCGTCTTGGCCTTCTTCGTCATCGTCAGCGAGGTGCTTTTTATTCGCACTGTTGTATGCCTTTTCATCATCCTCGTCATCATCATCTTCGTCATCGTCATCCTCGTTATCGTTGAATTTGGCGTCCGTGTCCTCGTAAGAATCACCAACAATCACATTTCCCCGACGACGTTCCTTTCGGCCGGTGTTGTTCTTTTCTAATTCGTCTTCCAGATCATCTTCCTCCTTGACTTCGTTAAGGACATCAGCACCCTGGAACAATTGAATTCCGGCACTTCCCTCACCGAGCATCTTCTGGGCATTCTGAAGACCAACAACAAGACGTTCACCAACACCCCTCTCTTCACCTTCGACGAAGCTGCGGTGTCCGACGTCGATATAAACGGCATCTTTATCGATCAGGACACCACCTACGTCACTCATTGGCGCGTAGATGACTTTCAGTCTGTCGTCCAGTCGCTTCCGTCGTTTGATTTTACCTTCCTCGACTTCTTTCTTTTCTTGGAAGGGCGTGGGACACGGATCCGGAAGTCTCTCGACTTCAGACACCGTCAAGTCTCCGATACCAGGGATATGGACACGAGCGTTCGCAGATGGCAGAGCAGTACCGTGGACGTAACCATAAAGGGTGATCTTGCGATCTGTTTTCGGGTTCTGCTCGATTTCCGTCGGATGCGTGACATCAACCACACGATCAGCAAGAAGGTACGAGTGTTCGTTTCTCCACTTCAGAGGGCGAAATTTCATAACGCTGATAAAACGCGCAAGGTTGAGGATTTCTCGGTCTGGGTAACGACCATTCATAATACCGGATAGATAGAACAGCTTAGCTCCCTTGTACACTTCAGTCCATAGACGATGCTTAAGTCTCTTTTTGGAGGCACGCAGGGTAGCCGGTGACTTGAAAAGATCAAGATGAGTGGCAATGCCCAAAATTCGAGGGAACCCATGGGGTGCGAGGATATTGAGAAACTCCATGGTCTCCATCTCAAACCCAAAGTTTCCATCGATCATCAGTAGAACGAGATCAGCAATCTTGGCGATATCCATCATTGAGTTGAGATCGTTGTTACACTCCATGAAGGTCAGGCGGCGTCGCTTTCCCGAAACAACAGTCACCGGTCCTCTGATGTCACTGAGAGTATGCTTTGTGTATCTTCTAACCAAACTCTTGATCAGCGTGGTTTTTCCAGTCTAGTCCAAATTGTCAGTGCTTGTAAAAGAGCAGGAACTTATATCGAGCAGGTAAATACTTACGCCTGGAGGACCCACGACACCGACAATTACTGGTGGCGGCTCCTCTGGAGTACGGTCCACCATAGGCACATGGAACCGTTTTTCGTTCACCTAGAAAACAAGCATTCGCATCAGTATATCGTCGGATCTAAACACAGAAGAAAAAAATCTCAGTCGCTATAACCATACATCGTGAGTGCGCCGAGCCTGTCTCTCAAGCTTCCGAGGCGCCGCAACAGCAAATGCTTTTGCATTATGGCCGTTGTTGTGAAGACTCTTCTTCGCGTTCTTCGTCCGAACTGCTCTGTGGCTCTTGTTTTCTTGCTCCATGGTGAAGAACGGTGGAGTGTCGAAGGCAAGATCTGATTTTGCTCCAGCGACGACGAAGTTTGCATTTTCAAAGTCCCAACCAAAAATTTTAATGTGCAGCGTTTGTCTTTGCTTTATGGCATAGACGCAGAAATGCTTTTTGCATAGAAATACCCCTGCATAATCGCCAAAACGCACGGGATTATTGTAATATGACATAATTATACTTTATTTTTACGTAACCGATCGCTGACCTCGACTAGTGTCGTCATCACCTAGTATCACGAGCCATCTCGGTCTTGTCCGTCATCAATCTCTCTGTTCGCTCTCTTCCCTCTTCTTATATATAGTCATCGTGAAGTTCCATCGTTTACCTACCGCTCTCAGACTTTCTTACATACGGCATATACACACTTCTCCAAAAATGGCCGGAAACTCTTACATTGTAAGTCAGGATCAGACAGAGTGATCTGCGATCTCCTGCTAACGTCGTTCGTAATAGCTTCGATTCAAGGAAGACGCCTCTGATGATGAGGTCTCCAAGTATGTTGCAGTGCAGTATCTTTGTATGAGCCTTGAGGATTCGAAAACTAATGCTGTGATAGGACCAAGAAGGAGTTGACTGATTCTGGAGGTACGGCTCGTCTGAGAAGATCATCCAGTAGTTTAACTGTACTTGTGCTAACTTCGTCGTATAGCTGAGATTACTCATGAGTACTCTTTGATCAAGGCAGTCTCGTAAGTATCTCTATTTCGATCTACGATCCGCAGATAAGATCACATCGACTAACGTCTACCTCTAGTGTTAACCTGCCCGAGACCGAGGTTGGGACGTTCGAGGCCCACGAGCACGTTGCTGGCATTGAGAAGGATCAAGAAGTGAAGGCTCTCGACAAATGAGCTGCTGATCTTTAGACCTTTGTTGAATTTCGTGTTTTGTTCCTCAACCATACTTGATAATCGCGATTTGTGTTGTTAGCAGGGAGGAGTTTGTGTTTGCGTCAAGGTTCTCGGTCTATAGTTTTGTTCTTGAATACGCTCTTTCCTAGAGCGCAAGTATTTCGTTTTTAACCCATAATAAACTATTCTGATCCGTCTGATCTACTATTCAAGCCAGTGCTAAGATTCCATCGCGTCTGTAGAGAGTCCGTTGGCCGAGGTCAAGGCTGAGCCGTGCCCCGTGAACTCTGAGCCAGCTCCCAGCTCCCTGTTTGTTTGAGTTTCAGGGCCTCGCGTCCACAGATCAGCTATACGCCCTATCAACTGTGCCCTTCGTCGGACAGCACACATTCATATCAACGACTTTATCGACCTATCTTTTCAGAGTCTCATTATCACCAGTCTGGAAATACTGGAATCAATAGAATTTTCTCAGCTGGGCCTGCGGTTGGCATCGAAAAACGCGCGCAAGCCATGGACTACAACGCGGACACGGTCTACAAGATCTATGGCTTCGACGACCAATTCCCAATCTCGTGGACCGATGCAACGGTAGACGAAAAAGAATTATCATTTGTTCTTGGAGATGATACAAGCAAACCGGATAAAAAGGCGGGGAAAAAAGATGACGACCGTGAGTATTTCTGGAATTCCCGAATTGTGTCTAGGTCGGGAGAGCTAACCGTTCACTGTTTTGGCAGGTGTTCTCCAGCGCAATTTTGATGTGTTTGTGAAAATGAAGAGTACGGTGGATACCGCTTATCTAGAGATGAAGCGTGATTTCTTGCAAGAGAGAAAAAATTGGGGCGTGGCCAGTATTTCAAACAGCATAGAAGGTATGCCATGGCTCGTGATGTTACCCCTTCCTGAGTCCCGCTAACCTACTGATCTTGTAGATGCAAACGAGAGGGCTGTTTGGATAATGAAACCGATTGTTGACAGCAAAGTTGCTAGCGATCGGCTGAAAGCTACTTTGTCGTTGATTGACAGGCATCGCTACCTGTTTGATCTGCCGGCATCATTGCAGAACAGTATCTCGACCGTAAGTAGTGCCCTAAGGAATCCAGATACGGCGGATCGGTTTTTTTTCTGACATTTGAAATAATAGGGTGATAGCGATTTAGTCGTACGCGATTACCGACGTGGCAGGGCTCTTACCGAAGAAATCAGAACGTTGCCGCACAGTTCCGAACTCACCGATTATTACGTCCAGCAGCGTCGAGTGATTGAGAGGATTTGGGGAGAGGTAGAGATCGTTATTGAGGACTACAAGAGTGATGTATGGCAGAAACTCATTGGTGCGACGGCCGATGATAGCTCATATCTCTCATACATTACGATTCTCCTGGAGATTGGGGTCGAAGACAATCCGATACTAGTCTGGCTTGGTGAACAAATCAAAAACCTCAAGAAACGGATGAAGGACACATTCCATGAACTGAACAAGTTTCTCTATGCGCTGCAACAGGATCTGGAAAAAGCAGAAAAGCCAAGTCAGAACTCGACCATATATTACTTTCTGAATGCGATCAAGCTGTCAATCGATAGCGCAGAGATCATGCGGGACTCCCCGGAGATCGTGATGACGTGGTCGCGAATGAGCCAAGTGATCGATGAGGTTGTAAAATACTTTGGCAAACAAATCAAGAACTTCTGGCTTTGTGCATCAGGGTTTTTGGACGGTCAGACTCAGAAGAATCTACCAACCGGAATCAACGGTGAATCAAAGGTGCATCTCTCATTCTCCAAGGAGCAAGAAAATCAATTACGAACTGAAAGCAAAGAGATCGTGGAGCTTTTTTCCAGCAGTATTACAGAGTTCTTCCTGAACACTGTCTCTGAGTGTGAGGAAAAGGCGAAAAGAAAACTGATGCAGACAGCCGAAACCGAAGATTTCGACCTATCCGAGCGGAAAGAAAATCAGCCGACGATCTCGGAGTCGTCTGGAAACAGTGTTATGAACTTGAAAAACCCGAGTGTCGCATCGCTCTCTGCTAGTGCTATGCTTGCGAGTTCTTTGAAGAACGACCGTATTGCAGATGCCCAAAAGTATATGACCAGCGACAGGAGACCGAGGACTCCTCCTCTCCCTGTTCAGCAGCAAGAGCAGCAGCCCCCACCTTCTCCCGGGTCTCTGAAGAACTTTGAGCTATATGCCTTCCTACCCACCAGCTCAAATGCTATAAGCGCGACTTATTTCTTGGCGCAAATAGTCGGCTCGGTGGGAACGGTAGCGAGCGACCTCTCGAATCTTGCAATTTCATCAAAGCATGTTGAGACGCTCCGAAATCTGGTCTCGACGGTGCGTGAACGCTGCACTTCAGCTTGCTGCCTGGCCTGGCAGCAGGACGCCAAACGTCTGAACATTCTCGAAGATTGGCGAGTGGCACCGAGCCGACGGGGTACCCGCCTTCCGACTCTATTCCTCGCGTATCAAACCGCTGTATGGCAGGGTTTACACCGCGTGATGTATGTCGAGAACGCGGAGAAAAAGGCCGACGTGCATGTTGTGATGCCGCCGAGCTCCAAGATAGTATCGAACATCAAAACGCAGTTTGTGAACTCGATCTTTCTGGTTCTTGACGGGCTAATGCATGACGCTGTGGCTTCAGACAAGAAGCGGGCTAACGACGGACCGGCAGCGAAATTCGCGGTTCCGTCTGAGTCGAGGATCTTGCTCACTATCTGTAACATCACTGAGCTCAAGGATAACATCGTGCCACGAATGTTTGAAAGATTTTCAAAGTTCTTCGGTATCACTCTCACTGATAACTCAAACATCATGGGTGACTCTCTCAAGCAAGCGGACGAGCAGCTTTTCAATGCTTATACGAAGAAGAAGCGCGCTCATCTTTCCAGTATCATTCGTGGTGGCATCCTCAAGTCTGGAATCAGATGGGGAGAACTGGAAAAGCCGACGGACGTTGACGTGTACATTTACGAAGCATTGCTTGCTCTTGTGCATGTGCACGCGCAAGTGTTTACTGTTGCTCCATCGCTGATTGAGCGAGTTATCTCCGAGCTGCTGAAGCATATCATTTCTACAATAGTCGAATGTTTCAGACAAGTTGATAAGTTCTCGTTTGGTGGCCTTCTACAAGGCACAATTGACGTCCAGTTGATTGATCAGGAGATGTCGAACTACATCACTCCTGAGATAGAAGAACTATGCAAAACTGCATATACAGCATTACAGGATGCGACAGATCGCTCGCAGATGGACGTGAACGTCATGACCTCTCAGCTAGAGGAGATGAAGAAGCTCCTTGGTCGCTGCCACAAAAACTCGCGAGTCGAGTTCTTGTGCTTCAAGGAGAAGAGGTCGAAGCCATCTGAATCAGCTCAGCAGTATCAACCTCAGTCACAGGCTCAGCAGAAGCAGTACCGCGACCAAAATATCCTCTAAGTTGGGTCATGCATGATTGTTCTATGTCGATAGAGTAGTAATTTTTTGTTCTCCATGTGTGACTGTATATGTTATCCCATTCATGACCAATGGTAAAACTGTAAAATTATATTGAAACGAGTACCAAAACCTATAGAACACCTTTATCCAAACCTCCAGCCTCACTCTCTGCCTCCTTCCGTTTCCGCTCCTCCCGCCTCTGACTTCTCTCAGCTTTCTTCCTAGCTTTAACCCGTGCCTCTAGATCAGGGACATCGATCCCCACAGAGTCTGCCAGACATTTACAGTACTCAGCCTGTCGACCTATATCCAACCAGCTTTCGGTAGCAAAGTTTACGCTTTCAGCACAGTTGTATCCCAAGTTATATCCAGAATGATAGCCATACGGATATGTGATTATAAACTCGTTCTGTCGGTGTACCACCTTGTTCACTTTGATGCCTTTGCTCTTTAGGAACGTGGGGGAGATGTTGAATGTCTTGTGGCGCAGGAATTCTTTGCATTCTTGGTAATCTGTCGGGAACGCGTTCCTCATCATGTTGAAAAACTTTGCTCGATCTGCCTGTGAGATCGAGTACCACTGCTTGGGTGCACCGAAGTGAATGTAGTTGATGGAGTAGAGGTCCATATCCTCAACGTGCCACGCAAAGGTAGATTTCCACATTCCAAAATATAAGTAGGCGGTGTTGACGCCTGGCACTTCCTTTCCTAGGTCGCTGAGTAGATTATCTAGCTTAGCAACGTTCCATGATTTTGTTTGATCCGTAAATAAACTGCCGAGGAGATCAGCACCGTAGAGAGGATTATTGTAGGTGATTGTTTTCCAATAAATTCTCTCCAGCTCAGCGCACCGCTCGTCTGTAAACTCTGCAGCGTCAAAACGGTAATCAAAGTTCTCAAACTCTGCGAGTTCTTGTGCAGATAGCTCGCCGCGCTTCTTCTTCTCAGCGGAAGTGGTAGCCGCTGTTATCGCAGAACTGGCGTCGGAGTCTGCGGGTGCTGCAGCACCTGTAGTGAGCTTAGTGCGCTTGCGAGGATGATCATTGTGAGATGTGCTGCCTGCTCGACGCTCGCCGCGTCTTGCAGGAGGTAGGTGGTCGGACTCTTCCGAAAGCGCTCTCCATTGCGGTAGTGTGTATGACCGGCCTTTTTCTATATTTGTCTGGGCGAAAATGCCTCCTGAGCCAGATATATGCTGAACAATCGGTCTTTTGATCTTGATCTTGCGGATCTGCTCGTCTGTGATCGGAGGTAACGCATCAGCCCACTCTTTCGGAGGGATGACTTTGACAATGCCGGTCTTCATTCCATACGAGTCAATTCGCTTGATGAACTTGGGGAATGACTCGAACTGTTCCATAGTCTGCAGATCCAGTTAGTACATGGTTAAAAAGCTCTATATGTATTCAAACCCCTGGGGACGTACCGGCTTGAAGACGGGTACTGTGCCGTCGAAATAATGGTCGGGTTCAATCGGCTCCAGATCCTCCTCTTCTTCCTGCTCGTCGTCTAGTGAATCATCAGACTCATCTTCAACCACCGGCTCCTGGAAGTCATTTTCACAGGAAGGGGGAGGAGTCAGTGGTTCCGGAACAGGGGCTTCGATTTCTGGTTCAAACTTGGGTATTGGGACCGCAGATTGAGCGAATCTGTCTCGGAGCATCTGCCGGAGATAATCTGGGATCACTGGAATCGACGCTGGCAGCCCTTGTGGCAACGAATACACCCCTTCCGGGCGGACTAGCTCTGGCAATTGCACAGGTCCCACTGGATTGTCATTCATATTGCTCGGGATATAGGAAGCTGGTGGAGCAAATGAAGGAAGGAGCGGAACATAGGGGGCGGGTGGGTTGGCTGCAGTGACGTAAGGATTGTAAGTGTACTGCGAATGCTGCCTCGGGGGTAACGACGCGGGCAATGGTGGTAGCGTTAGTGATAGCGGCTGCGTAGAACTAGACGCAGGCCGCTCCTTTTGAGCCTTTTCAGGATAGCAGTCGGTAGTGGACAGCATCTTGCGCACGCTGACGGAGGTTGAATGCCAGCCCTTGCTGCTCGTCTAGCAGTTCTAGATTTTGAAGAAGTGGCCTCATCAGGTGACTTTGGCTTAGTCAGTGATTATGTCAGTTATATTTATTTTGCTTCGACACCGGAAAAAAAGCCGCGCGGGGATAGCGCCGGGGCCAGCCAAGCGACCCCACACCGATTCCTGCTATAAAGACCGTTCTCCAGACTCCCCCCGCACTCCTTCTCCACACGGTCAATTCCTTGCTTTTTTGACATCAAGACATATATCACAATGAAGGTTCTCATCACTGGTGCTGCTGGTTTTATTGGTCAGCTTCTGGCGAAGGAGTTGCTCGCGGACCCTGAGCATGAGCTGGTTCTGGTCGACATCGTCGAGCCTCCAGTTCCTGCTGGTTGCAAGTACCCCGGAAACGCTAAGACCATTAAGACGGATCTTACAAAGTCGGCCTCTACGATTATTACGCCAGACATTGACGCGGTGTACGTGTTCCACGGCATCATGTCTGCCGGTGCTGAAGCCAACTTCGAGCTCGGAATGTCGGCAAACATCGATGCTACCCGCGCGCTGTTCGAAGCTATCCGTCTTAGCGGAAAGCCAACGCCGATCCGCGTCCTCTACGCATCTTCCCAAGCCGTTTACGGAATGCCGACGCCAGACATTGTTACTGAGGCTGTCGTTCCTACACCTGAGTCGTCGTACGGTGCTCAGAAGCTCATTTGCGAGGCATTGATTAACGACTACACCCGTCGCGGATTCTTCGATGGTTTTGCGTTCCGATTCCCCACGATCTCGGTCCGTCCTGGTAAACCCACCGCTGCGGCATCGTCTTTCCTTAGTGGAATGATCAGAGAACCGCTCAATGGTCTTCCTTGCGAGATCCCGATCGAGAACCGCAAGTTCGCTCATTGGATCTGCTCCCCGCGCACTTTGGTCGCCAACTTGATCTATGCTTTGACAATGCCTTCGGACGCTGCTCCAAAGCACATTCGTGTTGTGAATCTGCCTGGAATCGGGGTCACCGTCCAGGAGATGATTGACGCGCTTGAAGCTATTGGTGGAAAGGAGGCCGTTGCCTTGCTCAGCGAGAAGGATGTGCCGGAGCTGCGTGAGATTCTCTACTCGTGGCCGCCAAACTTTGACAACAAGCGTGCCTATGATATGGGATTCAAGCCTGATCAACCATTTGTTGACACAGTCAAGGATTACTATGAGAACTTTGTCAAAAAATAAGGTGCGGAAAAGTGGGCAGGTCACTATTTTGTAGGTAGATATGGCTGAAAATAATAGGATCATGTAATATGAACAATTGCAAATAGTCGAAACAAAGACAATTGAGGTAGAAGTATTGGAGTCATTATAGTTTCGAGGACAGACTGGCACAATGACACCTCGAGGGGTCCTGTAAATAGCCGCAATAGAGACTGCTAACGAGAGTATAAACTTTGGCTCAATTGAACTCGGTTCTGCTGTTTACATAGGTTGACTCTCTTGTTGATATCACATTTTGTCCGCCCAGACTCGCTCCCGAGGGAGGTCCGGGGAATCGTATCGTGGGGTAATAGACTATTGAGCTAATTGGTCGGTCTGACATCGTTTTGACGGATGCTCGATGCTTTCATAGCTTATTTAGCCGTTTTTAGGTCTTCTCTTCCAGCTCAGGGCCGATTCCGCCGATATCTCTTCCCCCGCATGCTCTGTCATTGGTCTTCTTCTTCGGTAAAGCTGAGATTCTGCTATGTTCCAGTCTAGCCTATTGATCCCATATGCGGGGGAATGCGGGGAGGTGTGGGGTTACACTGAGGCTGCACGGCTACGCCTGATATCTATAAAATGAAGACTACCGACTTGGTGAAGTGAACAGCTTGCTTCTGTCTATCGACTCGTTTATCATGTTGCTGTTTTTAGTCTTATTTGTGGGTCTTTTTGCGACCTTCGGCGCTGCCGTACCCAGACCTTCCACATTCAAGGTCCCGACTGTTTCCAACGTCACGATCTTTGTTCCCCCGTCGGATTATAACATCCCGCGCACGCTCTACGCTCATTCTCTTGAACTTCCGGATGGAACCTTGCTTGCTACATGGGAGAACTATAGCCCCGAGCCTCCTCTTGTGTATTTCCCGATATACAAGAGTACCGACAACGGCGCGACATGGAAGCACATCTCGAACGTCACCGACCAGACTTTGGGCTGGGGCCTCCGATATCAGCCGTCGCTGCACGTTCTTTCCCAGCGCATCGGGAGGTTTCCTGCCGGTACTGTCTTGCTAGCCGGAAACGCGATCCCGACTGATCTCAATTACACCCAGATTGATCTGTACGCCAGTTTCAATGGCGGACATTCCTGGAAGTTCGTCTCACACGTTGCAGCTGGCGGCGAAGCGGTACCTGACAATGGCTTGACTCCGGTGTGGGAACCTTACATGCTTGAGTACAAGGGAAAATTGGTTATTTACTATTCAGACCAGCGCTTTTCCGACTACGGCCAACTCCTTGATCATCAGGTATCGGGTGATTTGATCAACTGGTCGGATCCTGTGTTTGATGTGCGTTATCCGACCTACACCGACCGACCTGGAATGGCTTCGCTTGCACTGCTTCCTAACGGCGAGTATATCTACACTTATGAGTATGGTGGAGGCGGAAACTACTCTTCATACACTTTCCCCGTCTTTTACAAGCGCTCTAAAGATCCACTGCTGCTGGATGAGGTTGAGGGCGTCCAGCTCATTAGCCAGGATGGTACTGAGCCCTCATCGTCTCCGTATGTGACTTGGTCTCCAGTTGGCGGTCCCAACGGAACTATTATTGTCACGTCTGCGTCTAACACTGAAGTGTTTATTAACCGCGCACTGGGTGACCCCAACGAATGGCAGACTGTGGAGACGGGAGTAGCGGCTTCTTATTCGCGGGATGTCCGGGCACTGTCGGGTGGACGACTGCTGATCATGGGTGGTGGAGTATTATCCGGGGAATCGAATTACGTTTATGCTAGTACGTTCTATGTGAAGGATCTGATTGACTCGGTCAACTAAGAGATCATCGAGCGACGGTTTCTGTACTGGACTATTCGTTCCCAAATGAGATAATGTGCTGATTTACGAAGGGGTGTGGATAACCAAAATATATTAGTGCTTTGATCAATAAATCGGAGGAGCAATAGAATATACAGAGGCAGACAATGCATAGGATCCCGGTTAATCGATAGGACGTTCGGTTAATTGAGAGGATGTTGAGTATCCCAGATCAGATAACCAAGACGATTGAGCCTCATGCGGCTTCGCATGACGTGGGGGACATTGTTCAGTTTGTACAGATCAACAGTTGTTTCATTGAGAGAATCATTTCAGAAGGCAAAGCCTGTAAAGTGTGGTTTACTGTGAGTACGTATCTGAAGTACCTGTAATAAGACTGCAGGTGCGGAGTGGTCTAAAAAAAGAGGTACGATCTGTAATAAGAGGTCGCGGCCTTAGTACTCGCATTTGATTCCAGTGCTCTGCAGTTCAACGACGACGTAGTCTTCCACCTACCTGATCCACAGAAATCAACCATGTAGGAAATAATTGCAGTAAATGTACTAACCGAGGTATTGTAATATTTCTGGCTTGCCAGTCGTAAGGGTATTGTGGAAGAAGAAGGAGCGTGGTAGCCTGCCAAAACCTTAATCGCAGTCCCTTGTTCGCTCTTCCCGCCATCGTTTGCTTGTTCGCGAACACCGCGAACAGCCAGAGGCACGGCTGCCTATCGTCCTGCGTGGCTCAATAGCATGTTTTTCAAGCTTCTGATGATATTCTGCGTATCAGATCAGTGGAATTTGACAGATTTGACGAGCAACCAGGCCAGTGGCATCCAAAATGGCCCGTCTAGATCTTCGTCGAGTCAACAAGGCTTCCTTCGCTGAACGACAAAAGCCTTGTTGATTTCCATACCTGATTGCAATCACAGCAGTACTGCTATTTTCAGAACCAATGTGAAATACTCTTGCCTTGCTATATCAATGGCCTTGTCAGTCTATCCTCTTTCTCCCTCTTCTTCTCCCCCCCCCTTCCTCTTCTGAATTTCCTTATTTCCTTTCCGACCTTTCGACTTCTGCGATCGCCATGGAAGCCAACTTTTATCTACCTTCGCTTGCCTTTGCGGAACCGAACCAGGGCACGACACCAGTCCCCGCCCCCGTCAACAACGACTTCGGTGGATTGATCTTGCCGCCTGGCAAAATTGGAGACCCGGCTCCAGAGCCCATCTTCAAGACGTCTTATGGGATTCTCAATGACATGTCAGCCAAGAAGCAGCATGTTGCCCACGACCCGATTGCGAATTCCGTTGCAGCTCCTGCTGTAGCGGAGCCTATTCCTGGTACCGCCGGATACGAGGTAGTAGAGTCTCACACTGCCTCAGTCGAGCTGCCTGTGGAATACCAGTCTGTTCCTTTCTCGGATGGAAGCTCTCAAGGACACGAAGTCATAGACCACTCGAACCCCTTGGAGCCTTCGTTCTTGAAGACGAACAAGTCTGGACGCAAGGCGAAAATCACCTCGGCGTCTTACGAAGACCGCCTTCAGACCTTCATGCTCGATCTCAAATCGAGGCCATGGCTGGCGTTTCAGAGTATTGTCGACGCGGTCTATCCCGAACATTTGGAGCCTGTTAGCTGCGCGCATATAAAAAAGAGAAGTGTAGCAGCTATCCTGAGGGTTGATGCATCAAAGATCCTACCGGCCTCTGGAGGTACTAGCGTGGGGTACCATCCCTTGATGCAGAAAGTCCTCACCGACTGCCGACTTGATATCCCCGAGTCCGCAGATTTGCTGGCCGAATATGAGCAGATTCTTCATCTGAGTCGCATCTATCGCCTCATTCTCTTAATCACCCCGGATTGCAGCCTGATCAAGCAAGAATGGATTGACGAAACTCTCCGTCAGCACGGAGAGAAATGCAGCAAGAAGATGGCTGACGGTCAGAAGGTCACTGCGCGTCAAGAACTGCACCTCACTCGCGATGAGTGCCAGTATCTCTTGAACAAGCTTCAGGCCGCTGACTCGTCCAACCGCGGCTATGCACTTGACGTCCTTGTCTCTGCTTTGTATAGCTGCAAGGTCAAGCGGCCAACTCCGAACGCTGAAGAGAGATGCCACCAACAAGGATACCAAGAAATCCGTCCTCAGAACAGCTTCTTTGTTTTTGCGCGGGCTTTTGAGCGTTGCGTATCCCAGGGCGAGAACATCAGACAGACCTCGCTCCGGATGTATACGAAGATTGTCTGGCACAGCGTGCTCACAGAAGATCAGCGCGATCTGTTCCAGGAAATATACAACGAGATGAATAAGATTCATTCGATCATTCATCCCAAGTATAAGTACGTTCCCAAGTTCCGCGCGCCGGGACATCACCAACCCCCAGCTGAGAATGGCGAACAATCAGGTGCTGTCAAGTCTTCTCCTTCTGTGAGCAGTCAGATTTCCCAAGCCAAGCACGCCTACGCGGATGCTAATGCAGACAGCCGTCCAGCGAAACGGCAGTGCTTGGCTATGGAGGAGACAACAGTCGCCGCCCAATTAGTCACTTCGATGCCTTGGGGAGTCCCGGATACAGTTGCTGAGGACTATTTCAACGGACCACATCACATGGACTGTCGCTATGCTTGGGAGGAGTCAACGGTCGCTCCGTTTTACGATCCTACCCTCGCTTTTGCCGACCAGTCTGATCCTTGCGCTCTCTCGCAGCTGCCGCAAGACCAGTCGTACATTTCTTTCTTCCCTCCGCCTCCTGCTGTCCCGTACTCTGCTGTCCCGTACAATACTGTTCAGTACACTGCTGTTCAGTACGCAGAGGCCGCCGCTAGCATTTTCTATACTGAGCCCATCTACCAGACGGTTGCAGCCCCGATGCCATCGTTTCAGCCCGCGGTACCACTCCCTCAGGATTCAGAGCTCAAAGACGACAACAACGTCAGTCTTGACGACTCCCAGATGGTCGATGCCCCGATCCCACTCCCTCAGGACTCAGAACTCAAAGACGACGACAACGTCGGTCTTGACGACTCTGAGATGGTTGATGCCCCGATACAATCTTCTCTGGCCTCAGAACTCCTTCACGACAAAAACTTCAATCTTGATGACTTTCTGAATTCTCTCGGGCCGGAGCATTTCACGCCAATGCCCGCCCGCGCTGTGATGGCCTTCCTTCTTCTGTGATATCAAAAAATACCAAAAAAAAAGTTGTCGACTGTGAAGCTGTGTACCTGTGTACTTGTTTTGGTTTTGTTTGTTCTGGCGGCTTTCTGAGACATTTGTTCTCCGTTCCTTCTGTGATTGTGAGGTGTGCTTTTGGGAGTTTTGGGTTTTCTCTGATTTTTAATCGGTCTTTTTTTTGTACATATTCTTGTTTTTGATGGATTATTCTTGTTTTTGTATTCTCTTGTTTTATATCATTGTTTGTTTTAATATTATTTTGATTTTTATTATTTTATGATTTCTTCGTGGTTTGATTGTAGTAGTGCGTAGATTGACGATGATGATAAATCTATTTGATGGTCCGCGTGCAACGACTAGGCTATGATGGACGTATAATGTAGAGGTGACGAGGAAAAAGTCATGCTTGACAGCTTATCAAGAGTTCTACCTTCACTCGAGTAACCAAGTAAGAGTAAACAATAACTCAGCTTCTTACAGAACTGTTCTTGATAAGACTAAAGTCTTCCCGGTAGGGCTGCGGGGGTGAACCTCGGGTGCGCTAAGCAGCTCGGCCGAGGAGAATACGAAATACGAGAATTACGAGCGGTCAAAGGCCCGAGCCCGAGGCCAGCTCTAGAGTTCTGTCTAAGCTTCAATTGAGGTGCTAGCAGAGTTGTGACTTGGGCTTGGGGAGTTTGCCCTGTCTGTGCTATTTTTGTATTGTAGATTGAATGGTGAGCTGTGTGATGAAGAGAAATGAATCTGGAGCCGGTCTGCTTTGCTCGCTGCTAGAGAAGACGTAAATCTTTCTTTACGGTGAGGTCGATACCCGCATCTAAAGGCCGCGCGCGAGGGATGCCAACAGTAGTTATGCTGCCATGTCAGCCAATGGCTATCCACGTGCAGGCCTGCTGTCTATTGGGAAAGGATTTAGGAGATAATTGACACATGGACAAAGGGAGGAGTCTCAGTTGTCGATCGCCTGGATAGGAAGTCATCAGAGGCGCGATCAACGAGATCAACGCGCTCGTGAGCGAGTAGTCATGGATGCTGTTTTCTGTCTCTATCCTATGTTACAACTGACAGATAGATTGCTGTATATATACTTGGGCTACTGCCGCATGGCAGAGAGCGGCAAGTAAGGGAGCGCAGCAGGGCCTCGAGCAGCCGTCGGCGCCCCGCAAGCCACCCCGCTGAACGCCACGGCTCACAAAAGTGTACACCAAACCTGCCAACATTCCGGACGCAGCTGAGCCTCTCCGGAGTGCTCCCACTGCTGCTCACGATGTTTGGCGTTGCAAATTAGCGCTGTGAGATTCCTGCCGCTATCGCGATGCGCTGGAAGAAGCAACGACGAAGGTCCACTATCAAGACCAGAGGAAGAGGGATTGTCGGTGTATTTACTTAACTTTTCGCTTACTGTTCACTGAATATTTGCTCGTTGTGAATCGAAATCTTCAATCGAACGGTGGCCCGCGCTCTTTCTTTACAAACCATTCCTGGGCTTATCGCTCGTATATGGCGTTATCGGCTGCCCTCCAGCAGCACTGCTGTCCCTGCGCTCGACGACCCTACTTAAATAAAATTATCTGTGCCGGTCGGTGTCTCCACCTCTAAACACATCTCCTACTCCCTTTATCTTTCATCCTTCAGTAGTCGTCGGGATGGGTTCACCAACATCAGAAGATACATCAATAAGACCAACGTCTAGACCGGCCTCGATATACTCGTCGGCTTCGTCAACCCCTCCCCTCTCCTACCAGTCTGACTGCACAACGCTCTCGCTAAACGAAAAGTCGGATTTCGAAGACAGCGACAGTAATGAAAAGTTCGAGAGTGTCTCAACAACCTACGAGACATTTGTTGTCGACCGGCCTGCTACGCCAGTAGTTCCTCTTCAGGATGTGGGAATCCGACGTATGTAAACATTCGTGGTATCTTTTGTTGTCATTGTAAGGTGTTAACCCCTATGTTTACCTTTTGTAGCCTGGGTGGTCGTCATTGGAGGTTTCTGCGCGCAAGTATGCTCCTACGGCATGCTCAGTGTAGTTGGTATCTTCCTCTCCCACTACAAAAACTACCAGCTCAGTGAATACACCACCTCAGAGATTGCATGGATTGGCTCGACACAATCGTTTTTCTTTGCATTCTCGGGCGTGTTCTGTGGACGGTTAGTTGACATGTACGGCCCGTACTATGTCACAATACCCGGCATGATTTTACAAGTCGGTGGCCTGGTTGGTACCGCGTTCGGCACTAAATATGTCCATTTATTACTCGGGCAGGGATTCTGCTGTGCGATCGGAGCTGGCGGGTTGTTTTACGGTTCCACCGCTGCTCTGACGTCCTGGTTTTCGGCTCGTCGCGGTCTCGCGTTCGGAATCGCTGCGTCTGGTGCTGGAGCTGGTGGTATCAGCTTCCCATTTTTGCTTCAGTACCTGTTTTACGACTACGGATCTTTCACCGTCGGCGTTTGCACACTCGCGGGCATCCTGGGTTTCTTGGGCCTTATTGTCATCATTACTACAACGACGCGGTTACCCCCTACTGGCGCACAGCCATACAGATTTGTCACTTATTACATTCACCCATTCAAGGACTCGATCTTTGCTCTGTTCACTCTCGCCATGAGTCTGATCTACCTTGCGCTTTTTGTGCCAAAGGCCTACGTCACCTCTGCGGCCTTGTACTATGGAATGTCGCGAGCCCAGGCTGCATATCTTCTTTCATACCTCAACGGAGGCTCGTTCGTTGCTCGCATTTTCGGCGGCTATCTGTTTGACCGATTCAACAAATTCCTCGTTTTCTTCGGCTACGTGCTGTTTGGCGGCCTCGTTCTGCTTCCAGGCTGGTACTCGTCATCTACCCAGGCCGGCTCGATCGTCGTGGCCACCTGCTTTGGCTTTGCCAGCGGCGGCATCCTCGCCCTCTGCACTGCCGTGATTGCGCAGATTTCACCCGCCAAGGAGATCGGAACTAGAGTCGGAGCTTGCAACGGAGTGCTTGCGCTCCCAGCTTTGTTCTCACTGCCTGTGGCGGGAGCGATCGTTGGAGACGACGACAATTACAGAGGAATGCAGGCGTATGCGGGTTCTACTATTCTCGCCGGTGCGGTTGTTTCCCTGTTTGTGAAGTACAAGGTCGACGGATTCAACTTCCGCGCTACCCCGAAAAAGGCGTAAGCGCATATCGAAACGGTCATGTTTATATCTTATTTTGAAAAATAGAAAAGGGTCGGGTGGGTCGTGGTTCAAGTTGTACTGTGTACTATAGCTTTATGAGTTCCAAGATCGTGAAAGGAACGGTAATGGGGATTACGGATTAGTGGGGGTTTTCATATATTCGGTGTTTTGACGAGAGATGATCTGTTATTTTGCATTTTTTTTGACAGTGATATCTGCTTTCTGTTTATATTTCATGTTGCTGAATGGTTGAAGGCCAAGAAAAAGATGTCTTTGTTGGTTGGGAGTCATTTATTTATTTTAGGGTTTGTTGATGTTTTGATTATTATGGAAGCGAGCAGCCGCACCCGTCAGAATGATTTTTATAATGTGATGGGCGGAGTTACTTCCCTGCTATGACATAGGCGAGTTAATGAATACAGAACTTGGCGATGGATTTCTACTCAAATAATTTGATGAAGAAGCGTAGTTCAGCTGGTTTTCTACTGCGCAATATTTGCGGAGAATGAATGCAGTCTCGTATGTCTCAAGAGAGCATTGATGTTGTGTAGATCATTGGGCCTGCATGGGGGAGGCACGAAATAAGGACCCGATACTCGGAGACATGAGCCACGAAATACCGATAGTGCCGAAACCCGGTCGCGGGACCCTTCCGGTGGATACCAAGAAAGGGTTCAGACGGCGTGGGCCGGAACAGAGCGAAGAGACATGCAGGAATCTGGCTACTAAGATATCACAGTCAGACGATAAGCTTTTTGGAAGGTTAGTCGCTCCACCGGCGTGGATCCAGGTTTTCACCTCTCCCGGAAAAGGGACTGCGCTGGAAGACTTGACTGGGGTCTGTGCTCTGAGAACTTGATTTATTCGTGTCTCCGAACACTCTCAAATAATTCCAAATAATTTGCATATTCGTAGTTCTCATAGCCAAATATATATAAAAGAGAGCAGGTAAAGTTAACAAGATCTGCGCTTGTGCAGGATCTGCCTGCTTGTGCTTCCGTCCGCTGTCGAAGAGCGCTAATTCACCCCTGAATCGCCACTAAAGTTTCCAGCCATCTAAACTAAGCTTCTCAGGGATCCAAATCCAACCTGATCTGATCTCCCTTCCGGTCAGCCCTGCACGCAATGCACGGCCTAAAAAGTTTCTCGCGCTCACGGGAGCGGAAATATGCTGTAGCGTCGTCTAGGCTAGTCAATGTCTGGCGCGATGGCCACGCAGCCGTCATGCGCGGTTGCTAGCCGTTTCTAGCGGGCTTTTGGCGGCGATGCGCGCGCCCAGCGGTATGCCATAATAATCACCCGCTGCCCTTCAAGCTTTCGGATCGCCCCAGACCTCGCAGGTATATAGTAGCCAGTCGGCCGTACAGGGCATTGTTACCTTTTTACCGGTCTCTCTATGTTTCAACGTGAAGGAGGGAAGAACATGTCTCCAATAAGAAAGCTGGTCTTCACGACATTTGCTGTGTTCTGCGCGATTTCGATATTCTATGTTATCAGCGATGCCTACCGATCAGAGTATGCTGATTATTGTGTTCAATTATGTCTGCTATGTTGATTGCTGACAGCTCTTTTAGTTCCCAGCTATTCATACCGTATAAAGCAAACAAGCTAAAGGTTTCCAACAAAGATGAATCGGTGGTCAAAGAGAAACAGGTTACGGTCACCGTAACCGCTACCGCTACCGCAACAGCAACAGTCTTCCTCACTAACACAAATAGCACCAAGGCCTCAGACACCGCAAAAACACAGCCGACGCGTCCTGCATCTCTTCTTGACGACATTCCAGCCCATTGCGACGATCCGTACCTGCGACCAGGCTTTCTCAGAATGCCATGGCGAGACGAATCAAGAGAGACATACGTGGGAACCCGCTGGATCCCTTACTACAACGACGTTCTAGCCCAGCAGCCTTTGAGTCCCGCAGCACAGTATCCAAATCCAGATCTGGCACAGGCACCCGAGCTTATTTTCAAAGATAGTTCAGTCCCGACCTCGTTGAGAACTCAAGCTCCGTATGACTGGATGAGTCTACTGTACCAATTCACATTGTCAGAAGTCGTCCCGATTCCGGCTGAAACGATGCAGGAATACATCAACAGACTCTCTTGGCTGCGAAACAAGCGCGTGCTGATGCTCGGCGACTCCGTCGACCGCGTCATGATCTACAACTTCTGCAAAGAGCTTAAAGCCCACGAGTCCAACTTCCAAAACAGCCTGATGGGCAAGCATACAACCGCATACTGCCGAATCCCGTCCCTAAACTTCACAATCATCCACTGGCACTTCCCATCCATGCTTTCCGCGCGGCCAGATTGGTGGTGGATCCCATATATCCGCCACGTGCCCTTCGAAGAGCGCGTCGAGAAGCTCTTCCTCGCGAACCAGACCGAAGACCTCGGCACCGCCGTCGCGGGCATGAACGGCCGCGCACCGGACCTGATTATCTACCAGAGCCTGCTGTGGGATTGGATGGCGTTCAATCAAGGCGACCAGGACGAGCCGGCGCGGGATCTGTTCTGGAGCGAGCTGGATTTCTATCGTTCTCGGCTGAGTATGTTTGTAGACTACTTCCGCAACCTATTTGGTGCAGACGTACCCATGATGTACAGAGCTGTCATACCGACGCATGAGATGGTAGACTCGAGCGTCATTCTCCGACAACTCGATACAATGGCGCGCCACGTCGCCGACGAGAAGGGCGTCGAGGTGTTTGAATGGGGGCACACGATGGACGGCTATCTAGACGAGTATAGAGATAAACTGCACGTCCGCCACGGGCCGCACTCGTATCTGTACGCAAACATGCTGCTCTATTATTTGTTCAGAGCCGTCGGCGGCAAGGAGACGCGCGGACAGATCATAGAGTGGCCTGCGAATGATACGGAAAAGGCCGCTGAGAGATGGAATCTAGGCAAGGCGTGGGAGGAGTGCCATCCGTATAACATGCGGCGCGCTAGTCATTAGAGATCTCCTTGTACATTCAATCATAATAGTTAATCGTGATCTCTCGTATAAATGCACAACTAAGACACTGAATGAACTGACCACTTCACAAAGAATGCAAACCATTCTCAAATCAATAGACATTGTACAGATACAATACAATATAACAGTAAAGCAACTAATAACTACAACACACAAAAACAAACACAAAGACAAGAAGACAAAGTGAACTACTCTCTAGAACAATAAAACTCAAACTCGAAAGGAAACTTAAAACTTATCAAAATCCGCAAACGCGCTCTCATCAAACGTCTTCTTGCTAAAAGCCATCGCCGGATCCTCCTCAGACGTCACGATCTTACTATCCTCCAGAGACGCGAACGCGCTCTCGAATTCGTCAACCGGGTTTTCGGCGCCAAAGCCGCCTGGCATGCTGCTCGTGGGGGCGCTCAGAGGGACTTTCGGAGGGAGGGGCGGAGCGCTCTCGGCGGCGGCGGTACCTGCGGTGGTGGTTGGCGCAGAGAAAGAGGCAAACATGGAGTCGAATGCATCCGGCTGAGCAGCAGGTGCAGACGGCGCAGCAAAGTCAAAGGGCGATGCAACGGCCGCTTGGACAGGCGTCACAGACGACGAAACGGTTGTCGCGACTGGCGCTGAAGCAAAGCTCTCTTCATAAGAAGCAAAGATGTCATCTGAGGTCGGGGCAGTAGTGGAAGCCTCAGGCTCCTCTCTCACAGCCTCTGGGGCGGCAGAGTACTGCGAGCTCTCGGCAGCAGGTGCCGACGGCTCAGAAATAGAAGGGTCGGAAACAGAATACGCTGGCGGCTCAGAGGGGATGAGAGAAGACTCGATCGTTGCTGCAGACTCTGTTTGGGCTGGAGGTGACCTGCTGGCCATGCGCATAGTAGCGCCTAGCTCCTCCGGGCCTTCGTCGTCCGAAGACGAGGAATTGTCGTCCTCGACCGGCTCTGCAGCCTCAGGCTCTGCAGCCTCAACAGTTCGGCTCACTTCCTCCACAGGGGGGTATTCTGAAGAGAATTCCGACTCTGAAACCACTGCGGGAGCGGCACCAGCTGCAGAGGTGGTCGCAGCGGCAGTGCCGGATTTTGGAAGCAATCCCAGACCCGAAAACACGGCGTCGAACTGCTCTCGAGTTCCAGCATACTCCTCCTTGGCTTGGGGCTTGAGTCCGAACGGATCCTTCTCCGTAGACTCGGTCTCCTCGGCCGGCGCAGCAGTCGGCTCAGTGATTGCGGGCTCTTCCTTGATAGGCTCCGCGGGCTGGCCGCCACCCATGCTTAGTTCGGGCTCCATTGCTTCAGTGTACTGCAAAACCGGAGAGTCCTGCGGCACGGCAGCGCTTTCGCCGTCATCACCGCCCTCCGATGCAGTAACTACTGACACAGAGGAACGCGCAGAGTGGCCTCCAGTCACAGATGAAACAGTCACATTGTTAGGAGACTCGGGGCGCGATATGCCCTCTCTAACAGACTCGGGTGCATTGTTCTGCACCGAGGACGAGACACTTTCCAAATCAGCAGCTCGGATTCCGGCCGCAGCGCCACCGACCGCAAAGGCAGCGGCCATACTTATCGGACCGGCATTGTTTGTCTGGAAAGTAGTCGCGGTTGTTGTGGTTGTTGCAGGCGAGGGCATTTCCTCGTCAAGTGAGTCTTCGTATCCAGTGCGAGGAAGAGAAGAAGACTCAGATGTCTCGACCGAACGAACCGCGTCTGAAGGCTCAGCGATAGCAAGATCTTCATGCTGTTCCGAAGAGTCTGCAACAGCACTCTTCTCGATAGCTGCCGCTTCTGAAGTGCTAGCTGGCTCGGAAGCGCTCCCAAAATCTGCAAACATGCTCTCAAAGATGGAAGCGCTGTTGGCTCCAGAAGCAGCAGGAGATGCAACAGGCGACGACGCAACGGGTGGAGAAGCAGCAGGCGATGAAAAGGCCGACTCAGAGTTATTTGAGAAGAACGGGTTGGTGGCCACAGATCTGACCGAGCCCGCAGAAGATACTGCGGCGGCCGCAGCCGGAACAGCCGCAGCAGCAGCAGCAGTGGCAGCAGCAGTGGCAGCAGCAAGTTCCGACTTTGCGCTCGCCAAGTCTTCCTTCTGCTGCCCAAGCTCAGCTTCGGCGTTCATAAGCTGGTTTCTGTTACTAGCAACCATTCCTTTTTGCTGGCGAGACTCCTCCCGTGCCCTGTCAGCCTCAGCCTTCAGGCTGGCAGACTGCTCGGACAAGAACCGGATCTTCTCTTTTAAGGTCGCGTTCTCGTTCTGGTCGGCCTCAAGGTTCGACATGATCTCCTGGTAATGAACCTGGACGGTGTGCATTTCGGCTTCGAGCTCAGCGAGCTCACTGCGGAGCTTAGCCGTCTCGTTGGTAGAGATAGCAAGCTGCTGCTCGACCGTTCTGACTTTCGATACCTCAGATTCATAAGCAGTTCGTAACCCACGGAGCTTTCCATCGATATCTGTACGCAAATGTACCATCTTGGCAAGCTCGGCCTCAGCCTTAGCGCGCTTATCCTTCAATGCGGTTGTTTGCGTGGTCATAGTGCTGATCTCAGTAGAAAGCTTGCCAAATTGAACAGCCTCTTCAGAGATCTTTTGCTTGATATCCCGATCTTCATCGACATGAGGAGCAGGTGCAGCAGGCTGAACAGGGGTAGAAACCTGAGGGATAGCAGGAGAGATCTGCGGTTGCTCAAACTGCCGCTGAGTCTGCTGCTGGGTCTGCTGCTGAGGGGGAGGCGAAAACGTTGTAGGAGGAGGAGCGAAGCTAGTCTGTGGATGAGAAGCTGGCGCTCCGGTTCCGAAAGGAGACGACCCGGTGTTTTGAGCACTCTGAGCACTCACTGGTGAGTAAGTGGACGAACGCGTAGGACTAGTAGCCGGGGGTGCGGTCTCGATCGCCGCAGGAAGGGGAGGCAAAGGAGGAGCCGAGGAGACAACCGAGGCGGCAGGCGGAGCGGCACTGCCGGTATTCTGGTGCGCCAAGGACTGACCAAAGGCAGACGACGGCTTGAACGGTTGACGGCCAGTGATACTGGGCGAGAGCGGCGGAGGGGAAGTGACGGAAGGAGCCGCAAACACAGGCTGATCGTGAACCTGAGGCGACTCTCTGGCAGGAGGCAGCTGAGGCGTCGCCGATGACTGCGTCGGCGAGAAAGACTGCGGTGCCGGGGCGGCGGGAGCCTTGAATGCTGACTCGTCGATGTCAAAGAGATCTAGCAGAGATGATTCCCCTGACGGTTGCGGCTGATGCTGCTGCTGCTGCTGCTGACCAGTAAAATTTCTCTGAACTGGTGCCTGTTGCTGCTGCGACTCATTTCCATAGAACAAAGAGCTTCCTGTCTGCTGCTGGGGCTGCTGGGTCTGGCGGAGAGAAGGAGGAACCAACGCCTCGGGAAGAGCTGTAGGAAGCTCGGCACCAGAAAGGCGCTGCTGAACCAAATACATGGCCACGGCAAACTCGTCCTTGGACAAGTATCCCGAGTTGCGGATATCCGACAAATCCCAGATCTGTGCCAGGACATCTTCCGGAAGCTTAGAGGTCATAAAGAATGGCACAGCAATCTCTCCTATAGATATAAATATTACATATCAGGAAAATGTACTAGAGGCCAAGTTGCGAACAATTGATCCAAGTAGAACTTACCGCTGATGCTACCGTCTCCTTCGCGGTCGACAGTCGCAAAAATACTATCAAAATGCGCTTTCTGCTGAGGCGTAATCAACCAGTCGTCCTGCACAGGGAACGAAGAAGCCCTGGAAAACGATTGTGTCTGCGACCCTCCTGTAGACATCGGTCTCTGCACGGGAGCAGACACAGGAGCACTATACGATCCACGAGTGCGCGGAGGCGGAGGCATTCCCGAATGCTGCTGCGAAACGGGGGGAGGGATCTGCGGGTGCTGGAGCTGGGGGGTAGAAGTGTTGCTTCGAAGGCTCGATCGCGACATCGGTCGCTCATGAACCGCAGCGGCAGCCGTGAATAGAGATGGAGGGACGGACTGTGGCAGAGTCTGCATCGATCCGTTGAGAGTGCATTGGATCAAATGCATGGCAATGACAAACTCGGTGGAGTCGAGAGCGCCTCTCTTATGAATATCAGCCAGGTTCCAAATCTGACCCAATGTATCGGTGGGAAGCTGGGCGCGAAGGAAGATATCTCGAGCGGTCGATCCTGTTGATTTGCAATTGCTTAGTATGAGCATCTTGGTTTTATTAGTCAAATCGTTTAGTTACCTGGCAAAAGACTGTCTGAGGTGCTACTCTCAAAAAGCTGAATAAATCGGCTGCGATCATTTGGAGTAAGCGGAGGTACTGCATTATTGCCGGTGGCATTGGAAAGTGCCGGAGAAGCAACACTGCGGGGAGGCTCGCTTTCGCCGAATCGTGGAAGAGGTCCAGCTGTAATCATCAAAAAACCTCAATTAGCGATTGAACCCTTGGGTGGATTGAATTATCTGTTAATCAATGCGAGGATATCATACGGCGAGATACTAGCTCAGGAGCCAGATGCTGTCCACTCTGGACATAACCAATTAAGCGCATCGCAATAGCAAAACCGGTCTGATTGAGAAACCCATTGTTTTGATCATCAGCGATTTGCCAGATCTACTCGTATATACTCATTAGTCTGATTGTAACTTTCGATAAAAGAGAATATCGCGAAATCAATTTGACGAATACGTACACGGCCGAGAACCATGGGAGACAATCCGGAACGTTCGAATAAGCTGCGAGCAACTTCACCCGTGACCACGCCGATCGATTCAGTATCAAGAGACTTGAAGAGCTGGCCGTACATAGAGCGCTCCTCGGCAGTCAGCGACAAGCGCGGCGGAGGAGGTTGCGTAGCTGTTGATGTCGAAAGTACATATTGTCAGTCCGACCCCGCCATGATCATAACATACAGACCGGTTCGAATTATGATTCGCAATGCCAGCCAGTATCAACGGGCAGTCACTTACCAACACCAAATAAATTCGAATTAGATGCCATGGTCTATGTTGCTAACAGAAGCGATCGAATTCGGCTTGGTTTGACGACTTTAAAGACAATAATTACCGGAGGCTTGCTTTGAGTCTTCCTCGAGGAACGATCCTGGATTGGGGATCCATAAGAGGGTTAGGGCCTGTACGGATTCGCCGGCACGGGATAGGTGCTTATGTTGTTTGAGTTTACGTCTTTTCTGGCCTTTCACTAGCATCTCCGAGGTCAATCGCGAGCATTTGTTCAGAATCATAGTAAAAGAGATTATTTACTGGAACCATAATTAGAGAACTGAACTAGTGTACATCTCTATTATGGCCCTCGCCAAGGATTATAGGACTAGTGTTCGCGTCGTAGAGCAATATTTGGTATAAACCCTACTAATAGTCTTCGGTGCGTTCGGCTTGTACTCACTTACCCTACAGTCGGTCGCCGGAGCTTGGACTAGGCGAGCGGGCATGCAGTGAACGAGCGACTGCAGTCTCTCACCGAGCTATGACGTTCTGTAGAAGTGATAATTGATCTGTCTGCATGCATAAGCTAGTGGTTGACAGGTCGGCAGTTGCACTTAAGCAACGTTATGATGATTAACTACTATCTGCATCTGGAATATATCCCTGCTCTGCATCTCGATCTGCATCATATGTATTCTGACCATTACTGAGATATTTACGATCTGTGTCTCGCACCATCCTCACACAAGGAACACATAAGACTTTTTCCAACCAAACCAAACAATCGCATAGTTCTTGAAAGCCAAACTTATCCTGACACTTTGAGCTTATAAAGGCCGCGCAAAATTTTTTTTGTAGAAATGGACTGGCTCGATGGTTTAGTGGTATAATTCTCGCTTAGGGCCTTAACCCTAAGTATAATTTGCGAGAGGTCCCGGGTTCAATTCCCGGTTGAGCCCCTTTTCTTTTTTTTATTCTCTATTTATTTTTTGATGCTATTAAATAAAGGAGGAAGGACAGCGTCGCGCGCCCCCAAGTGTTTCACGTCTGCTAGCGCGCGAAATAAAGCTGCCGTTCATATTTTTTTGATGGTTTAATTGGGGTGGGTTAGCGGACTCTAATATAAGTCCATCTTGGCTGAACTAGTATGCTGCGAGAGATGGGGCGGCGGTCGGCAGAGCTAAATAGCTATAATTGCGAGTCGCCTGTGTTGGGTACGATCGGAAATCGAGTTTGATTGATTATTAGTTTGCTAGTTACTCTGCTCTGTGGTCTTTTTATCAGACCATATGACTCTGACACGTACAATTCCGTCGGTGTCATAAAAACTGCAGAGTTTCAAACAGTCAAAAACCTGAAACGAGGATGCGGTCCCGAGCCGGCGATGTTACAAGAGAGAGCGCCAGTATGACAGGCGCGCGCCTGGACGTGTAGCGAAGTAGAAGAGGCAGACTACTTTAAGCCATTACATTACAACCCCGCATTATTTTATTTCGCTACAGTATAACTACTGCTTCCCTCCTCCAGCTCACTTCACCTCTCTGTCTTCTCATCATATCCTCTCTCTCTCTTTCTTCTCCACTCCCCTACTCTGATCTGATACTACGCGACACCGGCGAGTGCTGGATTACTCTCCAACAGACCTATCATAATCTCAGCATGCCACACAGCTCCATGCTGGCGCGTCCTCAAAAGGGGCCCAACAAACCATGGCCTCCGCGGCCTCCTACTCCTCATCCCCCTCGCCCACCATCCTTCCGCTCGGCACCCGATCAGCTGTGATCACTATTGTCCTGACGACCTCCCCTTCTGTATTCTTTCTCGGCAACGGACCATCATCAAGCCTCCCGTCGTCGGCTTCCGGGCTCGAGAGTCGTTAGTCATGTACAATCTTTCTACCAATCAATCTTCGCGCGTGTATATTTAGGGTCAAAAAAAATGTGAATTCTGTCAATTGTGTAATTTGTAACTATCGTACATATCCTACCGGAGAAAAACAAAAAGAAAACTTAGCCAAACAACACGCTCTCTGCCAGAGGATCGGCGCCCTTCTCCCGTTTCTCCCTGGCCTTGACGACCTTGGCGACCTTCTTCATCTCCTCTTTCTCCTGTCGTTTGATCTTGAGCGCAGTCTTGCCTCGTCTGACCTCTGAGCGCACAGCGTTGGGGGAGATAAACTCCTTGTTTTCGTAAATCAAGGGGCCAGAGAAACTGCCTTCGATGACTGAAATCAGCGTCATAACGAATCGGGGACCGATCTCAACCAGCGAAACCGCAAGCTTCTTGCTCTTCTTGCCCTTGTCCTCCGCTCCTTCTTCTTCCACCTTGTTGTCTGAAGTCGTATCGATAGACTCGGCGATCTGGTAGTTTCTGAACCAGATCTTGCCGTCCGCGATCGAGAACGCGAGGACGTGGTCGACGAAAGGCTTCGCCTTACGAGACGTCTTTGGCACGCCAAAGATGTGAACAAGCAATTCCTTGACCAGTCTGTAATGCGCTGACCCGTCAAATTCTTTGCCAAACGAGAGCAGCGGCCGCGATCCCTTGAGACAGTTTCCCGTGAAATTCAGCTCGGCCATCGTGTGCATGTTCTGGATATGGAACTTGGCCGTCGGTCCGTTGGGTGTCTTGGCGAGGTACATGTAGAGATCTTGGTGCTTGCGGGACTCAAAGTAGAGAACGTTGTTGCAGTTGTAGAGATCAGACAGTTCGTTGAGAAGGAAGAGCTTGGACTTTGAATCAAATTTGGAGTCCTTCTTTGCGTGTGGCAGCATAACCGCCAGATCGTTGATCAAATGACGCTGTCTGTACATATTCAGAGTCCAAGTTAGCATAGATCCCTCTCGTATTACTTCTGCTAGTTCCAGCTGTGTACATACCGGTATGTAACTCCACGGGACGAAAGAAGAAGAACGCGCTGACGATTCTTGACCACTTCAGTGAACGCAGAAGTGCCATTCTCCTCACCCTCTCCGCGACGTCGCTTGGTACCCGAAAGCGCTTTATATAAAGATGCCATGATAAATGTCTAGTCTTCCTGCGCTGACCTCTTGCTTAGCAGAAAAAGAAGAAAATTTGCGTCTGTAGCTCGAGTAGCTGTTCTATTAGACGGTTGTAAATATGGCTCGGAAAGAAAATTTTGAAAGTTTCTTGGGCGTTGGGACTTTTTGCGACAAAAAACCTTGAGATGATAGTCGAGGTCACATGACCTCACAAACCTCTAATAGTGATCTAGTTCTATAGTTACATGATCCTAAAAACTACCGACTATTACATTTAGAAGGCTTACAAATTCTACCTGGCTATGATGGTATTGCATCGCTTTGTAGAACTGATTGCCGTTCCAGTTGTGACGATTTTCTTCTACCTAGTCGCGCAACTCTGCCTTTCCCAAAGGGATCTCTTCACGTTTGGTAGACAGATTGGCCAGAGCGTGCACTCTGAAGTAGATCCATAAGAGAAAAGAGAATTTAAAAGGCCATGAAACAGACCAGATTTCTATCAAAAGGTTCTGCTCACGATCAGGTTGAGACGTCAATTCACTTTACGTTCCTGCTCAGGGGCCGCTGGCAAGCCTCGCCATCAAGCAGAAACCTTAATAGTCGCTGCAGTGGTAAACACCGCTTCTTTACTGTTTCTTTTCCTGCCTTCTTTCGCTATATTATTGTTGTGAAAGCTGTTTGTTATTGTAGTCTACGTGGTATTGAGATAGATTTTGAACACTGTTGTACTTTTGAATATAGCGCGAAGCACGGAGGCTAAGTTGTCTATGGCTAGTCTTCCCTACACCGCACCTACAGATCTTCAGCAAAATCATAGAAATGCAGTCTACGCAAATCAATAGCTGGGTCTATATAACTTACTATGTCCCTATATGCCCCGGTGGTGGACAGAATGTGAAAAACAGGTAAACAAGCCATCAACGATATCAAAAGATCTAGATGAAGCGATAGCATATATGCAGACGCTCTGCCACGAATATGTAATTAAAGCCCAAACGTCGCTCACTTTATGCAGTGGCTATCGCGCGGCTCGCGCCATTTTCAATTACGCTCGAGCGCTCGTCCAGCTGGAACCAGCCCTCTTCTTGAAGAAGGCGACCGAAAAGCACAGCCCTGAAGCAGAGAATAAAAGCAGCAAAACACAGCCAAATGCGTCAGCAGCAGCCGACTCTTGCGGCTGCCTCGCTGTCGTCCCAGTCAAACCAGCAAGAGACGTACTATTCGCTACCGTCGGAGTCGCCGCCTTCGCCAGTGTCTTATAACTACAGCCCGCCGCCGGAAGTAGTCATTGCGCCGAATACGAACGTGTTCAACAACAGCTACCTCAAGAAGAAGAGCAAGAGCAAGCAGAATGCAAAGAAGAGCAAAGGCGTTCCGCGAAAGCTGGATGCGACGGGAACGATAAGGTCTGATACTCTCGAGCCGGCGATTTCGTATAAACCGCGAGAGCCTCTTCCGATTGCGACAAAGCAGGAAACCAAGGAACCCGAAAAGACCAGTAAGTGGTCTTGGTTTGGCAGCAAGAGCAGCAGCGAGTCGAAAAATGAGGAGAAGTTTGAGGAAAAGTACGCACCAAACGAGAGAAGCGCGCAGAGTTACCACAAAGACAGCACAGCAAGCAGCGGAAGCGACACAGCTGGCCAGACCTCCTCGTCCTCGTCTGACGAAGACGAGCTCTACCGCCAGCAGATTTACACGTCTTCGCCTGTCTCGAAGAAGCAATCGATGAGTAAATTGGACGGGCGAAAGTTGAGCAGCAGTTCAGGTTACTTTAGCGACCTCTCGCCGACCTCATACCAAGCCAGCGATAGGTTCGAGCAGTTCCCGGCCTCTGAAATCTCCCCTCCCGAGTCTGAAGAGATTCTTCCGGAGCCTGTGAGCGAGCCCAAGGTTTCATGGCTCAAAGATCTGTTTACCAAGAAGCAGGATCAGAAGAAGAGCGAAAAAGTAAAGCCAAAGCCAAATGATAGGGCAGATGGGCAGGCGATGTTTGCTGCCAACGGACCTCCATCTCCACCTCAGTCAGTTCTCTCAACCGCATCGACGCTGCGATCGAACGTCAATGCACGCAATCAAAGCACAGTGTCCTTACCGATATCGACGAGACCGCCGCTCGTCAACTCACAGTCAAAAGATAGCGGGGGCCGATCTCCGGAATCTGTCGCCTCAACAGCCGCCACGATGAATAACGTCAACTCCAGAGCGAGCAACGCTGACCCAAACAACAGGTCATGGGCTTTTTGGTCTCGTCAGTCGAAAGACAAGAGTTCGAATAATGAGGATGGTGTAATTGCATTTTCAGGACCGAACCAGCAGACGTACTCCCAAAAGCAGCGGGGTCTGTCGATCGACAACACAAGCATGCCGGTACCGGACAAGAACCAGACAGCAACCTCACCCACAAGTTTCCGCTCATTCTCCCGCAACGCTTCCCGTGCGACGTTAGGCGGAATCGGGAGCTACCAGCAGAGTTATATGAGTGGCTCAACGACAAACCTGAACGGGTACGACATCTACAATGGTACGCCTGCTGGTGGAAAACTGGGCCGTGGAGGCGAGAAGATGAATAATGACACTAAATCTGTACGGACGATCGAGACTATTGGGAAGCCGCGGAAGGATTTGAACACGGTCAAATCCGCAAACGGGGCAAAGGAGACGGCATTAATGGCACCTGCGCCGACGAACGCTACCGGAAACAATATGGTGAAAGCAGAGCAGCCAATTTTGGAATCGTCAAAGGAGAAAGACAAAAAGAAGAAGAAGAAAGGCAAAGAGGATCAAGTGCGGTATCCGAACATGGTCGTCCCCAGACTCGAAGACTGTCTTGAGCCCGAAAGTCCTCCGAGTGCGATGTGGCATTCGCTAAGCAATCGGATCGCAAGAATATTTGAGGAGCCTAAGCCCGCTTCCGAGACGCACCTGCGACTACACATCACGCCGCCGCCCAAGATCCGCAAGGCGGTCGCGATCGGGATTCACGGGTTTTTCCCGATCCGGATGGTGCGCAGTATTATCGGTGAGCCGACGGGCACGTCGGTCAAATTTGCGAATGAAGCGGCGTCGGCTATCCAGCGATGGGCTGAAGCGCACGGACAGGCCGATATGGATATCGAGAAGATTGCGTTAGAAGGCGAGGGTATCGTGCTTGATCGGATCGAGAACCTGTACCGCCTGTTGTCGAATTGGATGGATCACCTGCACCAGGCGGACTTTGTGCTTATTGCGGCACATTCGCAGGGAACCCCGGTGGCCGTGCAACTTGTGGCCAAGCTGATTGAGGAAGGGCATGCGGACAATACAAAGATTGGAATTTTGGGGATGGCGGGCGTCTCGCTGGGACCGTTTTACGGTCTTGATCAGAAGCTTGTTATGCGTGCGTACTCTTCGATCGAGCATGATTCTTTACGAGAGCTGTTTGCGTTCCAGAATCCCAACAGTCTGCAGGCGCGTCGATACATTAGCGGGTTGCGGACGGTGATTGCTCATGGTGCGAAAATCACGTTTGTTGGGTCTGTGAACGATCAGCTGGTGCCGCTGTACTCTTCCCTCTGCGCCAATGTCACCCATCCTTACATCTTCCGATCAGTCTTTGTCGACGGCAAAACACATGCTCCGACGTTCATCATCCATCTGATTGAGCTCTTGGTCAAGCTGCGAAACTACGGATACTCAGACGACGGTATTCTTCGCGACATCAGCGACGCCATGGCGGGCACGCTGACCGGCGGCGGCCACTCGCTGATATATAACGAGAACGCGGTTTATGATCTCGCGATCCAGCATGCGCTGGAGACAAGTGAGATGCAGGGACTCCCTGTGAGAGTCGACGATAAGTTTGAAGTGCCTACCCCGGCGAATTATAATCCTTATCATTTGCCGTGGAGCGTGCGCGGAATGCTTGAGCAGGATGTCGGTAAGTACACCTTCCAAATTCAGTGGCTTTAGTAGATAGACATGCTAACTATTCGATAATTCAGTCCGAGAGCATTTCGAAGAGGACATAACCAGAGTTCTCAACAAATTCGACGTCTGGAATCCAGACACAAAGCCTCTCAAAGATATAAAGTATCGTCTGTCGGCGATCCGGAGCCCCGTCACTCACGGCTCGGGCAAGAAACCTCCTGCTGGAATGCCGGTGCCTGGTGAGATTGGAAGCGGAGCTTCTGCTCCGGGTGTCATGGCAAATTGATGTATTTTCTATTATTTTACTTTTTTATCACGCTCGTTTTTATTTACGTTAGGTGAATTTTGTTTACCACCACATTCATTTATATAGAGACATGTCTCGTTACACTCACTTTGTTTGTCTTTCTGTCGTCTTCAATTGGACTTGAGATGTCCAACTTGTGTTTTGGAGTTACGTTGCCGCATTTTATCTTTGTGCTCTGTAGTTGGTGTTTTATAGATGTATTAGTATAGTATCCGGTGTAATTTTTAATCAAGAGACTTTTAATTTATTCATATGTGCCTGGCTTTTTCAATTAAATACAACTTTAAGATGCTAGTATTGTACACTAAGCCGACTCCTCATCAAGAGCAAAAGTAGCCGCCACAACCAACGGAAAGACGATAGTAGCGTCCGCATACACCTTAACGCTCTTCGCCTCCGCCTTGATCTTTCCCCACGACACCGCCTCGTCCGGTCTCGCACCGGCGTCGCTTCCGTCAAACTCCTGCCCGGTATTGATATACACTGCGAAATCCGCGCCGTTGCGCATCAGGCACGCGTTCGCGATATGGTGCTTGACCAGCCCGCCGCCGAGGATGATCATGCCCGCTTTGGCGGCCGCCATCGACATGCTGTTGATCCTGCGGATGTCGGACACGATGTCGATTTTCAGCTGCAGGGGCGAGGCGCGGAATGTGTGGAAGAAAAGCATGTCGCCGATGCTTCCGTCTGTGAGCGCGGGGCAGAAGATTGGGATCTCGTTCTTGTAGGCCCAGTACAGGACCGAGTCCTCGTCGTTGATCTCTTTGCCTAACCGCGCGATGACTTTAGAAGGTGACCACAGTAGTTCGGGATCAGCCTCTTGCTCCTCGAGCATTTTGTCTAAAATCGGAACGATCCATTCCTCAAACAAACAGTAGTTATCGTTCGGAACCAGCAAGTTTCCGATCCGATTCATGCCCTGCTCACGCAGTCCCGCGCCAGGAAGACTGAAATCTCCAATGTACGTCTTGGCCAAACACTTGATCAGATCCTCCTCAATTCCACCCGCGGTCGTGACGATCGCAGACACATGCTTGTGCTGCACGAGGTACTTGAGCGTACTCCGCAGCCCCGACGAAATCAAATTACTCGTGTATCCCAAAAATATCGTACATTTCTCCTCCCCCGTCCCATCCTCGGCCGGCAGCCCGTTCTCCTCCCGCTCCGCCTGCTCCTGCTTCGTGTGTCCTCTCCAGCTCCGCATCTCGTTGATGATATCACACGCAACTCCGACCGACGTCGCTTGGAACCCCATCGTCTTCATGCTCTGCACGAGCGACGACACGCGGATGTTTTTGTTCTCCGGCTGGTTGAAGTCGATGCCGCCCACCGGAACGGCACCGGTCGGAACGGGATCTGAAGGCTTCAGCACCGCCCCGGATGCCAGAGGCGGAAGTTTGTCGCTCATCTTTTGTGGTGGGTTAGCAGAGAATGCTGTGTTGAGAATAGTCTGGTAATAAGCAACGTTCAACAGAAAAAAATTGATGATTAGATTATGGTGAGCCGCAAACTCGGTCCGTTGGGAGTTTCATCAATTTTTTTTATTTTTTCGATTTTATTTCGATCGGGACTAGCTAATCTATTTGGAAACTGCGCTCTTATCTATTAAATCTACATTAATTGCCAATTATTCCGTCCATTACTAGTAGTTATTATCAATAGAATAAAAAAAGCATATTACAAAGAGTATGAGATTGGTTTTGTCCGAGCCATCTTTCATCGATTTCCTGTCACATAAACGCCGCAAAAGTAATAATTTCCTCTATACCACCAATTCATTGCATATCACATCCGTCTACCTCCGACGAGAAAGCCGGCGCCGTTTCGCCTGCACTCCGTCTTCGGCGGGAAGTTCATGGACAGTAGCGAGATCGGGCTTCATCAAGTCGTCTGGATACTGCGCGGCGAGATCGTCGTCGTTGTAGAATGAAGTAGGACCCGGGCTGGCCAAGAAATCACCGACGTCGAAGCCTCCGCCGTTGGCGATGCCGACCGGGGCAGGAAGTTCTTCCAAATGTTGCATAGACGGAGTGGGTTCGTTCGAAGTGCTGTTGGATCCAATAGGCGAGTCGTCGGGGCTGCTCTGAGATATTCCGTTGTTGTTGTCGTAGGTCGATAGGTTCTTTGAGATCCACTCTTGCACTTGATCGAGCGACTGGCCTTGCAGATCAAGCTCGGTCTGCAGGTCGTCGAGAGAGTTGGAATTGTTGACGATTTTTGACATACTGACGGGTGGGGATCGAGGGCCGAGATTGTTGACGAGTTGCCGGGCGCCGTCCGAGATGGCAGAGAGAGCAGGAGACATAGCAGGTCCAGAGATAGGGGTCGAGGCAAGCAAGTCAGGGAAGAACGAGCGGCCGTTCGCGCCCGTGGCAGGAGTTCGGTTTTCCATAGGAATCATATCAAGAAAATCAGACTGCTCAATCATTGTGCGCGCAGAGTTGGGAGTAGGGGCGTTGTAAGGGACAGAGGTGGAGGATTGCGAGGTGCTGGGGGCGGGAGTGACAAACGGCGTCGAGCTCTGCATCGGGCTCTTGGAAACGGTGGGAGAATCCGCAGAGAGTTCGAGGATGTGAGGTTCGGCGACGTCGCGGAGCATCAGACGATTTCGGTTTGAAGGCACGGGACTGCCGACCGGGACGATGGTGGTAGTGCTTGCAGCGCTGTCGCCAAGGATCTTTGAAGGATTGCCGTAGACGGAAGCCAAAAACCGAAGAATCTTCTCAAGGGTCTCGGAAAACGACTGGTGTCGCTCGCGAGTCTGGTAGGACTCCCGCCACAAAAGCTCGTTGTCTTGCTTAATCTGCTTGAGCTGCTCGGCTACTGCTTGCTGAGATTGCCGAATGATTTCGACCTCCTCAAGTAGCTGGTGCAAATCGGGCTCGTCCTCGTCCTCGGAACCCTTGGACCCCCTGTTACGAACAATGTTGTCGAGCAGGTCTTCTCTGCCGCGGATGAAGTTGGGAGAATGGAACTGCCAGGTTTCCTCGCCCGAGTGCATAGCGCCGGCGGTCACGTCCTGGACCTTGTGCCAGCCGTACATGTTGAGCTGACGGACAAAGGAGGAGAAATTTGAATGCTTGAAGTATCTGGGTAGGACTGTACGCTCGAACTGCTCACGGCCAACGACCTGGAAGCTGGTGCCGTCGGGCATCCAGGAGATGTGGGCCGCATTGACAGGATCGTTTACCATTGTCCATAGTTTGAGGACGAAAGCAGGTCGAGTCTTGGGAGCTGAAGTGATTGCCTTGCGGGACTTTGCAGGCTTGCGCGAGGAGGAGGAGGTAGTGGTCGTGGACGTGACGGGGTTGGAGGAGGTGACTGGAGCTGTGATGGAGCCCGGCACAGTCGGACCGGAGGTGAGAGCAGGTCGCTGCTTAAGAGCCGAGGGCGGCGCCTTGAACAGCGACGCAGAAAGTTCTGAGCCGGCCGTAGCGATAGAGCGCGTGGAAGCGCGCGTGGTGAAGGGAAGTGGGGTGTCTATTTCGATCAAGTTGGAGGAGCCCGAGAGTCAGGACTTATGAGACAGACTCGGGCAAAAAACTGAGAGACTGAAGATTGGGAGGAAGAGGTGGAGTAGTGGGCCGAAGTGCACAAAGAGGAGGAAGAGCAAGTAGAGGAAGATGTGTTGATTGCTTGCTCAGGCTGGAGAAGAGACAGACGGGGCAGAGAGAGGATGATGATGGGAGCTGGGCCTCAGACGAGGGTGGGCGGTTGAAAAGGCGGTGAAGCACAGATGCGGAGGCCACGTTGCAGTTGTGCCGCCAGAAGAGGAAGGCCTAATAACTGCGCTGCTGCTCGCCGCTGGCTCTTCTGGCAGCAGCCAAACAGCGCAGGCTGCGGGTCTACCAGAACCTGCCTGATCCGACAGGGCCGCTGGCTCGCGTCCACAGGCTGCCATTTCGAGAACCGCGTCGGGAGGCGCTCTGCTCCGCGATATGCCTTCTTCTTCGGTCGCCGGTTGTATGTCGACAGGGCCTGGCGTCATTCACGTGACCGCGGCACAATCGCATTGTGGTTTCGGGGTTGTCCGATGACGTAGCCGCTGCGTTGACTGTCACTGCACTCACTGTGAGTAGTAATAGTAAGTGCTCAGCGGCGAATCTCGGAGACCGAGCCAGCAGCCACCATGCCTCTGACCCCGGAACAGCTCGCGCGTATTGTAAGTGTTGGTTTATTCTGTAAATTAATTGAATATATCTGACTCGACATCTGCTGCAGGAGGAAAATCGCCAGAAAGCGCGAGAGCGGCTGGCCGCCCGTGCCGAAGCCCGCGCAAAAGAGGCAACTAACCAGGCGGCCTCGCAGACACCGGCGCCTGCCCAGCCCAGCACTGTACGCGATGCGTCGCGCAAACGGCCGTATGAGAGTATACGGCCTGCGAAGATGTTTACAAATTATATCGAGTTTGGTATGCTGCTTTTCTGTGCACAAGTCTGCGTCTCCGTCTCGAGTCAGCGCTGATCATGTATATCAATTATCTAGACTTTTCAAAGATCAAAGACACAAAAGGTGGCTACATGGCCGAGGAAGAAAAACCTCCTAACGGCATGACGCTGGAGGAATGGAAAGAGAAAAACAGAAAAGTTGTCTACGATCCTCGTGAGTGCACCTTCTACCAGCCGATATCGAGACACACAGAATTGCTGACTCGTCGGATAATACAGCGCGCGCGCTCAACCCTGACGATAACCCGAAATGTTTCGAGTGTGGCACTTTTGAAATAGATTTCGAGCTGTTTAAAGTCTTCAAGTGCCGCGTCTGTCGAGCTTGCAAAAATGAAAAGCCAGAGAAATACTCTCTGCTCACAAAGACTGAGTGCCGCGAAGACTATTTACTTACAGACCGTATGTATACCAGTGCTGTTGCAAAGAGATCTGTTTTCTAACGTCATCTCTAGCCGAACTTCGATCTGAAGAAGATCTCCCTCACATTGAACGGCCCAATCCACACAAGACAACATACAACAACATGATGCTCTATCTCCGATACCAGGTTGAAGAGTTTGCCTATAAGAAGTGGGGCGGCGAAGAAGGACTCGACAAAGAGTATGAGCGGCGTGTTACGTTGCGCAAGGACAAGAAGGACAAGAAGTTTGCCGAGAAGCTAAAGCAAATGCGACAGCGGACAAGAACGGAGACTTGGAACAAGCGACTGAACGAGGAGGCTCATGTCCATACCTGGGGGGCACAGACAATGGTTCCAGGCAAAGACCTGGCGGTCAGGAAGTGCACAGAGTGTGGGATGCAGACGGAAGAGGTTGTGTTCTGAGTGTATATAGCTGTAGATATGATGTATGAGTTGATGTTGATATGTATATTGGTGGCGTTAGGATGCTTTCTTTGATTGGGGTTTTGAGACGATCATGAACTGCTCATGAATAATATGAACAATAATAAATAGAATGAATAATAGAACAACAAAGGAATACAAACCGAGTAAAACTGTGAACACCCGGGGATAGAGTTTCAACGCGCTGTTTGTTTTGATTTGGTTGGCAGGGCGACGGATGAGGGATAGGGGTCAACAACCCCTGCCTTCGCCTCGCGGTGTGGTCTGCCGCACTCTTTTCGCGACTCTTTCCCTCTTTTCCCTTTCACTTGCTTACTGCATCTCCATCCATCTCTTTTATCCAATCCTCTTCTTGGTTATTCCTTGCAACAATGAGAGAAGTTATTAGCATCAACGGTTCGTCTTCCTTTGCTCATTTTCTTAGATTCTCGGCCTTGTGGTTCTCCTTTTCTAACGTGTTTTCGTGTTTGTTGTTTAGTTGGCCAAGGTACTTTCTCCGCTCCCTCCCGCATCATTGCCACCATCGTCTTCGTCTTCATCAAGGTGATCTATTTGAGATCGAATAAGTGCTAACCATTTGCTTTTAACAACAGCTGGTTGTCAGATCGGTAACGCTTCGTGGGAGGTACGTGACAAAATTCTAGTCTTTCCATTTGCCTGTGTTTACATGCACGCGCGCCTCTTTATTCCCCCCCGTTTAGACTGCTAACGAGTTTTTTTCATCATCATACAGCTCTACTGCCTTGAGCATGGTATCCAGGTACTTATTCGCGTCTTGCATCCGTGGTTTTTGTATGTTGTGTTGGTGGGGCGAGCAACTTTGTTGACGCGTTTTTTCGCTGTCTAGCCCGACGGATACCTCACTGCCGAGAAGCAGTCCGGACCCCGCGACGAGGGTTTCAGCACCTTCTTTTCAGAGACCAGTATGTTTTTTGATTCTGTGTTTGTACAGCCTGTTTTATTTGATCTGATTTCTAATAATCGCGACAGGCAACGGAAAGTACGTTCCGCGAACAATCTACGTTGATCTCGAGCCCAATGTGATTGACGAGGTTCGCACTGGAACATACCGCAACTTGTTCCACCCCGAGCAGCTCATCACCGGAAAGGAGGATGCTGCCAACAACTGTATGAACAAAGAGATTTTGTTTTCTGACTTTATTCCGGACATGTTCTAATTTGACTTCTGTAGACGCCCGTGGTCACTACACCATCGGAAAGGAGCTCATTGACCAGGTTGTCGACCGCGTTCGTCGCGCTGCCGATTCTTGCGATGGTCTCCAGGGATTCTTGTTCACCCACTCGTTCGGTGGTGGTACTGGATCTGGATTCGGTGCTCTTCTTCTTGAGCGCTTGTCGCAGGAGTACGGAAAGAAGTCGAAGCTCGAGTTTGCTGTTTACCCCGCTCCTCAGGTTTCGACCTCAGTTGTGGAGCCCTACAACTCGGTTTTGACTACCCATACCACTCTCGACCACTCTGACTGTACTTTCATGGTTGACAACGAGGCGATTTACGATATCTGCCGCCGAAACCTGGATATTGCTCGTCCGAGCTACGAGAACCTGAACCGCTTGATTGCTCAGGTTATCTCGTCGATCACTGCGTCGCTGAGATTCGATGGATCGCTGAACGTTGATTTGAACGAGTTCCAGACCAACTTGGTGCCTTACCCTCGTATTCACTTCCCTCTTGTTACCTACGCGCCTATTATCAGCGCGGCGAAGGCATACCATGAGGCGAACTCGATTGCCGAGATCACGAACGCGTGCTTTGAGCCCACGAACCAGATGGTTAAGTGCGATCCTCGCAACGGAAAGTACATGGCTACGTGCCTTCTGTACCGTGGAGATATTGTTACGAAGGACGTTCAGGCCGCGGTAAGTGCGATCAAGGCCAAGAAGTCGATTCAGTTTGTGGAGTGGTGCCCTACTGGATTCAAGATTGGAATCTGCTACCAGCCTCCTCAGCTTGTTCCGGGCGGAGACTTGGCTAAGGTTTCGCGCGCGATGTGCTTGCTTAGCAACACTACTGCGATTGCGGAGGCTTGGTCGCGTCTTGACCACAAGTTTGATCTGATGTACTCGAAGCGCGCGTTTGTGCATTGGTACGTTGGAGAAGGTATGGAGGAGGGAGAGTTCAACGAGGCCCGTGAGGATCTTGCGGCTCTTGAGAAGGATTACGAGGACGTTGGAGCGGACTCGACCTATGACCAGGAGGAGGACGCCGAGTACTAAATGTTTTATTTTGTTAAAGGAGTGTAATATTATATGATATCCCGGATTGCGTTATTCTCTTTGTTTTCTATTTTTTATTAGTTTTTTTTATTATTCTGCTAAATTTTCATAAACCCCTTTATTAGTACAAGTTATTGCAAATATTCAAATGTGTTGTTAATATATCATTAAATGCAAAGTGAGAGAGTAGAATGAGAGCAGATTGAGATAAAGAGACCCGAACGCCATATGCAAGAGTTGTCCTTTTAGTTTGATTCGTCGTCATCGTCGTCGTCGTCTTCTTCTTCTTCGTCATCTTCTTGTTCTTCATCATTATGATCATCATCTTCTTCGTCGCTTTCCTCCTCCTCTTGCTGAGATTCTTTTGCCTTCAACTCAGCTTCTAAAGCAGCTTGCACATCAGCTTCCAATTTCTCATAAGCATCAGCAATAACTTTAGCATCCTTATTGAACTGAATTCCTTTCAAAAGCACATTTCTCGCCGCCAATCTGTTTGCATTATCGCGAAGTTCATGGTCAGCGGCCATAACCCAGATCTGAGGGTTCATAGGATGCAGCTTGACGAGCGACTTGAAGATCTTGTTTAGCACTTTGCGGGCCTTGATCTGTCTCGCGTAGGAGGCGTACTGCGTCCAGAGCGAGATGTCTCCTGGGAACCGTTTTGTTGCGCGGTCAAAGACAAAGAGCACGCGCTGCTGGCCAGACCATCCCGCGACGCCTACTTTCTTCATCAAAAGCCCGTCTGCGTCCTCCTCGTCCTCGTCGCCGTCTTTGTTCTTCTTGGTAGAGCCGAGGACGCGCTGGATGCGGCGCTTGCGCAGGAGATCGAGGTTCATTTCAAACTCGACGTATTTGAGGAAATCGAGCAGAGTCACGCCGCGGTTGTTGATCCGGTGCTCAAAGTCTGTTCGGCGACGGGTGATTGTGGTGAGCTCGGGGCGGGAGAAGATGTTGTGTTTGTGCAGCTCTTCGAGCTCGGGGAGCGTCTGGGGGTGACTGTTAGTTCAAGAGTAAAGCAGAGTACAAAAGATAAAATGAGTATAACTGACCTGCTCGAGGTAGTATCGCACTTTGGCAGACATTGTGGTTGCTGGATATCGATGATGTAGCAGGGCAGCGGCAGTTGGATCAGAAATTTTTTGACCAGCTGGGAGAAGTGCACGTGACGAGAGAGAAGTTAGGGCTCGGCGGGTTAGGGCGATGGGCAGAGATCTGGTCGACTAAACGCGCTGACAGTGATTGCACCCGGCGGACAGGGTGAGAGCAGAGAAGAAGAGCAGAAATTAGCATGAAGAGAACTTGTGAATATAAACAGTGAACATACTACTTCTTTGCTATTGCTCCAGCGCAGAATCCTCAAAGCATTTGCCGCGTCGAGACAGTTAGCCGGATTAGGCAGGAGCGGGTGCGTTGCTCCCCAAAACAAGCGCGAGCAGAGGCGTGTTGGTGTTTACACTGAGCCAGCCACGTCCAAAATTGAGTATTTTCCTTCTCTTCGCCGCTCTGCCCGCGCCCGTAAACCACCTCACCTCCGTCCCAAAGAGCAGCCAAAACCCGCCAGCAACATGCCCTCCGCAGTGCTGGACGACGACAGCGCCCGCGCGACTGACTCCGGCCCTCGTGCTCCGTCAAGCACTGCCAGCTCGCCCGCCCTGCTCCCCGCCTTCACGCCTCACAACACGCGTCCGACCCGTCCGGCTGACTCCGCCGCCGCCGCCGTCGACCGCGACGACGCAGACCACGACCCACGCGACCAAGCAGACTCGTCCCGCACGAGCGTAGACATCCACGACGCTGTCGACAGCTCGCCGCTGAAACCCGCGCCGCCGTCGCCGAACGCGCTGCCGCCGTCGACGGCCCCAACCTCTGATCCCGTCTCGCCCCAGCCAACGTCGCCCGTCACCTCGGCCGCTACAGCGTCTGCCGCTGCCGCTGCCGTGCTCGACTCGCCGACCCCGTCACCGAAAAAGCGGACCGTGTCGGGCTCAATCAAAAGTCCCGAGAAACCCTCGAGCGACCGCATTCAGCAAGTACGTTTTGTTCTGTCATCTGCAAATTGCAATTGCTTGATTTCTCAGTGACTCACATGCTGCTCTACTAGATATCCGAGAACCTTCGCGCGCGTCTCTCGCTCGCGATGCTCAAAGTCCAGCACGGCTGGACCGACCAGTCTCTCGAAGAGCTCGAGCAGACTGCCGCAAAGAGCCCGCGCCAGCGTGATCACCCGCGACGGATGAGCATACCGCCGCAGACCTCTGCGGAGACTACTACCCCAAGGCCCGCGAGCTGGGCCGGCTTCGCGGACCATAAGCGGACAAACTCGGCGCCGCCGGCCGCGAACGGGAACCTAGTGTCCCCTCGAGCGCCGGCTGCGAGCTATTATCACCAGCAGCAGACAACAGGATTGCCACCCCACAGCCAGCAGAATCCGACATCGGTCTCGCCCAGTTTTTATGCCCCACCAACACAGTCCTCCCCTGTATACTACTACCAACAAGCGCACCCGCCGCCTCCTCCGTTTGCAAACTACAACGAACAACAGGTGTACTACGAGCAGCAGCGGCTATACGACCAACAGGTCTACGAAGAGCAACTCCGGCGATACGAGCAGCAGCTCCGGCTCGCAAAGTATCGCGAGCCAGACTTCCTCCACGACACCGACGCCGCGCACGAACGCGAACGACAGATGCCGTACTACTCCTCCCACCTGAAAAACACGTCGCTGCCCCCGCCACTGCCACCCCAGCAGCGCTACTACGTACCCCCCGTCCCACCACCAGGCTACCGTCCCGCGTCCTTCGCGTCGCCCCAGCCGCAGTCGCCCGAGCACCACCGGCGAGGCTCGGTCTCGCGCGGCCGAAAGTCTCAGTCGTCGCTGTCGCCCGAGATCGCGCACTCGCGCCTGTCGCCGATCCAGACCTCCACCGGCGTCCCTGTCAGACCAGACGGCTTGCCGGTCCTGGGAACGTTCAGCAACAAGGTACCGCCAGGCATCGCCCGCAACAGCACGAGCCCGTCTCCGCGCAAGGCGAAACCGAACAAGACGACCCGTGCTCGGCCGCATAGTGGACACTCCACCTTCCCTCCCCTGACATCCAAGCAAACCGCCGACGCCGCCGCCGCGATCACAGCCGCCGCCGCCGCCGCGGCCGAAGAGTTGAAGAAGGAGGAACTGAGCGGCCGGCGACGGGGAAGCGATAGCAGTAGTAGCAGCAACACGGACGAGGCCTCGCGGCAAAAGAGCGAGGTCGACGCGATCGAGAGCTTGATGTTTTTGTCTAGTCCGACTGCTCGATCCGGACGGACGTGGAAGGAGCCGAGGGAGGTCGTGACGAATAGCAGACGGTGACCGGAGGGCGGGCAGTGGAGGTTGCTGGAGGCCTTGTATATTTATTTACTCACATTATGTGAATTTTTGTTTTTTCCGTACTTTCCTTTTTTTGCTCTTTTCTTTTGTTTGCCATTCTTGGAGTTTTGCGGTGTTTTACTTGCTGTCATAGCTTTACCTGGAAGTAATATCTAATAGCTCGCGTCAACAGTCCTTTTGAAGTTACCAAAACAATAAAACTGCTCATTCTTTTACTCTGGGTACTCATGATTTTCTATTTAGCTTGGCTACAACAGACACAGCAACAGCTAAGTAAAGAAACTTCACAGCGCACCTAGTTAGATCCAGATCCGCCAGGCAGATGTAAGTGCAGCTTGTAGAACAGCTCATGCTGTATTCCACCATCAGTGGTCCCGTGGAGTAGCAGGGAACTCAGCTGATGGTGATTGGCTGAACAGCTATAAGACCAGCCTGAGCTGGAGCACTGACAGATGCTGGACTTGCACCGCTCTGAGGTGCCTGGAGTGTCTGCTGCACGGAACTGAGCGTTTTTTGCACCATGTTCAAACCTCTGTTCTCTGATGAGCTTGACGCGTCTGCAAATTGGCGATCTTGTCGCACGCAGTTTTAAACGCATTCGACTTGTTTCCTAATGTCGCAGCTTCTGCAAGGAGACAGTGATGCGCATCTGCTGTCTTCGGCGGCACTCGAATTCGAGCCGGAAGCGGTGAGCCTGTAGCACCGTCATGGGCGCTACACACTCGAGCTGCAAACGCTGGAACGTCCTGGTGGCGGAAAACTGGATATCTGAAGGTGATCACATTTGGAAGTTGCCGCATTAGAACTGCGGCATCTTGCAAGATCACTGAACTGCATTTCTTCAAGAGCACGAGAAAGTCCATCTCTGCCCCGTCAGATTTCGCTGTCGGACCTGCATTTGAGATTCTGCTCTCCCATCCTTCGATCTCGGAAAATAGCGATGTAGAAAGCGACTCAGGTGGTTCGATGGCGGGACGAGGAAGATAATAAGAGCCGGGATAGATGGGAAAACCAGCATAGATACGTGCAGACTCAGTATGCGTAGACGTCGAGAATAAGCTGCTCACAAAAGTTTTGCGCCAATCTCCCTTGCGAGAAGGCCCTCCAAACTATATGGATCCTGAATTGTTCCGTTGCTCGTTTCAGGAATAATTCGAGGTGTTTTCGCCATCTGGGCCTTGATAGCTTTCAGCGTTGCTATGAGAATGTCTCCACTCGGATTTGGAAAGGAGTTTTCACCCCGAGCTTTCTGCTGTTTCCAAAGAACAAAAAAGACTCTCACATACTCCGACAATTTTTCATATCGTATGACCTGATTCTCCTTGCCTTTACTGCGGTTCGCAAACGCATGATCTGATGAGTAATTCCACGCTTTCTTCAATGACAACAGTGGCCTTATTCAAGGCTGCCCATGCCATGTACTCTCACCGTAGAGGCACATAGGCGCGTGCTTTGTATTCCGACATTTGCATGGTCATATCGGCTTCTTCGGCTGATTGATCGAGTTCGATATCGTTCTCCATGATCTCTGATCCCTACGAGCCGTGGAAGATGATTGTTGAGCATTCCGAGTTGTTCAGGGCACATAGATGAGCTTTCGTTTAACAACAGTTATGCCAATCCCCGACAGATCTGAGTAAATCTTTCAAGTAGAGAGACCAGTTGCGTCTCCCTGGATTGTCGTGGTCTTCCGGGTCCCGCTGGGGATCTTGATTAATGTATACGGCTGGGAGACTGGGACTTCGTTATGTATGTGTGCACGTGATGCAGCAGCAGCCCGTGTCTGCAGACCCAGAATACCAGTCTCCCAACTAAGGCTTCGTACCGAGAGCTACGTAGAAGTTATCTTTTTTTCCTGCAAACAGCCCTCAATTGATCAGCGAGCACTTTTTGTTGTTCGATTTGGCGGTTTATATCTGTCTCGTTTTATCTGTAAAGTGAAACATCTTGGACAGCACGTTGATTGGTAGTTTGCTGTCATATATCTGATTTACGCGGGCACTTGTTTGAGGCCATCAGTGCAAACTCCACCGAATCTCGAGACTGAACATCAACCAGCAGCAGCACAACACTTGCCAGACTCCGGCCGCGCAAGAACAACCACAGACAAACACACACACAAGAACAACAGAAGAAGAATAACCATCGTCAAAAATGCTATTCGACGAATCAAACGCCGCCGAGTTCCGAGCCTGGCTCGTCCGCAAGCTCGAAAACATGTCGGACGCGGACTCTGAGATCCTGTCGGATTATGTGATTGCGCTGCTGCGACACGGGCAGCCCGAGAACGAGATCCGGCAGATGTGTCTTGATCAGCTGCAGGATTTCTTGCAGGATAATACGGTGCCCTTTGTGAATGATGTGTTTGCTGCGCTCAAGGTGAGTTGTCTTTTGATTTTCAGATGCCTGATCGGGATGGCGATCTAACGTGTGTTGATTTGCATGAATAGACGAAAGAATATCTGTCAGGAGGCGCGAACTCAGATATGATGGACGCTACCCCAGCCGCAGATACTACAACCTCCGATCAACCCAGCTTTAGACCAGACGCGCCCTCCTTCGTTCCTTCCCAACCAGCAGGCGGATATCAAACCTGGAACAACAACGTTCCCATTCAACAGGAAAATCAAAATCAGCAGCAGCAGTTTCCGCAGCAGAACCGCAGACGCGGCAGATGCAGAGCATACGATGAAAAAGGCTACTGCATGAAGGGCGATTTGTGTCCGTACGAGCATGGCTCAGAGCGCATCATTGTGGAGAAGCTCGGCGGTCCTAATGCTGCTATGGCTCCTGGAGGAAATATGCCGGCTGGATTCCAGCCTATGAACAACCGGTTCCAGCGTGGCGGTATGCGAGGCGGGATGAGAGGCGGCAGATTCCAGCGAGCTGAGCGACCTGCTCATTTCAACTACGTGCAAGGATCGTCGCAGGACCCGACGAACCGGAAGCTTGTGGTTGAGAAAATCCCGCCGGAATATTTTAATATGGAGTCTATTCGACCAGTGTTTGAGGCGTTCGGACCGGTTGAAGACATCGAGATCAACGATGCAGTGAAGCTGGCCGTGATCACCTACGCTGACCACGACTCTGCTCAACAAGCTTGGAGCTCGCCTGTACCAGTATTTCAGAACCGATTTGTCAAAGTGTACTGGCAAAGCACCGATGATGAGACAAGGCGACGCGGCCGCGACGGTGACAGATCGCGGGGAGACCGGACCTCGAACTATCGCAAGCGATCAGCCTCGCCGCCTGCTCCGCCAATCAACGTTGAAGAAATCAAGCAACGACAGGCTGAGAAGCAGCGAGAGTACGAAGAGCGCATGAGCAAGAAGCGCGAGCATGAAGAGAAGCTGGCGATGATCAAGCGGCAGAGCGAGGAGTTGATCAAGAAACAGGAACAGGAGCGGGAAGCTCTGCTGCAGAAAATCAGGGCTGCTTCGGAGGAGAAGTCAGGATCGGCTGGTAGTGCTGCAGGTGCAGGTGGCAACGATGGAGATATGGAGGTGCAAACTCAGGAAAGCAGTACGACCGAGATGCTGAAGGCGAAGCTCGAGCAACTCAAGCGCGAGGCTGAACTGTTAGGCGTTGACCCTTCTAAAGCTTCTGACACGCAAGACTGGTATTCTGCTGGTCGCGGCCGAGGCGGTTTCCGAGGACGTGGAGCTCCGCGAGGAAGAGGCCGTGGCCGCGGTGGATTTTTTATGGCCAAAGAGCGCGCGACGCTCGATTTGCGACCAAAAATAGTTTCCGTGACTGGCCTCGACGACGCGGATGTTGATAAACTGGTCACCACTCTAGTCACGACGTTTGGCGAGGACTACGAGACCAGCAGCCGGAATCTGGACACGGGTGCGTATATGGTATCGTTCAATACCAGACAAGCTGCCGAGCGGTTTTTCTACGCGGATCCTTCTACGAACGGGCTAGGTCCCGACGCGAAGTTTGCGTGGTACAACCCGACGCCGCCGGTCGTGCCTACGATCGTGGCGCCTGCTGCGAGTGCGGCGAAGGATGAGGATATGTTGGATGATGATGATGAGGAATGGAGACGCGGGATCGCAAGAGAGGAGAATGGGAACGGGGTTGCAATGCATGAGGACGAGGATGGAGATGTATACTAGCCTAAAACGTGTCATTGTACTTTTTGATTTTGTAAACTAGTGTTTTGTTTCAGCGCAAAAATTGTTATGCACATAGACATACAACAAAACTAGTAAACAAGCAATATCAAATTACCAAGCCAACCCTCAACCGAAAAGCAAAACCAACACCATGTAACACACAAAAGAAAAAACAAATACAACTGTCATCTATCATTAACAAGTTCAATTACCAAACCCCGGTAATCCCCGAATCGCTATTCCATAATCCGTACAAACCCTTCCCGATCCCGATCCACTTCCGCCAGACAAAAAAGATAAACGAGAAAGAGTGAAAGAGCGCGGAGAACGAGAGCGCGAAAGCGACGACGATGGCGTAAAGTGTGTAGAGCAGCACGCCGCAGAACCGAAACAGGTAGGCGTCAGACGGGCTGATTGCCGCGGAGGATCCAAATTCTTCTTCGAAAACGAGCACGAATTTGTCGATTAGTGTGATGTGCGACGAAGCGGCCGATGTGGATGCGTCTGCGGCAGCGGCGGCGGCGGTGGTGGCCATTGCGGATGCCGCTGAGGCTGCGGAGTCGTCTAGCGCGCCGTCTGTGAAGAAGGAGGACACAGGCTGCTGCAGAACATAATACAGAACCATGCCGAGGACGCGGGTGAGGACGAAGGTGAAGACAAACGATATCCCTCCGATGAGCAGGTGGATATGCAGCGACGTCGCGAAGAACCCGCGGTGAGCACGGGCAGGCGCGGGTACTCCGACAGGATCCATGATTTAATAACTCAAGCAAACAGCACGCAGCTTGTTTTCCATTCCGGTCGTGCTCTCGGTCTGCAGACACGCAGCTGGAAGATCGTGGGTCAAATTCGCGAGCCTGGTCGGTGGACGATGTGAGTCCTTCCGCCGGTTTACTGACGATTTCTGCCGAGACTCCAGCCTCTCACGTGACAGACTTAGGAGTAAACCCTACGAAAACATGCATCAAAACATAACCTTGTCGACTCCTATAGTTCTTACAGTTCCGCACGCAAACACCTGAATCTGCTCAGCTATTTCAGCTGGTTCACTTAGACTACTTCATCCCACTAAACCACCTCGCGATACATTCGAGATCATGATCCAGGCATCAGACCCTGCCTCGACCTGGCGCCGCAGCAGGCACGGCGTACAAGTCTCTGAGCCGCACCATCGCTTGGGTCTGATGGTGACCCAGACCGCTTACGCTGTCTCTCGCTGTAAGTGTATTTTAAGCCAATAAAGAGAGTGGCGGTAGTAGTTGTAAAAGTAGGTAATGTAGAGAAGTCATTTACAGCATTCAAAGACACCATTATGAGAAGCCTTTGCAAACAACAAAGCAATGTACACTCTTTTCATATTAAACCCTACAATACAGATATATTACCCAAAGATAGCATGCCCGAGCCAAATTTACAGGGAATCGGTTTCACAAACGCCAACAACGAGTGTACAGAGTGCGTCTATCTATTCATCTCGTACTGATATCCTGACGAATAGAGTCGAGAATAGAAATTGCTCGCCCTGCATATCAAAAAGTGGTACATGTCGGTATCCTACATAGCTTCCGCGTTAATATAAGTCCTCCATGCATTGCAAACAAAAGAAACGTAACGTACCGTGTTGGAGATTAACCAGTCTTCCGCAAAATACCGCAAATACACTTCCGTCCGTGGAATATACCTGAAACCTCACAAATGCAAGCTCAAACAGCGGGCCAGAGACATCGACCGACATGCGCTCGTTCCAGATCGGGTTAAATCCGTTGTTCCGCACAACTCTTGTCCTCATACGCTGAACCGGGCCGTCAGCTGTAAAAAGTTCGACTTCGACTGATGGGTCAAATGCGTCATCCGGCTTGAGATCTTTTGGCCGCGGAAGCTGCTGTGCTGAGATCACGTCGAGTAAGAATTTTCGGCGGTGAAGCTTCGTGGCGGCTTCGTGATGCCCTTTTACTGTGCGCAGCATCTCTGGCTTGAGAACGTACCCCGACCGATCGCCGACCGAAAACATAGCATCGTTCATCTGCAGACCGATATCGTACGTTTGCCAGTTCAAAGCCGCCATCTGCACGCCGCGCTTCCAGCATACTATGGGTTCATAGTTTGAGCTCGTGAGTCTGAATCCCGACGGATACACCCGCATCAGATATCGCTTGTTGTGATTCTCGAGCTGGGACAGGCTCTCTTCATCTTTGCAGATCGAGTTGAACGATCGCTCACCGAATGAGAAGCAGTGCGTGAGCGTCCGCGATTCTGGAAGCGAGAAATTCCGATACTTGACTCCTCTGACATATACGCCCAGATCGCCAAGTGACTTTGCGATCTTGCTCGTGCCGCTTGACTTTGGTTTCCGACGTCGGGGAATTATCCCGTTTCCTCCCGTCGCCTCTGTTCCACTGTTGTCTTCGCTCTGACTGGTCTCTGTACTTTCGCTCGTGCCGTTCGTCGCCGTGAATGTCTCGTTACCCAGCATATCTCTATTTTCCTCATCGCTCGCTTTCACCTTGATCAAAACCTTGTGCTTAAGCTCTTCAGGACTAGGCAAGCTAAGAAGCTTGAGCGCCGCTGGTGAGGTCACCAGTTTATCTCCGAAAGTGGATTTCATGATCTCCGTCATCTTCATCTGATTCTCGGCGCTGCAGTGTATCTCCAGAGAGAGAATTAGAGGGTAAGGTGAAGATATGAATCCGAATTTGTGGATAGCTGAGATCACATCCGCAAACGAAATCTCAGACGTAAACGTTCGCCCATGGGAAATCACGGGGCCGTCAACACCGTCCCAGCAGTCTAGCTCGACGCAACGGCAGCCGCGTTGCAAGACTCGAATGTAAGCCTCGACCGAGGAATCGCCGACTACCTGACGCCCCAGAAGGTAGGTATTGTGCGACGAAGAGATGTAGTACTCGTTGAGAGGTCGTGATAGTTCTCCCTCGACGGGCTTGTGAACGGCGTTATACGACGACAGTAGGTAATCTGTAAACGAGTCGACTGTAAATCGCTGGTACTCGTCAACAAATTTGTAGTATATCTTTAGTGCAAGGGATTCGTCGATCGATTGCCTCTGGACTGTCTTTATAAAGCCCTTAAACATCTCGAGACTCAAAGTTTCGTCTTCGACCGCGACCTCTTCCCGTGGAGCAGTCACTTCCCGCACGCGCTTGAAGATCTGCACAATCTCAGCGCGGTGCTTGAGCATCTTGACGAAATTCCTAAACTCTTCGAAATCAAGAAACCCAGAACGATCGACATCGGCTTCCGTGAACTTTTGGCGTAGGTAGGTTTTCGAGCAGTTGACGTGCAGTCTGCGAGCGAGTTTTTCGACACCTTCATACGACAGCCGCTCTTCGCCTTCTTCTTTTGTGATGTAAGTAGGCCAATGGACGTGCACGAATTGCTCGCCAGGAATCGATAAACTGCTCATAACGTCTTGTCGGTATTTGAGCAATCGACGGAGTGTGCTCACGAATTGATCGAACGAGTCTTTCGAGAGCGCGATGATGTGGAGACCCTTCAGTTTCTTTTCAGTTGTATATAGAATGGTGACCCATAGGTTTTCGTGCTCGGCTGAGATTTTAAACTCCTCACGGTAATTTCTGGCGTCGTCCGCGACGCGAATTTCTTTGATTGAGTCGATCGAGATCTCGCCTTTCTTCGTCTTTGAGTCCCAAGACAGTGTACCTTTCTCGGCGTCGATCGAAAACATGTACTGGATCCGTTTCCGTCGCGTAATTCGAAGGAAAGGCACGCCGTTCGCAAGACTGCTCGGCACCTCTGGAGGCGCGTCGCTCGGCTGATCGTCGTCATCAGGCGGCTGCGCGGACGAAGACGACGACCGCCGAGTGACTGGTCCGGTGGAGGCTGTCGATGACTTGCGCCGGCTTTGGAATTTTTCCATCGCGCCGCGACTTAGTCTGCGCATGATCGAGGGCGAGCCAGGCGATCGGAGGCTTGATACTGAGGGCGTGGGCCGGGGCTCGTCCATCGTCTCCTCATAGAGAGCTCTGCCGGGTATTTGGTGGTCTGTTGAAGTGTGCGGGGATGGGGATCTAAGAGGTTGGGTCTCGAACATTTGGCAGTGGAATAACGAGATGACGTACGCGATGACCAACGGGGGGTGTCAGCGACAACAAGCCTCTTACGTCACCTTAAAGAGCACCAGAATCATCAAGCCGTGGTTCTTTCACGATATCTACACAGCTGACTTATTTACGCTGTTTCTTTCATCGTATTATTCAGTCAGATTTATTGAATAACCCTGCTGGTTATAGAGCCTGTAGTGGCGGTAGCCTACGTCGATATTAACTAGAAGGGTAAACTCTTATAAATTGCCTCTAATCTACAAATAGTCCTTCTTATTCGCGGTCCGGACAAAGCCCCGGTATCTCCATTCCACGTCCGCATCCTTGCTGTCAATCGTACCGAGGCGCAGTTCATACAACCTCATCTCGAACCGGGGACCAACCTCGGCCAGCTCGACGCCGTCCTTCGTCCGCACGTAAACATGGTGTCTGACGGAAATAAAATCGCCGCGGTTGGCAAAAGTGATGACGCGCGAACTATCCTTCTTGGCTCCGGGTGGAAACAAGTGCTTGAGAACCTGCACGACTCGCTGGCCGAGCGGGGATGTGAAGTTGTCAAAGATCAGATGGGGGTAGCTTTCTGACACGGAGCCGGCGTTTTCGAGGTCGTGTCGCAGGACGACGTTGTGAAGAGAGAAAGAAGCTGTCGGGCCGTGGGGGAAATGAGTGACCGTCAATGCTGTTGGTACACCACGGTGCTCATGGAGAAGCACTAGGTCTGTGGTAGCTGATGTCTGACAGAGCTTGACTAGCGAGGGGAGGACGGAGTTACCGCGATTCAGTCGAACGGATGTGGGAAACATCAGCCGTATTTCCTGTAGATCTCCATTAGTAAAAGCCACGCAAAAACCTCATGCTAAAAAGGCAGCTCACCTTTGCAAACTGTGATAATCTGGTGCTGGGATCTCTACTCGTGGTAACAACAACCTGCGGATCCTGGATCCCACTCAGGGCGCTATACTCGTCGTCAATCTCCTCTTTCATGCTCTCGTCATATTTAAAATCCGTCCGCAGCTCCTCATCTTCAGCAATCTCTTTCGGCAACGGCTTTCCCGAAGCAAGTGCAGCTCGTAGCTGCTGACGCTTGACGACGATGTTTGCCTCCTTCAGAGCTAGGGATTTCTTGTAGAGGTACTCCCTCCGTTCGCGGGCTTGTCTGCGCAGCTAGAGAAAAGTCAGTCAGTTGTTACAATATTGATAAGTACGATACAGGACTAGAGGATATCTACCATTGTCACAGTCTGTGTATAGAATAGTAATATTAAGAAGAACAACAGCTATCTGAGATTTTTTCAGGATTGGCTTCGTCAGTTTGGGAGTTTAGCGATCGAAGCCTCGAAAAAACTTTTAGAGTTTGAAGATGGGATAGGCAGCTGAGTAATCAGCGTTTGCGGTGTTAACTGCGCAGGTTCCATGGCTTTGGGTGTTAGACAGGGTTTGGGGCTCGTGGGTTCGGCAACATCGCTTGATTCCAAAGCATCTTCTGTCATCGCACTGCTCTACCTGACAGATCTGTATTAGTTTGATTGTGTGGTATACCCGGGATTGTTACAGCGGTGTTGTGTCATAGCTAGTTTGAAGCCGATATATTTGCGTGATCCGGACAATTAGCTGAAAAAAGGGGTGGGACTACACACAACGTACGAAAAGAGAGAAAAAAATGGACGCGTTCGCACATCTCGGTCAACAATTCAGTGCGCTGTCGACCGCAGACAGTGCTTCAGTGATATCGGATGTGGCGCCATATCGGGGAGGTTTGGCCGACGCGCCGATCAGCCGGCGACGTCGGAGAAGAGACGAAGAATCGTCGGTCGGTGGAAGATCGGACGACGAGGATGATTATGACGATGATCAGTCGACCGTCGACGGTACGCTGAGTCTGGCTTCTGTTCCGGTCGGTGGTCCTGGCCGGTTGCGTCGGGGCGCGGATGATTATGACGAGGAGGACGAGGAAGAAGAGGAGGAAATATTGCCAGATTATGCCTGCGCGTATGTCAACTATGCTTAATTGCGTTTGTGATGAGAATACTGCTGACTAGATTCTTTTTACTGTTCAGATACTGCGGGATTCACTCTCCTCCCACTGTAGTTCAATGCACGCAATGCCAAAAGTGGTTTTGCAATTCAAGGGGAAACACATCGAGCTCACATATAGTGAATCATTTAGTGCGCGCGCGTCACAAAGTATGCCCTCTCCCCTCTCTCGTCGAAGTAGGACTCGCTAACAAAAAATGAAAAAAAAAATAGGAAGTAAGACTGCATGCCGACTCAGATCTAGGTGCTACGACTCTTGAGTGCTATCATTGCGGCTGCAAAAATGTCTTTCTGCTGGGTTTCATTCCGGCAAAATCGGATACCATTGTCGTGATTCTGTGTCGTCAGCCTTGTGCATCTGCGACTTCGAGCAAGGATATGTCATGGGACACGAGTCAGTGGCAGCCGTTGATTGAGGATCGTTCATTTTTGAGCTGGTTGATCGCCGTGCCTACAGAAGCAGAGATGGTGAAAGCGCGACAGCCGACTATCGCCCAGATCGCAAAGCTGGAGGATTTATGGAAAAGCGACGCAAAGGCAACGATCAATGATCTCGACAAGACAGTGCCGGACGACGATCCGGAGCCCGTTCTGCTGCGATATGAGGATGCGTACGAGTATCAACGGTGCTTTGGTCCGCTCGTGAAGATCGAGGCTGACTACGACCGCAAGTTGAAGGAGTCGCAAAGTCAAGAGCATTTGAGCGTACGCTGGGATATTGGTTTGAACAACAAGCATCTCGTATCGTTTATCTTGCCGAATATGGACAGCGGAGATGTGAAGGTCGCGGTTGGTGATGAGATGAGACTTCGATATATTGGCGACTTGCGGCCAAAATGGGAAGGAGTTGGGTATGTGATCAAGGTGGCCAACAGCATATCAGAAGAGGTGACGCTTGAGCTGAAGCGAAATGACAAGTCGGTGCCAAGTGATATCAGCAATAACTTTAGCGTGGATTATGTGTGGAAAGCGACGTCTTTTGATCGGATGCAGCTTGCTCTCAAGACTTTTGCTATCAATGAGATGTCAGTATCTGGGTACATCTATCATAAACTGCTTGGACACGAGGTCGCGCCGGTGATTTTAAAGACCGCAATGCCACGGCAATTCGCGGCGCCGAATCTTCCGGACCTGAACCAGTCTCAGGTTGATGCGGTAAAGTCGGTGTTGCAGAAGCACATCTCGCTGATTCAGGGACCTCCGGGAACGGGAAAGACAGTGACGTCTGCAACTATTGTTTACCACTTGGCAAAGATGAATTCAGGGCAGGTGTTGGTGTGTGCGCCGTCTAACGTTGCGGTGGATCAGTTGACGGAGAAGATCCATCGGACGGGTCTGAAGGTTGTGCGTCTGACGGCGAAGAGCAGAGAGGATCTCGAGAGCTCGGTTTCGTTTCTGTCATTGCACGAGCAGGTGCGGTTGAATGACACAAATATCGAGCTGCAGAAGCTTTCGCAGCTCAAGCACGAACTAGGCGAGCTGTCGAGCTCGGATGAGAAGAAGTTCAAGAAGCTGACTCGGCTAGCGGAGCGCGAGATCCTTGCTAATGCGGATGTGATCTGCTGCACATGTGTTGGAGCGGGAGATCCTCGAGTGTCGAGGCTCAAGTTCAGGACGGTGCTGATTGACGAGAGCACGCAGGCAGCGGAGCCCGAGTGCATGATTCCGCTGGTGATGGGATGCAAGCAGGCGGTTCTAGTGGGTGACCACAAGCAGCTGGGACCGGTGATTATGAACAAGAAGGCTGCGCGGGCGGGACTGCATCAGTCTTTGTTTGAGCGGTTAGTGCTGCTTGGACTGGCGCCTATTCGTCTGAATATCCAGTACCGTATGCATCCGTGCTTGAGTGAGTTCCCGAGCAATATGTTTTACGAAGGATGTCTTCAAAACGGAGTGACTACGCATGAGCGCATCCGGAGAGAAGTTGATTTCCCGTGGCCGGTTGCGGAGACGCCGATGATGTTTTGGTCTAATCTCGGGCTGGAGGAGATCTCCGCGAGCGGGACTAGTTACCTGAACCGGACCGAGGCATCGAATGTGGAGAAGCTCGTGACGCGGTTCTTCAAGGCGGGAATTACGCCGAGTCAGATTGGTATCATCACGCCGTATGAAGGACAGAGGTCGTACATCGTGTCGTCGATGCAGACGAACGGATCGCTGCGGAAGGAGCTGTATAAGGAGGTTGAGGTTGCGTCGGTGGATGCGTTCCAGGGACGTGAGAAGGATTACATCATTCTGTCATGCGTGCGATCGAACGAGCACCAAGGAATCGGATTCCTGAGCGACCCGCGGCGTCTGAACGTAGCGTTGACGCGAGCAAAGTACGGACTGGTGGTGATTGGAAATCCAAAGGTGTTGTCGAAGCAGCCGATGTGGCATCATCTGCTGACGCACTACAAGGAGAAGGCCACGCTTGTGGAGGGTCCGCTGAGCAACTTGCAGCAGAGCATGATTCAGTTCTCGAACCCACGTATGTCGGGAGGCTACCGTGGTGGAAGCTCAGGGCCGTCATACATGGCGCAGCAGCGACAGCCGCAGGGATCGTCGTCGCGGTATAATGTGCCTCATCGAGGAGGAGCAGGCGCGCGACCACATATGGACTACGAGACTGGCAGCGTGCTCGGATATATTCCTGATGATTTAGCGTCGCTGAATAGCATGGCGACAAACAACTATCAGTCTATCTTTGCTAACGGATTCAATGTGATGAATCACTGGGGCGGCGGAATAGGCGCGGGCGATGCGGTCGGAGGTCCAGTGGGAGCGATGCATGGCGGGCGCGGCGGCCCATCGCAGCACGCGGCTGCCGCTGCATCTGCTGCGGGCGTGGGAGCCGGTGGGCCTGGAAAGTATGGAGCGATAGGGGGTGCGAATACGGGGATGGGAAAGTCGATCGGGCTGAGCCAGAGCGACCGGCTGAAGCAGTACGTAGAGGAGGAGAACGGGTCGGTGTATGGTGGGCTGGGGTCGGTGTACAGCGGAGTTGACGACGACGCGAGGAGTGTGAGCACTGCGTTTGCGAGTCAGATTGGCGCGGGCTACGACTGATTGCTGTTATATATATATTTGATATAAGATAGGGCAGATGTACAATAGAGCGATGTACAATCAAATTGCGGTAGAATTGTTGTAGGGCGCGGATTTGTGTAGGGTGTGAATAGAGTTTTTTTTGGTGCGGGAGAGCGTGGTTGTGCTACGTCGCACGAACGACCAAGAACAGAGTCCGACCTCGACGCCAACAAACCGCAGAACCCACCGCGATCCACGATGCCGCCGCCTTCACCTTCGTTCCCGCTCTCGCCGCCGCTGTCGCCCGCGTTCTCGCCCTCTGCCTCGCCTCCGCCCTCGTCCTCCGCCTCCTCCTCACCGTCGTCATCATCGACGTCGCTCGCTATCAAGCCCAGGTCGCCGCAGATCCAACGCGAGATCACAATGCAAAAGCAGCAGCAGAAGACGCAGAAGCAGCAGCAGAAGCGTGCTCGGAAGATGTCGCTTGCCGGGCGGGTTAGTGACATGCTCGTCTCGCTGCTCGTGCCGCTGGGTGCTAGGCAGTCGCTCATGCACACGTCGCTCGTCCAGCTCGCGGTCTTCCACTTCTACCACACAATCCTCATCTTCCTGCACATTCTCGTCGCGGTCGCGACGCTGGCCGTGCGCCAGTATTACACGCTCAAAAACAACTTCATGGCATTCCTCTACCATCACCACCGCACGCCGCAGCTGATTGCCCAGGACGTGCAGGGCCTCGCAAAGACGCCTCGCACGGTCGCCGTCGTGCTGACCTACCGAGAGTCAGAGGAAGGCGGCGGGATCGACGGTCTGCTAGAGCAAGTCGCCGACGTTGCCTCCTGGTCTATCGGCGCGGGCGTCAAGCATCTCTCGGTCTACGAACGGACCGGCCAGCTGCTGGATCTCCACGAGACCGCGCTGGCGGTCATCGAGCGCACGCTTGTTACTTACTATGGCGACTCGCGGTTGCCCACCGTGCGTCTCTACACGCCGCGCACGAAGACGTACTTTCCGGCAGAGGAGCCCGATAAGGTCGACCTTGACATTTCGTTTGTCGCGAAGGACGACGGTCGCGGGTTCCTTGTCGAGCTTACGCGGGAGTACGCTGAGTCGGCGGCGAGAGGGGATATGGATCCAGAGGAGATCACCGTCGATCTTGTCGACAGGACTGTAGTTGGTACGTTGTCTTTTGTAATTGTGAATTGGGTCATTTAGAGATTGAGTGAGCTAATTGTGTTCTCTAATCTAGAGCGCGTGATTCCTGAACCGGATCTGGTGGTTATCTTTGGCCCGAAGCTTGTCTTGGACGGATTCCCGCCATGGCAAGTGCGTCTTTCAGAGATCTAGTGAGTTCCGTCCGCTTATGTTATCTATCAGTTAATGCTGTGTTACAATCAAATACTAACGTGCGTCTCAACAGCTATGCGAGATACAACAACTCGGTAACGTACAACGTCTTCCTTCGCGGCATCAGACGGTACGCGAACTGCAAGATCAATGTTGGAAGATAGACCTTTACGAGATCAAAATCACTAGAGGGATGGTTAGACGACATGTGCTGGGGGGATATTTGACATGACGATTTTATATAGCTTGTTGCGGAGTTTTGCTGGTTCTATGTTAGTATATTTGCTGTTACTTTTATGCGAGAGAGAGAGAGAGAAGGAGAAAAGAGTTGCTTGGTTAGATGGGGGAGGGTTAGAAGGGAGTGAACGGGAGGAGAGGATATGTTCAGATTGCATTGTATCAATTTAGCTATTTACATTGAACTTGTAGGTTGTGTATGTCGTGGACGTAGCTGTGTGTAAAAAGAGGAATTGCGATAGAATAGAGAAAATGATGATTGATATTCAATTGCGTGAAGTTCAAGCTTTAATGGGATTGTTGGGATATTTTGCTGTTGGTTCTAATATGGTTACCTTAAACAGCTTAGGCGGTCCGCTTACAAAGTTGTGGAGAAGTATTAAGGGCGCAAAATAGGCTACCGTCGCTACTCCACACCACCTCTAAATACTCAAAAGTCATACTGTTCTATCGTTCGCAGCCATCTTCTACCGTTTACAATTTTGAGATTAACTTGCTACACTATGGTTCATAGACACAAAAATCTGATAGATGGCTCGTGATATCGCGTACTGCAAAGACTGTGAAAGGATGATGAAGACATGAGCCAGCAGATAACCAAGGCACGAGCGTTACTGCTCTTATGTCCTGTCAGTGTGGCTAGATTTGATATCAATGATATTTTAATGAAGACACGCACATTTAGTTGAGGATGATGATAGTCAGAATTGTCAGACCTGTCTTCGCTGTGATGTCGAAGAGGTGAAATGCCAAGCACCTTGCTGCCAATGTGTTATTATGCCTACGATAAACCCGACTGGAATCTTGCACCATCGGCAAAAATACCGATTTTATCTACAATCATACGCTGAATATCAATGTGAGCGCGGTTTATGATAATCGGTCGCTGCGGACTCTGAACCCTGCTAAAACGACGACGTCGACTTCTATTCAAAGGCTTACTTGGCCACGCAAATTATCGAATAACTGCGGCAGACTGTGTGTTGCAATAATCTTGGGACAGATATCTTGATTTTTCTTTTACTCTGTCGACGAGATGGCGCAAATCTTTGAGGATGAGGCAGGTTTATAACCTGATCATATCCCCGCGAATCAGGCTAAACGAGGTAACGTTGACAGTTCCGGCGGAACAAAAAACTAGTCTGAAGAACTATCATGCCTGCAAAATCTGAACGTGGTCTCAAACCGGTAGCGGGGCAATAGTCAATACTCCTCAATTTCGGCTACCGTGGTCGAATCATTCGGCAGAAGGGCATGCTATTACGGCCGGCGGAACATAAAACTAGTCTGGAAAACCATCATGCCTGCAAAATCTGAACATGGTCTCAAACCGGTAGCGGGGCTATAGTCAATCCTCCTCAATTTCGGCTACCGGGTTGAATCATTCGGCAGAGGGGCATGTTATTACGGCTGAAGGCATAGCTGTATCTGCGCCTAAAAGGCATTCAAACGGCCGGCCTGAATTTGCTTCCGGTGTATATACTGGATTCGCATATTCATACCATCAAAGGCTGCCAGATCCGGACATCGGATGTCGGAACCGCGGATACCGAGGTCCGGCGTGGAGAATAAGAAAGCGTTGAGGGTGGGCTTGGCGCGTATGAGCTAGTTGATGTTGACGTCGGAGCACGCGCGATGAGTCGGAAGCGCACGCCGTGACAGCGGATTACCCCGCTATCTTGAAGCAGCTACTGCTCCGATATTGAAGTCTGCTGTTTACTGTTTTGGCAATGCCTCTATCAGTGTCCACGGCAAGTAGCACAAGTACTAACTTTGGAGCTACTAGTTGGGAGCTCTTTACTGACGGGTTATTTGCACTCACTGGTATGATGGCGGGCGTTTATGCTCAGCTGGACTTGTGGAATAAGCCTGCTTTCCCTGGATCAATAAGTCATCATCCCTGCGTCCCTACAAACTGTCCGCGGTGCAATAACTTTCTCTTTCTTTAGAGCCCGCATCAAAGAGGATACAGCAGAAAGGGTATACTGCAGTTATCCAACGCATGGCAAAGATGAGTGGGCAGCGTGCAAAATCCAGTAACAAGTCCTGCTGCCGTCCACCAGAGTTAGTACTCGGCTGCACCAGCTTGTTTAATGTTTTATGTTTTCAGGCTATTTTGTTTTTAGGCATCAGACTGCCCAGGATACAAACGTCAGGCTATTTGATGTGAAATATTGCCGGTGCGGTCGATAAGTCACGCGGGAGTTAAGTCGGAGGAGTATCGGTCATGAGGGAGTGTGCTGGAAGTATGAGCTAAAAATGCAGCCTCCGCGTTTGAGAGTAGCCATTCCTGGAGATTACTATCAAGCAATATCCATTCTGTCAGTATACAGATACCCTTCACCATATCATTATAGAAGATCATTATGATCAACCGCGAAAAGAGCAGGGGATTCGGGGGTACTCTCACATACCAGCAACACTAGCGCTGACCCGATGACGAGCTTTGTCCCCGCAAAACCGGGGCCCCGGCCTTTCCTTGTTTTGCCCCACAAACGAACTGTGACGCTTTGTTCCTGGGTTGTGTTTCTAGCTTGTGGAGTGCGCTCCGAGTGCGCCCCGGTGCTGTATTGCTTCACCATAGCTTTTGTACTAGCAAACACTTTCTATACTAGTATTTTCTCTTTTAAAGATACTCTGAACAACAAATTAAACCACATATTTGACGCTACAATAGAGAACAGCAGAACAGCAGACATCAGGTGGCCAGACTGCCGTCCGGGGATACTTCCCTCTACGGCCTAGGGCTGCGCGTAATTTTATGTTTAATAGAAACCTGCACACCACCATCCCTCCCCACCGCCGCAGAGACGATCAAACCCGCTCCACGCGCACCCCGCCGATCCAGACCGCCGCCACGAAGCCGCTATGGCCGCAAGGTGGGGTAGCGCTGCCTGTCGGGCGCTGCTGTGTCGGATAAACAAAACGCATTGTGCCCCGCGCGCGTCGGCTGATCTGGATGCTGCACAGCGCGGAGGTGCTTCCCAAACTATATATATCTGCGGGCTCATCACCGCGGTGTTGAACGGCCCCTTGTACTGATTTTGCTACTGTGCTGGGCTGATAATGACTGATTTTGCTGATTTGAAGAACGAGGCGGCGGGAATCGAGCACCGGGACGTGACGCTCGAGGATGTGCTTCCTAAGGATGCTCCCCCATGGTATCGCGATAGTCGATTACTGCTTCTGAATTTCCTTCTCCTTGTCCCCATGTTCTCGTCCACTGGAATTGGATACGACGGCTCCATGATCAACGGCCTGCAGGCGCAGTCGCAGTGGCAAGACTTCTTCAACCACCCGACCGGCTACACCCTCGGCCACATCTCCTGCGGTCCCACGTACGGCATGTTTGTCGGCGTCGTTCCCGCAGGCTACATTGCCGACAAATGGGGCCGCAAGGCCGGCATCACTACGGGCGCGACGACGATGATTATCGCCTCTGCGATCCAGGCCGCGGCGCAAAACTACGGCATGTTTCTCGCGGCGCGGATTATTATCGGCGCGGGGGCAGTTATCGCGATCGTGCCTTCGCCGTCGCTGTTGTCTGAGCTCTCGTTTCCCACGCACAGAGCGGTCATGACGACTGCGTACAACGTTCTATGGTACGGCGGTGCGATTTTAGCAGCGTGGATCACCTACGGCACGTACTGGATGGGCGAGAGCAACACCTGGTCGTGGCGCATTCCTTCGCTCCTGCAAGCTTTCTTCCCGCTCTGTCAGCTCGCGATGGTCTACTGGCTTCCAGAGTCTCCCCGGTTCCTGATTTTCAACGACCGGATCGACGAAGCTCGCGCGATCCTGACGTACTACCACGCAAACGGGAACGAGAACAGCGCGCTGGTCGACTTTGAGCTGAGTGAGATCATCGCGGCGCTCGAGATGGAGAAGCAGCACAAGGACGTGAGCTTCAAGGTGCTGTTTGCAAAGGAGAATCGGCGACGGGCGTTTATTGCGATGATGGTGCCGTTCATGCAGCAGATGTCTGGAAACGGACTGGTGTCGTACTACCTGTCTTTGATTCTCAACTCGATCGGCATCACTACCTCGTCGGAGCAGCTTGTTATTAACGGCGGCCTTTGCATTTACAACTTGGGATGTGCTACGATCTTGATTGGTCTTGTACCTCGTTTTGGGCGACGGTTTATGTTTCTGAGCTGTCTAGGGTCTATGCTCGTCATCTTTGTGATCTGGACGATTCTCTCGGCCATCAACCAGCAGCGCAATTTCGAGCAAAAGAGTCTAGGTCAAGGTGTGCTAGCGATGATCTTCCTGTACGATTTGGCGTACAATATCGGACTGATGGGCCTGCCTTATCTCTACCTGACCGAAGTATTGCCATACTACATCCGTTCGCACGGCATGTCTCTCGGCCAGTTCACGACAGCTTCGGTGGGCGTGTACCAAGCCTACGTGAATCCGATCGCGATGGACGCCATCAGCTGGAAGTACTACATCGTTTACTGCTGCATTATTGCCGGCGAGTTTGCAGTCGTCTTTTTCTTCTTTCCGGAAACGAAGGGTGCGACGCTGGAGGAGTCGACGGAGGTCTTTGATAAGGCGGTGCGGGGATCGGGGGCGCCGAGTCGTGATCCTATGGACGAGTTGGAGAAGGCTGGGGGAGTTGGGAAGGAGTAGTTGTGTTTGCGTTGTTTAGTAGTTTAGTAATATGATCTGTTTTAGCTGTACTCTAGTAATCCTACTTTCAAGAATGATCTTTCTTTCTATTCTGCCTATATGTCCCGTCCTGCCTATGTAATCGTCGGCAATCAACGATTTAGCATAATTCCTACCTGCTCATCAACTCTGCCCGGAAGCACACGAGCGCGAACAAAAAAGGTACATGCAAACAAAAAAGGTACATGCAAACAAGAAAGGTACAGTGCGGCAACAGGGTTCGGCAAGCGGGCGGGCGCAGGGCACAGGACAAGTTGGCGGGACAGGCTATTTCGAGGAAATTACCTATTCGGGAAGGTACCCCGGACTCGGAGTGCGGAGGGAGCCCCTGCGCTCGATCAGATTGCGATTGCTCGTCCGGAGGCTGCTTCGGTCTCGGACAGGTTCATGACGGTGATTGACTGCGCTGGCTGATCTGTATAAATATTGCGAGTCTGTCTGTCTGCTCGATATCAATCATCAATCACCAACCTCCTCTCTCTCTCGCACCTACACCATGGAAACCGCGCAAACATTCGCCGAGTCGGCAAACGGTCTCATCAAGCTCGATCCCACCCGCGTGATCGGCACCATCGACGACAAGGTCTACTCCGGCTTTCTCGAGCACATGGGCCGCTGCATCTACGGCGGCATCGTCGACTTTGACTGCACCGTGCCCGGTCTGACGAACGAGAAGGGATACCGGCTCGACGTGGGCAAGGCGCTCAAGGATCTCGATATGCCGGTCGTGCGCTACCCCGGCGGCAACTTTGTGAGCTCGTATCACTGGCTGGATGCGGTCGGACCGAAGGAGAACCGGCCCCGACGTCCTGAGCTGGCGTGGCTCGGTGAGGAGTCCAACCAGTTTGGCACGGATGAGTTCATGGAGTGGTGCGAGTACATGGGCACGGAGCCCTACCTCTGTCTCAACATGGGCACCGGCACGCTGGACGAGGCGCTCGCGTGGGTCGAGTACTGCAACTCGGACAAAAACACATACTACGCCAACCTGCGCCGCAAGAACGGCCACGAGAAGCCGTACAATGTCAAGTACTGGAGTCTGGGCAACGAGGTCTGGGGACCGTGGCAGGTCGGCCAGATGACGGCGGAGGACTACAGCAAGAAGGCGTTCCAGTGGGCGAAGGCGCTCAAGCTGCTTGATCCCGACATCAAGCTTGTTGCGTGCGGCAAGGACGGACTCGACACTTGGGATTTCACGGTGACGCAGGCGCTCATCACGCAGATTGATTACTACTCGATCCATCTGTACACTTCGCACGAGGAATACTACAAGAACGTGACCTGCGTGGCTGCGGCCGAGCGCGCGATCCAGATCACCTCGCGCTTGTTGGATCTGGCGACAATCACGCAGAAGGCATACGACAAGCACGTCAAGATCTGCTTCGACGAGTGGAACGTCTGGGATCCGATGCGCGCGCCCGGCCATCTCGGCGCGGAGGAGAAGTACACTCTCTCGGACGCGATCGCGGTTGCTTCGTGGGGTAACTTGTTTGTCCGCCAGGCTCCGACGGTGGGGATGGCGAACATTGCGCAGTGTGTGAATGTGATTGCGCCGGTGATGACTACGCCGACGGATATGCTGCTGCAGACGATTTACTACCCGTTCCTGCTGTTTACAAAGTACATGCGCGGCCAGAGCCTGAACTTGCATGTCGAGGGCCCGACGTACAAGGGCGAGACCGGCGCGTTCTTTGGCGACTACATGAAGTGGATCAAGACGACCGAGCCGGCGATCATGCTGCTCGACGTGTCTGCTGCGAAGAAGGACGGGATCGTGAGTATTGCGGTCGTCAATCGCTCGCTGGAGGAGGACGTGGTGACTGCGTTTGAGCTGGAGGGAGAGTACAAGGAGGACGTGGTCACGTACAGCGTGTACAACGACGACATTGCTGCGGTGAACACGTATGAGAAGAAGGATGTTGTTGGGATCGAGGAGAAGACGGTTAAGTTGAGCGAGTTGAAGTCGTTCACGGTGAAGAAGCACTCGTTTGTCATGCTGCGCATCACGCAGGCATAACCGATTAGAGAAGATTGCATATAAATAGATTGTGCAAGTATATGAGCTGTGAAGACTGTACGTAGATGCACGCGGTGGCTGGGACCCTGCATTGTATGCGCTAATTGTTTAGTGCATGGGCGAAGAGGAGTCCATTCCTGCCAAGAAGTCGTGCATTAAAGGAGAAAACAGAAGATGATTAACAAAAACAAACTAAATAAAAGAGATTTGTTCAATTGTTTCATGTAAATGTGTAAAATACCAATATTTACTGCTTCAACTTATTGAAGGAACTCAAGTGATGTTCGAGACGTGTTTTAGAGTTTGACAGTGATTCTGAAGACGTGCGCAGATGGAAAAACTGGATATTCCATCAACGAGAGTTGAGCATCCGCTCTGTGGAATAAAACGCCAACAGCACACTCAATCTGTTTTATCAATACATCAGATATCACGGATCTGATCAATAGTTGACGCCGAAAGTCAATAAACAGTTTGAAGAAATAAGAGAGCAAGATCATGTCTGACGAGCTGCCATTGTCGGTCGAGGGCCTCAACGCTGCTGACCAGCAGGAGATTGTGAAGTTTGTGAACGCGGAGCAGGCGCGGGCGAAGATGAACTCATGTGAGTGCTTTTTACGACGAAGAAGATGAAGCTGAAGAAGCCAAGGAGCTGCAGTTGCGAAAAGGAGGAAGAAGAAGCTGACGGGGGTTTACAGCTGTGCAAGAGTTTACAGAGATGTGCTTCAGCAAGTGCGTGAAGAGCGCACCGACGTCGGATTCGTTGACTGCTGCGGAATCTACGTGTGAGTGATGTGTTCTTTGTCTAATGATTCTGTCTGTTGAGAATGGAGTGGAGGGCTGACTGGTGTTTGTCTAGGCTTGGTATGAATGCTGCTGCTGCCGCGAAGGCATAACGGCCTAGACCAGACAGCTTCTTTAGCTGAAGAGTGAAGAGAAGAAGCTAACGAGTAAACACAGGCCAACTGCGCGAACCGGTTCGTGGACACAAATATCTACATCTTCAGCATGTGAGTTGCTTCCTGCATTCTGCTCCAAACAAATGCCTCTTTTAGCTGCCGTTTCTGTTTTAGTAGAAAGAGAAAAGGTTCCGGGAGGAGGCTGGTTTGTGGCAAAACCGCCCTTTTTGGCGCTTTGCTCTCAGGCACAACTGACGCGTTCTGAAACTAGGCTGTCGGGCAAGAAGTAGCGGTGATGATAATCAACAGAGCAAATACTTCTTCAACAACAAATACCTATTCTTTCTATAAATCCTTCTGTAATATCAACATGCTGTGTATTTGTAAATGATGACATCATCTACGCCGCACGTGGCTGGTGGAGGGGGTGGCATCGCTGACGCGTTCTTCGCCAAGCGGCGGCCGAGCCATTTTTCAGTTTCTCCTTTGCTTCGCCTTCTTTTGCTTATATCTGCTTCTTCTTCTCTTCTTCCTTCTTCTCTTTCTTTCTTTATCTTGTTGTTGTTGTTGTTTCTGTTCTTCTTCTTCTTCTTCTTCTCCTCCTCATCATCAGCATCATCACCCACCATGAAGCTCGCCCTCCTCCTCCTTGCTGCCTCCGCGGCCGCCTCCGCCCTCCCCGTCTCCTCCTCCTCCTCCTCCTCCTCCGCCCTTCCCGTCCTCCACATGCCCCTGCGCTCCCGCGGTTCCCCCGCCGAGCGTCTGCGCAAACAGCTCCTCCGCCGCCGTGCTCTGCGCGCCCGCGACGACACCGTCCAAATCTCGCTCGACAACTCGGTCGACCAGGGCACATACCTCACCACCGTCTCGCTCGGAACGCCGGCTCAAAACATAACCGTGCTCGTCGACACCGGCTCCTCGGACCTGTGGGTCCAGTCCTCCTCCAGCTCGGACTGCTCGACCGTGTCCAACTACTGCACTACCTACGGCACCTACTCCGAGAGCGACTCGTCGACTGCCTCGGCCCTCTCGGACTCGGACGACGACACATTCTCAATCACCTACGCCGACTCGTCCTCCGCCAGCGGCGTCTACCTGACCGACACCATCACCGTCGGCAGCTCCTCCGTCTCTGACTTTACCTTTGCCGTCGCCTCAAACACATCCTCCGACCTCGGCGTGCTCGGCATCGGCTTCACCACCAACGAGGCCGCGGCCGAGACGTACGAGAACCTGCCGGCGCGCCTCGCTTCGGATGGTGTTATCCAGAGCAACGCCTACTCGCTCTGGCTCAACAGTCTCGAGTCCGACGAAGGAAATCTGCTGTTTGGCGGCATCGACACGGCAAAGTTCTCCGGCGAGCTGCAGACGATTGACATCACGGCCTCGCACGGGTCGACGTATACGTCGTTCCTGGTGACGATCACCGATATCGCGTACAACACCTCCGCGGGCGTGAACTCGACGCTCTCGGAGGACTCGATCTCGGTCGTGCTCGACTCCGGCACGACCTACGCGGTCCTGCCCAAGACCGTGATCGAGTCTATTGTGTCGGCCATCGGCTCCGGCACGTACGACGACGACTACGGGCTCTACACGATCGACTGCACGTACCAAGACTCGAGCGACGCCGTCGTGCTGACGTTCAACGACGGCGGCGCCACACTCTCGGTCCCGCTCAGCGAACTCGTCGTGCCGCTCGAGTACAGCTCCGAGGGCTCGACGCTCTGCGCGGTCGGCATCCAGTCCTACACCGACGACGACTCGACCTCGGAGGGCATCTCGACCACGACCTACATCCTCGGCGACGCCTTCTTGCGCGCAGGCTACATCGTCTACGACCTCACCAATAAGCAGATCAGCATCGCCCAGGCGGTCTTCGACACCACCGAGTCCAGTATCGTCGCAATTAACTCCACCGGCCTCTCGACCTCGTCCTCGCTCGCGGGCACGGGCGTCTCGTCCTCGTCCTCATCGTCGGACTCGTCCTCGTCCTCGTCCTCGTCCTCGTCTGCGGCCGCGAGCAGTAGACTTTCCGGTAGCACTGGTGCGCTCGTCGCCGCGGCGGCTGTCTTTGCATGCATGTTAATTTTGTGATTTAGCGTTGTGTTGTGTATATTTTTTCGGGTCATTTTCATCTGTCTGTTTTGCTATCTATGCTATTTATGCTATTTAAGTGGTCGGGTCATTTTCATCTAAGTGATGCATATCATATGTTTCTAGAATTGCGACAATATGACGCTTTATCGTACTAGTTTTTGTTTATTTCTGTCGGTGTTTGTTATTTGAGGAGTGAAGTTTTTGTTTGTTTGTAGTTTAGTTAGCTATTAGAATCTGTATTATAAATCGAGAGTTTGTTTGTGCATTGTGAGTTGCTTGTCGTGTCATACACACTACTCTGTGACAATATATGGTGATGATTAAAATGCCATTAATTATTCATATCATATCTATATCCTCATGTACCGCAAGAAACACAAATCTGTTCTAAATCTACTTTAAATACCTTCGTATGCGCGGATACCGCGCGACGTACATCAGCGCGATGCCCATCGCAATCAATCCGCACGCGATAAACACGACAGCCCGATTCCTCCCCTCGTCGGGATAGAACAAGTCCGCGCTCGGCATGCGCTGCAATCTGCCGACCGCAGTAGCAGCAGCAGCGACAGCAAGAGGTGTCTCGACGGGGGAGGGCGACGAGCGCTTAGGTGGGAGGTAGGGAGTCTCGGGCAGGCCTGTGATGTCGGAGTTTGAATCTAGACCGTGTTCGTCTATTATTTGGATTTGGGCGTCGTCGGGGGCGGAGGAGGTGGTGTTTGATGAGGCGAGGCGGGCGACTGAGACGCGGACGTTGGTTTGGTCTGAGGTTGTTAGTATATCGAGAGTATATCGAGAGTATATCGAGAGAAGGGGAGAGGTGGTTACCGTAGAATAGGTATGCACTTCGAAGGAAGGAATCTCCTAGTGTGAACTCTTGGTTTTCGCCTTCCAATTGCCGTCCTACACCTACGTCAGTCAAAAGAAAGAAAACAACAGCAGACAACAAGATAACCCACCTCTGATCGGCCTAGGCGCTGTGTAAGCCATGGCACACATCGGTCTGCCGTCGTCGTAGATACCGACCTGGGACACGAGCTGGGATGCCATAACCGGGATCTTCACGTCGTCCCAAAACTCAACTTCAACAATGGTATCCTCATAATTCGCCTCACAGGGCACGTAAAACATCGCCGAGCGCCGCCTCGTAGCGGTAGTTCAACGGTCCACCCGTGACTGCCTCGGCGATGCGAGCGCCGACGCGGTAGGGCAGATTTGACCAAGCCGTCTCGGGCTCGAGTCTGACGGCGAGACGGGTAGCCAGCGCTGTGGATGGCGAACCCGGGGCGTAGATTGGCCGGAGCGGGTTGTAGACTTTGATCCCCCGATCACGACCTGGAACCGATCAAGGGCCTGCGGAGTGCGGAGCGCGCCGGTGGTCTTGAGCGGGCCCATGAACTTTGACTTGTCGATGGCGCCGAAGAGAAGGCCGCCGGTGGAGAGGTTGTGGTTGTCGACGTACATCGAGAACGAGGAGATTTTGACCCTGCCGCGGTCGAGGAGGGTGTTGACGAACGCGCTTGCACGGGCGGAGGCGACGCCGGTAGGTTTGAGGAGGCCGAAGCGGCCGTAGGGGCAGTCGCCTTCCTCAGCCATGCCAAAGACAAAGTTGTCGAGCGAGACGTTGCCGACAGAGATGGAGTCAGCGACGACGATGACGCGGACGTAGGAGGAGTCCGAGAGACCGACTTTCGAGCGGGTGTTTGCGGACCGCGAGGAGGAGGAGGAGCCGCGGTTGTAGGTGCCGGTCGGGCGGCAGAAGTCTGTTGAAGTTTTGCGGCAGTCGTGGTTGATGTCTGAGTGGACCCATGTTTTTTCCGATCTGGTGGTGAGCATGAGGGTGACGTGCTGGGCGGGGGAGCCGATGCTGACAGAGACGAGGTAGCCAAATGAGAAGCGGTCGGTTGCGGGGCGGAGGTAGGGGCGGTCGTCGGCGAGGGTGTGGAAGTCGTTTGCGTAGAAGGTGGAGGGGTGGTATCCGGGAGGGGAGGAGAA